TATCYCTAYGTTGYTGTTGTTGTTGTTGTTGTTGTCGWTTMTRTTGATGTTGTTGATATTGCTGTCCACTTTGTTGGAGATTATATTGTTGTTGTTGTTGTTGCTGCTGTTGCTGCTGTTGTTGTTGTTGGTATTGTTCGTATGTTGGATGATGATACTGCTCATTCTTTGATTGCTCACCATCATTTGTAATGGATTGAGGAGGATTATAATATTGATGAAGGTTGGATATGCAGCTACCGAGGAAATTCAACGATGACTTGAAGTAGCTCTTGGTGGTCTGTGTGATCTGGGGCGCCAACTTGTTCTTCTCATGAAGGAAGTCGATCAGCCACTGAGTGTAAGAGTCACGATGCTTGTCCAACAGGTTCTCAAAGTACTCCTCGGCCTCTCTCGATGGCAGTCCAGGACTGAACCTGCTGGCGACCTGATTCTGTACATAGTCCATTGTGAACTCATTTGTTGCATCTGTCGCGTCCAGCTTTGTCAAGAATGACAAGTGATACAGGAAGTACGATGCCTCCTTCCTCAGCACAGCATAGATGATCGTGCATATCCTAATGAACTCCTTCCTGTCAAACATAATGATCTGCATCACACTCTCATAATCCTTACTATGTCTCAAGAAGTTGGACATGGGTGTTGGTTCCTAATGTGTTGCGAGTCAGTGAGTGATTGAGCGATCAAACAAAGTGATGGAACACTTACCTTGCCAAGGACAAAACCATAATCAATGTGGAAGAACTTGCCATCACGTGTGATCATGACATTCTCATTGTGACGATCGCCAACGCCTAGGAGATGTGTGATGACTAACCATGCTGCTACACTGTGGCCAAAGGTCTTAATCTTGGTGTGATGATCCTCTGGCTTGAGTGATCGCTTGAGATAATGATGTATCTTGTTCTCGGTGCTGCCAGTGTGTTCTGTGGATTTGTTGTAGATCGACAGCAGTGTCTCTGCATTGGGTACCACCTCGATGAATCCATACTCGCTGCCACAGGGTAAAACAGTGTAGGTGACGATGGAGCTGAGCAGATTGCGTATCTCCTCAGACTTCTCCACGAACAGTGCCTTCTGGGCCACCTCAAACTGTGCTTTGAGGTTCAGATACGTGTCGTTCTTGAGCGTCTTTCTGAAGCCATTGATGGCGGACTGGATGGCGTACTCGTCCTTGGCCTTCAACAGGTTGCCAATCAGCGGGTCAAAGTTCTCGCGAGCCGGTGTGGAGTCTTGCGACGAGCAGTCAGGGTTCATGATGATGTCGGATATCTCGGGCATACTGATCATCTCCATAATCTCCTTGGAATCGATCGATCGCGATGTGTACATGCATATGGCATTGACCATTGCACTAAAGTATGCCGACGAGTGTCTGTACTTGAGCTTGATGAATGAGTCGATGTTGTTCTTCAAGATCCTGCACATCATTGAGATTATGTTCAGAATGACACGGTCCTTTCTGACGTCGTCCTTCTTGAAGATCAGGTCCATACTCTTCTCCTCTCCCGTCTCAGAGTGCACGAGATGGAATGTGAGCTTGAGTGGCCTTGTTGCGCTGTCCTTGATGGTGGCGGTCTCCTTGTTGATACCCTGGATGGTGTACAATGGGTTGAGGGGATAGCGAATCTCCTTGCACTTGGCTAGCAGCTCTTCGATCTTGGTCAACTGCGCCATCAACTCTGGTCCATTGGTCGTGGGCATGCCCTCGAGGAAGCTCAGCAGCTCAAAGCCATCAATGAAGCCTCCACGATTCTTGAGGTCGGGATTCGAGATGAGCTCCAACTTTAGACGCTCGTACTTGGAGTCGAAACCGTTCTGGCAGTTCTTGAGCTCCCACAGCGTGAAATGAGCGATCACTGGCGAGCCCAGTGCCCTGTCAAACAGGAACTTCTTTAGCTTTGAGCTGTTGAACGGCTCGAACCTTAGGAAGTACACCAGTTGGGGGATGTAGTAGACGAGGTCATCGTTTGAGATGGACTCGAGGATGCTGACGGCAAAGTCTCGGATCTCATGGTTGGTGATGTTCTCGTCGAGCAGTGGGAAGACATCCTTGACAGAGATCTTGGGCTCACAGGAAGAGGAGCACATGAGGTAGTAGCAGTTCATCGATTTCTTCTCGGACGACTTGATGATCTGCAACACCTTCTCCAGTTTGTGAGCGGGCAGCTTGCTCCACACGATCGACTCGAGAAGCTTCAGCACCCACTTGGAGTGGCCCTCCAAGAACTCTTTGTTTCGCCACAGAGCAGCACGCTCGTACTCTTGGAACTTCTGTGTGCTGAACGAGTACTGAATGGCACGAATGTGTGACAGGTATGATATGGTTGCCTTGCGCCACATCTTGTTCACTGCAGAGAATCGTCTGATCATTGAGAACTTGAGTGCCAACAGCTCCAATGATGAAACAATGCCATTGTACTCCTTGTTGGTCGATAGATGAACATGACATTGCTTGCAGACCCTCAAATTGGAATAGAGATACCTGTCCTTGAGACTCTCATAGACAGGTTTCTCAATCGACGAGTAGTCAATCGCATGGTTTGTACAAGTTGAGCAAAAGATGTATCCTGTTTGAATGGAGAGATGATGTGTGAGTATGGGTGAGGCAATGACCTGCTGGCAAGTCCAGTACTTACCACAATTGCGACAATGTGTCCTTCGGACATAGAGGTTAAACTTCAACTTGCAGGAATGACACTCGTTGACACTGTTGTCCTCGACTGGCTTGATGAGCTTGCGTGGCTTCATCTCGGTTGATATGTCTTTGGCCATGTTGCTCTCCAAGGCCAAGATGCTCGAACGACTGGCGTTGAAATCGACGATCGAGTCATAGACACCAGACTCTGTGTAGTTGAACTTGTTGTAGTTGCACTCGGCAATGATGCGGGCATGCTCAGTTGGATCAAACCCGCCGTTGAGCGGCTCAAAGCCAAAGAAGTTGCGTGCATCGTACTCTGATCTTGTGTCCTCTAGCCTGTCCTCGAGCACGTGTCGAATGGCTCTGATCAGGATGTTGTCTACGAGTTCAAAGTAGTGCGCTGTGAGGATGAACTTGTCGAGTTGTGGTCCTTTCTTGGAGAGGTCGACGCTGCGGTAGAGAAGAGACTTTACAGTGTTCACCTTGGGCTTTCTCTCAAAGATTGGTGGGTAATAATGATTGTGATTGTGATCATGTGGTGACATTGGATTGTGTTGCTCACTTGTTGGACTTGTATCGACTTTGTCAAAGTCGAGGTAATCGTTGCAGTCGTCCAAGTTCTGGCTCTCCATGCTGTCACCCATCACAATATGTTGTGGTGTTGGTAATGTAAAGTTCTCGAAATCATCGTACCTTGTGGCATAGTTGTTGTTGTTGTTGTTGTTGTTGTTGTTGTTGTTGTTGTTGTTGTTGTTCTTGATGTTGTTGTTGTTATTGTTATTGCTCGGTTGTACATTGGATTGTTCAGAGGCAGCGATTGTGGTCAAAGGTATCTTTAAGATTTGTTGGAATGTTGGTTTGGTCCTGTTGATTGGTGAGCTGATAGGTGTTGATGGCGCAGATGACAATGGTGAAGATGTTGTCGATGATGATGACGTTGATGATGTAGTTGTAGCCAATGGAGTGTTCGAGTACTTGTTGATCAAGTCATCAAATGTTTCAATAAAGTCTAGAACAAACTTGACTGATGTACTATTCATTGGTATATTTGCTGGAGCAAAGATCAGTGTCTTTACAGGTTGTTTCTCGCATTCTCTCTTTAACATCGCAGAGTAAGTATTCATCCATGATGGTATAGTTATCTCCTCCTTATCAGGTAGGATCAACTTTATACTATTACTAGTTTTGTTCATTGTTTGTAGTATATAACTACCTCACAAAGCTAGACAAAGTGTATATATATATTATGTGATGATTGGTATTTGATTGATTGATTTGATTGATTGATTGATCGTTGTAATAATGATATATTAAGTATATTGATTGATTGATTGAATAATTGATTATTGTTGGGATTTAATGTTAATGTACAACAACATATAAATATTTATATGATTTTATATATATATACAGATAGTAAGGTAGAATTGTGAATGAGTTTGGTCTCGTGTGGAGTGAACTTGAGTCAAGTCACTCTACTTCTACACACTCCACAGTCACACACACTCAATACTTCTCACAATTCCGCAACGTTGTGATGTATGTGTGGTTGTCACTTGGGGTGGTGGGTCCTTCCATTCGAACAAATGAATGAATACACTTGACTTGAGAGTTCAAGTTCAGGAGATAGAGATTGAATGTAATAATGATATAGATATGTTATTCATTTATTATAATAATATTATAATATTATCTTCGAGACTTTGATGATTTATACTTTTCTCTCTCTTCTTGTAACTCTTTGAGTTGACTTGTTAGATCGATAACCTTCTTCATCAATTGTAGATCACCATATTGTTTCGCTTTGGCATGTGATAGTTTGGCCATGAGATGAGCCTGGTCGGAATTGTCGGTGAACAACTTCCTGCTCCATGACATACGACTAGGTTTATCAAACAGTTGCACTTGGTGCAGACGTCGGTAGCACTCCAAAGCATCAATGTGGCTGTCAAAGGACATGTAGCATGTTCCATTGTGCTCGCTGACTGCCAGATTCGCCGTCTTCTTTGCCTTTTGAAGGTGCAGCTTGAAGCCGCCGCGCAAGGTCAAGTGTTGATCCAGCTCTTGTCTCAAACCCTCCTCGTCGACACTGTTGGGGATGCCCTTCAGCTTCAACACTGTCATTGCTCCAATGACCTTGTATCTGATGCCCTGTGTGAATAGACCATAGAGTCCAAACTTCTCCACGATGGCCTCTGGCTTGGAGTCGTTGAGCAGCAGCTTGGTCTTCTCGTCCATCGAGTCTGCATCCAATGGTGACGGGGACACAGTCGAGTGTTGAATGACATCGTCAAAGTCCGTCAAGGTGTTGTAACGAATGGCACAGAGAATAGAGGTGAAGTCTCCACCTGGGGCATTGTCTTGGACAAAGTCCCAGAACATGGCGTCGATCTTGTAGGGGAAGTCCTTGTGAATAGCGTTCTCCAGCTGAGCAGGGTCAAGTTGGCGTGGAACACGCTCAATACACAGACACACCTGTTGGTAAAGAGGCTTGGAGTGTTTCTCGTTGCATTCGTCCAGCATATCGTTGTACTTCTTGATGAAGCCATAGTAGTCCTCCAAGGGTGCAGGTTGCATATATGCGTTTGAATCGTTGGTGTAGCCACCCGACCTCGATCGGCCTGTCCTGCCACTCGCATCGACTTTATAGTCGTCCAAGTTAAGCTTGACATCACGGAGGATTTCTGCTGCAGACCTTCTTGGGGCCGAATTTGCTGTTGTTGTTGTTGATGTTGTTGTTGTTGTTGTTTGGGTTGATGATGATGCAGGTATTGATTGGAATGGTAGAGAAATGTCTGTTGACGACTTGGGTGTCAAACCCAGCGATTTAAGTTGCTCCTCGATACTATTCGGTGTTCTTTGCCTCTTGTCCTCTTTCTCAGCAGTAAAGATTGGCTCTTCAAACTGGTCCATGAGATCCAAATCATCATCATTTTGTTGTTGTTGTTGTTGCTGCATTGTCTGCTTCTGTTGAATAAAAGTATTTGAGTTATCCTTTGGGTCTGTTCTAATCTTTCCAAAAAGACGTGTAAAGATTGATTCTGTTGTTGTCGTCGTCATGTCTTGTTAGTCAAAGGAGCCACAGAGAGGGCATACACATAATGACATACCATAGTCAGGAGTGGACGATGACTTTGTGTCTGGCTCTCCATTCGCTGATGTATACATGTCATTGCTGTTGTTGTTGTTATTGTTACTATATTGTCTTGTTGCATTGACTGCTACTATATTATTATTGTTGCGAATGTTTAACAACATCATTGATGATGCGGAGGAGATGGAGCGAGCCAATACACCATCAACAATGTATGACGTTGTCCTCTTTAAACCAATCATGATTACTCTCTAATATATATATATATGTATGTATGTATGAATAATAATATGTATACACACTTTGTAATTTTGTAATGTTAATCAGATAGTAGTTGTAGGTTGTTGTTTGTCTTTTTCCAATTACGTGTATTAGTTGGTGAGAGTATTGGGGTTCACTCGTCTCGTCTTTTTCAATTGGCAATTTCAACCGACCTAACCCCAACCCTTGCCCTCGCCCTTGCCCTCGCCCTCACCCCAACCCTTGCTTGCGCAAAGAGAGCAGGAATCAATCCAGTCCAATCCAATACAATGATCTAGTTGTACAACTATTAATACATATATTAAAGATTCATCATGATGATGATACCATCATTGATTTATTGAAAGGTACTTGATGCACTAATCGATTGTCTGGACTATGAGCTATTAAGAAGGTAATGATTAGCAATGTAAGATCATAGTTATACATAATCAAACTCTATTCTGAATGTTTAACATACATATACATTAAATTGGGTGTGTTGGTTGTTGTGTTTGTGTTGTACTGTGGCACTATGTTGAGTTAAAGTATTCGATGTACTCTGTGTTTTGAATACCATTCAAGTTGATGAGTTCCTCATTACTCTTATCACATATGTTGTCCACTTTGTTTGGTTGATTGAATGAATCATTGAATTTAATCACGCTTCTGATGAGCTTGAGAGATTGGTGTGGCAGTCATGTAATGATAGAATACAATGAGGATGAAAGCTATGGCTCCCATTGAGTTGGCCAAGAATGACAATTGAGTATCTGTGATCATTTTGTTTATGTAAATGTATATATGTGTATGAATAAGTATGCAATCAAGAGTGATGACTGTTTTCAAGGCTCAATCAATAATCATGATCATCAAGTTCAAGGGTCGCCCAGTTGAAAAAAAAAAAGTGAGTGAGCCCCTCATTGTGGCAGAACATGGACTGTTGACAACTGGTTGACCAGAGCCTGATCACTGATGATCCATATCCATTGGATCACTTCATTATCTATATTATATTTATATATTACATCTACATCACCATTTGGTGACCAATGGATGTTTGAATATGTATCTAAGTACGAATGTTCAATGTAACTAGAGCCAATTGTCCTCCAAAGTTCTTGGCTGGGACAACTATGATGATCACGATATGAATTGGTTGGTTGATTGTTAGCAATGGTGATGATGATCAATGGGTTTGTAATGATCATGTGAAGTCCTTAACTTACCTTGGTTGTTGGCCAGTTTATATTGATCGTTTATAAGTATGGCACCACGATTATCCATCATTTCCACGGTAGTAAAGTGCTTTGAACCCTTGGAGAATGTGATTGTAAAGTCCTTGAACAGGATGTAACTTGGTGGGTTTGGTCGTCCAAACATACAGATATAATGATTCTTGTCCTCCTTTATAATAGACATGCTCCATGATTCACTTGATCCTCCACTACATTCATAACTGAAGCTACACTTCATGTCTCCCTTCATAATGTTAAAGGTATGTATGTTCACAGTTCGTTAGCGGATGCTGCTACTGCTCAATGTAGAGTGCATTTGCTGGTACTACTACTATTACATACATCCACAAGCTCCACAGTCTCTTTTCCTTCAGGTTTGATATTGAACTCCTTGTCGCTGTCAGCATGAACCTGAACGATCAGCAACAAAAGTGCCATAACGATCGTATATGTCATAGTTCCTCTTGTATTATACATGTTGTTTGATCAGTCAGTGAAACAGTTTAATGTATGTATATCTCTGTTGTTGATATAAATATCTGATTGTTTGATTGATGGCCGAAAGTTGAAACAACACTTTAAAGTTGCAAGTTCAAAAGAGATAATTGGTTGATTCAATTTATCGAATAATGTGTAAAGTAAGTATATATATGATTATGATGTTAACAAGGTTACAGTGCTCCCATCTTATTACTGGCCTGTTCTCTTCTTGACCTTCTAACTCTTCTAACAACCAATACGATTATTGTTATGATGATTGCCAATAATACAACACTACATACAACTGCAATGGCAATGATACCAGAGACACCAACGTAGTTATCACCTTTCTTGGAGTCACCTTCACAACCATACTGTAGACGATTGTTACTAGAGTCTGGACTGTCCAACACTGAGAAAGAAGGACTGACACTGCATTGTTGACATTGTGGCAAGTTGATACCAAACAGTGACTGGTTGGTCGATGAACTGATCAGTTCATTCCTGGTGAATGTTGGCAAACCATTCGAAAGACCAAACGTTGGGAAGGTGGCAAACAACTGATCATAATCAGTATCTCTAAAGTATTGCATGTTGTTGTCGATTGAGTCCCAACCAAAGAGGAACACTCGTCCACAATGTGGTCCATTCTTAACTGTTGTGGTCGAGGCATTCTTGAAGAGAACAACTCTCAAAGTGTTCATGTTTGATTGATATGTCCATCCTTGGATTGAAACATTCATCACAACATCAGTGGTGATCATGATTGTTGAGTTGTTTGAGTCTGGGAACAGAAGATCTTGGACCAACACTGTGATACTGAGAGTTGGTTGTGCATCAACCTTGGCCAGAGTGTACAATCTTGACGTGATGTTGTTGACTTTATCGTTGGTTGGTTGGGACATGGTCCAAGCAGTAGTTGGGACAGACTTGACAACACTTTGATCAATATCCAATTCTTGGACGGCAAAGATGTCAATTACATTGGGCAAGAAGTGTGAATCAGCAGATTGGAATGTTGTCTTTGGTGCATCATCAACATGATTGATCAATGCTCCAAGTGCAGTATGGACTTCACAGTACACTCCACCCCAATTTCTATCACATTGACATCTTCCATTCACACATTGTCCATGTGGAGAACAAGCATCTTTATATCCACAGTTACTAGTTTGAGTGGAATTATCTTATTATTGTTTAAGTTAGAATATTATATCAGTTATTTAGTTGATCGAATATACATACATATGGCCAAAGTATAGTTTGAGAAATAGGTGTTGGTGTCAATTGTAACATTGAGTTTGGCATATCCTTTAATCAGATTACCAATTGAACAGGTGATAATATCAGAGCTGATGGATGTCATACTACATTCATTATCATTGATGTTAACATGTTGACTCGTTAGATTGAGTGTTATTGGTGATGGTCCAAAGTAACCATGGAGTGTAACAACACCACCATCAGTATAAATTGGTGTAATTGATGATATAATTGGATAACTGGAACTGGAGGCCGCCAAGGTTGTACAAGCCATTGTCATTCCAAAAAATAGAATGGTTATAAAAGAGGAATAGTACATGTTTGTATTATTATTATAATTAGTATTATTTGTATTTGGATTATGTTTGAGAAATTATTTCTATGAATATATTATTTTGATGAGGATTATTATTATTATTTCTATGATTATTAGTTCTTGTTCTTATTATTATTTGTATGATTAATGAATTAAAATACCATATTTGGTTTGATATTAATAGAGTGTGATGGACCGTGAAGATGCACTACTCCGAGTTTAGTGATCACCTAGCTTCCCAAGAACTCAAAAAATGAGGTCTTTTTGATTTTGGGTAGTGTTTTGGTGGACAAGTACCCTTCGAACCCCACTACAAAAGACTCAATGTCCTTTCAAAGTCCTTGCGGCAACTCGCTTTGTAACCTTTACAATGAACAGGACCTTACCTGTTCGATTGGCTATTGTTTATTATTATTATTATTATTATTATTAATTATTATTAATTATTATTAATATTATTATTGTTGGTAGTATTACTATGCAGATATGATGGTGCCTACTCTCCCCCATCCAGGTACGTCACCTTCAAAGTATGAGTGTAGCCATTGCGACAACACTCGCCATTATCAGCAACTGTGATCCAACAATAATACTAGCACTACTTGCACGTAAGTTGGCTACAAGAGTACACTGAGCAGGGTTTGAAGAGAACTGAGCATCATTTGAGCAGTCAACATCGGTGAGGTCCACACCTTTGATTCCCTCACAAGTCGTCTTGTATAGTTCACAGAGTGAGCTGCACACTGGTTGTCCAGTGCCACCGCTGCAACCGACACAACCACGTGCACACACAAACTGTGTCTGAACATCGAAGCATGCCAACTCCTCCTTGGTACTAGGATTGTCACGCACCTGTCTAAAGTGCATCAGCTTGTCGGCGTAGTGACAGGCGCGACTCGACAGGACAGTGGTCGACTGGTTCACACCACAGTACTTCATCTCTGGTGGGATCACCTCGCACTTGGGGTCCACCCGGCTGGCGTAGCCTAGACGAGAGGCGCGGGCATTGGCGTTGATGGTCAGAGTCTCGAGCGAGCCACAGTCACCATGATCGTAGCCACATTCGAATGTGTTGCATATCGGGTCACAGACACCATTGGCCAACATGTCACGGGTGCAGCCTGCGTCGCACAGGCTCAGGGCCGCCTCATCCATTGGCGAGTTGCAGTCACCACCGTCATTGTTGCACATAAAGTGGTTGCAGGCAGCGTCACACCAGCCATCACCGACGTACTTGATCTTGCACCCCTTGGCACACTCTCTATTCCTTACGGTCTCTTCACGACAGTCGCCACCGTCAAACTCGCAGTCATGGACATAGCACTCAATGTCACATGTACCGTCCCGCACCTTATTATTGGCACATCCAGGGCTGCACTCCTTATAGTTGCGCTTGGGCGGAGGAGTCGGGCAGTCCTCATAATCAAACTGGCACGACTCCACGTAACACTCTGGATCACAGTGTCCATCGCCCATGCTTGTCAGAGGGCATCCAGGTGCACAATACTTGGCGTCTATGTTGTTTGATTGATTGAGTACATGAGTGAGTCATAGGGATAGTTACAGATCAAGATTGGTATTGATACTTACCATCTTCTTGTTTGCCATGGCAGTCACCACCGTCAAATGAACACTCGATCACTTGACATCTGGGGTTGCAGACTCCGTTGCCGACCATACCCCAGTCACATCCAGGGTAGCACTCTCGCGTTGTCATTGCGTTCAGACAGTCACCTCCATCGTATAGACATTCTGTGACATTGCATCTCTTGGTACAGTGGCGATCGTTGATCTGGGATTTCAGACAACCAATGGCGCACTCTTCTGGCATTATACCTTCTGGAATACAATCATTTAGATCATACGCGCAGTCTTTAACATTACATTTAGGGTCACACATGCCATCACCTCTCATCTTCTCCTTGCAGCCTGGCGCACATTCCTGTTCATCATCCCAAGACGGTCTAGTATTCAACAAACAATCACCAAGATCGTATGCACATGCTCCATTATTACATTCTGGATCACACTTGCCATTGCCTAGCCAACCTTGTCTGCATACTTCGCTACAATGATCTAATATGATTGAAAGTGTGTGAGTTGAGTTGATTTATTGAGAGTGATTCATTGATTGATTGATCACATACCAATATTTAGTCCTGATCCTGGACAATCACCTCCATCATAGTTGCAGGATTCTACATTACAACTTCGATCACAGAATCCATCACCAATCCACCTTCTTGGACATTTAGGTGCACACCTTTCTGTTGATGGTGAGCTGTTTACATTATTTAATAATATTAATAAAATTAATAACAATAATATATTTATATTGGAAGAAATAATCTTCATTTATAATGATTAATATATATATATATATATTCCACTACAATTGTTGGTGTCGTCAATTAAGGACAAATGCAAAGACCAAGTCAACACATACATACTCCACACACATTTCTTACAAATTCCTGACTACTCATACAATCAATCAATCCAATCATGTCATATGACACATTTCATATCTAATCACTGAACATTCCATTGTATACTGACCATCATCCTACATCTTTGACCATCAACACTCACCACATTATGATGGTGTTGAGTATGTCTGTGAGTGTGAGTGTGAATGTGTGTGTTTAATTGATTGATTGACTACAAACAATAATGATGATACATTTATACATACAAGGTCTCAAAAGAGAAGATCTTTGGTAACACTCTATGTTGTTTAAGTTATATGCATGATTATCTTGAATGAAACAGTGGTAAACATCTGATAGTTTGTATCTGTATTAAAGTGTATTTTTTTGAAGATCACATTCAAGTTCAAGTTCAAGTTCTCAATGAATAATGACAACATGTGCAACTGTCTAGAATTTACAAATATCTCGAAAGGGAGAGATATTTATCTCAACAGTTCCAAAGTGTACTTGGTCCCATTATCATATTTCGATGATTGAATGGGAGATCATATAGAATGTTAGATTGAGGCATCGAATACAATAAAGCAAGTAAATAATATTAATATATAACTTTTGGATATTTCTATTTTCATGAAAATCATCTTGAACTTCCAGGTTTGACAACCATGCCAAACTACATACTACAATTATTCTACAAACCAACGAATATAAATAAATTATATTAGTTGTAGTCTAATAAATAATAAAAGGTAAATTACAATTTATTCGTTATTGTGGGTTGAGATAATGTGTAGTGTAGTGTTGATTCACAATTTGATGGATTTATGAAGGAAGATATCCACCCTTTAGTATAAATATCCAGGGAACACTCACTGAGATATCAAATATAATATCATTAATATAAATAATAATAATAATAATAATGTATAGTTATATTTATACACTCTTTATAGTATTGTCTCTAATTTTTGTTGGAACATCTGCTCATCAGCCTATCTATACTCCCTATGTTCTTCAATCAGGACCTATAATCCTTCCCAACAATGAATATTATCAAACTCCAGGAGTCAATTATTTTGATAGAGAAATTATCTATAGTAGCTTCCATCCCCATGCCAGTACCTTTGCATCTGGTATCCACCCAATGGATTATGGTCCCTGGTAATCCAAAATAATTCAAAGAATAAAGAATTGTCTCATCAGTCTTGTGTCTAACAAGGATATCGTGTTTTATGCTATTTACCATTATCTGTTAAACAAATTGTGTGGAGAATTATTATATTGTTCTTAACTCTCATCTAAACTATGTATTCATTTTGATTGATTGATTGAGTCTGCATACTGTTGTTGTCATCCACTGGAAAGTTCAATCTTTTTGGATTTCTTCCATCTACAGCTCGTTATTGTTCTTGAGTCATTTACAGAATTTCAATCATTCCACAAGGAGATAGCATCAATCCCACAACTTGCCAATACAGACTGGACATACTACTATAAGATAAGACAGTACTTACTATCTATCATTATATACATATCAATCTATCATTCATTCATACGAATAGTTTCTGTTCCCGAAGATGGAAAATGATTGAGTTAGTTGATGGATGGATGGACCAAAATAGATGATGTGATATGGATGGGTGGTCTTGTGATCAAAGTGGTCTTGTCACATTAAAGTGTGTTTGACGACCGAGTCGTGACTTGGACAAAGATTGAAGATGATTTTCATTTTTTTTGTTTAAATTCTTTTCTTTTCAATTTTTTCAAACATTCTGTTTTAGGTGAGTGAGTGGAGGGGAAAGTGTGTAGGGGTCTGGTTGGGTGAGCAAGGTAAAGAGTGGAGTAGATTGTTGTTGATGAGTGTGAACGTAACTTGCAAGCTTACTTAGTTATCAAGAGAGAGAGCGTGTGTGTGTGCATATACAGAGGTACTTGTTTATATTTATATCAACTATACATATATATATTATAAGTACTTTACTTTACTTTTAGTAAACCTTTCATTCAATCAATCATCATCATCATTATCAACACAAGCCATAAACAGTATACTGTTCAAGCCTGTGCATTTAGACCAACACTCGATCGAAAGACAGGACAAGAAGGAAGTACCGAGTGAGTGAAGCGAGCCGAGAAAGTTAGATAGATATCAACATCAATCAAACAATCAACAACAGCTTGCAATCAATCAATCAATCAATCATCAATATCATCAATCAATCAATCAATATCAACCAAACTTAAAGGCATTTCAAGAACCTTTTGAAAGAAGCGACGTGGAGAATGTCACTAAACTGGGCCGATGAAACAGAGATGGAGGAGAAGGCAAGGGAGACCGAGCTAAAGGAGAACCCACAGCTCGCTGAGGAGCAGCGAAAGATTGAGGAGAGAGAGAGAGCCGCGAATGAGGAGAAGCTCAGAGCGAGAGAGGAGTTGCTCCAGCAGCAGCAGCAGGCACAGGCTCAGGCGCATCAGACCTTCCAGAGACAGCAGCAGGAGTACAGCAGAGGTGGTCGTGGTGGTCGTGGTGGCTACCAGGGTCAGGGCGGCTACAACAGAGATGGTGGCAACAACAACTACCAGCAGGGCGGCTACAACAACAATAGAGACGGTGGCAGTGGACGTGGTGGCTACAACAACAACAACAACAGCAACTACCAGCAGGGCGGCTACAACAAGCCAAGCTACGGTGGCAACAGAGGTGGTTTCAACAACAGCAGAGACGGCATGAACAACAGCGGCGACAGACAGCAGCAGTACAACAACGAAAGACCTCAGTACAACAACGACCGCAACAACAACGCCGGCGGCGAGAATGGCGGCTCGAGATACCAGCAGCCACAGAGACCCAAGTACGACAACACCGAGATGACCGTCGTTGTCACTGGCTACGAATTCCAGAACAGACAGCCCGATGAGGTCAAGAACGACTTGGGCAACTTCATTGAGCAGCACTCACGATTCTCTGCCGAGGAGAAGCCAAAGATCGAGAAGATCGACTTTGGTCGTCAGGGCGCTGTCGCCTACATCGTCATGAAGGACAAAGAGTCCATCGAGCGCGCCTGTCAACTCAACGGCGAGTGTCTGCCCGGCAGCACCGCCGCTCTGGTCTTCCAGACGCACGCCGAGAGCAAGCAGCAACTTAGACAGCAGCAGCAGCCTCAGCAAGGAGGATCGTTGAGGACCTCATTTGGCGGACAGCAATCGTCTTCGGGCACTGGTGCGCCAAAGCCCAGCCCATTTGGTGGCGCCGTGCCAGTCGACACCGACAAGTTTATGCGTGAGCGCTTCGAGAAACCCGACCAGCAATCCCAGCAGCAGCAAGAGGGCGACCAATCACAGTCTGCCCAGCCTGTGCAGCAGGACGACGGCTCCAACTCCCAGCCATCCAACCAACCTCAACAATCACAACCTTACCGATACAACAAGGACAAGCCAGCCAGGAGGATGCAGTCGTCTGGCGACAACACAAACAGTCTGAACAGCAGCGGCGGCAGCAGTAGTCAGGCCAAACCATTTGGTGACAAGCCATACCGCAACAACAACACGACACCATTTAACAAGAACGAGCGTCCACAAAAGAAAGAGAACAAGCCCGACGAAGAAGGATGGATCGAGACACGTGGTGGCAAGATCAAGGAGCCAAAGAGCAAGCCTGCTGCTCAGACCGCCAAAAAGGTTTGTTTGATTGATCATTCATGTACATAGATATAACTGTTATCACTCACTAACTTCCATTCCTCTCCCCTACCTTCCTTTACCCTTTTACAATGATATAGGAGGCTGTTCAGAACAAGTTTGCTGTCTTGAACCTTGAGGACGACGAAGACAACTAGACTATTTACCTTGCCCACCTCACTCAGACTTAAGGAACGACGAACAACCATCACTCTACCAAACACAACAACAACAACACCACCACCCCTATACCTTATAATCAGCCGCCGACATTGACTGGAACAATCAATCAAGGTGACCAACCCTACAAGGTCACGGGTCTATATCTGATCACAATCCATTCATTCAATCCAATGCTATCGTGATCTTTTCAATCAAACCAATCAAAAACACAATAACATTCATTCAATTAATTACCTTTATATATCCATCATAGTAGTCTTCCTTCCTTCCTTCCACCCTTCATTACATTTATGTTACTGGTGTTTACCCAGCCCACCCAGTCAGTCATATGACCATGGTCTCCAGAACAGTGGTGTGATCGATTGATCACAGCACACCACCCCCACCACCAGTTTATTATTGTTAGTGTATGATTGCTATGGATCGTTAGATGTGATCCATGCATATGATTATGAATATGAGGAGGATGTTATTGTTATTTGAATCCAAGTAAGAAATATATTCCCTATCATTGTAGATTATTTGTTATCTTTATAAATAATGGTAAGTGATCCAAAGGATTGATAATGATAGAATGTTCACTAATGAACAATATAAAATTATAAAGGGAAAGAAGAATACAACATCAACCACTTCGACATCAACTACTACTTCACCATCCAGTTCCAGTTCAATGAAACATAATGGAGGATGTCAAGTTCCAACAACACCTAATTCTCCAGGTTTAGTTATTAGACCAGTCAATAACAAAGTTGGAGTGGACGACTTGGTTATGTTATCCGATGTCACGGAGGTAGCCTTAAACAACAACTTACAACAAAGATATAAAGATGAATTGATCTATGTAAGTCCGTTCATTCAATCAATATGGAATAATTCCATTACTAACTCAATCACATGATCAATATACATAGACTTCAATTGGACCTGTATTGGTATCTTGTAATCCATACAAACAACTTGGCATTTATGACAAGAAGTATATTGATCTGTACAAGGGCAAGCATGAGTTTGAGATACCACCTCATGTTTATAGTGTCGCAGATAAGGCATATCGCGCACTAAGGTCAGAACATGAGAATCAATGTATTATAATATCAGGAGAATCGGGTGCTGGAAAGACAGAGGCATCAAAGTATATAATGCAATATATCGCCAGTATCACTGGTAGTAGCAAGGAGGTCGAAAGAATCAAGAACCAGATACTTGAGTCCAATCCCCTACTTGAGGCATTTGGAAATGCCAAGACACTGAGGAACAACAATTCTTCAAGGTTTGGAAAGTACACCGAGATACAGTTCAACTATGCTGGTGACCCTGATGGAGGCAAGATCACCAACTACTTGTTGGAGAAGTCAAGGGTCGTCAAGCAGACAGTAGGTGAACGCAACTTCCATATTTTCTACCAACTGCTCAGTGGTGCATCCATAGAGGAACGTAGTGAACTTGGTCTTTTACCGATGGATCAGTATGAGTATCTAAACAAGAGTCAATGTGTAACTGCCGATGGTATTGATGATGTTGCTGGATGGAAGGCAACAATCAATGCAATGAATGTAGTCGGAATCAATCAAGATGATCAGAAACAAGTGTTAAGATTACTATCTTCAATCATCTTGCTGGGCAATGTACAGTTCACCAAGTCAGAGAAGGGGGAGGACCAAGCAGAATCAAAGGACAAGGAGCTCATTGCAACTATTGCAAGGTTAATGGGCGTCAGTGCCTCGCAACTAGACAAGTCTCTTGTCACACGTGACATAAGCATGGGACAAGGTATGAGGAAGTCACAATACTCTGTTCCTCAGACTGTAGAGCAGGCCATCTATGCACGAGATGCCCTTGCCAAGGCAATCTACAGCCGATTATTCGATTGGCTCGTTCGGTCCATTAACAAGTCAATCGAGGTCACTACCAAAGGCAAAGTGATAGGAGTCCTAGACATCTATGGATTCGAGATATTTGAGGTAACTATCTAGTTTGGATGATCACATGACCAAAACGAAAGAATGATCAACACACCAGGAACCATTCCACTTACTCTTTCATTCAACCAATCAATCAATTATAATAGAATAACAGCTTTGAACAGTTCTGCATCAACTATGTCAATGAGACATTGCAACAGATATTCATTGACTTGACTCTCAAGACTGAACAGGAGGAGTACGTGTCGGAGGGCATCAAGTGGGAGCCAGTGGACTATGTAGACAACAAACCTTGTGTTGATCTCATTGAGAAGAGACCATTGGGCATTCTATCGTTGTTGGATGAGGAGTGTCTGTTCCCCGAAGGCAACGATTCCAGTGTGTTGGAGAAGATGGAGAGACATTGCGCAACACATTCACATTACTCCAAGCCTGGCTTGACATCAAAGAATCAACAGCAATTCAACATATCACATTATGCTGGCAAGGTTGCGTACAACATCGATGGATTCCTCGACAAGAACAGAGACACACTATTCAATGACCTTGTCGCATTGGCCACATCCTCATCGCTCACACTTCTTGTTGAGGTGTTCAACCAACATGCACCTGCCAATGGTGATGCACTTGAATCAGTGGAGGTAGTGTCCAAGAGTGTTATCCCAACAGACAAGAAGAGACCAATCACTGCTGGATTCCAGTTCAAGTCACAAGTGACCGCACTACTCAAGTCGTTGTATAGTTGTAGCCCTCACTATATCCGTTGCATCAAGCCAAACGAGAACAAGGGAGCACTTGTTTGGGATCAGGACAAGGCGGCCCAGCAGGTGAGGTACCTTGGCCTGTTTGAGAACTTGTTGGTACGTCGAGCTGGCTTCTGCTATCGTCAACCCTACACCAAGTTCATGAAGAGGTACTACATGATCACAAAGAAGACGTGGCCAAGATGGGAGGGACAGGATGCCAAGGTGTGCGCAGAGATTGTGCTGCGAGAGATGGAGGTCGATGCAGCCGAGTACCAATTCGGTGTCACCAAGATCTTCATACGCAACCCTCAACCTTTGTTCAAGATGGAGGATAGGCGCACAGCTCGTCTCGAGGAGTTGGCCACAAAGATACAGTCCGTGTGGAAGATGTATCACACTCGCAAGTGGTACCTACGCATGTTGGCCGCAAGGAAGATACAACGAGCGTACCGAGCTTGGCTACTCAGGAGAGAGTACGTCAAGTTGAAGAACTACTCACAGAGTCTGTTCGATGGCAAGAAGTCTCGCAATCGTAACAGTCTTGTTCTGTCATCAACCGCATTCTTTGGCGACTTCCTATCTGTGGCGAAGGACAACTACACCAACAAGGTACTACGTCGGGAGGAGGGAGATCAAGCTGTCGTACGTCTAAGTATCTCGGTGTCCAAAGTTGATAGACGTTACAAGGTTCAGAAGCGTGAGCTAATCATCACCAACAGTCATCTCTATCATGTCGCCACTCACAAGCCCAAGAAGGATGGATCATGGTTCGTACTCAAGCGAAAGATAGCGTTGGGTGCCATCGCCAAGATCAGTATGAGCACACATTGCGACAACTACTTTGTCTTGCATATTACTAATGATGTCGATCTCATTTGTGAGACTGGACAAAAGACGGTATTCATCACGATGCTCTGCTCATTGTTCCAGAAACTACAAGGACAATCATTGGCCATTGACTTTAACAATGAAATCAAGTATCGATCGGGCAAAGGAGAATCAGAGGTGAAGTTTATTCAAGTGGATCAACTACCCAAAGATAAACACACTGTTGCCAAGTCCTCCAATGGTCATCTAAAGGTGTCTGTCATTGCCGCATAGTTTACCATCACCTATCCCATTCAAGTCAACTTCCAACAAATAAATAACATTATTATTATTATTATTACCTTTTAAGGGCAAACAGATTTGAGAATAGTGTGAAGGGTTAGAGAGTACTTGCTGGATTCACTCATTCATTCATTCATTCACTCATTCATTGACATGAGATAACATTATTCATAAAGTAGTTGTTTATCAACTTCCAAAGTATTACTAAATAAATAATGGATAATAAGACAATTAATTGTGTTTGGGAAATATATATTATTAAGGTAATCGATATCACTGATTAGTGTCGACAACTACCTTGGTAATGCAGGATTTGTAAGTAACACAAGAGTTGTGAACATTGAACATCCAATTGGATATTGCTGAACAATCACTCAATCTCAATCCAATCAATCTAAATTAAGTTGAATCAACATATTATTATAAATTGATATATACTTGCATAACACCTACTTACATCTGCAATGCTGATGACGATGATGAATACACCAATGGATTGTTTGTCTCACGACAACATCATGATGCATCTCAATTAGTATTTGGATTATTGGTAGTGATTGAATGAATGAAGGCACCTGTTAGTTTGAATGGATGTCCTTCAGCTTGTGTGTGAGTGTGTGTGGGTGGGACAAAAAGGACAAAGGTTCCAAGATTGACACAACCCCGTTCAATTATTTGATACATCGGTATGGCCTCAGGTCCAAATAGAGGAATAAGTCAAGGATGGAACTATTCCATCAATGTGTTCATAAAGGAGCCAAGTTGATTGTTTTTAAAATATATTTTCATTAATTTATTAATTCTTTGATAAATATAAACAAACAAATATTATTCCCTATATTAATTATTATTATTATTATAAATAATTATATTTAACTAAAAACTATGGTTAACTATCGCATTTTTATCACATTGGTCTTGATGACCTTTATTATTCAAAGTACCTGGTCACAGGATTCTTCAAGTTCTGTTTCAAGCTCTGCCTCGAGCTCTGATTCAAACTCTGGATCTAGCTCAGATCATGGAGGTCCACATGGTGTGTGTCTGGTCTGCAAGAAGAAGGATGAGATATGTGAGCCAGTATCATCAATCTGTGAGCTTGGAACCGTTTGTATCGAAGTCTCCAATGCCACATTCAAATGTGCCTCCCTTCCAACCAAGGGCGAGAACTGCAACATGACCAAGCTATGCAAGGATTACTATGCTTGTGACCTGATAACCTCAATCTGTATTGAGAAGGGTTATCTTGGTAAGTCATCTATTCATTGAATCACTCATTGGAGCAACTCTCTAACATCTTATATACATTTTAGGATATGATGAGGCATGCACCAACACTACCCAATGTGCTCATGGATTGTCTTGTGAGGAATCAAAGTGTATCAATCCGAAGTATCCATCGTGCCAGACCAAGACCATGTGTAAGTGGGATGAGACTTGCAACTCCAACCTCAACTGTAGTGCTCCAGTTGCCAATGGTGGAAACTGTACTGCCGATGATGACTGTGCTGTCCAAAGTTCTTGTATGAATGGTACCTGTGTCGTCTACTTCTCCGTGGGTCTCAATGGAGCATGTGACTCCTCTGCCGAGTGTGATATTACCAAGGGTCTTACTGTATGTAATCCAACAATCCATCAATCCATCCATACAAGATCCAATACTAATACATTGTTCATTCACTCTAGTGCATGAACCATACCTGCCAACCAAAGACTGTTCTTGAGTCCACTCCATGTAACTCAACTTTGGACTGTATCTCCACGGGATCAAACAGTATCTGCAAGTGCTCTGGTGGTAACTCTGGTCCATCCAACGGTACCTGTCACTCCTACATCGATCTTACTCAGGTCACCAAGGACATCTTTGACACCTATTTCAAGTGTTTGAGGGACAACAAGTGTCCTGATGTTGACTACGTGATCCCAGCCAGCTGTGCCTACAAGTGTGGAGACATTCTCACCAAGACCTACGCCAATCCATGTGACGGAAGCTCCTCCACGACCACCAGTGCCTCGACCACTACCAGCGCCACTACCACTGCGTCCACTACTGCCACCACTGCCACCACCACTGCCTCTACTACGGCCACTACTGGCAACCCTGGTACCACCACTGGTACCACTGGTAACCCAGGCTCGACCACTGGCAACCCAGGCACCACTACCAACAATCCATCGTCCACGACCACTTCGGGTCCATCGTCAACATCTGATGCATCCAGCCTCCAAGGATTCATCGTCCTGTCCACCGCACTGACCTTCATCATCATGTTGTAACTCGATTGATTGATTGATAGTCGTCATCCTCGTCCACCGATACATAATCGGCAACTCCTGTTTATAATAATAATACAACAACATAACATACACTTTACTCTACTTCTTCATTCCTTCTTCTCTCAACTTACTCGCCAGTAGTTCATCTTGGAACTTGACTTCACTCAACTCATCTTTTGATGTAAAGAGTATCTGTTGTTCAATACCTTCAAACGATGTTATCATCAATTGTTTACTTGCAGCATACAACATCTTGGTCATCACTCTTGCCATGTCAGGGCACCTGGTCGGTCAATACATCAATCATGTTAGTATCACTCCAAACAGTCAGAGCTCTACTTGCAACATAACATACCATAACATGAATACCATTCGATGTAACTGTTTGGACTCACAATGATAGTCTGCCAATACGAATGAACCATCGTTCTCTGGCAACTCGTCTAGGAATACATTGTAAGGTGTGTCTTTTGGTAGTGTCTTTGACACAACAATACTATCTCTTGTATCATTCAACTTGAAGAAGATATATGAATGACTACCAGCATGTCTCATCTGGTTATATGTATCAATACATTCGCTTGATAATTGTATATCTGGTCGAGACATTGTCAAGTGAGTGAACAAATGATTGATTGTTTGAAGATCTCATTCATTTGACTTTGTAACATCAACTGTGCAAAGTGCAGTTATAAATATACAAGTACATAATAAGTATATATATACGTATAGCATGAGCTTGGAGCATGGCTACACTACATTGATAACCAACTCAAACTTTGACATTGAGTTGGTCAACTTGGAGAAGGCGCTACATAATGCTTCATTCGTCTCAATAGATACAGAGTTCTCTGGTGTTGGCTATCACAAAGGATTGAAACTAAGGTATGTGACATAGCATAAGATAACAATAACATGTGTGAACTAACAAACATGTACATGCCTATACTCCAGTAACATTCAAGATAGATACTCATTCATATCAAAGTTGGTCAAGTCAAGGTCATTACTCCAACTTGGAATTGCAGTGTTCACAGAGACAAAGGAACAAAGTAGTGCAACAATCAGTACTTCAGCTTCAAATGATGATACATTGAATGGAAACAAGAAGAGACCATTGGACACTGGTACTACTACTTCATCCTCATCAGACGCATCAACATCATCATCATCGTCTTCGCATAACTATCACTATGACGTCAGAATATTCTCATTCTTATTGCTCAATCAATCAGAGTTCCAGGTGTATCCTGCCTCAATGACATTCCTCGTTCAGCATGGATTCGACTTTAACAAGCTGTTCACCGATGGTATACCATTCACTCCATTCACATCATTCTCCTCATCGCACTCTACCTCAACAGTGTCCAACAAAAAGGCCAACAACAATGGACATGGCAACAATAATAACAAGAATACTGCTGTTGCACCAAAGGAATCCAAGCAACATAGGCTCATCGAAGTACTTTCAAAGCATCGCCAACCAGTTGTCATACACAATGGACTCTTTGACATACTATTCCTTTATCAGAGTTTCATTGGCGATCTCCCCGATACACTCAATGAATTTATAGTCAAGTTCACCAATGTCTTCCCAAAAGTGTAAGATTGACTGGATACATTCATTTGCTCATCAATTACTTACTCTCATCACTCGTAACCTAGGTATGACACCAAGTATATCTCTGAGTATAAGGTCAACGAGAATAGATCATTCCTTCAATATCTATTCCTAAAGTAGTGAGTATCATGTTAACAATCAATCATCAAATCAAATCCAGTACTAATACTGCCATAATCATACACTACCAGCGAGCGCAACAACTATCAACGAGTACAATCCAAACAATCATACCTATCATGTGACAAGGTTATTGGAAGTTTGGATGGTGTGAGGTCTGAGCCACTTGTCAATATCCTGCGGTCAAATGCCAAGAGCTACGATGGTTCCAAGATATGTCCAGACTTTGCTGTATGTTTGATCGATCAAAGATCCAATCAATCTATCCACACTAATAATGCCATTGCCTTTTTTTAGAATCATGGATATTGTAAGAATGGAATTGGATGTACTCTCTCCCATGATGTACAGATTGTACTTGATGAGGATGAGTTTAGGAGGGCTAGTGCCAGTCAGGCCAAAGCAGCCAAGAAGATGAGGAAGGACAATAACAATGATAACACGATTACCAACAAACCTGTTACAAGTACCACAACAACATCAACAACTCCAACACTGGCACCAATGTCATTATCCACAGAGATGGATAACTTACCATTCAAACTCAATCAAGATTCCACCTCCATGATCACATCCTCATTGACATCGACATCGACTACAACTACGACAACCACAACATCAATCTTATCCCCAAACAATAATGAGCCACTGCTGCTGAGCAGTAACCTAATGGATGTCACTTTAAGTGCTGACACAGCCAGTGACTCCAATGCACACTCTGCTGGATACGACTCTGCAATGACTGGGTTCATCTTTGCCTACTACAAACATCTTGTGTTCCGATCAGAGAAGCTACCCGAGCTGGAGAACAAGATATATCTTACAGGCAAGGAAGTACCATTGCTATTAAAGAAGTCAAGCTATGCCTAGAAAGTATGGAGTGTACTCCAATACTTTACTTTATTATTATTATTTAGTACTATAGATTATGATTATGATGTTATTATTGTTGAATGTTGTTGCAGTTTGTTGTTTTAAGTCGTCGTACATTTTGATTGATTGATTGGTTATTCTTGTGGCTTCAGGCCCAAGTTACCATCGAGTCCCAGACCCTCCTCAATACTCTTGACGAGATTGTTAATGTACTTCTTTGTGACTCTGATTCTGTTCTTCATCTCCTCTGGATTGACCAGCGCAACGTTGATATAGACTCCTTCGGACAATAACTCGGTGATACCCTCAGCGTTGGCTTGTTGGTATTCAAAGAACAGTTTGCCAGGGACGTTGTCTTGAAGATAGAATCCAAACACGTAGGTATACTTGAGTATCCTTCGGCACTCTATCAACAGCTCGAGGGCTTCGTAGAGGAAGTCTGGATTGTGGTTGGTCAACTCGCGGAACTGGTTCATCTTCTTCTCGATCTCATCTTGTCTCATCTTCATGGCGTGCTTCATCAACATGTCATGGTTGAAGTATCGGTTGAAGTAGTGAAGGAATCTGTCACTCTCTTGCTTCACCTTGGCCGCACTGTCGTCCTCCTTCTTGCCATCGGACGTCTCGTACTTGTTGCAACTGTAGAAGCCTCCTGTGTGCTGTCCGTGGTTCTTCCAGTCACCGCGACACATCCAACACCACTCGCCACCACATCCACCTTGCTCCTTTCGACACACCATATGATTACAGCCTTGGATTCTCTCGGTAGGCATGCCACAGTGATAGCAGGACTTGCATGTTGACATGATCAGCTTGACACTCTCCTGATCGTTACTATTCTTGGACTTCCATTCAGTCAACTGATGACAAGAAACTGGATTATGCTTCTCACATCCACAGGAGAAACAGAACCTTGTACCACAGTTACACTCGACCACATCATTTGGACGGCCAACTCCTTGGTACTTAATTGCATTGCCACAGTTTGGATTTGGACAAAAGACCATGTGCTTGTCATTGTTAACAAAGTCCTTAATGATAAAGTACCAATATCTAGAGTGATTATGAGTTAGGTTGTGTTCAAAGTGAAGTAGTTTGATTGAATACAACATACCTATGGTAGTCTCTGTCGGATGCCAACATCTTCCAGTTCTCGAATGTTAATTTACAAGTACAACGTGGTGAGACACATGAGGAGTTGATGATCTCACTGCCATTGGCAATAAGCTCCTCATGCAAGTATGTCTTCCAGCAACCTAGGCAGTATGGACCATGTCCACAGTTAAGTGAGAAGGTCTCTGATTGTGGATATAACTCGAAACAGATCAAACATGGTTGTCCAACAAAGTCATTCACCACCTTTTTCGTTGGGATACCGGCTTTGGAACAATATCTATCTGGATCATCAAAGTAGTTACACATCACCTTATCGTCGTCCCATCTATAAATTGTTATTTGGTTGAATGATTGATTGTTGGATTAGAATATGTCAGAGGAAAACGAATAATATGTTTTTAACATACTTAAAGTATTGTAGGAGTAATATTGCAACACCAGGAGATAGGTCTATTTGGCTTGAAAGTCGTTCTGCAAGTTGGACAATCTTCTTTTCAATCTCTGGCTTCTCCATACATATGAATAATGGTCCTTCCTCGTCCTATAATTAATAAATATTAAAAGTATGTTAGGATAATCAATTACAAGTGCCACTTTTGATTGAATTGAACTTACCTCATCCTCTTCAAGGAACCAATCATTTGGATCATAGTCGGCAATATCTATGTTTGATGCCACATCACTGGCACAACTGTTGGTGTCTTCATTGCTGGTTTCAATGTTGTGGCGCAGGGCAATATGGGTGAGGAACTTGGATAGACGCTCATCGTCGTTGACTGTCAGGTCCTTGGAGCGTCTTCGCTCCATTGAAATGGAGCTCCTTCTCAAAATGGATGAGAAACTGCCTCGACGTCCTTTGTTTGGACTGGATGAGCCCGTTGGGGATTTAAGATAATGTGGATCGGGCAATCCCATTGGGCGGATAAGTGTTGAGGTGTCCACACTGTGATTTATAATGTTTGGTGCCTCTGATGCCACCTGTGCATTATGTTCGCTTTGTAGTGGCGTGTGATCATTATATGTGTATTCATCCATTATTATTTAATAAATGGGTTGGTAGGTTGCTGCTGCCAAAAGTATGTATAAGTGTACAAGGTATTTAAAGTATTTTATGTCTCCTTCGTTCTAGTCTTAGTAAGATTTAAGTTGGTAGTAGTAAGGTGTTTGTTATAAAATGACGATAAGCAATAAGGATTGGAATGTGTAAATTGACACTGCCGTCGTCGTCGTAATCCAGTATCAGTGGATATTTCGTTCTATCAATTATCACAATAAAGTAAAGTGATGTGTCAATATGAGTGTGTATATATGATTGTATGTGTATGGTTGTTATGTATCTGTGTATGAATGATTGTGTAGTGATATTTGACAAGTTGTAGAAAGTGATTCACACAATGAATGAGTCTGCTGGCATTTATCTCAATGAATAAGTTAGAGAGAGAGTAGAAGAGAGATGGATGTGGTGAATGTTGAATTGACAATGAAGACAGAGACACCTCCACTCCCCCTTCACATGATAGGTGGTGTACCATCCACACCACAACAACAATAAATATCAATTGTGTGTGGATTTAGGGGTTGTCTGGTATCCACACCACACCCACCACCAATGAGAATTATTACCTTAAATGGTAATTGTGTTGTTGGATGGTGGTGTGGGTCTAGACTAGTCCAAACTAAGAATCATCAATCAATTATTTCCTCTGTGTCTGTCTCATTGTCTCTCATTGTGTCTCTTTCTATGCTTGTGATAGGATTAATCTTGTATACCTTCATAATTCAAAACAAAACTTAGTACATACATCTCGTCATCTTCATTGCATTTGCAATCAATGAATCATTGAATGAAAGGATCATCTTCCCAAAAGAGGTCATTTAGATCTGTACAGTAATAACACTCTAGGTATCCATTAACACAATGAGAATGAATGAATATTGGTTGTTGTTGTACAAGTATTGTTATTATTAATAAATGTTAATGTTGATTGATTGATTGAGATAGAGAGAGAGGTCTCGTTCAAGATCAAAAAAAAAAACAAAGATATTTGATTGAATGAATGGTGTGCAATAATAATTAATTAATAACGAACTATTGAGGGGTCGTTTATTGCTGTATGACTCCTTGATCGTCAGGGATATATATAACTTTTTTTTTCAACTAGTTGTAGAGAGATAGATAGATAGAGTATTATATATTTATATACACTTTAAGGGAAGGAATGGTAAATAATATAGACTTACCATCATTCTCATTGGTAGAGGCAGCCAAGTATGGACAACTTAGAGAGTGTGTAGCCTATGTAGAGAAGGTGCGACTACAGAACCCATCAGCTGACTTGTCATCAGTGATAAACAATGGTGATGAGTCGGGCAACTCACCATTGCACTGGGCTTGCTATAAGGGCCACTACGACATTGTCAAGTACTTGCTGTCGATCGGGTCCAATCCCAACCTGCCCAATCACGACGAGGGCCAGACCCCCTTGCATTGGGCCTGCATTGGCGGCAACCCATACATTGTCAAGTACATGTACAACAGCGGAGGCGATCTCACCATGCAGGATGCACGCGGATACAACTCGTTGATACACGCTACTCAATACAACGAGCTCAAGATCGTTCGCTACCTGCTGGAGCGGGGCGTCCCCGTCAACTCACAGGATCTGATCGGACAGACTGCTCTGCATTGGGCCGCCTATCAGGGTCACATTCAGCTGGTCCTATTCCTTGTCAACAAGGGTGCCGAGTATGACACGATCGACACATACGGTCGTACGCCCCTTCACTGGGCTTGCTACCGAGGCAACACCGAACCAATCAAGGCACTATGCGACTTTGGTTGCAGTCTTCATCTCAAAGATAAGAATGGCGATACACCAATCGACCTGTGTAGACAACAGAACCACTTATTCCTGGCTCAATCACTATCGATATACGACTATCATCCATTCCGTAAAGCAAGACCTGTATGTAGTAGTAGTACAATGACATGAATGACATGACACAAGCATACTGACTCGCACACATACACACATTCAACAGCTTACATATAACATATGTTGGATCATTATATCTGCTGGACTGTACAACTTGTTTGGCTTTGTTCTTTACTACTTCTCGGTCATACCTGCAATCTTCCTCTTCTCCATCCTCATTGGCATATGTAAACTACTCATTGGTCCTCTGAACCTACCCTACACACCCAATCCTATCCTACCGACCTGGATGTTGTGTTCGTTCACTACCTGGGTCTTCTACTACATCAAATACATCCTACCCTGTAAGTACCCAATCTCCATTCGATTGATCATCCATTTCTAACCAATCACCACCAATCCAATAGCCCAACCAGACATGGCCTTTACACATACATTCACAATGGTCATTCTAACTCTTTACTATTACTATGTGTTCAAGCTTGCCTTCTCGGATCCAGGAACAATCTCATCATTCACTGCATCACAAGATTCAAAGGATTTCCAAGAGGCGATCGAGCATGAGCTAAAGGTACCAGATGTTTGCTCATCATGTCTCATCAACAAGCCAATTAGAGCCAGACATTGCCGAACCTGTAGGCGATGTGTGGCAAGATTCGACCATCACTGCGGCTGGATCAACAATTGTGTTGGCGCTGGCAACAATGGATCATTCATCATTCTTCTCTGTCTCTTCATGACCTCATACTCTATGAGTTTCTTCTTCAACATATTATGTATGTATTGTCTGTCGGTCATAATACCTCTCTTCCATCATACTAACGATAACAACAACTATGTAGACCTTAACAACACACCAGAGTCACCGCCAATATCAGCATTCTTCAGTTGGTTTATGTTCCACTTTACAAACAACAAGTTGCTGCTGATATACTTTATCTACGAATCATTGATTGCTGCATGGATTGGAAGACTGCTCTATATTCAAGTCACTGGTGTTATGTACAATATCACAATGTTTGAACAAATGCGTCCACTACCTGCACCAACCTCATCAGCGTCATCTTCATCACATCAGAAATGTGGCAACAATACCAAGTGTTCGAGTTCAAACAACAATGCAAGTGGAGGTGCCAGCAGTAGCAGCAGTAACAGCAGTAGCAAAGGCGATTCATACGGCGCTAACAAGAAGAATGATTTGCCAGCGGCACCAATGAGCTCAAAGGACTCTGAGAGCACGCCAATCTCACTCAAGGATGCCATTCTCATGCCTTCAAGGAACTGCGCCAACAATCCACACGACAGAGGATCCATCAAGAGGAACGTCCAAGAGTTCATCTACGAGACCAACAAATGGTACAGGAACTACAGCCACCAGACCATCGATTTCTAGTTGTTAATGTCTCTATTTCGAATAACACGACAAGCGATGATGTTAACAGTCTGTCCCTTCTTCCCTCGCAATATTGTGATAAGTCTGCATTTGATTTATTGTGGCCAACGCAGAAGCGGCAGCATTCAAAAGACAGTCTTCGATCAGTCCTTATTGAAGTGGTTATTGGTTGTGTGTAAAGATGTTGTGTTGTGCATGTTCGCCGCCTTGTTCCTGTCTGTGGAGCTGGGCTCATCACTCGATTGGAGGTAGGAGAGTGTGTGGAATGTTGGATGGATGGAGGTGGAAGGAAGGAAGGAAAGAAGGAAAGAAGGAAGTTTGAGATGGGAAAAAGGAGCTGATGATGCCTCCAGTTGGTCAGGCCTGGAGCGCGCGTGTTGTGTGTGTTGTGAGCGGCCGCGTTATTCCTCGCTGAATGCGTCGTATGGGTTGAATACCTCCTGTCCGTGCTTTGGACATGGCTTTGTCAGTGGATAGTCGGAGCACTTCTCGACGAGCTCGAGGATGCTGCTGTAGACAGCGGTCTTGCCCTGAATCTTGAATCCGACCACGCTGTTGCTACCATCCTCTATCAGCTGAATCCTGCGGTGTTGATCGTTCTTCATCGACAGTGTGAATGGACATGACTTTGGCTCTGTAGAGCTCAGACGGATCAAGAATGTACCATCCGACTCCTTCAACAGTCTAGCCGTTGCCTGTTCACGTGAGATATCTCCATGGAACCACATCCTTCCTGCCAGTTTGTTTATCTATTTGTTGGAGAGGACAAGGATGTTGTTAGCTCGCGAGAACATGCTGCCGCCAATCATCCAACTGAGACTTACATTATTGATTATTTCGACACCAAGCTGTGGCTCAAAGAATGAACCAAACCATTTCATCACCTTGTCGAATCGGTCCATTGTTACAACATGCTTGGTCTTTTGCACGGTGGCATGTGACTGCTGCACCAGCAGCTCCTTGAGCGACGAGTAGTCCAGGCCAGGCGTCTGCTGCACCGACTTTAAGGACTTCTCAAAGTCGATCCACTCCACCTCCTCCTGTAGCTCCTGCTTGGGTACCAAGAAGTGCTCCTTCCAGTACCGACGGCCGTCGTCAAACTCGATGGCGCAATCGACCAAGATCTCGTTCAGACGGAACAGGATCTCGGAGAAGCCCGGACGGCTGGGTGGCTGGTGATCCCAGCAGCTCTGAATCAGATGCTTCAAGCTGGGCAGTGTGTCGGCCGGGATTGGTGGTCGCTCCTGCTCATTGCAGACTGCGTTGTAGAATATATCGTAGTCCTTGTGATGTGAGTATGGTGCCTCCTTAGTGAGGATCTCCCAAAGAATGATGCCAAAACTGTAGACGTCTGCCTTCTCATTATAAGGGTTGCCCATCATAACCTCTGGTGCCATCCAAAGTGCTATAATTGATTGATTGAATGAGTTAGTCACACACTGATGTTAGGCCTGCTGTCAATCAATCAAACATACGTGTTCCCTTGGCAGCCTTGTCTTGGAACTCCTCGCCCTCCTTGATCTGACTGAAACCAAAATCTGTGACCTTGACACGAAGGTTGCTGTCGATCAAGAGGTTCGCTGTCTTGAGATCGTTGTGGACGATACGCGTGATTCCGTGCAACCAGTTCATTCCTAGCGCAGCGTCCTTGGCCATCTGCATCCTCCTGAACAAGCTAAACTCTTGCTTCACTCTGTCGTTGTGCAGCAGTCGCTCCAAGTCTGTCTGGCAGAGTTCGGTAACAATCTGCATCTTGCCGGCCTGTGTACAGGCACCTAAAAATAATACTACATTGGGATGGAATATCTTGCTGTGAAGCGTTAAGTGTGATTGAATGAATGAGTGTTAGTCAGTGCATGACCACGACCAGTCCACTGCTGACCATCGTCTCCGTCCGTGAGAACATACCTCATGATCTTAACTTCGTGTCTGAAACTTGTCAACTCGTGTAGATTCAGCTTCTGCTTCCTTGGTACCTTTACAGCGACCTCTTGTCCACGACAACGTCCTTGATACACCGATCCAAACGAACCTTGTCCAAGAAAATCGTTCTTCAAGTCGTACTCAATCTCCTCTGGCAAGATCTCTGGTGGTCCAGATGCCTGAATGAATGAATGAATGAATGGAGTGAGTGAATGAATGATTGAATGAGTGATTGAGTATGAATGACATTGACTTACCTTTCTCTTTGGTAGTGTATGATGATCAAACTTGGGAGATGAGTCGTGATAGTCGAGTGGAGTGTACTCTCCATTGCTCTTTCTGTGCACACGACTCGTGTCGTTGTAACCATTCTCCTTCTTGTGTCTTGGACTCTCGGGTGGCGTCTGAACATTGGGCGTTCCCTTGTTTGGTGTGACGCCAGGTGTGAATGTTGCCTTCTCTGGTTGATTGTTTGTGATTACGATTGCTGGAGGCGATGTTGAAGGTGTTGACGCATGGCTTGGAGACGTGTGATGTGAGTCATTTTGTGATTTCCTCTGTGTATGTTGTTGTTGTTGCTGTTGTTGCTGTTGCTGTGGTTGTGCATGTTGGTTCTGTTGAGCCTGCTGCTGCTGTTGTTGAGCGGCGGCAGCAGAACCACTCTTGTTATCGTTATGACTCTGCTGCTGTTGTTGCTGCTGCTGCTGTTGCTGCTGCTGTTGCTGCTGATTCCTTCTCTTGAACAAGTTGGAAAAGAATCTCCTCATTCTTGGTGGCGCTACGCAATCAATCTTTGAATGAATGAATTGATGAGGACCTGCTTGGATGGGTCTTCACAAACGTGTCAAGACAACTAAATTGTAAGTATTACTTATTACTTATTGACTTTTTTGCTAATAATGAATGAATGAATGATTATAACCCAAGTATTACTTTGAGTTATAACTAACTATTTAACAAAGGATATGAATATATGTATATGTTTGAATGATTATGATTGATATGATGGGGACTTCCAATAACCAACAAACTAGTTAGGACGTAAATGAGAGAGTGGATGATTGAGGGCAAACAAACAAAGATGGTGGGTGTTGAATGAATGAATGAATGAATGTCCGTTTGGAGGTCCAAACAAACATGTTTGTTAGCGCGAGGGTGGTGGAGGGAGGTGGTGTTGGTTGGTTTGGATCTATAATTTTTGAAAAAATGTTGTGTGAATCAGTGTCTGACTGACACTCAACGACGTGATGATGGATGAGAAGGTGTTGTGTTTGGAACCCTGGCTCTTATTCCCTGTCCTTATGTGAGGTGCCACAAGACAATCCAGAGTCTTTTAGAATGAATGAATGTATGAATGAATCATTGGATTGATCGGTCCACTCATTCTTTATCTGATCCTTTTTATCTTTGTTGTTGTTGTCTTGTTGAAGTTTGATTGATTGATTGATTGATCGATTTGATAAATGTACAAATATGATTGATATGATGAAGAGACAGGACAGAGGTATTTACTTGTTTACTGGTTTCGAATGATTGAACACCAATGATATTGAGATCTGTTTTTGATCAGAGATGTCTGACTGGTCTAGTTATAAATAAATAAATATTTGAACAAATAAATTTAGATGTATGTAATATGTATGTCGTATCGATTGGTCCTTTGACCCATGTAAACAAAGTAAACATGTTTTGATGAGGATAGATCACTTTTTTTGATCATTTTCACACCAACAAACAACACACAGCGAATCATTGAAAAGCTGATCAAGAGATACTTTTGCAAAATGGGAAGCATCCCCACCATTTCAAGGATTCTGTTCCGGGTCCCAAGAATAGATAAATATAAGACCCGGAACAGGACAGTGATTGACCATTTAAAGTACAGATAACGTGAACATGTCAGATATAACATTATCTTTGGGCAGTGTAATATTAAAATGGGATCTAATACATACATAGTTATTCATGAATTGGTTTGTTATTCTAGGACAACCACCTTAATGAATGTTAGCCTTGTGTCAACATGACATGTTACCAAATAAGGAGATCAAGATCATTTACAAGAATAACCCTACTACTTCTGTTTGGTGGACAACACTACAACAACAACAATTATTACTTATTCATACTTATACATATATTCAATAATAAATGGTAAGTAGTTGATGAGATGGTTGTTGTAATTAATTAATTATAATGTAAACTACTACAACCATTTAAAGGGGTTGCGTTGTTGTCTATATATATCATATCATATCATATCTTATCTATTTCTGGTGACAACGGTGTGTGTAAGGTTAATCAAAAGGTCACGGGGCTCAGACTGTGGCAATTGCATTAGACATTGAATGGCCTTGTTGCAATGCTCAATGGCCAGGTTGCGAGTGCGCTCAATTCCCTTGCTCTTGAAGACCATATCGCGTGCGCGCTCAACATCGCCGCTCTCTGAAAACTTCCTCTCGATCAGCGTCTCCAACTCTGGGAACTCCTGGGCGGCGAACAATACTGGTGCTGTTGCCAAACCCAGAGACAAGTCGACTGATGCCGGCTTGCCCAACTCCTCCGAAGACGATGTGAAATCCAATAAATCATCGACAATCTAAAGTTGATGAATGGATGGATTGATATTGGTCAGTCATCCTTCTGCAAGTAGGCCATCAAAACACCTGGAAAATACATACCTGGAAAGCCAAACCTAAATGCTTTCCAAAGTCTGTGGCGAGGTCTATCATGGCGCGATCAGCACCAGCTAGGACAGCTGTTGATCGACAGCTGTTTGTAATGAGTGACGCAGTCTTTAGATAAGTCTTCTTCATGTAGGCATCGAATGAGTTTCCAGCAGACTTGATCTGCATGAACTCTCCCTCAACCAAGTCGGATATGACTGTGGCCATCAACTCTGTCACTTCATGGTTCTTCAAACCTGCCAATATCACTGATGACCTGGAATGAGTGAATGAGTGAGTGAGTAACAAGGATGGATGGGATGATATGAGCCTGGAAGTACACATACCTTGCGAGCAAGAAATCTCCACAGAGAATGGCCAACTTGTTGGAGTGTGTATGATTGATTGATGGAACATCACGACGTGTGGCAGCATCATCAATGACATCATCGTGCACCAAACTCGCAGTGTGGATCATCTCGCAAATCTCTGCCAGACTGAGCTGTGTGGCGGAAGGCTGCACCTCCACGCCGGGCGTGGTGGCAGAGAGGTGGCCAAGAGCGCGTGAAAGCAGTAGGATAATGGTGGGACGAATGCGTTTGCCCTTCAGCTTGAAATAATAGGAGGAGATGCTGGCCAGCACCGGGTGCGTCTTGCGCAAAGGTCCGCTGCCGCGCTGACCGCTCCCACTGATGCCGTTGGTCACTGAGTCTATAATGCTGTTTGTCATCTGCTGCAAATCGCTCTCGATGATCTTGTACATGTTGCTGGACAGCTCGCGCTTGGCCAGACTGTTGAGGGGGTCGAGCAGGGCGATCTTTGGTGCGACTGGATCCACATTGGTCCACGAGCGAAGGTCTGCGCTGTTCTCCTCGATAATATACGACTTTCTGTTGATCTTGTCTACAAAGTGATTGATCGTGGACATGATCTTTGATTGTTGGGATGTTGACATGTTCCTGATATGTTGTTGTTTCTGTTGTTGTTGTGTGGACTGATGAGGTGACATTGGTGTGTTAGTGAGAAACTAGGGTGGGGGCCTTGATTGGGCTGGAATTATTCCAAACCACTTGGATACCTACAAATATTATATGTGAAGTTGGCTGGAATGCCTTGTTAAGGGTACTTGACGATCGCATTGCAATCGCCATCCTTGACATGTGTTGACCGGATATCATGTTTAATTGTTTGATTGGATATATATTGTTCAGGTATTTGGATGGGACGTAGGCTAGTTCTATTTGCTGCTGCTACTACTACAATGTTATAGTTGTTGCTGCTACTGCTGATGATGGTGATGCTCCCAATGATGATGACGATGTAAATCGTGACGTAAGATTGTGGGGTGCAATGTGTGAGATTGATCAGTCGTTAGCCTGGGCAACTTTAGTGATGGGGTGTGTGGTGATCTGTTCTTCGTCGTCGTTGTGTCTCGTTGTTGAGAACTCCTATTACTAATTAATCACACTGTTGTTGTTGGTTGACTAGTTTGTACACCTAATGATTGTGATCAACTGGACCTCGAGTCCTTGGAGGCACTGTCCTGCTCCCAGTCAAACACAAAACGAAACAAAACAATTAAACAAAATAAATAGGGAAAAATCTGATGTTGTGTGTGTTTCATTCAAGTGTGCCAAAGACCCGAGGCGGGGCTTGATTGAGGCTGGGGCTTCTACTGTCTTCCTTTCTTTGGTCCTGTTGGAGAACAATGTCGACATGAACATGCTATGCTGTATACATGTCATTTCCCACTTTAGGTTCCATCCAACCAAACATGAAGCGGCACGCAAGCAACACTTGACCAGGTGATGTAGACACGACGACAACGACGATCAGTTGTCCTTCTCCTTGAGTGACCACATGTGGCAGATGATAAAGAAGATCGAGAGCAGCAGGGTGAAGTGGAGCACGCGGTACAGTAGCAGGATGGCGTAGACGAGTATGAGCACGGACGCCGCGATCAGGACAGCGCGCAACAGGAACAGGTTGTTCATGTTGAGCTCGATGCGCGACAGACAGATGTGAGCGATTGCCACCAGGATGAACAGCTCGTACGAGTCAAAGATCTGCCACTCGAATGACAGATGCTTGATCCACACGATGAGGTTGGGTGTCATGATCATGCCGGCGAACAGGTACATCATGAACACGCTCTTTTGATAGCAGAACAGGTCGCGTTGTAGCCAGCTGTTGGACTTGGCCGACGACGCCGACTTCTTCTTGATGAGAAGTGTGTTGCCGCCAGCGGTGGTCTGCGCCGCACTGATCACCACTGAGGAGCTGGGCGAGACCAGCAGGAACAACAAAAAGGCGAGCAGGCCCAACACAGAGTGGAGGGCTACCACCAAGAGCGTGCCAACCAGTAGCCAGCGAGAGAACGACAATTGGAAGTTGCCAATATATAGTCGCGTGTTGTTGTTGGATGGCAATGCACGGCTAAAATATGATCGAATGGAGAATAGGAGATTGACAATGATGATTAAGAGTGTGAGCTGTGTGGAGAGGGAGAGGAGGATTGGTCAGTCAGCAAGGTATAGTTCCACAGCCACAGCCCAGATACGTACAATGCACACTGATGAGACAAAGAGGAAGGGGATGGACCAGAAGGGTGGTACCTGTTCCAGCATGAATGAATCGATGAAGGGGTCGGGGAACAGTCCTCGTTTGTCCAGTATTGATGGATTGGTATAGCCAAACATCTTGAACACTATGTACATGACAGCTGGAATCACAATAAAGAATGGAGCCAGCAACACTGATTCATCTCGCAGTGTCAATAGCAGACTTGGGAACTCATCTGTGATTGATCGTTGGTTAGTGCCTCGTTCAATCGATCAATCAATTGATTGCTTACCTTTCTTCCTCCATGAGTTCATCTGGGATGCAAACACCCAGAGGAATAGCGCGTAGGTTGTCGGGAACAATGAGAGAGAGTATGAGAACACTGTGGAACCAATGGAGCCGCGTAGGTCATAGGTGAAGCTGACCTCATAGGCGATGGATGGGTCTAGTATCGCCACGAAATGGGGATGCTCCAGGTAAACCTCCTCGAACTGTTCCTCCTCCTCCACGACGATTGCATTGTCAAAGTCGACCGACTCCATAAGTACAACCTGAAGTTTACCACGTTCATCGTTATGGGTTGCTGCCTGTGATTGAGGGACTTGGACTTGGACCTGTTGCTGCTGCTGGATATGTTGTTGATGTCTATTTACAATGTGCTTGTCACCTTCAAAGTGATTGCTAATAATATTGATATTATTAATGTGATTGAGTATGACCTTGGTCGTGCGTGATGATTGATGGAACTTGATGTTGGCCTGTGTGCAGTTGGCCACGAACTTGCCCTCCTCCATACTCCTCGGGATGTAATGATAGGTAATGGGGAGGAATACGGGATGGAGTGCTGATGCTGCAAGCGTCGGTTGGGTGGTTGGCTGGTGCTGATGCTCCGTCATCTGTGACAGCCGTACCTTGAGCGGATACTTGTTGTTGTAGAAAGGCAGGCTAAAGTTGACGACCATTGGATGCCCACCAGCGGGCAGTGTGTAGCGTCGACCATTGAACATGCCAACGGATGGCACGTCGATCAATGACTCTGTGGCATTGTAGAACTGTGCGTAGGCCACAAACTTTTGACGGCGTGATGCCTTGGGGAAGGCGATGAAGAGTGAGTGATAGTTCTTGATGTCTGTCCATGGCAGTGTGAGGTGTGCGGCCGGTGCTTCGACCTGTGAGGTCGACTTGGCCTGCGAGATGGGCGTGGGCATGGCGAATGCTCGATACGAGATGTCGACAGCCCTTTCAAACTTGGGGTCATAGAGAATGACAATGAACTCGCCCAGCGAGAGACTGGTCGTCAGAGCAAATGATGTTGTCGACTGGTCCGCACTGTTGTGTCTTGGCATGGCCCAATCAGCAATGCGGTAGTTGATATAGAACGCCTCGTTCGGGGACGAGGACGATGTGAATCGCGTTGTAGGCCCTGTCTGATAGTTGAGTGATGGTCGATGAAGCAGTGCCAGCATTGGTGCCTGTTCATATGGTATGCGCTCAACAATCTCGCCAATTGACTGCATGTCCTCCTTGGGCATTGTCTTCAACGACTCCATGTACTTTGAGTTATCGGACAACTGAGCGATGCCCAGTACTTCTGGGGCATGGCTGTGCATCACAGCCTTGAGTCGATCGAGTCTTGCCGTCGAGTCATAGGTGTTCTGCTTTGAGTTGGGATGTGCCAGCAAGAGTAGCGCTTCGACCAGTGACAGCACGACCTCATTGCACCAGAGTATGCACTGGTGGTCCGTCTCCATGAATACATCTGGCATTGATGTAGTGATTACAGAGAAGCTACGATCCGCACTAACAATACCGTCCAACGATGTCAGCTCTGACCTAATGAGCGTGTCCCTGTGACCGCCTCCAACAGACACAACGACAATTTTATCATAAACTGATTGATTGAGTGAGTCGGTAAGTTGGTGAGTGATCAGGGTGTCGAAAGGGCCGCATACTTACTTGGAGGAAGGTGTGTCAGCTCGCCCTTGTCATTGAACTCAAAGTGTCGCGGCTGTATTGATTCGCTCCAGTGACGATTGAGCTCATGGTAGAAGTGTGATGTGGACTGATGAGAGTAGATTGGAGCATTGCGATGTGATGAGTTCAATGTAATGATCGTTGTGACACTTCCATATATGTGATTGGGTAGCAGTACACTCATCCTGGCGACTATTCCACCCATACTATGTCCAATCAGTATTACCGACTGATTGAATGATTGTGAGTGATGTTAGCGTCTGAACAGTCACCAATCAATCATGAAAGAACGTCATACCGTTGGCTTGCTTGTATCTGTATTCATCTGTTGTTGCGGCTGTTGGTACAGGCCGAGGATGATCTTGATACATTCATTGACATACTCTGTTTCGTCGTACATTACATCGCCACCAAGTGCAGAGAGTTCCTCTTCAAAGTCCAACGTGAAGATATCCAACTCATTGTGAAACTCACTTGGCGAGTATATATGTTGCCTTCGTCGTTTCTTGTTGCCGCCCCCTCCGCCATTGCCACTTGGGCTGTCGCCAGCGTCAGTTGGCTGACGATTGACGATTGAGTAGGCTTCAGCGCCTATCGATCTGATCTGTTTGTAGCTGCCACTGTTGCCAGGTATGAACAGGACTGGCATGCCACGCAGTGACCTGCCCAGCCTTGAGATTGTCTGTTGAGTGGCGGCAGCGTTGCTGGCACTCGACACACTGGGTGCCTCACGATACAGATACAACTTGTAACGTGTATGATTGGTTGGCACCAAGTAATAGACCGGCTGCATATATGTCATTGAACAAGTGTTTGGATCGATATCAATAAAGATGTTCTTTATCGCAATGGCAAAGACAACAATCGTTATAACATTGAATGCCAACAAGTATATCCATTTGCCCATTGAGCAAGCATTGAATAACATCCTACTTGTATATATTATATATCTATAATAATAATAATAATAATAATATATCTACTATATTATCTTCTAACTCATCATCACATTGATGATCATTCATTCATTCAATCAATCAATCTAAAGTTGATCAAATCCACGACCACACACACACACGTTGCATTTATCCATCCTCTGATTGATTGATTGACCGACCACGTGGTGACTGACATCTAAATCATATATATATAAATATATATATATAAATATAATATATACTCATATCTTATATCTCATTATAAGGATGATATTTCCTTTGATGTACTTGATTGACCCTTTAGAGGTTGACCATGGTTCACCAAACCCAGGTTTGGTATCTCTTTGTTGTAGATTCGGAAGAGAATGGATTCTTCTCACCAATTTTCAATAAAAATGGGATGGTTTGTCCTACTTCAACTCAATTCTCACTTTTGTGAACACCATCCAACAACAATCACTATTATTCAATGTTCTCGAATTACTTGTATACGTAGAAATAATAACTAAAGTTAAATAACACATGTACACTCATATATCTTCATAATTATAATATATATACATCATCTCTCTTTTTAATTGTAAATAGTTAATATATAATTGTACATATATTTATACATATTCTCTCTATCTCTATCTATTTCTCCCCAACAACTTCAAGTATATATATAATATAATTAAAACGAACCTTCTTCCGCCATTCCTCCCCGTATCCGACGACCATACTTTACTTAAAGAGATAAAGAAAGAATGGAATCAATACAAGTGATTCTGTCTCCACATCCACAGTTGTTGTTAAGAATTATTAGCCATTTGAGCAATAATGCCGAACGTGAGAATGGCCATTACTTGCCATTCGTTGAGCAGATGAAAGCCTATCGATCAAGGTTTGAAAGCTTCAATCGTGATGTGCTCAAGTACAAAAAGACCGCCGCACTGTTGACGGAGATGGACAAGGAGTTGCAACGCATGGACAAGGACGACGTTGTCCAGCAGCAGCTCGACGCCATCGTGCAGCTCAACAAGACCCTCCAGCAGTCACTGCAGCAGCTGGAGCCAATGATGAAGACCCAGAGTGAGCAGATCAAGAATTTGACCGACTACCTTGTGCCACCCACCGAAGAGGTGTTCCGTGCTCGTGTCCTGGAGATGTTGGCCAAAGCATCTGTGGAGAAGGTACCAAAACCCTCAATGAAGACATGTGCCATTTGTCTTGAAGCTCCTGCCAACATCATGATCAAGAGGGCTTGTGGTCGTTCAACGTCCACAACAACTCCTTCAGCCTCCAGCGGCAGGAAATCAGTAGCATGCGAGAGTGCAACCTGTGCTTGTGGACCGACCATGTGCCAGGAGTGCATGATACGTCACTATTGGGTGTCATCCACCAACACTACCAAGTCATATTCAAGATGCGCCTGTTGCAGAGCAGAGTTCTGTTTGAAGGATATACACCTTATACAATTTGAGGAGGTTGCAGAGGATAACACAAAGGTCAAAGTGACAACCAAAGATAACAACAAGAGAAAGGATAGAGAGGAGGAGGAGGATGACAATCAATCACCATTGAAGAAGACTAGGAGTGAACATTCCACAACAAGGAGCACGTCTACTTCATCATCCACTTCCACATCGACATCAACAACAACGACGACGACACATCACAGTAGTAGACAGAGGAATGAACATCACAAAGTTGGAGACAATCAGTCAAATGTATATAGTATATTGAATCCAACCGATGACAATAACGAATCACTCAATAGCATATGTTCATCTCAATCAAACCATGGTCACGATAGTAGTTCACATAACAATCACCAACAACAACAACAGCAACAACACCAACCAAATCATCAAGAGCCAAATGAACATGACGAAGGCAACTGGTCACCTTTCAGACGACTGATCAATTTCCTAAGGTAGACAGACCACCATACCATCACCCACCCACCACCCGGCACCATCATCATTACGTTACCTTGTTATCCATTAGCCACCTATTATATTATGATTAAAGTTGGACACAACCGGGTCTGGTCTGTCTTGCTTGAGCAATGACATGACGCGAACTCCTAATCCGATCAATCAGGCAGCTTGTGTCTACTCCTCTCTTACTATCCAATCAGCCATGTGGGGTGATCACACACATCACCACAAGTGTTGTTCGGTCGTTTGTTCATTCATTGTGAACATGTGTGTAAGTGTGTGTGTGTTGTGGAGTGGTTGTCGTTGTCTCTGTACCTACCACTCCACATCCATCTATCGCAAACTCATTCATTATGTCTGTCAGTATGTGGAGCGGGGGTTATTATCCTTTAGTCGTGTCACGACATGACCAAATCAAGGTTAGAGATAGAGATAGTGAGATGGAACAATGAGAAATGGGGTGTTAACAAGATAGTGATAATATATATATATATACACTTTACAACATATTTGTATGTTATTGTAATAGTCACACACACATATAATATATATATTATTATTATTAATACTCATCCTTTATAATAATACAAAAACAAAGGATAGAATAGGAATAGAAGGAAGTGGAAGTAATTGATTCAACAACACTAGTGTTAATTATTTCCAAACAAGACAGAGATAGGAATCATACAGATAACAACATACAATCATACATATGTAGAGTAGTAGTAGTAATAGGTGATCCAACAGGTTAACTTGTGATGCGAGCTTATGTGTTTTGTGATAATAATTCTAAAGCTACAAATTGTTCATTCTCCCAACAACTTGAGTAAGTCTTGTACATGTTGAAGTATACCTAGGTTAAAGTATTAACATTCCTGACTTTCAATAGTCTATGGGTGGTAATACATCCACCATCCAAAGAGGAAAATGAGGAGTATAATGACCAACATACTCCAGCCTCAAGTAGCGTAGCCCAGAATTGTTCCCCAAGAGACATAGCTAAACATGATGCAGCAATGGCTACTGCATTAATTAGTTTCGACAAGAAGTAAGTTATAAATAATACTATTTGTCCAAGAATGACTCTAATATAAGTAATCATAACTAGACTTTATACATCTACACCTTCGAGTGTATCCCCAATGTCTATTTCCAAGTCAAAGAAGAAACCTCCAACATTTTCCGGATCGACTACTTCTTCATCTAGTTCAAGTTCAAGATCAAAGACTGGCTCGGGGCATTCCAGGGACTTGAGTGTACAACTTCCTCCGACTCCAACTTACCCAACAATCAATTATTCACATAGACGAGCTTCTTCGTTATCACCTCCAACACCTCCTCCACCTCCTCCCATCGCAACGCCTCAACCAACAATTAGTAAATCACAATTTGTACAACAAACATCACCTCCAGAGAAGAAGACTCATCGAAAGGCAAAGAGTCTGAATCATCATGATTCAGTCAACGACAGTCTAAATTACTTTGCTCAACAACTCCTATCCCTTGCCACGCCAAAGATCAAGTCGAGAAGGAACTCTCAAACATCGTTATCAAATTCAACATCTTCGACTTCATCTTTATCTTCTTCATCATCATCGACAACATCCATATCAAACAAAACAAAACTATCAACACCTTTACTCTCGCCATGTACACAATCAACCTCAAGTCCTGTCCATTCCAACATACACATGTCTGGTAATCCATTCGCGAATCCAAGTTCCCCAACTTCCACCCAAGATATCTATCCAGTCCCTATCGAATCTCCAACCGAGACAAACCCCAACAACAACTCACCAACAACATCATCATCAAATAAGAATGATACAACTACTCCTCCTAACAACTCGACTTCAGCATCAACATCCACATCATCCTCCAACAGTACACCAGGAATATTCAGTTGGACTTCTAAACTATTCAAAACAGTTTCCAGTTCAGCTTGTCGAACAAGTCCAACTACATCCAACACCTCATATCAGAACCTAGACAGGGAGGTAATAAATTGTTGATTGTAAACATTACATAGTTAGTATTACTGATTGTCATTGTCTTTAACTAAAGTTGAGTCTTGTCTTCAAGTAAATTTCTCAAACATCGTTTTGTCCAACTTCACACTCAATTGTCATCAATCTTGAACTTTCAATTCATTCATTTGTGTACTTACTATCACATAACAACCTGAAACAGATAATATTACATTATTTAACGACATATATACATCATATAAGATATCGACTTGATAAGCAATGAGTGGTAGAGGCGCGACAACACAAGTTGGAAAACAACAACAACAACAGAGAAACACAAACAAGAAACCAACGACATCATCACCAAAGAATACAACAACAACGACATCGACATCCACTACTACGACATCGCCAACTACTTCAGCTTTACAGGATAAGGATGCAGAGATTAGAGACTTTGAATCAAAGAAACAACAGGCTAATCTTGGTCTGGAACAATGTGAATCACTAGTAAAGAACACTCTGGGACATCTTGAGCGCGTGAAGGACATCGACCAGCATTGGGTCAATCAGGAGCATATCCAGATCATGTCCTTCTTGCCACAGGACAACACAAATGACAACAACGCCTCTGCCGATGAGGTGCTGCTCTATCTCAACTCTGACCTGTCACGTCTGCTCAAGATGCCCTACAAGCAGTTCTGGAGCCACATGCTGCTGAACAACTCGCTGCTGGACTTTCTGGAGAGCTTCCTGCGCTACGCCAGCCGGCCATACACCAGGATCAATCTGTGCGGCAACATCTCTGCCAAGCAGTTGGGCAGCCAGGACTTCCGTGACTCTAAGCACATGCTCGAGCGCAGAGTGATGGCTGTTCTGACCAAACTCTCGATGCAGCAAGAGAAGAATGGACAATATATTGGACGCGAATACTATGCCAAGAGCATATACAATCGTGGCCTGTTTGATGTGCCCAAGATGATTGACATCTGTGCTCTGTACGGCAGTCGATGTAAAGAGCAGATCAGCACCATGGTCCAAGGACTCTTTGACATTCAGCCTCACTACTATGACGACCTGAGTAAGACCCCAGCCGTCATTGCTCGCTCACTCCAAGAGCTCAACCAGACAATCGTTCAAGTCGTAAGTCATTCACTCAATCATTCAATCACTCAATCAATCACTTGTGACTGACGATCATCCCTCCCAGAACAATATCGATCTGATCAAGATTGAGGATACATCAAGTTATTTGTTGGACATTGTGTATAGTGTCAACTGCTTCCTCAAGGTCTTCCCAGCAGGCTGCCATTCATTCGAAGAGGATGAATCATTCATTCCCCTGCTGGTCTACTTTTACGAGCGTATTATACCCATCTATGAATGCGTGATTCCCTCACCGCAGCTCAAACAACAGTTGCAGCCAATTAAGTCACACATCATCTGCATCATTCACACGATCATCAAGCACTGCTACACGAACAAGATGGATCAGATTGCACAGGGTCTGAGTGAGCCTTGCACCCAGTGCAACAAGCGACAACAAAAGAATCAGAGACTGACTTACTCGGTCGTGTCCAAGGGTCTGCTTGACTTCCTCGGACGACTGACTGAGCAGAGGGACTTTGACAAGACACATCGATCCAAACAGTTTGGAACATACTTTGATACCATCACCTTTGGCTCAATCCTCAATGACTACGAAGACAAATCAGCATTGTCTAGCAAGCTCATCAGTCTCTACAGTCTGGATGACACTATGTAAGTTTGTCCACCTTACATATCTTTGGAGCGACTGACTGACTGACATGACGTACTCCCTCCACAACAGTGACAGTGTTAGATTGTCCTACTTTGTCAATATGATGGGCAAGCATTTGCCAAAGGACAAGCCACAGCCTGCCAAGCAACAACAACCAGCTGTAACAACAACCTCCAAGGCTGAGCCACAACCAACAGTCTATGACCTGTCGAATATCACACAGATTCAGGACATCTTCCCAGACTTTGGCGATAAGTTCATCTTTAGTTGTCTCAAGTTCTTCAATGACAATGTGGAGACGACCATCAACGCATTGTTTGAGCAAGACAGTCTGCCCGCCCAACTCAAATCAAAGAACAAGAAGGAGACATTCGCCAATCCATCAACACCTCCTCTCGCCACCATACCATCACCAGTCCAATCAACATCAACTACATCAACCACTTCAACATCAACTACCACCACTACATCAACATCAACGACATCAACATCAAGGACCAATGATCTTGGTGATGTATACGAGATGGCAATGGGAAAGAGGTATGTTATGTATAGTTGCCGATCACTCAGTTACCCAAGAGTCTAACGCATATGCCCATCAAACATTAGATCTGTGGAACTCCCTCTTCACATGTCCAACAGCATCAAGTCATATATTACCAACTACGACTATGAGAACATGTACGACGATGAGTACGATGACTCACTTGACGCATTCCTTGGCGTTGGTGTACAGGATGGAGAGAGCCTGAACACAGAGGAGCAGGACGAGAAGAAATCAGAGGAGAACGCGCCCCTCACCAAGAACACACCATTCGCCAAGAACGCAGCGCCATTTACATCCAAGAAGAACCCAAGCGCCAAGGCATACGCAAGCAAGAACCATCATCGCAAGGACAAGTCCTTGAAGAAGACCATGGGTGGATTCAACAATCAACCTAGTTCTGGCAATTAAAGTTCATCAAAGGGAATCGATAACATAGCTTCCCTCTGATCACTCAGTCACTTTATTGGCTAGTTCGGAAAGAGTTGATGACAACAGCTTTGACACCTCCTTGACCTTGTCTTGAGATATCACGCCAGGTTGCCATGTGATAGATGGACGCAGTCTACCATTCAGCGACACACAATTGAATGACAGTACACTGCCATATACATTGCTGCTCTGTGCAAATACTGCAGATTGTGCCTTCCATTGATCGTCTTGCTTCTGGACCAAGTTCCACTTGCCAAGGTCGCTCAACTCGATGCTTCCACTTCTTCCCATTGGTAGCTTGTGCTCCCTGCTCCACCAAAAGTCATCCCACTTGGCAGGATTCTCGCCTACATACTTGAGCATGTTTACCATCTTGACGTCGTTGATTGAGTTGCCAGCCAGCTGAGTCTTGTACTCTCTGCATTGTTGCCAAAACTTCTCTTTGAGGCTTGTCAATGGCATCTGCCACACCTTGTCAAAGGCCGCCACAAAGTTGCCCACCTCCTCGATGGACACTGGTGGCTCACAGTACTTGCGCGCACTGATTGGTGTACATGTCTTGATTGCAGTTGTTGAGGCATCACCGCCGAGTGTCTCCAGAAGTGAAGCTACTGCAGCCACACACAATGCAGCGTGTATAGTCGTGTCCTCTTTCTTGCATGCAACGTTCAATCGTTCCACAAGATCATCTTCAAGTTGCACCAACTCCACCAAAGTCTGATGATGTGCTCTTACGGCATGTGTCTCGCCTGCCCAATACGTAGTATCAGTCCATCTCTTGATGAACGATGGTAGCAATAACTCCTTGAACAACACCGGCACCAAGTCTGTAATAGTAGGATGATGAGGTGTTCTCTTATCGAATGGAGGTTGAAGTGGTGGTACACTTGTTGGTGCAATGATAGTCGATGTCGATGTTGATGATGTTGATGATGAGGAAGTATCATTGATACACCTCAACAAGTGAGTCCAAAGTATTGATGTACTGACACCATCTGAGATGAGATGATGTACCGACCAGATGATAACGAGCTCATTCGGTCGCCTGTCATCTACAAGTACATGAAGGTTCCATAGGGGCACTGACTGATCTCTTAGGTCAAAGTCACTGCTGACCTCATTGGCAAGATGTAGTTGCAAAGCATCTTGATCACCAAAGTCAACATTGTGAGTGACCTTGAGCACTTGCAACAGGTCGAAAGAGCTGATGTTTGAGAAGCTTGGTTTGTTGCTGGCAATGTCCGAGACGACCAATGTCATTGATGGAATCTCTTGGCATAGCTCAGTGATGGCAGGTTGAAGTATAGCCACTAGATACTCTTGATTGATTGTCTGGCCAGGTGATAGTGGAGTCTGAATTGTCAACTGACAAAGTAGACAAAGTTTACCATAGACATCTGCAGTTTGTTTGGAGAGTTGGTATCTCTCCATGAAGCCCATATCCCTGCTTGGATACAAGGTATTATTACTAATATTATTAATACTCATTATCTGTATCTTTGAAGGGGTTTGAAAGAATGACTCCAAGATGGTCATGTCGGCAAAGATATCTTTTGAAAAAGTGGTTACAACTTCCAACTCATTTGCAACATTGTGGCGCCACAAGATATTCAAAGGTCTGGACATATCTTGAAGGGCCTAGAAATGGAACTGTCAGGATACAATGAATTCACCCACAACAGCCAAGATGAGATAGTCTAGATCTCGAGACATTGATGGGAGATGTGGATGCATTTCGTTTCATATTTATTGCTTTAGTGCCTTAGATAAAACCTTGCCATGTTGAGATTAGTTTCCTTTCCCATTGATATTCCAATGGTTGCAAGATATTGGTGTAACTTATCCTTACCAAGCCTAGACATCTGGATTATCGTCTTTCCTTTTAGACTTTCCTTGAGTTTAGCTGTGACAATTGCTGGATTGAAATTCAAAAATGATATGCATCCGCCAGCATCGGTAAATAGAGCCGTATTATCGTCGTACAGCCGTACGATGTCCTTAAAGGCCGGCATCTTGACCTTGCCACAACTTGGAAGACGACGACTTTAAGGAATTGCAGAGTTATTGTCGGAATCAACTTGAGCAAAGTCAAGAGAGAGCTTGGCAAACCCTCACTCATTTTGTCTAGGTGTTTTGCTTGATTGATTCGGATTGTGAGGTTGATATTTACAAGGGAGTCATGGTTTACCAAACATTGAATCAGATCCAGAAGAGCAAGATTTTGAGGGACTGGTGTGATGGGCAACTGTGAGCTCTTTAAGACAACTTAGCAGTTAGGAAGAAAATGGAAATTACTTTTGGAGAATGAGAAATGAGGGGAAAGAATTGACAGTGATGTAACCGATGGGATGAATTCGCTTGAGAGATATTGATTGAAGTCATAACCAAAAGTCAATCGCTCTACAGAGTGCGGAATATGACCAACCTGAATTGGTTGGTTAAACTTTACCAATTTTAGATGTCCTACTGGCGACGGTATGTGTCCAACTTGAAGAGGTTGATTGAACTGTGTCAATGATAGATGTGTCTCTGATTGTGGTATGTCTCCAACTTGAAGTGGTCGATTGAAATTGATTAATGATAGCTGTGTCAAGGGTATATTTCCATCATGTATAGGTTTAGAGAGGTCTGATATGTCTGACCATGTGGCTGATGATGGAATTTCAAGTCCAATCCACTATTGGCGCCAACTGTGTGCCTGAACGTTGGGTAGCAGATGGCTCACCTCGCCAAAGATGTGTCCGACGAGATCATTGGAGGGTTCATATTGGCGTTGCTGTTCGTCCCTTGATAATTGTCCATTCATTGAAGGTCAGGTGAATAGTTATTGACCTACTCACTTTCTGCAACGATTCTGGTAGGAAGTTGGTAGTGTTGTCAACATCCATGTCTTTGAGTGAGCGGGAGAGAGAATACTTGTAAGGTAATATTATTGTCAACAGATTCATACTTTGGATCTTTTATTGATTGTTGTTGTTGACCCTACCTACTTACACCTAACCACCTCACATTGAGGTTGATAGGCGTAGTGGATAGGGTTGTGTAATAAGGTAATGAGTGAGTGAGGTATGGGGAAGAGGGGAAGGTCAGGGGTCATCATTGGTAGTAGTAGTAGTTGTTTGTGCGTGTGTATTATATAAAGCAACGATGATGATATTGATGACGATGATGATGAACCATTGCATTGAACCAAAGGTGCAGCAGGCAGATGCACTTAACGAAGGAAGAGGATCTCAGATTWACTTGGGAATTGGCCAGATGGTGTCGTCGATGACACACTCCAAACCGTCGCAAACCTTGCGGACATCCTTCATGACGGGGATGACGCTGGAGCTCAAAGAGAAGGCGTGCTCCTTCTCGTTGTGTGACTTGGATGCCTTGACGGCGGCCATCAGACGGGCGTTCAGCTCGACCAGCGAGTTGATGTTGTTGACCAGGTCGGCAAGCATGTTGATCTGGTGGGTTGGCAGTGGCAGGTTCTTCTGGCTTTGGACGAATGGCATGACGGCGTTGAGCGACTCGGCAACGTTTCTCTGATGCTTGATGGCGGCGGGCAGCACGATGGTCTGAACCATGTCGTACAGGGACTTGGCCTCGATGGTGATGTTCTTGACGTAGATCTCGTAGAGGATGTGCTGACGTGATTGCAACTCAACCTGGGACAGGATTTGGAATGACTCGAACAACTTGATGTTCTTCTCCGAGTTGAGGCTGGCGAGGGCCTCTGGGGTGGAGGGCAGGTTGGCGAGGCCGCGCTTGGCGGCAATGTCGCGCCACTCCTGGCCGTAGCCGTCACCGTTGAAGATGACTCTGTTGTGCTTGGACAGGATGTCCTTGATGACGTGGTTGAACGCCTTGTTTGGTGTGCTGTGGTTGGACAGCTCACGCTCGATCTCAGTGCGGATGAAGCGCAGGGACTCAGAGACGATGGTGTTCAAGATGATGCATGGGAAGGCGACGGCCTGGCTGGAGCCGACCGCACGGAACTCAAACTTGTTACCAGTGAAGGCGAATGGTGAGGTACGGTTGCGGTCGGTGGAGTCACGTGGCAGGGGTGGGAAGGCGCCCACACCGAGCTTGATGTTCTCGCCACCCTCGTAGGCGGCGTCGTTGGTGGTCGAGTTGATGATGTCCTGGACGACGCGGTCGAGCTCGGCGCCGAGGTAGATGGAGATAATGGCGGGTGGGGCCTCGTTGGCGCCCAGACGGTGCTCGTTACCAGTATTGGCGACGGAGGCACGCAAGAGGTCGGCGTGGATGTCGACGGCGCGGATGATGGCGGTCAAGAAGCAAATGAAACGGGCGTTCTGGGCTGGGGTCGTACCTGGGTCGAGCAAGTTGGAGCCAGTGTTGGTGGCGAGCGAGTAGTTGTTGTGCTTGCCGCTTCCGTTGACACCCTCGAATGGCTTCTCGTGCAACAGACAGACGAGTCCGTGGCGGATGGCGGTGGCCTTGAGCACGTCCATCAACACCATGTTGTGGTCACTGGCGACGTTGGCGCGCTCAAAGATTGGGGCAACCTCGTACTGGCCTGGAGCGACCTCATTGTGACGGGTCTTCAATGGCATACCAAGTCTCCACATCTGCCACTCGACGTCCTGGATACAGGCGACGATTCTAGAGTTCATAGTACCAAAGTAATGGTCCTCGAGCTCCTGTCCCTTTGGTGGCTTAGCTCCCAACAAGGTTCTGCCACATTGAATCAAATCTGGTCTGGCGAGGTAGAATTGTCTGTCGATCAAGAAGAACTCCTACATTAGTTGGTTGATTGATTGAGTGTTTGTTAGTCATCTGATTGATCCTGTTGTCTGTGTGTCGGGTGGGGTGGGTGGAATAGTTCCGCTCACACATCACACTCGCTCGCTCATTGTCAACATACTTGCTCAATACCCAAGGTTGGGTAGACAGTCTTGTAGTTCTCCTTGAAGATTGCGGAGAGAACCTTGACGGACTCCTCAGAGACACGCTCCATGGAACGGAGAAGTGGTGTCTTTTGGTCGAGAGCCTCACCGGTCCACGAACAGAAGGCGGTGGGGATGCACAGTGTGGAGCCATTCTCGTCCTTGCGGATGAAGGCTGGCGAGGTGGCGTCCCAGACGGTGTAACCACGGGCCTCCCAGGTGGAACGCAGACCACCCGAGGGGAAGGAAGAGGCATCGGGCTCACCCTTGATCAGCTGCATGCCTGAGAACTCGAGCAAGAGACGCTCGTCGCCTGGGAAGATGGAGGCGAACGAGTCGTGCTTCTCGGCGACCAGACCGTTGAGTGGCTGGAACCAATGAGTGTAGTGAGTGGCGCCACGCTTGATGGCCCACTCCTTCATTCCGTTGGCAACCATGTCGGCGATGGCTGGGTCGAGTGGCTGGCCAGAGGCAATGACCTCACGGATCTTCTTGTAGCAATGCGATGGCAGGGTCTCACGCATGGCGTTGAGGCCATAAGTGTCCGAGTCATAGATCTCTGTCAGGTCCTCAGCGGTGTTCAGCTTCTGGCACTCTGCCGCCACTGGCACTCTTCGGTCGATGGACTCGATGATCTTAGCTCTACGTGTGTTGGCAAAAGACATCTTTTATCTGTGTAATAATATGATATTTGTTTATAATACTAATTAGTATGATACTAATGATACTAATATTGATTGATTGAATGAATGATTGAATGAATGAACGAACAACACAAAGAGTGATCATCAAATTAAATGGGACTGTGGTGATCACACCCTCGTTCGCTCTCGTCGCTTGATTCACACACTCACTCACTCAAACATACCCATAATCACAACAAGTGTGATCATGATATGATGATCTTCATTCGTTTGGTCAGTTAGGTCAGATCATGTGACCGGTCCACTTTTTGATTGATAGAATGAATGATTGATTGAATGAATGAATGAATGTTTGACTGAAGTTTGGCTTTACTGAATGAACCATTGTTTGAATGAATGAATGATTAAGATACATACGTGAATGTGTATATAAATATAAATATAAGTAGATAAAGTATGAATGGATTCGTTTAGTGAATGAATGTTACAATCTACTCTACAACGTACATAAACCAAAGTGCACTCTCTGTGTGTCGTTCATTCATTCATTCATAGCATAGTGTGTGAGTGTGGGGGGATATCAAAGGTCCTCGTTCGGTCGGGATGAACCTCCCACATCCACCTGACCCCGTCACAAGTGCGATCCTTGCATCACCCGAGTCCCTATCACTTTCTCCATCACCTGACTTAGTTAACACTTTCGAAAATAAATATAATATAATTTTTTAAAAAATCAATTAATAATTTGATGGTCCCAACAACCGAATGAATCATCCTTGTTGAGGTCGGTGGTCCATTGACACTGTACGTGTCGTTCAACGGTATCGGGGGTCACCTAACGAGACAGCACTATCCTAAATAGTATTACTCAAGCGTGTCATTACACATGCCTGGCTGCATGCCACCGGCTATCAACATGTCTTCCGATTCTCCGCGAATGTCCCATTGATTACCATTGATTGCCATTGCATGGTTAGACATCGTCGTGGCGTCGCCAATGTGTACCACTACACTATAGTCTTGGTCAATGAATGATTGATTGATGCGTAACCTGTTTATTTGTTCGAACTGAATGACTGAATGATGGATGTATATATATACTACTACGCGCTTGATTATAATAATACTACCTCTCTCTATTACTTATATCAATTTCTTGTTGTTATCATCCTTGTACTTCCTCCAGAAGATGAAGCCAAAGACAAAGATGGCTTGGACAAAGAGGAAGTAGGACCAGAAGCCAAATGTAGTCTGTCGTTCAATGGTGGATGCTATCTCGTTGGCATTCACCTGCAGTGTCGATGAGATCTTTTGAGTGTCGCGCGACGTCAACTCCACCATACCCTTCAGTCCATTGACATTCTGTGTCAGCTGCTGCAAGGTCTTGGAGATGTCCTGGTCATTGTTATTGATCCTCTGATTCACTGCTGCCTTCATATCACTGATGAGCATCCTGTTCGTGAGTGATGGATAGGTGGGTGGGTGGATGGTTAGTCATTGGCCGGATGATCGCGAGAGCCACGTGGACACGTACTTTAGGTCGGCGAGCTCCTTGTGATATTGTTGCTGCTTCTGCTCACTTGATGAACGGAAGGAGTCAAAGTCCTTCTTGGTGACGACGTTGGTTGCGAGCAGGGTGACGGCTTGGCCGACGTTGTGGACTTGCTCTCTGACCTTCTCGACGGTGTTCTTGGTCTCGGACTCGTCCACTGTGCTGTGAAGAGTGTGTACCATCTCCTTGAGGATGTCCACCTTCTTGATCAACGATGGCACCTGCTCTTCGACTGGAATGTTCTCACGCTGAGTCTGCTGATATTGTTGTGCCTGTTGTTGGACCTGTTGTTGAGCCTGTTGTTGGGCTTGTTGGGCCTGTTGAGCTTGTTGTTGGAACTGCTGTTGTTGTTGCTGTTGCTGCTGTGGTGGCACCTGTTGTTGTTGCTGCTGCTGCTGCTGTTGTTGTTGCTGTTGCTGCTGTTCTTGTTGCAATTGTTGTTGCTTCAACTCAAACTCCCTCTGTTGCTCTCTCTCCCTCTGCTGCTGACGTTGCTTCTCGTAACGACGATAGTTGTTCTGGACATCAAGTGATTGAGTGGTGAGAGAGTAGATGTCGTGGTTGTCTGTGTGTCGAGTGGCGCGATGGTTAGCGAGTGAATGAGGTGGGATGAATGATTCGATGACATACCATGCAGTCCACCAGTGGCGGCAGTGACACCAAAGCGATAGTTCTCTGGCAATTGGATTCTGATCTCCTTGACACACTCGTCGAATTGACCAGAGGCGGTAGTGTCCAACGAGACAGAGATCATTCCATTGTTGTATCTAATCTTGGCTTTAGTATTCTTTGATGGATTCCTAATCTTGCTTGTACAGCCTCCCAATCTCAAGTTGACTCCATCCTTGCTTGTGTCAAAGAATTGGTTGCCATCATTGTACACTACACTGATCAAAGGATTGTCTCCCTACAACATTCATTCACGTGATTGATTGATTAGGTGAGTAGGTGAGTGAGGGTATGATTGATTGTGATCATGATAAAACATACATTTCCATCATTGTCGAATGTGTCAAAGAAGACACCGAGTCCTTTCCAGATTGACTTGAAGCCAAAGACGTTGGTGTCGTGGTTGTCGGGGTTGTGGTTGAGGTCGACGTACCAGAAGGCAATGCCATCGGCACCAATTCGTCCAGTGCCACTGATGCGGAACTCCATGGTCACCTCCCAGTTGGTGAGGTCGACAATCTCGGTGTTCCACAGATTGCCGTAGGATGACTTGACGTCACCTGTCAGTCTGATGTACTCCTCACTGATGAGTGTATCGCCCTTGATCTCCCAATATGGTATACCAGATGCTGTTGCAATAAATGGTGCACGGAATGAGTGTTTGTCCACTGGTCTCTGTCTAGAGTCGCCATCCGGATAAGCATTGATTGCTGCCACCAACGTCATCGCAACGATGGATACCAACATCAACCTTGATACTAATGATGTTCGCATTATTGATTGATTGATTGATTAATTGTTTGTTTCAATACTACTAGTTGTCTATCTAAGTTTCACACAATAACTAATAACTGTCGAGATGTCACTTCATGCATTCATTCATTCAATCATTCAAGACCTGCTGAGTCACCCACACTAACTCAGACCAAACATCCAATCAACACCAACTAACTAATGAAAGGTTGTTTTGAATTGACACCACACTGGAGATGAATGAAGAAAATTGAAGTTGTGTTGACTTGGACATTAACAATGAAGTTCATTTCAACTTTGATCATTATGGTTTTTGGACCAATAATCTAAATAATCTTGGTTCTGCAACGAGAGTCGAGTTCCGTGTTCCAAACGAAACGTCAAAAATGTTAAGGTTATACTGTGTTCCATCAATCTGAACACTGATTACATGTGAATTCAAAGTTCTATAAACAAATATATTTGTATTTATATCCCCATTTACAAACATTAATGTTTGTTTGATGTGTTGGAACGTGAATCGGAACACATTAATTATTATCTTCTCGTGGCTCACACTTTGAGTTCGTGAACATCCATCCAAATTAAATTGTTGTCCCCCGACACTCCCACCTCAACCAACACTCAACCAAAGTGTTCAATCTAATCTCATTCATTCATATATTTCAATCATATCATATATATATACATATAATATATATATATAATAGTAATCATGACACATGGAACATTAACAATCGTTGTACTTGGTGCATCTGGTGATCTTGCCAAGAAGAAGACTTATCCAGCAATATTTGGATTGTACTGCAGGAATCTATTGCCAAAGGAGACAATCATCTATGGTTATGCTCGTTCTCATATCCCACTCGATGAGTTTAGAAAGAAGATCACTTCAAAGTATGTCTCGCTCGAATCATGTGATTGATTGATTGATTGAGTGCACATGGATTTGAACAACTCGCTGACGATCAATGCCCCTCCATTCATGAAGCTTGAAGGGAGATGCCAAGATGAAGGAGGAGTTTGGTTTGCTGCTCTACTATCACAGTGGTGCATACGATCAACAGGAAGCATATGACAAGTTCAATGTCATGTTGGATGAGTCAGAGGCAAAGTTCACAAACAAGAACCACAACAGACTCTTCTACATGGCCATCCCTCCATCAATCTTTGTCGAGGTTGCCAAGGGTATCAAGTCATCCTTGATCTCCAAGGTATGGATTAGATTGCTCGATCGTCCAATCAATCACCCGCACTCACTCATTCAATCAATCATACATATAGTCTGGCTGGAGCAGAGTTATCGTTGAGAAGCCTTTTGGAAGAGACTTGACTACTTCAAGACACTTGATCGCGGAGCTCAAGCTGTTGTACCAGGAGAAGGATCTCTATCGTATTGATCATTATCTCGGAAAGGAGATGGTGCAGAACTTGATGATATTGCGTTTCGCCAACGCCGTCTTTGAGCCACTGTGGTCAAAGTCGCACATTCAATCGATCTCCATCACGTTCAAGGAGGACATTGGCACTGAGGGCCGTGGTGGCTACTTTGACAGCTTTGGAATCATCAGAGACGTCATGCAGAACCATTTGATGCAGGTGTTCTCCTTGGTAGCCATGGAGCCACCCGTGTCCTTGACCGCTGAGGACATCACCAACGAGAAGGTTAAGCTTCTGCGCTGTGTCCAGAGACCACTGTTGGAGAACCTCGTGCTCGGACAATTCACCAAGAGTGCCGATGGCAAGCATCCAGGCTACCTTGATGACGAGGGAGTTCCAAAGGACTCGCTCACCCCAACGTTCGCCTCACAGGTGTTCTACGTCAACAACCCAAGATGGAGAGGAATTCCATTCATCTTGAAGTGTGGCAAGGCTTTGGACCAGAGAAAGACCGAGGTCAGAATCCAGTTCAAGCGTCCAGACAACTTCCTCTTCAGTGACCAAGACTGTTCCAGGAACGAGTTGGTCATGAGAATCCAGCCCGGTGAGGCTGTCTACCTGAAGTTGTTGACCAAGAAGCCAGGTTTGAACAATGTAAGTACCCTCATCCTTGTTCGTTGTCTGTCTTGAAGCCCTCGACACTAACATGTCTCTCAACCTACCCTTCCTAGGAAATCCAACAAGCAGAGTTGGACCTGTCTTACAGCCAGAGATACGAGGATCTTGACTTGCCAGATGCTTATGAGCGTTTGATTTTGGACTGTATCAAGGGTGATCACAACCTGTTCGTTAGAGATGATGAGCTTGATGTCGCTTGGCAAATCTTCACTCCTCTGCTCGAGGCAATTGAGCAAAATAAGATGGTACCAGAGGTATGTATAGACCTTGTAGCATTCGTAGGATAGTCATACCGTAAGCTAACATCCTGTCCATTCCTATTCCTTAGAAATACGCCTTTGGCTCAAGAGGACCAACGTCTGCTGATGAGTTGTCCAGAAAGGTCGGCTATTCCAGATCATCTGGATACGTGTGGAGACAATCAAAGATCTAAGCAACTGGCTAGCCTTGCCTCTTGCATCCTCGTCCTACTCCTGACGCCAACCAACCCTGCCTGCCACCAATTTGTCACCTGCTCTCCTGTTCCAATCATACAAGAGACAGTCCCATAGCTCCTGCTTATCCATTATCACATCACCTCGCTCACTCTACTTCCACCTTGATACATATACATTAACAAACAATAACAAACACTTCAATGTTGGAACTATAATACTACTAACCTAGTTGGCCTTGCCTGCATAGCGCTTGCACTCTGAGTTCATGCATAGATGCGCGAGGACATGGCAACTGGTTACTTTACTTTACTTTACTTTCTTGGGTCTTCCACGCTTCGCCTTTCTTCCACGCTTGACAATCTTGGATTGAGCAACGATGAGCACGGGCTTCTGTCTGTCCTCTCGATGCTTCATGACGACTCGAGACTTACAGCGCCACATGCACCAGACTGGGTCAAAGTACATGTCACGCACGCGATGTTCCTCCTCTTCGTTGCGCAGAGCTATCTTCTCGTCCTTGCTCAACATGCCAATGTTTGATACGACAACATCATCGCTGTTGTTCTCGCTATTGTTCACTCCATCGACAATGTCGGATTCTTCCTCGCAGCTCACTCCATCGTAGTAGTAGTAGAAGTGCTCCTGTCGCTGTGGATCAAAGTGTAGCACGGGACGGCCCTGATGGCACTCCTCGCACATCCATGGCTGCTTGGTGTCGACTGGCAGACCCAGACAGTGTAGATGGAATGCTCTCAGACACGATCCTTCACAGAGCAGCAGTGGCACTGGCGTGTTCTCGTCGGCCTGAGGCGAGCCGTCTCCAGGTGGGTGGGGTCTCATGTATGGCACGGGCAACTTGCCACAGAGATCGCATATATCTTTGATCAGCTCGGCTTGGAGCTGTGCTTCGGCCTCAGCCTCGACCAGAGCCTTCTTGAACTGATCGTCGTAGAGTTTGTCCAACTCCTCTGCCAGCTCATAGATCTCGCTCTCCTCTTCGTTGTAGGTCATCGCATTCTTGAACACCAACTTGATGTCTCCGTGCACATTGATGTAGTTGACGAGCTGGGTCTTGCCCGCTGCATCCAGAGTCTTGTCGATTGTGCCAAGATCGCGCGGCTGCTTGATGATGTCGTTGTAGTCCTCGAGGCCAAGCTTGACGGCGTCGACGGGCTCGCGGAATGGCTTTGAGCGCGGGTCCTTCATCAAGATGGCCATGATCTCTTTGAGCTTCTCAATGACAATGTTGTTGACCTCGACTGCAGTTGGGTCGCGCTTTGGACGCGGGAGTGTGCGCATACCGCCACTGTACATCATCATGTGTGGCGCCATTGTCATCTTTTGAGTGACCTTGTTGGGCATTTGAATCTGTTGCTGCAGTTGCTGCTGCTGTTGAGAGAGCTGTACGATCTGTTGCTGAGCCTGCATCAACTGCTGTTGTTGAATCTGCTGCTGAATCTGTTGTTGCATTTGTTGTTGGAACATAATCTGTTGTTGATGTTGTAGTTGAATCGAAGGCATTGATGAAGGTGCATGGACGAGCAGTGGCAATGGCTGCTGTTGATGCTGATGTTGATGTTGTTGGTGCTGTTGATGCTGGTGCTGTTGATGTTGATGTTGATGTTGATGTGACTTGATCACTGGTGATGGGCTTGGTTGTGATACTCCTGTAATGATTATGATGATGTTAGTTGTTGTTCCTCACTCTCTAGTCTAATGTTCAAACATACTCTTTGGAGTTGGAGGAGCACTGTCTGGATCACTGGTCGATGCTTGATGGTTCGTTGCTGAGAGGATATGTGACATTGAGGTTGAGCCTTGGTTCATGCGAATGCGCTTCGACTCTTGTTGCTGACGGATGTAGCACTTCTTGCACTTGGAGGCGCGATTGTAGAACTCTGTCTGTGGCAGTACGGGACTGGTTGCCCACCACTTCTCATGCATGAGATGCTGACACACTTGATAGGGGATGCCCTGCTGCTCCATCTCCTGCTGCGACATCTGTGGCTGTGGCGGAGCGTTGGTCACGGAGGATGCGCGTGTCTTGCGATCGGGGTTGGTCATTGATCGCAAGGTGGGGGTCATTGGTTGTTGCTGCGGCTGCTGCTGCATCATCTGCTGTGTGTGTGCCATCACGGCAGCCATCGGGTTGACGGCCATTGGGTTGACAGTCATAGGCATCGACATGGGATAGTTGAGTGACATTGCGGGCATGCCCATGCCGGCCTGCAGAGGCGTCATGGGTAGCGGCGTCATTGACATTGGAGTCATCGGAGTCATGGGCGTCATGGGAGTCATTGGCATCATGCGCTGCATGCCAGGTGTGTGAGGTGTACCCGGATGAAAGCCCTGCTGTATCTGCTTGCCTCTGGCATGAAATGCAGGGTCGACCTGATGACCATCATGCTCATGTCTGGCTACATGTCTTGAGAAGTTTGCTGTGAATCGCTTGCCACAACCCATAAAGAAGCAAGAGTAGGAGCCATCCTCATTCTTTGCAAATAGATGTACTCCATACCTCTCCTTTTGTTCCTGCATTAAGTGAGTGTGTATTTTTGGTTTCTTTGTTTGTTTATATATATATATTTATATATTTAGTTATATAAATATATATATATCAGTCTATATATGAATATATATATTATATGTTATATGTAAATATGATTAAAGTATGTGTATTATATTATCTGTATGCAACAAATAAATGTACACGTCTTTATGAATAAGTGAATGACTGTTGAAGTTTGAAATGAAGACGTTGTTTGAGCACCCCACTTGTCAATTTTTGAATTCAAACTTCGACCCAAAACCCTTACCCTCGCCCTCGCCCTTGCCCTTGCCCTCATTGTTCTTGATGTGATAAATGTCATTCATTTATTGATAAATATATATATATAATAATTAATTATGATGAGTAGATATGCATTTTGTTTGATTCTCTATTCTTTCTTCTTGATCTCTTTACCTTGAGTACTACCAATACAATTACTGTGATGATCAGTGCAAGTATGACTGCAGCCACTACAACTATAATAATTATTGCTGTTGTTAGACCTTTGAGGAAATTATCATTCTCATTAGGTTCATGTCCATTCTGTTCATTACATCGATATTGATCACGATTATTAACTCCATCATTACTGGTCAACAATGAGAATGATGGACTTATACTACATTGTTGACATTGTGGAATGTTGATACCAATGAGTGTCATTGCTGATGATGAACTGATCAGCTCATTCCTGGTTGATGTTGGCATTCCATTTGATTGACCAAGTGTTGGAAGTGTTGCGAATATTTGATCATAATCAGTATCACTAAAGTATTCCATATTATCAATTGAGTTCCAACCAAAGTGGAACATTCTTCCACAATGTGGACCACTCTGAACAGTCTCTGTTGATCCATTCTTGAAGAGAACAATTCTCAAAGTGTTCATGTTAGATTGATATGACCATCCTTGGATTGAAACATTCATAACTACATCAGTTGTGATCATGTTTGATCTGTTGCTCATTGCAAAGTATTGATCTTGGATTTGAAGATCCTGGACCAAGACAGTGATATTCAAACTTGGTTGAGTATCCAACTTTGCCAAAGTATATAATCTTGATGTAATATTCTTGGTTTGATCAAATGTTGGTTGTTGCTGGGATAATGTCCAAAAAGTAGTCTGAACATATTTGACAACATTATGATTGATATCCAGTTCTTGAATGGCATAGATGTCAATCTCACTTGTTTGTGCTCTATATCTATTTGACATTATAGTAACTTTTGGACCATTATTATCATGTTGATATGCTCCATATGCAATTTGAAGTTCACAGTATTGACCACCCGATGACCTCTCGCATTGACATCTTCCATCAAAACATCGTCCATTACCAGAACAAACAATACCATCCTTTTCTCCACAATTATTCTTTAATTGTGAGGAATCTAAATCATAATTTAATATTAGTAATTTGATTGAATGATTGAATGATTGAATGATTGATGAGGATACTTACAAATGGCCAAAGTATTGTTTGAAAAGTAGATGTTGGAGTCAATGGTAATGTTGAGTTTGGCATAACCTTTGGTGAGATTGGTGATTGAACATGTGAGCAATGTAGAGTTGATGGATGTTATTTTACAATCTTTATCATTGATTGTAACATGTTGTTGACTTGCTGATGATGGTGATGGTCCAAAGTATCCATGGAATGATATTACACCTCCATCATTAGTGATCGGAGTAATAGATGATACAATTGGATAACTGGAATTATTAGTATTAGTGGACATTGCCACATTAATACCAATAATGAATAGAATTGATATTAAAGTAAGGTAGTAGGTCATAATTAATTATTAGATAGATAGATATTTAGTTTGCTTTGATTAAGTAATTGTTATTATTGTTGTGATGACTTATAATAATTTAAATTGGAATCTATTTATACATTCTGATTCCCGAGTGGAGTAAATGAGTGTGACGAGGGGGTTGAGGGGGTAGTGATGACCCTTCGCTTGGGTCGCTTGAGATGTTGAGATTGATGTGGTGTGGTGGGTTCTATTACCAATCGATGAGGTATCCTGGACATCACAATGGTTGTCCAAACAACCAATATTTACCCGTAACTACCATTCCTAGCAACAACAAACTAATATGTATCTCTCTCTCTTTAATTCATTTCAACACAAACAAAAAGAATCGAAAGTGTACAACCTCTTCATTTCAAATTCAAGAGTTGGCGCCATTTAATGAACAACAACACTTAAGTTCGAATTGTCTTGCCAAAGTAATAATAGTTGTATTTGAACATACCTATAATATATATTAGACAGACAATATAATGAATATAATAATCAACAATCATAACAATAGTAATGGAAACGCACCATCATATACTATATTAGAGTTTCAAGGTTGCTTTGAGGATACCAATCCTTCAAAGCTAGCCAATGAAACATTGGGTGATCTGACACTCAAGGGCAAGGTACATATGAATGAATGGGTGGATCATGTATCCGAGTGATCACTCGTTCAGTGACTAACTAACTCAATCAATCATTCTAAAGGATACATACCAACTTGTTATTGGCAATCAAGTATTTGAGGGTAAAGAGACAAAGTTAAAGAAGCCATTATTGATCATACAGCAACAACAACAACAGCAGAAACAAGATATTAGTGATAATGATAATGGTGATGATAGTAATATGCAAGATGATACAATAACAACGACATCAACAATAATAGCACCAACAAAAGAAGTAGAGTATCAAGTTAAAGCAACAGTTTATAGTAAGATATGTTTCACATCGAGGCCTGCCACAACAATACCTCAACAATCAGTAAAGTATGGATCACCTCAACAAAGGCGATCTCCATCTTCATCACCTCAGACTACACCCGACAAGACATCATCATCCGCACCTGCTAGTGTCGATCAGTCATCATCAACAGACAACAACAATGACACACCTATACCTCAACCAAAGTTTACATAAAGGCGACCGAGCCAAGAGAATGTATATAATTATAAGTTACTTTTTAGTTTAACAAGAGGAGAGGTTATTACAACTCATCCTTTGGCTTCTTGTCATCCTGAGTAGCAGTGGCAGCAGCTGGAGCAGCAGGGGCAGCTGGCTTATCAGTGGCGCCGGCCATGTGATCTGGGAGTGGAGTGCCTGGGAACTGACAGTCCTGGTATCTCTGGATCAACTCGTCCAGGTCAAAGTAGTCCTTGAGCGACTTGATCTTGTAGTCCTTGTCGTACTGAATGGTGACGATGCCGCGTGAGTACAGTCTGCAGTTGCCCTTGGTCATGAACAGGGTGGTTCTCTCAAAGGCGGCGTGGTAGCCGACAATGTGCGCTGGACCCGTGATGTAGGTTTGCATCTGGGCAAAGTTCTCAATGATGAATGCCTCGCAGCGAGAGAAGATTCTTCTGTGGCCTCCACTGATGACGTTCTTTCCAACTGGGTACTCGACGACACCATCCGATGACAAAGTATCAACCATACGTCTACAGTTGATTGGGAATCCACTCCAATTATTCTCCCAGTTCTTCAACTCCTCTCTAATCCTCTGCTCAACAGTCATATTAGATGCACTACATTGTTGTTGTATTATATTGTTAGTATTCGATCATTCATTCCGATTCATTCAATCATGTATATCATACCTCTTGACAGTGGTAGCATCTGTGTTAGCATTGGTAGAGTGCAAGCTAAAGCAAGCAAGCAACAAGACAACAGCAATAAATAATAACTTCATGTTTTGTTACAAGTATATGTGTATATGTATATATGTAGTAATAAGTTAAGATAGATATTTGAAATGAATGAATGAATGAAATGGACATGCAACCCATGAACTAGTTCATTCGAAACCTCCTATTCTTATTCAAACAGGTCCCTTGCCTCGTCATTCTTCAATTTCCTTTTTCTTTAATTATTTAATTAAAGTTTGTTTGCAAAACACACACAAATATCCAACTCGATCGATAAATGGCCCATATCCAATCCATTCCATTCCACAACCAATCAATCAATCATTCCGACATTCATCTTGGGACATACCATCCCTACCCTTATGAATGTTCCCGTCTTACACTCACTCACTTATCAATCACAATGTCATGACATTCGGACAGACAGAACACACAGATCAGAACAAAGACAGTATCCAACTACCTCTAGTCGAACCACACATGTGTGTGTCAATCAATCATTGTTAACGTCTGATCAATCATGATGGTCCAATGACACTGACATTAATATTTGGACATGGTCATGTTGTCCTTGGAACTATCACACTTATACACCCCCAAGGCACCATCACCGCCACTGTGTGATTGGATGTCATTCCTGATGATGAATGAATGCCCCAAAGGGGTAAGTTCAAGTCAATGATCAGGCCCTCTCAATTCTTTGATCATGATCAGAGCACCAACACAGTTGAACATTGACCAATACAACCACATCACACCCATTGACACAGATACACCACTATGTCATCACCGACAACACGCTTTCACCCATACCTACTTCCACCACACACTCAATCATTCTTTCATCCATTCACACCCCACCAGCAACCACACACGACTAACAACTTATTATCTGATGGTTATACATTCATTCATTCATTCATTCACACTTATACATTCATTCACACACACATATATATATATACAAACATACATACACATACTCACATAAACACAAACAAACGATCATCATATCTTAATGTGGCGACTGGCCGGCTGGCCGGGTGTGTGTGCTCATGCAAATAAACAAACAAGTTGATCAATGTCCATCAAGTTGGCCGGCCAGCAGCTCTCTCTCGAACCAGAGGGTGTAAGAGACGGAGAGAGGGGACGATGTGGATCAAGCCGGTAGTGGTGAGGTGGGTTCCGTTTCATCGTCCATCACTTTACTGTGGCAACTGATGCTGCTGCTCTCTGTGTGTGTGTGTGTGAGTGAGTTGCACTGGAATGATTGATGGATTGATTGATTGATTGATGGATGATGCCCAGTTAGGTTAGTGAACCTAGTGTTGGGGGTGCAGGGAGCGCGATGAGAGTGAGAGCGAGTGCACTGGAGCGATAGGTACAAGTACCCTGCTGGCTGGCTGGCCAGCATAACCTGATGATTGCAGTGATTGTTTATAAGAGCAAACCTCCTCCTTAGATCCAGTTATCATCCTCCCCAGCAGCTTTTCCAACCGCCTTCCTACCTTCCTACCTTCCTTGCATCCTTCCTAACAATCTAAGTCTCAAACCCTAGCAAACACCTTCAAACTCCCCATCCCACTTTGTCTTTCCGAAGAAGAATCAATCAGATTGATTGGACAATACACCATATCGAACGGATCAATAATGGCGGAGTTAAGGACATTGTTTGATGACACCAACAATAATAATAATAGGATTGGAAGAGTTGGACCACTCCACTTTCCAAACCCATCAGCCACAGCCACGTCCAATCAGATAGGCAACAACAACAATAATAATAATAATAGGATTAACCAATCATATTATACATATACACCAACGTCAGTTCCATCGTCACCATTCGATGGAGTATCATCCTCAGCTGGTCATGGCCAGCAACATCATCATTTTGGCAATAATAATCAAAGCCAAGTTGTAACATCATCATCAAATCAAACAAATTGTGTAGAGCCTGGAATTGGATACCTTCTATCCCTCACATCAGATATTCCATTGCCAACGATCAGCAGTGCCAATGCCAGTAATGGTATAGGCAATCAATATAACCAATCCTACAACAACTTAGAGTATATCAACAATAATACCATCAATACCAACAATACCAACAATGCCAACAATACCAACAACAACAACAATAATGTCAATCAATTCAATTATGATGACTACTTGAATGTGTTGTCACTATGTTGCATCAAATGTAATACTATAACAAATATTGACTCGTCCAGACTCTTGGAGACTGGAATGGACGTCATGCCAGGTCCAGACGACAAGAGCTACGAGTTCCGTTGTTCCAACTGCAATCGAGGCGGCAACAACTTCTATTTCAAACATTCTCCAAAGACATGGTATGTACCTGCCATGTCAATTCCAAGGAATAATAATACTCAAGATACTAACAACTCTGTTCGCTCATTAGGAAGGAGATGATACACACCTCTCTCTACAACCTGGAGAGGGAGAAGAGATACAGGTTCTCACATTACCGTGAGGTGATATCATATGTCAACAAGCATCCACAGTTCCTGCTGTCAGATCGTGACAAAGGTATGAATCGAATTGATTTGGACCTGGACATGTATACATACTGACACCAAACATATATTACCATTAGAGATGGGAAAGATGAAGAATGTTATAACAGCTACATTGTCCTACAATAGGAAGTTGTTTGTATCATTCGCAAGAGACTCTGGAATGTGGTCCAATTGGAGATATGGTGATAGGGTCTGTGAGGATGATCGTGGACTTCTAACATGGAAGGACAATGTATATGAAAAGGAGATGAAATCCAAGATACAGACCGGCTACAAACTAGAGTGCAAGTCTTGTCTAAAGATTGTTCCATTCTGTAAGTATCACTCACACATTATCGATCCGTGCCAATGTATTTACTAACTCCTGTGGAACTCATACTTAGTATTGATTGACTTGCATGGCACTAATGTATTGCCAGGTCCTTTGGACAATCGATATGACTTCAAGTGTCAGTATTGCTCCCCAAATATGAAGCCAACCATCATCCATCAATCAAAGTCATGGAAGGAGGTTGCCCACACTGCCTTGTTTAACCTTGAGTTGGACAAGAGATATAGGTTCTCTCATCAGATTGAGATTGCCACCTATGTCAAGGATCATCCCGAGGCATTCTCCTTCAACAGGGAGATAGGTATGTTAAGTTTGGTATTATGGATGGAGTGGGTCATTCGTTCTAACACAATTACAACAACAATTATAGAGAATATAAAGAATAGACTGTCTACAGTGTTGTCAAGGTACAAGAAGTCCTTTACTTCAATTGGAAGATACACTGGAATGTGGTCTAATTGGAAGGAGGGTGATGAGTCCTTGAAGGAGTTGATGTTGGATGATGAGGAGTCGGAAGAAGATCATTCAAGTACACTTCTCGACATCAATGGCAATCCAGTTGTCGGCTCTCCTCCAAGAGTTGGATCAAAGTCACCTGGCGCCGCTTCCCATCATCTTCATGACACCAAATATCGACAACAACAACAACAGAGCGATGATGGCACATCAATCAAACGATCACAATCCACACCGAGCAGTATTTCCAAGCTCAATGCACCTGGATCATACTCCACCCCTAGCCATACATCACAGTCATCCTCGCCAAGCCACTATATCACGTCGCCATCGATGAATGACTCGCCATACCAGTCTGTGCACTCGAACAATGGATTGTACAGCAACACCAACAACAATGGAGATACACTCAACTCCCCCAAGCTGCTGCCAGACTCGTCCACCACTACTCCTCTGCTCAGCAACTCACCGAATGTCAGCTACTATCCTTCACCCATCTTCCATCACCCTGGTACCACTCCCAACTTTGGCTATAGCAACTATCTGAGTTTCAAGCGACTGGACAGTGGCAGTGGCGTGGTCAACAGCCTGCCACAAGAGTGTTGCATCTGTCAAAAGTCCAAGACGCCTCTGATCAAATGTCGTTCGTTGAACCCCTGTGCCAGACAATACTGCCAAGATTGTCTTGTAGAGCTGTACCCCAACATGTTACCCAAGCTCAACTATCCACATGAATGGTCATGTCCATCATGTTTGACTGGTGGTAACACTGGCAACACTACCGGCAATGCTCCATTCCAGACATATATTACAAACATCAATCTACATACTCCAAACAGCTCATATATTGTATTTAATCAGCAGCAACAACAGCAACAACAACAACTCTTACAACAACAACAACAACAACAACAACAACAACAACAGTACCAGCAACAACAACAAGGATATCAACATTTACACACAACCTCCAAGCGTAATTTGGTCGAGGCCAGACTGTGCACTGAGTTCCCACCAAACAGCATCAACAACAACAACAATAAGGACAAGAGATTAAGATCAAGTCTTGCCATTGATGGTGGAGGTGGAAGTGGAAGTGGTGGAAGTCAGTTCCACCATCAACAACAACAACAACAACAACAACAAATGGCACCATTATCATTCTCCTCATCGTATGATGACATCACTGGCGGAAATGACATCCAAAGCATGTGCGGTACCATGACTGGCCGAGTATCCAACAACACCTCCATGTCTCAATATCCACCCATCTCTTTCCCTGGAATGCACCAAGCCGACTGTCACTCTAATGGCACTCACCTCACCTATCCATGATGTAGAAGACGTAGAACTAAGAATGGGTCCATCCAAATGGATGACCACTTACTCAATCATTACAGTAACAAGTTGGAAGCAAAAAGGTACACCTGTACACATATAGCAGTGTAGTAAAAAAGTGACACCAACCAGGTCCACCAGCATTATTAATCTATCTTGGTGATTGATTTATTTATCAATGTCGTTCCCACGAAAGATTTAGTGGAGGTGTTGCCGGCACCTGCCACGGACAAGGCCAGTTTGAGTATATCCACGCGATGTCGATAGCAACCGCGTGATATAATTTAGTTATTTGGGCGAAAGTCGTTGATTCCAACCCAGTCCTTATCACTGGATCTGAGATGGGCTTGGACCAAATCGGTTTTGATTGTTTCTTGTGTTTGTGTATATGTGTGTGTGTGTAAGTGAGTGAAAGTGGTGTGTACAGCGAATGATGCGCCCCCCCGTAGTGCCTCCGATGTTAGGCTTTGATCCAAATCAAAAATATCAACCAATTCTTATTTTTCAATTCTATCACTGCAGGATAGAATGCGTTTGAGGGGGTATGTAGGCGTAGGTGTGGGTCCTTGCGTGGTACTTGGCGGGTCCTTCTATCATTCATTCATTCAAGGACTTGACATCAGCTCGAACCAACACCCAACACCTACACGTAAACTGTCACTACGACTATTGAAACTGTTTACCTGTTACAACAACTACAACTAATACTATCACTATCATTACAATTACAACTACATAATCTACTACTATTTCACTGCATACATCAACAACATTAACTAAAAGTCAATTAATTAATTAACTTTAAGGTAAGGGTTAAACAAGGCCCATCTGGGTGTTGTTGGAATTAACGACCAACATAAGTGATCACACATACACACACACACAACACATCAGTCGATCAAACACACTCAATCACTCCCACCACCACTCACTCACTCACACTCACCAACAACCCCCATCACTCATCTTGCTCAACGATGTACCTTCCAATCAATCAACCACACATCATATATATCAATCATACCAACCAAAAGGCCTGTTTGTGACCCTGTTGGTAGCAACAGCGCTTCTTCTTTATCGTGTCTCTTCAAAGCTTGTTCAGCGCTGCACCCATCATCAATGTATGATCCATCTATACCTTTGTCATCATCATCAATCATCTACAACCAACCTAGCCATCACCATCACCTTCACCATCACAATCAACAAACATCCAACCAAAATGCCATTCCATGCCTTTGGCCCCCATCAAGCCATTGTAATAATCCAATCCATCATCACATTATACTAATACTAATATTACATATTACCAAACTACAACAGATACAAAGACTACCCTACCCTTATTAGGAAGAGATAATATATTTATATTTATATTTATATTTACATTTAATTTTACATATTTACACATATACATTAGAATGGGTTGTAATAGTTCAACTCTGTCCGGACCAGAGTCCAAGCATAATGATGACCTCAACAACTATTTGAGACAGGCTGGCAAGGAGGCGATGTTGGATTTCAGAGTGTTGCTGTTGGGCGCTGGCGAGTCTGGCAAGTCCACAGTGGTCAAGCAATTGAAATCAATATACAAGATACAGGTGGATGATGCCGAGCTGCAAAGTTACGCTGCCAACATACACAAGAACACCGTACTTTGCATGCAGGTGTTATTGGAAGCCTGTGAGACACTTGGTGTCGAATTGAGCGATCAAGAGTCAAAGGTATGTGATGTAATATGATGTGATGTGGAGTGACATGGAACTAACGATGCCATCGAACAAACAATATAGAAAAGAGCCAATAATATAAGATCATTCCAGTTCGAACAGGAGGTCAAACAGATGCCAGTTAGCATTGGTTTGGATATTGAAGAGCTGTGGAAGGACCAAGACATTCAAAAGATTTGGGAAAGGAGGTCAGAGTATTGGTTCCTAGACGCTACGCCATAGTAAGTTCATCCATTATCCATTGAATACCTGAAGTTGGATTCGATCACGTGATCAGATTACCAGTCACGTGATCAGATTACCAGTCACGTGATCAATTTCCAAACATGTCAGCTGACATCATCTTTCCTTCCAACCAATCAAACAGTTACTTTGATAACATCAATAGATTCCTAGACGATGACTTTAGACCAACAGAGGAGGATATCATCATGACAAGAGTCAGAACAACCGGTATATCAGTGACAGAATTTGACGAAGGACCCGTTCACTTCCGCGTGGTCGACGTCGGTGGACAGAGAAACGAGCGAAAGAAATGGATACACTGCTTCGACGATGTCAAGGCACTCTTATTCGTAGTTAACCTGGCAGGGTATGTATCTGTCTATAAAGACTTTATGGACAACACAGTGACAAGATGTTAACACATTCATTCCTTTAGATATGACCAGGTGATGTTTGAAGACCCAACTCAGAATAGGATGCAAGAGTCACTGACGCTGTTTGGTCAGATATGTAACAATCCGATATTTGCTGACACTCCAACATTCCTGATGCTGAACAAGAAGGATCTGTTTGAGCAGATGATACAAAAGACCGACCTGTCAAAGTGTTTCCCCGACTATGATGGCGGCAATGACACCAAGTTGGCACTGGAGTTTATCAAGGGCAAGTTCCAGGCCAAGCTGCAGCCTGCCAACAAAGTATTGTACACTCATTACATAGCTGCGCGTTACAAGAAGGACATCAAGTTCACTTGGGATGAGGTCAAGACCGTGCTGTTGGAGGAGAACAAGAAGATCCTGCTGCGGGCCACCAGAGATCTGAATGTTGCCAAGAGGAAGAACACAACACAACAGCCACAAAAGGCTTAAGCATAACAAGTAATAATAGCGATAATAGAGAAGGTATTAGAGTAGATAGAGGAGAAGGAGAGGTAGGAGAGAGCAAGAGACTGGCGAGATGATACTTTCCTCTTCAATCACATACACACCATGGCCAATCAGACAGTCAGGCCAGCATCCAAACATCCCATCCACAACATCCCCAACAACATATTTATAATCATCCATCTCATCTCCTCATCATACCTTCTCATTGTAATAAATACTCCACACACCTTGCCATGCGACTGGCAGTGTACAACTACCCTTGCTCAACCCTTGCCCTACCCTCAACCCTCACTCACTTTGATGATTTAATTTATTATTTTGTTTTGAGAACTTTGTGAACATCAAGTGTGATGATCAATCAATCAAACAATTAATTACATTCACACACTATTATAATACTTCATTCATTACTTTCATACTTATAATAATACATATTTAATATATATACATACATAACAAAACAAAACATGTCACAGCCAATGGTACAGGATCTTAGTAATGTGGCAGAGAAGGCCAATCAGACAAACAGGGAGCTGGCAAAGAGAGGTCAATTGTTGGAAGCTCTTGAGAATCTGTTGGTTGTTGAGAAGCAGACAAGACAGGTATGTCAATATTAAGAGATAAGAAACATTAGTTACTTACATAATGAATCATTCAATCAATGATATATATATAGGCTGAGGATGCTACATCAACTACAAAGATTGCAATTGAGATTATCAAGCTGTGCTTTGAGGCCAAGAGATTGGATCTTATCAATGAGAAGCTTGTGCTTCTGTCAAAGAGAAGAGGACAATTTAGAACAGTACGTGTTGATATAACAGATTGAATAACAATGATTGATGTAACTTTACTCACTAACTCCATCAATCATTGAATGTAGACTATCAGCGGTATTGTTCAAGAGGCTATGACATATGTTGATCAGATCGCAGAGAAGAAGGCTAAGCTAGAGTTGATTGATACTCTTAGAACTATTACAGATGGAAAGGTACAGTGTATTGATTGATTGATTGGAATATGAAGTGATGAATCACAATGCGCTAACAAACAATGAACAATGAACAACATAGATGTTTGTTGAGAATGAACGTGCTAGATTGACAAGGACACTGTCAAAGATCTATGAGGACGAAGGAAACATTGCAGAGGCTGCCAAGATCCTGCAGGACCTCCAGGTGGAGACATACAGCTCAATGGAGAAGGCCGAGAAGCTAGAGTTCTTCATTGAGCAGATGCGTCTGTGCATGAACAACAAGGACTTTATCCGCGCACAGTTGATCGCCAACAAGGTGAACCGCAAGACATTGGTCGAGGAGCCACATCAAGACCACAAGGTCAGGTTCTACCAACAGCTGATCAGATACAACACCAACGAAACCAACTATTTGGAGATCACCAGATGCTACCTGCACATCTACGACACTCCATCCATCCAGAAGGATATCGAGCAATTGAATGCCAACCTCAAGCTTGCATGTGTCAACGTCGTCCTCTCTCCAATTGGCAACGAACAAAGTGATCTCTTGAACCGTATACTGGGCTACAAGCCATTGAGCAACCTTCCAATCTATAAGTATGTTATAATTATGACCTTTGAGATGGTGATGGCGATGACTAACATTGATGGAATTATTTAGGGCTTTGCTTGAGGCATTCAATACATCAGAACTTGTTAGATGGACTAACTTTGTGGAGAAGTTCCAGAAGGAGTTGAACACTCAGAAGTGCTTCGTTGGAGATAAGAACTGCTGGACTGATCTGCGCAATAGAGTTGTCGAGCATGTATGTTATCCAAAGGTCACTCACTAGGCTGCGACATTAACATTGATATTAACATTGACCGACATCCATCCAATTCCAATCAATGTAGAACATAAGAGTTGTATCAACATATTACAAGAGAATATCAACAAAGAGATTGGCAGAGTTGCTTGATCTGACATTGGATGTAAGTGATCAATCAATCAATCATCAATCAGTGGAATAATTCCAAAACTGATCACTAACGAACAATCAAATATATAATAGGAGTCCGAGAAGTTCATTTCAGATCTGGTCTCCAACAAGACCATCTTTGCCAGGATTGATAGACCCGCTGGAATCATACAGTTTGTTCCACCAAAGGACACTAGCACCATACTCAATGGATGGGCCTCTGATATTTCATCTTTGCTAGAGTTGGTCGAGAAGACCAACCATCTGATCCAGAGGGAGTTTATGATGAACAAGGTCAACTAAACGAAGGGTCCACCTCTCACCTGGTATCCAAACATTCACGTCTCATCACACACAACATTAACAACAACAACAACATTATCCAGCAAACAACCAAACTATAACAACAACCAGCATGCATAAGCTGTAAATAAACTCTCTCTCTACTTCTTCATCCTAAACCAATACAGGCAACCTTATTAATCCAAAGGTCGATCCAATGATCATTGGGAGGGAACGATCAGTGTCACGAGTTGCCCGATAAGTGTGTGATGAGGGTAGGGTGTGTTTGTTGGTGGTGGTGGTACCGTCGACATTACAGCCCCAATCTCACCTGAGAGAGATAGGGTAAGGTTAGGCAGGGTAGGATAGGATAGGAATGGTTGGTGTTACTACTGATGCCGGAACGACAAGAGTTAAGAACTAGTGATGATGATGTTGATGAATGATGATGATTAATTGATAAAGATGGTAGGCCTGGATGGTACTTGTGGAACCATCTATCAGTATGTGAACGACTAGACACTCACTCACTTTGATCTCTTCACTTCATTTATTCACTGTCTATATGACATTGGATTAGATTAGAATATATATTTATATACCAGGTATACTCTGTCCCTCCTACATGTAGGGTATCAAATAACGAAGGATCTATAATTACCATAAATGTGTGTGTTTCATTCTATCCATCAATCAATCACTCACACACAATCAATCAAACAAATAATATCAATCACACACACATGACACGAACGACACACTGAACATACACACACGACACATTCACACTGAACGATCATTCTATTTATGTCCATGTTACTAATGAATGACTTAGACACTCTCACACACACAACACAATCAATCAATCACATAACATCACTTACATACATACATGTACAACTTACTTCAACCACATATACATGCGTCCACACTCAACCCTTGCATTGCAATGCATACCACCAATCAACCAATCAATCAGTGACTGATGATGCTTTTTGACATGTGCGTGTAGAGTTCCACTCGCTCATCTACACTCATGAGCTCTCTGTCTTCCCGTCAATCAGGTCATCCACCCCAGCCAGTTTAGATACAACAATCGGCGTAGCTTGCCAAACACAACCACTACTACTCACACATTTGTTACCAGATGCGATGCGCGCTTGTCATGTCTGATTGATTGATTTGGCTTTTGTCTTGGCTTGGATGGCAGATGGTGTTGACTGCTTGCTGTAGTAGTAGTATCCTGTCCTGATCAGGAGGAAGGAAGGAAGAGTGTGATTGAGTTTGTGTGTGGGCATTGATCAGTCATCACCACATCATCAGTCATCCATCCCTTCCTTGATGATTGATTATAATCATGGTTGATTATATGAGTGTGGACAGGACTGATCAGTCAGGACAGGATGCATCCATCATAAGCAATCATTATAAGCCAATCAACCATCCAAACATCAGTATATTATTATTCATTCACTACAATAATAATAACTAATTATCTGTTGTTGTTTGACTTTATTCTGATAGTTACTGCTTGTATCCAATCACAGGTATGACTTATGTCCATCAATATCCATCCATCAATCCATCCACACACTCAGCCACTCATCAATCCATTGTCTAACTAACCCTCAATCAACTCAATCAACTTAGCTTTAAAGAATGATGTCCATTCCAATGAAACAGACTGCGAGGACAACAACTGGAGTTGTCCCGCCTACTGAAAAGAAGAAAGGAAGCAAGTTGTTTGCTTTGAAGACAGACTTCCTCCAAAATGGTATGTTTCCAATGACCCGCTTGGACCAGGAATCACCAATCTAACACATATTCCAATCAATCAGACGAGGACTCAATTCAAAAGGGTATCTTGGACCATGTTGAATACACATTGGCCAGAACCAAGTACAACTTTGACTCGTTCTCTGCCTACCAGGGCTCGGCCTACAGTGTCAGAGATCGTTTGATCGAGAGATGGAATGAGACCCAGCAGTACTACACTGAGAAGGATCCAAAGAGAGTGTACTACCTGTCGCTGGAGTTCTTGATGGGCAGATCACTCCAGAACGCCATCTACAACATGGGTCTCAAGGATGAGTACCACAGTGCTCTGTTGGAGTTTGGTTTCCAGATTGAGGACCTCTACGAGGAGGAGAAGGACGCTGCCCTTGGTAACGGTGGTCTCGGTCGTCTGGCCGCATGTTTCATGGACTCGTTGGCAACACTCAAGTATCCAGCATGGGGCTATGGACTGCGTTACAACTATGGAATGTTTGAGCAAGGCATCTACGATGGCTACCAGACTGAGGTGCCAGACTACTGGCTGGTCGCCGGTAACCCATGGGAGATTGAGCGTCTCGATGTCCAGTACACTGTCAGATTCTACGGACATGTTGTCGAGAGAAAGACACCGGACGGAGTGCGCCACGACTGGGAGGGAGGTGAGCTTGTCCAAGCTATCGCCTATGATACCCCAGTGCCAGGCTACAGCACCATCAACACAAACAACATCCGTCTCTGGAGCTCCAAGCCACACAAAGAGTTCGACCTGGATGCCTTCAATGGTGGAAACTACCTCAGTGCTGTGGAGGCCAAGCAGAGATCGGAGAACATCACCTCTGTCTTGTATCCCAACGACAACACCTACAGTGGCAAGGAGTTGAGATTGAAGCAGCAGTACTTCTTCGTGGCTGCCACACTCTGCGACGTCATCCGTCGTTACAAGAAGACTCACACTGGATGGAAGGACTTCTCGTCCAAGGTGGCCATCCAGCTGAATGACACCCATCCCACTATCGGTGTCGTTGAGCTGTTCAGAAAGCTGCTGGATGAGGAGGGACTCCAATGGGATGAGGCCTGGACCATTGTCAACAAGACCTTTGCCTACACCAACCACACAATCCTGCCCGAGGCCCTTGAGATGTGGCCCGTGCAGTTGATTGAGGACCTGTTGCCAAGACACATGCAGCTCATCTATGGAATCAACCATCGCTTCCTGCTCACAGTCACCCAGAAGTGGCCAGGCAACATGGACAAGATGAGATCGCTCTCGATCATTCAGGAGGGTGAGGAGAAGAAGGTCAGAATGGCTCACTTGGCCATTGTTGGCTCTCACTGTGTCAATGGTGTGGCTGCTCTTCACTCGGACCTTGTGAAGAACAAGGTGTTCCCAGACTTCCACGCCCTCTTCCCAGGCAAGTTCCAGAACAAGACCAACGGTGTCACACCCCGTCGCTGGATCCAGCAGGCCAACCCAGGTCTTAGCGGAATCTTGACCAAGTGGCTCAAGACCGACCAATGGGTCATTGACCTAACACTCATCCAGGGCATTGAGAAGCACATCAACAACCCCGAGCTCATTGAGGAGTGGAAGATGGTCAAGCAATTCAACAAGGAGCGTCTTGCTGACTTTATCCACAAGACCTGTGGAGTCAAAGTCAACTCCAACGCCATGTTTGACGTTCATATCAAGAGAATCCACGAGTACAAGAGACAACTCTTGAACATACTCGGAGTCATCTACAGATACCTCACCATCAAGAAGATGTCTGCAGATGAGCGTCAGAATGTCGTTCCCAGAGTGGTCATCTTTGCTGGTAAGGCCGCCCCAGGTTACTTCATGGCCAAGAGACACATCAAGCTCATCACATCGGTGGCCGAGGTCATCAACAATGACAAGGACATTGAGGACACTCTCAAGGTGGTGTTTATTGCCAACTACAATGTGTCGATGGCTCAGGTTGTCGTGCCAGCCTCTGACATCAACCAACAGATCTCAACTGCAGGTACCGAAGCATCGGGTACCAGCAACATGAAGTTCACCATGAACGGTTCGCTCATCATCGGTACACTGGACGGTGCCAACGTCGAGATTGCCGAGGAGGTCGGCCAGGACAATATGTTCATCTTTGGTCTCAGAACACACGAGATTGACAAGGCTCGCGACAAGATGAGAAACAAGCAGGTGGTCGTTGACGCTCGTCTCCAAGAGGTGTTCTTGAACATTGAGCTGGGCACATTTGGCTCGCCAGAGATCTTCCAGCCCATCTTGGACTCGTTGCTCAACACCGATCACTACCTGACCATCCAGGACTTCCCAATGTACCTGGATGCCCAAGAAGAGGTGGATGCCCTATGGAGACGCCAGGACGAGTGGCTCAAGAAGTCCATCATCAACACTGCCAAGACCTACCACTTCAGCAGTGATCGTGCCATGAGGGAGTACGCCGAGCAAATCTGGAACATCGAGCCTTGCGAAGTTGAGACATGTGACAACAGAAGATATTAAGTATCCTGACTTGTCATTATCTTGCCACCTCTTGAAGGCCTCAGAAGTCTTCTCCACCCGTCTGTCTTTCAGTCTGTGTATGGAATGTGTCCATCCATCCGTCCATCCATCCATTCAATCAACCAATCAATCAACCACCACCATCATCACACAACATGTATCAACAAACATTAATAATAAACATTTACAATTGATCATAATTACTACTTCCTTCTTTCTAATGGTACACAATGAACAGTTGGATCACATGGGTTATCACAACCCGAGCCGCTGTAGAACCTTCAGAGTGTGTCGATTCACAATCATGGGTTGTGGGGCTTGTGGAGGTGGGTGTGGACGTGTGCCTTTTGCTCAGACTCATCAATGATGCTCTCTGACACACAACACACTATATTTTTATCCTACTAGGACCATCATGGCGAGGAAACAGCGAACTAGTGTTGCAGAGGAAGAAAGCCCCTGGTAATATAAGGGGTTCTGATCAATCGATCAACACCCCTATGATCATTGGTTTGATTGGTTTGTTCGATGGGTTACCTGTTAAACTACACTTGATCGTAAAAATAATAATTATGTGGAAGTAGGTGGAACAAAGTGGAAGCATTGATCAATTGTAATATATATTTAGACTAGAGATAATAATAATAATAATAATAATAATATATACTTTACCATGTCATCACAGCTATTGGCACCAATAAAGATTGAAGGTTACTTGACCAAACAAGGTGGATCATTTAAAAGTTGGAGCAAGAGATGGTTCATACTTAGGAAAGGAGAGTTATCCTATTATAAATCCAAGAGTGTAGGTATATCTTAAATCAATATATTGATCAATCATTAATTATATAATTATCCAGGATACATCTGAGCCAAAAGGAACAATACCTTTAAAGACTGTTGGATTCATTAGGATATCAGAGAAGAAGAAGAAGCATGTGTTTGAGATACATACAGCAGGAAGGACAATACTTGTTATGGCAGATAATGATGAATCGAGGAATAGGTGGATAGAGGTATTGACTAGAGAAAGGGACTTGATAATCAATGCAGACACCATAAAGAAGCCTGCCAAGTTGACTGTCGACGACTTTGAACTACTCAAACTGGTGGGCAAAGGTAGCTTTGGCAAAGTGTTACAGGTGCGCAAGAAGGACACCAACGACATCTATGCCATGAAGGTGTTGTCCAAGAATCAGATCGTCGAGAATGATGAAGTCATACATACTATCTCAGAGAGAGTGGTACTTCAGAAGATCAGCCATCCATTCCTTGTCAACTTGCACTATTCATTCCAGACAGAGGACAAGCTATATCTGATACTGGACTACATCAATGGAGGCGAGTTGTTCTACCATCTAAGGAAAGAGAAGAGATTTGGTGAGGAACGTGTAAGATTCTATTGTGCGGAGATCCTACTAGCTCTGGAGCATCTTCATCTGTCTGGCGTCATCTACAGAGACCTGAAGCCAGAGAACTTGCTGGTGACCAAGGATGGCCACATCTGTATGACTGACTTTGGTCTATGCAAGGAAGGCTTCATCACATCCAAGGACAAGACCAAGACATTCTGTGGCACACCAGAGTACTTGGCACCAGAGGTAGTCCTCAGCAAGAGTTATGGCAAGCCAGTGGATTGGTGGGCATATGGATCACTTATGTTTGAGATGCTCACTGGTATGCCTCCTTTCTTTAGTGAGAACACTAAGGAGATGTATAACAAGATACTGCACGAACGTCTGGTGTTCCCCAGTGCCATGTCATCCGATGCACGATCATTGATTGATGAGCTACTGGAGAGGGACCCATCCAAGCGTCTATGCAATCCAACCAAGATCAAACGTCATCCATTCTTCAAGTCAATCGATTGGGAATCACTCTATCACAAGAAGGTGGCGCCACCCTACATACCTCGAGTGAAGGACAAGCTAGACACTACTCAAATCGACCCAACCTTTACTGAAGAAGTGCCAACACTTACAATCTCTGGCGAGTATGAGGTGCAAGACATACCTCAGAAGGACTTTGAAGGTATGTATATTTCCTATTATCTCTTTATCATTATAAGTATGAATGAATGAATGAACTAACTTTCTGATATTCATGCAGGATTCTCATTTGTAGCCGACTCCTATTTAGTATCTCCTCCCACAACAAGTCCATAAGTGGTAAAGAGATACATATATAGACAACACTACCTATCTTGGACATCATTCATTCTGTCACACTCCCTCCCTCACTCACTCATTAACTCATACATACATGCACTCATGTACATGTCGCGACTACATTATGTAGTAGTAGCATAACATACAACAAGTAAACTCAATCATACTACCATCTTGTAAATATATACATACAATCGTCTAGTCTTAGTACAACGATGAACAAGAAGAACTTAGATCCAAATATTGGAGTTGGAGGCAAGGCAGATGGAAAGATGAACAACAAGGGACAGGCGCCACAAGTCGTCCCACCAGTACTACCTTATCCAACTGTTCCACACAAGGTAGGTGGCGCTGCAGTGGTTCCAGGAGCGGCTGTCCCAACATCAAAGACATTGTCCATCACAAAGGATGTTTCATTGGTAGAGGTTACGCCAAAGCAACTACATGAGTTACAATTGGATATTGAGAGTAAGGGATTGAATGAATGAATGAGTGATTGTTAGGACTTCATAAATCTAACATCTATGTTGTTACTTTAGACATCAATCTACAATTGAAGAGGTTGTTTCAATTCCAGGAGCAAACGTATCGTTGGAATATGAAGCATCATGAGAATATGAAGAAGATTATCAAGTCATTCAATGTATTGAATAATATAATGAGACAAGATAGTAATGAGAGTAGTTCTTCATCAGGTGTATCAACATCTAGAAGTCAGGAGACCAAGCAACTAGCAGACAAAAGGAGAAAGAACGATACGAAGAGCACCAACATTGTATTCTACGAGAAGGCCAATCCATCATCAAGAGATAGTGGTCAGGACAACAACTTCAATCAAGAAGTTATTGACCTTTACAAGAGATATGGACCTGTCTCCGAGGAACTCCAACAATTGTTATCTGACCTTGATTATAGTCTATTTGTCCAACTCAAAGGTATGATTAAGACTGTGTCATTTGATCAATCAGTTAAGCCACTTTACTAATCACATTGAGGCGTGTAGAAGAGTCAATGGAGATCATTCTTCCAGTTCTCCTCAAGTGGATTAAGGGTAGGTAGTGTTGACTGAGGTTGGAAATCATGATCGATACTAACTGTATTGATGTTGTTGTTGTTGTTGAAGAGGTACCATCATTGCAACAGATGGGAATATCCTTGATAACATTGTGGATGATACATGAGAAGTTTCCACAAGTGTATACCAAGGCCAAGTATGGGATGATTATATCCGAGATGAACTATTATGTTCAAAGGATGGAGAATACCTATCACTTTGACCAGTTGCAGAAGCAGGACATGTTCCCTTTCACAATGGATGAGTTTAGTCTCCTCAAGTCACTGCTGGACCAGAGTAGCAACCACAACAGCAGCAGAAACAGTAGTGGTAGCGGTGCTGTCCTTGGCAGTGGAGACGACATAGGTAGCAATATAGGAACAATTGGCAGCAACAACACAAGTATTGGAAACAATATCAACAACCTCAGCAACATCAGCAACATCAGCAATATCAGCAACATCAGCAACATCAGCAACATCAGTAATGATTTGATGTTGGACTCATTCATTTGATTGATTGAATGAATGTATTGGATGATTGAATGTATTGATTGATTGATTAGAACTTACAATAGTTCTGATGTCTTGGTATTGGTATTACATCTCTGATATTCTGCAAACCTGTGACGTATTGTAACAAACGTTCAAATCCAAGACCGAATCCACCGTGTGGCGCTGATCCATACTTTCTAAGCTCCAAGTACCACCGATACGACTCCTCGTCCATGTTCATATCGCGTATTCTTTGTACAATGCGATCGTACCTCTCCTCTCTTATACTGCCACCGATCAACTCCCCTACACCCGGTACCAACAGGTCCATGTTTGATACAGTGATCTGATCGTCATTCTCCCTGGTGTAGAATGGTTTGATCTGTTTTGGCCAATCGATCACAAACACTGGTGTACCATTATAATGTTCGACCAAGTTCTTCTCATCCTCTCTCTGCAGGTCATCGCCCCACTTTATCGCACTTCCATACTTCTCTCCTTGCAATATCTTCACAGCCTCTGTATAAGGCAGTCTAATGAACTCATTATCCAATGTCTTCTTCAGTCTTTCCATGAGTCCAGTGTCAACGCGTCTGAGTGTGCACATGTTAGCATCCATCAATCAATCAATCTATCTATCACTCGTCACTCATACATACTTGTTGAAGAACTCCACTTCGTCTGGACATCTCTCCATGATGTTCTTGATGGTGAACTTGATAAAGTCTTCGGCAATGTCGAGGTTGTCTTGAAGTTTGATGAAGGCCATCTCTGGCTCAATCATCCAGAATTCAGAGAGATGTCTAGTTGTGTTGGACTTCTCCGCTCTGAATGTTGGACCAAATGTGTACACTCTTCCATGTGATGACGCGAATATCTCTGCCTCCAACTGACCCGATACCGTCAAGAATGCAGGCTCGCCAAAGAAGTGATGTTGTTGTTGTTGGGTTGTTTGATCCTTTGTTGATGCCTGCTTATGATCGACTGACACTGAGAACTGCTCTCCACCACCCTCACAATCACTGGCTGTAATGAGTGGAGTGTGGACAAGATTGAAGTGACGCTCTTGGAAGTATTGATGAATGATGGACGATGCCTGACTCCTGACACGGATGAGCGCGCCCAGTGTGTTGGACCTCGACCTAAGATGTGCAATCTCTCTCAGAAAGTCGAATGAATGATGCTTTGGCTGGAGAGGGTAGTCCTCTGGACATGGACCGACGACCTCCACTGGCGACTTGAGCTGCAGCTCCACCTGTTGATTCTTTCCAGGACTCTGAACAAGCTGACCGGACACCTTCACACATGAACCATGCTGAACATTCTTGAACAGATCCGGAGTACCAATCACCTGAAGACCCTGTACCGATGAGCCATCAGTCAACTCCATGAATCCAATGGACTTTTGAGCTCTTATTGATTTGACCCAACCATTGATCACTGTTGTTGTGGATGTGTTGTTGTCAGCTGATGGAGGAGTTGTTGCAGTTGGCAAGGCTTGTGACCTAATCTGTTTTATTGTACTAGGCCACTGATAGTATCTTTTGAATACAGTGCTACCAACTCTATTCATTGTATGTCTATGTTGTTTGATTGATTGATCGATTGACTAACAATGTCGTCAACAAAGTCGAATCGAATGAACTTTCATTCATTCATCAAAATCACATTTTTTTCAAAAAGTTGCAAAACTGAAGAGTTTCAAACAATTCTTCAAAGTTATCAAACAACACATCCAAGCAAAGAGATAAAGATAGAGATAGATACATACATAGATACTCATACTCATACTTATATACATAACACAATAAGTGAAGTAATAGTAAAATGCCAAAGAAGAGAGGAGTGACAAAAGATAGTAGTGTCAATGTTGTTCAACAACATCAACAACAACAGACACAGCAACATCAACAACATAATGATCAATCATCTGTTAAAGAACAAGGTCAACCAGGTCAACAACCAACATGGCAACAAATTGCTGCCTATTCATCATTAGTAGTAGATGGTTCTGCATCTGATATTGATGAGGATGATGATCATGATGACGTTGATATCGACGATGAACATTCACAACATTCTCAACAATCTCAACAATCTCAACATTCTCAACAACAACAATCAAAGAAGAAGAATAAGAAGAAGAATAAGAAGAATAAGAAGAATACAAATACTTCAAGTAATAGAGGTCTTGACTATGACATCAACAACAATAATAGGATGGGTGGTGGCGGATCAGGCAAACCAAACATCAGCGACATTGACTTGATGGCAAGCTACGTGAACTCTCAACAACATATGCAGCAGATCGACCCACTAGATCAGGACATTGACAGACAGAAGCTCAGTGAGTTTTGGATCTCTTTGAGCGAGGAGGAGAGAAGAGAGCTGGTGCGTCTTGAGAAGGAGACCTTGCTGAGGAAGATGAAGGACCAACAGAAGCACACGTGCACATGTGGCGTGTGTGGCAAGAGGCGTGCCGTAATCGAAGAGGAGCTAGAGCTGCTCTATGACTCATACTATGAAAGGATGAATGATAGAGCGTCTGGCATGGTTGATGTTGGTGGTCATCATCACCATCATCACCACCATCATCATCAGCATCATCATCAACAGCAGCAACAACAACAGCAGCAGTACCAACAGCAACAACAACAACTACTACATCAACAACAGCAGCAACAACAACAACAGCGACAAATGTACGCACCACCAATGTCTGTTAATGATGCATCCAGACCATATCGCAACAACATTCAAACAAGCAAAGGCATGGTCAACTCAACGAGGACGAACCCGACAACTCTGGCCGAGAGGTCAATCTATCAGGCGGAGGAGGACTACTTGAAGCGCGAGGGCAAGCACTTTGTCGAGCTGATGGAGAGGCTGGCCGAGCAGCGCGTGCGACGCGAGGAGTTCAACGAGCAGTCACTGGTCGACCCCGCCGACCAACTAATCTCGCAGGATGAGCCCAGCATGGACGAGGCCAAGAGTCGCGAGCTAAGCAACAGCATCATTCAACTGAGTCAGCGTCAGATGCAGCAGCTGCAACAACAGCACATGCTACTGCATCAGTTGGAGCAGCAGCAGGAGCAGTTCGAGGAGTACGTCGGCGGTGACACTGATGTATATGCCGAGGACGATGATGACGAGGATGAGGACGATGACGAGGATGAAGATGATGACATTGGCGACGAAGAGTACCTGGTGCACGAGGATGATGGTGATGAAGAAGATGATGATGACGACGATGACTATGATGATGATGATGAATACGATGATGACGATGAAGATGATGAAGACGACGATGAAGAAAGGCAGATGGAGGAAGGCCGAAAGATGTTCCATGTCTTTGCTTCAAAGATGTTTGAACAACGTATATTGGCCGCCTACAAGTAAGTCCAACTCATGAGATGGGATGGTCCCACCCCAACATCAGCTGACCCAATCAATCAATCAATCAAACATAGGGAGAAGCAGGTATTGGAGAGACAGAGAAGTCTGCTTGAGGAGGAGGAACAGAAGATGAAGAGGGAGAGAATGTTGAAGGAGCAAAAGGCAAAGTCAAAGAAGGAGAAGGCAGAGAAACAGAGGGAACAACAGAGATTGCTGCGCGAGGAGAAGGAGAGAAAGCTGAAACAGAAAGAGGAGGAGCTGTTGTTGAAGAAGAGGGAGGAACAGGAGAAACAGGCAGAGAAGCAGCGTGAGAGACAGAGGTTGAAGGAGGAAGAGGCCAGACGTAAGGAGGAGGAGCGGGCTCATCAATTGAAGGCATCACAGTCCCAGGAGAAGTCAGAAAAGCAAAAGAAGCAAGAACAGCTGATGCGCGAGAAGGAGCTAAAGAGACAGCAACAGCGAATGGAGAGGAATAAGAAGGCCTTGGAGCATAACAAACCAAAGCAGACCAAGGTTCAAGTGTTGCCAGACTGTGCGCCTGTATCCAATCAATCCACCGCCACTCCATTGGCGGCATCATCGTCAACCCCTGCATCCTCAGCTTCCATATCGATCACACAACCACCAACCATCCAAGTCAACAACCTCAACACATCAGATCCCAACACCTTGTTGACGCCCTCCAAGTACAGACAATCCCCAATGAGTCCCAACTCGCCCGACTTTGTTCCAAAGATGCAGAAACTCACCACCAACTGTCCGTCAAGTCCACAAACCACTCAACCAGCTCATTCAATCACATACCCAAATCTTGGTCTTTCACATCGAATGCTTAACTTTAGCAATGACTCACAAGTATGTGTACCTCACCTCATTCATTGGCCATCTAACTAACCTACATATGTTACAACAACAGGATGACACTTTATCTTATGACCCAGTCCCAGCAGAGTTCAGATCATCATTGACAGAAAGTAATGATGATGACATTGACTCAATACTGCATAACATTCACATTCCAACATCTATTGGAAATAGCGAACATAACAACAACAATATCAACAACAAGCAGACGCTACAACAACATGGAAATGCAACAGCATCAGCGGCGGCATACTTTTTCAAACCAATTGGTGCCGCTGCCAACATTGACTTTCTATCAACCGGTCATCCCAGTCACGCCCTATCCAACGCGCCACTTCACCGTGGTCGTGGGCTTGACCACCAGCAACAGCAGCATAAGCACCAACACGACTTTATCAAACCGAGCGCAGTTGGTATGGAGCAGAGTGGTCAGTCTGCCTCTTTACATCCCTATCCCCTTGGAATGAACCACCAGACCATCACAACAACGACAACCATCACCACAACAACACCATCACTAGCGCCTCTAGCCTCAATCGGACAAACCATACACAGACCAAACAACAGCAACCCTTTCAACATCTCAACACCATTCCTATCCCATCAACTTCATCAACAACCTCCAATGAATGTCAACCAATACATGAACAACTCTGGTAGCAATATCAACAACAACATTTTGGGCTTCAATGGTTCAAACATCAACAACAACATGAACAACTTTAACAACAACATCAACAACAACACTTGGGATCCATTGCTGTCAGGTGGTGGAAGCAATTACTATTTGGACAATAGTGCACTCAGTAACTCATTCGCACTCAACTCATTGCCATCATCCTCATCGTTTCTTGGCACTGGTGGCATGTCGCTGCCAATTGGACACACCATCACATCACCTTCACTCAATCCCCACTCAACTCCAAGATCACCACTGTTAGACAATGGCAACGCCAGTTCATTCTTCAACGTTCACAATGGTCGACCGTCTCATCCCTTTATGTAAACAATAAAGTAGTTGTAGAAGTAGTACCATCCATTACATTAAGAAATCAGAGTTTTGGTTGTTTATTATTGATTGATGCTTTGTTACAACATGAGTGTCACTGCTCGAGGATGCGCAGGTTACCAGAGATGACCTTATTCTCAAAGACTGAACCCTCGGGCAAGTCAATCCTTGATCCATGGTTGGCAACGACGATGACATTGCCTCGGAGTACCATATCGGCTCCAAAGGTCACGTCGCCCGACACTGTCAGCTGATCAAGTTCCAAAATGTCTGGCACACCCTTGATTCGGGACTGGTAGTCGGATACCTTTTTGAACATATCACCAAGCTTGACCAGTGGGATCGTGGTGAATGGACGATTCTTGTTCATCACAAGCATGCCCTTCTCCAACTCATACAGATTGGACTGCACGATGAAGAGGTCCGAAGTGGACTTGACTGGCAGGAATCTGGAGCGAGGAACATTGACTCCACGAGCATTGTTGAAGAATTCAATGGCGGCACCAGCAGCAATCTCCAACTGAAGGATATTCTTGCCATCAACGGACTTTGGATTGACAATGATATCCATGTCGTCGAGTAGGCTCTGCTTGATTACACGGTCGACGGCCTTAAGGTTGACCCAGATGTTGTTGGTATTGAAGATCTTAAACTTCTTGATTGACTTGAACTCCTCAACCTTATCCGAAGGACATTGAGCAATCTCCAACAACTTGGCCTTGCCCTCATACTCAATCAACGTGCCACCCTTTACATCTGCGCGTGTCTTGTTGGTGACCTCCATCACATATTCACAGTTCCTCTCTTCCATCATACTCAAAATGTCTAACAATGTGATTGATTGATTGTTAGTATCATTTGATCATTCAAATATCGTTTCCAGAATGAATATTCAACTTACTAAAATCAACTACAGCACCAAGATTGTCAACATTGGAGATGAAGAGATACTCCTTGCCTTGACTGATGAGGGTCTCGAGGAGTCCAGAGTTGTGGAGGGCAAAGAAGACGTCACCGTGTCCAGGTGGATACCACTCGGCATCATTTCCAAACATCTTGTCGGGCACTGGCATCAATGAATCCTTGAGCACCCTTGGGAAACGGCTCTGATTGAATGAATGAATTGAAACATCAGAGTGTTTATACTTTTGGATAATCTTTCCAGTCTCTGAATGAGTGTTGAATGAGTTCATCAATACCAATGGTACTCTAATATCATAGAACTCATTCATTTCCTGTTTGATTAATTGGTGTTGGTTAGTTCATTGATTTACTGAAGTTAGATTGATTGATTGATTGGTGACTTACCTTGATTTGCTGGACAGAGAGATCAAGGAAAGTCTTTTCTCCTCTAACTTCGATTACAGACTTGGGTCCAGTGCAACCCATGGTAGTGCCAAGACCTCCATTGAGCTTGAGAACAGCCAGTTTTCCAGCCAATTCCGAACGACGTTGGTGACCACATGGAGGCAACTCCTTGTAGCTGACAACCATCTCTGCAGGAGGTGGCTTGATCTTCTCCCAATCAATTGTCTTCTTCCTGTTCTTGAGGAACCTTGAGAACAACCTGGTCATTGCCGGTATCTCCTTCTCAAGGAACTCCCTTCTGACCGAGGGGTTGGGAGCAGTGTTGGCCACCTTCTCCAGTCTCTCCAAGAAGGCATCCTCCACCGGTGAATCTGCCGATCGTTGGGAGAATGACTTGAGTTGAGGTGATTGAGGAAGCGAAGTATGGGCTTGGTCTGGTGTCATCATTTTTGCAGGTGCTTGGGATTGTAGTAAGTTAGTATGATTGAATGAATGGTGGGATTGATTGGGGAATAAGGCAGGGTACATACTTTATCTGGCTGGATATTGGATAACCAATTGACTATGAAAGAAAAGAATGAATGAATGGAAGGTTGGAAAAGATTGAATGAATGATTGATTGAATGAATGAATGAATGAATGAATGAATGAAGGAGGTGGAAATGTGACCATCACATGGTTTTATAACAGACAGCTCCCCTTCATTCTCTAAGAGGTATTCAATTACAACTCGACGCCCCATTCATTATGTCAGGTTGCGATATGCGGAAACCACTTACCACTTACCACTCTTGCATACTCTTGTCGTCCTCTTCATCCTCCCTTTTTGTCGTCCAATGATGATGATCATCATGTCTTGTCGACTTGGCATACTAGTGTGGTTGATGATGTCTCGATACATACAAACACACCTGACATCACACTTAGCTCTTCAATCAGCCAGGGCGAGTGTCTGTCTGTCTATGTGTGTTAGTGTGTTGGTTGTGGTGAATGGTAATGTAAATCTCATCACAGTTGTAATGATCAGCACGATAAATCATGTAATCAAAGAGTGAGTGTGATGGACATACCCCCCACACACACACATACACATCAACCAAAGAGAGACATGAGGTAACAATGGAATAACATACCCGCTAGACCAATCAATGGTTATGTTACATCGTTCGGGATAATAGGTTAATGATGTTGTAATCGACAATCGATTGAATTGATTTACCGGTACATGTGACAATGCAGTCTACGATGATGTTGCGGCAATATAGACATCTCTCAGTTCATCAGTTCAATGGCCTCTGGCAAGAATTAGTGTATCCAATGAATGAAAGAGGACACATTAATTAATTAAAGTTGGATGATGTTGTTGTTGCCGTTGCCAATCCAAGCCAATATAATTCGTTACAAAGTAATATCGACAACAATAATTAAAACCCAAACGATCAATGATATTGCCATTTCATGCCATGTCATGCAATGTAGGTCGGTGCCATCAGTACCGATATAGATTGATTGCTGTTGTTAAAGTGACCGTGTGGTGTAAGCATCCAAGCTCCACACACGCTTATCTCGATAAGGCTTTTATGGTTTGATTGTGATTTGAAGTATTGTACTACACAACACTTGGTCGGTGATGTTTCCAAATCCGATTGGGGAGGGTGAGTCGCTTAAGTCATCCTTTGAGATCGAGTTGATTATGCCTTGCCATTGTTTAGTTTCATTGTCTGTTGATTTGCTATTATATTCGCTGCAGTCTTCAATCCATTCAATGTGCATGAATTAACCTGATAGCTTGAGGGCAGAGTACCATATGCTACCAACCATGTTGATGAACAGTCCCAATATGTTGATGGGATGTATGATAATGTCCTTGAAGACCATGGCACCAATGATTGTTGAGGCAATGTTCTTGATCTGTCCAGTGACCGAGGTGGTCAGTGCTGAGTTGACACTGGTGCAAAAGAATATGCAAAAGTTCAACAGGAATCCAATAAAGATGGACAATGTGAAGTACCAGAGGAAGGCGGGGTCGTTGCGATGCTCAAACTGCATAAAGTAGGGCACGTCCTGGAAGGCCACCATCAGCACCGTGACAAAAGGCAACGACAACAATGAGTTGTAGTACAACATGTCGTAGGTGGACATGTCGCGCGCAGTCTTCTTCACAAACACCAAGTAGGTGGCCTGGAAGAAGCAACTGGTCAGCACCAGCGTGTAGCCAAATGCGTTGAATGATAGATCTGTTACACCGGCCACTATTGCACCAAGTACCATTACACAGACGGACAATATAACTCTAGTTGGAGAGATCTTTTTCAAAATGAAGTACTCCATCACCAAAATGATCACTGCCACCAACCTCTTTAACGCGCTATACATTGGTATATTCAATGCTTTCAATGAATCCAATCCAAGTAATACATTAATAATATAACAGAATGATAATGGTGCCAACTAATTGATTGTTTGATTGATTGATTGAGTGAATGAGTTGATTGAGTGACTTTCATGTACGTGATCCGACTTAAACTTACCTTTTTGATAATATTAAAGTCAATGGATGTTTGAATGTTTAGAACCCTCATGTATTTGAGGAAGTGTAGAATGACCAATGACACAACCATCTGACAGAATAACAATAGATTAGATGCTTCAAAGTTATAAGTAGTCATAACCTTCTTGTTAAATATTGTTTGACATAGACTGACAGAACCTAATAATGTTTGATTGATTGATTGAATGAATTAGTAAGATGATTCATCGGAATGAATGAAAGAATGAATGAATAAATGAAATGAATGACATACCATATAGTACAACTGCTAATGCACCCTTTGTATTCTCTGATATTGGATATAATGTAAAGTTATATGATGATGATGATTTAGATGTTGATGATGTTGAAGATGGATGCTCTTTAAAGTTGTCCGCCGACAATTGATGCTCCTTCATCTCTGTTTGTTCATTATTATTATGATGATGTTCAACATTTGAATGTTTATCTTGTTGCTCTGCTGCTGTTGTTGCTGTGACACCCTTTGTCAGCTGACGATGATGATGTTGCTCATGAGTATGTTGTTGTTGTTTTGTAATTATAATTGATGAAGTCATTCTTCTTTGTTTAGTGTACATAAAAAAAAAAAGTGAATGAATAATTCAATGGGATTGACAAGACAGGACTGGTCAGGTTAGGAGTAAGGTAGATAATAATAAATGAAATAAATATATTTTGGGAAGATGAATGAAACACAAGACGAGCCACGTCTTCCAACTACCCCCAACAACACCAATTCAATTCAAAACAGTACTCAACCGTCATCACCATGCTACAGCACTTTTAAAAATAAACCACAAAGTCGTATTAGCAACAACAAATAACACTGTGTATTTGCAAATACTTTATAAGTTTAATATATCCCTTGACTTTTGAAGACCATCTAAAACAATTGCATATGCAAACAAACATAGATTATACATATATGTATAAATAAACAAATGAATTACTTGTGTGTATTATATGTACTTTAGAAAAAATACAAAAGAAAGATCTGAATTGTTCCATTTTTGGTAATGAATCGTGTAATAAACTATTGATTCAATTCAAAGATACTGTTCACCCGACTGACTTACTGACTGACTGAATGACAGACTTCAAATGTAGTGAAGGTTACTCATCATGTGTCATTCTCTACAACTAAACAAATACACATATTCACACATAAACACATACTTCATTGTATTATTACAATAACAAGATAAGATACCATGGAGAAATCAATCAAGAGAATAGATATAATTGGTGAACATATTGTTAATTCATTCAATTCAAAGTCAACAACAACTAGTGGTATTCCAGTAAACATGTCAACGACGTCAAACTCTGATGATAATGAACCAATATTGTTGCAATCACACGAGGGATCGACAACAGTGATCACACTAAACAGAAAGAAACAATTGAATGTACTAAACACAGACATCTTTGTTGGTCTCAACAAACTCTTGCTCAACTTTGCCAAGAATACCAATGCCCACCTCCTAATCCTCAAGGGCAGTGGAAACAAGGCATATTGTGCAGGTGGAGATATCAAAGGTACGATACGCGCTGACCATGTTCGACAACTCTGGACCACATTCTAACATCTCTGATATCATACAGAGCTCACATCACAGACTCGCAAGCTTGGATACTCATTCCCCAAGTACTTCTTCACACATGAATATAACATGGACTATACTGCTGCCACTTTGAGCAAGCCAAGGATCGTCATTTGGGATGGCATTGCAAGTATGTTGACAACAACATGTCAATGCATTGATTGACTACAACATGGGCACACTAAGCTAACAATCGTCATCATCATGTACATTATAGTGGGCGGTGGATTGGGAGTATCGATACACTCAACCTTCAGGATAGTCACTGAGAGGACAATCTGGGCGATGCCAGAAGTTTGTAAGTTATTCTTGGGCGCACTCAATCATTTGATCAAAGTCTAATCAATCAATCAATCAATCAAATATATACATATAGCCATTGGATTGTTCCCAGATGTTGGTGGATCATACTTCTTGGCCAGATTGCCAGACTCACTTGGAAACTATTTGGGTCTCACTGGAAAGTCGATATCCGGTGCTGATTGTCTGTAAGTGATGGTGGACCACCTTTGATACATCATTGAACAAAGTACTAACTAACTGACCATTCATTCATGTTATACAGTAAGTTTGGCATTGCTACACATTATGTACATTCATCCAAACTTGTAGAGTTGGAGAATAAGTTGATATCATCAGTCAATTGTCAGGACTTTAATAGAATCGAATCGATCATTAATGAGTATGCCTCAGTGCCAACTGAGCCATCCAAACTATATAACGATTGGCCACTCATTCAACAATGTTTTGCCAACAAATACAACAATGTAAATGAGATCCTGGACTCTCTAAAGGCCTCCAACACCAAATGGGGAGCAGATCTCATCAAGCTCATTCGTCTCAAGTCTCCAACAAGTGTCAAGGTAACATTCAATCATCAATATAACTGGAATTATTCCAATCAATCATACTCACTTACTCATTCAAACATATAGATTGCATTTAGACAAGTCAAGGAAGGAGTGAACAAGACATTGGAGGAGGTGTTTACGATGGAGTATAGGATTGCTATACGTTGTTTGGAGTCGCCAGACTTCTTTGAAGGTGTTAGAGCAGTTGTTGTGGATAAGGATCAAAAGCCAAAGTGGAATCCAGCAACATTGGAAGAGGTCACCGATGAACAGGTGGAGCGATACTTCTCCGCCATGCCAGTGGGTCAAGAACTCCAACTTGGCAGTCCATTCAATGTCACTGGCCTTCACAACTAAGACCAACCTTAAGGTCTGTCGGCACCCTGCGCCAATGCCAATACCAAGACCAGGTGATCCATCACTTTACTCGTCATGAAACAAACTAAACAAAACAGGGGGATGCGCCCTACTTGTGAGTGTGTGGTATCTCACAAAAGGCCCATTATTTGATTGACAAATCGGAGGTTGTTTTTCGAATAGTGGAGGGTGAGCCACTATCAAACTTGGTAGGGTCCAACACCCGACCACAAGGCGGGAGACATCATCATCGACCAAGATCTTTTTTGTTTTGTTTTTTTTTTTTGATTGTTCGTGAGTGTGTTATGTACAACTATGTCTGATAGACAGGAACAAACAAAACAATACAATCCAATCGCGTGTGTCTACCATTCACCGGAGTGATTGAGTGTGTGAATGATTGAATCATTCGGATTTATTTGATTTATCTACACAAATATCTTTATCTATTTTGTTTGTTATTAGTGTTAAGTGTGTGTCTGTCTTTGTGTGATCAATTTGATAGATAGTGTGTCCGTTTGTTTGTGTTCATTGCAGGTACAAGTAAACACTTTCACACTTCCAAACACAAGTACAAGTACATCTTCATATTCATTCATCATTCAACCAATCATATTACTCATAGTATTATATAATATCATATCAATTATCAATCATCAATCATTCATTCATTCAATCACAAATAATAGATATATCTTAAAAAGCAGGAGGAGTGTGAAAGCAAGCAAGGTAGCGAGTGAGCGAGAAGTGCAAACAGCAAACGAAGATCTTAGATTCATCGGAATTACTTAAATATATATAATATATATATATACATATAAATATAAATAATATTATCAACTCACATCAGATAATATGTCTTCAACTTCTCCTACAACATCAGGAGGACAGCAGACTCAACAACAGCAGCAGCCACAACAGCAGGTATTATCACCAGATGGAAAGGTGTGTATCCTGCACTCACTCATTCAATTAAACAAACTGCCAATCAATCAAATAACTAACATGTCCCGGAATAATAATAATGTGTAGAAGGTTAACTTAAAGGAAGCCAGTACTGTTGAGGACTTTAATAAGGATGATGCAAATGGATGGGATTTTGGAGGCTCGATAAGAGTTAATACGCTACACAAGAATGACGTCAAGCGTGGAAACTTGATTGACGAGATATCCGACTTGAGGAATGTACTTAGGAAGTCGGTAATGGGTCCATTGTCTCGTGAGTTGCTCACGGACAAGATGTACATGCCACCGGGCGACGACGAGTACGACCTACTGGACGCCGCCACAACATCATCGGGCGGCGGCGGCGGCGACTACCGCATGCCACACTCAAGAAGCAACGTCAGCATCTCATCAATGTCCTCGTCGCGACTCTCACAACATCAGTCGGTGAACGAGGAAGAGATCAAGCAATGTGACGCGATCGAGAGTGAGCTGAGCGAGCTGCTCACAAACAAAGCGGCCCAGGAGGACGTCCCAACGATCACCATCAACAAGGAGAAGCTGGTCATGCTCATGAAGGACTACAAGCGTTCAAAGGACGTTATGAAGGTCAAGTCCTCGCTGATTCAAGAGATGGACAATGAGCTGTGCGAGGTCAGGGGTGACCTTGAGCTCAAGAAGAAGAAGATCCAGATACTCAAGTCGGCTCACAACACAATCAGACCAAGCGCCCATCAACACGCAGTCGTCGAGCAACAACAACAACAGCCACCAGCATCATCATCCAACAACAACACTAGAATGAGCAATGGCACTGGTACAGGTGGCCGAGTTAGGTCATCCACTGTTGCCTCACCACATGACACCCAATCATCAGGACAAAGACAACAACACGAATCATCATCTTCATCAGCATCAATTAATACATCTATCAACAATCTACTACAACAGACCACTTCGGCGCCGGGTGGCGTGATCAGCGAGGACATCAACTCAAAGATCGTCGACGTGCTCAACACGGCCAAGTACAGGATCGAGAGGATACAGTTCAAGAACCGCATGCTGCTCACGTCCAAGATGCACACGCTGTCCAACGAGATCCACCAGATTCTGGACAAGCGCATCACCAAGAAGCAGGTGAACATCGAGCTGGTCAAGAACTCGCAGATCGTGGCCGACTGCGACGAGAGATCAGCAAGTCCATCGTCAACTTTATGAACGGCCTGATCGAGCAGGCGCAGGTCATTGATGTACATATCGACGACGCCAACAAGAAGAAGAAGTTCAAGCTGAAGGAGAAGTCCAAGAAGGTGATGGACCTGGAGAAGTCCAAGAAGCAGATCGAGGCCGCGCTGGCATTCCTCAAGATTGAGAAGCGTAGTGTCCGCGAGCTCAGGGACCGCTTCGTGTCCGTCTGCAACGAAGTCACCGCACTGTATGAACACTGTAACACTATTGAGAGAGACCTGTCCAAGTGGGACATCGAGCTGGAGCGCCTCTACTCCAAGGTCAAGGAGGGATACTTCAGCGACTACTTCAAGCTGCACCCCGTCTTTGAGACGTGCAGCGCCCGCATCCGCGACCACCACCAGGTCAAGCAGGACCTGATCCGAGAGCTGGCTAGGAGAGAGGCCGCCCGCATTGCATCGGAAATCTATGTCAGCGGCATCATTCAGATCCTCGAGTGTGGCGTAGACCTCATTACCGACGAGAGAATGGTCGACGTTGCCCGTGTGCGTGGTTTGGAGCATCAGGTGCACATGCTCTATCACGCCCTCCACGACCAACAGATGGAGATGTCCTACGCCATCCACATGAGAGGCAGCGGCGGTGTTATGCCACCTCAGGCTTCCAACGAAGGCTCGAGTCCACAGCAGCAACAGACTCCGCCACACCCCCACCAGCAGCAACAACAGCAACAACCTTCATCCTCTGGTTCCAGGGGCAGTCCAAAGGTGTCTCCATCCAATACCGTTGGAAACAAGCCACCCACTATGGTCGGAAGCAGTGGCGACCTGAGCAAGAAGAGCAATGATTCCAGAGGTTCAATGGGAAGCAACTCTAGCGCCCAATCGTCACCAATGTCCTCATCTCCACCATCTACCAACCATATCACATCGGCAGCAGCAAAGTCATCAAGCACACCACCAGTCCTGTCACCAAGCAAGCCAGCAGTTCAGACACAAGTCCAACCTTCACAGCCACAAACACAGCCACAACAACAAGCAAAGCCAATGAACACAACACCATCAGTAGCCACAACAACATCAACAGCCACTTCAACAACTGTTGCCACAAAGCCAGCGACATCAACAACATCTACAACCACACCAAGTAGTGCGCCAGCCAACCAAACAAAGAGTCCAACTCCTGCGGCAGCAGCAGCCCCATCTAATCCACGTCCAAAGGGTGCACCAGGTGCTTTCGTTATGGAGTCCCTTATCAAGAACACTGACGCCTTCTTCTCGGTATGTATCCCACTACACATCTGTCTAACAACATAATACTTATCTCTCTATCATCTCCATAATCATTAGTTGGCCGACAAGAACCAGTCCTCGCCCCTGTTGATCAAAACATCAGGTTATCTGGATACAATCAGCGACCTTACAGCTGAGCAACTGATTCAGAGCGCATACGCTGCATGCAATGAAGGCAAGGTCTACTCTGACTCACTGAGGGTCAATGGAAGCATGATGGGTGGCGACCAGGTCGATGTTTACATGGCATCAGAGCTGTTGAAGCACTTTTTCCGCACTGCCAACCCATTCCTCTCTGAGCAGCTGACTCAAGAGTGGCTGGCCGTTGATTCAATAGAGGACAACGAGAGAGCCATGGAGGCTGTCCGTACATTCATCAAGAAGATGCCAGATGAGAACAAGGCCATCCTCAGCTCACTGCTGCGTCTTCTCAACAAGGTTGCCCAGAAGTCTCTGGCCAGCAAGCCCAATCCGAACCTCATTCCAACCATGTCCAAGGCGTTCTCTGAGCTTGTCTTGAGAACAAATAAATAAATAAGCCTATACTACTCTTTATACCTAGTATCCTAAAATAGAGTCGCTGCTCGTTTATTTGGAAGTATGTCCAGCAGAATATGTGCCAGAGGAGTGAAGGGTAAGGAGGTACAGGTCAGGTTGGAAGCGAGCTCATGTCGACTTAACGAATGATTGACTAACTGATGTTGTTGTGTGCCATGGCGGTCAGTAAAGTTGATAAGCTATTGAGTGGTTGCATCAAGCTCCTTCATCTCGGTTAGGATCTGACCCAGAGATGTTGGCGCCACGGGCACGATAAAGTATGACTCGCCAGCTTCGACCTTGTTCAAAATGACACCATGGTCGGTGAACTCCACCAACATAGCGCGTAGCATCGCCTCTGATGATATTAGGAACATGTCGACACATCGATCGAACAAAAGGTTGAACGACATCCTCTTCTCCTTGTTCCCAATCAGGTATTCCAGTAGCACTTTGAATATGGATCGCGCATTTGGTGTAAGACTTCTGAGGATGACAACTACCGACTTGACGTTCATCTTTTGTCCACGAGTGAACAGTAGCGACAACTCATAAGCCGTCTCCACTGTGTATTGCGCAAATGTAGGTACATCGTGCCACATCCAATTGAACTGCACTGTCATGTTGAGATCCCATACTGGATGTAGGTTGGGCTGGTTAGTCAGTGGACGAATGGAATGATTGATTGACAGGGATCATGCACTTACAGATGGGACTGTTGACATGGTCGATCGAGGCAATGATGCGGATGTTGGGAATCTCGGCAAGACTACCAAGAACCTTTTGAATCTTCTGGTGACGCACAGACACGCCGTCGATGTTGTGTATGATCAGATAGATCACGTCGTACAACTCAAAGTTCTTTCTCCGTATATGTTCTTCATCATCATCCATGAAAGAGCCATTTGGCATTGTAGCCATATCCGATGCCGACGTGAGGTTGCGATCTCTCTCTCTCCTTCTATTGGCCTTGGCCTCAAACAATGCCTTGATGTGTTCGACATGATGTATAGGTGTGGAAAAGCGCTCATTTGATAGGAACAACTTGTTAGATATGCAGTACAGTAGCTACACACGTGATCGATTGTTGTTAGGAGATGGACCAACCAAGAGTATGTATGTATGTCACAGCCACTTACATCTTTGATGTTGAATATTGGTAGATAGCCGTTGATCTCTATGTGTGGCCCATCAAGACAGAATCGATTACGGAACTGATTGATCAACTCCTTCTTGCTGCCATATCCATAGAGCAACAGGTTGTAGCCCATTGTGAGATCGTTCCACATCTCATGCGACTTGTTCAGACTGTACTTCTCAAGAAGCTTAGCCTTGAGTTCTTGATGCTTCTCTGGCATCGAGTCAAGCAAGCTGGCCACCTCCGAGCCATCAAGTAGCCTTGTGTCGGCAAGAGTGCGTGACGATGTCTTGCCAGTGTCTGCTTTGAATGAAAAGTAGTCGAGCTCTTCCTCTGAATCACTTATCATAATGTCTCCATTGTCCAATTGATCACCAGCTTTCTTCTTTGTAGACTTGGAAGTAGATCCTGACTTCTTCTTCCTTGTTGAAGTTGTAGATGTAGTAGTTGTTGTTGTTGTTGTAGTCTTTGGTTTCCGTCCCGTTGTCTTTTTCCCCGTTGGTAATGAATCAATCGCCATTGGTTGTACTGTAGTATTCTTCTTCTTCTTTGTTGTTGACATTGTCTGTATCTGTATTTGTGTCTCAATTAAACTTTGAATTCAAAATGAACTCCCTCCTTTTTTGATCATTGTCCCTCAGCTTCGATGAGAGTGTTTATTGTCAGAAATCATTAACGATTGGCACTACCAGAGTTGATGTTCACTGATTGTCGTTTTATCTCTTGGACACCTTTGATCGACCAAAGTATATGTCGGCACACTTCTAATGTCTTGGCATAGGAACTGGCAGCAAGCATGGCAGAACTCATAGTGATCGAGTCTTGATCGAATTCGTTATTCTCATCGGTAATCAAGTTGTCTTGATACATGTTATGTCTGATCAAACTGTCATAGTACAATGCAGAGTCACCAGAGTGGAATCTAAGTGTCTTCTCATCAGCCAGTTGACCAAGATAATCAGCAGTCCAATCCAGTTCCCCAAACAACATTCTTAAGTTCTGAGGTCCATCTGACTTGTTGAACTTTCCAATAATAACTCTGTATGAATGAGAGTGATCGAGAGTGAGTAAGTATGTGATTGACTGATTGGAATAGATCCATGTTGTATTACATACGAGGGGAGTAATTGACATGTGGAGTCAAGACTGACCAGACAGACATATAGCTTTGTGGAGAGCTTGAGGAGGTCTCGATATTGTCGGAATATCTTTGGTTTGAACATAAGTTCCAGGTGGACATTGTTGATAAGTGAGCGCATCGTAGCTATTTTGGCTCGCATCTCTTTCAATTTGAGGTTGTTGAGCTCCTTGTTGCATGTGTTCGGACACATGGCATGTGAATCGAATCGGAAATGATAATGTATAAGTTGTTTGAATAGTTGGTTTGATTCATCCATCAGTTGGCACAGGCCACTATCCAACTTATTCTGATCGTATTGTGGAAGCACAAGATTGGACACTAATACCACGGCCATATTACCAATGGAGATATGTAGCACACGGAGCAGACAGAGAACGTAGCTTGGTGAGCCACGATAGAACATTGATATACTGAGCACTAGGAAGGTGTTGCCAATGAAGCTGAAGAGTTGTGGAAACTCATTATGGGTGATATGATAGGAGAGTTGTGTAAAGAGTATGAATGTGATCGATTGGAGTATGAAGGCACTCGCCACACCACTTGAAGGTAGATTGACCAGCACTGCCACTCCATATGATATCAGTCCTCCTATTAATGTTCCACCAAGACGTTGAGCGGCAACCAAAGTTGATGTGCCAACGGTCGATGACATTACAAATTGGTAGGTGATGACCACCCATTCAAAGTTATTGAATAGGATGAAGGTAGTATGCTTCCTTAGTTCCAAGAAGATAAAGCTGAGTAATGTGGCACCAATGGAGAACTTTAAAGCAAATATCCACTCGGCGAATATGCGTGTCAGTGCTGCCATCACTACCACCTTGGCTCTCTGTGTGAATGGATATTTGATCTTGGATATACGCCTTGGGAATGGGTATGCACTGTTGAGGCTGCGCTTGATGTTGTTGAACATTTGTTTGATCGTGCGCTGCAGTGAGTGGTAGATTGAACGGACTGCCAGGACCATGTGATTGGACTCGACTGGATGAATCGATATGTCATAGACGATGAATGATAGCTTCTTCAGATCATCAGAGTACTTGATGATACCCATGAGGAACCAATGCACTCTAGATATCTCTGGGTCGATCTTTTGTTGTGTTCTGGCTCGATCAGAAGTATAGTAATACTCTTGATTGGCGACGATCTCATGGTACTTCTCCTTGAACTCGGTTGTCGTGGCGCTGATCGTCTCGAATGATTGCATTGCCAGAAATTGAAGAGTATCCATTGACACGTGCTTCTCACTGTTTAGAAATGAGTGGACATCACTCATTGACCATTGACTGTATATCGTTGAAAGATCACTCTGTTTCTTGTAGAATGAGAAGAAGTAGTCTGATCTCGTCCTCATCATCTTTTCCATAATCAACATGATTGTCGTAGACTCTTGAATGAGTATATCAATGTAGGGTCTCAGAGGCAGGATCATCTTGATTCGGTAGTCCGACACTTTGGACAAAACATGTGAGTGGAGCATCACCAACTTCTTGTGATTCCTGTCCAGTTGAAATGCCATCTCCTCCAGCTTGGATATGATCGACTCGGTCCACTCCTCCTTCTTGGCCTCTGCCAGATACTTGTACAATGTATTCAATCCTTTGGAGTATTTGACTGCCAGTGCGATCACATCCTCTGAGAACTTTGGGTTGGGGACGTACTTTGATGCTGCGGATGCCTCTGGAACTGAAGGTGCGACACTGACCTTGTTGCTCTCATCGATTGTAATGACCTGGGAAGTATTAAGTAGATACTCTGGCACAGTCTCCAGAGGAAAGAATGGATCCTTGACAGTGTACCTGGACATAGTCGCCTGATTCCTTATTCGATTGATGATGGTCGCGCGATACTCTTGGTCAGTCGCCATGTTTGTAGATGGTATTCGAATGTCACACTCGGCCTCAAGTACGTTGTCTGATCTGTTGATCAACTCTTGTCCGGCCAGTTCAAAGAGTTTCCTTGACCTGGCAATGACCTTGCCACTGTACCTCATGAACAGTGTTGAAGAGAAGTATGGATTGAATATAATGCATGCTGTGAATACAGATACTAGCATGGCAATTGAACAGACAAAGTACCTGAGGAAGACGGTTGTGTTCTTTTGAAGTAGTTCGAAGGAGTAGAGTATGACAAACAATGAGAGGAACAAGAACTTTGCTTGTTGGAAGGGCAGCCACTTGCTCGTACTTTTGGTCAGACTGCTGGTTATGAATATAAATATAAAGTGAAGAATGATTGTTATCCATAGGATATGATCGGCCATTTGATAGATGATGTATGCTCCAAAGCAACCGATGAATGCTCCAAATGTAGTTCGCAATACATTCTCAATGATCACCAAGAAGGAATCTGACGATTGGGCCACCTGGAATGTGAATAGACATATGAATATCTGTGAGAGAGGTGGAAAGAAGTGTTGGAACACATCAATCGTTGAGAACAACATAGATAGTGAAACAGTTGCAGCCACAAATACTGGATAATAATAATGTACATTATCTTTCTTTCTTCTTTTATAGAACCTAAGTATGTGTTGAATATGATATGATGAATGAGCAAGTTGAGTTGTTAGTACTCAATTTATTATGATGTTAATTGATTGATTGAGTAGGATGTTCATACTCTTTTAACCTCTGCAACATCATATTATACTATCTTCCTATTTATATATATATACATTGTTATACATAGGTAGTGCTGAGCAATGAGGGATAATGATGTCCATCCACTACACAAAGGGGTACTCATCCTTTGCCTGTCTGCAGTTCATTGTCATTGACACTACTCACATTCATTCTTTGACAACTTGTGTGTCTCTGTGTATGTGTGTTAGTGTTGACAATGTGAGTGTGAAGTTGTAAGTGTACTAGATAGGGTCTTATTACTTGTTATGGCAACATTCGAATGAACAAATAGAGGGGGGGTTGTAGACGACAATGATGTTCTCACTCACTGCGCCACAATGATTGATTGCTGGAAAGGAAAAAATCAGACTTTATAAGGTAACATTCATTCTCATACGGTGAGAATAGGTAGTTGATGATGATTTTTGTTGAGGTTGTTGTTGTTGTCCTTGTTGTTGATGATGTTGAAGTCTATTATCGATTATTATAAGTGCTCGCTCAAGTCGGTAGAGTAGCAATGATGGATTGTAAGGGAAAACATTGTTCTGGTGTGATTTGCTGATTGTCTGAGTTAGCTTATGTAGACTTCTTGATATCAAGTAGTAATCGTATTCAGTGTCGCTGGAGACTGAGTCCACCTCATCCTCCTCGTCCACTTTGTTGTTGTTCTTGGTATCTTTGTTGGTGTTGTTGAATCTATTGTCTACAACTTGTTCGATGTCATAGTTATCATTGTCATCTTCGCTAACACTGCCGGTATCGTCTTCATCCATATTGGTGTCGGGTCGTACTGGGAACAACTGGAAAGAGGTAGGATTTGTAACTATATAATTAAGGTATCTATAATGAAGATGTTAGTACATTGTCCATTGATAGTGTTGGGAATGAATGTAACATAACTTACTTTAAAAAGTAGGAAAGGAATTGAGTCGACTCGCTAGATATTAACAAGTCAATCAACATGGTATAATCGAATGAACATATATGCTCCATAAAGTATTGGAACACTAGATGCGGATGAACTGTCCTGGACAATGTCTTCAAAACAACATTGTTTGTGTTTAGCCTGTTGTCGCGAGGAAGTTAGTTAGTGGCGGCAACACTCTCCACACATGCGCCGAACAAACATACCTCTCAATTGAGTTATGAATAGATAATAGGGTCTCCATGGTGTCGATGGCCTCAATGTCTAGATGCTCGCCAAAGAGATGTGCATGTCGTCGGATACTAAAGCGACGAATTAATGCATTGGCGTCGTCACCAAGTAGTTCGAGAAGTGTTGATATATATGGCCGGGAGTCTTGTCCATTGGATAGTAATGTGTTTATGACCTCCAGTACCAGTTTATAGAAGCGTGATAATATGATTGTAGAGGTGCCGCGAGAATGAAGAAATACATTAGCCACGTCGCCACTACCATAGCTACTGGTAGTTGGCGAGTCGCCAGAGGATGTGGTTGTTGTTGTTGAGTTGCGAGCAAGAGTACTAATGTCGCTGTTGTTGAATAGGTTACTAAAGTAGGATACAACGCGTAGGTACTCAGTAATGATATGACTATTGGCCTTGTTGAACATTGTGAAGATCTTGAGCACTTTGAGTATGATGACGTAGGCTGCCGACCTGTCTGGCGCAGTGGTCAACTGTTGCTGTGATGGGTCTTCCATGAGGCAGTGACGAAAGATGTCCAGATAGAAGTTGCCCAGCTGATGAGTCGATGAGAACAGGTTGTTGATAGAGTCGATGTGAGGATGTGCGCCAGCGCCACCCAAGTTGCCATTGTGAGAGTAGAGTAGCTGTAGCAACTTGTACAGGATTGAGAAGACGTATGGGTGGGAGCTGTCAATGAGACAGCTAGACTTGGTTGAGCTACGGCAGCTACCTGATGAGCGTATATGTTGGATGAAGTCCACGGTGATTGAAACCACGAGTGAGTGACTGTCGTTGTTTGAGCAAGTGGTGGCATCAGCTGAAGGGTCGTTGTTGGACGCGTCGCGTGAGTCGCCATCCTTTTTGTGACCGCGTCCATAGAGTATCTTTAACAACTTGTAGATGGTCTCGTAATAGACGATGGGGCCATCTGGCGTGACATCCTTCATTCTAAACACCATGTTTAGTATCTGTTGACGATCGGTAACATTGTCGAATTGTTCAAATACTGTTAGGAGGGACTTCTGATAAGCATGATAAGCAAGCATGCATTTCTTTTGTCTTTGAGCTACCATGTCATTACACTACATCGCATCATGTTAGTATAAGGTTGTTGTTGGGGTGGCGTGTGGCCGTAGAACTTGTAGATTCCGTTGCCGTGTTGCCTTGTTGCCGTAATTCCGTTGCCGTGTAGACATGTAATGTCCAGTAATTCAATACTTACAATCTTTATCATACATGTGGAGGGAGGTAATGTACACTGATTGTTGATATCCATCAACAAGTTGAAGTTGAACAGTAGGTGATCACGAAGGTCACCATCATTGTCCATTGTACGATGGACGATCATTAATTTATGATCGTCAAGGGAAACGGATATATATATTTAAAGAAGTAAGTATAGATAACGAACGAATGAATGAGAATGAGTGATGATCACAGTTTGAATAATTTTGTTGATTGTGATGTGTGATTGTTGGTTGACTTGGAGAATGGAGATTGGTAGCTGGAGCAGTGAGCGAGGCGAAGATGGAACATTTATATAAGTTTATGAATGACGTGTTTGCACTTCCTTTGTTCGGAGATGAGTGTATATAGGTATGTTGGGAATGAGTTGGAAGTAAAATCTAAGAAGCTTGCATACTCATGTGCATTCAACTACATTTTATTTGGGACTGGCTGCTGAGGTGATGTTAGGCCAGGCCAGGTGAGGTGAGGTGAGGTGCAGTATGAATGAATGAAAGAATGAATGAAGTCGATGATGTTGGAAACTGAGAGTGGCGCAGAGGGCACTACTGCCAACCACCCCCCAGCAGAGAGGTCGCTGACGAACAACTAGACGGTGCACGTTGAGCATTTATGGACAAGTATGGCCAAGGGTATATATAAATGGACCGAATGTGTAGTGCTTTGCAATCAATCATAAACACTTATAAATCTATCGCGTGGTTTACCCAAGATGGACTGACGACTCGTCCTGGTCCAACGGCCATAAATTTCGCCTTTTTTGGCATAAGGCCTCCATTTTTGAGATGTGGGACGACGCTCCATAAATGTTCACACGCGAGGCTGATCTGGCTTGGCACCTGCCTTGATAGGTCGGAATTGGGACAGTCCATCGAAGACGGGCCATTTATTGCCTGTACCTCTTATGGTCCTTGATCTTGGATAAATAGTAACGCAGCTCATCGTACTCGCTCGTCCGGCTGGGTTCATAACGGTGATCACCAACGATGTTGTCGGCCTGTTGTTGTTGGTGATGTAGAGGTTGTTGTTGTTGTTGATGTTGGTGATGTTGATGTTGGTGATGGTTGTCGCTGGTGTTATTGCCAAAGTTGAATCTGTTAAATATACGCATGTTGTTGTCAAAGTACAACTGCTGTTGTTGATAAAAGTCTGGATGTTGTTGTAGTTGTTGTTGTTGTGATTGTTGATTGATATCTACATTGTTGTGATTATTATTATTGTTCATCATCATGCCTTGATTTTGTTGTTGTTGATACACAAATCCAGGATCATGATACATGTTGTTGTTGTTGTTGTTGTTGTCGTTTGATATATATTCCATGTTGTTGATGTTGTTGTTGTAGTCGCCATTGACAATACCATTGCCATTGTAGTTGAAATTGTTGTTGATGTTGTTGTTGTTGTTATCGTAGTTGTTGACATTGACATCCCACGCCAAAGGTAGATCCATCTCATCGAATGTAAAATGATGATGAACAAACTCCTTCTTAAACTTGTCAAACGTCTGTTGATCGCCTCCATCTATTGGTCCACGTGTGCTCTTATGCATGCCGCGACCTCTACCACTTTCATTTCCACCGCTATGACCACTGCCGTCACTACCTTGAAGTGGCGGTGTTTGAGTTGTCGCCACAACTACAGGGCTATCCTGACCTAATGTTGTTGTCATTGACGTCAATGACTTGTTATATATCGACCATAACTCTGAAAAGTCTTCCAGTGGATGATGGTAACCCAATGTAATATCATACTTCTTCTTCTTCTGTTCTCGCCTATCATCATCCATCTTCTTCAACATCTTTGATATCTCTTTCTCGGTCAACAGTGGACATATTAGTCGATTGTCTCTGTTAATAATATGATGGAGTTAGTAAGGTTGATTGTTCATTCATTGATCGACTTCATTCAATCAAATCATACATGTTGGTACCATCAAGTATTGAGTTGGCCTTGGTTATCAATGATTCGTCAAAGATATTGTTCTTCTCCCAGATGCCCAACACCTTTTCTATATGTTCTTTGTTCTTCTTCTTTGTCTCTGCATTGTCATCGGGTAATATCAGAGGCAGTATCTCTTCAATATGATCAATGACCACCTGTCTATATGCTGTTGTCTTCTTTGCATGACATCTCTGACATATACTATCGACCAAATAAAAGAATGGTAGTCTCTTCTGAAATGCGCTCTATATGTTCATTCATCGATTGATTGATTGTTCAATGTGATCCATTCATTGAATGATTGATTGATTGATCAAGAATTGGGTCAAGTGGAGATTGAATGAACATTGAACAATGATGAGGGATGGAGGGATAGAGGGAGGGATAATGGTTAGCGGTCTGTTCAACAATGTCAACTCAATGAATGAATGAATGTATCATACCTTCCTCAGCCTATTCAGTAATACTTCAAAGAGATCATTGATGACTGATATGTTCTCAATGACGAATTGTGACGCTCTGTCTATTGATTCTTTGGTGATTGATAGAGTCTCTAGTTGCTCTTTGAACTTCTCCGTCGGGTATTCATCATATGACTGCATTGTAAGATGTGAAGGTGGAGTATTGACTGGTCCACCAAAATGTTGACTGTCAACTGGTGAGGTAGTAGATGACATCATCATCATCATAGTAGGTGTAGTACTATTACTATTACTATGACTTTGACTATGACCATCTGATGATGTTGTTGATGTTGTTGTTGTGGTTGTTGTTGTCGTTGTCGTTGATGTTAAAGTCGGTGAACAAGTACTTGTCGGTGCTATGTTGTTGTTGTTGTAGTACTCATGAGCACCATTCGAATGGTGACTCATTGCTTCCTATATATATATACTCTGCTGTTGTTGTCTGTCGTTATCCTCTGTTTATTATGTTATGTTATGTCATACACATAATATGTATCTGTTGGCGCGAGTCAGATGAACAATCAAAAATGATTGTTTGCTGACCTTCAAAGGGTGGGACTTGATTGATTGGGTGCGTGGGTCCTCAACCGACCCCTCAACAATGTTTATGGGATATGATCAATCACTCAAACACAATCCCCAAGCATATGACCGATTGGGTTCATCCCAAGATAGGTAAGGTGGAACGAGATATATTGATGGGTTTATTTCGAGAGTGACCAACCAACCAATCAATCAATCAATTCTATTTCTTTGCCCTTGATGACCTGGTGCTGCCGATGATACTGCTGGAAGTCGTGGTCGTCGAGTGATCATTGTGATTTGACTTGGCCTTACTACTGCTGCTGCTGGACGTGTTACTGTTGTTGTTGTTGTTGTTGTTGACTGTGGTACTCCTCCGCCTTGATGGCCTCTGTGATTGGAAGGGAGGCGAGACCGTCCTGGCAGACGATCGCATCGAATGGCAATTGGCAGACTTGATTTGCCAATTGGTGTGCAGGTTGGGATCGCGCGTGAACCTCGTCGGGAACTCGCTCATCCCCTTTACTAAATTGTCTGATAAATAGTTGTCGTCCAAAGCTGGCAAATCCTTGGTGAGTCTGATCGTCTTGATTGAGAGGTTGGGATTAATTGTACAGTGCAATGTTTGTAGATACTATAGATTGGTTGATAGGTTGGTGTTAGTGTCTGCCTGTCCATGTCACTGTCCATGTCTGTCGCGTGTGTCCTTACCTCTTTGATATAATGTAGGATTTTGTCCAGTGAACAAAGACCACCGTTCTCTCTGATCGCCATTGCTGCCAGGTCTAGGATGTGTGATGGGTCACCTGCCGCTCGAGTCTCATCAGAGGATGACGATGAGGAGTCGTCGTCGCCATCATCGTCGTCAGCCTCGTCGTTTGACTGATCCGAGTGTGAGGACTTGGTCTCGGCCTCCTCGACAACCTCATCCTCGACTGGCTGTTGTTGCTTCGGTGGTTGCAGACTGATCTTGCTCATTCCTTTCCTTCGTCTGATTGGTTGATGTTGTTTCGGTGGTTGTGGTGCCTCTGGTTGTGGTGCCTCTTGCTCTTGTTCTTGCTCTTGTTCTTGCTCTGCCTCTGCCTCTGCCTCTGCCTTTGCCTGTGCCACAAGCTTCGGAGACGGCTTGCCCTTCCTTGTCTTCTTCGTAGGCGTCTCGTAGACACTGGTGTCTAGATCAGCATCAGCGTTGTTGTTGTTCTCGGTCTTGTTCGTGTCGTCATCAATTTTGTTGTTGTTGTTGTTATCCTGCTTGCCTTCGTCGTCATTGAGCATTGGAGGAGTTGTGTTGCTTTGTTTTGAGGATGTCTCGTCGTCGACTGTCGTGGTGGTCTTCCTCTTACGACTGCTAAACTTGCGTCGCAGTGGTGTGTGTGGCTGCTTGCCATTATTGTTGTTGTTGTTGGTGTTGTTCTCGGCTTCAGCCACGCCATTAGCAGTCTCAGTCTTTGTGTCGATGGAAACCTGAACAGGCTCGGATGGAGGCGACTCTAGCTTGTTCGGTGTAGAGGGCGGTGAGGCTGTGGGCAGGCTGGTGCCTGCCTCTTGCTTGGGGTGCGATGTTCTCTTCTTCCTACTCAGTGGCTGCGTCTTGATGATGGTTGGCGTCACAGCCGCCTCCTTCTTAACCTCGGTGGTTGATGATGATGGCTCTGTGTCCATTGGCTCTGTGTCTTTTGTCGTAGTCGTAGATGTGGTCGTCGTTGTAGTTGTGGTAGTCGTAGTGGTTGGTGTTGTTGTTGATGCTGATTGCTGTTCGAACTTAACATCAGTGGTCAGGCTCGTTTCTCTCTTGTTGTTGTTTGTTGTTGTTGTTTGTTCATTTACAGTCTCCTCCCCTTGCTCTTGCTTGTTTTCCATGCTCTCATCCATCTTGCCATCGGCTCCAGCACTACCACCATCATTGATGGCCAGGTCGACCGTCTTTCCTAGGGGGCCCAGCGAGTACCATCCAGGACCCTTTGAATTGTCCGGTTGATAATAAGGATTGTCTGCCGCTGTGTTTGATAGAGTCGCAGCGATCACACGTTTATGATCATAAGTATATCTTGATCCATCTCTCTTCCTCAGGTTGTACCATTTCTGTTTGATTGGTGTCACGTGATCGATCGAGGGGCGTTAGTATGTTTGAATGATTGAGTGATTGATGTCACGTGATCTCCTTTGCAACTACTCACATCTGACAAGAACTCCTGTATTTGAGATAGGGGAGCTGATCCATTGTTTGCACGCAGTGCTCTTATGATAAGTTCTGGAATGGGCAAGCAAGGCGAATGTTAGTGCGTGGTCAGCGAGTGATGGGAGGTCGGTTGTTGGCTACTTACTTTGTACTTCTCTTAGTGATTGCTCTTCCTTCTCATCCTCAGCATCCTCGTCTTCCTTGTCCTTCTCAGTCTCTTTGTCAGTCTCCTTGTCCTTCTCCTTCTCCTTCTCTTTTTCCTTGTTGTCCTTCTCTCTTTGTTGTTGTTGTTGTTGTTGTGATTTCTAGAATGGGACAAGGCAATTGAATGAGTGATTGAGCGAGTAGGACTCACGACTAAACTAAACTACTACTTACATCTACAGGTGATTCATCCTTTCCCTTGGAAGAGGACGAGGACGAATTTGTTGACGGACGCTGCTGTCTCTGTCGTCTCCTTCCGGATGGATTGAGCATGTAGTTGAAGCTCGAGATGGGTGGTACGGCGGGCGCAGAGTCTTCCTCGTTCATTGACTCCTCACCATGTGACTTGTCATACTCGTCGACTTCGGAGGAGGGATAGTCAGACTTCTCAGAGTCCTCGCCGCTCGTGGCCTTTGACGCGGCGCCAAATGCGTTCTCGGCTGCGCGCAAAGATCGTCTCGTGTACTTGCTACTCAGCGATTGAATGACTTGCTGATCGGCTGCGGCCGAACCCCTCTTCTTGCTATGCTTGGACTGCGCCTGAGTGATGAGCTCCTTGAAGTACTCTTGTCCGCCTCCCGATGTTGTGGTTACGATGGTGCGCATGGTGCCCCCGTTGATGCTGCCGTTGCTGCTGCTGCTGCTATTCATGCTCTTGTGGGAGTCGTCATCGTTGGTACCGACGATGTTGCCATTGACCAACAAAGTCTCGTTGTTGTTGTTATTGTTGTGTCCATTGATCACTGTCAATGTGACCACTCCACTGACTCCACCACCACTGGCAGTGATCGTAGTTGTCGTTATACCAGCATTGGTATCAGTCGTCAGACTCCTGAAAGGCTTGCTCTTCTCTCTCATATTCGAATACGGTTACTCTGTTGTATATGATGAACTTGAATATCAAATTGTCAGTCATTGCAATCAACATTCAATCTCAATCTTGATCATCATCTCACTCTCATCAGTTACTTACTTAAAGTGATTGGTTTGGTCTTGCTTTGTCGTTGTTACTGCTATGTTGGCAGTAGCTCTGACCAATTGGTAACTATTCGTTTGTGTGTTCTTTGATTGATTGATTGATTGATTGAATGTTGAATGTTATAGTAGTAGTTGTAATGATGATGTTGTTGTTGTTGTAGAGGTAATGATCATCATGTGCCTCTCTGTCTGTCTGTCTGCTGTCTGTCTGTCTATAACTGTTTCTACTGTTTCTACTACTTCTACTTTGAGACTGAATAATGATTGATTGACTTGACACAAAGTGAAGAAGAAGTGAATGCGCGCCGAAGGTGTTAAGAGTGTGAGAGTTGGTTGAGTTGAGTGAGCGAATGACTGAGTGTGTGTGAGTGAGTGTGTGTCGATGCTTAAGATGATCAAGTATGTGTTTGTGTGTGTGATTGTAAAGATATATCTATTACTATATTTATATATATATATCTCTATGTGTTTTGTTGTTTGATTGATTAAAGTAATGTGAATCAGGGGTGGACAATGACCCTTTCCTCTTAACTTGTGTGTGTTGGTGTGCTCAATACTAGGTCATCAAAGGCCGAGAAAGACTAAATTAGTGTGTGTGGGTGAAATCTCCGTTTTGTTGTTGCAAAAGCACCAAAAATTAAATTAAAAATAAGTAAGCGAGGGCAAGTCTGCGAGGGTAAGTCCGCGAGGGCAAGGGTAGTGTATATAGTACATGACATTACTTTATGTTTGTTTGTTAAATAAATAAGGATGTGATGATGATTATGATGATTATGATGATTATGATTATCGAAGAGAGATGGTCCAGCATGATTGAGGGTCAGCTGAAGTTAACGAGGAGGAACGGGTGGGGTTGCTCGAGGCTTGGGGGGAGGAGCCGCGCCTCCACCGGTGCTGGTCGAGGGAGCCGGTGCGCCTGGACGAGGTGGCACTTTAGCTCCACCTGGAACGGGCGGACGGTCTGGCTTGGGTGGTGTACCAGCGGCACCGCTGGGTGAGCCGGGTGGCGGACGAGGCTGCACGGATGGACGTGGAGGTGGGGTACCGCCACCGCCTACTGCTGATGGAGGCGGACGTGATGGTTGGTTGGGTCGAGGTGGAATCGAGGAGCCGGGCACTGGCGGCGTCCTGGTCGCCGGTGCAGGTGGCTGTGGTGTCGGCACATGTTCACTCATTGACTCGCCCTGTAGCGAGGGTGATCGCGCGGGGGGAGGTGGACGAGGTGCCTGGTTGGTTGGAGGGCGGGGAGGTGGAGATTGAATGTTTCCGGGTGGTGGACGACTTGGTGCCGCGCGGGGAACTGATGGTGAGTCGTTGTTGTGTTGTTGAGGTGGTGGACCGCCTGGTACAGGGGGTCTGGGTGCAGTGTTGGGTGGAGGTGGTGGCATTGACATTCGAGTCGGAGCCATTGAGTTTGGTCTTATTGGTGGTGAATGAGTAGACGCCTGTGGTTGATGATGTGCCTGTCTAATAACCTGTACCTTTACAATAGTTCCAGTGGTCTTTCCACTTGGATACTTCTTTGAGCCGCCCTTAATATCAGGTACCTCTGGCAACTCCTCGTCTGATATGAAATTCCATCTCTCAGAGCCATCATATAAGTCTAAAATATCATTGATTGATTGATTGATTGGTCGAGTGGAATGATTCCAGGATGGTTGTTTGGGTGGAGTTTGTTCGTGATTGAGTGTTTGGAATAGTTCCAGTGATTGATTGATTGCGAGTTAGTACTTTATGAACAACACTCAACACAAGCAAGTACCTACCAACATCAGGTTCCATTCTTGATGATGTTGTTTAGTGTGAGTATGAGTGATCGATCTGATGAGGGTGGGATTGAGCCCGGGACAAAGCAAAGTCAAAGTCACTCTTATGTGTTGGTGAGAGGGTGTTAGACAACAACTAAAGGTATCAATCTGTATTCACTATTCTCTGTTCTCTATTCTCAATTCTCTGTTCCAACTATTATTACCTCACTCAATCAACAACAACCAATCAATCTAACTAACAACATCATGATGGATGGTTGGATGGATGAGGCAGGGACGAGGATTGGATTGCTTACCTGCCCTCTTCTGATTGTTCGGAGAGAGATAGTTGGGGTGGGAGCTCCTTTGGAATGGCTTGTTTGACTGCCCACTCATCCAACCCCATCCATTAGATTAACTGGTTGATTTCAAACAATGTTGTGAGCCTTGTGTGGTGGACTTTTCTGATCAATAAAATATCCAGCTCTGATGGTTTTATCTGAATTGGTAACCAATATGTTCACAAGGGCGAAGTTCCCAACTTTATTAAATTAATCATCGTTTTGATAAATCAATCATTCAATCATTAGATCAATTAATTAATTAATTAATTAAAGAGATATATATATAATGGAAACATTACCATTAATAATATTACAACAAATTGTAAATGAATTGAACGATAATATTGATTTGGTATGCTTGTCATTGGTATCAAAACGTTTATATGTTGAACGTGATAGGTATATCAAACAATGTCCACAAGAGATACAATATACAAAGAATGGATTATATATATTATCATCATTCAAATGTATTGCCAATCAATCATTGAATGCAATACGAACACCATGGTTTGACAAGCCACAACTACCCAACGGTCTGCCACCACACACATCAATATCATTCGGTCCCAACTTTATCGAGCAGATCACACCAGGTAGTCTACCCCGCTCATTGGTTCAGATCACCTTGGGTGAGAACTGGGACCATCCCCTCGTGCCCGGTGTCCTGCCACCCTATCTCCACACACTCACACTTGGCTATCAATTCAATCAACTGATTGATCGTGATCACCTACCCGACTCACTCACCAGGTTGAGGTTAGGCGATCACTATCGCCAGCCACTACTTGTCGACGGCCTCCCGAACAGTTTACGCGAGCTTCACCTTGGGCGTGACTTTAATCATCAGATTCAGCCTGGTTGGTTGCCTGCCTCGCTCATCAAGCTAACTATGAGCTGGGGCTACTCACACAAGGTACTAGACGAGTCTCTCCCAAAGTCATTGCAGGAGTTGATCTTTGGCGACGAGTATAATGTCATGATCGACCCATTCGTGTTGCCAAGGAACTTGATCACACTCACACTCAGCAAGAGTTACAATCAACATTTGCTTTCAAGGACCTTGCCCCCATCTCTACTCCATCTTACCTTTGGACTAATGTTCAACTGTCCCATTGAGCTTGGATTCATGCCCAGGACACTGACTCACCTGACCTTTGGTCGACAGTTCTCACATCCAATCACAGAGGACATGTTACCAGCAACACTCCAATATCTTGCCTTTGGTCAACATTTCAATCATGACATCAGTGGTATCCTCCCTAAATCATTGTTAAGTCTCGAGTTCATCTACAGCTACTACGACCGCCCTCTGGTCTCTGGATCCCTCCCAGAGACATTGACAACATTGAAGTTGTCAGTCAGGTATAATCACGCCATCCCACATGGTATGTTACCAAACTCACTTGTACACCTTGAGTTTGGACAGATGTTCAACAAGACATTGGCTCCTGGAGTGATACCTCAATCAGTCAAGTACCTTCAATTCGGTAACAACTACTCAGCACCATTGGAGACTGCAACAATGCCTTTGTCACTCACAAAGTTGACAATACCATCAAAGTATTTGTTCAATCTCTCATTGTCCAAGTTCAATCTGAAGACATTGTCAGTGTCATGTCCACCGACAGACACTAGAAACATCAGATCAGCCAAGATAGTATATCATCCAACAGTACAAACATACATTGTCAACAATCGTATCTATCTTAGATGTTTGGACACCGAGTATACTTTAGTACTACTTGGTGAGACACTGGAAGGAAACATACACAAGACCAAAGAGTTATTCCTATCTCTTCCAACATCACCAAACACACTCGATCAGATATGACGTTGCGTTGTTTACTCTGCCCGTCAAACTGGGGAATAAATTATGGAACCGAATGTGGGTTGTGACAATCAGTTTCAACTTGAAATTATGAGTTTTGGATGAAGGGTTTTATAAACTCACTCATTTAATCAATCACTAATTGAACATGTTCAATCAATCACTCATTTAACCAAACACGAATTCCATCTTGCCAACAATTATTATTACTAAAGTTATACCAATTTACTATCATTCCTTCCTATCAACACTATGGATTTCAGAAACAAGAAGTATAATCCTTCAGAAGGTATGAATATAATTCTACAATAATATATTAGGAATATTATTAAACTGACTCTGCTTACTAAATAGATTCGATGGTTACTTGTGAAGATTTAATTAAATCAACAAGTGAAATTAGGAAAAAGGGACTTAACTGTAATTTAAAAAAGACTGGCAACAACTCATGTCACCTGGCTGGACTCAAACTTATCAAACATCTGGTGAACAAAGCAAATTGTAGTATGATCCGAAAGTCAACATCAGACCTAATCATTGCGGTGATAAGAGAGAAAGCCAACCACCCCAACAACTTGATTTGTTGCCCAGAACATCAAAACAAGTCTATTGACAAGCAGGTCGAGAAAGAATTGATCAAGAATATAGATGAGTTTCACCCTAATAGTAATAGCAACAAAAGTGTTGTATTAACAGAATCAGAATTGAAAATGCTCCAATATGCTATCACCTTGTTTGAATCTATTCAAAGAGATTTGAGAGATTTTCGTCTCGGTCAACCTCATCCGGAGTCAGGAATGGTCACAATAATCCTAAACAGATTAAAGGAGATCCTCCAGTCGATTGACTATTAAACAACAATTGTATTTATTTTTCATATTGTCATTACAAACTTAATTAAAATGTATTTATTTATTTATTAATTTGTTATATTAGATAGTTGTTTGTTGAAGGTATTTGATGTTCTTGATGAGCATTGGTTCATCAACTTCTGGTGCTGGCTGTAGTCCTATTGTGGCAAGGTCATTACATGTTGATGGATTGAGGAATCTGTGACTGGAGAGGAATGGCAAGTCATTTCCAAAGGCAGTGTACACTGGATACATGACATTGTTGGGCTGCGTCTCTAGTCTCCTCTTGAACTCCTCCAGAGTGACCTGTTCGAGTGGCACCACTTTGTTGATGGCCTGGCACACCTCCCATATCGTGACCTGTTTGTCATTGGTCATGTGGTAGGTTGGTGGCCTATGCTTGGCATTGTAGAACAACGAGTATAATGACAATGACACGATTGAGTCTGACACCCAGTCCACGCATGACAGATTGATCAGCTCGCCAGTGGACGAGCATGATGCATCAGTTGGATAACACTTGAGTTGCATGATTCCACGCATCAATATCCTGATCATATCATTGTCATTGTCAATGCCAGACTTGGAATGAGCATAGATCACACCGGGTCTGAACACCATTGTAGGGAGACCCCTTGACTTGGCCTCATTGACCAACTGCTCGGCCACCAACTTGGTCTGACCATAGCCACCCAGTGTGTGATCGTCCAGGTTGGAGACGGGTGGAACGGTCGAGTCATCAGTGTCCTTGGTCAAATGTCCAAATGTTCCAATGGTCGAGACGTGCGCCACTCTGACCACCTGATCACCGACACACGCCAGTCTGAGCGCCTCCTCAGTGCCACCGACATTGGCATCCTTCATGTTTGGATACGGGTTCATCAGATGGACCAGCGCGCCATTATGCATGATCAAATGGACATCGTTGGCAATGTCAATGAACTGTTGCTCGCTCAATCCGAATCTCTTCTGGCTCAGATCGCCAATGACCGGGATGATGCGCTCGGCCTCGTTCGGACCAACCTCCAACTGATATTTTGATGTGAGATGTTGGACCAACTTTTCGCGTGCCTGTGCCCTGCTGCCAACATTCCTGACCAAGCAATACACCTTGCCCACCATTGCCTTGTTGCGTCCAGCGAGAAGATCATGAAGAAGGTGCGATCCCAGGAATCCAGTGGCGCCCGTCAAGAATACATTGTTGCCAGTCGACTTGATTGGCTTGACTGGCTTGCCCATGGGATCGATCGACTGGTCCAGCTTGAACTCTGCATCCCAATCTCTCTTCTTGGACATGGCAGTGACATTGCCCTTGATGATATCAAGTATATGGCCAATACTATGATCCTTGCTCAAGATGAACTGAGCCGAGATATTGATGCCCTGCTTGTCCTTGAGTATGGATGACAACTTGGCGGCACCAATCGAGTCTCCGCCAATGTCTGTGAATGAGATTGAGTTGATGTCTGACATGTTGACATTGTTTGAGCTTGTATCAATGCCTAGCACACCCTTGATATAGCTCTCTACGATGGACTCCAAGTCACCTTGTTGTGTGAACAATGAATTGTTCAAAGTCTCCAAAGTCTGCAACATATGATCAATTGGTGCTTTGTAATATTGACACAAAACAGGTCTGGCCATCTTTCCAGATGCAGTTATCAATTGATTCTGATCACGCCAAGTTGTGTTGTCCAACATTATCATCTTTGGTATCTCATAAGTTGGTACCTAAGAGTGATTGATTGATTGATTGAGTGAGTGATGTGGAGTATATGTAATGGAGTGTTTGACAAACTTACATTCTTCTCTTTGGATAACCTGGATATCTCATTATGGATGAGACTCTTGAGTTTATGGTTCTTGTTGAGATCATCCATGGAGTGATCGTCACTGGTCAGGCCACAATGTTGCAACACATTCTTTTTTGGAACAACAATGGCAACAAGGAATGGTTTACCAAATGATCCATATACCAATATATGTTGGATCAATGGTGACAAGTTATAATATGTCTCAATCTTTTCCGGACTATTTTGATTGATTGAGTGAGTGAGTGAGTGAGTGAGTGAGTGGGATAGTTCCAGACAGATGGGGTCAACACTTACTGGACGAATTCACCATTGCTCAACTTGAAGGTATTCTTGATACGATCGACAATCTTGAGGTAACCAGGCTCAATTTCTTTGAAGAGATCACCTGTACGATACCATCCATCAGCAAATGCCTTGGAAGCCTCTGGATTCTTGTAGTATCCTGGATATTGGAATGGTGTCTTGACCCAGAGTTCACCAACATTTGGTTCTTGACTCATACTTGGCACAGGTTCAAGACGGTATTGAATGTTGTCTGTCACCCTATAGTTGACTGTGATGTTGAACGTCTCCATATTGCCATAGATCTCTGTGGCATTGTCACCCCAACACTTCTGCATAAAGTCTATAATAGACTGAGATACAGGTGCAGCACCAATTCTCAAACTATTATTCGTTGGTTGGAATATTGGTCTGATCAGATTGATTGCCTCCGTCTCCACCTGGTCCTCTGTCCATTCAGGATGTTCCAATCTCAATCTATGAATAGTGTCCAAGTGTGAAGAGTAGATAATGTGCCAAACTCTAGAGTATTATGATAGAGTGAGTGAGATGTGATTGGAATAGTTCCAAACATTGTATCTGTCCATACCTTGGAACGGCAACAAACTCTGATGGACGTAGAAGTTTGAGATCTTCGATGAGGTTGTTTAGATTGGAATTGATTCCAATTTGACCACCTGTGTACAGGGTCTTGATATCTAGTCTCCTCTGAATATGAGCTTGAGTAGCATAACTATATATAGTCTGGTGTTTGTATGTGTTGGTAAACAACTTTACACCATGATACAACACTCTCTCGGTGTAAATAATGCCCTTGGGTGGTCCTGTTGATCCACTAGTAAAGACTAATCGTTCATTTCCAAATAAGGTTATATGATTAGTTTTGGCGCCAAATTCAAATGATCAATCAATCAATTGCTTACATAAAGTTACTATCTCATCACCAACGAATTTATCTTTACCATGTGGCAGGATACCTTGTGACTCACTTTCATTGAATAGTTGATCGAATGTCTTGAAAGTGATAGAGTCTGGTAATGATTGACGAAGTGTCTGATCGAGATCATCGCCCAAGAATACAATAAGTTTGATATAGTTATAATCTCCATGGTTGATCAATCTAACTAGAGATGGGAACATCGTACTGGATACAACCATACATGTTGCATCTGAAGTGCGTAACATTGAAAGGAGATTCTCATCATCTATCAAGTTCATTAGTAAAACTTTGATTGGTACCCATCATACTTCAATTAAACATACCATGTTGATGATGGAATGGAATAGTGATCATTCCATAAAGAAGTGATCCATAGTCAAAGTAATACCATTCTGGGCAAGTCTCTGATGATATTCCAATAATGGATCTCTAGATATTTTTAATATTAATTAATCCATAATATTAATCAATTAATCATTCAATGAACATACGTTTGGCAATAGTCTCTTGAGAGCTGATCCGACTATACATATATTATGGTTAACTTGGCTGTAGGTCATCCATTGATAGTCGCCATATCCACTTGGGTGTTCCTTCGATATAGGTACTTTCTGTCTTGTACCTACACATGGTCTGTCCTTGAATTTCTCCAAAGCATTCCTAATTAATAATAATTAATATCCTCTATCCAATCTCTTTATTAACTTAATCATACATACACAAGTAACTCATAACAATCATTTCCAGTTACAGCTAAAATAAGATTGAGAGATTAATTATTTATTAAATGAATAAATACTAAAAAACAATACTTACTATGTTCCATCTTCGGAGGTACTAATTGTCTATGTCTCTCAATCTCGATCATAGATTAATATATAATATTAATAACAAATATATATATTATTATTATAGGAGATTGTTGTCAATGATCAATATATTGAATATGATTGGTGACTAAATAGGGTAATTAAGTACAATGTTGTCGCTCATCTATCAATGACATTGCCAAATAGAGGGACGGGTTGTAGCAGTAACACACCATCCCTCACCCGACACCATCACATCAACGCCCTATTTGTATTCTAACCTTGTTTATTCCTGTTGTGAATGTGTGTGATCAAATGATTGTAGTCTCGTCTCACCAATAAACACACCCAACTCGTTCATTAGACAATCATATGATCACTGATCAGTCGCACACTCATACATATGATGGTGTATATACACAGTAACACTAATTAACTTAGTTATTTATTGGTGTCGGTCACAAAGAAAGGTATTCGATGTTCTTGATCAATAACGCTTCATCAACTAGAGGTGCTGAATGCAAACCGATGTTTGAAAGGTCTTGACAAGTTGTTGGATTGTGGAATCTGTAGTCGATAAGGAATGGAAGATCATTTCCAAATGATATATATACTGGATAAAGCATATTACTTGGTTGCTCCATCAATCTATGTTTGAACTCTTCCAAACTGACCTGTTCCAATGGTCCCACAACCTTGTTGATTGCTTGACATAGTTGTGATATATGTATCTGCTCATTATTGTTGGTCATATGATATGTTTGATTAAATGACTTGTCTTTGTCATTGTCGTTGTTGAGGGATAATGAGATGATTGAACTTGCAACCCAGTCTACACATGATAGATTGAGATAATGACCTGTTGAGGCGAATGTAGTTGATGGATAACATCGAAGTTGAATAATGCCTTTGATTATGACCCTCATCATATCGTTGTCATTGTCGATACCGGTGATTGAGTGAGCGTAGATAACACCAGGTCTGAATACCATGACGGGTACACCTCTTGATCTGGCCGCATTGACGAGCTGCTCAGCCACCAACTTGCTCTGTGAGTATCCAACTAACTTGTCAATGCCTCCGATGTCTGGTACTGAGGACTCGTCAACATCATGGGTCAACACTCCAAATGTGCCAATGGTCGAGATGTGCGCCACCCTGATCACTTGATCACTGACACACGCCAGTCTGAGAGCCTCCTCAGTTCCACCAACATTGGCATCCTTCATGTTTGGATATGGGTTGATCAGATGGACCAGCGCACCATTATGTACAATCAATTGAACTTTGTTGGCCAGGTCCAAGAACTGTTGTTCACTCAACCCGAACCTCTTCTTGGCCAGATCTCCAATGACTGGTATGATTCGGTTTGCTTGTTGTTCATCCAAGTGCAGTCGATACTTGTTTGTGATGAGTTGGACCAACTTGTCTCTTGCTTGGTCCTCGCCTCCAACATTCCTCACAAGACAATAGACCTTGTCAACCATTGCCTTGCTGTGTCCAGTGAGTAGCTCATGAAGTAGGTGTGATCCAAGGTATCCGGTAGCGCCAGTCAAGAATATGTTGTTGCCATGTAACTTGAACGGCCTGATGGACTTGTCATGTGGATTGATCGACGGGTCAAGTTTGAACTCATTAGTCCAATCAATCTTTGTTGTCACCTCTCCACCATCATGTCTCTTGATGATATCCAGTATATGACCAATACTATGCTCCTTGTTCAGGATGAACTGAGCACTTAGCTCAATGCCCTCCTTGTCACGAAGTAGACGTGATAGCTTTGCTGCACCAATCGAGTCGCCACCAATGTCTGTGAATGATATGTTGTGTATATCGACATGTTCCGATCCCAAGTCAAGTCCAAGCACTCGCTGTATGTACTGCTCAACAATATGTTCCAGACTACCATGTTGTAACAGTGTGGATTGAAGTGTCTCAAGTGTATGGTACATGTTATCAATTTGTGTTTGATAATATGGTTGTAACCTCTGTCGTGCCATCTTGCCAGGTCCAGTCAACAGCATGTTTATCAAGGTCCATCTCGTGTTGTCCAATGTGATCATCTTTGGTATCTCAAAGTTTGGCACATTCATCATCCTGTTGATCCTGTCCACCTCTTGAAGTATTGTACTCTTTAACTTTGGATTCTTCTCGAGTGACTCCCCATTGATGTCTGGACCATCCAATCCATATTGCCTGAGTATGTTCTCCTTGGGTACAATGATGGCCACCAGGAATGGCTTTCCAAATGATCCATAAACATAAGTATGTTGTATAATATCAGATGTGTTGTAATAGTTCTCTATCTTCTCGGGTCTGAATGAGTGAGTTAGTGATTGATCATGAGTGATGGAATGATCCCAGTCTGGCCAGACTTACGTTACAAACTCTCCATTGCTAAGTTTGAATGCATGTTTGATTCGATCGACTATCTTGACAACACCTGGTGATAGTTCTTCGAATAGATCACCAGTCCTGTACCATCCACCTTCAAATGATTTCGATGCCTCTTCATTCTTGTAATATCCAATACTGCTGCCACTCCATCGTAGGTATAGTTCTCCAACTCTTACAGCTCGATGGTTAAGTTGTTGATGATGATTGACATCAGTGTCAAACAATGATGACACAGGTTCAATCTTATAATCTATATCAGGCTGTACTACACCATTGATCGTGATGATGTAGGTCTCCATGTTGCCATATATATCTTGTACCTTGTCCTCTCCCCATGTCTGGTTCATGAAATCAAACACGATACTAGGTATTGGAGCGGCACCAGTTCTCAACACCCTGATGTTGTGACCCAGTAACCTTCTTGTGATTGGCGTTGCCTCATCATCACATCTCACCTCGCTCCAATCACCATGCAACTCTTTGATCGATCTAACATTGCTCAAATGAGCTGAGTAGAACATTTGCCAGACTCTATTCATTCATTGATTGAGTTAGTAAGCATAGTTTGAATGAATGAAAGAGGGGATGACTTGTTACCTTGGTACGCCCCAGAAGTCTGTTGGATTGAGAGCCTTGAGATCATCAAACATGTTCTCATGGCTGGAGAAGATACCAATCTTGGCACCATTCAATAGTGCTTTTTGGTCAAGCTTCCTTTGAAGATGTGCAAGTGTTGAATAACTATAACTAGTACCAATCCTATGCTCATGATCAAAGTAGTACTTTATACCAATATAGAATGATCTCTCATTCACAATGATACCCTTTGGTAGTCCTGTACTACCACTTGTCAAGTCTACAAGTATGATTGATCGTTCACTAGTGATGAGTATATATATACTTGATTGATATGATTGAACTTGACTTACACAATGCAGTGATATCATCATCCTTGAATTGATAATGCTGTAGTATCTCTTTGGATTTGTGAAGTTGGACAAAGTCATTGAACTTGTAGAATTTGATATTGGATGGCAATGCATATCTTGTTTCCAAGTCCAAGTCATCACCAATATAAATGATCATTTCAATTCCTTTATAATCACCATTGGCAAGTATCTTACACAAGGTTCCAAACAAATGGTTTGAAACAATCATACACCTTGTCTCGGTATACTTTAATGTACTAATAAAGCTATTCTCATCTTTAAAAATTGATTAATATAGATGGTATGATAATGATTGAATATAATATATTATAGTTACCTTGTTGATGATAATATGGTACAACTGACATCCCGTAGAAGTAACATCCATAGTCTGCTAGATACCATTCGGAACGGTTGGGTGATGCTATTCCAATGAATGAACGAGGAGGTAGTTCACGAGTCAATCCAGATCCAAACACTTGAGAAATTTGGAATACTTGATCATATGTCATCCATTGGTAATCACCATATCCAGAAGGATGTTCCTTTGATCTAATAACCTTTGGCCTTGTACCAATCAATGGTCTATCCTTATATACTCTAAAGGCATTTCTAAATGTCTCATAAGAGTTTGATCCCAATATATCATTATTATCATCCTCCAACATTCTCTCTTTGGTAGATATTATTTATAAGTATGTGATAATTATATTATTGATTAATTATTATTGATAGTGAAGTGAAGTTGATTGAATGAATGAAAGGAAGAAGTTACTCTCAATGTCAATGTTGTCCATTAGTGATTGAATGATGGGAGGTGGACATCCACCTCATACCCCCATCCAATCATTTATCATTGTCCAACATGTTGTGAGAGTGTGTGGGTGAATGATAGGCAGATTGTAAACCTAATTAGGTATACTGTTGACCAATGATTTTGAAGACATGTCAACGGGTATGCCCTCCTGCAGCTCCACGGACAAGCTCGACACCTGTTGCTCCTTCTTGTCCATCTGTGTGAGTGAGTTGGCATAGTTGATGTTGGACATGTCCAGCTGCTTCTTGAGATAGGAAGTGATTGGACAGCACCGGGACAATATTTAAGTTTAAACTTAAATATCTCTTTTAAAGGATATATCTATGATATCTAAACTCATGATGATGATGATATATACTTGGATATATTTGTATTTGTTTATCTTTATATTTAGAGTTAGTGTTGAAGTGGATTCGCGACGTGCGCAAAGTCCACCACTACCAGAAATTAGATACCCGACTAATCAATGACTAGTCGCCACAACGCCCCCCAGGAGTGCTAGAGGAGGGACAGTCGCGCTTTACATCCGCCTGTGATGATCACGAGTGTAAAAGCATCAGGTAAGTATGAATTGCAGCATCATTCTCACCCTTCATAAATGCTCAATCTTCACAGCTCCATTAATGGTTTGCTCATTCATTTTGAATTTCGTTCAATACATTGAGGTGATGTCAACAACAACATTGATGAAAACTCGACAACATCATTGTCATACTCATACTCATTGTGATATACATGTACTTGTATGTTATTATATTAAATAATTAGGCAATCACTCGGTCAGGTGAGAGATCGGCCTCACCAGACCAGTTCTGTGTTAGGACCTTGTAGGCATGGATGGCATCCTCCAACTCACTGATCCACAGGAGTTTGTCTGTGTAGTTATCAGCTGAGAACACCTGTCTAACTTGTTCCTTACTTGATTGATTACTATACTGTATCTCAAATCCATGTTTAACATCTAAATTGCGATATATATTGTTAGTTACATCTGATGCCCATCAATCAATGGATAACTTATTACTTTACCTTTGCTCTCTATGCCCTTGACATCAATGATGTCTGATAGACAGAATGATATGACTCTTGCTTGATTGTACAACAAGACAAATGAAGTCTTGTAGATGATAACAGTGTCATCCAATAGATATAATACAGCATCTTGACTCTTGACACCTGAATCACCTTTGTACTGTTTGACCTTTCCTTCCCTAATGTTAGAGATAGAGATAGAGTGTTAGTATCCAATGCTAATCAATCAATCCAATCCAATCCGATCAATAATATACATACCTTATGAAAGTCTTCTTAAATAATAAACTATAATGATCCTTCCCTAGCTTATCCCTCAGCTCTGTAATCTTCTCTTCGTTCCTTATATTGCCATTGATGTCGGCAACGATCTTCTCCATAAGCTTGGCAGCTCTCTCATATGATCTATGTTGTTCATTCTCCTCTGGAACAGTCTTCTTGAGTTCCTATTGTTTGATTGAATGAGTAAATGATTGTTTGGATTGGATTGAATGATAGAGACTTACTCTTAGCAACAATGGATATTTACACAGTCTTTGAACTGGCTTGATAATATATGATGCCAGGTCAAGACTCTTTACATGTGGATGTGATTTGATTGTCTGGTAATATGATTGATGAGTTAGGATCCATATCACATCCATGTTGTCCATCATTATCATTCCAAATACTTACACTAAGTATAGTTGATACTGAACTACTGTTTTCCCATCCATGTATTATTCTATAACTATGCTCTTGATTCTTAACATATGTGACGTATCTGTACAGTGCATTGGTCTGGTTGTTGGAGGAGTGAGTGACGCGTTAGAGATGAAGGTAATGCATGCATTGTCCAATGAGGGTACACCTTACATTCTTGAAGAATATATGATCGACCTTGGGATAGCGATTGAGCTCCAGGTCTGGTATCAGTTGGATGAGTGAGTTGAATAGCTTGGTGTTGATTAGGACCAACTCTTCGATGTTGGAGAAGACTTGGAAGATCTCTTCGGCCTTGATTGATGTGGCACCCTTCTCGGCCAACTCATACAAGCTGTTCATATAGTATTGTATCATTGTGTTGATGTCGTCCAGATAGTCGGCCTCTGTTTCAATCAGCTCGCGGATCACATTGTTGGTTGGTGTGCTCTTGCTGATCACTGGCACGCGTGACTTGCGCGATGGTTGCTGTTGTGACTCCACGCGCTGTAGACATTCGGCCAGCAAGTCCTTGGCATCGATCTGCTCGCTTGATCCACCACCGACCTTGAGCTTGGCACGGAATGTCGCGCCCCTGCTCCTTCTCCCTGAGTCCTCGAGTGGGGTGGACTTTGGCGCCAGTGTAGGCGAAGAGTCATCGTCGTCCGAGCCTCCAGCAGATGAATTTGATGTGTTTGATATGTTAAGTTTGATTGGTGATGCTGTTGTCGATGTCGATGTCATTGTTGGAGTAGTCGTCGTGGTCATAGTTGGTGATGAGTTCAACAAGGTGAACTTCTTCTCGGTGCGCTTCAACAATCGCTCATCACTCTCTGATTTTGATGATGATATTGGTGCGCCAGATGTAGCGCCACCATTATGTAGAGGTGATTGAGGCGGTGATGATACAGTTCGAGGTGGAACGATTGGTGGCTTCGTCCCAGACGCGACATTATTATTATTATTATTGCCGCCACTTCCAGTCAATGGCCTCATTGGAGGTGTGTACTTTGTAGTAGTCATTGTAGCTGTCCTTGGCTTTGTCTGTGTCTGTGTCTGTGTTTGAGTCTGTGTCTGAGCCTGTGTATCTGTTGCCTTTGGAGACAAGGGTGTTGACATTGTAGACAACTCATTGCCAGTAAGAGTGAATGTACCTGGTGCCCTCCTGGGCACAGGAGGTGGCTTTCCATCTCTTTTTGAATTGATGAAGCTACTGATACTGCCATTTCCAACTAAAGTGTCACTGTTGTTGTCCTTGTCCTTGTTGTCCTTGCTGTCTTTGCTAATGAATGATCTTGATGTTGTTGGTGGTGGGACAGCCTTTGGTCTATTCATCAACATTGATGTCGAAGCCGATGTAGGTGATGTTGGTTGAGAGTTGCTTTGCATTTGATTGTTTGGTTGAATGGTTGGTGTTGGTGAGAGGAGGGACCACCAAGATATCTGTATTATAATAGTCCAGTAGTAATAAATAATGATGATGATGATGATGTGGATGATAATAAATAATGATTAAGTTAAGTTATAACAAACATACATAGATACAAATAAACAAACGTATAAGTATAAGTTTATGTGTGTACGCTATTCGTATGTTTGCATATGAGCCAGTCAAAGGTTTCTTGTTGCAACAACTACTTGGCTTGAACCTTTGTCGCTCTGTGCCCTTCTAACCCATCATCATTCAAGCACACTAACAAACAAACAAACATTGTTGTTGCCACCATCACCCGATCCACAAACAACCAACAACCATCCATTCATCCATTTATAACATCGATGTTGTTGTGTGAGAGAGGACCTAAGAATCTGAAGATTTGCTAAATGGTTTTGGGGGTGAACGGGATCAATCAGATCAGAAACAGCGTGTTTGTGTGTGATTGAGGGAATGAATTAGTGTGGATGGGTAGGTGGGGTGCGAATGAATAGAAAGACAGTTCTGATCTAAGTATTCGGGCCACAATAATTATTATAATACGGGTAATTAATTACATGTATATATTATATATATACTGTTTGTTATTTTAAATAAATAAATAAATAATAAATAATAATAATAATAAATAAATATTTGATTGATTGATTGAGTGAGTGAGTGACTGATGGATTGATTGGTTGATCAATCCTGGAATTCACCATCATCGACGTCATCCAACTCGACAAAGTCTACTTGGTTCATGGCATTGAATCTCTTTTGCATGGAAGCACGTAGTATCTCTGCGATGGAGGATACTCCACGATCAAGTGGAGCTGCAGGTGCAATGTTGGGAACGGCGCGCAATGTGTTCTTGGCGCCAGACAATGACTCACTCGTGATGATCGAGTCACAATCATCTCTACCAACTCCAACATCCGGTGATCTATTGTTGTTGCCGTTGCTGCTGCTGCCTGGAACTCTGTTGTTGTTGTTGTTGTTCTTGATTGATGATGATGATGACGATGATGATGGCAAGGGTGGTGCCACTGGTGCCACTACATGGTGATGATCGGACAATGCACTTGTGAGCATGGCCTGTTCTTTCGCCCTAAAGGCAGCCTCTTGATCCAACTTGGCCTGCTTGACATCGTTGAGGGACTTGGTGATATGTTCATTCTTGTATCGCTCAGTCTCTAGCTCAGCCTTGATCGCGGCAAAGTCCTGGTTCAACTTTCTGAACTTGCCCTCTTCGTCGCTGGATTGGTTGGTGGCGCGATCCAGCTGGCCCTGCACCTGGCGCACCTGCTCCTGGCTAGAGACGCGCTGCAACTCCATCTGGCGCTTCAGCTCGTCCACCTCCATCGACCTCAGTGTTGCCTGCTGTTTGTTGAGCTTGGAGTCGCGCTCAGTCTGCTCCATCCTGGCCTCCAACTGTTTGATCGACTGCTCCAACGTCTCAATCTTCTTGGGATGTACCGATCTGATGATGTTGTCCTTCTCCTTCAACTCCTCAGTGAGTTTGTTGATGGCTGATCGCATGTTCTCACGTTCAATATTGGCCACGTTGGTCTCCTGCTTGAGTGTTTGAGTGATGCTCTGTATGCGCTGCTCCTCACTTTGTTTGAGCGCTTGGATGCGCTGCTCCTCGCTCTGTTTGAGTGCCTGGATACGTTGCTCCTCACTCTGCTTGAGTGATTGAGTGATGCTCTGGATGCGCTGCTCCTCGCTCAGTTTGAGCGCCAGGATGCGCTGTTCCTCTGTCTGCTTGAGTGCCTGAATACGCTGTTCCTCGCTTTGTTTGAGCGCCTGGATGCGCTGCTCCTCTGTCTGTTTGAGCGATTGAGTGATGCTCTGGATGCGCTGCTCCTCACTTTGTTTGAGCGCCTGGATACGCTGCTCCTCACTCTGCTTGAGAGTCTGTGTGATAGTCTGGATCTTCTGTTGCTCGACCTCCTTTTGCGTCGATACCGCCACGATCACCTCTTGTTTGAGTGCCTGAGTGAGCGCCTGGATGCGCTGCTCTTCACTCTGCTTTAGTGATTGCGTGAGAGACTGTATACGCTGCTCCTCGCTCTGCTTGAGTGATTGAGTGAGCGCCTGGATGCGTTGGTCCTCTCCTTGCTTCTGAACCTCCATTCTCTTGTAGATCTCACGGATGATGCCCTCGGACTTGGCACGCAGCTCATCATGCTCCAGCTCCATCTGTTTGAGTTGCTCCATGTGTGTCACTTCATCCTTTTGTGCATCGGCCTTTGCACGATCCAGACTGGCCTGACTGGCCTTGAGTGCGGTGTCCAGCTCGTCATTGCGACGCCCCTGCTCGGCCACCTTCTCCTCGAGCGAGCGTGTTCGTGTGGACATAGAGTCGATTGTATCATTCAGCTTCAGGACGACTTCGGTGTGGCTGGCCCGCTCCTGGTATGCCTTGACACCAGCGTCGCCCAACTCGCTTGCCAATCGAGTGTTCTCGCTCGTGAGCCTATCGCGCTCTCCAACCATCGTGCTCTTCTCCTGCAGCATGATCGATAGCTGGCGCTTGTGTCCCTCCTTCTCTTGCATGAAGTTCTCCTTGACCACGGTCAACTGCTGAACGATTCGTTGCATGATATAGTTGTGGCTTGCTTCCATTTCGGTGATTTGTTGGTTCGTCTTGTCCTCATGCTCTTTGGCCTCCCCTGCCACATCCTTGAACCTCTGCGCCAGACTTCTGTTGAGGTCGATTGACTCGTGTAGTTTGTTCTCAAGCTCTACCAAAGCCGCACGGCGTTGTCTCTGTTGATGTCCTGATGCCGTTGCACCCATTTGAAGTGCGCCAAATGATGGAACGACATTGCTTCGCAGTGTATAAGGAGGAATGAACTCATTGAACACTATGTTCAGCTCGATGTTGTCACCAGGGGGTGATGGAGTGTTGCCGGCGACCTTGTTGCCAAGACCATAATGAGCCAGTGAGGCATCACGATGCAATTGCAAGGGGAACTCCTCATTGGTGAGTATTGAGAACCTCTCTGGATCATTAATCTTGAACTTGGTGCAAATGTTGTCGATTATCTGATTGATTGATGGTGTGTGGGGGGTGATGGGGGTGGAATGGTTCCAGTGTTAGTATGATTGGAAAGATTCCAATGATTGATTGAGTGAGACTGACATACCTGCCCGATGGTCATGCTTGAGTCAACCTTTAGTCTCTTCTTCTTTAGACCTTGAAGTTGTTTGAGTGGCGGCAACTGGAAGTCTATGATGAACTCGGTGGGCTCCATCACTTGATGTTGCTGTGCAAGTAATATAGAGTCCATAGTTGCATATGCATCCTTGGCAACAAGACTAAGCTCCCATGATGTGAAGAACGTTCCAAATCCATAGGTAGACAGCAACTGCTCCTCATCCAACACACAACCATACAATGTCTTGAGATAATATCGATGAGGGTCTGCTGGACTATTCTGCTTCTTGCATATTAGATTGATTGTTTGTGCCACAGTCAACTTCTTTCCAATCTTATATCCACACTTCTTTGGTGGAGCGCCAGTGCCAGTGCCACCAAACTCTGGTGTGTTTGGCAAGTTGACTGTGAGAAGATGACTACTTCCGGTGTCTTGACCGGTACTAGACTTGAACACGTTGGGGAATTGGAAGAGGATGGGGAAGAGGTCGGGATGGCCACCCCATATCTCATTCTCTGTCAACTTCTGCTCGACGATCAATTGATATATCTCACTGACTGATCCACCCTGATCGTTTGCTCCAGAGCCTGAACGTGAGATAGAGCCTCCAGAGCTTGTGTTTGAACTTGGACGTCCTGATGATGAAGAAGTGTTGTTATTGTTGTTGGCAGCCGATGCTGATGCTGATGCTGTTGTTTGTGGTACACTATTCAATGATGAAGTGCGATCCTTCTGTGAAGATGATGTTGGCGTTGATGTTGATGATGTTTGATTGATGTTTGGACTTGACAATGACTTGCTATGTACAGATGTTGATGTTTGTTGCCTTCCAGTGATGCTACCGTTCTGAGTTTGAGTTGGTACATTGCCAGGAGCAAACTGTGTTTGTTGTATTGGCTTTGTAGTTGCTGTTGCGGATGTTGTAGCTGGTGTTGTGGGAGGTGATGATGTGAGAGCTGGAGCTGGAGTTGGAGTTGACCTTGGAGCACCAACACCAGTTCCAGTGCCAGCGCCAGTACCAGTGCCAACACCAGTACCAGCAGCACTTGGCTTTGCCGCTCTGTTTCCACCCAGTATCACTCTTGGAGTTACGCCGTTATAGTTCATTGTTCATGTATGAATTAATGAATGTGTTCCTTGCACCTATATTACCTGTTTGCTTATGTTGTTGCGAATGATCAGTGAACGAGTTAAGTTGTTTAGTGTAGTGTAGTTTAGTCTACGCAACATCATTCACTATCATCACTCAATATGGGTCACTCTTAGCCATCCATCCCTTTCACACCTGTTGCTCATTCAAACACTCCTCCTCCCCATGTTGGAAGCCGATCAAGACTATTTGGATATTATTTTGAGGGCCTCCGAAGGTAACCACATCAAAACCGATCAATCAGCACACCCGCTTTGCATCCCAGTCTGCAAACCAATCAATCAATCATTGCTTCCTTGATGATGATGTAACCACAATGTGAATCTCCATCGAGGAGAATTATTATTATTATTATTATTAATTATATATTATTGCTTGGGAATGATTCCCAAATATATATAAACTTATTTGTCCTTCTTTGACTCGACCTTGTTTTTGTTGCTGTTTTTACCTGATAGCAACGCTTCCAACTTCTCAATCTTCTTCTTGTCCTTCTCAATCAAGTATTCCTGGACACTCGAGTCGATGATTGACACCAAGAAGTAAAAGATCATCAATGCCAGTATGCAGTCCCAAGCGACACCCAACAGGCTCTTCTACATTTACGTGAACGATCAATGTCATGGACATGTTAGTCAACCGTTTGGCGCACTCACTGCCCATTGGAACAAGCAATACTTACTGGTTGGTTGGTTGCTACACCTGATTCAGAGTTCATTCTTTGACGCTCCTTTTCGAGGATTGGAAGGATCTTGCCCTTGGACAATGGGATGTATGTCTCAATCATGTTGACCACGGCTGTCAGTGTCTCGGTGTTGAATGCCAACACGACAAAGCATGCCTGGATGTGTGCCTTGATCACTGCCTTTCCAATCAGAGTGGCTCCAAAGAACTTCCAGAAGGGGACCAAGTAATGTCCACATGTGATACCTGCCAAGTCAAACAATGGGTTTGGAATCTATGATTGGTCGTTTGAATGAGTATGTTTGATTGATTGGTATAGTCCAGTTTAATACATACTGAAGCGAATGCAAGGATACCAAAGAATCCCATGTTACCAATGAGTGCTGGAATCGCATCGCTGAGTCTTTGAACCAGACCTTTCTTCTCTTCCTTGGCATCCTTATTGTTGGCCTTGTTCTTGGCCTCCTCTTCTTCCAGACGCAATCCCTTCAAACGAGCTKGTTCTAGCAACAAAGTAGGGTGGCAGCTCACCGATGGCCGTGCCAGCACCCCAGCACAGCGCGGCGATTTGAATCGCCTGTAGGATCTGCCAGAAGGTGATGCCGCCAGCGACAGGTGCGTTTGGGTTGATGAAAGCGTTGGGACCATACTGCTCAAAGTCCAACGTCTGCCACTCGGTGGCCGTCCAGGTCACCTTGGCAATGTGAGGACCAAGGTAGAGGACGAATGTGTGCAGGCCAGTGCCCAGTCCAACCGAGGAAAGCACTCCCAGACCAACCCACCACAGACAGATGGCCAACTTATCGGTGTACTGACCAATGTACTCTTGATGACGGCCTGGTGCGTAGATGGCCAATGTAGCCGATGACAGCAACAATGTCCAAAGGAACAAAGTAAGAGGTCTATCTCTAAAATAACCTAGACAACTCAATACCATATCCTTAAGTACAATTCCAAAGTACTTAATAGTCTTTAAAGGATGTCTCCACAACTTTACATGTTTTCTATTCTCCTTTCTCTGTTGTAGTTTTGTTATACTCTCTATTGTTGATCAATATTTATGATGATTGATTGATTGATTGAGTGAGTGTAAGTATGATCAGCAACAAGTATGTTACATTCAAGGTATCTTGTGCATCAATCAATCATTCATTTTTTGATTGGCTTGTGACTGACTGATTGACATACCCTTGATCTGACTCTCAGAGAGTGTTGTATTCTTGTTTGTCATATTGTACAATGATATAATATATATATATCTGTATTTATTCAAATATATAAGTATGAATGGGATGTGAATGAATGAATGAAAGAGAATGAATCTTGTGTCGTGTTTCATTCAAAGGGTGGACAAAAGGACGTGAAGTCGAAAGTTGAAGAATCTGAATTGTTGCCCATTATGACTCATCCAACTCACGACATGTTACTAAATTAGTAATTGATGTATTTCCTTCACTCAATTATTGAAGTTATAAGTTAGAAGTAATAATAATACATACCATATGGAAAAGAAAAGATTTATTAGAGATGATGATGACGAGGATGATGATTATGACGAAGATGATGGACTATTCAAAGAATATGCAATAATAGATTTATCAAGATATAGAACTGGAGAGATTGGATTAAGATGGAGAACAGAGTTGGAGGTTGTTAGTGGTAAAGGACAAAAGACATGTGCAAATAGGAAGTGTTTAGTATCAAACACTCAACTAAAGAGTTATGAAGTGCCCTTCAACTACACTGAACACAATCATGACAAGAGTGCATTGGTCAAAGTTGTACTATGCTACGAATGTTCAAAACTATTGCATCATTACAACACTGTCAAGAAGAAGAGACTGTTGAAGGAGCAAGCAAAGTTGGCCAAGTTGAACAAGTCATTAAACAAGAGGAAGAGACGAGATGATGATGATGGAGATGGAGATGGCGATGATGGCGATGATGTCGACGATGGCGATGGACAGGAGGCAGAGCAAGTGGTCAACCAAGATCTGGCTTGACCCCTAAAACCCTTGATTCTTTCGAAAAAGTGTAAAACAGCGCTGTCTCAGGTCGGGAGGACACAAGATTGTTTCATTCAAACATGGAGCAGGAATAGATACAGATATTTATTATTATACATATACATATATATTGTACATACATATAAACAGATATATACATACATAAATACGATGACGAGGTGATGGAGCCAAACAACTCAACATCTCTTCAATCTTACATGGTGTTACCTGATGATGGTAATCATCAGAATGATGATTATTACTCAAATACAAAGACAACAACAAAAACAACAATTAATGATGATGAATATTATTATAATACTGGATCAATAATCAATCTAATAAGTACAAATACAAAGAATAAGAATACATTTATATTACCAGAAGAATCAAAAGATCTGCGGACAAGATTATGGGCAGCATTCTGGGTGATAACATGGTGTCTACTCAATATGACATTGGTATTATCCAATAAGTATATGATCAGAGACTTGCATTTCAGTTATCCTATATTGGTGATCTTGACGGGAACTTTCACAACATTCATTGGATGTCTGTTCTTCACATTCGTGCTCAAGCTATCAGAGTTTCCCTACGATGCCCTGATGCAACGCAAGTGGATCTTATTGATGTCTGCTGTGTTCCAAGCGGCAACCTACGTCCTGGAGAACATTAGCATCGTCACACTTCCAATCTCGCTCAACCAGATCATCAAGTCGACGTCGCCATTCTTTGTTGTCATACTTATGATGGCAATATATCGCACAAAGTATCCTCTTGAGGTACTGGCCATCACATTGGTGATTGTGGGCGGCGCTATAATGGCTGTCATAGACAATCCAAGCTTCGCCCTAACTGGCTTTCTCTACGCACTGGCTTCCACATTGTTTGCTGCGGTCCAGACTGTGATCATCACCTCCCTACTCAAAGATCCTAAGCTCAACAGTCTGGCCATCCTCACCGTCACATCATTGCCATCAACAATTGTAATCATCCCCCTCTTCTTCATTATTGAGTATCCAAAGAGTATGTAAATCACACTTGTCCTCTTGTCTCCTGCGAGACCACCACTAACTCTATCACTTAATCGCTTAGTGCGTGAGCATCCTCCGGCTGACCCATTGTACCCTAGTCTTTTGGTGGCTGCATTGGCCATCATTGCTCTGTTCTACAATCTCAGTCATTACTATCTTGTTCGATACACTAGTGCATTGTACTATGCACTGGTGTGCAATGCCAAGATTGTGGTACTGATCATCATCTCATCGTTCATCTTCCCCACGGCACCATTCACTGTTGTCAACTACATTGGAATGTCCATAACATTGTTGGCATTCTTTGCCTACAACATTATCAAGATAAGCAGGGCACAACGACAAGCACTGCAACAACAACAACAACAACAACAGCAACACCAGGAACAAAAATTTTATAATTCACCATCATCTCCATCTGACACTGATGTCGATGAGTACAACGCACGTAGCACCAGAGTCTTTCCAATCTTTGGCAGCAGCCGGCAACCTAAATCATTGAACGATGATGTCGATCAAACAACACCACTTCTCAAGGACGATAATGATCAAGAAGACAACTAACACATGTATAAATTATAGCATTAACATAATTTTAATAAAGCATCTTGGACATGTATGGACCATCAAGTTCATATCCAAGCTTCCTGTAATAGTGTCTCGTACCAACACCTGCGATGACGGCCAACTTGATCGATCCGTGCTCCTCCCTGGCAATCCTCTCGGCCTCCTCCATGAGCAGTGTACCATAGCCCTGATGCTGGAACTTGGTTGGGTCTCTGTTGTGGATGGGCACCACACTGCCATAGACGTGAAGCTCTCTGACAATGGAGCAGTTCTCCTTCAGCTCTGGACGGAAAGAGGTTTCGCTGCACTTGCGCAGACGAAGCAAACCGATGAGGATGTCCTGCTTGGGGTCCTCATACGACAGGAAGGTCTCCCAACCACCGTTGGCAGTGTAGTCACGTCTGATGAGCTCGACTTGGTCTGGCTTGATCTTGTGATGCACCTCCTGGATACCAACCTCACGTGTCCTGACATCGCGGCACTTAGTTCCAAAGTCCTTCATTCTGGCAAGACACAACTCACGCAGATTGCCATACTCAACACCAGACGTGACCAGGGGCATGGGGATATCACGTTGGATACGGTATATTCTGGTCCAGGGCGGCACGAGCGCCAGGATCTTGGCAATGAGGTCGACAAGACTGTCGGGTGAGTAGTTCTTGTAGGTGCCCGTCTTCCAGAGCTCGTAGAGACCAGTGCCACGGATAACCAGGGTTGGGTAGATCTTGAGACCGTCGGCGCGGAACGCAGGGTTCTCAAAGAACTCCATGAAACCGTAGACGTCACGCTCCATACCCATGTTGGGCAAATCGGGCATCATGTGTGCCACCACCTTGAATCCACTGTCCTTGGCCAGCTGGAATGACTCGAGCACGGCACGCACCGTGTGGCCTCTGTTTGTGTCTCTGGCAATGTCCTCGAATACACTTTGCACTCCAATCTCAAGACGAGTGCAGCCGTACGTCAACATGTTGCCCAGATGCAGCTTCAAACAATGATCTGGTCTTGTTTCGATTGTGATTCCAATGCACTTGGTGTTTGATTGCTCCGAGTACTTTACAGCCTCGGCCACATTGTTTGAAGAGTGTCCTGAGAGTGCGTCGTGCAGATTCCTGATGAAGTAGTCGCGATACTCTGCGGGCAATGACATGAATGTGCCACCCATGATGATGAACTCCACCTTCTCCACGCTGTGTCCGAGTCGCTTCAGCTGATCGATTCTGCTCTTGGTCTGCAAGTATGGGTTGTAACGAGCGCGAATAGCACGCATAGATGTTGGCTCGTAACCTGTGTATGACTGTGTCGAGTATTCAAAGTCTGAGTCTGGGCCACCTGGGCAATAGATACAGATGTTACCTGTCATTGCCAAGTGAGGACATCTATGTGGCTTACACATAACAGCTACAACTGCAATCTATATTTGATCGATTGATTGATTGATTGAGTGAGTGAGTCGAGAGTAACAACTGTGACGATGGATGATACATACACCTGAGGCTGTTCTAACAGGCTTGGCCTTGAGAGCAGGCAATAGAGCTGCTTTGTAATCTTCGGGAATTGCAGAGATGATGTCAACTGTCTTTGGTTGATCAGACAGAGAGTTCTTTGCTGAGAGATCAGCCTTTATCTTTAAAAGGTTGACCTTCTTGCCCTCCTTATATGCATTGATCAAAGTATTGACAACCTCTGCGACTGTCCTTGTGAACTGTGGTGTATTCTTTCCATCTAAACAACAATAGTTTGTAAGTTAGGTCTGGTCTCAATCAAACTGCAGGATTGATTGATTGAATGAACGAATGAATGACAACATACAAACAGGCTTTGCACCTTGCTTAGTGGATTGCTTTGGGTTATAAGTATCTACCATCAATGACATGATTGATTGATTTGTATTGATATAAAATAGATATCTATTTATCTATATCTGTGAGTAACGATTATGAAGTTATAACACCTGAGAAACTTCAATTCAAACGACGAGCCAACAACCAACTATTTTCAAAAAGAGACTATTACCACAAGTCTACCTTTTTTGGATGTCAACTAACAGATAAATTCTTAAGAATATTTGTTGAAATAACAAAGAGATAAGATATGTTCATTTTATTTATATCAATTATCTATCTCAATACTACTATTTATAACTATTATAAGGTATATTTCCATGTTGAAATACTAATTAATCTTTAAACCAACGACAATCGGTTGGTCATCTGAAGGACAAGTATTACTAATTGAATATTTAAGAATTGTTGAGGACAACATCTTAAGTTCATTATTCACTCCTAAACACACCAATCAATGATCAAGATAATGGACCGATTAACAGCTGACTGACGATCAGGTACGTTGGATGAGTGGTTTCTCGCTTTGTGTGAATGTGATGACCACACAACTAATTTGAAACCAGACAACCTTACAAAAACTCACCTCGCATATGATCCACTTTGGTTTCAAAGACGAACCTTATGAGGGTATACAATGGTCTGTTCCCTATCATGTTTTCGGACCAACTCATTCCAGTGTTGGACCGTTCTCATCGCCCATTGATCATCTTGAGGATCATTGTTTGTTTAAATATATATCTACCTTATGTTTATAAATAACATGTAATAATAGTAATATAATCATATAACATATATAAATATAATTAATCATGTTTGATAATATTAATAATGAAGATAATGTTACGATTAATGGACATGGTTTACTACCACCAGATGGTTTACCAAATCATGATATATATGATAATATAGTAGATGCTTTGGAGCATCCTAAACCAGCTTGGATAGCAGTGATCAGTATTGCATCAATAATGATGGCCACTACAATGTTAATATCAATCCAACATATTTATAATCATCTTAGCAACTTCTCTCAACCAAACCATCAAAGATACGTAGTACGTATCCTATTCACCATACCAGTGATCACAATGGTAGCATACATCAGCGTAGTGTTCATTCGCCCCTCTGCTTGTCTAAATATTTTAAAGGACCTGTAAGTATATGTTTGATTGATTGATATATTTTCGAGACATTAACATTCCTTCCTCTGGATTATAGTTATGAATCTTATGTGCTGTATAACTTTTTCCTACTTTGTATGCAATATTGTCGAGGTGAACAGAACCTTGTCAATCATCTTATGTGTCAGCATCGTATCAAGATGCCATTTCCATTGATGTGTATAAATTTCCGGCCATCAAAGTATGTATATTCCGAATCAAGTATCAATCCAGGTACTAATACTTTAAACAAATTTAGACGATTTATCCAAGTCTGTCGTATTGGAATATTCCAATTCATATTGATCAAACCATTGTTATCAATCGTTGACTTGGTATTGGTTTATACTCATAGGAATAAGATTGCACATATTGATCTGATATTAAGATTGATAATATTGGCATCTGGATGTGTTGCCATGTATCTACTTACATTCTTCTATCTATTGGGACGACAAGAAATGAGTCCATACCGTCCACTACTCAAATTCCTTTCAATCAAGATTGTAATGTTTCTTGGCTTCTGGCAGAACTTGGTTATCCTCCTTCTCTTCAAGTTTGACATCATACCAACATTCCTTGGCGAGCATACAAATGCTAGACTTGCAGTATGTATTCCTATCAATTAGAGTATGATTAGTAGCTGACATTCATTACCAGAATGCGCTGTTAGTTATAGAGATGTGTGGAGTGTCTATACTGCACTTGTACTCGTTCCCCTATGACATGTATCAGATCAAGTCATTTAGTACTGCTCCATTGTTGTTGGGCAAGGACAATGATGTCATCATGCCAACCATTGCAACATCAGTTATGATATCATTGAAACAGGAAGACATGGTAGTGGAGGTTAAACTGGCCGTGATAGGTTCAAACGAAGTGATTGACGTAGTCGACAAGTCAACATCCACAATGTTTGATTCAATCTCCTCAACAGATATAGAAATGGTATGTTGATTCATACATATTAATGAATGATTGATAGATATACTAACATTGTTACACAACATCAACAGAGTCAGTTTAAATCACATCGACCAGATCTGGAAAGAAACGTACAACTTGATGAAGTAGTGTTGGACATCAGCGATGAAGTGTTCATGCAGCTGATAGAGACAGGAAGACATCAAGAACACTCTGAAAGTGAAGGACTACTATGTCACCACATCAAAGAGGATGATATAAGCAGACTGAAATGTATAAACAGATAAAGGAATGATAGATAGATAGTATACTCACTTAGTTGTTGCTTATTCCAAGTATTCAACGACAATGGTTATAACTATGGTCATATTGTAAAAGGATATTGATTGAACGAATGAATGAAGTTATAACCACATCCCCGCAATGGCAAGAGATAATGTCTTTCCAAGAAATCACTGTTGTTAGTGTAAGACACAGGAGTGGATGAATGTCAACAACTAAGAGATAAAGGTACTTGATTCTCGATCCTTTCAGATCACTAAACTAAAGTATATTCCTATTCTAATCATACTTATTAATATCATTCTCAAAAGATAAAGACAAAGTAATGTCAACTCAACAAGTCACTATTCGTAAAATGCCCGCGGCTACACTCTATGGTATTAGCCATGTTGGTCCTTATGAAGCCATTGCACCTGTCTTTGGAAAGTTGGCCAAGATCGCCGAAACTGAGAAGGTGTCCTACGACTCTGGAGTGTACATTGGATTGTACTATGACAATCCCGATACCAACCCACCCGCTCAACTCCGTTCAAAGGCATGCTTCATGCCACACAAGCCCGAGACCAAGTTGGTCGATCCTGCCATCTCCACCTACCAGTTCCACGAGGGCGAGTACGCCGTCTACTTGTACAAGGGCGCCTATGAAGGACTACCCAATGCCTGGAGATGGTTCTTTGAGACCTGGTTCCCAACATCTGGCCGCCAGTTCATCCTGAACGATCAGAATCCAACATTTGAGCTCTACCTCAATGAATGCGGTAAAGTTGCCAACGAGGAGTTGTTGACTGAGTTGATGCTCAGATTGAAGTAAAGTGTAAGAACCTCTTACTTTCCCAGAGTGTAGTCTACACTACAACTCTCATTGAGTTACATTCCATTCCATTTATTGCGCAGTGTTTGGATCGATAGAGGCAAAGAGTAACTTGTCATCCTTGAGTGATACTGTTGTGGGTATGTTTGGATTGACCGTGCGTGGAAGGGTCTCGCAGGCATGGTAGGCGGGTCCAATGGATACAAGTTCGGCCTGGAACTTGTTGGCAATGATCTTAGCAGACTTGTCACCTTGCAGTCCGGCCACCGCACGTCCTTTCAGACTTCCAAAGATTATAATGTTTCCATCGGCCACAGCCTCAGCTCCACTGTGTACATTGCCCATGATGATCAAGTCTGTGTTCTCAGCATACACCTGCTGTCCCGATCGCAATGAATGATTGATAACCATTGGTGGATTGGGTCTTGATGGGTGGAGAGCACTGGTGAATGGAGATGATGATTGTGATGGTTGTGATTGTGATGCCTCATGATGAACTGAAGCTTCTGCTGATGCCTGTGATGAGTAGTTTGATGTTGGAGACGAGGTAGCCGTTGGTGTTGCTGTCGCTGTGGTCGTGGTCGATTTGAGTGTGCCTGATGCCCTTCCACCTGATGATATTGTTGGCAATCTGTATCGATTCAGTACGTCCTGTAGTGCATCCGATGGTGATTGACCTGTCACACCAACTGGAACCAATCCATTCATTGAGCAAACATTAAGCAAGTCTTCAAACTGTGATCTTTCCATCTCCTTATTCTCTTTGGAAGGGTAACCTCTCGTGGTTAGCGAACTCACATTTGATTGATCATGATAATGATGTGCGAGACATGTGAACAAGACTACATACCACTGACATCAATGACAATAGGAACATTCTTGTAGAACTGAGGCGCAAGCTGTACTTTGGACACCACCTGATTGAGTAGCTCTTTGAATGGCACGTTGTTGGTGATTCTGTGATGTCCATAAGATGAGTGGAGAGGTGAGGTGGTGAGTTCATTACTCATCTTGTATCGATCATGACTACACACATACTTAAGTGTTGGTATCAGATATGATCGTGACTTGATCGCTCCATCTGTTGACTTGGCTGTACTAAACTGTCTAGTAGTTGGAAGATAATGTTGGATGATGTTACAGGATGATGATTGGTTTGATGGGATACCCTCCAATCTCTTTATACAATGTCGAAGCATGATTGATTGATTGATTGATTATGATGATGATGTTCAATTAAATGAATGATCCTCCTTCTTGGACCCTCTAAAGGACCTTGGCCCACACAATAAAACGATCGTTTTTGGGACCATGATCAATCACAAATGACACAACAATTCGATGGCGAGATAGAGATAATATATATATATAGTAATACACTATATCAACTCTTGTATTAATCATTGGTCGAAGTAGTATATCAGGGTTGAGTTGAGGAGGAAACGATCAATCATTCAAAGCCATAAGTTAGTTGGTAGTTGTAGCGGCTTGAGTGCTGTTGTTGTTGTAGGTAGTACCCCAGGAGGCCTTGTTGGTCTCAAAGTTGGGATCGGTGTGTTGATGCTGCTCGGTGAGGAACTCTCTCCAGTAGTCGGAGGCCTTGAGGAAATGCTCGAGGTTCATGCGAATGACGAAGCTGAGTATTCTCTTGACCTCGTAGTTACGCTTCGAGTCGAATCTAGCCAGCTCCACCTTGGTTGTGGCACTCATGCGCTCAAACTCCTGCTTGGCATCGGCACACTTCCTCTGTACGTCGTCCAGCTCCTTCTGTGCCTGGTCCTTCTTGGTGCCGCTGGCCTTGTTGACCTTGTCGCGGGCAGCCTCGACCTTTCTCTCGAGGTTCTGGAAGTTGAGCAGTGCGTCCAGTCTGTCGTTGAGCAGCTCCTTGACGGCGCTGAGCACACGGATGTAGTCGTTCAGACCCTCCTCAAAGTAGCAGGTGTCGTAGTTGGAGAGTGTCTCCATGCCGTTCTTGATGTTTGTCTCGACCTGTGTCATGCGCTGGATGCTGGTGGCAATGTCCTGTGACTGGGCAATCTCTCCCGACGAGAACGTCAATCCTGACGAGCACAGCTCGCCAATTGCGGCGGCCAGCTCCATTCTCTTCCTGATGACGTTGCCAACTGACTCGGCCAGACGCCTCAAGTTGGCGTCCAGCTGCACGATGTAGCTCTTCTTGTCATCGAACCATGGGTCGAGCTCGCGCACTGGCTGCACGCTGGCAAAGTTGCTGATGGACGTGGCGGCGTTTCCAAAGAACGATGTGATCTTTCCAAAGCCCTTGGACTCGGGCTGTGATGGTGAGAGAACAGTGCTCTGCTCCATATTGTCACCTGATGGGCGTGCAGACTTGGCCGTGTTGAACTGCTCGTCCTGAGCCTCCAAGAATATGGCCAGCTCACTTGAGTGTACAAGTGATTCACTCTCTGCAATCCTGTTCATAAACTTCTCCAACTCTCTTCTTCTAACCTCCAAGAACTCCTTATTATATTTGTCTGTTTGATTGAGTTAGTGGAATGAGTCAATTGGAATGATCCCCCTGAACAACTTACTGAGAACGGCCTTCTCTGGCAGTGGTGGGATGATGATTCCCCTCTTGGTCTCCTTGAGGACGTTCCTCAGCCAGAGGAAATCAGAGTATCTGCGTGTGACTGAGTTCTCCTTCTTGTAGTCGGGACGATCGGCCAGCACAGAGATGGTGTTCACCTTGTAAGTGACGTAGGCATTCATGCCATCTCCAATCTTCTCTGGGTCAGTGACGGTAATATCCATTTGATTCGGGTTCTTTGGTGGCTGCAATGAATGTCGCAGTGATGTTGATTGTCTGTTGTTATCAATTGACAATGACTATATTTGTTTGATTGATTGATTGAATGAGTGTGTCAGCTTATGCCTGAACTTAGTCGTAGTCATTCAAGATAGTTACACTGAATTGATTCAAGGAGTTGTGTGGAGTTGGGTGCGAGGATACTGTTGTTGTAGAGTACTCTGGTTGCACTTGTGGGTAGGCCGATGGTGCGGATACCTTCTGTTGAACAATCACTGGTGTGGTGTTGACTTGTTGATTTAAGAATGGATTGGAAGGGTCGCTATCCAATACCTCTGAGGTCTAAAGATATATCATTGATTGTAAATGTAAATGTGTTGGTATTCATGTCATTCAAACATCTCAATCAATCTAATTGACTTACGAATGTTGAGTTGCTATCCTCGTAAGATATCTGTGTGTTGAACAAGAGGTTGCTGTTGTAATTGGACATTATAAATATATAAATATATATATGTTGAGAGAGAGATAGAGAGAAGGGGAATTATGACAAAGAGAGAGAGAGAGATGGGAGATCGATGTGGTTGGCCCTTGCCTTGAATGGATGGATGGATGTGGAGGAATGAATGAATGCAAGGGTGAAGTTGGAGTTGAAATCTGTGCAAAAGAGACCAATTGGACTAGGTATGTTTGGTGTTTGCCTTATTGTTTTTTTGACCAGGCCCAGCACCACACACCCTGAGTGACAACATCAACGACCACATCTTCTTATGCCAATTACTTATTATATTTAAATTAATTTATATTTGGGTTCAGAAATAAATATCTTATTGTAAGTAATCGAGTCGAGTCGAGTCTAGGCAACTAAGTTATAACTAGTTAGTTAGTATATTGTATACAATTACAACATAAGGACTTCCAACTAAGACTTGAATTGAAACAGTTCTTCTCTACAACTACCTGAGCCTGAACCATTATTGGTGATAGTTCAGTTATTCAATCTCGTGATTGTAGTGGCAGTTGTGTAGACAACTACTATCTATTTGATTGTATCAATATTAGGTAGTTGGTGGAACTTGATTGTGCTTCACAATGCTGATGGGGTTGAAGGTGGTGGGTGATTCGTTCGACTCGTCAAAACAATAAAACGACACAACATTCATTTGAGATAGCTAGTCCAACATTAAACAAACAAATAAGTAATAATCAATTAATAATGGTATGTACTAGGATTGATTATATCATTAATATATATATGAATTATACTAACATAGACACTTTGACACTGTTATAGCCAAAGACAAAGAATAAGCTTGTTAGGAGGAAGGAGTATCAATATGATTTGATGAGAGAGAAGATGGCTGATGAGGATAGAAAGAAGAAGAGGGAGAAGTTACAGCAACAGAAGAAGAGAAAGCTTGAAGAGGAGGAGAAGAAGAACAAAATGGCAATGGACTTTGATGAGGTCGAGCTGGAAGGAAACACTCGTGGCAAAAAAAAGGTCAGACGTTCAAGCGACTAATGTTTGGATCACATGTCAATTCATTCATTCATTCATTTATCATTTATTCATTCATTTATCATTTATTCATTCAATCGTTCAATCACAATCCGATCATTCACAAGCATATAATAAACTTTGTATGCATGTTGTTAACTCCAAACATGTTTGGAACCATTCCATTTACAATTGATAGAATAGTTTGGCAATAATAGTAATAGACATAAATAAGGAAGATACAGGGTTAGGGATAATGGTATTGTATTGTATTGCGAAAAAAAAGGAGGAAGGAAGGAAGGAAGGAGGGAAAAGGTAGGAAGGATGGATGGATGGAAAAGGAGGGAGGAAGGTAGGATGGATGGAAGTAAGGAAGGATGGTGCCAGACCTGGTAAAGTACATATATGGAAGTGTAGGAAAGGATGGAAGGAAGGAGGCAGGGATATATATAGAGTCCTCCTGGTTTGTCTTCGTCGACGAATGTTGTGTGTTGTGTGAATGAGGTGTGTGAGGTGTAGCGCTTGAGGTCATCATCATTAGTGTGATTGATTGATTATATCGATCACGACTACTGATTGCTGGTGATGACCATCTGATTCACCTCTTGTGTAATATTGTTAGTGCTCTTTCTTTGTTGTTTGTTGCTGCTGCTGCTACTGCTGCCGCCGCTGCTGACGTTGGTGCTGCTTCCACTGCCACTGCTAACGGTACCTGCACTGGACTTGATGCCGGACTTGCCACTGTATAGATCGGAGCTGGGCTTGGAGTTCTCGACGGTCAGCATGTCGATGGGGAAGATTGCGCCGCCCCTGTTGACGTAGTTGAACCAGAGCTTGGGCTCCTTGCCTCGCAGGTGGATGTGATTCAGCTCGGAGAGTGTGACGTAAGCGGCGCCAATCGACTCAAAGTCTGGGATGGACTTGGGCAGCTGGTCGTCGTTGATTGGCTCTGCGTAGAGGATCAGACGCATCCTGGAGAACTTGGTGTGTGGCGAGTACTCCATGCGCAGCATGCCCTTGACCTCAATGTCGATGCCGGTCTCTTGTTTGGTCTCGCGGATAGCGGCCGTCTGGATGGACTCGCCCAACAGGACCTTGCCTCCTGGTAGCCACCAACCCATCTTGCCAATCTCGTTCACCAACAAGAACTTGCCGTCCTTCTTTCTACGCACAACCACCAAACAGAATGGATATACAAAGCTTTGCTTATCCTCCACCAACTCATTAGTCAGTGATCCATCAGGTCCATGCTCTCTATACAGATGCGATCCCATCTTATGAGGGTTCTGCTTGCAGATTGGGCATTTGGGCATTTTCTTTAAAGATTGATTGATTGATTGAGCGAATGTTAGGACTTGATTGATGGCGAGTGGCAGGCTGGAAGTATTGTGACTTACATGTGTCAATGAGTCAGCATCCTCGGATGGATGGAACAGGAATATATGGTCGCGCATGTCTTGTCTATTTAGGTGTGTGGCTAGACCACCATGTCTACAGAGTGAACATGAGTATCTACCATTCCTCATCATTGATCTTCTCATCACGGCAACAATACCAAGTACATCTTGCATACTTTTGGAGCGAAGATATATATATATATATGTTAGATTGTGATCCAGACAAGATCATGGAAAATAATAAAATAGTAATATAACTTACTTTTCTGAGACCATTGATGCGCCGGACTGCATCAACTTGGATGCCTCGATGGAGAAGCGTGAGTTGTCTTTGTAGCGTGTGCCCTCCATGTAGACGACGATGAATGCAGCAGAGTGTTTGGTGTCTCTAATCTCGCTCAGACACATCTGGACATCCTCCAACACGGTGTTGGCCGAGCAGTGGATGAGCAGCATGACAACGGGACGGTCATCACGCTTCCTGCCCAACTGCTGTGAGAGCTCGGCCAGAGTCTTGGCCGTCTCAACAGTGTGCTGTCCATCATTGAGGAACATATTGAACATATTATAGTCTGTGTCGTCAAACATTGGTTGCAATTTTTTTAGCTGCATCTCTATGGCGTCACTATCCTCATTGCCACCGCTCAAATATGTTGTGGACAACGTCTCGCTTTGAATTATAATAGTGCTCTTGGAGAAGCCCAAGTCACCTCCGCAAAGTGACAATACCATTGTTTGTATATTTGTTTGATTGACTGTGATGTGATGGGATGGGATGTTGATATTGATTGATTGATTGTTGTATGGGTGATGGATGGATGATTGATGGATTATTTACAAACAATTAAACAGCTATAAGATGTGTAGATATATATATATAGAATGGGCTGAGTGTGTAGAATGATTATTAAGTGATAAACAAGAAGTAGTTACTATTGTTTAATGTTGACAATAAGTGATGGATCGATAGATGGATGGATGGATGGACGGATGGGCAGTTGATTGTTCATCCACGTGTATGTCTGTGCGTGTGTCCTCTCTGTTGTTGAGGCGGTGACGAGAAATAGAGACGCGTGCGTTCCTTTGGCCAAGTGGACGATGGTGCCCTAGACAAGGACACCTCAGATGAAAGGTTTGAGTTGAGTGGGAGAGACACATGCGTGACCTGACTCTCTTTCTGTTTCAACACCGATGGAACCCGTCTGAGTGTGTGGCTAACATCCTTCACCAGCTTGCCTACCTGTATCAGGTACATGGCTAATACTTGAAGTGATAACAAACATAGGTCCTTGGTGTGTGTGGTGTGATCGTGCCATCCTAATCTTAGAACTGAGTTTGGAAAGTTGCCAAACAAAACACAGCAATTGCGACCAAGATCGTATGGGAGTGAGGTGTGAATCTGATGCAAAGCACACATTTTTACGGGATGTTTCGACCAATTCGTTACAAAAATAGGTGATGGTGCAAAGTGATGGTTCCAGGGCCAAGGGGTTGGCGTCCACGAGTCAACTGGGGGGTGGTCATTGCTCAAGTGTCTCCCGCTGAGCCAACAGAGTCACCCACACTTGTACGGCAACAACAACAACAAGTTGTTTATGTGTTTCTCGATCAGATCACACACTGAGCTGACTTTGTTTGTCTGGACAACTACTCGCGTAGTCCAGTCCAACCGCTAAAGTAGGGTCCAACGCGAACTTTGGTCATTGGATCACCCGGGTCATGACCTACTTTGGACTGCGATGGAGATGGCTGATGGATCTGGTCTCCCCCACCCAGGGAAGGGCGATTCGATTCGAGACTCGATTGGGTACATTAATTACAACCTCGATGTCATAAGATGTGCATGAGTAGTGCTCGAGCATTAATGAGCTGCGTCAGTGATGTAATGTTATACTACTACTGCTACGACTGCTACAGTTGCATCTTCTGTTGTTCCTTAAGATGATAGAGATGGTCCAGCTCTTTGAGCTCCTTCTTGAGATTCTGTGTTGCATTGTGCAGTTGGTTCTCGATCATGTCAATCGCATCCTTGTGTCCTTTGATTGTTGCCATCTTCTCTTCGATCATCTTGTCATAATCCATCTTGATGTCATTATTGTTGCCGTTATTTTGATGTTGTGGAGGATTGATCTTGATGTTGTTCTTGTTTGTTGTTGTTGTTGTTGTTGAAGATGTTGATGATTGAGTGCTTGTGATTGGCATCATCAACATGGTGATTGTATCTTGGGTATCATCGATGTTACTCTTTGCTTTGCCATTTGTTGTTGTTGTTGTATTTGATGTTGTTGCAGCATTTGATGTCTTATTACTACTCTTTGCCTTTGGCTTCTTGGTGACGATACTGTCTATCTTTGACTTTTCCATTTGTGACTGCTTGTCCTGTCTCTCCTTCCTCATGTTCTGAAAGTGCTTATCAGAGTCGAACTCATCTTCAACCTCTTCCTCAAACAGTGAGCTCTTTGTTGTTGTTGATGTTGTCGTTGTTGTTGTCAATGCATCACTCATTGTTTGAGCTGTATTATTACTACTATTGTTGTTGTTGTTATGTATACCAAGTGATGACTGAGGCAACTGTATTGTTACACCTGTCGAGGGTGTATTGAGAGGCTTGCTGGATGACTTTCTGGACATGAATGACCTGATGTCTGCAGTACCAGCTTGTTTCTGAGCCATCTTGTCCAACTCTTGCTTCAGTTTCTTCTTCTCCAATTGTACCTTTCTGATGAACTTGTTGAACTGTCTTGGGTCACCTCCTGCACCTCCATCATCATCATTATCTCCTCCTCCTCCAGTGCCAGCACCATCACAACCTGCAAAAGGATCATAATCATCTACATCGAATGGGTCCACTACTTTGTTACTATTACTATCATCCTGGCTACTCTTCCTTTTAGACATCTCTCTATCTTATTCTGTCATTGATGAATGTATGCCTTATTGAAGTCGACTTCATTAAGATGTTCATGTGACCCCTAGACAGTCCATCAAATTCAATGTTTGGCACCAGTCTTCTCCTGGAAATGAGAAATTAAGATTGAGGGGAATTGTTCAAGCAAGATTGAGTTGGAAACTTAAAAGGTTTATTATTTACATTGTATATACAATGAATGAATCACATATCTTCCCGACCAAACCTACATCGCCCAATCAAGAGTTGCTGTCGATGAATGGTAGTAGGAGAGGCTGGCTGGTCAAGGAGGAGTATGTTGGTCAATCGTCCTCTATGTAGTCAATATGGTCACCCTCTTCATATTGAAGTTTAAAGTCTACCTTGTCGCTCTCTAGTACATAGAACAAAGAGCGAATGCAATCGGTTTGTTGTGCTATTTTGGTAATTGATTATGGGTTAGTATGAGAACAGACTGCAATGATTCCAATCATTAACATCATCAATGCAGACATACCATAATGATGGATCCTCTTCTCGGACATCAATGATTGTGGAGTGGCATATCTATTGATATCATTCCTTCCAAGCTTGATCAATCAATTAAAGTTAGTACGATGGACGGATGTTTGATCAGTAGATCGTGGACTACATACTTTTTGTCGAAGGAACAATCCAGTGATGGCTCTGATTGTCTTGGGCTTGGATCTCATCACTATTGGTGTCTTGGAGAGGTCCTCAAAGTTGTTTAGTTTGATACCATACTGTTTCTCAAACTTTAGTGTCTCCATTCTATGATTGTAGCCAACTTTTCCAATGGACTTGGACTCCAAGATATCAATCAATTGTTGTGGCACCTTCTTCAACTCATTGAGGTTATACACAACACAATGATCATGGTTGCATACTGTAACGACGTAGAAGTTTGGTTCATCACTGTTCACCTCCTTGTGATGCCACTCATATGTAATACCCTAAGTTGATTGATGGTTAGTGATATGTGAATGTGATCACTCGATGATCATCCACACTTACGAGTTGTATGTTGTTGGCAAAGTTGATGTCAGCTGGTCTCAGTCCATAAAGTAAGAGTTCATTGGTCTTCTTTGCCTGTTCCTCATTTGATATCACAGTGATACTTCTTGGGATAGGGTATTCTGGGAACTGGATTATCATAAGTTAGTGTTAGATTGAATGATTGGATGAATGAGGGAGAGTAGGAGTACAACTTACAGAGTCGATTTGTACAGAGTTGATAGAGTAGAGAGGGTCCAATGACTTCTTGATCAAGGTGGATTTGATACGGTTGCTGGTGGGAGTGTACTCGTTCCAGTAGGTCATGAACTCTTGTGCTTGGTATGCTCTTACGGCAGTGGAGAAGTTGACATAGATAATGTTTGGATGCGAAGGTCTGTCCAGATCACATGCAGGATACCAGGTGAATGGACGTGCAAGCGAGCAGCATTAAACAAGGAAACAAAAATTGATTGATTGATTGTTGCAGGCACATGCAAAAAAGGTTAGTGTCTATGTACATCATAGTTCCTTTCATCCATAATCCATTATACATACTCTGTGATCTTGACCAATATCTTTGATCCATTGATTATTTCCTTGGGTAGGATACCCTCAATCAACTCTACCAAGTACTTTGATTGATTGATTGATGGATTAGTATGATTAATCAATTGAATGGTGAGTGGCCAACAAACTCATCAATACCAACACATGGTCCACTGAATCAGGAATTTATGTCGAATGATTGATTGATTGATGGATGGTAGTTACATTGGAGCGATGAGTTTCAAACTTGACACAGTTCTGAGCCTCCTCTCCTTTCTTGTGGGGAAGTGTGAATGGACGATGACTTCCGTTATGGAGTTGATGGAGTGGAGGTACGATTTGGCTCTCCTCATGTCTTAAATGAAGAGGTGTCGTTATAGCAGTTGTTGTCATCACTTTGCCAGTGTGATTGTTGTTGTTGTTTGTGGCGATCGGTGCTCTCCATTGTTTGAACAAAGAGAAGTCGGCGTCGTCATCAGCACGCTTGGGCGTCACGATTGATGATCTGACCGATCCCATCAAATTGCTGATCGAGGAGTAATAGTGAGGTCTGTGCATTGTGCCATGGTCGCATGATGAAGAATGTAGTTGATTTCCAATGAGACCAGGTGTGAATGGTGATGTGTACAATGATGCACCTTTGAGTTGACCATAAATATTATTATTGTTTGACGATAATGATGAAGTTATTGGATGATTTTGTTGTTGATGAGTTTGTTGGCCTACTGATAGTATACCCTGTTGATAGGGGACTATTAATGACTTGTTAAAGGGTGCTTGCTGCACCCTTTGTAAGAGCATCTTGGTTAAACTGAGCTTCAATTTCATCAAATAGCTCATTGGATAATTATTTTCCTTCTTGTTCTTTGATTGATTGATTGATTAATTATTTTTTGTAATTGGAAGCATTCCAATTATTTAAATAATATTAATAATAGTTTGATTGATTGTTTGATAAATTATCTGTTGTTAAGTTGAGGATATTGTTTGATTTGTCGTCTGAAGATCATATTTATGTTAATATACATCTTGTGATGATAGGTATTTTTGGAAGTAGAGATTGTATCAATTGTATCCTCTCCTTATATTGAATCAACTTGGATAGCTTACCAAAAAAAAAGAATTAAATTAATATTCACAACAAAGGATGATATTTGGATCAAACCCTTTACGTCGATACTAAATGGTCTGTTGTCGTGTGTTGGAGGTGAGCGATGTTCAAAGACTCTTGCTTGCACATTAGGGACATTGATTGTGATAGGAGGAGGATGATTGTGATGGAAGGAAGGGATTGTGTTTGTTTGTTTGGTTTGTGTGTGCTTGGTTAGGACGCAAGTGAGAGAGTGATGTGAAAGTAAAGGAATCTCTCTTCTTCACAGTGAGGTCGATGGATGGATTGGACGTCACATTATCCAGCGGGTCGTTTTCAGCACCTAGGATTGGTGGGGCCATCGGTCCATGCTTGTCAAATTTCAACGATCATGATGTTGGGGCCAAATCAAAGGGAATCCAAGTGTGGCAAATAAATTAATATTTCTATTTCGGGAATGTAGTGTGGAGGCCTTGAAAGGAAAGTTGGCCGTTTCAGGCAATCGACAGCAATGCCTATTACACGCATTTGTAAATGGTGGGTCTCTATTAGAACGTGACTGGTTGGATGTGGATAGTACATGTATACATACCTTAGATACACACCCACTCACGCTGATCCATCCTTGTTCACACTCTATGTTGCCTATGCCCAAGGTTGATTGAAACTTCTATTGTCGGTCTATTCTTGGGTTTGCCTCTAGCGTGCACTTGGTACCTTTTTAATCACAATAATCGGGTTGCTCTCTCCTATTATGTACGAGTTCTATCTAAATATTATAATTCAATAAATAATATTATTGCCATGTTTGTATTGGGTGTTACGATGGTCATGTAACTATCTAAGTCCTCTGCTTCTTTCGTGATGCTGCCGTGTCCCGAGTGTCGAGACCATCTGGCTCGGGGATTCCACCCTCATCCTGATCCCTCTTTAGTGGCGTTTTCTTTAGCTTTACTGCCGAGAGATTAATGCCTCCAGGCATTAATTGTACACCTCCAAATGGTCGGTCTTTCGATGGTGTAACTGGTGGTGTCGGCTTTGTAACCTCATTCATTGGCTCATCACTGTTACAAGCTGAAGTAGTGGTAGTTGTTGTTGTTGTTGCTTGTGTTTCATCTGTCTCTGTTTCGGAATAAGTTATGACCTCTTTGACCGCATGATGTTCCGATCGTTTCTGTTGTGGTCTTCTTCTTTCCTTATTAAACACTGGTCTTTGTAAGGTCAACTATATCTCAATGTCAGGATGGATTCATTCAAAGATCGATCGAGTACTAGACATACATGAACCAGCTTTGAACTTAATCCGCCACTACTTGACAGTGAGATGTCTATATCCCTTTGATTATTATCTTTATCGTACTCATTCACGTCCACTTCCTTTTCCTCATTATCGTCGTTATTGCCATTGTCATTGTCATCGTCATCTTCATCATCTCTCTTCCTCTTCTTATCAAGAAGTGATTGAGAGACTATATTGACACTCTTATCCTTTGTTCTTTCTTCTTCCACTTCAACAACATCAAGTTCGCTATCATTGATCATTCTATGTTATAAGTATATAATTGTATTACAATGTTGTAATGTATGTATGACTATGACGAAACACTTTATGATCCTTCACTCATTCAATCAATCTTTGCATCACCCACACCCACCTTTGATTGATTGATGGCTTTACCAAATTGGGATTAAATTAAATTAATTAATTATATCATTCGTTTATGATTGTTTCTCTTTGGGTGCATTGATGTGCAATGAAGATGATGATGCTTGTAGTATTGGCGATCCTGAAGTCTTTACAATGGGACCAGCTGGTGTAATGAAGAATTTAACTAGTCCTCTAAATATAAGGAAGGTCCAATATATGTTCAAAGAGTTGATTAGAATGTATCCAAGATGACATCCCCACCATATATATCCAGGTAATGACAGTGACATTGAATGTTTGGTAACCAAAGCATATCCAATTGTTGAAGGAGCATAGATCACTCTTGCAGCCAAGAATCCAAGTGCCATTACAACACCATTAATACGATATATAACTCCTGTACTCTTGTTTGCTCTATAAAGAAACCATCTAATATTGACGAATGGTGTAGTTATCTCTGTCAACAAGAATGAGATAAGTACAAAGTGGCAATATTGTTTGGACTTCAGGATTGAGGATTCGAGTTAGCCATAACAATCATTGATTGATCGATCGATTGAAGGAAGGATAGTTACCACACCAAGGTAATATAGTAGAATACCCATTCCATGATGTACTAAGGTGGCTGCATCACATAGGTTACTAGTATTGGCCAACATGACAACAGTGTCATAGATACAGTATCCAACGAATACTCTAAGGAAGAAGGTACTTGAAGTTGTTACATCATAGAATGGGTTCTGTGTCCAAGCCAAATCTTCATAGAACAGACATGTAACTGCTCCAAATGTACAGAATATTGCATTCACATTGGATGCAGTCCTAAATTATTATTTGTTATATAATTGATTGATTGATTGATTGATTGATTGATTGATTGATTGAGGTGATGTGTGAGTGAGTGAGTGAACTGTATGATTGACAAGTGATGGGAGGCATACCTGGAGTTCCACTCAATCTGATCACATCTTGGTAGTTTGGAGAACTTCTTGTAGAATAATGGTGTGAGAGTATCTGATAGCCAGAGAACTGTGGAAAAGAATAAACATACAACTATCTCAATACTCCAACTTCTAAGGAACATCACTCCAATATCTGTTACAGATAGTGATGGTAATGATGTAAGTGTCGTTGGACGTATCATCCTTTATATAATGTATTTGTTATTTATATTTATATGTGATGGTGAGGTAGTTGGTAAAGTTTGTAGCTGGTCAATCATTAAGATGAGTCACTATGTTGATGTGACAGATGGATGAGAGAACTTTAAATTGAACACTGGACTACTCCTTCTTCTTCTTAAACCAAATCTCTTCATTCATTCGCCCATTCGAGTCATGGGGCACTGGGCATTCATGACCGGGTAGTTCAATGACCCGAGAATTAGGCCTAAGTTTGATCAAAATATCTAAAACGAATGAACAATCAACCGAGGCCTTGTGTGATTGAATGAACTGAATAGTTCCTAAACGAATGCGTCGTCGCGTAGTGTTGGGAGTGTGTGGGAACAAGGCTGCAAAGATCATATATATCAATGAGATCATTTTCAAATGTTGGACCTCAGGTGGTAATGGGCAATGACGTGGATTATTGGATTGGATTGATTGATGAGTGGAAGAGTGGTGTCCTTTATCTACCTAAAGTTCAATCATGTGAATAAAGTCGCTAAAGTCTGATGGCAGATTGATGATGTTCTCGGTTGGGTTGTAGATCTGGTTGAGTGTCTGTTTAGAGTCATACTGATCTGGCGGCAGACGTAATGATGCATCAACAGACGAGTATGGAAGTAGTTGATATGAGGACTCGGTGAACAATGTGGCAGGCTTGTATGCGTAGCATTTGATCGAGACAAAGTCCAGACGGGCAAGTATTTGGACCACCTCGCTGATGAACGACGGCGTGGAGAATCTGGTCTTGTAGGCCAGGCGCTCCAAGGTGATGCCTGGATTCTCCATGATCCTGATGATGATCTCGTATACGAGCTGATTGAAGATGTCGTGCACGACACTGCCATCCTGTGCCACCCACGGACGAATGAGCGTCTTCTCCTGGAGTGGGCGGGCTGGGTCGAGAGGGAGCATTGATTGCTCGACAAACTGTGTGGCCACATAGATCTTCTCAGAGTAGCCGTAGACTACTTGTATCAACTTCATTGCAAGCAGCTCGCTTGTGAAGCGTGGCAGTTGATCGATCACCTGCTCCAGTAGGTCCTCATCGTGTTCAAAGTACTCGAGGCTCTCGTCGCTATTGTAGCCATTGTATGCAATTTCGTTGACGATGCTCTTCTTGGTCATTCCTGCCTCTTTGGAATTGACGATCATCTTGTAGACTCGCTCCATCATTGCCAAGTTGTCGTATATATCATCAAAGTCGTCCACGTTGGCATTGACAGTGCGTTGGTAGAACATCGTCTTGAGCTCGTCGAGTTCCAATCTCACTTGGTATGTTCTGATCAGGTCCAACACTGGTGTTCTGTTGTTGGTGTCCTTGTCCATATCCTCGTCATCTTGCATCTGCTGCTGTTGGGATGATGGATCCTCAAACTCTGTCAACAACTTGACATACTTGCGCTGTGACTCGAACTCATTCAGTAGTTCAGTCTCCTCTTCATCCATTCCGATGCCTTCGTCGATGAACACTCGCTTCAGGTAGCTCCTATCGATGAACTCGCTCAACACGTATGAGAGGCTGATGAACTTGCACAGGAAGTTGTCTATCCTGGGCTCGCCAACGACACTGCGCGTGCCCTTCGCCCTGAAGAGATCCCTCTCCTGTCTGATATCGATGGCTGGCGTGAACTTGCCTCGGTGCATCAGCTGGAGGCACTGGCTGACTGAGCCACCAGAGTTGTGTGGCTCAAAGTGGAACAGATCGGCGTCGTCCAGTCTGTCGAAGTGGACATTGTTCTTGACCACGGACAGGAACTCCTCGTTCTCGCCAAAGAAGAAGGCGCCATCCACGCACGCCAGCTTGTAGATTGGCTCCCTCTTGCCAAGTACGAATCGCTTTGACTTTTGCTTGAGGACTGGGTGGATGATCCTGTCTCGGGTCATCTGTGCCATGACGTCAACGACCAACTCCTTGTTTGTAGATGGCACCAGCTCCTGGCCAAACTTGCTGCTGAACTCATCGTCCGACAGCATCACCTGATACAACAACTTCTCCTTGATCAATGACTGCTCCACATTGTCAAAGTGGCAGTATTGGATGACATCATCGAAGCACTTGTACTCATTGAACTCGAGTATTGAGTCGAATACCTCCATTGACTCTGGAAGGTCACTATGTTGTTGTTGTTGGAGGAGGGGAGTTAGTGAGTGATTGAATGATCGAATGTTTGAATGAACGTCGCATGCGTAGCCGACAACATACAACTGTGCTTGGACCTTCCTGAACTTGAGGAGCGATTGGAACTGGATGCGGAAGGATGAGTACTTGGTCACGAGTGTCTTGATACGTCGGTGACAATGGGGGACGGAGCGATCGATGGTCTTGGCAACCTTTTGCCAGTCGGGATGGATGATGGCGGGCACACCATAGATCGAGACCAGTGGTTGGGTGGGTCGCTTGGTAAGACTCTGGAGGAAGGGCGCAAAGATGGCGAGCGCAACATTCAGCAGACGGATGTCCTCCTCGTGTGTCCATCGATTGGGTCTCGGCTCAACAGTGCCAGCTCTACGGCCAGGGCGACTGGCCAAGGTCTTCTGCTTCCTCCTCTTGGCCATCTTTGTGTCATAGTCCAACATGATACGATTGCTCTTGTCATTGATCTTCTTCAAGTAGTTCTTGTAGAGTGACTCCACCTTGCTCAGTCTGACCTTCTCTGTCACGGCAACTTCTATAAGTTCGGCCCTGTGTTATGAGTGATAGATGGATGGGAGATGGTGAGTGTGTGGTCAGATGATTGAGTGATCGATGGCATCGTGATGCCAAAAAGGACTTACTTGGTCATTGGTGGTTCCCTTCTGAACTTGGTGTAGATGGTCGAGCGCTTGACTCTGGAGATGCCAGTGACGAAGCCCCAGAGAGCAGTGTTCTGGATCATGGGCATGTTCTTGCCAAGTGAATGCACTTCGTTGGTGAGACCAATGTACTGCAGGTCGGTCCAGTACTCTGTGATGGTCTCCAGTGTGCTGAAGCAGTATGTCTTCTCATCCAATTGAACATCTCGCTTGATGGTCAAACGGACATAGTGTCCCTCCACTGTTGGCACGACAAGACCTAGCATCTTCATTATCTTGGTGAGTTGCGACACTCTTGTGAGGTATCCACGCTTGAACAACTCCATTCGAATCTCGCGTGGCAAGGCACTCAAGATCGTCCTGCTTGCAATATGATCGTCCAAGTGTTCCACCACATAGTATTGAGGGAAGCACTTGAGATAGTCGTCCACGGGGCAGCTAAAGAGGTGATTGATTGATTGAGTGAGTGAGTAAGCTTGCTACCATTCTCAAGTCAGTGGATTGATGGACATTACTTGTTCAAGAATGCATTCTGATAGATGGTGATCTCCGCTGGGAACTCGACAACAGTGTCGGGTAATAGTGCTGGCTCAGATGATGATTGGGTCGCAGCTTGAGTCGCCTGGTTCTTCTTGGTGAGCTCCATGCAATAGGTCCAAAGCAAGAAGTGGAAGTACTTGATGCGAAGGAACAGTCCGGCAATCATGCCATAGCCCTGAGCGATTTGAGCAGTCTGATTCAAATCGGCGGACTTTACATTCTTCTGTGATTCCTCGTCCTTTTGCACGGTTGGCTCGCTCACTCCTAGCTTGTTCCTAATGCTCCTGGCCTCTGTGATGACGTCCTTGATCACCTGGTCCTGGACACTATACTTGCTATCCATGATAAACAGAACGTTCTTTGCATTGTCAATCGTTGGCATGCTGTACATTCGTTTGATTGATTGTTTGTTAGTATTGGTCCAATTGATTGAGTGATTGATAACATACTAGAGTGAGATCAGCTTGATCTTTCCCTCCTTCTCCATCTCGTTCAATAGATGTTTCAGTGTCTTCTGATCAGTCTTGTCATCGAACTTGCCTATAGTGCCATTGAATGATTGTTAGTGTTTAAGAGCATGTTGATTGAATGCTTGTTGACTTGACGGACAACATACTCAACTGATCCTGGAGCACCAAGAATAAGACACCCTTTTGCTCTTGTATACGCTCAGTGACGAACTTCTCTCTTGCCATGTACAGCGTTGTCCTTGGGAGAGTCTTGCGGCCATGTACCACAGCTTTCGTAGGTGTCTGGATGATGTTAGTCGACCCATCATGAACAAAGGACGTGACGTGGTATACATACTGTTGGCACAACTGGTTCTGGTTGCACTACCAACTCTTGTTGCGGCTGTGGCAGTGCCTGTGACTCTGGCTGTGACTGTGACTGCTCAACGGGCTTGTCTTGGACAATGACCATGGATCCTGAAGATTCGTCTTGTTGTAGTGTCAGCTGATCCTGTTTCTTTGGCTCTGTCTCTGCCTCATCCTTGTCCTTGCTGTCAGTCTTTGCTTTGTCATCTTGTGCGTCCTTCCTTGGTCGTCCCTGTTTCTTCTTCTCCTTTGGGGGAGGAGGTGGCTTTGCCTTCCTCGACGTTGGCGCCTGGAACCCAGTGATGGCCGGGACAGCCGTATTTACCGGCGCACCATTGCCAGCGACCAATCTATAGGTCATCTGCTTGCCCTGCACAGTTGGTATCACCTTGAGATTGTAGTAGAGTATGAGTGCTCGGACGCCTGTGAAGACATGCTTGGACGAGATGAAGCCGACCCATGTGCGGATGTCCATCATAGTGACACCAGATTCGCCAGCCTTCTTGATGTACATGTGGATCTGGTCCAGAAGAGGACGCTCCATCACCAGTCGTGATTGTGGCGCGCTGATTGGCAGTTGATCATTGTCCTCGTCGTCCTCATCCTCCTCGTCGGGCTTCTCCTCTTCGCTCTTGTACGGCCTCTTCAAGCGCAGTGTGATACCACGGGCCTTTGTGGTCGACGCGAATGACTCAATGTAGCCCTGATCCTCAAGCTCTTTGCGGAACTTCTTCAATGTGGTGGCCGATATGTCGTCCTCGCCACCCTCCAACAAAGTCTTCTGGAGATCATTGTAGGGCATCTCCCTGTTTGGCTGCTTGGCGAGAATGCCACATATCGTCTCTGGCAATGACTTGATCAACTTCCAAGTTGGCGGTATCAATCGCTTCTCAAAGAACCTTGTTAGATAGAGCACATTGGAGTTGATTGCACTCTGTCCCGAGTTAGAGGAGGCGTTCCTACGCTGGTATACTGATATCTTCTTGCTGTTCACACATGTATGTATGATTGGTTAGTGACTCGACTCGATCAAGTTGATCGCTACATCGGCAAGTACTACTTACACCAATCCTCGTGTTATGAGAAACTTGATGGGATGGAAGATGTTCCTGGCATCCATGCGCAATTGCTCGGTGATGTCGCGTTGAATGCAGCCATAGTGTCGCTTGATCGCAATGAAGGAGATGATCTTGATGTGTAGGATGTTCAGCTGGATGCCTGTACCCTTGACACCGAATGACATCATGCGTAGGTCATCATTGGCAACGTATCGTATCGTATCCTCACACAGACTGAGCTGTGGATAGTCTGCTTTGTTCAGGTGCTTTGGCTCGGATGACTGTGTCTCTTGATTCTGTCTCATCCACACACTCGATGTCAGACCTCCGAATGGTGCGAGTGACTGTACACTCGTTGCTGTAGCTAGTACAGCATTGTCCTGTTCTATTGTTATCGGGGTGGTGTCAGGTGATGGCAATGTAGACCCCTGTTGTGTCTGTGTCTGTGTCTGTGTCTGTATCTGTAGTTGACGTGATTGTGTCTGTGCTTGTGGCTCTGTCTGTGTCTGTTGTTGAGGGGCTGCGGCAATAGTTGGAGTTGGGACGTCATCACTCAAGGATGCGATTGATATCTGAGGGTCGTTCAAGAGTGCAGTGTGAATGTATTGTTTGGTATATTGGTTCAATGTGAATGCCTTTGCATCTGTCTGAAGTATGATCCACAGCTCCTTTGGAGTCATACCCAAGGCACCATTAAGTGCCACCTCTTCAATTGATTTAACTATAACATCTGCAATATTCGATGTCTGTGATGTTGTGTTGACCGCAACAGCTGTCGCATTACTACTACTATTGACTTTGTTATTATTATTATTATTGTTGTTGTTGTTGTTCTCCATGTATGAATGTATATATGTATATGTATATGAAATGAAGTTATAACTTCAAACAAATAATTTGTGTCAAGTTCATCTGTTCACACGATTTAATAATGACACGATTTTCAAAGATTGGCGCGCCAGACTTGATTTCAAAGACGACTCCAACGGGTATAAATCCCTTGTTGAATAAACTGTTAATATTGTATTGTATTGTATTGTATTGTATTTGTATTTGTATTGTAATGATATGGTGGTGGTTGCGACCTTCATGATGTGGATGTGGATTGATCAATCAATCAATAACTACATCACACATATTCTCTCCAAAGAAAGTGTTGTTAGGAGGGTACAAAAGCACTAACTAACTCTCTCTCTCATGTTTCCTTGACTACAAGAGTCTGGGAAAGGTTGGAGGTATTGGTGCCACCACCTAGCTTAGCCGCTAGATTCTGCAAAGTGTTGTTGGTTGGGGATGATGCGGCGGGTAGGGTGGACGCCGCCGTGTTTCCTCCTATGAGGACCTGGTCATAGTTTGGTCTGCTGAGTGCCCTCTTCGGATCGTTTGTGAGCTCCTCAATCTTGTTGGCGAGTTGATGGTGGCTGCGATCAATCTCCATGTGCCATGGGTATAGCACGAGGATCTGGAAACTCAAGGCGCTAGAGGCCACAACGAATGACAAGAGCGGGAGGTTCTTGGACAATCTTGGAAATCTTGAAAGGACCATTTCTTTGTTTCTTTCTTAAACTCTTGGTTGTACTGGATGGACCGGTGACTTGGACAATGGTTCTTGGTTGTAGTTGTTGTTGTTGTTGTTGTTGTTGTTTGAATGATACAATGTACAATGTACAATGGTAGGAGATTTGTTACAATCTTGTTTCGATTTGAATCAATAATGGTATGGTATATACTACTAGGTAGGTACTTCTATCTCTTTGTGAATTAATGGGAATTGTGGAGTTGCTGGAATATGCATATTAATCAAGACCCGTTAGTGTTTGATCAATCATTCATTCATTCAATCATTCAAACATACCAGAATGGCTAAACTATCTATATAAAAGATGTCTTTAGACTCGTTTTCTAACTCTTCCCATTGAAGGCTCTAACACAATGTATATAAAATAAGAAGGGGTTGTTAATTAAGTATTAAAGGATAGATATTATCTCTATCTCTGTTGATTATATATAAATATGAATATATGTATAAGTATATATATATTTGTGATGATGATGATAATGAAGGAACAACCATTCAACCTTGAGACAACACCCTTATGTTTGTAATGTGGCAATAATCCGCTCAACCCACCATCAATGGATTCAACCCACCTAACACTCTCCCCCAGGGGAGGGTTGTACCGGGGTCACAAAGTCGAACTTCCACTCTTACATTATCATTATTATCTCTTTGATTACACTACAGACATTGATTCAATAACCTTACATTGATATTTAGTTCAAGGTATGATCAACTTTGGATTCCACAACTCTCGAAGAATGCCTCGTCACTTGGTCAATCATCATTGGAAGTGAGGTGAAGTCCTCAGCCCCATCTTTCAATTCACACTCCCTCACCAACTCACACTTTGGATTGCAAATGAATGAATGATCATTCATCTTACTTCCACACAACATCAACACTCATTTAATACACATACTTATACATATACATACTATGAATAGTCAAACAACAAAATGGATTATAGTAGTACTGTTGCTACTTGGGTTGTTGATGACAACTATGTCAGCATCACACTTGGCACATGATGCAGATGACGAGGTGGAAAATATACATGCGACACCAGATGTGACAACATCCACATCGGTGAACACCAATAGTGAACAGTCGTCAAATGATCATGGCACCAACAGTGAGGCTGAAAGTATTCAGGCGGCTGCAGCGCGAAAGTTACGTCTGAGAGATGATCTATTATGGAAGATGGAGTTTGTCAATGGTGGACGCGTGGAGCTTCCACTTCATGACACACTCATACTTGGACAAAGGAAGCGTGGATATGTATTGATGAATCAACAGACCTCATCATCGTCATTATCATCGGCTTCATCAATATCATCAGACAAGGATACATTTGTGTATGATAGCAACATTGAAGACATTGATCATACAATGGGCAAACAACTCCTGACTGAGGCTGCGAACGCAGGCAACCACAAAGCGATGTACATACTTGGCAACATGGAGGAGGTATGTGTCCGTCATTCCCTCAACACTCAATCAATCAATCAATCATACATCTAACCCGCCCACGACCATATCATTGCCTTACTTAGTACGGCCAGACAGGATCAATAGACTTGGAACAGGCTGCAATATGGTATAGGAAGGCAGCAGACCTGGGGAATGACGATGCTCAGACTGCCTTGGCCTTTTTATACTCATCTGGAAAGGGCGTGCCATTGGACGACAGCCTGGCTATCCTATATTACAACTTTGCCGCAGCCTCTGGCAATGTGGCCGCCAAGATGGCTCTGGCCAACCGCTATCACAATGGTATTGGCATGAAATCATCGTGCCGAGCGGCAAACACATTGTACAAGGAGGTGGCGAGACAAGTCGTCGAGGACTACGAGCAGCGTGGCTTCAGCTATCACATGTACGCGTGGCGCTTCACCGACCAGGCGGTGCAGGAGCGCCAGGACGAGGACTCAGTCATCGAGTTCCACAGATACCTCGGCTCATCAGGCGATGGCAACTCGCTCGTGGCGCTGGCCACTCTCTATCTCCAGGGCATCATGGCCGTGGAGCAGGACTACAAGTTGGCATTTGATTATTATCAGAAGGCTGCCAACGTTAACCATCCAGCAGGCTACACAGGCGTGGCATTCATGTACAGCAAGGGCTATGGCGTCAATCAAGACTACGTCATGGCGGCCAAGTTCTTCTCAAAGGCCTATCAGATGGGCCACTATCCAGGCCTCACTGGACTGGCCGAGCTCTATCTTAATGGATGGGGCGTCGAGAAGGATGAGCAAAAGGCCTTCAAATACTTCACCGAGGCCGCAGAGAAGGGTGACAAGACCGCCAAAATGTACTTGGGCAAGATGTACATTGATGGCGTTCACGTCAAAGCCGACGAGAGCAAGGCAATGGTATACTTCCAGCAGGCCATCACCAACCCTGTGGCGCTGTTCCACGTGGCTCAGATAATGACTGCGGACACGCCCGTCACCTGTGCGACCACAGTCAAGCTCTTCAAGATCCTGGCCGAGCGCGGACAGTGGCTCACACAAATGACACATGCCAACCAACTCTATGACGCCGGCGACCACCAACGCGCACTCTATCTCTTTGAGAAGATTGCTGAGCTTGGCATTGAGATGGCCCAGAACAACGCCGCCTACATGTACGACAAGGGACTGGGCGTGACATCTGACATGAGCCAGGCTGATCAGGACAGATGGGCCATGCACTACTTTGCACTGTCGGCGAATCAAGAGAACGGCTACGCGCAACTCAAACTTGGCGACTACTATTACTATGGACGTGGCTCGCCCGTGTCCTTGGAGATGGCCGCATCGTCCTATCAGCTGGCCAGTAGCATGCACGACTCTCAGGCCTACTTCAACCTGGGCCTGATGCATCAATTTGGACAAGGACTCAATCAAGACCTGTACCTGGCCAAGCGTTACTATGACCTGGCACTATTCCATCAACCCAAGGCCTACATCCCAGTCTACACGGCATTGGTAGGACTCAACCTCCACTTTGTATACAAGTACTTCTTTGATAATCCAAGCTCAAGAGGTCTGATGGACATGCTCTCTGGTGCGCCCACCAATGTCATACCGACAAGCACTGGTACAGGCAATGCGGCAACACAACCAGCAGCTGAACAAGTGATCAGTAGTGTTGGAGAGGACCATGGATTGCCCATACCCCCATCCGAACCATCAAAGTCAATCACCTATTATGTATATCGCTACTTTGAGAAATATGATACAGTGATCATCCTGTTGGCCCTCTATCTGATAGTTCGTGCAGTCAACCATCGACAACAAATTGTACAACAAGGACCTCAAGCTCGTCCACCTGTCCAGCAGCAACAGCAACAGCAGCAACAGCAGCAACAGCAACAGCAACATCAACATCAACAGTAATGAATACTATTTGTAAATAAGATACGCTGCGGGTTCCAATGGTTCACCAAGAGTGCACCACTAACTCGTCATTGCAAAGACATGACCGAACGCAACCCCACCACCCACCGACTGTTGCGTGAGCTGGATGGCCAGCCCTCGGAGAAGGCCCACCTGGATAGCTTTGGCTTACGATTTTTAATTCGTTTTGCGGTGTCTGTTGTTCCAATGGTCGGCAACGGAAGTGTCGTCCTTGCTTGCGAATCATCGTTGAATGTGTGGTTGTGTGTGTGTTGCCCAGAGTCAAGCCAGCAATGCCCTACCGTGAGAGCACGCCCGCCCGCCAGGCCCTGTCACGAACGTGCACTTGGCCCAAGAAAACAAACAAACATTTGGCAAAAGAGTTTCTTGCCACGCCAGTGGCTCACTTCGCGAATGATGCCCTCTTCCAAAACTGCAATTTGTTATTTGTCATCTGTGTGGCTTGTAGCTGTGACCAGATGTGCCTGGCTGGAGCCCGCTGCCACGTGTGTGGTCGCGCACAGCAAGCGTGTATCGCCAACAACAAGACTCATGTCGACACCATTTGAATGAGCGTTTTGTTAGTCATGTGTGAGGGAGATGGGTAGTTGGTGCATGTGTGTGTGTGAGTGTGTGTGGCTCGCGAGCTGTAGATGTTGTTGTTGTTGTTGTTGTTGCTGTCTATTGTCTACTGGGTCTGCCGCCTGTCTTCAACTCATTCGCCACTTGACTACAACATTTACTAGTAACAAGTAATTATTATTATATCTATCTATCTATCTATTATTTATTATTACTTACTACCTTATAAATAAATAATAATGGGAGGAGAGGACGTAGTTAGACTATCAAAGAAGGAGTTGAAGCAGATCAACAATGAGTTGAATGATGTTATGATCACTGTTATTAAAGTTAGAGAGTTGTTGGGTCTAGGATCAAACAAAAGTTTATCATCATCATCAAAGGATAAGGATAGAGATAGAAGTAGAGATAGAGATAGAGAGAGAGAAAGAGAGAGAGAAAGAGAGAGGGATAGGGAGAGAGAGAGAGAAAGAGAGAGAGAAAGGGAGAGGGAGAGAGAAAGAGATTTAAAGAGAGATAGAGCGGATAGTGATGATGAGGACGACTCGTCCAGCATAAGTGACGAGGAGATATTGGCCATTGCTAATGGTCGCAATTTGAAGAAGAAGCAGAAGAAGTCTAGTGGAAGTGGAGCGGGCGACAGCGGCGACACCACACCCAGGAAGAGAAAGATGAAGCCCACGCCAAAGGGCATCAACAGGGGTGTGTGGAGCACGGAGGAGATCGCCAGACTCGACGAGGCAATGACGCTGTACAAGGAGGACCCCGACCGCATTAGCAAGCTGGCCTTGCATGTTAAGACCAGGACGAAGGAGCAGGTCAGGAAGCATTTGATCTACAACAAGGACAAGCATAGGAATAAGCCAACGTCGGGCGCCGGCAAGGATGGCGTCAAGGAGGAGGACGAGGCCAGCAGTGAGGCGGAGGACATTACAACCGGTGAGGCCAGGTCACCGGCACAGTCAGAGAGTGGCTCAGATGACAATCCATCCGAAGAGGATGAGCAACGCGCCGCCTCCCCCGCCCCCACAGCCGAGGTCAAGACTCAGACCTCAGGATCTGCCACAACTCCAGTCCCAACAAAGATATTGTTCAAGAAGAAGTGATCATCAAGGTCGTCCTTGGATGTCCAACCAACAATCAATAGAACGAACGAACGAACCGACGATATGTGCAACATTTCAAACATACAACCTTTAAATGGCGGCATGGCAACAGCAGTAGGAAGCAGGAAGCAGTAGTATCTGCTCCTGTTGCTGAGTCAATTCACCATTCATCATTCATCATCTTCAACATCACCATTATCATTAGCATCGACAAGTACATTCTCAATCATCATTCAGTCAGTGTCCAACAATATCGATCAAACACATCAGTGAGCTACATCTTATCATGGCCCACTTTGTAACCATTAAAGGCTACACATACTTTACATTAATACTCATTGGTTGAAGTTGTCGGGGGGTCAGGTCAATTGCCAGGGCTGGGGATTTGGAAGGGTCTGGGACGGCAGGGCTGGAAGTTTCCTGGTCAAAATATCTGATCAGATGGTGGTGGACCCACACACCATCAGATAGGGCTCACACTTCCACCTTTGGAAAGAGTGATGGACATCATTCAATCAATCATAACCTTTCCAACAAGGATAGATAGATAGATAGAGGTATACATAACCTACAACAAGTATAGTATGTCCAATTCATCTTCAACATCTTATTCAAGACAAAAGGTTGCTCCACTCACAGTCGATGTCTACACATCTGAATCAATATATACAGCCAACAAGAAGTTATCAGAATATGTTAATCATATGGCCAATGAGCCAAGTGTCGGTCAGTTTCACATTAAAGAGCATATCAGAAAGGTCATTCCAAAGAATATTGCTTTAAATGTATGGTTATATGATTGAATGAATGAATGGTGTGAGTGATGGACGAATGCTAACTCAATCAAACAATATAGAATGAGTTGAAGAGCATGACAGGACATATTGAAGAGGTATCATTTGATGTAGCAAACTCATCAGAGGCAGTACACTCAATCAACGCTGTAAATACATTTGATAATATCGAGAGACTATTGATGGCCTCAGTCGAGAGGGCTGCCGTACTTGCCAATGAGTATGTTTAATTGATTGATTGATTGATGGCATACCGAGTATGACTAACATTTTGGTTACCATGAAGTAAATCACTTCCACGCAAGTTAAGAGCATCACCATCTTTAAAGTCAACTCCAACAACACCATCATCTGATAGCACGACATATACACATGGAAGTCTACCATCATTCTCACCACTTAACAGTCCAAACAAGTTACAAGGTCTATCTCAATCATCTGTCACACTGCCAGATTATTCAATGAATTCAAACAGCAACATGGACAGCAATGCCGACAACTCTCCGGACAACTTCAACGAAATACCAATCAACACTCAATCATGATGGAATGGTTCCACACATACCTGGACATATGTTAGATCAAGTTCTGCCATGTGATCCTACCCTCACATATATATTATATAAATGTAATTTATTGTAATGCCTTACCTGGCTTCACCAACAAGTTGGCAACAAGTAGTCCGATGGTGAGGGATGTGGCGATCATGAACATGCCGGTCAGGAGATCAAGACCACCAGATGCATTCCCACCAGACACAGACAGGAATCCTTTCACACCCATCGATCCAGGCACCAACACAATGATACCAGCCATGATCGGAACCACACTGGTTCCTCCAGTGAATCGTGCGTATAGGTTGCCAATGATGCAGATCAAGCATGCGCCAAAGAATGAGCCGACGTCAGTGCCAAAGTATTGATTGCCCCAGTTGCCAGCCACGATGCCCAGCATCGATGTGAGCATGATGATCCACATCTGGTTCGGATGCGCCTTCATCTGTATGGCGTAGGAGATGGCCGCAAGTGGCACGGCTATGAACATGGTCCAGCTTGGGAAGGATACCGGCATGATCTCTGGGCGAACTGGAAGTACCTTCTCTGCAAATGTCGTGCCCATGGCGATACCAAATGACAGCTGAAGCAAACATGTGAAGGCACCAATCAGTCTGGCATTACCAGACACTAGGTTCCTCGTTGATATCTCTGCCATGGCAATGGTGATGGATAGACCTGGCGCAAGGGCAATGATGCCGCCAATGGTGACGACCACTCTTGGCACAGGATAGATGTATGAGTTGATGACACCGGCGAGGAATGAACCACCAAATGCACCAATACTCTCCACCACCTTTCCGATTGTTGGTAACTTCATTGAGAGTGCCGTGAGCAAACCTATGCACAGGCCGATCAATGAAATGGAGCCAACTTCAATCCAACCACTTTGGAGGAAGAATGAGAACGCGAATGAAGACATTAGGAAACTAGCAACCGTCATGTAGATGTTATACAATGGTGGCTGGCGCAGGATATCCTTCAAGTCGACCAAGGCCTAAAGTTGATGAGGTAAGTGTGAGCATGTGATTGATGAGTGAGTGAGAGTTCAAACAACTTACATCTTGACAATTCTTCTTGGCATAGATCACTTCGTCGGCCAACTCTTCAAGTTTGGTCAATCGATACATGTTGTAGTCCATTGATTGGATCCTCAGAAGATGAGTGTAGGGAGAGAGAATGGAGTGTGGCGAACCAAACGAGAAGAAGATACCGGTGGGCGTCGAGAAGAAATGTCCATCCATGCCAAAGGTCGAGCTGATCAGGGTCAGCTCATATTCAAGACGATGGACGGGTACTCCAGACATGAGCAATGCACGACCGAGCTCCATAAGGAATGGCACAACATAGTGTTCCAGCTGCTCACTATCGACCAAATGAATGGGGAGTGTTGTCTCTGGCACCAATATCTGGTACACACTGTTCTTGAACTTCTTCATCTTGTCTCGACTGAACCTCTTGCTTCGACCTTTCATCGTCTTGACGGGTGCCGATGCAGGTACCTCATCAGGACATGTATAATTATGAATGGTTGTGGAATCATCTGCAATATCAATCTTGGTCAACAAATTCTCACCATTCTGTAACCTGGCACCAGCATTCTGTAACTGATCCAATCCAGTCAACAATGATTGTTGAGCAGTTATAATCGATGGAATGTTGATTACCAAGGTTTTCCTGAAAGTCAGAATGATTGATTGAGTGAGTGATTGATATAATTCCAGGATGACTGGGGATACATACATGTCATTTAACTCTGTTGGGGGCACTATCTCTTGGCTTGGTTGATTCTGTGGACGTTTGATCTCCATGAAGTTCCTCCATCCAGAACTGTAGAGCCCCGAATCGGAGAGGGTCTCGGTTGTATTGGGAACAAATGGTGGTGCATGATCAACTTCAATGGCATATGGTGAGTGGATTAGTTCTTGTGCTGCTGCCGATGAAGTTGGAATTGCTGTGATAGGGGTCAATACATTGATCTCTGCTATATTTGAAGGTATGGATACAATGTTGGCAAGTGCTGATGTATGTACTTCGGAGGTAACATTGACTATTGGTGAAGTTGGGGCTATTATTGATGGTGTTGGTTGATCATTTTGATATCTATGATATGTTGAAGTTGATTGTTTGATACTTGGTGTAGGTTGATAAGTGGTGTGGATACCCTGTCTTGGCATATCCACAACCGATGACTGTTGTTGATTTTGATAGTATTGTTGATGCAGATGCTGATGATGTAATTGTTGTTGTTGTAATGGTTGTAAACTAATGACTGTAGGTTGTCTTACTAGTTGTGGAACGCCTGGATTTCTAAGTTGAGTTGATTGGCCCAGGATGTTGAATTGAGGTTGTTGTTGTTGAGGTTGGATCATCCTTGGAATATGTTGAGTTCCTTGTAATGGATTATGGACTGCACCAATCACTCCGCCACCACCTCCATGATGACTACTGGCCTGATCCATAAAAGCCATTGGATTCTGTTGTTGATGTTGTTGTATTTGTTGTTGTATTTGAATTTGTTGTTGTAATTGTTGGATCTGATCTGCCTTTATCTGTTTCTCCAACTCGATATGATCCAGATCGACCACCATCTCATTGTTTGGTACCATTGAAGTGGTAGTAGCTCTAAGATGGTTCTCCTGAGCCTTTATCTCCTCCTATCATATGTATTTGTATCATGTTAGAATGATTATTATTTATCCAATCTTGATATTGAATGATCGATACCTACAAAAGGAGCTTTAATTTTATCCCATAATGTCATGGTTTGTACCTGTACCTGATGGTTGTTATATTATTTGTTAATCATAGATATGATTGTTACATTACATTTAGTTTATCTAGATTAATGGATACGATTATTGGTTGACAATTGTCATAGTATTGTATAGGTTGATGACAACACTGTTGTTGGGAAGTTTGAATGTTTGAAACCGTGTGTTTACCAAATAAGGAAAAAGACGAGGACTTGGTGAAGCCCCAACCCCACTTCAACGAGTCCACCTTACAACACACACACGAGCCGGGGAAATAAGTTGGCGAACACGCACAAAACAAACATACATACACCATCTGTGTCCAAAGTTTAACTCTGGATGGTTTATTATTATTCTTGGTGATGGTAGGAAATTACATTGGATGCGTTGCGGCGATCTCGTTGTAGGTCTTGTGTTCGCTGTTTGGATCGTGATGACTTGGGCGACAGGAGGGCCTTTTGCTCGAAGAGCAGTAGGGAGTTCTCCAGGTGTGATCGCATGTGGATACTAAACAGAGCTCGGAGATCACGATTGTAGCCCCACTGGATGGACGAGCCACTCTTTAGAGTCTTCTTGATCTCGTGGAGCTGGATGTACTTGCGCCAGCCTTCAAAGTAGAATGGTTGGTCGTCGATCTTGAGCATCTCCCTTGGCATGGATCCTTGCTTCAACGTCTGGACGATCTGTCTAAGCAACGAGTTGGACTTGAACTTCTTCTTGCCCTTCTCATGATTGTTGATTACCAAGTTCTCCACAAGACTAATGATTGAGTTCTCATCATCATCCTCCTCTTCATCATCATCTTCTTCATCGTCATCTTGGGCATCATCCTCTTCACCAGCATCCTCTCTGGCCACATGTTGTGCACTTTGTTTACCATGATGCTTGTGTGAGTAGTGTTCCTCTTCCTCCTCATAATCATAGTCATCCTCTAATGATCCTTCCTCATCTCCAGCATCATTCTCTTGTTGTTGGGCAGCCTCCAATGCATCACTATCCATCTCACTAACCAAGAATGCAATAGCAATTGCACATGTGATTGATAGTTCATGAAATGAGGAGCTTGATAGTTCGGTAATTCGGTCCAGCATGCTAATATATGTTTGAGTGAGTAAGTAAAGACTTGTATTACTTCTAAGTTTGAAGACCATTTCATACCTGAGATGAGTGTTGATCTGAGCAGGCTCATATCTGGTGAGCATCAATAGCCAACCACGTATAGCCCTGTTCAAAACCTGTTTGTTCTTGTGATTGTTGATTACCTCCTCGAACAAATCAATCGTATTCTCGTAGGTGTCAGCAAGAGGGGCGTTGACGAAGCAACTGACAGCCAATGCATCCAGACAACCAGCCATTGTATGAGGGTTCAGGTAATCTTCTGATTCATCTATCAATGGTGACAAGGCACCTCTAACAGTCCTGAAGAACTCTATTCTATCCAAACCATCATGAATCGCCACCAACCTAAGAGCATGCAGTGCCAGTTGTACCTCTGTCTGGTCCTTACCAGCCACAATCAAGTCACACAGAGCATTGGCAAACTGTATATCCCTGTTTGTTGTTGATCAATTAGTTCATATTCAATGGTTGTTGGTTCTTTAAACATACAGTTCATGTATCTGTTCTCTTCTATTCTGGTAAATGAATATATTGATTAAATTGTTCAAAGCACTCTGTCTAATTGTTGCCTTTTTCTCTTTAAGCAGTGGAAGGAAGTAATCCAAGTCATATCCAGTCTCATCAACATCGGACTTTACATTAACAGCCCGATGATTGGATTTTCTTGTCCCTGTTAGAACAACAAAACATGGTTAATACTTCTGGCATGTCAGATTCATTCATTCATTTTTACTTACTAATATTCATTGTTAATATTTGTTTTATTATTTGTATAATATATCTATATCTAGTTATAACATTGTAAACTCTTGATTGAACAAATATATAGAGATAATCTTTTAAGATGACGAATGGTATCAACAGGGTGCGATGTACGCGACTTACCTTCTCACTTCCAGACCAAACAACCCTTGAGAAGACACCTGGGTTCGAGCGACAGATGGAAGGGAGACATCTCTCAAACACACACACACACACATACCATCTTCACCCAGGGATTAACACACATTCTCAAACACACACAACATTCACCATCCATCGTTATAAAGAGAGATTACTGGATATGGAAGACAACACAACTTTAATTTAAAACAATTGAAGTTCAAAAAAGATATTAATATTCTTAAGGATACACACATCTGTATTACTTATTATGGTAATATTAGGGTCCTCCATACACACATTTATTTTTGCACTCAATGCCAATGTTTGCACTAGTTGTTGTGGAGAATCAATACAATAATCCATTTATATTACATAGATGAAGGACATTGTGTGGACAATGTGGTAAGACTATTCCAAAATAGGTTATCCATCCTTTAGCCTTGCACCAGTAGTAGTGTGTGGTTCTTCATCCGACTACATTCACTCTCTGACTTATCGTCCTAGGTTGCAAGGAGCGTGTTGGACAGGAGCTCCAAGGTTGTTGGATGGAACAACCAAGGTATACCTTGGTATCATTCATGAATGAGTGTGATGTGGAGGTGAGGATTGAATGGCGTGCCGAATTGTTCAATCTTCAACATAGGTTCCTTACATACATACATACAAACATATAACTACATACTTTGAACAACAGTAATAGTAGTAGTAATAGTAGTAACATTAGTCAAACAACAATGGAGTTATTACAAACATTGAATGCATCATCACCCTTATTCCCAAATGACCAGTCCAAGGTAGTCTTTGTGAAGAAGGAAGATCCAATCGAGAAGGGTTTCAAGGTACATATATACATCATTCTCCAACTCAATCAATCAATCAATCAATCAATATTCTAACATGAAATTAAATAGTTATTGATCGATAATAATATATTGTCGGCACCAGTCTACGATGAGAAGGAAAAGAAATATGTATCCTTCTTTAGTATGATCGATCTAATCTATGAGATTCTGGAGATTGTAGAGACGGAGAGTCTGCCTCAAGGAGATATCTCAACAGTGTTAACAAACCTCACTGGCAAGAACCTTTTCAACAAACATCGTGTCATGGATATTGCCAACATTTCCAAGCGAGAGCCATTCATCGTAGTTGGCTCCGACATGATGTTGGACCAAGTAGCACGTCTAATGTCCAAGAACAAGATCCACAGAGTTGCCGTGCTCGACCAGAGAGGTGAACTTTGCAATGTTATCTCATTGGTATGTATATTCAATCTTCATTCTTCATCATATTACTGACCTAGAACTATCATACAGTCTCGTATAATTGAGTGCACAGCTCAGTTGTTTGGAGTGGACAATGGGTTGACAACAGCAGGCGAGAGAACTATTGGACAACTAAACCTAGGCTGTCATGAGGTCATATCAATCTGTAATGAGAAAACTGCATTGGAAGCATTCAAGACAATTGCCCGCTTAGGAATCAGTGGAATCGCCATTACCAACAAAGAGGGTGCCCTGTGTGGAGTGATCAGTGATCACGATCTCAACTTGATTAAGTCACATGGACAGTACCTCAGTCTACTCTATCAACCGCTCTATGAGTATTTGGATGCAATGAAGAGCTTAACTCAATCAGTAAGTAATCTTTAAATAATATGAATCATTGTTACCAAACTAACTTGTATCTTTGGAATATTCAAGCCAAAGGAGGTGATCACTTGTAAATATAATGACAAGTTCAAGGATGTTGTCCAGAAGGTGTCCGAGAACAAGATACATAGGATCTTTGTAGTGGACGACAACAACAAACTCATAGGAGTGATCTCATTGCTTGACATTTTGGAGCAGATAGTCTGGTCGCAGAGACAGAATCCTCAGCAATGAGTTAGATTCGTAGGGGAGAGTGGACGAAGGTGTGATGGCGAATGTATCAACTCACCAACAACTCTTGGTGAGACATCATTCATCCAATCAACATAACAAACAAATCAAACCAATCATTCAATCACATTTCAATCACATTCAATCAATTAAACAAACAAAAGGAAATCAAACTACCTTGTAAATAAATAGTTATACACCTTTATTGCCAAAGGCCATGTTAGGCCTCGCTTAGGGTCTGGTCAAGAAGGGCCAGCCAGGGGCTTATTTCTTTTGATTCCTCATCGCGAGGAATAGATCAAATTCGTCCATGTCATCAGGGATTGCAGGCTTGGAACCAGCACCTCCACTCGTGCTTAGAGAGGCCGTGTTGCTGTTGCTCGATGAGCTTGGTATCGATTGCTGTTGTGTTGGGTAGGACGTCTGAAGGGGTGGCAGTGGATTGCTATTGTTGGGAATGCTTGGATTGCTTGTGTTGAGTATGGTGTGAGGTGGTGTATGTGTTGATGCAAGTTGGTTGTACGATCCAATGGAGGAGGCGGGCGGACCAAAGTCACTGAACGACGATTGAGACAGAGGCGACTGATCAAAGAAGTTGGTGCTGAACGACGACGTAGACGGTGTAGGCAGCAGTCCAGAGTTGTTGAGCAGTGGTGGCAACACAGATGATGCCGATGTGGAGATAACATTGACTGTTGGGCTCTGGACATTGTTGTTGACCACGACCGGGTTGACATTGACATTGACATTGTTGGCCACGGCCATTGGCGAAATGAATGGCGAGAAGAAGTTCTCACCAGACTGTGCGATGGGGTTGTTATGGATGCCCACGACTGGCGCCGAAGTGGGCACGCCAAGTGGCGAGCAGTCCGAGAAGAAGTTGTTTGAGATGGAGCTGTTGGATGCGGGTACCACAGGCGTTGGGAACGATGTCTCAATAGGTGTTGACAAGGGATTGGAGTTGTAAAAGTCGTTGTTGTTGGAGGATGATGTTGAGGAGAGTGGCGGCAGTGGATTGTGCGCGCTCGCTGCGCTAGAGCTCTGCAGCGAGCTGTTGGCACCGACCGACAAGGGTGGGATATCCGAGGACTGTTTGGAATAGGAGCGCTGAGTTGATGGCGGTGAATCGATTCGCATTGGCTTGGTCGACTGAACAGAGGCAGACGATGCTACCTGTGGTGGTGGGCTAATTATAGGTCTGTAGATGGGTGTGTGATGTGATTGAGGTGGAGGTGGCAGCTGGAATGTTGAGGGCGGCGATTGATGTTGCTGGGAGGTTGTCAGGCGGACAGGTGGCGGTGAAGCTTGGGTTGAGGAGTTCACCGACGATGTCGACACAGACATCGAGCGTTGATGTGATCGCTTGTTGACATGAAGTGATGGTAGAGTGGACTTGTCGCTGACACTGTAGTTTGGATTGATGTGCACGTTGTTGTAGCTTGGTTGAATATTGTTGTTGTTGTTCTGGGATGTCGTGCGTGGTCGATGTTTGATGTTGAGTGGAATGGCAAAGTGCTCTGGCAGCTCAGGGATCTTAAAGAGGTTCTTGTCGACAGAGGCTGATTTGTGCATGCCTCCACCACCCTCTTTGCGTTGTAACTCTGGCGACGAAGGCGTCTTGATGATGTGTGGGATGGTTGGTGACACCTGCTTGGGCGGGAAGAGCAGATTGTGAATGTCTTCGATGGTCATGCGCTCGCATTGAGGCGCGAACTTTTGATGAATAAACGCGAATGGGATAGACTTGTACGTAATCTCCATCCTCTGTGTCTCTGCCAATGATTGAATGTGGCGTTGTGAACCATCCGAGTTGGTGAGCCTTTGATGTGAGCCAGTGTTTACATGTACATGTGCCACAGTGTTGGCCGTGGCAGTGACCGTCTTGGCCACCTGATTGATAATGATGTGGCCCACCTCTGATATCGATTTGCTGTGTGAAAGGACTGGGGTGGAGTTGGCCGACAGCGAGAGGCCAGTCTGGGGTGGTGGGGCCAATGATAGAGACGGTGTGGAGGTGGACGCCTGCATCGTCTGGCTAGTCATGGATGACATTGGCGAGTGGCTCTGGCCCTGGGTGAATGATGTTGATGCGCTCCTTGTGATTGAGTTGGCCGCATTGCTGATCAGTCCACCAAGGGCGGCCAGATTGTTTGACGACTTGGGTTTAGGCAGATCGACGTTCAATGCTGAGAAGCTCTGTGGGTTGGAGGAGTCCATTGCAGCGAGGTCTGCGGCAGTCATTGTCTTTGAGCGCGATATATTTGGTGTGCCCACTGTCAGCGAGCTCGTGCCAGATGTCACGTGATTGTTGTTGTTGGTAGGTGCGCCATGAGTATTGCTGTTGTTGTTGGTGCTGATGAGATTGGCAAAGAATGACCTGTCGACACTGCCATTGTTCTTTGGGTTGGCCAAAGCTGGCTTCTTGAGGTCGATCACCTGACGATAAGCTGCCGCCTTGGCCAAAGCCTTTGCCTTCTCCTTCTCGACACGCTCGCGCTCCTTCTCCTTCTCGACACGCTCTCGCTCCTTCTCCTTCTCCTTCTCCTTTTGGCGCAGTGTATTGTTTATCGATGCTGTCACTGGATTCTTCAGATCAAATGTGATCACCTCTTTCTCGAATATGCCTGGCGGTGTAAGATTCTTAAAGTAATACTCCTCTCGCTCTGCAATGAATCGTTCAAACATCTGTGACGAACAGAATGTCGTGAGGAACTAAACAAAAAGGATGGATGTTAGCGGTCATTGGTTCGTTTCCAAGGGTGGTTGGCCTGGCCTTACCTTTGATGGAGTGATCAACTGTGAATCAATGAATGATGGCTTGTCGAATATCATCTTCTTCTGCTCCATATCCTTGAGGAAGAATCGCCTGTATGTACCCAATATCTGTACAAAGAATCGTCTAAACGTGTCCACTATTATCTTGTTATGATTGCTATCGTAGGTCTTGCTCTCTGTGTATGTGTACATCGTTAGTACTACTCTAGTGCTGTGACAGCGCGCCAATAACCATTGGGATACATACTGCGCAACTCGAGTATCTGTGAGTCGAGACATTGCTTTAAGAGTTGATTGAGGTGTGGTGGAAAGAGAGCAATGTCTTCGGGGAGTGGCAGCACTTGGTCCTTGTCAAGGTCGACAAAGATGATCTCGTTCAGTGGCTTCTTTCTGATCAATGGGAAGAGTGAAGAGTGTACACCAATGATGAATGGCATCGGTGCCGTGCAGTAGTCCAGCAGTGATCGTGGTAGCACTGGAATGAAGATGTGTTGCCACACGAATGGATCGAGCAAGGCCACCGCTGCATTGACAAACTTGCTGACTTTGCATATATTCTCAGAGTATATAATCACTCTTCGCTCAAACAACAATGATATGAACAGATGTAGTATCTTTTGTGATGACAATGACTCGACCAAAGGAAAGAGTGTACCCTGTATGTGTGTCACGTGATTGGAGGTAGAGGTCAGTGAGTCATGTGATCAAACATCGATCAATCAATCAAACATACATCATGTAGTGATGACTTGCCAACATCGAGTGGACGCTTGAGTTGGTAGTTGGAGGGCAACTCGACACGCTTCTCGGGTAGGGTGAGGAAGGGGTTGTTGTAGATGTGTATGTTGAAGTTGTCGCCTGGTGCTGGGATGACAGAGAGTAAGGCCGCCGCCAAGAAGTTGTGTATCTCCTCAATGGAGACGAGGTAGCGCGATTCAAGTATCTCGAGCATCTTTGCAAATGTGCTGTACCACGCGTAGCGACTGATGATGCACAGTGACTCGGGTATAAGCATGGTGGTCTTGTTCAGCACCATCGTGTTGGCCTTGGTCAGGATGCGTCGTGTGAATCCAAACTGCTGGTTGCCCTCGCGGTCCGTCAGGACGAACGAGAACGACTCTGATATCGATGACGACTTGCTCAACGATTGATATGACACCATCGTCTTGTCAATCTCCTCGGGGAAGCAGAACAGTGGTACATTGGGATCGACCGTATCAGGTGGGTAAACATCCTTTACATATGGTATTATTCCACCTGCTCCATTTGTATCTGAATGTATATGTGCTGTCGAGTCAGACCCTGCTCTGTTGATTGATTGAGTGAGTGAATGAGCCAGACATACCTTCTTTCAATGAGACCAATAGGAATTGATCAAAGAGTAGTTTCTTTGATGACATCCTTGTCCAGTCTCTCTATATATATGTCTATGAACGATTGTTTGATTGATTTATGCTTCGTTGTCGTTTTGTCGTCTGCTTTGTCGCTGTGATTGATCAACTGCAGATCCTGTATATTACAATTATAAATATATATATATAATAATAATAATAATTCGTACAAAGTTATTTATATAACATTAAAATACTAATTATCTTTCAATCAATGCAAGAAACAAACACACTAACAATAGAGATTGGGAGGTTGATCGAGCAGGAAACTGTCACCCTCTAGTTGTGTGAATCACCTTTCTGTTTTGTTTGTTGGTGATTGATTTGATGTGTGAGAGTGTGTGTTTGGAGGGAGAAAGTGATCCAAATCATTCAAAAAGACACTCATTTTTTGTATTTTCAAACCTATTCAATGAAAATTACTATGCCTGGTTATGATGTCGTCCGGACGACACATTGTAAATTGCTTGGTTGATTGATTGTACAATCAACTGACATTGTTGGAACACCCAACAACATCAAAAAAAAAGAATAGAAAAGAAAAGAAAAGATAAGATAAGAGAAACGTTGATGGAAGCTTAGTAGGATCAAAGTCCAAAGACTTCATTCACATCACGTGCCATGTCCTCCCCCCCCCCCCCCCCGGGAAAGGAAACTTCAATGTCCAAATGTAAAGTAAGGGAGATGAGATGAAGTGTATTTGTTCGAACATCCAAGGCCAGATTGATATGTTTAGGACTTGGTTAACGGAGTAAGATCGATAGACTTGGGATGACATGATGATCAAGTGATGGAGTACTGATGCATGTATCCAAAGTCAAAGGAGTCTGTTCAATTGAACGGATTGCATGAAATGGATGATATGAATGATTGAATGATATGAATGATATGAATGATATGAATGAACCATGAACTACCATTTGTCTACAGGGTTCTTCTTGAATGATTCATAGTCGGCAAGTTTAAAGAATGATAACTCAGTCTCGTTGACAACACCTTGTTGTTCCAATGTCAAATCATCCTTGAGAATATAATTATCATCATTGTCCAAGTTGATAGTCAAGTTGTTGGGCTTTTGTTGTACATGAGGTATGAAGTATATCTTCATCGTGTCCAACTCAACATTGCGAAATGGTACGAATCCTGCTGTTGTCTTTATCTCTGTAATGTGAAGTTGTAGTTGTGATTATGTTAACATCATCATTTACATGATTGAATGAGTTTGACATGACATGACATACTATCTCTAACATGTTGTTTGAAGTCTGAAACTGTCATCGAGAGTGGAACATCGCGTAACAATATATTCTTGATGGTTCTGTACTCGAATGACTTGATCACACGAAGTGTGAGTATTCGTTGTTGTTGTTGTTCATCCACACTCGACATTGTAATATGTTGTAATTGTTGTTATATATATATATGATTGTGACTGAGTGATTGAGTGAATGAGTGATTGATCAATGTAGAAACAACTTTGATCATAAAGTGGGAAATGAAATGAAACGAAACGAAACAATCGATTACTTTCACAATCACTCATTTGTAATAACAATCAAAACAAATAAACAATCAATACATGAATACATTATTATAACAAGGTGAATGAATAACACTAATTATAAGTACATTATCATCATCATCTTCACCATCATCAACTTGAACTCATAATATTACACCTTGAGTGTGTTCCAGCACAGATACTCATTCTCTTTCTCTCTGCTCTTGCAAACAAAGCAAAGCAAAGGAAGTGAGTATCTCTAGATTCACCCCTAACCCTCCCCCTAAACAGCAACCCAACACGAAAGAAGGAAGGGTGGGGTTTCATCTTGAAACCCGAGAGCCGAAACCCAAAGTGTGTCTATCTATCTTGGTGGTGTGGTGAGTGGAGCCAATAAGACGAGTCGTAAGTCAGTTGGACACGGGTATGAAGAGATATCCGGATAGCTAGCTTGTTGATATGATATTAAGGGGGCACAGTGTTTATCTATCTATCCTATCTATCTATCTATCTGTACCCTTGCTCTCACACTCATTAATTCCAGCTCACTTACGCAACACCTACCACGCTACACCTCCCTTCCCCCAACACTACAAGCATATGACAAAGCTACCGCGCTTTGACGACTGCTCAACATACATATCATATCATATCATAACATAACATAACATACTTATACACTTAACATACAAATCAACTTATAATACATTATTTATTATTATTATTATTATTATACACATATAATAGGGTCTATGACTACTTACTATGGTTGAGAGCTACTGAAATGACATAAGGTCGTCCACTCAAGTTCATTGATAACTTGACTCATTCAACTTCACTTGGCTAACTTTGCAAGTTAGGCAAGCTTAAGTGCTGTTACAACTACATCCCACCACTATCAACTACATCCAAGAGTGCGAGCAGATAGAGATAAAGAGTTAAGATCAACACTCATCATTCATTCATTCATTCAATCAGACCAGTCCCAACCAACCAAACAAACAATCAAGAGAGATCTTATTTAACAACAACAACTTAGAAGAAAGAAGAAGAAGAAAGGATGAAAGCATCACCAGATAGTCTTATCATCAAGGATATATTGGAAGCAATACTGGGCTGGATAGCTTGGTTGCTAAATATATTGTTCCCGCCACGTTTAGTCGTAGATAATGTTAAACTGGAGGTGTTGCATTTGGACAAGCCAGTAAGAATAGTCCAGATATCCGATATACATTATGACCATACGCCCATCAGGATCGACGATGAACTGATGGAGCAAGTGGTGCAGCGCGTCAACGAGCAGAGTGCCGACCTGGTGGTGATCACGGGCGACCTCGTACAATACCAGCCCGAGCCGGTAACCGTGTTGGTGGAGCGCCACCTTTCCAAACTGCGCGCCAACGTGGGCGTCTACTCTATATACGGAAACCACGACTACAAGACGGCGCATGGACCTGAGATGATTGCCAACGCGCTCAAGACTGCCAACATTACCATGCTGCACAACGAGACGACCTATCCGATGGGTCGCGGCAAGGGCAAGCTTCAACTGGTGGGTCTGGGCGACTATGGCAGGAAGCGCGTCCACTTCAAGCTGGACAAGGTCAAGGGCGACATTGTCGAGGCTGAGAGGCCACGCGTCGTTCTATCACACAATCCAGACAGCGCATTTGATTTGGAGCCGTACGATATTGACTTGGTCCTCTCGGGCCACACACATGGAGGCCAGATATGCTTCCCAAATGGCACGCCAATGATGCCATTGCTTGACAAGCTGTTGCTCAGCTTGCCAAAGATGTTCCTATTGAGCATCAGCTATCCGAGCAAGGTGCTCAAGAGCTGGACGTGGTCACGCGGACACCACGTGCTGAGAGGAGTGCAGCTGGACAAGCCCAAAGCGCAAGACAGACCGATGAATCTATATATCAACAGAGGACTGGCGACACATCCTCCACTGCGGCTATTCTGTCATCCAGAGATCACAGTCATTGATCTCATTCCAAAGGTTTAAACTCTCGAGTCAGAGTTGCGAGTAATATTCCAGAGAGCAGAGTTTAGCCGAGTCGAGTCAATTAGACATCATCAACAACATCAACCTCGAATGGTTATGTTATTTTTATAACCATATAATATACCTATACATATACTATGTATTCTATTGATTTCCAACTTTGGCCCATCGATCAAACTAAGTTAACAAACTTGTTCACGGGTTTGCTTGTCTCATCATGTGTTGACACTTTCGAAATTTTCCCTCAAACTTCATGTTTTACAAGAATTGAATGAAATTGGGATGATTCAAACAACAAGATACATTCAAAGTGACCTCCTACCACTTTCACTTTGATTTATTAACAGACAAATATAATATATATATATTAAGACATAGATAACTATGATAGTTGCTCATAAACAGAATGATAACATAATGTTGGATGATAACAATAGCAGCAGTGGCAGCAGCAGCGGAAGTGGAAGCAGTGGAAGCAGCGGTGGCGGCAGCAATAACAACAGCAACAATAACAGAAGCATTGTCACTAGCAACAACAACAATAATAATAATAAGTCGATAATTAACCCTTTGCAACCAAGTCTGACTGTACCATTTGGACTAAGAGCATTCACTGCTGAGCAGAAGGAGCTATTGTCAAATCTGTTGAAAGCCGATATGCCACAAAGTGAAATACAATCACATGCAGGTGCAGCTGGTGCAGGTATGTATACCTACCTTCTTACCTATCAATCTATCTTCTTCCTTCATACTGACTGATCATATTCAAACAGACCCTTACAAGTATATATCAATTGATACTGCGTTCAAGACAGCTAATGATTTGTTTGGAGTCAATGGATGGTCATTCACGGTGAAGAACTGCGCTCAGGAGGTGTTTGAGGAGTTTGACGATAATATAAAGGTTGGATTCTGGGCACATATAAGAATAACATTAATGGATGGCACACATCGAGAGGACGTAGGATACAGCAGTCTGACCAAGAGGAAGTCAGACGATCATATAGACCTACTTCTTGGCAATTGTAGAAAGGCTGCTGTGTCCGATGGTCTAAAGCGAGCACTGCGTCTCTTTGGCAATGCACTGGGCAACAAGGTCAGCTATACAAAGAGAGCATACACGTCTGCACCTGCTCTTCCACGTCCCACCACTGTTCAATCATCAAATTCATTTACAACAACTACTACTACTGCTACCACCCCAACATTATCTCTGCCCAATGTCAAACATGAGATTGTAAATATTCAAGACACTACCGATGCGGTCCAAGCACCAATTGCGCTTAGGCTGCCAGCATCACCTGTACAAACAAATCCTTCCACTTCGACCACTCTCAAGTCAACTACTATCTCACCAGAGAGGAGGTTTAATCCATATCATCCAAAGCCAAACAACGTATTACAACTCAAACCAAAGCCATCAACTTCATCATCATCACCGCCACCGTCACTAAATAACAACATTGGCAATGGCAACAATGTCAATGGCAATGTCAATGTCAATGTTGGTCAAGTGGACAACACTACAACTACTACAACAAGTACAGGTTCATTAGACTTTGATTTTCAAGATACTGTTCTCACTCATTAAATGTTAATTAATTAATTAGTTAATTAATGAACCAAATTGATTGATTCTTTCATTCAGGAATGTGTTCTTTTGGCACAATCTAAGACAAACAACGGGTCATTCATTGTATGTTGGAAGGTCGTTTGAGAATGACCAATCGTCGTTGTTATTTTATTGAAGTAAAGAGTGTCAATAGCATCACGAGTCTAGGTCATGTTGCTTGTTCTGACAGAGGGGGTGCGGAAGTAAGCTTGCGAAGACAAGTTCACCCATTAATCCAACACACCCCAGCCGATAGATTCCATGGCGTTCCGTCCTACATTTATGGTTTAATTCAGAACATCACGCGTGTGGTATCATTCTTCGATCCAGATACTTGATTGATGGATAAATATAAATAGTCAAGTTCACAGGTCATTGTAATCATTAAATAATATCAACAAAACACAAACATATACATACATACATACATACATACATATATTAATCAATCAATATTAAATCAATACTAGTATACTCTCAAGAAGAATAATAATGACATCAACAATTAATACAAAGGCAGTACTTCTTAATGAATTTGGTGGACCTGATAAGTTGTTTGTAAAGGAGATCCCTGCACAAGTACCAAAGGCTGGTGAGGTTAGAGTCAGAGTGCATGCAGTTGGTCTCAATCGTGCAGAGGTACTCTTTAGGCAAGGAATGTACTTTGACCTACCTTCAAAGTTCCCAGCATCCCTTGGCTATGAAGGTGCTGGTGTCGTGGAGTCAGTTGGAGCTGGTGTTACAAAGTTCAAGGTTGGTGATAGAGTTGCTGCAAATATCACCAATCTACAATCAGCGAATCCCACAAACTTGGAGTTGGCAGTGTTCCCCGAGACCGCACTAGTTCATCTCATTGATGGCCAGAGCTTTGCTGAGGGTGCCAGCATATGGATGGCATACCTCACTGGATACTTTGCCATGGCTGATGCTCACAAGCTTGGACCTGGTCAAGTAGTTGTTGTTACCGCAGCCAGTAGCTCTACCGGATTGGCTGCCATCCAACTTGCTCATGCCATGGGCGCCACTGTCATTGCCACCAGTCGCACAAGTGCCAAGAAACAACAACTTCTTGACTTTGGAGCTGATCACTTCATTGCCACCAATGAGGAGGATGTCGGCAAGAGGATCAATGAGATTACCAAGAATGCTGGAGCCAACCTCATCTACGATCCAGTTGGTGGCCCACTGGCATCCAAATTGATCAGTGCGTTGGCATTCAGGGGTACCTACCTTATTTATGGTATTCTTTCACCGGAGCCTACACCATTCCCAACCATGGAGTTGATGACCAAGTTTGGCAACATGAAGGCATATGTAGTGTTGGATTATGCCAATGACAGAGATAAACTAGCCATAGCTACTGACTTCATCAACAAGAATATTCCCAAGTTCAAGTCTATAGTAGGCAAGGTATTCAAGGGTATCGAGTCAACACCAGCTGCTCATACCTACCTAGATAGTGCCGATTTATTCGGCAAGGTAGTTGTCGAGTTCCAATAATGTACATATCAAATAAATGAGCTAGACCTAACTAACTAGGTTAGGCTAGTTTGTGTTCAACAATCAATCAATCAATCAACACAATTGGTACTAGTAGTAAGCAAAGTGGACTTTTACTATTGTTGTAGCTGTGGCTGTACTTGGCCTGGAGTTTGGACAGCCTCCCTGTTCTTGCAACTCTTGGCAACAGACTCAAATAGTTGTTCAATCTCTGGTGCCAAGCGAGTGAATGAGTGACTCCAGAAGTTGTATCTTTGATTCTTGATCAACTCAAGGAATGTGATTAACAATCCCCATGGATGTGGCTTGTTCGTAATCAATCTTTCTAATAATACTCTGTTTAAAGGTTATCATGTATGTGTTGGTTAGTACATCAATCCAATCCAATCAATTCAATCTTGATCCAAATCAAACATACCTTGTGATTTGTTCCTTTACAATCTCTTGGGGTGCCTCGGCAAAGAGGTAGAGAAGGACACAGCTAAAGTAGTGAGTGTGATTGTTGGGATAGCGCAGCTGATTGGTGATGGCGTTGAAGAATAGGTATCGTCCTTCAGCGTCGAGATCGTTGGCCAATCGATGGAAGATGTCCATTGGTGCGCTTTGTGCTGGTGTTGGTGGTTGGTTGTTATTTGTACGTCTGAACTTGGGAATCGACTGTGTGCCCACGTAGAGCACCAGGGCGTTGATCAATGGCGTGTTGTACTTGGTACCGCCAACGATCTCCTCAGTCTCTGGATTCACCAGACACTTGTTCTTGAGGTCAGCCAAGAATGTGAATGGTGAGCGGTTCTTGAGATAGTTGTCAATGTCGTTCTTGAGCAACTTGAGGTTGTCTGTGAAGTTGGATGAGATGTGTGGAGGCTGGCTGGTGTCTGGCAGCATGTCCACCTTGAGGTTGGGAGTGAAGGGATCGGGCAGACGCATCGAGCGAGGGAATGCTGAGAGCACCAGGTTGCGAAGCTGGATGCATGTGATGGGGATGACGTCGCAGAAGCTAAAGTGATACTCGCAGAGGAACTCGGGGAAGTCGTGCAAGAGCACGAGGAGAACCTTGAGTGTGCCCTTGTACAACAGACGCGTGGGCTCGTTGATGTCTATCTCGCGAAGGAATGGGTCCATGAACTTCAAGTGTTGGATGAGCAGATCGTGGAACCAAGACTTGGGCTGTGGCTTGGACATAAGCTTGGGCAGGAAACTGCGATGGGAGATCAGGTCGAGCCAGGCGAAACAGAAGCCAGGGTACTTGAGTGGCTGCAGGGTCATGAGCGTGCTCACAAAGCAGTAGAGGATGTGAGTGGACACCTGCTCGAGCAGAGGGTCTGGCGTGTTTAGGTCAGTGATAAGGTTCTCCAAGATGCGCATGTATGGGCGTTGGTTGAAGCTACGTCCACTGGTCTCGTAGTCCTTGGTAAAGACGCGGATGAACAATGTGAGGATCTTGGTGAGGGTGGGCAGGAAGGCCGGGTCGCCATGCTTGATCATCAGCACGATGAACTTGCACAGCGCGTCGATCTCCATGTACTGAGGCATGATGAGCTGGTCACCTGCAATCGCCAAGTTGGTGTTGTACTTCTCGATGGTCCACTCGAGCGCAATCTTGAAGAACTTCTGGAAGTAGATGTCGTTCTTCATGATGTTCAGGTTGAGCACCTGTGCTAGGTATTGCACGTAGATCTTCTGATCGGTGTTGGTCGATGAGAAGACGATCCAGTCCTGAAGGAGCGAGATCGTGGCGTCCTTGAGTCCTGGTGGGTCTCTGTTGAGCTCCTCCTGTTTGATGCGAGAGATCCTGCGCTTCTTCTCCTCCTTGGGGTTCTTGTTCTTGATGTCGTCAAGCGTCTTGAGAAGCACGTCCGATGGGGACATCTGTGCGATCTTGGTGAGGAGGTCTGTGATGCAGATAAACTCGCTGGCCACAGCGTACTGGTTCTCGAGCACGGTGAAGCGCAGCAGGTTGACGGCGAACTCTATTAGTGGCGCTGACTTGGTGGGGTCTGCCACCATCATCAATGCGGCCAGCTGTTGGTCGTACTCGTTGACGTTGATCAACTGATGGATTATTAGGCCGGCAACAAGGATACGGTTGAGCTTCTTGTCGGGTGGGGTGTACAGGAGCAATGAGGTCAGCTGGATGGTGATCTTGTGGATCTCCCAGTCGCGGATCACCTCAAGCAGCTCAAAGTAGAACTCGTAAATGGGCTTCCTGTCGGGCTCGCACAGTCGATTGAAAAGCTTCTGTGTGAAACCTTGGGCAAGCTCGACGCGTGATGTCGATAGCAACATGATAGAGCGCATCTGCTGCACGACATTGAACAGCAGCTCAAACTCAATAGTCGAGTTGGCGATGAGCACCTTCATGATGGCCTTGTCCACGTCATTGAGCAAGAATCCAAACTTCTCGAGAAGCTCGTTGTTGGAGAGTGTGGCGCCTTGCAGGTTGGGCTGCTGGAGGCCAATCGATCCGCCAGGTGGCGAAACTGATCCACCCAGTGGGAGTTGTTGATGTTGTTGCTGTTGTTGCTGCAGCAGTTGATCAGACATATCCTGTTGGTTCAAAGCCTGTGCAATCGTTGCGTTGTGATGAGTGAGGTTGTGGAAGTCTTCGTAAACGCGGAATTGATCGGGCTGTATTCCGCCTGGCTTGGGGCGCAGTGGCTCAGGCAGATTGTTGTAGATCGTGTTGGTGAAGTAGCCCATGTCAAAGAAGGGCTGCTGTGTGCCAGCCGACTCTTTGTGCTTCTGGCGATCCTTGTAGCTGGAAGACAGCACCACGTCAATGTCGACGATGGCCTTCTCCGTGGCGGCACGCTCAATGATCGAGCAGACAAAGTCAAGATTGTCCGAACACACGGTGGATATGGCGTGCTCGAGCTGGGGTGGAAGCGCCTCGTTCGTCGACTGCAGGAATGATCGCAAGTGTGTGGTCATGCCAATGCGCAGTGGGTCCTTGCAAGTCACCAACGCGAGACTGCCAGCGAGGTTCTGCACCATGAGGTGCGAAGCTTTCTTCATCTTGAGCTCGTCGGCCTCGGTGGCAAAGTCCTTGCTGACCAGCTCCTTGGACGTGACGACGGCAATGCCTACCGATCGCTCGACCACAGGTCCAATGATCTCCTTGATGGCGCGCTCGAATGCCATCGGCACGATCTTCTTGAACAGGGGTAGCTGGGCCAGATTGCCAATTGCCGGGTTGTACTGAATGTAATGTGCCATGCTCTGCATCAGCTCATCTGCCGATGGCATACGCATCATGCCCGACGCGTGTTGTTGCTGTCGCAGTTGCTCGTGCTCCTCCTCGGAGGCCTTGCGCTGGGCTCGCTCGCGTCGATCGCGAATGAGCGTGGAGGGTTCGGTCTCCTTGATGTCCAGCTTCAGGTTCTGCATCAGCAGCTCCACTTCGAACTTGATGTTGTTACGCGACTCCTTCAGATGGTAGATCTCCATCATTGTGCGCACGATGGGCATCACCCATGGGTTGGGTGGGCGGAACACCGTGGACTGCATACAGCTGTCCAGCAGCTTGGAGACGAATGGAACGACGGCGTTGACCAAGCCGTGGTCAACGGAATATATGAGTAGGTCCTTGGGCGAGAAATAGGTGTGCAGCAGTGGCTTGTTCTTGGCCAGAGTTAGCATTCCAATCCAGGCACCAAGGTTTCTCAGCAGTGTCTTCTCGCTATCCTTGGTCTTGATCTTGTCCGAGCGGAGATGCATGCAGATGTTGTTGTGTGTGAACAACAGCACTTGCTGAGTCAGCTCAGGCAGGTTCAGTCGGTCGAGGAACTGCATGTAGACATGGTGGAAATTGGCCTCGAGACTGATACGCGTGGTCACCAGGTACTCGGCCAAAAAGTCGTAGAACTCTGGCTTGAGTATGTCGCGCATCTCCTTTACCTTGTTGTCGAGGTTGAGCACCGAGACGTTGTTGATGATAAAGAACATTTTGTCGCGAGTCACCTCGTCCGGCTGCGCAAAGTCCTTGGGCACGGGGTGGTTGCCCACTGGAAGCTCGTCGACATCGGGCTCCTTTGGCGTCTTGTCCGATCGTTTCTTGTCGTTGGACTTGTGTGACGCGTATCCATTGTGGTGGTGGTCTTCGCCATCGTCGTCATCGTCGCCGTCACCCTTCTGCTGTTGCTGCATGTTGTTGATGAACTGGCCACTGCCACTACCGCTGCCACCGCCTCCCTGTTGTGAGCCACCGTGCATCGTGTGAATTGAGCCATGAGCACCGTGACCTTGGTACGTGTCACTTCCACTCTCATCTGGCGCTTCAAAGTTGATATTGTCCATCTCGTTGTACAGGCCAACGTTGGGTGAAGTGCTATCGCCACCCTGTTGCTGTTGTTGGAGTCGCGATGGATCGTCCGACTCCAAACTGGCCTGCTCGATTATTGCGTTGATCTGCTTCATAAAGTCACCGTTGGCGTAGGTCCTAAAGTGAGGCATCGCGCATATCTGACTCCAGTACTGTGGCCACTCCAACAGACGACTGGCAAACGCCATTAGAGCGGTCGTTCCAAAGGTGAACATATTGGTCGATGCCTGGTGCTTGATTGCGTCCAGTACGTACTTGAGGGCCACGCGCAATGGTTGAGTTGTGATCAGTTGATTCTTGATCAGCGATCCAAACAATATGGCCGTGATCCTCAGTTCCTTGTCCGGATAGTCGCTCAAGAACTTGTACTCATCAAACAGATTGAACAGCAGGCACTTGTATATCTCGTTCTCTCTATGTGTGTCGCGAAGGTGTTTGATTGATTGGTTGATCAGTATTGTATTGTATTGGCTCGTCGACGTCACCAACAACATACCTTTGTATCTGTGATACCTTATATCCTTTGAGGATGTTGACTATTTGATCGACTGATGTCTGTTCGTTGTAGAGTTGGATGAGGTAGAGGTTGGTCTCCTCTTCGACGTCCTCGGGGAAGCGACGCTCTGGTGGCGCCGACGAGTTGGGGTCGCCGAGCATGTTGTTTGGTCCACCGCTACCGCCACCGCCACTAGAGGCACCAACGCCGCCAACACCACCTCCATAGTTGCTGACAAAGTTGGGGTTGATGCTCATGATAACGGAGGCAATATCCTGTGGCAACACATTGACACTGGACTTTAGCACGTGATAGATGGTCATCATTGAAGCAGTCGTAATCGATATATGACTGGACTCTGGCAACTTTTGCAACTTGTCACAAAGGAACAATGTGCACTCTCTTGCAAAGTCCACGTCATCCTTCATCTTCTCCTGTAGCCATCGCTCAAGATGCAAGAACTCTCTCTGTGAAGCCAGCACTGCCAACTCGATAATGAATGGGTACAACTTGTAGCTGAGCATCTGTGTAAGTATCTGTTGTTTGGTTGGAAGGATGTTAGTATGTGTGTGTGCAGGAGGAAGCAGGTGGGAAGGAGGAGGCAGAGGCAACACCAACCTTAAGTTCTTGCGCAATGTCTAGGAGACGTGAGAGGTAGTTCTGGTCCTTGTGATAGATGTCAGACATGCCTTGGAGGACAATGTTTGGATGATCCTTCCACAGTTGTGAGATGTGTACTTGATAGCTGTGATTGAACAACAGACCCAGGAACAAGGTCTGTAGCAACTCACGATACAATAGACCGTCGATGTGCTCCTGAATGATGAACGAATGAATGAGTGAGTAAAGTGATCGATCGATTGAATGAATGTAATGTAATCCACTTACAGGCATATGAGATAGTCCACTAAGGAGTATCTCTGGACAATTCTTGATGGGGAAGTCAAAGATCGCGCGAGCCTTTGCAAGGTGCTCCTGGTCGAGATCGGAGAGGGCCAAGAGGATGGCGATGAGATGCAAAGAGTTCCAATGCGCGATCCATTGTGCCTTGTTGCTGGCGGGCTCCTGGCCCGGCGCAGACTGGAAGAACGGCAGGTCGGTCTGCAGCGCCACCTTGATAAACGCCAGCTGTCCCAGCGAGTTCTGCCACTCATGGTCCACAAGATGATGTATCGGGAACACGGCGTTGTTGGACGCTCGTTTGTAAGTGCTAACGATCACTCGCACCTGGTTGTGGTCCTCGATAACAAAGCCTGGATAGTCGAGCTCGCGAATCACCAACGACCAATCCACCGCGGGATAGAGCTCCCTGATGACGTCGACAAACACAGCGCTCCATGCATTGTGGCAGGCGATCTCCTGGGCGTAAGGGTCCTCCTCGAACTTTGTCGAAGCAGCTTCGATCCTCGCACCAAGCAACTGTGCCACGTTCGACTCTGTCAGCTTGGGATAGGCCTTCAATGGCTCCTTGAGGCTGGCATGTGTCGCTGTGAACGGTCTGAAGTGCTGCAGCAGGGTGTATGGTAGAGGTGATTTGACTGGCTTGTTGTTGTTGTTGTAGTGCTTCTGTTGTTGTTGTTGTTGTTGCTGTTGCTGTTGCTGGACTGAGAAGTCCATGTTTGGGCTTTGGGAGTGGAAGTAGGGAGAGACTCGAGATACCATTAATGGAGGGTTGTTGATGTCCTGCTTCACTTTGAATCGAAGTTGATTGAGTACTAGCTGAGGCAATGCTTGAGTGTTCGTCAGAGGTATTATATTCAATATGTATTTGTCACCTGATGTTATGAATGTGATGTGATGATAATGGTTAGTCCTAAACAACGAATGAATGGATGAGGTGAGAGCGTACCTTGTTCCTTAATCTGTGGATTGAGCGACTGCGAGAATGCTAGACCTAGGAGGATTTCTTGGTGCGTGGGCATCTTGGTGGACTGGAGCAATGACTCCAGGCTGATATCATCCAGTGTCTCGAGCGCCTTGCATAGAATCGATGTAAAGTTGGGTTGCTGCCAAAGTCTGTTGACCTCATCCTTGAACAACTGTATCCTCATCATATCCTGTTGATTGTTGTTGTTATTATTATTCGCATTGTTGTTCTTCACGTCACTATGATCGATACTGTCGATCAGTAATCTAAACATCAGTACTTCGGCTAGATGACCGTATTGACTGATGGTCTGTGAGAGTGATGATGATGATGAGGGTTAGTATGTATGATTGATTGATTGATTGAGCGAGTGAGCGTGTCGATCACATACTTGTGTCACCTCCATGTACACTTGCTTGTAGGACTTCTTTGTTGAGAATGATAGAAGGTTGCCCAGTTGAGTTGATAACATATTATACTCATCCAATTGATATTGGTTCAATGGTTGTTGTTGTTGTTGTTGTTTATGTTGTGCTTGCTGCCATTGTCCATTGTTGTTGCTGACTCTGGATGTAATGTTCTCTGGACTGGCCGTCGATAGCTTGAGGAGGATATCCATATCGTACTCGGGTTGTGGCGGCAGTGTCATGTTTGACACGCCCATCTGTGCCATTGACATTGCTCCACCCATTGGCATATTGTTTGGCATCCCAGACATCATCTGTGCCATTGACATTGCGCCACCCATTGACATATTATTATTATTATTTGGCATAGTAGTCTTGCCCGTTGCTGCTGCTGCTGTGGCAGTGCCTCCACTGCCATCATATAAGTTCTTGTCCATTATCTTTCTACTGATGTATTGTATACAATGTTGATATCTCAATCAATCTATGATGATGAATGAATGAAGTTGAATGAATTGAATGAATGAATGATGATAATGAGTTATATTGATATATATGATATATATATGATATATATATAAGTATGACAGCGATCACCTGATGACTGACTGTCTTTGATATCACAATATTGTTTGAAAGAGTGATTGATTGATTGACAAACTTGAAGAGATGAATGAGGTTTGAAGTTGTTTGATCACAAAGTGTTTGTGTGTTTGTCAAAAAAATGAAACACGTGGATTGTGTTGGTGAGGTAACGTGACCTCTTTGACTTGTTGACTTTGATTGGACCTGATTGGAATGAGTCCTTGGTCCTTGAAGTAGGCCTCAAATGGTATAATATTATATTGATTGATTAGTTTATTGTTTGTTGAATGAAGACTTGATCGATGGAACCTCCTTGATGAACTTGGAGATGTTGTCTGGGGTGATGGACTCGTTTGGAACTAGATGGCTGTTGAATGGCTCGCCAAAGTAGTTGTCCTCGGTGGAGATGAAGTGGAGTGCCTTGGGTCTGAGGAAGGACAGGATGCCATCCATGCCCAATGTGCTGCCAATGCCACTGTGGCCGCGACCGGACCATGGCAGGTAGGGCGACACACGGTCACAGGCGTTCCAGTAGACGGTGCCCGTGTTGGAGTTGCCCGAGACGTAGTCGGCGATGGCCACGTCGTTGGTGTAGACGGCGCCCGTCAGACCAAAGGGTGTGTCGTTCATCTGCTTGACGGCCTCCTCTGGGCCGGACACGGCCTGCACAGTGACCACTGGTCCAAACAACTCCTCCTTCTGGATGTCCATGCTGTGATCGACGCCCGAAACGACGGTGGGGGCAAAGAACGAGCCGGGTGCGCCGGCGATCTTGTTGCCGCCGAGCTCAATCTTGGCGCCACGCTTGTGCGCGTCGGTGATCAGACGTTGCAAGTGCTCGATCTGTGGCTGGCCGCGGGTCATTGGGCCAAAGTAGGTGTTGGGCGACTTGGGGTCAAACTCCATGTGGAAGGTGCTCACCTCCTGGACGAGGCCGCTGACGAACTCCTGGTAGATCTCCTGGTCGACGTAGATGCGCTCGACCGAGCAGCAGCCCTGACCTGTGTTGAACATGGCGCCGTCGGCAAGCGAGCCGATCGCCTGCTTGATGTTGACGTCCTTGTTGACGTAGGCGGCGTCCTTGCCGCCCAGCTCCAGCTGAGTCTTGACCATGCGACCGCCCAACGTCTGAGCGATGTTCTTGCCAGTCTGATATGAGCCGGTGAAGAAGACACCGTCGATGGGCATCGACAGCAGCGACTGGCTCACGACAGCCTTGCCCAGGACCACCTGGAAGGCCTCCTTGGGTACGCCGGCCTCGTGCAACAATGCAGCGATGTTCAAACCGGTGATGCTGGCAAACTCGGATGGCTTGTACATCACACAGTTGCCAGTGAGCAGTGCGGGGATGATCACATTGAGGCCGATGAAGTATGGATAGTTCCAGGCCGAGATGTTGGCCACGACACCCAATGGCTCGTAGGTCAACGACTCTGAGAACTTGTTGGTGACACGTACCGTGCGCTCCTGCAGACAGTTTGAGAAGTTATACAAGAAGAAGTTGATCCTATCGATCACAGCCTTAATCTCTCCCTTTGCCTGTGTGATTGGTTTGCCAGTCTCCTCAGTAAGATCATTGGCGAGCGAGTCGACACGCTCAGCCAGCAAGTCTCTGAATCTCATGATAACCTTTGCCTTGTCCTGTATGTTGGTGTTCGAGTAGTATTCATACGTTCGTTCGTTTGTTCGTTGTTAGCTTGTGTCTGTTCAATCATTCATTCTTTCGTTGATTGATTGAATGAATGAGAGCGAGTACATACCACTTGAGAGGCGTACTTCCACTCATCTTTGAAGAGGTAAGCATCCTTAAACTTCTTCTTTAATGTGTCTCTGGTGTCGACCTTCAAGTCCTTGATGGGACGACCTGTCGCAGGGTTGATTGGTTGCAAGAACAGTTGATCTGCCATCACACCCATAGGTGATCTACATTCAAATGTATTAGTATTCATTCATTCATTGTCTCTGTCTCTTGTTGGGTTGATTGATTGATTGATTGATCGAACACCTACTGGCTAAACTTTGCGAATGTATGTGATGAGGTTGTATAGTTGAGGGCACGAACAGCATTGTTCAGACGACCTGCAGTCTGACCACTATTCCTAAGTAGTTGTGCGTACATTATATAATATATAGTGATTGTTGTTGATGATCAGTGAATGAATGAATGTAAAGTGAAGTGATCAAAGTGTAAGAAGTTGGAGGTCACACTGAGCAATGTCCAATTTCGAAAAGAGTCCACAAAGTCTTCGTTGTTGGGGCTTTTGAATGAATCTTGTTCAACATTAATTACTTAGTTTGTCCATTTATTACTTCCCCAACATATATATCTTATATATACATATATATTATTATAACAACAACAGTATGCTTAGACATAAGTTGTCAACAAGTAGTATAAGATGTTGTTATTACTTGAGTAACACTTCTGCTACGCCCACAACAAGCCCATTATCATCGTCATCATTGAGTTGGGCACTCATACTCAACATCGACATCAACATCAACTTCATCAACGACAACAACAACTACATCCACTGGTGACATTGCCAATGTTACAAAGAAGAGACCATATGTTCAACGACTTCCTCAACAGAAGAAACCAACACAACAACCTAAACGAATAATACCTGATTTTAATGATGATGGAGATGGCGAACAACAAGTGACACGTTTACATGATCATGCACCGAGAAGACCAGATAGAAGAGGTAGTGGGGCAAACAGACCAGAGATATTCAATAGAGCACCAGAGGATCGCAGTCTGTCACAGAAGAGCTACTTTGAGAAGTTGGCAAAGCAGGGCAGGTTCGACGAGGCCAGTCAGCTGGTGCAGCATATGCCAATGGAGCGACGCACAATCTACGCATACGAGCAGCTGCTGTTGGCCTGTGCCGAGAGTGGCAAGTTCAATCAGGCGTGGCGCACATACAACGACATGAAGAAGGACGCCATCAAGCCTACTATCTACACGCTGGGCCATTTGGCCAACGTGTGCACTACGGCCAAGGATGTGTCCGAGGACAAGATCGTCCAGCGTGTCGAAGCCATTGTGGGCGAGGTCGAGAAGTATCAGGTCAAGGTGTCGGTCACCTTCTTCAACATCCTGATGAAGACATTGATCAAGTGCAATCGACTGAGTGAAGCGCTGCAGTTCATCGAGAAGATCAAGGATGCTGGACACAAGCCAGACATTGCCACGTACACCACCTACGTCATTGCGCTCCAAGAGAAGTACAAGAACGACGAGGACTTCAACAGGAACAAGCGAGGACTGTTTGAGAAGCTCACCTACTCGCACAACTACCAAGAGTTGGACGAGCTCCGAGTGCAAGGCCTCAAGCAGATCGATCAGTACACACAGGTCATCCAGGATCTCAAGCGCAACAATGTTCAACCCGATCGCCACTTTGTAAACACTGTTCTGCACGCATGCAAGCTGACAAAGAATCCCGAGGGCGTCTTTGACGTCTACAACACATTCAAAGACATGAGATTCACCAGCCATCTTCAATCCGACACCAGGACCTACGACATCCTGATATCCACATGTAATTACACCAACAAGGTATGTAGTTGTTGCTGGCTGTTTGGACTCATGTGGACGACATCTACTGACTCAATCAATCAATCACCTGTCTGGCAATTAGATTGACAAAGGACTGGAACTGTTTGAGGAGATGATTACAAAGAATATAAGACCGGATATTGGATTGATCAATAACTTGTTCAGATTGTCACTGCGAATTGCCTCGACCAAACAACAGAATGTATATGACAATGAGTTGTTCATCGAGCGAATCATGAAGTACATGAAGCGATACGACCTCATGCCCAACGACGAATCATTCACCGTTCTGATATCAGCCTACGCCAAGCAAGGCAAGCTGGAAAAGGTCTACGAACTATTCTTAGAGATGAAGGAAATGAATATAACGTATGTCTTGATTGATGGATTGGATGGATTGAGGATGGATGGAACACTAACACGTTACATACATAGACCATCGATCAGAGACTACACTGGATTGATTGGAGGCATAAGACATGACATTGACAAGGTGATGAATGTGTTTAGAGTTATTGTAACACAGCGACTAAAGTTGACGCCAGAGTTTATTAGACTAATGTTGGATATTGTTAGGAAGAAGGGCACTGGAGATAATGTCGAGGAGATATCCAAAGGCATCCGCCAGTTGGAATCACTGACCAATGCCGAGAGGAGACAATAAACTTGGATGTGGATGTCCAATCATTCAATCAATCAATGACGCGAGGACTAAAGTATTGTTGTTGTTGTTACATGTATTTATATCGATATAACTATTCGCTCGCTTGTGATTGAAACACTAAACTATGATTTCCTATTCCTTGGTATCGACCTTGATATCACCGAGTCTTCCAAGTGATGCCACAAGTTGGAATGTAACAGATTGCTGATTGTACTGTTGCAGTGTCTTGAATATCTTCTCCAAGTTCTTAACAATCAGTCTATGAATTGATGGCAACTCCTTGACCATGACCTCCTGCCTCGATGACAATGGCCTGTATTCTTGTGATGCTGGCAATGTCTGGATACATTGATTTGGATATTAGTAAGTACTTTGATTGATGACATTGATCGAATGAATGAGACATACCGCTATCTTATCTAAAAATAGTCTACACTGATCAAAGTTCTTCTCGAGGAAGCTGTTCATCTCCTTCATGTATGTCTCCTTGGTTCCAAATGGCAATCCATTGGCCACATTCTGCAGTGTCTTGCTCACCAAGATCAGTGCTCTTCGCTTCTCCATTGTCAAGGATGATGATCCAACAACTCCATTGGCATCGGGTGATAAAATACAGGGACAGAAGAAACGAAGGAAGATGAATCCTCCAACAGAGGTATGCTTGCTCTCTGGGAAATACTTTACAACTTCATTCTGAAGGTGATTGGCCATAGCTCTGAATGGACTGTTGTGAGTGGAGTGGCGATGGGATGGTATGTTAGCGATATAAGTTTTGGTACACATTGATCAAACAAACAACAACTTACTATGGACAGTTGTCGATCGAGTTGAATATGGCATCGAGGAAGTCCTGACAGATGTCTGTTAAACGCTGGCAGTTGCCCTCGAGGTTGCCAGTCTTCTCTGGATCAAGTTCATAGCCATTGGGCTCACTGACAAGCTTCTCAATGACTGGCTTGAGCGTGGACACTAGGTATGGACGACCAGTCATTCTGGTGAAGGCTGTCATCAACTTGGTGGCAGTACTGTTGCCACGGAACAATGTGGCCGCCGAGTTGGTCGAGCCAATCTCCTTGGTGATGCCCAGATTGATGATAGGCAGGGTCTGCTTGTGAGCGTCCAGGATGCGCACCAGGTCCTCAAGGATCAGGTCCTGGTCACTGCCGGACGACAGACAGATGGCGTTGACCACGGCCAGGTCAGGCGAGGAGAAGATCTCCACCATCTCGGTGTACTTGTTTTCCTCGCGGTACATGGCCTCTTGTAGCTGGCGCTGGTCCTCCATGGCCTTGGCCTCTTGTTGCTGCTGTCGCATTCTGTCGGCGTGTTGTCGCATCTCATTGATGAACTCTTGTTGCTGGGCCATGCGCTCGCAGGCGTGTGAGTAGAAGTCATGTTGGGCCGCCAGCAAGTTGATTGACTCCACCAGATACTCAAAGGAGTGACGCGTCACTGTGTCCCAGAGCTTATGTGAGGCCTCCTGTTTGCGCTGGTTGTAGCGGAGCTTGTACATGGCGACGTGTGACGCGGCTACAAAGATGGCCTTGGAATCGATGCCTGACGCCGACAATGCCTGCTTGAGCTTGTTGTTGGCCGAGTCGTACTCGACCTTGGACTTGCGGAACTTGTTCTTGGCGTCGCGTGCCGGCAGTACGCTCTTGGCCAGGAACACCTCGGCTGGCATGATGTAGCGGTTGTTGAACGAGGTCTTTAGCTTGTCACGCATGGTGATCAGCTCGGCGTGCACGGCAGCCGTGCGCTCGATGGCGGTGCGAGTGAAGTGCTCGTCGGGGAAGAATGCGCCCAGAGCATTGAGCGACAGACGCAGCTGATCGGTGCACTTGTTGTACTTGTCGATCTTGCCCACGACCTTCTTGGACAGACGGATCGTCTCCTCGTACAGCATCTTGAGCGCCTTGGCCTTAATGTTGTGGATGACAAACTCGGGCGTGTACTGGGTGATCTCTTGCTTGCCAAAGTACTGCATGACGGTGGTGCGCGTCACACCGACCGTGCGTCCAACCAGGCCCATTGACGCCACGGGCTTTGACGATCCATTCGATGGCTTGATGTACTCGGACCTTGGTCTACGCGAGTTGGTCGGTGTGTTTGGTGGTGATGTCTTTGGTGGTGTGATACTCAATCTCTGCTGTGAAGGTGATGTCGGTGAGCTCAACTGTTGTTGTTGTAATTGTTGTTCAATTGCATCAAACTGTTGTTGTTGTTGTTGAGCCTCATTGTTGTTGACAACATCTACATCATCTGATGTGTGTTCAACATGAATTGAAGTGTCATCTGACATCTTGATTTCTTATATCCTGTGGTAACTGTGACTCTGACTGATTTCTGTCTTTATGTATATCTTTGTATCTTTATATCTTTTATATATCTTTGTTTGGTATAAGCTACAAGTAGTAATGTATATTTATATCTATTTTACAAACAAACAGTGTTGTTTTATCGATGTCAACAACAACAATGAAGAATGTTGGGGTGGGTTTGGTGATGTCTTTGCAGGACAAGTTTTGGTTCATGTGAATGGATTAACTTTTTGATTTTTTTTGTAAAGGTCCAAGCTCGCTGATCATTTCAATGTATGTTTCACCAAAAATCTAGCCTGGTTTCATAGACATGAACCAAAATAAAACAAGAAGACTTGTTTGTTCAATGCTTTCAAACAATTAATTAAAGTGTCTACTACTTTATTTATTTCAATATATCCCATATGCATGTACTGCCATGATCTTCTCTTCCTTCATTGACATTGATAATACGCGGATCATCATCTAAATTGATTCTATCTATAAATTCTTGACCGTAATCAGTGCCATCAGAGCCTTCGACATATGAGTTCTTTCCAAACCAGATAAAGAGACCCTCTCCATAGTTCTTACCGGCGTCATCAACAACATAAACACAAAAGACATAATTGGTATCCAATTTTGATCTTGATGGAGAGTCCACTAATTCTACCTCGAATTGATTAGAGTTGGCATGTTGAATCATTCTCCACATGAATAGTTCTAAATTTGGTTCGGGCATTCTTTTTTTTGTCTGTCTATATTTTATTATTAAATGTTAATAAATATAAATTAATATATTGTTGTTGTATACATACTCTATTGATACAAATAATAATTGTAAGTATATGAATGAAAAATAGTAAATGGAGAAACAACAAACAGTTGTTTTGGGTTCATCCCATACTACGTATCGTATTTGGATGATCAAAAACAATAACAAATACATTATTTATTTTAGGAGTGGATCTCAGTGTCTGCAGGGCCTGCATCGGCAGATGGGAGGGTCTCCCAAAACATCTTCATCTCATTACCTTCACTCGCATGATGTATTCTTGCACAGTCACCAAATCCCATGTTGGTCAAGAATTGGACTCCATAGTTCTCACTGTATACAGGGGCGTGCTTTCCCTTCCAAACAAAGAATGACACTATTCTGTCTACACCTTGAACAGTATCCATCTTGTAGACAAAGCATATATTGTGAGATTTCAATCCTTCACGAGATGATGGTATAATTTGTTCACAATAATATGGACGTTCTGAAATAAGTCTGTACATAAAGTATCTAAAAGTCATTCTTCTTCTTCTTCTTCTTCTTCTTATCTCTTTGTTACTATATTAATTAATAGTACTATTGGATATTTATATATTTAATCAATAATATCAAAAAATAGTGATCATTTTTTTTTCTTTGGTGTGTGATGTCGTTTGAAGATCAATCTAAAACAAATAATATTTTTATTTACGAGTCTGAATCGTTGTTTGCAGAGACTGTTTCCCAAAACAGATAGGGCTCACAACCTTCATTGGCATAGAGTATATTGGTGTTGGTGTCATATCCTTTGTCCTCAACATCTGAATCTTTTACATTCTTTCCATACCAAACAAAGAATGTATCTATATTAGATTGGCCATAAACTTCCATCGTGAAGACCAAATATACATAGTTGGTATTCAATCCTTCACGAGATGGTGGAACGACTCGATTATTGGTAGGTGGGTCTGTTGGAACATATTGGACCATCCAATGTTCAACTACTGCCATGATTACTATTCACTTGACTTAATATATATTTGATTGAATTTATGATTGATTGATTGATTTATTGTATATATTAGAATGAATTATTGTTAATAAATAATGTACAGCAACATACTTTTGTATTTATAACTTAATAATCAAGTGTTGACATGATTGATACTAAATATATTGATTGATTGATTGAATTCAATTGATTAGAATATTGATATTAAAATTAAAGGACAAAACATACTTTTGTGTTTGTATCTATTATTACAAATATTTATGTTGGATTTAAGAATGATATGGTATGGTCCCTTCGCTGGACAACAGTGAGTGAGATTGACCATGGTGATGATCAAATGATGCCATAGTCCAACCTTTTTTCCAAACACAAACACAAACACCATGTTTTTGAAGAATCTGAAGAATCATTGAAGTCTCATGAGTCGGCTGTAACTACATACATACAACATCATCATTCTGTACAACATCAACATACACACATACGTTCATACATACACACAGTTTATATATATATATATATATATATTATTGATGGATCGAATAATAGACCTTCTTACGACATACTTGGAGCAACCATTCGATGTGAATGATGCACCCGATTCAGATGTTGTCGATGCCAGTCAGCCATCATCGTCGGCATCGTCATCGACAACAACAACAACACACATAAACGGTACAGATGATACAACAACCACTACAACTACAAACACTGCACCCGATCATCATCATACTGTACCAAAGCCAATATCATTATCCTCGTCATCATTGGATCTATCAACAAACCCTGCCTATGACATCTTCTTCCAGCCTCTCAAGACACTCACATTGGATCAAGTATCCAAGCTTGCCTCAGACCTCATGCAGAATGAACCAATCTCTCAACTGATCATCAAGAAGATATGTTCACCAGGCTTCTCTCAATCAGTAAGTAATCAACTCAATCAATCATAGTCCGATCACTCAAACTTACTCTCTATTGCAACAACAGAGGAATGAGTTATTGTGTCAATGGTTCTATTGTTGGTTCAATTTGGAATCAATGCATACCAAGCGATTCGTTCTATCGTTTGTGCCAGCCTTGGTTTGGGTGTTCCTTCAGGGCCCAAGCCCACTTGCACACATTGGCATTGAAGCTGTGTTGATTGGCATCTATAACAACGAGCTGGTTAAGCGCGAGGGCCTGGAGAAGGTGTTCCTGCCTCCCAACATCACCCTGCCATCATTCATTTACAAGTCGGTCGTCGTCGACAATGAGTCTGGCCTGACTGAGTCCACACTCAAGCAGCTGAACAGCCACGCCAGCGGCGTCGTCACCGAGCGTCCTCTGACAAAGATCGAGGAGATCACCACGTCAAACCGCACACTGTTGTTGCGCACAGTGATCTCGGTGTACACTGGTCAACTCGTGTCGATGCCTCACCTATCACGCACCATCTTTAGCGAGATGTGCATTCGTGTTTCGGCCACCGGCTACCCCTTCCTGCCATTGGCCCAGGACACACCACTGAGCGATGATGACAGCGACAGCAACATGCGCATCTCAACCTCGAACGGCATCGACCTGCCCAAGGCCAGCGAAGTGACTAGCTCCAGCTCAACACTACGCGCCAGTGGCAGCCAAGCGTCGTCGTCATCAACCAATCTCATTGAGCGACAACGTCAAGAGTACGACAGGAAACACTTTAGGATGACCAGCTACCTCGAGCTCAGCCATCATCGTCACAGCGACCACCATCATCATCACAGTCATCGCCATCACAATGGCACAAATGGACACAATGTAAACAACAGCAACATCAACAACAACAACGTAATCGATACGTTGATCAACAACCATAGCCACAGCAGCAAGGGCATCGTCAAGAGATTATTTATATCAGAGAGCGTGTATCGCGAGCTGGTCACTGGCCTGACGTTCTGTGCCTTCCAGGAGGCCACCAAGGCCATGTCCACGATGGCCATCAAATCGATCAATGAGCGCGCCAACCACGACCTGGTGCCAGAGGTCATGCTTTACACCAATGCCCTGCTACAGCAGCTCAGACAGCCAAAGGCTGTTGTCGACACAAGGAACTAGTAGCACTGATGATAAATCATTCATTATATTATATTATAGCATATGCCATCAACGCTCTTCTTGGTCCCGATCCTCTTCAGTTGAATGAGTATCACAATGATTGGCTTCAATTTGGAAACACTCTCCTTTGCATCCAACATTATGTCGTTGAGGTTCGATAGATCAAAGTGATACTCTGACTTGTCCACATGTGACATGTACTTGTTCAATCTTGTAATCACATTGTTCAATGACTGGATGTGAATATGTGTGTATTGTGATTGTTACGGCGTAAGTATGGCTTGGAGGGGATGTGCATGGTGATGGAATGCTTACCTCTATAGAGATAATATTTGTAAGGAAGCTCTTCAAGCCTTCATACTCCTCATTGGTGATTGGTTTGATGATTGAGGTTGTTGACGTGGCTTGGCTTAATGTATGTTGCTTGGGGACCTTTTTTGGAGGCTCAACAGGGGCAACAGCAACAGTTGGAGTGGAGGGTACAACAGAAACAGCATTAGCATTCGGTTCCACTATTGGTTGTACTTGTTGTTGTGGGGGATCAACTGGCCTCTTGTTTACACTGCTACTGTTGCTCAGTTGTGATGAAATAAGTGATGGGACGTATGTTGATGTTGTTGTTGTGGATGTGATTGGCGCTGGTTTCTTGGATGCCTCTTTGGTTTCGATATCAGCAAACTTGGCGGAGGATAACAAGTTCCTTGAGTACTCAGACAACATGTCACCGGCTCCCAGATCCTGTATATTGGGTATTGATGCTAACTTGCTTCGGACTGGTGCATGAGTATTTGTGGTTGTATGTGTGTGGAGTGTACTCCTTGACGAGACTGGAGGCAAGCCAACATAATGTGAAGTGATTGATGACGCCATGTTACTGGTATGATGGATGTGAGAGATGGAAGTGGAGGTGGAGGTGGAGGTAGAGTTGATGGTGCTGGATACTGGGTTGGTCCTATGTACATGATTGGAGGTTGTGATGGGGATCGACGAGACTGATGTCGCCGCACTTTGTGTTCTGGCTGATGCTGAAGATGATTGGAGTGAAGCAATCATCAATTGATTGTTTCGATAAAGTTGTTGACATGTCTCCAGTATACTCAATGCAGAGTCGGGACCTGTGACATCATCCGATGTTAGGACATCCAGTTGATTCTGTACTTCAGTCAGCTGCTTCTTCATCCTGGACACGATTGTAGTTGAGCTTCTTGTCGTGTTGTCTGGATCGCAATATGTATAATGAGCACTCTGTTTCAACATTGATGACTGTTTCATCACAGTCTCTGCCATCTCTGTAAGCTCTTTGAAGAAGCGATCGATTGGGTCGGGCTTAACCTCCTCATCCTCTTCATCTTCAAACTCGAATGATGATACATGATAGCCGGTTGTACAACTGTGTGTGGACATGATCTTGTGTATGTGTATGTATGATTGGTGGATTGATTGATTGATTGATTGAACGATCGTAGTGCCATTCATCCAACCATCGTCCACATGTTGGCGCCAAATTTCCAAAACCACTTCAACGAGGAAACTGGAAACTGGAAACAGGAGTCTGGATACGACTAGCTACCCCCTTTATTGGTTACTACTACTCTGTAGTTGTTTCGGACACTGCCACTGTCGCAGGAGGTGCTCCATAAAGTACTTTGTCATACTCTGTGAGCGCCTTGCCAAAGCTAAAGTTGGGCTGGATGATTGATCGTCGTTGCTTGACATAACGTCTGGCATCAATGTAGCGATAGGCATGCTCCTTCATCAAGTAGGCGAGCACAGCAGTCGTGCTCCTACTGATTCCCATTGCACAATGTACCAACACTCTTGTGTTATTACGCTTGGCTTCATTGATAAACTCAATGACCGAGGTGAAATGAGATGTGATGTCCGCCTTGAAGTTGTCTTCCAGATCGGCCCTATAGTATTTATACATGTGATAACAGTTCTCCAACTCCACTGCCATGTTGACAATGTATGTGATGTCTTGATTGATTGATCGATTGATTGATGACAGGCAATAGGTTAGCTTGTGTGTGCCGCCATGTTCCATGTAATGTACTCACTCAAATTCTTCAACTGCTTGAGATCAGAAGCATGGTCATAGGCACCAAGATAGAGGAAGTCGTCAAGTATCTCGCTGGGATAGTTGGGTGGACATCGCTCGTCATCAGCTTTGGCACAAAGGAATGGATACTTGGTGTGGTAAGCAGAGAATCCAGCACTGTAGTTACAGATCTCAACATTGCTCTTGCGTCTAGAGACTAGATAATGCATTACAAAGCGTTCCCAAGTGCCTGGTGTGGTGTCAGACGGGTCGAATGTATGCCAGTCATCGTCATAGTGCTTGTGGACACTGGCCATATCGAGTTCAGTTGAGAATGGTCCATCTGACAATAGTATCACACTGTTTGTTGTGAGACACCAATGCCTCAGACCCGCCCATCCATAACATGAGTTTGAGTACTTGGTCATATTGAATGTCTTGTTCGACGATGTAAAGTATTGTTGTTGTTGTGATGTGATGGACTCGACATAATCTGCCAAATCAGCTGGAGGTGGAGGTATGTTGACCGTGCCATGGATGCGTGATTGATTGAACAATGAGGTCGGACGTAGATCGATCACAATCTTATTGATACCATGATCTTGAAGTATATTGTATAGTTCTGTCGTGACCACATTACGTATTGTACAAGAGAGGTCCACTGGTGCAGGTGGTTCAGTTCTCAATGATGATGAAGTTTGTCTTGAAGGTCCGTCAACAAATGGAGTATAAGGATACTTCTTCTTCATTGTGAATGGATTTGGGTATGCGACTATAGGAGGAGGTAGAGGTGGTGCAATTGGTGTCTGAGTATCATTCAACTTGATACCTGACATTGCACCAGCTGCCAATGTCACTGACACTTCATATTCATTGTTGATCATATCTCTATCTATCTGTGTATATATAGTATAAGTATAAGTAAGTAGTAATATATGTATGTATGTTATAACAAGTACAGTACAAGTATATGTATTAATATGTTTAATTACTAAAACAAATATCTCCAAGTCAGTTCGATGAATAGACTTTGAAAAAATCTTGAAAAACAGGAAACCATCACTTTGGATTCATTTTCAATCTTCGCAATATTAGTAAATTAGATAATTAAGAATGATATTATTGTTATAAATATTTATTTATTATAAATTACATTGTTAACCTTCTACCAAGATACTTTATGATCTTATGTTGCTGACGATGGAGTTTCCAACTGTTGTGATATTGATTCATAAAGTCGACGCTCATGATCAATGTCGCTGACGACCTCGATGTAGTCCTCGAATGGATTATGATCCTCCAACAGCAACTCCACTTCAGGTACACTCGACGAGTATCTTTGGTATAGTAGGACTAATAGAATAAGCAGACCAATCGGAAAGACTAGGTTGACCTGCTTACTCAGAAAAAAGCAACCGAAGCCGCCCGCGGAGATAAAAAACAACGGCATGGAGAACAGCGACCTCCTCTTGACGAGACTCTTGTTCTTCTTGTTGTTCTCCTCCTTGTTGTTCTTCATATCCTCCTTCTGGCCACTCTTCTTCTTGCTGCTGGACGACGACGAACCATTGTCCTTCTCACGACCCTTGTTACTCTTTTCTCTCTTGCTCTCACTAGACTTCTTTGAAGACTTGGACGACGATGATGATGACGACGATGATGAAGATGAAGAGGAAGATGATGATGCTGAACCAGATGTAGATGACTTGGTGCCACCACCGGACTCTTCATCAATTGAGCTGCTGCCCTCTGGAGTCTCGAGTTGTTCCTCTAGTGTTGCAATGAAATCATTCCAAACTAACTTAGGAGTGGAGTTCATCCAATATGGCTTACTGAACAACATTTGGAAGAACCTCGTGGACATCTGTGACCTCTTCAAATCGCTCAAAGTGACCCTATCAGGATGTCTTGGATTGATCATATCAACTCTAGTGTGAGTGAGTATGGAGATCAAAGTTAGTCAACTTATTGGCATTGATTGCTAGATTGGATGACACTTACATTTGACAAAGTACATCTTTGAATGATGGTGGATCCTCTTGATGATTGAGCAAATACTCTCTTATCTCTTGATAGAAGTATTCCATCTCGTAGTAGCTCATATATCCATCGTTGTCCATGTCCAGACATCGGAACCAGAATTGGATGCTCGTCGATCGTTGCTTCTCAACCTCGGACAATAGGAACCAAACAAAGTTTTTAAAGGACAAATGTGTAGGCTTCTTGTTGGTCATGCATACACTGGCAGATGAGCCAGTGGTGGGAATTGATGGTCGATCGGAGAACACAGGACATTCAATCACACGAGATAGTACACGATTGGATGATAAACCGTTGGAGAAATGAATGAGGTCGGAGCCTGTCAGTCCGCCATCCTTGTCAGTGTCCAACTCCACGTAGAGTCTTGATATTGTTGAGAACTGACTGTATGAGAAGTATCCAATGTCGCCCTCCAAATCCTTGAGTGTGTCCAGACTCTTCAACACCTCGATGATGTTGCTCTCCTTGAGGTCCTTCAATGTGATGCGGCCAATGTCTCGGCCAATGGCGTGCAATATGCGCACAACAACCATTTCGCAATATGATTGTTGGACGCGTGATGAAAGTGTGCGCAGGCCAGCTAGACCTGCATGCCACTCCAGCACCTCCTTGACCAACAACATCAAACTGGCAAAGTCCAGTGATGTGCCCATGGGTGTGATGCACAGACATTCAAACAGTATCTCCTCGTCTTCCAACGCGCTGAGATTGTTCCAGAATGCTGTGAACACCTCGTGATTGACCACCATATGTTTGGCAGTTAATTTGTTGTACAACAACTTGGTGATAACTTGTGGGAAGCTGAACAACTCATTCATAGTCACCTTGAACTCGTCATAATTCTTCAAAGACTTTGTCGTCTGGAATCGTCTACTAATCTTTGACAGTCCAGGTGATGAGCAAGCACCCTCGCCGCCCTCTGAAGATGTTGTTGAGTCCTTACTGTCGCGTAACCTATCAATGCATATATTTCTAATTGATTCATTGATTGATTAATAGGGGAGTGTGTGAGTGATTGTTGAGTAATACAAAATATTGATGGCTGTGATAATGATTTGATCATCACTTATTATTTGTATGGGAGAGTATGGAATGAGGAATATGTTACTTACATCTTCTCATTGTTATCGAAAATGGACATTGAATGTTGATTGATTAAAATTGTTTCCATTTTATAATCAATCAAAGATCTATTACTAATACTATAAACTGTTTCCCGCCTCTTCCTCGCCCAATAATATTGATTGATACTGAATACTAATGATTGATAAACTAAATATATATGTTCCAATTGAAGGGAGTTCTAATGGGAAGGCAACAACAGAAGAGGCAGTGAGATGGAAGAGTTGGAAATGGCTGATTCCAAGATGTGATCACCTGTCCAACCTTGTTAATAATGCTCCATTAAACAGACCACCTTCACCACTAGTATCAACATCATAATCTTCTCTAGCAATATACACTCCTACCTTCCAATGCATTGTCAGTAGTGGCAACACCCTCGCACGCCCACTTATTGCTCATTCAATTCCCCATCCTGCCGCTGACGGGAACGCAATGATATTGATGCTCTCATTAATTACCAGACATATGTTGTTGTTGTTGTGGATATCATGATCCAAGCTGTGGACATGTTACAATCCTCACATACTTCCGTAATATTCTTACATATGTTATGTACATCGACTGTTTGCCATTCAACTTCTCCATCGTCAGTGTTATTATATGTTTGAGTGTGTATTGTGTATGTTTGATTGAATCCAACAGAGTGTGGTTGAGTGTGTAAATGAAGTTGATCGAAAGTGTGTGTATGATTGATGTTAGTGTGAGTGAGCTTGGAGTGGCGATTAGTTCGATCCACCCTAACCCCAACCCTCTCAATCAAACAAACATGTTTGCGAGACATTAGGCAGACTCGTTGTCCATCTACACTGTATTCTTCTCCATCCAAACTCATAAGGTTGATTAATGATGACCAAACAAGAAATGAACCTCGGAGTTGGAATAGTCAATATTATTCATCATGATACCTAGAGATTGATTGTTGGAGCTCCAACCAAGAAGAAGTAATTACTTGTTCCATAACCAAGTCACAAACCATTAGAATGGTCACTTCCAAGATTATACAAACGGCTTGATTGCACATGCAAAGTTTGCATTATTTAAATATCCTTTGGCACATGCACTTACAAGGTTGAGGACCACAACTCCGACCTCCAAATAAAAAATCCCACTGGCGAGATACTTTTATTCCAAACTACTTGGCTTTGTGAGAGGATTGGACCTGGATGCCACCTCGTCCCATCTAGATCCCATCAGTTTTTGATAGATACCCTTGCCGTTTTGTTCACAACAACCCTCAACACTATGTTCCACAACTTTGTTTGTTTGATCAAACACACACAATCCATCAAACACATACATACACACACACACAACAATCATTCATTCTACTACTACCCCTGTTTACTTCTCTCTACCTTGGAGAACACTAACCACACACACACACACACTTAACTCTAAACACAACACTAAACACAACACTCAACACAACTCAACTCAACTCATTCCATTCCTTTCAAAGTTGTTGCCGTTGATAGGTCCAGCCAGCTTCACTCGCGAGTAATCATTAACTTATAAATACAATTAACAACAACAACTACATATACATAAAGCGAAAGAGAGAACGGAGAGCATATCATATAATAGTAGAATAGTGCACAAACAAAGAATTGTATAATATATAATATTTATTAAGAATTGAGTAGTAGTAGATAGACAAGATGAGACTATCAATTTCACAGTGGAGGAGAAATAGTAGTGCGGCAAATCAACAGCCACAACAACAACAACATGGGGACGGTGTCCCCAATACAGAGTCTTGGAGAAAAGGTGCAAGCGACGAAGATGATGCCTCTTCACAGCACAACATAGAACAAGGCGACATGGTGACAATAGAAGAGTTCATCTATTCTCTCAACAGATATGTAGGTTTATGAACATTCATTCATTCAATCATACCCGAAAATGATTTACTGACTTGACTGGATCATTAAACAATATATATAGGAAGCGGACAATGAGAATGTACCAGACAATGAGAATCATTTAATGACAGTGGAGGAGTTTATATCTAGTTGCCGAGAGAATGGAATGCGTAGGGGTCAACAGCGACGAGCTGCTGGTGCTGCTGGGGCCAATGCCTCAGCGCCAACAAATAGTGGCACGGTCGATGATCAGGACCGCTTCAAAGCGGTCAGCAACCAGATGCTCGAAAACAATGACAATGGCGATGAGCCGTTGCTAACCGTCGAGGAGTTTATTTATACGTCGGAGCGAAGAGACAACTCACAAGACCTGTTGACCTTTGGCGAGTTCCTTTCACAGTCCAGTCGAAGATGCCACAATCGAGCCGGCGCCGTGCCAAGGATCACCAATTATATATAGTCTATACATTAGCAGCAACCTGCTGCCCGCGGTCATAATGCCAGACCCTTAGCCAGGTCGTCAGCCGCATCCCACCCCCAACCATACCACGCCAGAGTGTTTCCTTTGGCAAACCATTAGCCACCCAGCAAATTGTATTAATAAATCCACACCGGGTAAATGGACTGATGGGCAGTCCGGCTCAGTTTGAAGTCGTCCCCATCATCATCTCCCGGTAGCGAGTCGCATTGGATATTGTTGTTTGGCGCAAAACCTTTATTAATGAAACAAAGGCAGTTGCCTTGACTGGTTAAATACAAGTGATTGATGGTAATAGTATCGATGCGCTATCAATGACTACCAATCCAGTGGAGAATTGATATTGGTAAGGGCTGGACGTTTGGTTGGCTGGCTGGCTGAGTAAGGTTGTATGGTGGACGAGTGATGATGAGTGAGTGAGTGTGTTGGGTTGTTGTTCATGCCTGCCTATTTGATTGATTGATTGACTGGTTTGAGGTATCCAGTATGTATCCTTTTTTGGTTGTTGTAGCGTTTCAAAAGGGAAACAACTGGAGGTGTTGAGGGAAGGGGAGTTTGGCGTAGCGGTTGTTGGGGGACGGAGGAGGATATGGCGCATTGGCTGGTATGGACGCGGTCCTTTTGGACAACGTTCAAGATCCAAACCCTTTGTTTTAAAGAATAATACACTGTCCACCTTTGAACTTGCTCATCAGACCCTTGAACGGCTTCTTGTCCTTGCCACTTCTTGGCTCCTTGAGGGACTTCTTGATCTCGCGGACCACATCAAAGAAACACTCGTCGACATTGAATCGCTTCTTGGCCGACGTCTCGAGGAAGGGGCAGCCGAAACTCTTGGCCAACTCCTCGCCCTCGCCGTGCGTCACCTCTCTCAGGTTCTCCAAATCACACTTGTTGCCGACCAGTACGATTGGCACCTTCTCGTTGTCCTTTACCCGAATGATCTGATCTCTGACGACGTTGATCTCCTCGAACGACGTTCTCGACGTGACGTCGTAGACGCACAGGAATCCCTGTCCGGTTCTCATATATTGATCGCGCATGGCTGAGTAGTCATCCTGGCCGGCAGTGTCTAGAATGTCCAGTAGACAAGTGTCGTCGTCAACCTGGCATTGTCTGCGATAGCTGTCCTCGATCGTAGGATCGTACTCCTCGATGAAGTGGTTCTGGATGAATTGGATGGTAAGGGCTGACTTGCTGTTTGTTGTTGTTGTATTTTCCGGTCAGTCAGTAAGTTGGTGCTATTGCTAATGATCAGTTGGTGCTTATACATACCCTACACCACCTCCACCCATAACAACCAGTTTATATTCGTTTGCAACTGCTGTGGCCATTATATTCTATCTATATATTATTATATTATTATCTTTCTACTTGATGATGATTGAAAAAGTATAAGTATGTGAATGATTGATTGATTGGTTGATTGAATGGACGAGTTTATGTTGATGGTACAAAGTTGATGAGGAGTAGTATATAAAGGTAATAAATATTATAACAACAAGTGATTGATGGGGATTGATTGATTGATTGATTGAATGAATGTGTAGTAGTAGTAGATTGGTGTGTTATGTGATAGTGAGGGAGTGAATGAGAATGAATGATTGATTGGTGCCAAGTTGCTATCAGCGCGAGGTTGGGGAGCAGAGAATAGCGGACAGAGTGAGGTGGGTAAAGGGAGTGATCAAAAAATTAGCTAAAAAATCAGACAGTGTGGTGGTCCATCGTACCCCTCATCCATCAACAGTGTTGTTGGCAAACACAATCAACTTTGTGTGTGTGTGTTGGTGTATGTGAGTGATTGACCGTATTTGTAAGTGTGTGTTGTGTGACATTGATCAATGATGGTGTCTAACAAGTGACCATTGCTTGTCAGAGCTAAAAAGATTAAACTTACCTTATTAATAATTGACAAGTATGATTGAATGTATGTGTATGAGTGTGTAAATGAGAACCACTGTACAGTATGATTGGTTGATTTAATCAATGGATCGATCAATGTCAAGAGTTTAGTAATGGTTTGAATCAATTAGAGAGTTAGAGAAAGAAGTGTGGTTGATTGATTATTAATATTTATGTACAATGTTTGTATTTGTTGATGTTGTTGTAGTTGATGTTCTGAAGTATGAATGAATGAATATGAAAACATAGATATGATGTTCTATAACAACAACAAAGATAACAAACCAACTTTACTATTATTACACATATATTATTTTTATTTCCAGGCTGAATGGAATTCCTTGATTGTTTTTCTCTGGATGATCACCACAAATAAATCATCTTAGATCACTCAACAAATTTGATCGATTTGTATACCAGAGCACTCACTTTTAATCATTCATACATTTTGATCAAAACCCCTTTGGTAAATTGTGTGTGTTTGTTTATGTGTGTGTGAAGTGATTGATGTGATCAGTTTTGCATCATCTCTGCAGAGAGTGTGCATTGTATGTGACCTCATCCCAAGGGGCGGCGCATCAGAATGAATGAGTGAATGAATGCCAACACAATAACATGTGAGATGGCGCCTCATACTTAACATTTTCATTCATTTAGATAGTAATAGTAGTAGATAGAGACAGAGACAGAGTGAGCCAATCATGGATAGTCCAACAATCACACCGGTTCATACTGCCAAACAAACAAAGGCACCAAAGCCAAAGGCTGAAACTCCAACATCATCCGCCACCACAACAACAACCAAACCAACAACAATATTGACTTCATCTTCTTTGATTGGCGCTGACAATATCCTGTTCAGTTTCGAGAGCGAGAAGGAAAAGCCTCGTAAGAAGGAGGCACCGGTAGTGGTGAAGCCTCCAAAGCCAAAGGTGTGCAAGGTGTGCCAGAAGAAGGGCCACATCGCCAAGGAATGTCCGACGCCAGATATCAATAAGAAGTGTACAAACTGCAATCGCATTGGCCATATCGCCGCCAACTGCAACATTGTCATCCTAAACTTTGCCAAGTATCAGCCGCCCAAGCCTGAGCGACGCGAGAGGAAGCCACGTGACGAGGACTCACACAATGGTGTGGCACATCATGGCGCGGACAGTCCGACCAATGGAGGCATGTCCTCACCCAAGGACAACAAGGACACTCATTCGCCAAAGATGTCCAGTCGCAAGGAGAGGTCAGCTGATCCACCCGCTCCCTCGGCAACCCCAGCCACATCCACGTCTACAACGACAACAACAACTACTACTACTACTACATCAGCCCCATCATCTTTGGCCGCTGCCACTCCAAGCATTGAACAGTTGAAGCTCTCAAAGGAGCTCACATCGCGACAGGTATTCATCACAATCAATGAAGACGCGGACAACACATCACAGGTGGCCGTTGATCCAAAGGCATTGGTTGAGTTTGTACAACGCTCAGCCATCACATCTGTGTGCCTCCCTGTCAAGAGCATGTATGGACAACTGTACTACTCGAGTGAGAAGTACCAGGACCGTGTGTCGACGGCTACCGCAGACACATTGGTACAATGTATCAAAGCACTGCGTGACATTGGCGTGCAGGTCCCATTGTCCATCGCGGTTCAGACCGACGCCATTGCCGCCAGGGAGCATCCCGAGTGGTGCCAAGTCCCATTGGCCACCACAAGCACAAGTGGCGACAGTGATGCAACCACATCCTGCACACAGTGTTGTCTGAGCAATCCAGACTTCCGCAGCTACTTTGTTGCACTATTTGAGGAGCTGCTGGTTAAGATGCGCGAGCTATTTGGTGGAGTAATCGACGGATTCTACTTCACTGGCACTGGAATGGGTCAGCTGCAGAGCTGCCAATGTGTCGCCTGTATAGAGTTGTTGGCCAAGCATGGAGTAGTCGATCGACAGAGTGCGGCGTCAGAGGATTTGGTGCGGGGTATCTATGAAGATGTCGCCAATCAATTCAAAACGTCACTTATCAATCTCATCAGACAGGATCAACAATTACAAACAACCAAGAAGAAGAACAACTCAATCCCTCAGCGCGTCTACTTTGGCTCATCATCACACATAGATAGAGCATCCAATTGTGTGTCCTTGGACTATGACTCTAGAGTGGACTTCTCCACCATATCAAGACACATGCGTAGCGTTCCAGCACTTGGAGTGATCCCATTGATGAATGAAGACGTCCTGTGTCCAGGTCGTACCAGACGCATACCCAAGACCTTTGAGACACTCCTATTCCAATGTCACCAATCCATGATGTTGACAAGTCGTTGTGCACTCAGGTAAGTGTTCTTCAATCAATCAACTCATTCGCTCACTCACTCACTCGACTCGATCAATCAATCAATAATAGCATGCCAATGGATTGCCTGTCATCATCACCTGTACAAAGGGTCGTTGAGAGAGTCTTCAAACAGATGGAGACAAGGGATGTGTATCATAGGAATGCCAAGAGAGTGTGCGATATTGCCGTGTTTGCTCCGCATGATGCCAATGCCATGCATACACTGAGAGCAGTGTCCACATTGCTCGAGGAAGCCCAGTACCAATTTGATATTGTCGATCAGACCATTGAGTTGGACGAGCTCCTCGCCTACAGGTTGGTCATCCTGCCGGATGTCCCATGTCTGGACACAGAGGGCTGGAAGAAGATACAAAAGTTCTCCGAGAGTGGCGCACTCTTGGTCACTGGCGATGCATGTCTCGAGCGTACTACTCGCAAATTCTCATTGCCCGCCAAGGGAATGAGGTACATGAACGCTGCGTCAGACTTTGACACGGTCCAAGTGCCAGAGAAGCCAGCGCCAGTTTCGGGCACCAGCGCCAAGGCTGCAAAGTCCTTGGGAGCCGGACATATCTCGGATGTTGCCGCCACTCCAGGTCGTGACGACGATCAGCTAATAATGGACATCCAGAACCTAACATTGTCCGGTCGATCAATCAAGATTGATGGCAATGGTAGCGCGGACTTTGTATCTCTCTTGAACATGACCGGTGGTTCAGCCGTGTTGTACGCGCGTAGCCAGCGAGTGATCAACTGTGTACATCCACTATTCCGCCAATACTGGCAGCTTGGCAGCGCGACCATTGGCCAGCTCATTCACAGACTGATCAGGATACTGTTGCCCCACCCTATGGTCGCGTTCAAACAACTCCTCGTAGACGGCCGCGCAAGAAACTTGACCACGGTGGTCACACGTCAACATCAGCCAGCGAGGTCCAAGCAGAATCCCGAGGAGACAATCAATCGCTACGTCGTGCACATTGTCAATGCCAATCGATTCACTGTTGGTGCTGACCTGTCGCACGAATGCTATGAAGTGGCAGCCGACACCAAACCTGGTCAGGTCATTGTCAACCTGCCCAAAGATGTCCAGTTGGACTCTGTCAGCTGTGCTGGTGACCTCATCGTCCCCAACAATGAACAATTGACATACAAGGTCAAAGGCAGCACAATCACCATTGACCTACCAGCGCTAACCAAACATTCAATCATACTAATAAACTTCAAGCCATAATAAGGCACCTCAGACATCATCATTCGTTCATTCATTGTCTTGTTCGCTCAAACTTTGAACTTTCATTCCAAGAAGCAACACACTGGATCTCATGATTAATTAATGAGACACAAATGAATCGATGTTATTATTAATCTTTGTACACATAATTAATTAACTCATACAGATAAATATATATATAACCTAGACATGAAAGCTGTTACAGTTGCGACTTGTAACCTCGATCAATGGGCGTTGGACTTTAAAGGCAATCTTGCGAGGATCATTCAATCAATTAAGATTGCAAAGCAGCAAGGGTATGTGAATACGATTGATTGATTGATGATTCATTCAAGTGTACTTACTCAATCAATGAATGAACGATATATAGAGCAAAGTTAAGATTGGGACCAGAGCTAGAGATTACAGGATATGGATGTGAAGATCACTTCTATGAACAGGATACACATCTACACAGCTGGCAATCAATCGCCACTATATTGGAGGGAGATCTAACCAATGACATCATTGTAGACGTTGGTAAGTGTTTGAAATCATCTCTTCGAATACATTAGACATTAAGCTAACTTGATCATGTTGATGAACATACAATAGGTATGCCTGTACTTCACAAGAGTGTTAGATATAATTGTAGAGTGATAATGTATAATAAGAAGATCGTATTGATTGTGCCAAAGAAGGCATTGGCAATGGATGGTAACTACCGTGAGAACAGATGGTTTACACCATGGCTCAAGCCAAGGACCATCGAGACATTCTACCTGCCAGGCTTCATCTTTACTCTGACTGGTCAGGAGTCATGTCCAATCGGAGATGCCATCATATCCACACTAGACACAGCCATTGCCTCAGAGACATGCGAGGAGCTCTTCTTGCCCAACTCGCCTCACATTGAGATGGGTTTGGACGGTGTGGAGATCTTCACCAACGGCTCAGGCTCACATCATCAGCTTCGCAAGCTATGCACTCGTGTCGAGCTGATCAAGTCCGCCACGTCAAAGTCTGGCGGTATCTATCTCTATGCCAATCAGCAAGGATGTGATGGTGGTCGTCTCTACTTTGATGGCTGCTGCATGGTCATGGTCAATGGAGAATGTGTTGCGCAGGGCAGCCAGTTCTCGTTGCGTGATGTCGAGGTGATCACTGCCACCATTGATCTGGACGAGGTCCGATCAGCACGTGCCAGCTTCATGAGCCGTTGCTCACAGGCCACCATGACCAAGGAGTTCCCTCGCGTCCGCTGCCCCATCCAAATGGCCGTAGACGCAAGAGCCGTCCTCCCCCATCTAAGCCCCATCATCCCAGTCAAGTACATTACACCATCCGAGGAGATTGGTTTTGGTCCAGCCTGTTGGCTTTGGGACTATCTGCGCAGGTCTGGTCTCAATGGCTACTTCCTGCCATTGTCTGGCGGTGCCGACAGTGCAGCAACTGCAGCAATCGTTTCGATCATGTGTCAACTTGTTGTCACTGACATTGCCAATGGAGACCAGTGCGTCCTTCAAGATGCCAGACGTATCACTGGCGACAAAGACTACACTCCAAAGGATCCGAGAGAATTTGCCAGCAGGATCTTCTTCACAGCCTACTTGGGCTCGACCAACAGCTCCAAGGAGACAAGAGATCGCGCAGCACTCATTTCAAAGGACGCTGGCGCAACCCACAAAGAGGTGGACATTGACAAAGTCACAGAGGCATTCAATCAAACGTTCGCCACGATCACCACAAAGACACCCAAGTTCAAGGTGCACGGAGGTACCAACCGCGAGAACCTTGCTCTCCAAAATGTGCAGGCCAGATCAAGAATGGTGCTGTCCTATCACTTGGCAACGTTGTTGCTGTGGGAGTCTGGCAGAGACGGCTCACTGCTAGTGCTAGGCAGTGCCAATGTGGATGAGGCACTGCGTGGATACATGACCAAGTATGATTGCTCGAGCGCAGACATCAATCCAATTGGAGGCATCTCAAAGACAGACTTGAAGTTGTTCCTCGAGTGGGCAGGCAAGAACCGCAATCTGCCATCACTGCTCCAGGTCATCACAGCTACACCCACAGCAGAGTTGGAGCCAACTACAGCCGACTATGTTCAATCGGATGAAGCAGACATGGGCATGAGCTACCAGGAGTTGAGCGTGTTTGGACGTTTGCGCAAGATCAATCGTTGTGGACCCGTTACAATGTTTGAGCGATTGGTCGCAGAGTGGTCACACCTCACACCCAACGTCGTTGCCGAGAAGGTCAAGAGATTCTTCTACTACTACGCCATCAACAGACATAAGATGACCACGATCACACCGGCCTACCATGCCGAGGCCTACTCTCCCGATGACAATCGTTATGATCATCGACCATTCCTCTACAACACCAAGTGGGATACACAATTCAAAGTGATTGATGAGCTTGTCGAGAGATACAATCAACACAAGGCAAACAACACCACTGCCCCAGCTACTACCTCAAGCTCAACAACAACCAATGTTCTCCAGGTCAACTTGTAAATGTCCAATGTCTATCCACTAATCATCCTTGCTCAGTCCAGTCCAGTATAGTTCAGTCCAGTCCAGTCAATCATTTGGATAAATACCTTAATTTATTCCTACTTTGTGTAGACACAAACAAACAAGGTATACATACTTGTTACAAATACAATACAATTTGATTCGGATAATAAATACAATATCTGTTGTTACAGCTTGGCAAGTAGACCACCATCTTCTTTGGACTTTTTGTTGCTAGAGTAGAGCAACAACATACCATAGTCTCTTGGATCGTTAAAGAATGGACGATGTCTATACTCTTGAATCTTGGCCTCATCCTCTTCACAACTAACACAAAAGTGCATCAAGAATGGCAAACTCTTGAGACCAGGTTGCAATGGGAAGAATCTTTCGACCGGGTCAGTCTTTGAGAATCCTGCAAACAAGTACTCAATGCCCATCTATACAATGATTGATTGATTGAGTGAGTTTGTGATCACTAAACTTGGATATTGATCAAACTTACACTATGGCACTCATTGTGAATTGTCTTTAACAACTCGGTTAACAAGGGGTAGTCGTTTCCTTGTTCATTGGTATAACATCCAAAGAGTTGATAGAAGTTACTGGCACTCATTGGTACTCCATCCCTCTGCATATCCACCAACTTTGAAACCTTATTCTGGTCCCATATCGATATTGACGCTTCAATAACTCTTTGATCATCACCTATTTTGTTGGATATTATCAAGTTAGTGATTGATTGGATGAATGATTGAATGATTGAATGATTGATTGAATTGGTACAAACATTTATATTGAGCAAAGTATGTATATCTCCAGAACTTGTTGAGTAGGAGGTCTTCCATTTCAATGGGTACCATCTCGTATGATTTGAAATATTCCTTGAACTTCTCGATAACAATATCTGGATTTCGCTCCTTCCATATTGTAACTTTGGGATTACTCTTGGAATCCATAACGACGATAGGTGCTGATACCTTCCATGCATGTTGTACTTGTTCCACCATCTGTTTCATTACACTATTATTATAATATGTGCTCATATTTCCATTATGTATTGCTGTCGATGTATATAATAATGGACGTAGTACTTGATTGTCCAGATAGACTTCAGTGACCATGTCTGTCAGCCTCTTCAAAACTCTGCCACGTCTATATCTTGGATCGACAACGGCATCAAATGGATAATATACAACTCTCTCCTCGCCATTGACTCTCAATCTCTTCTCCGATATACATATTCCTCCAATCACTCTCTGAGTCTGGCAATCCTCTGCCACCCATATATTTCCATTCTGGGTCATGCTCCTCCTCAATGAATAATCTTTTTTTGATTGGAATTATTCCAATTGGATAATATTAATTGTTAATAATAATTCATTTATGATTGATTGATTAGGACTTACCATCACATTTACTATATGCTTGGAGACCGAGGAAGTCGCAGTTGACTGGGAGTCGACAGAGTTTCGATAACCAATTCTTGTCCTTGCTTTGGTATTCGCGAAGAACGAATGTTTCGTCCATCCTCAATGGTAGTGCTGTCATTGTTGTTGCTGTTGTTGTGTTTTAAGTATAATAATAATAACTATAGTTGCCTCAAAATAATAAGTTATAATGGTTGTTGGACTCTCCCATTAATGTTCGTTCCAGTTCTATTTCGTTAAGTTTATCCTTGTTTGATGGATGGATGGCATTGCTAACAATCACAAACTATTGAGCGTTGCGTCTCTTCAAACAATAACCGGGATTGTGTGAGTGTGATGTGATATTATTATTATTAATGCTATAAAGTCATTCATAATTGCTTAATGTAGTAGTATGTTAACTACAAATCATTCCAGGATATATTGGCAACACTTGGAAGGGTAGAGTTGGGAGATTGGAATTGTGGACGATATGTGAAGCCATTATCACATTGGAAAAGGTATCAATCATATATTATATTGTGTGGATAAGTATAAGTATGATATGGATAAGGGATAGGGACATGGAGTATGTAGGTAGGTAGGTAGGGTAGATGACATCACCTAACAAATATTCTTACTCTCATTCAATCAATCAATCAATCAACAATCAGTCAATCCATCATCATCATCATCTTTATCATCATCAATCCCCTACCGGTAATACTAATTGGATGTTGTTGACAATTAATTCAAGTATCACTCGCAGGTGATGATGGTGGTGATAATGTGCGAATGAGTATGTGGTACAGATTGTTGGCTCGTGTGATCCCACTACTCATCCAACACACACACACACACACTTAAACAATCACACACTTGATCAAACCTTTGGAATGAAGTGATCTTGATAATCAATCCATCACTCTACAATGCTTAATTCATTCTTGACTTTAGTGAAGATCAGTTTACTACTTACTCTGAATGTGATCATGTGAGTTAGGTCTCGTCCATCCAACAACAACACAAAAGAATATGGCTTTGGCAACTTGTGTTTGTCATGGCCATGTCAATCGCAATCTTATCTCTCTCTATTTACATCTGCAGCTTGTTGGAACATTGTGTCAACCTAAAGTGATCAGTGGTGTCCTCATCCAGTCCTTTCTGTTTTGATGGAAGTTCGTCAGAATCACAAAAAAGTGAATAAATTTAAATCTTTTTTTCAATTCCATTCACACGGTGTTGGCGGAGGACTTTGCCCACTCGTCCCTCTTGTGCGAGAATGTTGCCATTCGTCATTGATTCAACACAGGTCATTTCGGATCCCTCTTAGACTAGTTCCTTACGCAATCCAAAGTCACAATGGTATGATCAGACTATAGCCATCAATCCATCATCATCATCCGTCGATCAGATAGGAAACGGATGTGACACCTTGAGGATGCGAACGAGCGATGTTACAGCAGAAGATAGAATGAACAGGACACTTACACAAGTCAATCCAATCATACAGCCAATCCACGAATTCCAGGTTGTTGGTCGTCACGTCCCAACTGAGCGTGAGGCTCACCCAAAGCTCTTCAGAATGAGACTCTTTGCTAAGACCTCTGTTCACGCCAAGAGCAGATTCTGGTACTTCTTGTCCAAGATCCAAAAGATGAAGAAGGCCACCGGTGAGATCCTCAACGTCACTGAGGTATGAATCAACAACAGAGGAGGCGAAATAACAGGTCATACAGATGGGATTAACATTGTCATTGTCTACTATTTAGATCTTCGAGGAGAAGCCACAGCAGATCAAGAACTTTGGTATCTTCATTAGATACAACTCCAGATCTGGTACCCACAACATCTACAAGGAGTACCGTGATGTCACCCGTGTTGGTGCTGTCGCCCAGATGTGTATGTATCAATCAACAGCTCATCATAGCGATCGGTCGATCATTCATTAGCAAGCAGCAGGGTGCAACAAAGCGACATCATGGCGGTACACAGGTGATGGATGTTATTCGACTTCTTGCGATACGTCATTGTGAATGAACATGTTGGATTATAGTGTACCCCCTGCTTGCGAATGAATGAATGAACGAGCGATCAAGAATAAGAACATAATGTCTGACATCAATTCAATTTATAACAAACAATAGACGACGAGATGGCCTCCCGTCACTCTGCCAGAGAGAAGACCATCCACATCATTGAGATCAAGGAGGTCGCTGCTGCCCAGACCCGCCGCACCAACACCAAGCAGTTCCATGACTCCAAGATCAGATTCCCACTCACTCACCGTGTTCCAAAGAGATTGCCCCAGTTCAAGGCTACCTTCAAGGCCACCAGACCCAAGACCTTCTAAATAGAGCGTGTTAGTGTTTGCGATTCTCGTCCTTTACAGTTTGTTGTTGAGACATATATTGGATGAAATAAACTTATAATATATAATCAAACTCCAGTGTTTATTATTACATTCATTCATTCATTCGTTCATTCAATGTTTGATTGAATGGAAATGTAATGATGGGGTTGTCCCCGGATGAGCCAACAACAACAGGTAAGTTGAGTTGCCAGGGAACCATAATATGATTATGTCAAGGTTGACATCTTCGCTTGGTTTGAAGTATTCAAGCTGTGTGACAGGGTTGTTGATCAATCAATCCCTGGTTGACAACACTCGTGTGAAAGAAAACTCTGTGGCATTTTAACTATTATTTTTTTAATAAACTTTGAAGACGACTGACCAGTTAAAATATCATTGACATTCATCAACTAACAAGTTGTACCCTCAAATATACACCATTATTTATTCTTTATCTATATTACACCCTCAACTAACTTATTATTATTATTATACACTTCACTTATTTATATTCACTACAAGTATGTATTAATCATTATCATACATCAACCATTGACTTGATGTCAATCAACTATTGTCTAGCTCATGAATGAACCAAAGACGAAACATAACAAGACGCGTGTGTGTGTTTGGGGTTGAGAGAATGAATCCTGGGATATGATATCCAAAAAACTATTTATTTTTAATTTGTTTTCATATCTTTGTTAATTTTTTTGATGTGGAACTCTCCTCCACTCTCTCTTGCCAGGCCTTCCTTCCCCACACGCACTCTCATTCTCTCTCTGTCTCTGTTGCTGTCACTCATCACCCAGACACTATCACTCACTCTCACTGCTGCACTGCTCTGCATTGACTGACAAGTTTGTTACATCAACATCATATCTAACACTCACTCATTTACTCTTATTTATATATTATAACAGGTTGTTGATATAATATTAAATATATATATATATATAAAATGGTCTCTGCATTTGAAGATCACGTGGCTGCTGTCACTAGAAACTACTACGTCAACCCACGTCTCGACTACAGAACCGTGACTGGTGTCAACGGTCCATTGGTCATTCTCGAGAACATCAAGGTATGTTTCTTCAACCAACTGTCAATTCGAATGATTGATTGATTGTGTGATGCCATCAATGGTGATCATAATTATCTAACATAACGTTCATCATCACTCACTCAATCACATCAATCATACGACATCAATCAATCACATTGAATCGATCAACCAATCAAACAATCAACAACTTGAATATATGATATTACTTTAACATTTGGATAATATAGGGACCAAAGTTCTCAGAGATTGTCACTTTGACTTTGGGCGATGGCACTCAGAGAAAGGGACAGGTGCTGGAGATCAGTGGCAAGAGAGCCGTCGTACAGGTGTTCGAGGGTACCATCGGTATCGATGCCAAGCACACCCGTTGTGAGTTCTCTGGTGACATTCTCAAGATGCCAGTCAGTGAGGACTCTTTGGGCCGTATCTTCAACGGTTCCGGTAGACCAGTCGACAAGGGTCCACCCGTCCTTGCCGAGGACTACCTGGATATCCAGGGTCAGCCAATCAACCCATCCGTCAGAGTGTACCCAAGAGAGATGATTCAAACCGGTATCTCTGCCATCGACACCATGAACTCCGTGGCTCGTGGCCAGAAGATTCCAATTTTCTCTGCTGCCGGTCTTCCACATAATGAGGTATGTTCATTTGCAATGATTGATTCGTTAATTGATTGAGCCTCGTCATCTAACAATCTCCCTTCTCAATCTTCTTCTACTCTACCTTCTCCTCTCTCCCTTGCTTCCATCAACTTCCAAAAGATTGCCGCCCAAATCTGTCGTCAAGCAGGTCTGGTCAAGAGATCTGGAAAGGGTGTCAACGACGACCATGATGACAACTTTGCCATTGTGTTCGCAGCTATGGGTGTTAACATGGAGACTGCCTCCTTCTTCAAGAGAGACTTTGAGGAGTCTGGTTCAATGGAGAGAACCACCCTGTTCCTCAACTTGGCCGATCACCCAACGATCGAGCGTATCATTACCCCACGTCTGGCCCTGACCACCGCCGAGTACTTGGCCTACCAGTGCGAGAAGCACGTGTTGGTCATCTTGACTGACATGTCGTCGTACGCCGACGCTCTTCGTGAGGTGTCTGCCGCCCGTGAGGAGGTGCCAGGTCGTCGTGGTTACCCAGGTTACATGTATACTGATCTTTCCACCATCTACGAGCGTGCCGGACGTATCGCTGGCCGTAACGGATCGATCACTCAGATCCCTATCTTGACAATGCCCAACGACGATATTACCCATCCAATCCCCGATCTGACTGGATACATTACAGAGGGACAGATCTACGTCGATCGTCAGATCAACAACAGACAGATCTACCCACCCATCAACGTGCTGCCATCGCTGTCTCGTCTAATGAAGTCGGCTATCGGTGACGACATGACCCGTGGCGACCACTCTGAGGTCTCCAACCAGATGTATGCCAACTACGCCATCGGCAAGGATGTCCAGGCCATGAAGGCCGTCGTCGGAGAGGAGGCTCTTTCCTCGGAGGACAAGCTGTACCTGGAGTTCTTGGAGAAGTTCGAGGGCAAATTCATCCAGCAGAATCACTACGACAACAGAGACATCTTTACCAGTTTGGAGATTGGTTGGTCGTTGCTGCGTACCTTCCCACCCACCCTGCTCAAGCGTATCACCGACAAGACCATCAAGGAGTACTATTCACGTCAAGGCAGTGACAAGGGTACCGTCGACAGCTCATAAGCAGTTGTCCTCAGCGGTCCTTCTTCGTCCACAATGACCAGTCCGACTCCCTCTCTTGACCCGTAGCCCGTCCAAGCATGCTTCATGGACCATGTTCCACAAACTATATTAATAAGTACAACTCTCAAACACCTTTATATCTCCCTCACCTTATGACAATAAAATACCATTATTATACAATAACCTTCATTCATTCTATCTATCTATTATTCAATCAATCAATCTTCCGATAATGGTTACACACACAACGGGTGTGGTTCACACTCGTGCTGGGCCACTGATCACTTTTGGCGAGCCGATCGTCAGATATTTGTGTTGGAATCACAAGGACCTTGTGTGTTGTGAGTATGAGGTGCAAGGTGGAGATAGATGGATGTGGTTTGGAGATGGATGGATTGATGAGGTCATACTGATGGGCATCACCTGATGTAAGCTGGTCTTTTATTATTCATTGGCACAAGATAGATTGATGGTTGGTGATGTATGTATGTATCACCTACAACTTTAGATATTTATGTATATATTTGTCCTTCCTTCTCGTCGTCATTCTAGATATTCCTTCTTAATTCCTTTACTATGGGTACATTTAACAAGACACAGAATGATGGATGGGCGGATGGACCTGTGTTTCATCATAAGTCATTGTTATTGGTCAATCACCCTCAATCAATCATACATCTTTCCAAGAGATAATATATAAATATATACACTAATATATGGAACAATACTTAAAATATGTTGGACTCGAGTCCTATGCCAACCTGTTGTCAGATAATGGTAAGTGGCACTAATCACATCCAGACCCTCAACCCTAACCCTTACCCTCGACCCTCACTTCCACTCATTCCAGGTTACGATGATCCTGACCTTCTGTCTGAGCTTACAGAGGAGGAGTTGATTGCCATTGGTGTAAAGAGGGGACATGCCAAGAGAGCATTTATTAAGGCAAGAGAGATAACTGCAAATGCAGCATCATCTTCCAACTCTTCACCTGCTCCAATGTCACCTGTTATTGTATCCTCCCCATCTTCCACACCACCTTCAAAGTCAAAGGTGACTATTGGTCGCAAGGGCGCCGAGGAGTCTGATGATGAGGATGACGATACCTCTGGAAGCGTCGGATCATACGATGGCCCACGTCTCCAGAGCAAGGTGCTCTACGAGGGCTTCCTCCAGAAGAAGGGTAATGAGGGATTCTTTGGCTCAAAGGTCTGGGCCAAGCGTTACTTCAAGATCTTTGAGGAGGGCCGCATGGCATACTACAAGCAGCAGAATGATGTCTCACCAATCAATGTGATTGAGTTGCGTGGCGCACTCGCCTGCGAGGACTTTGATGGCAAGCAGTTGGCCTTCAAGATATCGATGAAGACAAGTGCTCGTGTCTACTACTTGCTCGCACCATCCAGTGATGCCAAGGCCAAGTGGATTAGCACCACCCGCCAGCTCATCACACCACCAGTCACACCAAAGAAGTTGGACCCACTTGCCCCACGTCCATACATCCAGCATCAGCAGGAGGCTCCACAGTGTGCCAGCACTCGCTTTGACACTGCCGCTTCATGGGAGGTTGCTGAGCGCGCTGCCAAGGAGGACAGCACCCGCATCTACATCCACACCAACGGTGCCACCTACGTCGAGGAGACACGCAAGCTCACCATCACAGAGTCTGGCGGACGCACCTGGGTGCGCCAGCTTCCACGCGACCTCGATGACAAGTCGGTCCACTTCTTCTCTTACACCGACTCCAACGCCTTCGTCAGCGAGCAGACCTACCATCACGACGAGATCACCCAGCAGAAGTTGTTGGAGAAGTTGATTGGCAAGACCATCGAGGTGTCAGTGCCCCGTGATCGTCAATTTGGCGAGCCACACACATTCAAGGGTGAGGTCCAGTACATCCCCAAGCAAGGCAGATATGCCCTGGTCAATGCCGAGACCAACAATGTTCACTTCTTGGATGCCGACGAGGGTATCTCATTCAACCTTTTGGACAATGTATTGGAGGATGGTGCATTCCGCCCATCATCGCTCGAGTGGCGCGTGGTCTCAGACAAGTTGGAGCATCTCTACAAGTTGTCTTACTCATCCACCAAGCAGTTGTTGGACTGGTATGCTAGCTATGTGCTGATTGTCAACCCTCGCGAGAGTGAAGTTGAGTTCAGAGGATGGTACAACGTGAAGAATGACTCTGGCAAGTCCTTCAAGGACTGCAACCTCGTCTTGGTCCAGGAGCCAGTCGACCCAGTCAAGGTGGTCGAGGAGAAGTCAGACTCTGGTTTGGACATCGCCCTCCCCATCCCCAAGGTAGGAGGTTTGTTCAAGTTGGGCAAGCTCCCAATCCCAGGTTTTGGCAGCTCAGCTCCCGCACCAGAGGTTCCAGAGAAGCGTGTCTACAGGTACACTTATGATCATAAGACTGATCTGGTCGATCAGGAGACCAAGCAGTTGTGCTTCGTGTCCACCAAGTTGCCAGTCAAGTCCGTGGACTACATCACATTCGACACTCCCAAGTACACCAAGTACACCAACACATCCAAGGAGCACGGCACCGCCGCATCCAACGGTCGCGTCGACTCATCGCTCATCATCAACTGGCAGAAGCCATTCGCTTTGCCCGCTGGTTCTGTCACCCTTCGTCGCCAGTCCAAGGATGCCTTTGGCGCCGACATTGTCAACACCTTCTCTCTTGCACACTACAACCCCACCGACGTTATCATCGTGCCCTTGCAGCCACTGGGCAAGGTCAGCGCCGCCAGGAAGCAAACAGGATTCAACTTTGACATTGACAATATGTTCATCGTAGAGACGTTCGAGATCCGCGTTGTCAATGGCCGCGAGGAGCCAATCAAGGTGATTGTCGAGGAGTCATTCTATCGTTGCGAGCACTTTGAGATCTCGTACGAGTCCGAGAGACACACAGCACATCCATCACATCCACGCAAGGTACAATGGACACTGTCCATCCCACCACTCGACTCGACCACCATCAACTACTCCGTCTTCTACTCAGGACTCAACCTGCCAGACTCTGCACTTCCCAAGAAGGATGCTGCAACTCCAAGCACAACCACCCAGAAGAAATAAATTGTTCCACTTGCGAGCAAGTCATCACCAACCGATCCTTTGAAGCTTGTAATTATTATTTACATTTGAATGGTAGTACATCTATTCTGTGCGTCCTTGGCACGCTTGGCATCCAAGATGGTCTTGGCTAAACTGCCACTGGAGCATGCTTGTTTGATGAATGGATGTTTGAGAAGTACATGTGCGTCTGGTCTGTTCTCTGGATCTCTATCAAGACACCTCTTAACAAAGTCCTTAAAGTCGCTTGACCATATATCTGGCTCCTTCAAGTCAGGAATTCCCTTGGTAGATATCAGGAACAATGCACGTAGATGTGGAAGTGACATATAAGGTGGTTCAGACTCGGCCATCTCCATTGCCATGATTCCAAGACTCCATATATCGACCTTTCTATCATAGTTCTGGCCTCTAATGAGTTCAGGTGACATCCAATATGGTGTTCCAACAATAGTCATTCTTTTCTGTTTGCTCTTTGTCAACTGTGCGGCATAACCAAAGTCAGCCAACTTGACTGATCCATCTGATCCCAACAATACATTATCACTCTTAATATCTCTATGTATCCTATACTGGCTATGAATGTATGCCAATCCTTTCAAAGTCTAAGGTAATCATCCATGTTAGTATATTTGTATGATAAGGTTGACTGTCTGGAAACATACCTCTTGACAAATATAGGCTATCTGTGACTCAAGGAGTTTGACCGTAGCAAACTGATCGAGTACCTCGGTTAGACATCCTCCGCCCATGTACTCCATGGCAACCCATAGTGAGTCTCCTACAAGGTAGCTATCAATATAGTCAATGATGTTTGGATGCTTGCATGACTTGAGTATTCCAATTTCAGTTACTAACAACTTCATATTATGTTGAGTGAGTGGCATCTTTTTGATTGCTGCCTTGGTACCAGTCTTTTGTCTCGTGACAACAAACACCTCTCCGGCAGCACCCTCCCCAATCTTTGTATTAATATCACTATACATCTTTGTTGGATCATCCTTACTGATCAAGTCAACTTCATAGTTAAAGTCTAAGTTAGTCTATGTATCAAGTGGTTGATTTTTTGATTGATTGATACATACTCAATGAGAAGTTGGATTCATCAGGAACACTGAAGTTATTGATGTCATAATCAAAGTCTCCGTAGAGGTTGGACTCTTCTTCGATACATCCAAGGGTCGAGGGTTTGCGACTTGGTGCTTGGATCACTGGTAGTTGATTGGAACTTAGATGGAAATCCAGGACATCTAGGACTGCTTGGGGTTGGTCCACAACTTCCTCCTTTGTAATACCAGATGCCTTTAGAACAATCTCCCATTCCTTTGGAAGACCCTCGAATCCAGTAACCGAGTTATAGTCTACATGTACATTATGTTTGACATTGAATGGTAGTCCTACCTCTGGCTTCTTCTCTATAAGATTGGTACATGGGTGTTAAATCACTGGTTGGAGTATAAAGCAATGACATAGACACATACTATTGTTAAATCTTGTAAAGATATGATAGAAGAAACCTTTCTTCTCCTCTTCTTTCTTCTCTGGGTGATGGTGAATATGTTGAACTGGTGGAGATGGAGGTGATATACGATTAGGTGTAATGAATGGTGAATGTTGAGGATGTGGAGGCGATGGTGTCTTGGTCCTGTGCGAGGCCATTGGTGTAGGAGGAGTAGGGGTGGATGGCTTGGGTGAAACAGGTACTGGTGTTGTAATATATTGTGAAGGTTTGGATTGAATATGAGGTAGTGGTCTGGGTGGAGCTGGTGATGATGATTGATAACTGGTCTCAATATAGTCGTTAAAGACTTGTTTCTTGGGAACAGGATGTCTTGGTCTTGTCTGAGGTGATGGGGTCTTGGACAATGTAGTTGGTATTGGTGTTGGCTTTACAACGACTGTAGTCTCATTGTAAAAGTTATGGTTGTTGATATTGTTACAGGGTTTCCTCAGGGTGGATGTAGTAGCACCATGTTGGAATGTAGGAATGGGTGCTCTAGTATGCTTTCTCATTGTGGAGGGAGATAGGTCAGAGTCTGATCTCTCAAACTTCTCTCTAATACTATTGACCTTGCCACAATATTGACCATAATGTCCATAATCAACTACTAGATATTGAATCAAATATTAATATTTGACATGTCAATCAATCAATTTATCCATCATACATACCTTCCATTCTTCTATAATTAAATAGTTATTGTAATAATTATTGATTGATGATGAAGTTGTTCCAAAGAAATCAAGCAATGACTGGGTTTGGTAATGAGTTGAAATGATGTATCGATGTAGTGAGGGGGCTTGGGAGGCAATCACGATCACTCTGTTGTCACGCGCAATCCTACCTATCACAATCAATCAATCGATTAATCAAATTGGAGAGAGGACAGGTATAGCAATAGCGATGTTGGGTGCACTTAATGGTAATAATAAATATTAATAATAATTGAATATTATTTAAAATAGTTGGTTTGGTTGATAGAGATGAGGGCAAAGAGATAGAGAGATAATGAAACTTGGATTGAGTGATGTACGTATGTCTGGTCCACACTTCAAGATGGACGCGGCATATGTGTGAGTAAGTAAGGGAAGGTAGTGGGGGTGGTACCAGACTAGATGGAAGAAGGTACCTACCCTGTGACTTGATAGATGGTTGTTAATCATCGATCACATGAGCCTACTATTTATAAATAGCAAGTCTGTGTGTGAGTGTGTGATTGATAGAGTGTGAGTTTGTGATCAGACACTCGGATCACCCAATCAATCAAATAGAGTTATATCCATTGATTCATTCATACACATACCATCACACACACTCTGATGATCATCAAACATACACATAAATACAACAACAACTTCAACTTTGGAATTGATCGAATGACGATAATTATTATTTGATTGGATTATAAATATAATTCTCACAGTGTGGAGTTGAGTTGGAGTGTAGTGTAGTGCACTACTGGTGATACATCAAGGGTAGGTGACGTGCGGCTAATGTATAATAGCCAGTGATCCAAGGATACATTGGATGTAAGTTCATTCCATCACATCTGTCTATTACCTTACTACATTGTGATTGATGCTAAATGTTGACTTGACGATCGAATCATTGACCACCGACAATCGGTTATTTATATCATCAACTTGATCAACTTGAATTAATATCCCAGACGTCATTGTTGAGAGTGGTTCCAAAGGTGAACGTCAGTTGATCAGATTGTTTGATTGATTGTTCAGATCTGAAGGTCAGTGAGTCAGTAAGTAGTAGATTATATTTAGAACACTAATGATCAATCCATACTTGATACATGCTCAATCGATCATCATGATCATCACTATTATATTAGTGAATCTTTATTCTCGAGTGGACGATACTGCTGTTGCTGTAGTGGCAGTGTCTGTGGTGACTGTGACAATGGTTGCGATGATGACTGTTGTTGTTCATCCGATGAATGCTGTAGATCAAGTACAGGTATCAGTAGTACAGCTGATCCACTCTCCTGAACTTGTTGGGTTGTTGGCTGGATGTCTACCTCCTGAGCCTGACCATCCTTGTTGTTGTTATCATTATCCTTCTCCTTCTCCTTCTCCTTCTCCTCCTTGTCCTTGTTGTTGTCATCATCATTGTACTTGTCATTGTTATCAAACTCTGATTCTTCCTTTTGTGGATATGGTGATGTAATCCTCTCAAAGTACTTTGATGCATTCTCCATCAGTTCATTGATCTCCCAAACTGACAGCAGTGACAGACATGTCTGGAATGTGACCAAGAAGTATCCTTGCATCTTTGAGCTCAGTGACTCTTCAATAAAGTCCTATTTGGTTCGATTGAAGATTGGTGGAGTGAGTAAGGATGTCTGATTGTACTGAGGACGGACCAACATACCTGCAAGAACATGGCCTCCGAGTACATGTTGGGTATCTTGGCTTTAATAACTACAAATGTGAACAGTGGAAGGAGATCGTCTGCACCTCTATTATTGATTGAATTGAATGATATGGTAGGCCATGTGTTAGTGATTGATTGAGTGAGAGGGATTGTTCCATTAGAGTTACTTACAGTACTAAGCTATCGGGCTTATCCTTCTTCCTGTCCCAGAATGATTTGATTGCCTCACAGATGGCATCGGATGTGTCGATGAGACATTGGACCTTCTCACTTGGTGCGCGATAGGTGTGCAGCTTCTTGAGGTTGTCGATGGCGTCCTGGTAGGGGACGGTCAGCTGGCCGTCCACCTGGTCAATCAGCCAGAACTTCTTTGGTATCGACAAATGCAGTGGCGTGAGCGTGAGGAATTGCTGAGCCTTGTTGTTGTGCTCCTCGTCCTCCTGTGAATACTTCTTGGTGTACTGCTCGAACACGTCAAAGTAGATGTGACCAAACAGCGCCGTCTCGACACCAAGACGACAGTGCAGCAGTGACTGTTCCGACTTTGACAGGATGGGCAAACGATTGATCAACAACTGTGAGAATTCATGCAGTACATCATCGACCATTGTCTTGAGTTGCTTGATACTATCTTCGTCCTTGACACCAATCTCTGCCACCTTTCTTCTGATCGTCTCTATTCTCTCGGCAAACAGCATGCCAGTCTCAAACTCTGGTTGATTCAGTATGACTGATATATACTTTATCACCTCATCCTTATTGTCCACATTCTTTGTTATCTGTTTATATGTCTTGCGTTGAGGGTCCTATTATATTGATTGATTGATTGAGTGAGTGGAATAATACCAAATAGTGATCATTATATGTTAACGTACGAATATATCATCAAAGAATGATTGTGATGATGTGTTCTTTCTCATGGCGGCCGATATTGTAGCATTATGTTGCTTCTGCTTCATTTGTTGTTGCTCTTCCTGCTTCTTTTGCTTCAACTCCAAGATCTTGAACTGCTGTTCTATCTCTTCCACATCTGGCTCATCACTAACAATGAATGAATGATTGAATGAGTGGACAGTTAGTATTGACCAGGTCCTGGATAGTTGAGCGTGGAGATAGTAGATTGCAACATACTATTTGACCAGATTATGTTTGGACTCTGGTTGACTAATCTCTAGAATCTGGTTGATCATCTCCATCTCTTTCTCTTGGTCAAAGTTTAGAGTGTGTGGCCCGATGACTACGATCCACATGATGGTCTGCTTGGGATCGTCAGACCAGAGGAAGTGTGACAGGGAGTTGTTGTGACTAACAAGACGCACGCCAAATCGGAAGCTGTTGGTCTCGTCAATGAAGCGAATGTCAATGTGCAGCTTCAGTTGGCGCAGGTCAATCACATCGATCGGTTCCAAATCCTTGCTGATGTGATTGAACAATAGATGCTCGCGCAGTATGAACCAGCGTCGATCGTTAAGTGTGCCTCTCTGCTTGCCCATGTCGACGACATTATAATAGAGTAGGCCTTCTTTTGTGATCTTGGCGACAGGCTTCTCTGGTGCGCCTGTTGTGAGCGAGTCTGATACCACGGTGGAGGGGACGGGTGGTGCAGTGCCAGTCAGTCTAAACTGTTTCTGGAAGTCAATGCCATTGGCATGCTTCTGATAGTTCGAATAGATGTTCTGGTATCGTTCATTCTTGTTGTTGTTGTTGCTGCTGTTGTTGCCAGCACCGCCACGATTGTTGTTGATGTTGTTGTTGTTGTTGTTACTGTTTGAGCGGGATGGGCCAGTGTCGTTGCCACCTGCGTTCATCATCTTGGCACCAAACGCTGCGGATGAACTCTTCGGTTCGTAATCATCGTCACCAAGCTTCTGATCAATCATCTCAATGTACTGTTTGATAGAGTCGATTATTGATGTTGAGTGTTGCTCAATCTCTTGTCTGATTGACTGCTGCTGACTGCCATTGTTGCTGCTGCTGTTGCTGCCACTGCTGGTCAGCTTGGGTGAAGGTGTAGTTGTGTTTGATGAAGACAGAGTGTCTCTTCTTGGAGGGGGAGGTGGAGCCAATCCACTTGATGCAGATGCCGATGCAGATGACGATGATGATGTTTGGTTACTACCAACAGATGACTGTGTTGGTGTGGTCGGTTGTTGGTAGTAATATCCAGTCTGTTGTTGTTGTTGCTTCAAGTACTGAGGCTGCTGTTGTTGTACCTGTTGCTGTGTTAGAGGTGCTGTTGCTGCTTGTTGAGGCTGCTGTCGCTGTGGCTGTTGCTGACTATGCATCACAGAGGTGTATGATGGTGGAGGGAATGTTGGTATTTGAGGCTGTTGTTGGTAGTTATAGTAGGGGTAGGCAGGCTGGTTTGATTGTACATTGGAGAATGGATAGGCGTACTGCATGATGTTGTTGTTCACCGGTGAGTATTGATTGTTGGCATACATGGGTGGAGTAGTCACTGGATTGTTCAGCTGGAATGGTGTGGCAGCAGCAACAGGATTATATCCAACTTGAGTGAATGCTTGCTGTATAGGTGACATGGTCGCAGGGTAACCCTGACCCTGCATCACTTGAGGTGAGTATACTGGTTGTTGTAACTGTTGCTGCTGAGGAAATAGAGACTGTTGTTGATATAGTGAATGTTGCTGCTGTTGCATGGGATAGAGAGGTGCCTGTAGCTGTGGTTGCATGGATTGTTGTTGGTAAAGTTGTTGCTGTTGCTGCTGTTGTAGTTGTTGTTGAAGCAATGATGGCGATGGTTTATCTGGAGTCGCTACCTTTGTGGATGTTAGAGTTGGTGTCGAGTCTTTGGGTGTCGATGCTCTAGGTGCATTTGCGGCGACTGACAAGTTAGCTGGTGAAGGAGCCATCACATTGAAGTCATCGTCTATTGAGTAGTTGGGTACGAGTGACTGCAGATATGACTGCTGAGTGATAGGTGTTGTACCACCCGCTTGGCTCTGATATGATAGATTGGATAGTCAGTCGGTCAGTCAGTCAATCGTTCATAGCATGTTAGATCCTGTCCAAACACTAGTTTACCATTGTTGTTTGATTATAATTATTGAATCTAACTCTTGTAAGTAATATCAGCAGAATATATATGTGTGTGTATGTGTGTCGACCTGGTGAGATGTGATGAATGAATGAATTGATTGATTGATTGATGAAGAGTGAGAGTAGTGATGTGGGGAACAGCCCTAAACTAACAATTAGTGCAATATCCTCTTTGGAGGGGTGAGAGTGGGATTCCGAACCAAGTGTTTAGATTGAGTGAAGGCGAAGACATCTTGGAGTCCCAAGAATTCAGATTCTTGAAGAACTATTTAATTAACCAGAGATAGAGAGAGAATATATTTTGAACGTAGTATACATAAGGGTTTATTAATAATAATAATGAAATGTGTTACAGATATAAAGAGTAATTAAATAGGATATGATTGATTTAGAAATCGTTAATAAATCAAAAATTGGGTTGTTGTTCTTGTTGTTGTTTAAAGGGTCTGGCAGATCTTGTTGGTCCATACTAGTACATTGGTATTATTCCATATCCATGATGGGTAGGATGGATAGGTAATATTGGGAGCTCAAACAAACTTATAATAATAATACTTCTTAAATAATTTTAACATCTTCAGATATTAAACTTAGTTAAGTGTTTGTGATTGTGATTGGAATTGGATATTCATGAAATTCCATCTCATTGGATTAGTTCCACGGTTAATATAACTATTGAATAATTGGAATAATGTTAGTCCTATGTCCATATTTGGTAAATTGATTGATTGAATGACTTACCCAAACTTAAGATTTTCACCTTGAGAGATACCATAAATTCTGATGTACTCTGGGAAACCAAAGGCTCTATCGGCTTTCTTGGCAATGCCCCAATAGTCATCTTGTTGGCGAAGACCGAATGAGTTCTTGTCTGGAACGATATTGCAGTCAAATATTATCTCCTCGCCTTTGTTGGTGATGACGGCAGACCATACTGAGAATGTTCCAGAGCCATCGGACCATGTTGAAGTCAATCTTTGTGAGATGGCCAATGGTGATACTGGAAATGCTTCCTCCTCACATTCTACAAATACAACATATAAACTGATAAACATTAAAAATACAAATAGTAACTGTTTGTTGTTGGTGTTGGTCATTTTTTTGAAATGAATGATTATTTAAAGTAATAATTAATTATTACTGAATAGGATATATCTTGGAAATGATCAATAATATAATATAATGATTAATTGATTGATTGGTTGGATGGAATGGATGGAATATGTTTGATGACCTGGACAATATGAATGAATTGAATAAATATCTTAATAATGATTGATATATATTAATATAATGATAATAATTTATAATGTATATAATGATGTCTCTTGGATTGTTGAAGGGTAAATATATTTGATATTTTATATCTGTTCTAATAACCAATGGATGATGAAGGAAGAGGTGATTGATGAATTGATGGATGGATGGATGATTGAATGTCGCGGTGCTATGTATTGATACAACAACAAATGTTTGGCGATGATAGTTTCTTAAGAAGCAAATTATTGGATCGAACAGGAGACGGATGGAGGAGGGAGTGGATCGCGTATAAGGCAGTTGGTGTAGATTAATAGGCAGTTGGCAGGCTGCGTTGTCCTGTCCACATCACATTAGCGTGCCAGGTAAGTGAGAATAAGTGAGGAGTGAGTGGTGTGACTCAGCAATAACTTCCTTTCCTTCATCATCATCACTCAATTAATCAATCACACTCTCACTCACCATACACATAATATCCAAACACTTATGTACGATCTATTTATAACATCGGACTACATGGAGTTGGTGGTATGGTTGATGGTCTCATGCTACACCATGGCATGGTGAAGTGCCGGACAAGTTCGTAGAGCATACGTCAGTTGCACATCATCACGCGGTGAGTTGTTGTTGTTGGTGTGCTTGTGACTCTAACAACAACGGGCGTCTTTTCTTCAACATTTACAGCGTACGGTAATGCATGGTAGCAAGACAAGGCAGATGTGACCCCCGGCACGATGCGACTGCCGTCAATCTCCAGTCATACCAATCACCAATGTCTATTCAACAACATCAACATTCCCTTTATCCACCCTCCTCTTTGCTGAATTCCCCTCAGCATCACACATACTTACTTTGGTGTGTTGTGTGAGTTAGTGATGATTGTTTGTTAAGTTTGTTAGTTAATGGGTTCGTGGGTTGGGTTGATGCTGTTGGTTGATGAATAACCTGATCCACCATCGACTTGCCGGTGATGCCGAACGTATACTTGGTATAGTGCGTTGAATCGGATAAAGGAACTCTTAACAATATGTTGGTGATTATTATTCTGTGTATGTATTAGTTAATTGATTGATTTGATTGATTGATTGATAGTGATTGAGTGATTGATTGGTTGAGTGAGCGTAGATTAGGTGGTTGTCTGGTAACATGGTATAAATGATATGTAGTAGGTATGATAGATGTTGTCTCGACTACTATTTTGTTGGGTGTAGTCATGTGATGTGATGTCGGTCAACCCATTAACCAATCAATATCACTCACCCAAGATTCATTAAGTGTGATGGGGGTTGTTGTTGTTGTAGTTGAAGTGTGTCTTTCGTTCACTGTATGATGTGATGAGAATGTACAACATCACGAGATAATAATAATAATAAGTTCGTTACTTACCTCTGTCTTATAAGTATATTTGTCATTGAGCAGTTGATTATGTGAGATATGGGTCCCTACCTTAAAGGGTATGGAGTGGAACAACAATTAATAATACCCATAAATGATAATTATATTAATTTAACATATTTTTGAATTCAATTGATCTTTAATTAATTATTATTATTTACTTTAAACTCCCTTTGGAGGGAACCTTTAAAGACTGGATAAAAATGTTCCATGTTTTGTTGCCTCAATTGTTGTACAATGATTCCAAAACACATCATTTATCAGTGTTCTTGGGGCTTTGAGAGTCTGGAACATATGAACGTATGTATACGGACTTCCAAAGTGTTGAAAATTATTCAACGAATGTGTGATGACTCACGCCATCATTGTGCATGTCCAGCTCCAATCCACTTTTTATTTTGTATTCTGGACCAGAACTCTAAAGTAATATTTAAATACAAATAATAATCAATCAAATAAATAAATAAATATCTACAAATATATTTATAAATACTAAACAAATAATATCCTGGATATAGTATTCATTTAAAATATATAATAAATTAAAATATTAATTATAATAAATAAAAAATATATATAGTAATGATTTTAAATCTTGGACCAATTTCTGGTATCGGAGCCTTTAACATCAACAACAATAATAACAATCAACATCAAGATAAAATAATAATGAGTATTTCACAATCACAAGAAATGCCACGTGTTACAAAGAAAAGACAATGGATGAAACCAAGAAGAGCAATTAAGAATATGCATGAAATTAATAAGAGAAGATTGGTCCATATGGCATCCTTCAATAATAATAATAAGATCAAAGGAGAACAATCATCAATCAATATCAAGATACAATTGCCCAATCCCTTCCAAGACAGTTGTGACCTATTCTGTAACAATATGCGCATCATTATTGCCAAGCCAATATCCCACCAACCATTGGTACCACAACATCCCGAAGAGAACCCAGATGACTTGGAATCCTCCGATGATATTAATAATAGTTACCAACAAATTATACCCGATAAACAAGTCAATGATACTATTGAACTTTAACATCATTCACCGAGATGGTCCACAGCTTGATCGATCAAATAATATTAATAAACACATTGTAAATTATAGAATACCATCTCATTGATCGAATTTCACAAGTCATTCAATTTGTGTGTGTTGCAGACTTTTGACCAACTTCACTCTTTGTTTAGAGATACATTACATTCATTGTATTCTTATTACCTCACATACATACATACATATATAGATACTGAAGATGGGTCAAGAGAGTAATACAGGGGATGCATTTAGTAATGCAGAGGAGGATGACTTCTTTAGACAGATCAATGAGATACAGAATGATTTTGATAGAGGTAGACCAAGGACTCGTTCAGAGATCACTCCAGACAGAAGATCAAAGAAGAATAAATGGGAGCAGGATAAAGGACAAAGTGGTCTACCAGGTGTACCCAAGACATTGCCACCAGGTCTGACCGATGAACAACTCGCTGCACTCATCAGTATGTATCTTTCATTCATTCATTCATGTGCTTCAGATACTAACAATACCTTGATCATCATCATATAGTACGTATTAGAATAGATGAGATCACAAAGAAGTTGACAGTTGGTCCAATCGAAATAGATAACAAGGATGATAGGTATGTCTAAGAATGAACGAATGAGTGAATGATTGAGTGATCAGAACTAACCAACCATCAACCCTTATATAGGTCTCGATCACCTACACCAGTATATGATCACTCTGGTAAGAGAACAAACACTAGAGAGCAGAGAACAAAGGATAAGTTGAGCAAGGAGAGACATGTGTTGGTCACTGTGGCAGGACAGGTCAATCAATCGTTCAAGCCACCTCAAGACTATCAACCACCAAATGAGAAGAAGACGATGAAGATATACATCCCTGTGAAGGAGTTCCCCGAGTACAACTTTATCGGTCTGATCATCGGACCAAGAGGCAACACACAGAAGAAGATGGAGAAGGAGAGTGGAGCAAAGATCGCCATCAGAGGCAAGGGCTCAATGAAGGACGGCAAGGCTTCAAAGCCTCAGTACGTCGAGAGTGAGGAGCTGCACGTACTGTTGACGGGTGACACCCAGGAGCAGTTGGAGAAGGCGGCAACAATGGTCAGGCAGTTCTTGGTGCCCATCGAAGAGGGCAAGAACGAGCACAAGCGACAACAGCTTAGAGAGTTGGCCGAGATGAACGGCACACTACGCGAGCGAGCGATATTTGGCGGCGGCAGGAACTGGCAACCCGTGGACATCAAGTGTGTGCATTGTGGCGAGACATCTCATCCTTCAAATGATTGTCCTCTCAAGGGCAGCAATCACAACATGCACATCATCGAAGCAGAGTATCAGAAGTTTATCGAGGAGATCAAGGACTTGCTCATCATGACAAAGGAGGAACCAAACATTCATGGACATGGTGGCGGCAACAGAATCAGCAGCGACAATAACAGATTGAGTAGTGACAATGGCAACAACAATGGTGGTGATGATTCTTATGATGAGTTCCAGGCTGCACTGAGGTCGCAGGAACAAGGTGATCAGCCACCTCCTCCACATGGATGGCCACAACAACAGCATCAATTCAACAACAACAATAGTAACAATAATATGTATCAATCACCTCCTCCACATGGCCATCCAGATCATGGCGACCAACAATGGAACCAACAACAGCAACATCATGGAAATCAACAACAATGGGGCCAACAACAGAAGCCACAACAACAGTTCAACGCATCACCGTATGGTCCACCATCCAATGGCAACGCACCACCACCTCCAGCAGCCTCACCGTATGGTCCACCACCGGGCGCATACTACTGAGCGACAACAACCTCTTCCTCCTCCTGCATTGCAGGACCTTTATAAATAACAAGTACTAACCAATAAATCCTATATCCTTCCTTCCTCCCTATGCATGTGTCGTTCGAACAACTACCTTCCTCCCTCATTTAATGATCCATCCTCTACTCTCTTGCAAGTTTGCGTGCGTGTGTCCATGTTGCCTGGACTGTCATCATATATATATTATACATTGAGTCAGGGTCTGTCGTACATCTCTATTGATCTGATCGTCTGGTCTATGGACGACTTGATCAAGTCAAGTCCATCAACTGATTGATGCCTCTTTAATCGTATTTGGTGTTGATCTTGTCTATCAAGTGCTGTTTGATTGATTGATTGGATGTCAGTGAGTAAGTTGGACATGATTGAGTGATTGATTGAATGATGTACATACCTGCAATGGAGCCATCTCCTTCTTCTCGACCAAGTTGAACTCTTTGATGAACAGGTAGAAGTGCTGGATTGGATGGTGATGAGTTAGTGTCCATCCAGTCTCCATTTTACCCTGGATTTGATGAGAAACCTACCTTGAAGCATGTATTCAAATGAGCCTCTACACCAAGAGGACCAACTCTATCCATATGTGAATAATATATATGTGCGTACACTCTAAACAATCGCTTGAATATTGTCTTTACAGTCGGCAGGAAGTTCTTGGGCATCTCAACATCTAATAATGATTGATCAAATAATATGATGTATGAGTGATTGATTGTATGATTGAATGATGGAATGATAACACCAACATACCTTGTCTCAATGGGAATACCTCCTCATCTTCGAGTGTCGCCTGTATCCATGTCATTAAATAGTCTACGTAGACTGGTGCAGAGACTCTTACTGGCTTCTTGATGTCCTTGCCATCAGCCCACAGGAACTCATATTGTGGACCTGCAGACATCACCGGACAAACCTTATTCGTACAGAACTCTGTTATTGATCCATACAACAAGTTGCATTGATTGAAGAAGTCGATCGCTTTTGGTAGGATTGAATGAATGAGTATGGTATTCCAATTCTTTGCCTCTAATGGGGCGAGGACCTCGAGGCCTCACCAAGCCCCACACACTAAACAATCAAACATACTATTTACAGCCAGCCACTCGTGCAAAGACTCGCCTGGAGGCAACTTAATAGCCTCCTTTAAATCGCCAGATCCCAATGTCTCCTTTATCTTCTGATGTAGCTCGTAATGCTTAGTACCCTTCTTGATGGATTTCTTTGGCTTGAATGTCTGTGCCTTGGAACCACTGTGAGTGCGGCATGTGCCATCAAGGTGGATGAGCGAGTATAATATTGTTAGTGAAATGGACTACACTACATGTCGACACTTTTGGTTAAGGGAACTTACAATATCTTGAACATTGTTTGGTTCTTTGGTGTGATTGGATTGATTGAGTTTGGGTTGGAGTTTGGTTTGAGTGCTGGGTTGGGTTTGTTAAATAAATAAATAAATTAGATAAATATAGGTGTTGAGTTGCTTGCTTGTTTGATTGATTGGTACAATGGATGGTAATACAATGAACTTAATTCAATGTCTTAAATCTGCATTTGATCACGAATGAATGGATGAATGAATGAACGAGATGATTGATGATGGTGTGTTTGGAGGAATGGAAGAGTTTGAGACCTAACTTTGCTTTGATGTACTATTTATATAAATATTTAAATGTGCAATCAAGCAAGCAATAGATAGATAGATAGATAATTGATTGCAGGGTTGTTGTTGTTCCTTGGTTGTTGTTTGATTTGTTTACGATGATGGTGGACCCTTCCACATAACCTTGTGGTGATTGATGATGGGTGGGTTGATGGTCCACCTCACATTCATCACAACCAATTAAAATTAATTCTCAAAAATTCAAAAACAGGAGGATTTTTGTTGAATTGGTGATCAACAAAACTGAAACTCCTGATGTAATGTCGACATGTGGAAGGTTGAGGTTCTCAAGGCAACCACGCGATTAGATAGAGGTACCCTCTCTATCTCTATCTCTTTCTCTTTGTGTGTGAGTTAGTTTATAATTTTTAAAAGTTTAGAGACCAGCCATGACTTGACTGGCTTGCTCATAGAGGACAAAGCATGCGGCATTGGCCGGCATGGACCTGATGAAACAAGGTGTGAATCCAACGTAGAAGCCGGCAAGACCGCGCTGACGGTAGATCTTGGAGGCACAGTCGATGAAGCCAGCGTAGCGACGCTGTGATGGGATGATGCTGTCGGTCTGGATCGATGACTTGATCACATCAATGGGGTACGTCAGGGTCCAGTAGGACATGCCTCCAATGCCACCGGCCAGCATAACCTTCCAGGCGGGCAGCTGGGACAGCTTCTGGCCGTCGTCCAGCAGCATGCGTCTGGCCAGCTCGTACGCGCCAAAGTAGGCGGCGTTGGCTGGCACGTTCCTGGCCATTGTTGGCACCAGACCCATGTAGATACCCTGGATACCACGGGCCTTGTATATCTTTGAGGCGCAGTCCACCAGTCCAGTGTACTGTCTGTTGGCGCCCTCTGACACCTGTACCTGCAGCTGACTCTTGAACAGATCGAATGGACACTCGACAAAGGCGATCGTGGCACCGGCCACACCACCAGCCATCGTCAACTCTGACACAGTCAACTCCTTTCCAGGCTTCTGAATGTATGACTTTGCCTGACCGTATGCCAAGAACATCACGGCATTCATAAAGCATAGGCCAACCAATGGTGATTGTACACCCTTATATAATCCTGCAAACTACAGTATTGAATTGATTGATTGAATAAATTATGAGATAGAGAGTGAGCGAAGGAGTGAGCGAAGGAGTGATTGAGTGATTGATGGATGATGAGACATACACCTTCATTGGCAATGGTCTTCTTGAAACAATCTAGTGTGCCAGAGTATAGTGGAGAACCAACTGATTGTGTTTGAAGTCTGACCTTGACGGTATCGAGTGGATGACCTGTGATGACTTGACCGACGCCACCAATTGAACCGGCGACGATATCCTTAATGGCCATGACCAAAGGTGAATCTTTCTTTGTTACAGGTTGTGACATAGTTTGATCTTGATTCTCTTAGTAAGAAAAGTATCTATTTGACAACTTGTATGACTAAGTGATTGTTTGATTGTTTGATTGATTGAATGACTAAAGTCGTTTTTTTGAACTTGGTCTTCAATCCTAAAGTGGGAGGCAATGAAAAATCTTCAAAAAAATAGTCCAAAAAATCAAATAGACAAGTTCGAATGTATTCTTCATTTTCCTCATTTATTCCATTGTCTTGTATTATTTACAAACAGATAATAAATACAAATATATATAACATGCAGAGTAGCTTATCATATAATGTAAATATCAAACAAGATACAATCAATCAATCAATCAAACAATCAATCAATCACCTGACTTATTGCCATCTCTTCATTACCATTAAACAAACGAAAGAATGAAGAACTTGGATATCTTGGATGTAAACATTATAGAAGATCATGCAAGCTGAAAGCTGCTTGTTGTGGAGAGTTGTTCACTTGTCGTTTCTGTCATAATGATGCGAGTAATCATGAGATCGATAGGTTTGCAACACAGGAGGTACAGTGTATGAAGTGCTCAACAGTGCAGCCAGTGTCCAATCAATGCATAAAATGTCAGAACATATTCGGTCGATACTTCTGTGCCCACTGCAAGTTCTACGAGGACACGCCCGACAAGAAGCTGTTCCACTGCGACGACTGCAAGCTCTGCCGAGTGGGAGAGCGCGCACACTACATTCACTGCAAGCGATGCAATATGTGTCTAGGAAAGGAGCACTTTGAAACACACAAATGTCTGGAGAACAAGTTCGAGAGATGTCCCATATGCTTTGAGGATATGTTCACGAGTGTGGCGCCAATCACTACGCTGCCATGTGGTCATGCGATACACAACGAGTGCTACAAGTCATTGTTGGACAACAATGTCTACTCGTGTCCAATATGCAAGAAGTCAGTGGCGACGTTCAATTGGACAAGGATGGACAGGATGGTCGAGCGTCAACCAATGCCACCAATGTACAAAGGATCAACTTGTTCAATATTATGCAATGATTGTGAGACCAAGTCCATTGACATACCTCTTCACTTCTTGGGCAACAAGTGCACAGTGGCCACTTGTGGAAGCTACAACACAACAATCATGTCAAAGAATATGGTTATGGATCCTACTCAATCAAATGTTATGCCACCTGTCACTCAAGTCGATGGTGAGGACGATGATGATGATGAGGATGACGAGGATGATGAGGAAATGGACGAGGAACTGGAAGAACTGATCACTGACAGCAGTTCAGGAGGTGGCGAGGACGATGTTGACGACGACACCAACAACAACCAATAAATAGACAGGCTTGAGTTGTTACCATGTAAGGATAAACGTTTACTGAATCTAATCCATAAACCATTCATCCATTTCTAAGTTGGCCTTGAGTATAGATGTATGTATGTAGTTGATCGATCATTAAGCGGACATGATTATCCAAGCTTATAGGCGACCATTGTGTCAACCTTGTGGATCTATGTTTGATTGATTGATTGAATGAGTGAGTGAGTTGGCAATGTGATTGACTTTGGATGATGTACATACTGATGTTGTGAATGAACGAAGTCTGACTTGCTGACTGTTGGCAATGTATTGTGGATCACTCTCCTCCCACTTTTGTGGTACGGCCAGGTCCTTGCTTGTGTAGACCAACAAATCGAATGTACATGCGTTGGGCAACAATGGCAAGAATGTGACACTAGCAGTGATCTGTCTAATGATAGCCTGTATCTCATTCATAATATCCTTCTCTGGTTTGTTACGTGGTGCTCTATTCGTGTGTATATGTGAGTTAGTTCAACTGATGACCAGACTTGTCTCTAAGTGCACTTACTCTCCCTCCTTGGGCAAGTCGGTCTGAACGTCAAAGACCCATCGCTCCAAGACCTCCTTTGTGACTACATCAGTGATGACTAGGACCAGCTTCTGGACGTCACCAGTCTGCAACCATTGAGCCAGTTGCTTCAACACGTTGTCCAAGTAATCCTTGAGTCCCTGATCAGCTGTGACCAAGATTGACAGACCATACTTTGCAACACGTGTAAAGGTCTCTGGTGGATATATACCTCTTTGGAATAATATACTATTGATACTATAGGCTATATATAATGTTGATGTTAGTTGTGACCATTTTTTGATCATTGATCACATGTCAGACATACCAAAGAACTCAGAGACGATCTCAGTTGATCCTTTTAATGTTATATTGTTCTTGGTTGCGATGGATTGCATTGTATGTATTTGATAGTTAATTAATTGAACAATCAATGATTCGACTGATTGATCTGATGGGAATGGAGGTGAGCGGAAGTGTGTGGAATCCATCCCAAAATTTGGCGCGCCAACTTCCGAATTTCAAAATGAACAAGCGACAGGACTAATGTCCTCCTCCCCAACCATTTATTGTTGCTGTAGGTGCTGTGCCAGGTTGAATGGTACAAGTAAATCATTGATCATCTTCTCGGCTAATGTAAAGTCCACTTTGGTGATGTCAAAGTTGGTGCCCTCGATCAACTTGTTGAGGATGTTTTGATTGACGACCGACACCTTTTGGACAAGTGCGTAGGGTGTCCTCGAGAAGGAGATGAGCTCATAGCGAGAGATGTAACGACGTGGGAACTTCTCCTCCAGTGCGTGCTCCAACTTCTTCTTGAACTGATAGACCTGGTTGGCAACGCTGTCTCTCATCTCGATGAAGTTCTCTACTGCCATCTCGGCAATGGCGTCCGAGTTGTCCTTGCGATGCACCTGGTAGTTGGAATAGGCGCGCTTCAAGCTGGCCGTGCTGAGCACCTTGCTGGACTTGTCCTGCTCGGCAATGATACATTGGTATAGATCGAGAACGTCCTCAAAGGCGGCGTTCATGCCCTGACCATAGAATGGGACAATGGCGTGTGCAGCGTCTCCAACCAGGGTGACGCGATGCTCGAGGGACCATGGGTAGGTTTTGACAGTGACGAGAGAGCATGTAGGATTGAGCTCCCAGTCCTCCAAGAGAGTTGGCATGAGTGCATGAGCGTCTGGGAACACTCTCTTAAAGTACTCGTCCACCTTTGGGAGGGAGTCGAGCGCGGCAAAGCTGTCAGTCTCGCCATCGAATGGGAAGAACATGGTACAGGTGAACGATGCATCGATGTTTGGCAAGGCAATCATCATGAAGCTGCCACGTGGCCAAATGTGCAGCGCATTCTTCTCGAGCAGATATGTGCCGTTTGGTCCGGCTGGGATGCATAGCTCCTTGTAGCCGTGAGCCAGATACGACTGGGAGTACTCCTGGCGATCCTGACGGGTCAATGCTTGGCGGATGGCCGAGAAGGCACCGTCAGCGCCAATGATGGTGTCTGAGTGAACGGTGTTGCGCTCGTTGGTCGTGTTGTTGACCAGCGTGAACTGGTTCTTGCGCAGGTCGACATCCTTGCACGCGACGTCGTAGTGGAACTTGACCTTGTCGGAGGAGTTCTTCTCGGCGTAGTTGCGCATCTTCTCGTTGAGCAGTTGTCGCGAAACACTGAGCAGATGCTTGTTGGAGTTGGACGAGTAGGGCTGGAAGCTGGTCTGCGAGTCGATTGTGTGGATCATGCGGCCGCGCATTGGGATCGAGATGCTGTCGATCTCCGACATGAGACCGGCTTCAGTCAGTGTCTTGATGCCACGATCGGACAATGCCAAGTTGATCGATCTTGCTCTGTTCACCAACGATGTAGCGTCGTTCTCTCTTGGTCGCTTCTCATAGACATTAATGTTTGAGTAGCCTGCATTAGACAACAACACAGACAATGCACAACCTGCAAGACCTGCTCCAACAATTGATATTGACTCTACTTTATCTGTCATTCTTCTTAACATATATATGTATGTAATATAAGTAGTATATGTATATGTATGTATGTTTGTTTAAGGATATGAGTTGTGAGTTGATGATGCAAGGCGACTTCAAGTTCCCGAACAAGATTGCAAAGGGTGAGTGGAAATTTCGTTGAAGATTCGTGTTTGGACAATGGAAGCCTAAAGAGGAAACAAAGGTACAAAGACGACTTCCATCATGGAAGTTGGATGATGTTTACTGGATGTTGACACATGTGAATGACTACATTAATACCATATTTGGAAAGAGAGAGTATACCTTGGATGAACATGGATGGCCGCAGCGAGGCCAGAGAGGCCTTCCATCAATCCTCGAATGTTACAGTACAATGTGATGCACTAGTTGTTGGAATCTCTTCCTATATCTTGCTGGATCGATTGCTGATAGTTGTGACTGAGGTAAGGAAGGAGGGATATGGATGTGTGTGTCAGTCAAGAGTGAACAAGTGATGTATGAGTGGCGGAATGACTTACAGATTCATGTACCAATGACTTGAACATGTTCTCATACTTCTTGCGGAAGTCCCATGAGGTGAGGATGTCGATGATGGCAATGAAGTATACTTCCTTCTTGTCAGACGACAGGATGCCGCCATAGTGTTGCTGGAAGATAGAACTCTTTCCAATTGTGTTGTTGGCGCTGCTGCTGTTGGACTTGAAGAATCCTTCATCCAGCATATCGATAATGTCACGTGATGACGACTCTGGATTGTCAGAGTCCAGTGCCAATGGAGAGAACTCATCGATGCGATGCACACCCACCAACAGACTGTAGTCGCATATGTTGTTCGATTCGAGCAGCATGGTGTCATGCTCAATCTGCTCCATGAGTGCCGCCTTGAGCTCGGGTCCAATGTGTAGCTTTCGCTTAAAGTCCAAGTCCTTCAGGGCGACCTCGGCAATGTTGGCAGGGTTGTCCTCGTCCTTGACGTGCTCGACGTGTCGTCCGATGGTAGATCCCTTCAGATCGTACTTCTCGTGGATGGGCAGCGGCGTGAAGAACAGATTGTTCATGACGATGAACCTAAAGTCCTTGGTCTTCATCATGCTGTAGCAGCCCAATGTCTTGGCCAACAGACTGTTGGGATGGCGCTCCAAGTGCTGCACATAGGCCGGCAGTATGGACTTGAGAACGGCCTCCTCATTCTGCGGGATGGTCTTGAGAAGGTAGCGGCCTTCGTTCGAGCGGAAGAACATACTGCCACTGCGCCCACTCGACACGACCTCGCACAGCACGGACAGGTTGCCCATGAGCAGGTTGCCAAAGATCTTCTCGGGTCCGAGCGTGAACATGTAGTACTTGGGGTCGATGCCCAGACGATCGCGCACCTTCTTGAAGGGCAGTGGAGAGCAGTCGCGGAACGTCCACCCATCGTACTTGAATTCAACGACCACATCGTAGTCCTTCTGCTTGAGCTTGCGGGTTGGTAAGGTCAGCGCTTCGCCAATGGCCTTTCTGATGCCGATCATGATGTACTGCATCGTCAACCAGTTGTCGTGGCCCAGTGTGATCTCCTTGCCCTCGAAGCTCATCCACTTGGACATCTGGTTCTGCTCCTCTAGGCTGTTGTTCTCGACGACTCCCAACGACTGGACATAGTGTGAGTGGCGCAACATTGCGATGCGGTAGTCCTCAAAGTAGATACGTCCATCAAAGTTGAGCTTCTTTGTGAACTGGTCGTCATATGATGGCTCTGTTGTTGACGTTGACGTTGTTGTCGAGTGCGCCACTGATTGATTATAGTATGATGATATGTCTGGCATACTCATTGAGCCAAGTGTGCTTAGAATATGCGCTTGTGATTCGGGTTCAGAGTCTGGTTCTTGCTCTTGCTCTTGCTCATGATCATGGTGATGGTCATCCTCCTGTTCTTGATCATGTTCATGCTCTGGTGAGCCGATGGTTGAGAGGACAATAGGATCCAATGATCCACGATGTTTGCCAATGCGCGAATCCACTGACAGGCTCTTGGTAAGTTTGCCAGGTTGGTAAGGTGATGTAGGTTGTTGTGGTTGTACTGGTGGCGGTGATTGAATCGATTGATGTATTTGTGATGTTGTTGGTGTACCAACGTTGTTTGGGTTTGGTGAGAGGCCATAGGGCTCTCTCCTCTTGAATACAATGGTCTTGGGGAATATGGTACATATGAACACGGCCGGTGAGACACTATTGATCTTTAAGTTGGCCAAAGAGTGGAAGATTGATTGAAGTATATTCAGGAACTCGCGGACTGTGACGTAGCCCAACTTGTTTCGATCCAACATGTTGAAGGCAACTAATTGTCATTGATTGATTATTAGTTAGTGGGGAGTGGGTGAGTGATGATCAATCGGACATACATTGAACTTGTTCTTCGAATGAGGCATTCTGTAGCAATGATACACCGTTGAGGAAGTCTTTCAAATCCATCTTTCCATCCATGTTGGTATCGAATGATTGGAATATGGCATCAGCAAACTCTATTGCATCGCTGATCATTGGTCCAAGGCAATCACCAAACTCCTTCTTATATAGATAGCCCTGTTGATCCTTATCCAATGTGTTGAATTGATTGTACAATCCTTCCAATCTCTTTCTGCTAACTGATAGATTGATTGATAGAGTTAGTGAGTGGCCACAAGCATGCAAAGGACATGTGACTTACTTGAATGTCTGTGAAGTGGCTTGGAGATGTTCACTCTGTTGGCTTTGAGGAACTCGTCGACAGAGTCAGAGGGTGTTTGTTTCTCGCAGGGCTCGGTAAGGGTTGCCTTCTTCTTGCACTTTGGATGTACACAGTAGCCACACACCTCGCATGCAAAGCCCTGACGTCGTATGCCCCAGAGGAAGTAGCCACACAATGAGCACCAGACCGGTCCCTTAAAGTCCTTGAGCACAAATACATGTGGATAGAAGCCTGTTGCGCTTGTCTGCTGTTGTTGTTTGTCTGTCGTGGCCTTGTTCTCGATGATGTCTTGCACGACAGTCTGTTCGTTGACTTGTTCGTCGTTGTTGTTGTTGTTGTTGTTGTTGTCTGTGTTGCTTGTTGATGTATCTGTGACTGCCTTCACTTCCTGTGCTGTGTCGTTGGTCGGTTCGACGTGATCATGGTCGCCCTCATGCTCCAACTCATCTGACTTTGATTGCCCGGTCAGTACGAGCAACAGGTCAGTCTGTCCAGTCTTGCGAGCTGCATCCAGTGCGCTACCGGTGGCACCTCCAATGTTACAGTCGGCACCATGTTCAACCATGAGTGTGGCAATGTTTGTATTGTGTCCAATGATTGCAAAGTACAGTGCGGTCTCACCACGCTCATTCTGAACGTTGAGATCGGCCTTGTTGTCCAGCAGGAACTGGACCACCTGGGTCGAGCCAAAGTATCCGGCTCGATGCATTGCTGTCTCGCCGCGTATAGTCCTGGCGTTGATGGGCGTCCCCCTACTCAGCAGCAATGAGAGCAGCTGTGTGAACTTGCCGACCTCAGCCTCAGAGAAGGTGTGTCGCGCTAGATAGTGTAGAGGGAGCGTGCCGTCCTTTGATATCGTCATCACCGCCGCGTTGCCCTGCTCGACAAGCAGACGGCATACGTCAAGGTTGCCCGCGTACGCAGCAAAGTGTAGCGGGGACCAGCCCTGCTTGTCCTTGACATTGACGTCGGCCTTCTTGTCCAATAGATACTTGATTAGCGCCATGTCCATCTTCTCGACGGCCAGATGGATGGGACGCATGCCTGTGTGATCATCCATCCATTCGACCCATTCATTGCTGGGGAACTCGCTTGAGAACACTCTCTCCAATATTGTTATAGGGTCGTGATGGTACAACACATTGAACAGCTTGGCGACATGACGTTGCACTCCAATACGTATGTTTGATGATGGCTTTGACGCCTCGTCCAGAGATGAGACAATCGAGTTGTTTGATGGGATACTATGTTGTTGTTGTGGTTGTGTTGATGTAGTATCTTGATGTTGCTGTTGCTGTTGTTGTTGTTGATGTTCTTCAGTATGATCAGTGAACATGGTCATCTTCTTTGCCAACTTCTTGAATAGATGTAGTAGATATCGCTCAGAGAAGTGTGATAGACCAGTCTTCTCAACCTTGTCCAGATAGACAGCCATTATAATGGCCCAGTGCTCGATGATCTCATTATAAGATGAACTATGTGCTATGAGGTAGCCATTTGCATAGCCACCTTCGACCAGCAATAGAATACGATACTTTGCAGCCCACCAAAGTGGACCACCATATCTCTGTAATACAAATGTCGGTGTACTGAACAGCTTGTCATCCAACGATGACCAGAACAGCCAGTTGCTCGCTGCCACCGGTGGACAGATGGTCATCCTGTCCTGTCTTGTCTTGTCTTGTCAAGTAAATCTAGAGAGTCACCACCTCTTTAATGATTGATTGATTGATTGATTGATCGACAGTTTTGTGTGATTGATTGATGTACTATTGTAAATAAATATATATAATATATGTTACTACAACTATTACTTGTTAGGGAATGAGTACAATAGTGGGTGCGATACCTTCTCCTCAAACATTTGAATGAGTCAAGGTAGTGTACCACACCAACAACGCGACAAATCACTTTATTGTTTGATAACTTTAGTGAATTATACAGATAAACTGAATAATGAACGACTTCTCTCATTATCATTATTTGATTAACTTGTTGTTTACAGGTATCTAGACACATATCAATCATTCAGTATCCTCGATGAATGAATGGAACGATTGAATTTATTGAGCAACTGCGTCCGCTACGGGAGGACGGAGGATTGAGAATAACTTGATTGATACTTTGTTCATCTCTTCATTGCATAGTATGGGTGGTATTGTGCTGGCACTGTTGCATAGATTGCATCTGGTCATCTGTGGCAACAGACTAAGGAGTAGTCTAAACCTCTGATCAGGTTTGCCCCCGCCAAGTATCTGATTCAAATGCTCCGACTTGCTCGTGCTGAAGAATTGATGTGTCTCCTCGCCATTGAGCAACAGACACTCCTGGAGATGCAGCAATGACAGCAGGAATGAGTACATCTGTGTGATTTCATTCTGTTCGGCACATATCTGGATTGAGTCAATCAGACGATTCTCCAATCTTGGACGCCTGGCTGACGCATCATCCTCGTACGCATCAGTGCTGTTGTTGAGTGTGTTCACTTGAAGTCCTTTGAAAAGTACACTCATCCAACCTCGCGCCATCATTGTTATTGTCTGGACGATTGAGTAACACTTGTCCGTGCCCATCAGGAGGTTTGTCCACCATTCCGAGTTCTTGATATGCTGCATCCATGGTCGACTTGGTGCCTCATCGCTCTGCTTCGATATCCAATCTCGATAGAAGTATCTAAACACTATATTCACTCGCTTGATGCTGTACAGGTAGTTCTGCCAATGGAATAAGTAGAACTGTATCAATGGGCGACCATTCTCGACATGTGTCGACTCGGCCAACACGTTGGTCAGATGTTTGTGGCAGCATTCCACCAGGATGCGATAGAGGTTGAGGGGCGGGATGGAGAAGTCCTTGCGATTATAGTTGACCATGCACAACTCAAACACATTGGTATACATCGACATCAATGCCTTTTGATTGAACTCCAAGGGGAAGGCTATGAGCGTGGACAAGAGATGGTAGAACTCTTCAATGCCGCCAAATTGTGACATCATCTTGCGCTCTTGATACAACAGCTTCCAGAGTAGTCCTTGCGAGTCCCGCTGATTGGCATGATGATGTATGATCGTCGGAGTGAACAGACGTGTGTTGTTGGCGACGATGCTTGGCTGCAGATTGTGATGCTCCTCCATCGTGATGAATGGCTTGCCCTTGCGCTCCATCTGGCTCTGCCAGTATTGGTTATAGATCTTGATGTAGAGGGGCGTCGAACTGGACTGGCAGCGAACGAGCAGCTGTCTAAACTCGGCGTCGGACAACTCCACCATCGACTTGTCACGATGTGGCATCGTGATGACATTCCATCGTCGCAGGTACAATGGTTTCCACAAGAAATTATCCATTGATATCTTGTTCAAATAGCGACTGACCATTGACACGCTGACCAGGTCACGCTCGTATAGGTATACCATAATCAATACCCATACCTCTATTGGTAATAATTCAGAGTCATTCAACTCTGTCATTATTACATCTTCTATTTCTTTATCTTGTTGTTGTCGTTTATCATCCAATCCTGATAATAATGTTGAATTGATCTCGGTTGGTGATCTTATCGTCATATGAGTAATCCAATCCAATTGTAAATCCATTATTTATATTATATTATATATTATATAATTAATAATATTTTTAAACATAAATACTAATTTAATGTATACATTTAATTACTTGTTGTATATGTTTATGTTTATGTTCTTAATTGATGTTGTTGGATTATGATGATGTTGATGTTGATGATGATGTTGATGGCCACAATGCATACAATGCTATTAATTGCTCTTTATTTGTTTGATCACATGAGTGAAACATAGATACAGACATGTAGGATAGAGAGAGAGAGAGAAGAGAGTGAAGGTAGGAGGAGCGAAGATGTAAGTCGGATTCGGATGATGTTGTTGTTGTGTGAGTGGGTCAGAGAGAGAAGAGAACTTCTCGGTGAACTAACACCCCTATAAGGGTGTGTTTGAGGTTGGTTGGTCAGCTGCTGTCCAACAACAAAGAATGGGGTTGAGTCTACGATCCACCTTTAGAAAAAGCACAGTGTGTACAATGCTCAATACACACACTTACATTCGATCTAGGCTTGATTGTAGTTGTAGTTTGTTGCGATGAGCTCTTCATCACTCTTTATCTCGACCAAGAGTATATACTCTTACATTACTTATTGTAATAAATAAATAAACAAACACTTTGAAAAGGTCCACTGATTGTGTTTGTTACACCAAAGTGATTTCATTGAATTGTTGAAAGAGGGAGGTAGCCTGGGGAAAGATCGTGTCCTTGCTTGTTCTCAACATTCATTCATTTGGTTGAAGTTGAACTCAACACTTTAAGAAATAGATAGAGATAGAGATAGAAATGGACACAGCGATACAGAGTAATATTGCAAACCATATATATATGATTGAGGATAGTTATGTAGATGAGAGAATCAAAAGAATTGAAAGGACTACCAATTGGAACGCTGATCATTATCTTGCTTTGCGACTACATCTATTGAGACAGAAAGCAACCGATTCAAAGTTAATCGTTAGAGTGAGTATCGGTGTAGCATCCATCATTCTTTCGTCAAGTTTACTTACTCAATCAATCAATTAACAGGACGATGGAGACAGAAGGGATGACTATCTTAATATCCGATTCAATCTCCTTGAATCAAAGTATAGAAAGGCCGAGTATGTTCAATCACTCTTAATAAATGCTGGTGAGCTTGTTACTGACACAATCAATCAAACACACATATTAGGAATGGTCAAGCAAAGAAGAATAAGAGAACCATAAATACAATATCACCTGTGTCGACTCCTCCAAAGACATCGATGTCAACTACTACGACGACGACGACAACAACTACTACAACAACACCACCGAAACAAGCGCAAACACCATCACCAATAGCGACACCACCATCTACTCCTTCGAAACCAACGACATCCACTACTACGACGACGACGACATCAAGTCCATCAGTTATGTCACCAACAAAGAGTACAACAGCGAACACATTGCCTTTAAACGACTTCTCATTCTCTGGCATTCATCATATATTTGACAATCACAAGAAGGCTTTGTCCAGGATCAGATACGCCAACAATGACAAAGAGTTGTTGGCCTTCTCCTCGGACGACACCACCATCTCACTCTGCAAGTCAATGTCAAACCCATCCATACTCTCCATTCTCAAAGGCCACAATGCACCAATCATCGGTATGTCTGTCAAGTTGCATGCTTGCATTCTTGATCCATTGATCACTAATACGCTCTCATATTGATAGACTTTGTATGGATGGCCAGCAATGAATACTTGACATCTATATCACTGGACTCTAGCATGATTGTTTGGAGTGTAAAGTCATTCAAGGCGGATCGTGTTGTCAAGGATGCAGGAATCTGTAACTGCATATGTACCAATCCATCAAAGAACAACTTGGTGTTTGTCGCGGACAACAAACATCTGATCAAGACCTATGACCTTGCCTCTGGAAAATGGGTTGGCAAGTGCAAGACCGCCTCAATAGTCTCATCAATGCAGTTTGAATCACGAGGAAACTACTTGTTCGTTGGAGATGACATTGTAAGTATGATGGATGGGTGGTCTATCGGCCTAGGACACTCACTCACTCTGATCATGTTCAATCACAGGGATACCTCTATATTTATAAGTTCGAGAAGGATATCTTGACACCAGTGTCAAAGGTACAGGTGTCCAAGTCAAAGATAACATCGACCCAATTACAGTATTGGCAACTTGGACAGAAGTTGTCATTGTCAATCCTTATCAACTCTGTGGACAATGTGATGCGAGTGATCAGTGTGACCAACTTGCAAGCTGGTACAGTATCCGTGGTCAAGGAGTATGCAGTCAATATCAAGACATCAGTACCATCTCAGATTGTTAGGAGTGAGTTTTGTCCATCACTCAAGGGACGTGATGGCCTGTTCTGTGTCAGTGGAACATCAGATGGTGCCATCAGCATCTACGATTGTCTAAGCAAATCCAAGTCGCCAATCAATCACCTCGTGGGCCATGCCTCGCCCGTGGTCGACATCGACTGGAACGCCGACGAATCCCTCTTGTCCAGTGCCGACGCGTCTGGAGTTGTAATCATCTGGAACAGGAAGGCCAACATCAGCAAGTAATAACAACCATGATATGATTGTAGGAGCGTGATCGAGCAAGCTAGCTAGCTTAATAGCCAATGTATTTTTTGATCGATGATAACCAGTTGGCACCCGAGTTGCCAAGTGAATGAATGAATCGTTGACTGCTAATGCCAAGGCTACCAATATATGGTCCATACGCCTTTGATGTGTTGAGGTAGGCAAACAAGAAGGAAGCGCCCAACACCAGCAGGCCCAGAACATAATATCTATAATGGCTCCTCTTCTGTTGTTTACCATGTATCGATATCATCCAGTTGAATGGATAATTGGTCATTGGTGATCTAAATTATTGATTGATTGATTAACAGGTGCTCATGATTACGCACAGTTAGTGGATACATACTCGATGGATAACTGAATATCCGCTCGCTCTTGAAGTTTCTTTGGAGGTATCTTGTCATAGAGCTTCTGTGTTTGTTGAATAAGTAGGTCCAGAGGCAGATCATCTGGAAGGTTGGAGAAGTAATGATGTACAGTGTCATAAGCACATTCAAGTTTCAACAAGTCTTTCTTGAGATAGGTAATTAACTGGATTGGAATGGAATGGGATGGAATGGAGAGGGATTAGATTAGATAAGTGTTTGTGTATGGTCCAGGTGATGCCAGTCCATTGATTGAGAGTGATCGTACAATTACAGAAAAGTACAAGGGAATGAGTGGATGTGATGCCAAGAAGAAGTCAAAGAGTCTTGCAGTTGGTTCCAGCTCTTCAAAGTTGTGAGCGAACCATGTGATCAGCCAACTGATCGCAAACATTGGTTGAACTTCAGAGTTGACAATGAATTGATGTGTCTAATGCAAAGAGGTAATGAAATGTTAGGTTCATGAATGAAGGTTGGCGTGATGACACACTTACTTGTTTGTCAACAAAGGATAATAGAGGAAATAGGAGATTGAGTATCTTTGATACCTCGGAGAATGATGGTCGCATACTGTCACCAATATGATTCAGACTGAGTCTCTCGAGCATGGCGAATGACAGTCGCTCATTTGTGACCATCAATAGGATACTACCTATCTCATGGTATCCTTGGAAGTAGTGCAGTTGTGGATACAGTGACAGTATGGCATTGATGATCCTTGTCAACTCTGCTCGTTTCTTCTCTCTTAGCTTTGATTTACCCTTTGTAAATCTCCACATTGATCGCTCTACATCTTTGGTGACCTGATCTGTATCTTTATGCTCGATGATGGCACCTTCATGGATGAGTAATGTAGTGTAAGTATAAAGACTTGGTATGTCGGACATACTAAACAACGAACGTACTCTCATGATTTATAATCTTGCTCTGATTGATATCCAGTAGGATTGGCCATACTGAGGTTCTAATGTCATTGTTTACAAACCCAAACTCTGTAACTGAACATCGTCTCAATCCTTCTACATCAACCTGTGTTTGTATAATGTTAGGCCAATCAATGGTATCGATCGATCAACCAATTGCTCCTCATCTATCTATGTACGTACTGGTACTCTCTGTAAACATTGTCTTATAGCAGTGATCTTCTTAGCCTTCTTCCTATCAACTTCAGTTATGACTGCCTGTTCAACTGACATGTTTATTGTTGTTGTTGTTGTATCTATATGTATATATCTTCTGTCTGTCTGGTCAATCAATCTTTGGAATTAATGAATGAATGAAGTTGAATGACTCACAAGTTCAAGTGCGTTTTTCGAAACAAAGACATCAACAACTTGGAAGTGAGGTGGAGGAGGCGATGACGAAACAAAGACAACACTCTGGGGGCTGGATGAAGGGTAGACTGGACATGTCCTTCCAACTTTATTAAATATATCAATAATACATGTGATGTTATGTTAATGTTATGTGATGAGTGAGAGTGAGATTTGGTTATGATGATATGATCGTCGTCATGTTGGTCAGGTGTTGGTTTGATTGATTGATTGATTGAAATTGGTTAGATGAGCTGGATATTGGTATGGATGAATGATTGATTGATTGATGTTATACACTCATCTTTTGAGTGTGATAATGATGATGATGATGTTATCGCAAAAGTTAAAGGCCTTGATGACTAACGGTGTGTTGACCAAAGAAGAGGAAGAGGCTTACAAGAAGTAGTCTGGCAGCTCCTTGGTTGTGTCTTGTGAGGGCTTGTTATGTAGACTCTCTGGAGCTGCTGAATAGGTGTTGAAGTACTGCTCAAATGATTCGTTGATCTCTAATATCGATGCCATGTTGCCACAGCGATACGAGTAGTTGGGCGCACTCCAAATAGTAGACAACGTCCTCTTAAATAGCACCTGATATCCATCCATGCACAGTTGATGTGCTCGCAATATATGATGTATCTTGTTAATCTGTAAGAACTTGGCCACTGTATCTTGACCAAACGTGTAACCGGCACCTCTGTATATGATTGATGTGAGTGATCGGTGAGTGACATGTACATGGCACATGGGCCTTTGGACTCGTGACCTTACCTTTGTGACTCGACAAAGCCATCACGATCAGGGTCGGGGTCTGACCACATGATGTCAGCAAGGGGACCCTCGTGTGGTACCTCTTGGAAACGATCCAGGACTCGGATCTGATCGATGGATGGTGCTGAAGGCGAGAGACCTCCGTGCACACAGTATATGGTCTCTTCGATGATGGCTGCCACGGGCAGATAGTCAAACATGTCGGTGAAGTACTTCCAAACGTTGGCATTGCCGTACTTCCTCATGCACTCGCCGTAGAATCCATAGACCTGTGTGATCTGTCGCGACTCGTGATTACCTCTGAGCAGCGTAACCCTCGATGGGTAACGCAACTTCAAACATGACAACAAAGTGATTGTCTCCACACTATGATATCCTCTGTCAACATAATCTCCAAGGAACAAGTAGTTTGTATCTGGGCACTTGCCTCCAATCTTGAATATCTCTAATACATCGTAGAATTGGCTATGAGGGTTGAGGGTCGAGGGTTGAGGGTTGAGGGCGAGGGTTGAGGGTTAGGGTCAGGTCATCATGCTCATCATCATGTTATGTTGACATACCCATGTACATCACCAACTACTGTTACTGGAGCCTTGATTGATTGTACGTTGGTCTCATTGATCAACAACTCTTTCATGCGATCAGTGATCTCTTTGACTGTGCTCTCTGAGAGTATCTCGCATTTATGCAGTTTCTCAATGCAATGATCCAAGTTCAATGTTGACATCTCTATATATATATCTGTGTCTACTGTGTTGTGTTTATCTGTTTGAATGAATGATGAATATATATCTAAGATCAAAGATGTAAGTGTGTGAGTGTTGGTGGTTTTGTGATCAAAATTTGATTAGTTTGTTTGATTGTGAGTGTGTTTGGGCGAGGTCCACTCGATATTTTCAAAGTATGAATCTGATCATAGTTGTAATTAATATATTAATATAAATGGATAGATTATCAAGTGTATTACTTGGTGAAATATGTAACAAATTGATCAATCCAATTGATCGTTTGTGTATGACATTGGTGTCGAAGACATTGTTCCAGCGTAAACATCAATACTTGACATTCAATGTAGATCATTTGTTGTATTGGAGAAATACTGGACTTGGTTATGACTATACTCAGCCAGTTGGTGATGTGGCTGCTATTGAGTGCGGTCCATTGATTGACACGACATCGTCACGCACCTCAATCAGACTTCCCGGCAACAAGTTTCGCTCGTACAACACGCAGATACTAAAGTCGTTGCAGACTACGCCTGGATTGGTCATCCTGAGCCTGGACGAGATGGATGACGAGTTGGTCATACCGGATGATGCCAACATTGTCAAGTTGGTGATCGTCGCGCCAGAGAGGGACACCATATCCACACTCATACTTCCATCGCGTGGTCTCCCTCGATCAATCACTCACTTGGAGATCAAGTCGTATGGACTTCGACGTGCACAGAGGATATCGATCCTCAACATGTCCGCGCTCTCAATCACCCGTCTCGACATTAGTTCTATCCACTGTGTTGGTGATCTTATACTTCCATCGACGATCACTCATCTGGATGTTGATCAGTACAGTAATGTGCCAATCACAGCTATTCCAACATCGGTAACATCACTAAGTATTCCACCACATAGTGATGCCAACTTCTTGAATGTCGGTTTCATTCAAAGATTGAAGAGCTTAAGAACACTAAAGTTGGTTGGACGCAGCATGTTTCATACGTGCATCACTCAGTTCAACTTGATCGGTGTGAGCCCATCACTTACCCATCTACATCTCGGTGATCGGTTCAAAGCGATAATCATGCCTGGCGACCTCCCGTCCACCCTCCGCCACCTGTCCTTCGGCACATACTTCAATCAACCTTTGCCCGTTGGATCCATTCCAGACTCGGTAGAGACGCTATCATTTGGACAACATTTCAATCAATCACTCAATTGTATTGGAACTATCCCAAACTCTGTGACCTCACTCACACTTGGCTTCATGTTTCAACAAGATGGTAATGATCAATCATCGTATAGCGAGCACATAGGTCAGTACATCTATGATCTCGAGTTCATCCCACCATCAGTCACATATCTGTCACTAGCAGGTGACAACCTACATACATTGGATACACTACCAAAGACTGTCCACACACTATACCTTCGCTTCTTTAGTTACAGCCCCGATTTAGACATCCCAACATCAGTGACCCGTCTTGAATGGAGTGTTCCAGGTCGTAGCGTCCAACTCATGACCAAGCTCACACCATCAATCACCTCACTATCACTACATTTCAACTCCATCCCATCAACCATACTTTTATCCAACATCCATCCTAGTCCAACCCCAAGTCCAACAAACCCAGTTCGACTTGTCGAGTCCAACAATATAGAGTCGTACAGTGAGGGCGTCACAGTGTATGGTAGAGTGATTGATGGTGACACGGTAGTGGTGCTCAGCTCAGACTTTAGCCGTGGTGGATTCGTTTCCCTGAGCCAACTGCACAAACATGTGCATCCATTGCTACCAGACCTGCTCAGTGCATTGTTCGTCTGTCCAAGCCGATCATTAGTTCTCCACAATCGATTCCCTCCAGCACCAGGCACCATCTACAATGTCGAAGAGTACGAAGAGGTCGAGTTCATGTTTGACTATTGACTCTTGTGGCATCGTGTGGTCTGTTCGTGTGATCGATCACATTTGGTGTTTGTGTGTGTGACTCTTGTGTGTCCCCTCGATCACTCAACTCTTTTTCATTCTCAAACACCAAAGTGATCAAAAAAGTCAAATAATGATCGAGCAAGCATCGGTGTGGCTGTGTCTTGTGATCAAAGATTCATTGAGCACGTGGGGCAAATACTTTGGAGACAGACACAAAGACATAGCACTCTATTTATATTTATAAACTTATAATCTTGGAATATAACTACTTATTATCTCTTCTCTTCTTACACATACATACATTCATTCACAGAATACACATACTACATACTACTACATTGAGATAAACAACAAAATGCCTTTGGCTGATTATATATTAGATGGAGAGTTGGGAAGGTATGTTCATTGTCATTGTCATTGTCATCACACAAGGTATACCTTGTTCAAGCATCATGATACTAACAATCCACTCCACTCACTTCAACAACATTAATGTCTATAGAGGTGCATTCTCAATTGTCTACCGCGTCATTGACAGAAAGTCAAAGAAGGAGTTTGCCATGAAGGTCATCGATAGGAAGTCATCATCAAAGGCAGCACTCCAAACAGAGATTGAGATCATGAAGAAAGTCAGTCATCCAAGTAAGTAGTTAGTAGTGATCATTCATTCAATCAATCAATCAATCGATCATATACTCACTCACTACTACCAGATATCGTAACGATGCATGAATACTTTGAGTCGACAGAGAAGATCTACTTGGTCGTGGAGTTGGTGACAGGTGGTCAGCTATTCGATAAGATTATGGAGAAGAAGTTCTTCTCAGAGAAGGAGGCAAGAGTGATTGTCAAGCAGTTGTTAGAGTCATTGCAGTATCTACACAGTGTTGGAATCGTACACAGAGATCTCAAGCCTGAGAACCTATTACTAAAGAATGAGAAGGATCTCACCATTGCCCTCTCGGACTTTGGTCTCTCCAAGATCCTGGCAGACGATGTCTTTATGAAGACAACATGTGGAACACCATCATATGTTGGTAAGTCCCTCTAGATCGTTGATTGATTGATCTGAAACAAGTACCCTAACCTTGAACCCAAACAAACAGCACCAGAAGTATTGAATAACATTAATAACGCACCGACTGCGTATACTGAGGCGGTTGACATGTGGTCTGTAGGAGTGATTGCCTATATACTTATGTGTGGCTTCCCTCCCTTTTACAGCGATGACATTAGGAAGCTGTTCGAATCGATCATGGCTGCCAGCTACGACTTCCCAGAGAAGTACTGGAAGAACATCTCCAAGGAGGCCAAGCACTTTGTCAACTGTTTCCTCACCGTCGATCCAGCAAAGAGATACACTGCCAAGCAGGCACTCGAGCATCCATGGTTAACATTGGTAAATATTAATGAATGGACATGAGTTTGATAGATTGATTGATTGACTAACATGGATGATGATATGATGTAGGCTCCACAATCAGCACCTCTACCACATTGGAATGATCAGATCAAGAAGTATGTTGTGATTCGCAGAGAGGAGAGCAAGAAGTTTGGCGCAGAGTTGGTGTTCAACACGAAGCTGGCACAACCAACTACACAGTCTTAAGGTTCAAGGCAGTCCTGGTCCAGTCCTGTCCAGTGTAATATTACCAACATACATACATACATACATGTATCCAGTCATGTGATTGATTAATTGATTGAGTGAGTGAGAGAGCAATAAACTATCTCCCCTTATACATGTATATTATATTATATTATATGGATTGATTGATTGATTGAATGATTGAATGATTGAATGATTGATGGACTGGTATGTATTCGAATACATTCCAGGCAGTGAGGATGATTGACCAGGATTGATATATTACTTCCAGATCTCAACGTCATCCTTTGAATAGTGCTTCTGTCTGTCCACTATTCTCTTGCCACCAAGGTGACGCATGGCCTCTGCGTAGGATTGAGGAAGGACTCTCTTTGGCTTGTCTTGTACAGACTCCTTGCAAATGAATGTGAAGTTGAATGTGTTGGACAACTTCTTCTCGGGACCGCCTTGTAGAGGCACGGACACATATGCAAAGACCTCGACCTGTACATAACTAATGTCCTCCACGGTCTCGGTGTAGACAATGGTGGCCTCCAGTGTGAGGATGTTGCCAATGTCCACGGGCAACAGGAATGTGATGTCGTCCATGCCGAGGAACTGAGGAATGGAGCTGTTGAACTGGAGGAAGCACGTGGTGAAAGCAATCTCGAATCCCTTTCTCATGAGGTAGCCTCCGAATATGTTGCCGTGCATGTTCCTCTCCTGTGGCTGACAGAGGATGACGGTCTGCAGCGACGTGGACTGCATTGGCAGCCAATTGTATTTGGTCTTGTCGTCTTTGGATCGCATGAACAGGTCGTGGATGATCTGCAGCTCGTCATTGGTGGGTGGCACGTTGTGCAGAGATTTCTTGGCGTAGTCCAGTCTGCTGGACTTGTGCTTCTCGCCATCATCAAACTGTCTGGTCTCCTTCTCGTTGGTCGGCACCAATCTGTTGACCAGCGCAGACTTCTTGGTGAATGGGTCTCTGGCCACCATTGTGAAGTAGGCCACGAGCAGTCCCTCCCACTGGCCCGTCTCGCTATTCAATGCTCTTGCCTTGATCATGATCTCCATCGAACTCTTTCCGACCCAAGTGACAATTCCATCCATCTTGATGTCATTCTGAGGGTTCAAAGGTCTCAGCAAGTGTATCCTGTCCACAGACGCAGTGACAATAGTGTACACCTTCTCCTCAGTAGTGTCCTCAGCATGTCTATGTGTGATAGGATGTGTCAGCTAAGATTCACGTTGGGCCCAACGAGGCAAGGCACGACGACATTGACATACTTGTAAGAAACAGTTCCAGCGAGAGCATCGAGATCCTCGAGAAAACGACCGACACGGAGATGTCCGTAGGGACTGAGGTACATCTCACGAAGTTGGAGATCAGTGTTGAAGTGCAGGTAGATCTCTGTGTAGCTCTCTTGAGGTGCCTTGTCCACGAGTGACCTAGAGATGGGCTGAGTCTGATCGCCCTTGGACTTGGACTTGACATTGAACAGTGGAGTCCTTGAGCGCCACAGATGATTGGTGATCGCAGTCCTATTCATATAGGATGACTTGCTAATCGATTTCCAATCGGTCTTGCTGATTGACAGGGGATAGATCTGAACGTCGGTTGGTGTGCCAGTGACGATCAGTGTGGGCTTGGTGGCGAGGGCACGCTGCTTGTCCACTGAAGTGTCAAAGGTGATGAATGCAAAGCCTTCATTCTCTATATCATCAAACACCATCTTTATGCCATTGTTTGATATTGACAATCCTTTGAACATATCAACAATATCATCACGTGTCACTGATGATGGCAATCCTCTTATCTCTACACTATTCTGAAAGTCAATTGATTCATTCCTATCATTGATAACTTGTTGTTGTTTTGGATCTAATGTCGATGATGAAGAAGATGAGGAAGAAGAAGAGGAGTATGATCGCAACAAGCTACGAGCACCAACATTGTTATTCAACTTTGAGTTATGAGTTTGAATGAATGTTGTTGTTGTAGTTATTGGGACAACATTGTTGGTGTTGTTGTATGTCGATGAAGACACCAATCGACTGATCCTTGATAATAATGAACGAGTGAGCATTGGAGTCAGACTAACAACAAAGTATTAATAATTATGTGTGTAGAGTGAGCTTTGGATGAAGATCATAATCAGTGTGTGTCATTAGTGAGTTGGAGTCTCTTTTTTCAAAGTAATGTCTTTGACTAGCCTGGGGGGTCTGAACACTTTCCAGATCCCATCTTCACTTTGATTCAAAGAGACATGTAATTCATTGTTGCATTATTACTACTACATCATCATAATTCATACAATACGTAATCATACTTTGATGACCAGTACAGCAATGAAGATGATGGATACTTTACATGTCACCAACAGACATGGCCCAACCTTTAAATATCAACATCCAACCGTCACCAACAACAACATAACAACATAACATAACATAACAACATAGATACAAACTAATATATATTACTAAATAATGTCTGATAATCCTAAACGTATTAAATGGTCCTCACCAGCTGAGGATGAAGAACGAGCCAATAATAGAAAGTTGATTATTGGATTGGCAATTGGTGCAACTGTTGGTGTTGTGGCATTGGCACTTATAATGCGTTATAAGGTGGCAGCACCACATCAGTACTTGGTAAAGACTGGTCTTGGTATCACTGATATGGCCGTGTCCAAAAAGACCTTTATGTGGCCATTCCAAGAGTTGCGATACATCTGTATGAATCCACGCAACTACTCATTCAAACTGCACAACATGTCCAAGGAGAGTGTTGAGTTCCACCTGCCCGTCGTCTTTACCATCGGCCCAACCGACCCCAACCGCGACCTCGAGGGCTTCAAGAGCTACACGCGTCTGCTCTCTGACATCTCCTACGAGGACATGGCCCACACGATCAACGGTGTGATCCAGGGTGAGACCCGTATACTCTCTGCCAACATGACCATCGAAGAGATGTTTGCCGATCGCGACAAGTTCAGGAACTCTGTGCAGGACAAGATCGGAGTGGACTTGGCTAAATTTGGTCTTCAAATCTACAATGCCAACATCGAAGAGATGAGCGATGCTCAGGGCAATGAGTACTTCAAGTACCGTCGTCAACAGGCGTTGCAAGGCGCCGTCAATCAGGCCCGTGTCGCAGTGGCCGAGGCCAAGAAGCTGGGTGACATTGGAGAGAATGAGCGCAAGGCCGAGTCGAGAAGACGTATCGCAGAGGTGGAGGCTGAGACTGTCCTCGTGGAGAATGATCGTCGCAGGATGATTGCCGAGTCAGAGACGAAGCTAAAGTTGGCCCAGATCGATTTTGAAAAGTCCCAGCGCCAGTCACAGATTGAGGCAACACTTGGAGTCGATCAGAGACAGATGGAGTTGCAGAAGGAGCTAGAGATCAAGCGTCTGGACCAGCAAACTTCCCAGCACCGTGCCAATCTCATGTCCAAGACTGCGATTGATGTGGAGGCCAAGATCCGAGAGGCTGAAGGTTATGCTCAGGCCACTGTCAAGAGGGCAGAGGGTGATGCCATGGCCAAGATCAAGGCTGCTGAGGGTACTGCGACGGCCAATGTAAAGATGGCCGAAGCCGATGCCGCTGTCAAGATCAAGTCTGCCGAGGGTGAGTCCGTTTCGATCAAGCTGTTGGCCGAAGCTCAATTGGAGAAGGATCAAAAGACAGGTGCAGGTGCCAAGGCTCAACTGCTACAGGAGGCCGATGGTCTAACACAGTTCAACAACAACCCTCTTGCTCCATTCTACTTGGGTCTCAAGAGTGGACTGTACAAGGAGCTGGCTGAAGCCAATGCCAAGGCAATCAATGGACTACAGCCAAAGATCAATATATGGAACACTGGAGCAGCTGATGGTCAATCCAACACATTCTCACCAATCCAGAACCTGTTCCAGACTCTCCCACCAATGCTTGATGTGATCCAGCAGCAGACAGACATCAAGCTACCATTCATCACCGCGACACCACCACAAACTCCATCTCCGTCTATGGCGACTGATCATAGTAACATCAACCTAGGCAACAGCAGTAGTAGCAGCAACAACAACAAGACAATCAAGATATAATATTATGTTACAATCTTTTGAATAGTATAAATAAATAGAACGAATGATTATTATTTTAAATAAGAGTTGCCAAGGCGGTCAAGATCAAGACCACAAGTGTAGAGATTGGTGATGTATGAGTAGCGCTGGATGGATTTCCAGATGTAGTAGAGGTCGATGTTGTAGTTGATATGGGTGATGTTGTTGTGGAAGTAGAAGTGGAAGTAGTTGTAGTTGAGGTAGATGATCCAGTTGTAGTGGTAGCAGGTGTGGTCTTCTGATAGACTCTTACAAAGTCAATATAGTTATATTGAGGCCATAAAGTTGTATTATCAGGAGATCCAGGCCACTATCCAGTCCAAAGTATTTAAGTTAGTCATTATTATCTCATTTCAATAAATAGTTAAAAGGACACTTACACCTCCACCAATGGCTGTATTCAATATGATATAGAATGGTTGGCTAGGTATTGGAAGATCTGGTGATGTACTGTTTATAATGTTATACACTACATTGTCCACCATACTATATATATATTACCGATAGTTAGTACCAATCAATCAATCAATCAACCATAAGTATAACTTACAAAACAATCCAGTTTGGCTCCCAGATGACAGAGTAGTTGTGATACTCAGTATTGAGTGTTGGTACTGATATTCCTTTGTTTTGGCTGACTAGGGTAGTATCATTACAATCCTTTCGATAGTTATGATGGAATGTAGCATATGATTTCAACCTTGAATTGATTGACTCCATTATATCAATCTCACCTGCATTCAAATAACATGTACCTCTTTCAAATGGTACCATCCAGAATGCTGGCCACATGCCCTGACCAACCGGTAACTTCATTGATGCCTCCACTCGACCATAAGTAACATTGAGTTTACCCTTGGTATCCAGGTATCCTGAAGTAAAGTTCTTTCCCTGAGTGTGTGATCAGGAGTTAGTGGGGGTTGGGGGATGGAATGATTCCAGATCATTGATGAATGGTGATACGCACATTGAATACTTCTTTCTTTGAGACTATAACTAGTTTGTTATCATGGATGAGTATGTTCTGTGGTGAATAGTATTCCAACTCATTGTTGTAACCAGCCCTGTCATGTATATTCCAGATTGACTTGTTGATGCTGTTTCCATTGAATTGCTCTTCAAATTGTAATGACCAATTATCATAGTTGACCTTTTGACCATATGTATATAGAGTATCCGTTGATTGAATTGTATAAACTAAAGTTGTTAACAACAAAATAAATAAAATAATATTTGTAGTCCGCATCTTAAGGTACTTATTATCTCTTTGATGTGAGTAATTGAAGATGAGTATGACGATCGCCTATTGGGTTAGGCCCTTATATGTTTGCTTCGTTCAATCCACAAAAGAGATATTTTACAACGTGATGGCTTTATTGTGTCTTCAGATTTGATGACTTTCGCATGTCGACACCATCTCCAAACCCACTATTTTTCCGATCGATCGAATTACTAATTCCGAAAGTTGGTCTTCATTGTGACACATGTTTATGATTGTTGGATTGATGAATTGTGATACAGACCAGGAGTCGATGTAATAATTTAATAAATAATGTAATGGTTTGAATTATTTAAATAAGTATGGCCAAGGTGGCGGTTGCCAAGAGGAGGACCACTAGTGGAGAGGCTGATGATGATTGAATGGCGCTGGATGGGTGGCCAGTGGTGGTGGATGTCGTAGTAGTGGAGATGGTAGATGTTGGTGCGGATGTTGTAGTAGTTGTTGTTGTTGGTGATGCTGTTGTTGTAGTTGTTGTGGTCGTGGTTGGAGAGGCGGTGGTAGTTGTGGTTGTTGGTTTGTTGGTAGTACCTGCAGATGTAGTGGAGGTAGTGGTAGGGTTGTTGCCAGTAGTAGAGGTGGAAGTAGTCGGATTCTTAGTGGTAGAAGATGAGGTAGTCGGTGTATTGGTCGTAGATGAAGTTGTAGAGGGTGATGACTTCTTTTGGTATACTCTAACAAAGTCAATGTAGTTGTACTGAGGCCAAGTGGTGGTCTCATCAGGTGACTCTGGCCACTGAGCAGTTGTAGTTTGTTAGCGAGTTGATACTAACTTATGTGAATCCTGGTCAAATATATATACTTACGTCTCCACCAACAGCAGTGTTCAGGATGATGTAGAATGGCACGCTTGGGATTGGAAGATGTGGCGAAGTACTGTTGATAATGTTATAAACAACATTGTCCACCATACTATATATTATGGAGAGTCAGTATCACAAGATGATATTAACATTCAATCAATTAATCAATTATTATAACTTACAATACAATCCAGTTTTGCTCCCAGATCACAGAGTAGTTGTGGTAGTCAGAGTTGAGTGTTGGAACAGCAATGCCTTTGTCTTGACTGACGAGGTAGTTGTCAGCACAATCAGTACGATTGTTATGATGGAATGTTGCATATGATTGCATCTCAGCATTGACAGTCTCCATGATATCAATCTCACCAGCATTCAAATAGCATTCACCCTCATCGAATGGCATCATCCAGAATGCAGGCCACATTCCCTGACCAATTGGCAACTTCATCGATGCTTCAATTCTTCCAAATGTAACATTGAGTTTATCAATAGTGTCCACGAGACCAGAAGTATAGTTCTTTCCCTGGAAGGACGGGTTGATTAAGTGATTAGAGTGAGTGAGTGGAATGATTCCAATCATTGATCGAGGTTGATATGTACCTTGTATACTTCCTTCTTGGAGACTAGGACAAGTTTACCATCTTGGATTAGGACGTTCTGTGGTGCATAGTACTCCAACTCATTGTTGTAGACAACACCACTGTCACGAACATTCCAGATAGACTTGTTTATTGTGTTGCCATTGAATTGATCCTCAAATTGCAAAGACCAGTTATCATAACTGACCTTTTGTCCATAAGTATATGTATCAACTGATTCTACAATATACATTGACAATGATATAGTCAACAACAAAGTTGATATCATTATAATATTACTTGACATGTTTGATATTTATCTGATTATAATTAATGAATGAATGAATGATTGAATGAAATAAAGAATGTCTTTAAGTCCATTTGCATTGATCATTCATTCATGTCCATCCATCGGCCAAAGTAGATATTTTTACAACGAGTTGGGTCGACCATCAGAGTGGATGGCTTGTGGAAGGGAAGGGTACCCTTTGATCACTTTGAAAAGAAACAAAGTGTGGCTTCCAACTTTAGTCCCAAATTCGTTTCCGATCACTTTTATGTTGAAGTGGACTGTGGAGAGCGTAGATACATGACGTGGGTTGTGGAAGTGATCATATGTTGGAACCTTCCAATTTCAGACGTGTAAGTGTATAACAGATATAAAGATATTTATAATTCATGCATGAATGTTGGAATGTATTATAATAATAAAAGTGATTGATTGAACATGACATGATGGTCAACTACATAATTGAACATATCCGTTTGGATTTGAATGATGGGAATGGTTCCAGTTGATGATGATGATGGTCTGATTGAGTAAGGTACCTGTAGCACTCAACATTGAGTTTCGTTTTATACTCTACCATTACTATTGAATCAAAGATGTTTGATGATTCAAGTAACTTGGTTGTAGTTGGACCAACATCACACCATGTTAACAGTTGAATACATCTATTATGTTTGGCAATGGCTCGCAGCAATGTATCTTGATAGTAATTCATAGAGATGATCAATGTTCTTAAATTTGGATGCATGGCAATTGATTTGAATAATGATGGCGTTGATTGATTGGAATGTCCATTCCACCATACTTCAACATTGAGTGATAGTAATCTTGGATGATTGTCCAAGAATGCTGCCAATCGATCATAGTCCTCAATGTCATCGGTCCATCCATGTAATGTCAATGTCTCCAATGATTGACCGTTGGTTGAGGACAAGTCGAGATGCTTCATACATCTGTTTGGCACGACAAAGTGTCTAAGACGCTGGCCAATTACACATGGATACTCGATACTTGAATCACTGAATGACATGATATTGATGGTCTCAAACTGATCCAGTGCCAGTACTTTTGATGTCTTGATCGGCGTCATATCAGTGAGTTCAAGTCGATGAATGTTCAAATGTTCGAGTGATACATTGTTCAAGAACTCCTTGAGTTCCTCAGCAACCTCATGGGCCTCTAGGAAGGTGAGTGAACGGAGGTTAGACAGAGGATTGTTGGCCAACTGGTAAAGACCAATGAGGTTGATCAGTCGTGTTCTTGTGATTGAGATTGAGTCCAACGATGTGAATAGATGTAGTTGAGGTTGGATTCGTTCAACAAACACTCTATCATCCAAGCTTAGTGATGTCATTGTGTTGCAATGTTTGGTCATGATGTCCGCAAGTCTCTCAAACATCTTGTCATGTATACGACTTCTATATTTATCTCCAACGTAGAAGTCAAAGCGTTGTACATGTCTGGTCATGGCCAAGTATTCAAGCATACTATCATTCAAATATGATTGTACATCGAACTCAAACAATATGTTTGATGAGGTCGTGTGCGACAAGAGTAGTTTGAGTATACGATCACTATGCTTGTCGAGTGGCCATTGATGATGTTGGAACTCTGTTTGAAAGAACTTGAGCTTGATGATTGTGTTGCCTTGTTGATGTTGTTGTAGCTTGTCTACAAAGAAGTTATCGCTCACCAATGACAGACTAGTATGGTACTTCTCATGAAGCAGCGCCTTGATTGGGTATATGCTAATGCTGATCACTCTTGATGTTGATAGGATGTTGAAACGATTGCATAGATGTAATAGGATGATCTCTGAATCATAGGCCAGTTGTCCATATGTCTTTAGTTTAGTACCGTCATTTAGTATTGGACTTGGTGGAAGTAGTTGAACAGGTATATTTATCACTAGATGATTGACAATATAATTGAACCAATTCCAGTTGACCAATGCCAAAGAGTATTTCCACTTTCTTGACACATACCCATCGTGCCAACATTCATTCAATATATTCTTCTGAATGGTCAATGGTATATCCATACTTTATTCATTGATTCAAATACATTTGTATTAAAATATATGTTTGATCAAAGATTTGTTGATTCAAAAAAGTAAGTAAGTGGTTTGATTTACTTCAAAATTGGAAATTATCTAGTATTTTAAAATGTGATTTGATTTGTTCCAATCTATTTAACGATCTAGATAACTAGTTTTTTAAAATGATTAATCATTTTGAGTTTTGTTTTTTTAGGGTATTTTACTTGATTTTTTTATTTTGGAACTTCATGCGCACTTTTGCCCGAGAGGTTAAGGGGCTGAGTTCAGGTCTCAGTGGCTTCGCCATCATGGGTTCGAACCCCATAGAGTGCAAAAACTTTGAATGAATGTGGTAACTTGGAACTTCCAAATGAGAAGATACTTAGATATTCAGTTGTAAGGTTGTACAACTTCTTTGAATAAAGTAGTAAAGACACACAATCTTTATCTATCCTAATACTGTTATTGTAAAAGATCTATGATGTCCCCAAACCCTCGGTTGTCCTTGTCCAAACGTCAAACAAAGTCGTGGCAACATCACCGAAACATTAATTTATACCAAAGAGAGATAGATAGATAGATAATAAGATGTCAACATTCCCTATTGACACTGTTGACAACAGTGAACATCCATTCGTTAACTTATCACATGTCTTATTACAAACAATAACAAACAATCTATATAATATCGATCGTATATGTTTCACATTCGTTTGTCAACGATGGTATCGACAAAAGGATGACTACCTATTGTTAGAGACACTTGGCGTACCAGTATCTGCAGAGATCAATGAGTTCAAACATAAGCGTGTACTAAAGTCCTATCTCAAGATCATTGAGTTCTCCCTGCTCATCAAACGTGAGACTCATCTACTGATCGCAGGCGAACAGAGTGAGATTGACATGCTCACATGGCTATCATTAGACTACATGTTATTACCTGGTATGTATACACCATCCTCTCACTTTGACCCAAAGTTTACCAATGCTAACGACAACAACAACAACAACAACAGACAAGCCTATACCATCATCTGTGACTAGACTTGAACTTGGTGATACATTCAATCAACCATTGTCAGTGTTGGAGACCTTGCCAACCTCATCAATCAGGATTATGTCCTCCAAGTCATTCAATCAACCATTGGAGGCAAAGATGTTCCCTCCAACATTGACAGAGCTGTATCTTGGAAAGTCGTTCAATCAAAAGTTGACGCCTGGATGCCTCCCAAGCACGCTAAAGTCGATAACCTTTGGTTGGGACTTCTGTCAGGACATAAACCCGGGTGTATTACCCGATGGTTTGCTTAAACTAAGGTACAGCCATCATTGGTATATCACTGTTGTACCAAACAGCATACCAAGTAGTGTGGTTGACATTGAGTACTTCCCTGTTGGATCGCTGCACCTTCTCCCCACCTCAGTGACCAGGCTTCATCTATTCCTGCTCCATGATATGACCATCCCCGTCGGTGCTATCAAGTCCCATGTTGTGGATCTAGAGGTTGGAAACTTTGCCTTCCAATTTGCCGAGGGCATGCTGCCACCAAGTCTCACCAAACTTCACATGGGCACGGTCTACAATCATCCAGTCACCAAGGGTGTCTTTCCTGACACCTTGACAGAGTTGCAGGTCAGCTCTGCCCTCAAGTATCCAATGGGCCCTGGCGTCCTCCCCTTAGGACTAAAGAAGATTCAGTTTGGCTATTGCTGGAACATTCCACTGGAGCCAGCAGACATCCCCGACAGTGTCACATACCTCAGGTTCGAAGGACAGTTTGACCAGCCCATCCATCATCATGTGCTACCCAAGAATTTGGAGACGTTACACTTTGGAGACAGCTACAACCAGATCTTAAAACCAGGTGTCCTCCCTCAGACCCTAAAGACACTGATCTTTGGCTCAAGTTACCAAAGGGTGGTACATCCAGATACATACCCTGTAGGTATGTCTACTCTCACTGTCAGGTCGTTCAAGTTCTTTGAGGTCAACAGGCCAAACGACTTGCCCAAGACCATCACGTCAATCGAAGCGTACGGTCTATACCGAACAGCCCTTCGTCGTCTGAACGATTCACTATTCCTTGGTGTTGGAGGCAAGTTCAAGAGTTCCTTCATCAGGTCCGACCATCACTTCATGGATGATGTAGAGTCAATTATCAAGATGGAAGGTATATCCTTCAGTTTCTAAGGGGAAGACGATGATGTACAGCAACAACAACAACACAACAATGACATAATAATATGGATACATCACATGGACAACGAGCTTATTATTGAATAAAATGAACGAATATCAATGGACAACGTTCTTTGTTCTGTGTCGACAATGAGTTGTACCAGTTACGCAACACTAAGATATCGTCATGTTGTCCAACACTGAGTTGTAGCAATGTCGTGGCTGTGGCTAATCTAAACTCAAAGGTGACTACAATGCGTGGATGTTTGGTTAGTATCTATTTGATTGAATGGTGGAAGCAGATATGATGGAAAGGGTAGTGAACTTACATGTATCAGCATTAAGAATCTGCTTGATGGTGGACTTGATGTTGGCAATGCCTTGCAGGTCATTCTTCTCGGTTAGATGGTAGACTCCAGAGATGCCAAGCGATTGCATTAGTAGACTGCATACGACCTGGTTGGTACTGGAGTGTGCGCCAAGGTATTGCCAGAGTCTAGTGGCAATGAAGTTGTTGAATGTCCAAACCCATCCGAGAAATTGTGATAGCAACTCGATACTCTTCAGGTAGCTGAATATTCTGTATTGGTTTGATGATGCCAGTGCTGAGTCAAACTGGATCAGTAAGCCATTGGCATAGTCCATCAAGTTTGTCTGGGTCAATGGCTAGAGTGGAGAAGTTTAATAATATATTGTTGTTAGTATTATGATTCAATTGACATCGTCACCATTCATCCAAACATTGATGTACATACTAGTGATTTGAACTCCTTGGAATAGTTATCTTTTGAATCGTATTGTTGGAATATTTGATAAAGACAACACCTTATTGTGGCGATCAAGTCATCTAATTTAGTGATGGAAAAGATGAGATGTTAGTATTGTGTATGTCATTCATGTGATCTAGAAGTTCATCATATATACATACTGTCGGTTGTAGAGAGTAACATAGGTACACTGTTGTGAATGGTTTTAAAAAGTTGAATGGTGTGCTTGGATCTGACCTGGAACAAGTCGTACATCAATGTCAGCACAGGCGAGGCGTCATCTGTCTTTGCGAGAAGGCAGAATACATGACTAGGAGGAAAGGAATGGTTTGAGTTAGTGCTTGGATTCTTGATGCCAGAAGGAAGGAAGCAGCAAGAGTACTTACCACAAATAAATAGATTGGTTGATATCTTTGGGCGATGGACTGAGTTGGGTCTTGAGTGTGCTGCATTGAGAGAGTATCACTCCATTGAGATACTTGAACAACTCATTCTTAAAATCAAACGTCTGGTGCAAGTGTTGTGTAAGTCCATGAGATTGAATGTCTTTGATCATGGCAACCAATCTCAGTGAGTCTTGATGGGTGTAGTCAAGTATCATCGGACTGGAGAGTGGACAATGACTCTGGAACAGACTGATTGAGACAGCAATCAACTTCTTGCACCATTTGATTGCCTCGTGCGTCTCCAATCCATTCATGGACGTGTAGAGATTGCCCAGTACCTCGTCTGAGCGCTTCAGTGTACCACGAGAAACTTTGGTGAGAAGACTCTTGATTGAGTTATATGTGACTGGTTTGATGGGCTTGGGTGTTGGCTCCAGGATGACCTTGGGCTCGCTTGGGATGAGTTGGAGTGGAACATTGAATATGTTGAACTGCGTACTGGTGGACTTGGTTGTTGTTGTTGTTGGTTCATTCTTTGATCGATTGGGTGATTGAGGAAGTAGAAAAGTGGATGATAATGTCGTAGTTGTTGTTGCGGTTATATCTTGGGTAAGTGGTAGAGTGGGTGTGGATATTGATGGCATGGCATCAGCAAAGGCAGTAGCCTTTGCCAGGGCAGGTATTGGTGTTGTTGTGTGGGTGAGCTTGGAAATAGGKTGTTGGGGCTGGAGGTGGAATATGTTGTTGTTGTGTAGTTGTCGTTGATTGCGTCGTTCTTGCCCACGGTAATACCATGGTTGACTTTTGTGTCGACTGGTGTGAAGTTGTTGTCTTGGTAGCCCAAGGTAGAGGGAGTTGGTTGAGATGTTGTAGTTTGTGGTCGTCGTTGATGGTACTCGGGTTGGGATATGAGGTAAAGGTGTTGTGTGTGCAGGTGTTGTAGATGGAGTTGGTTGTGAAAGTGAGGTTGATGGCTGAGAAGGGGTCGTCTTCTTCTCTGGTACTGGAGTCTTGGATATTGGTGCTGAGGGGACAGGTTGAGGTGAATCATCAATCTCCATAATAGTGTCTGTCAGAGGTGCAGATGGGGCTGGGGACGATGGCTTCGAGTCAATGGTCATCGCCTGATCGGTACTATCATCGTCAAGTGAAAGATTTTCATGTGACTGAGAGTTTGAGAGGTCATCAGATGTTTGATTATTGTCGTCTGATGTGGGCTGATCGCTACTGATGCTGTTGATGCTGTTGTTGAAGATAGGTATGACTGGCGTTGAAGTAGACTTCTTAGGTGTTCCATTTTGTTGCTTGGTCTCATCATCTGTGAATATGGCACCGGGAGAGATGGGTGATGCAATGGACGATTCCATAATATTGTAATATTGATGTGGGGTAGCAGTGGGTGACTCGGTATCAACCAGCTTCTCCATCCTGCTCTCATCATTGTGCTGTACAACAACATCCATCTGATCGTGGGTCGTGCCATGATCATCGCCTTTGTCCATCTTCTCATCATTGTCTTGTGATGAACCAACATCTTCTTGTTTATGAATCGCAACATTGTCTTGGATGATCATGCTCTCAATCTGGTCGTCTTGCTTGGCAGTAATCTCTTGAACATCCTTGTCTTCAGCATCCTTCTGAACATCCACTTGTTGATCATCCTTGTGCTCCTCTTTGTCCTCATGCTTGTCATTGACCTCCTCATCCTTCTTATCATTATCTTTGTCATTGATTGACCCATCGACTGCATCTTCACTGTCACTGCAATCCGACTCATTCAATGAATCGAGTATCGACACTGATTGAGTCAATGGTTTGTCGGTCACAACCAAAGTTGATGCAGGTGGCAACATAATGATCTCTGCATCAATGAGTTTCTCAGAGCTCGGAGGTGGAGCAGATGATGCAGGTTGTGTGTCAACAGTGTCAACCACACTACCCTCCAATACTGGTCCAGTCATGTGTATCTCTTCCATCTCCACTGATTCATTTGCTGAGCTGAATGAATCGTCAAAGCCACCTCCGCCATGATAGTCATAATATTCAGTATCGCTTAGTTGTGGCGCTGTGTTGTCTCTTGAGAAGTCATCCGAGTGGTAGTCAGGTCCAGAGTCGCTCACTGATGTTGCCTTGTTGTTGTTGCCATCGACGTCCACACCTGTCTTTGACCCTTCGCGACCATGCTCATCTCCAGTGCTCGTGTTGTTGACATCATTGTCGAACAGCTCATTGTCCAACTCCTCCAGACCCAAGTTTGTAGTGGCAGTGCCATTGCCATTGCCACCCGATGATGATGCGCCTGCCTTGAGTCGTGATGGCGAGCCGTAGAATGACGGGCCGTCCTGGACATGACCACTACGCAACTTGAAGTGATTGAGTTGTTTGAGCAGCCTGTCATTCTCACGCTTGATCTCTGCACATCGCTTCTTTATCTCCTTGGTCTTCTCGAGCTTCTTGGTCAACTTCTCATTCTTGTCAATCAACATGCGATAGTCTCCAAGCTTGGCCTGTATCTGATGAACGAATGACTCGAGCGAGACGATCTTTGAGTCGCGCTGATCCAACTGCTGTCTAAGTAGCTCCTGTTGCGCCTCAGCCTTCTCAGCTCTACTGCGCAGGGGTATATGATTGTTGATCTCATTCTCCAACTGTGTCTTTAACGATTCTGACTCCTTCCTCTCCAACTGTAATTGCTTCAACAGGTTGTCATGCGACATTGGTGGCTGTGTCACTCCATTGTTGTTGTTGTTGTTCGATCCATTGACAGCAGCACCAGTAGTACCAGCAGCATGTGGTAGTGATGCCTTCAACTTGTTATTCTCTTGTAATGACTGTTTGTGTTGACTCTGTAATGACTTGTACTTTTGTATCAGTGTGTTGGTGGCGATGATCTTTGATTTGAGTGTATCCAAGTTGTTTGTTATTGTTGTTGATGATGTTGATGTTGATAATGTGTTAGATGTAGTTGTTGTTGTTGTTGGATGATGTAGTAGTAGTTGATGTTGTTGGTCAGTGTTGATACTGCCACTGCTACTACCAATCACATCAGCATCACTGCCATTGTTGTCTTGATTGGGGAACATCATTATATCATCATCATAATAGCTTGGCATAACATTAACTAGTTAAAGGTCGTATATGTTATATTAATGTTATGTTATTATGTGTATGTTGTTTTCAATTAATGAACTTTTGACAAAAAGACGAAAGTCGACACACCCAAGAGTCGGCAAAACTCGCCAAACACACAAGTTTCGTTTTGTTCATTCATTTAGTAATTTAGTAATATCTCTATCTATCTGTGCAAAAGAGTCTGGAAGGGATATACTATTATTATTATTATTATTACACGCGAATGAATATTGAGACACATTGATTGATTAATCGTCAAGTATTGGTGTGACTTCAATCAATGTGGTTGGATCGATTGTGAGTTGGAGTGATGATGTTGGTAGATTCCAGTGGTTTCGTGACATGCTTACAACCATCGATGGTATGGGATCGGGCGATAGTTGATCAGGTCTCCATATATCGAGCAACTTCTTGATCTGTAGAACGTTGAGGGTGGTGAATGCCGATTGAAGGGACTCGGTGTCTGTGAAGATGGACTTGTCAATCACCATCAGGTTGGACGCGTCGGCGATGGCGCCCAGATGATTCTTGCAGTGGTTGAGCAGGTCGCGCTCATCATTGGACGACACCCAGTCCTCAAAGATCGACAGGCTCAGCTTGATCTTGAATCCCGAGCTGGGCGTGCATGAGTTGGCCGTCGTACCGCTCACAATGTCATTGACCAGCGTGTAGGAGATGTAGTGGAACACCTGCGAGAAGAACTGTTGGATGATGGAGCTGAACACAAACTTGTCCTTGAGGTAGTTCATGTACTTGTCCATCGTCTTGCAGACCTTGTGCAGGTCGCTGGTGTGTGTGGCCGACATGCGGTTGGACTTTTCCGAGAGGGCGGCAGAGGCCTCGGCCAGCACGCTGGTCAATCGCGGTCGCAGTCTACCGTAGATGTGGTGCAACAGTAATGAGTAGGCTTCTTGAGTCAGTGCATCCAGTTGGATGACAAAGCTGGTCGATGGTGACTTTCGCGATGTGTTTGATGGTGATGCGATCGCTGGCGTTATTGTGATTCCATCAATCAATGGATCCAGTTCACTTTCAATATTATTCGGTCCATCCTTAATCAAATGAATGAGTCCAGATATGTTGGATATCCAATAACAAAGTTCAGGTGCATTATCAACTGATCTCTGTATAATGTTTGATTGTGATTGATTGAGTGAGTGAGTGAGTGAGTGATTGATCATGATGGCTTCGACTATAATCGTTCAAACATGACATACCTCAACAGAGTACCTCAGGGCAGTAATGACCTTGTTGAAGAGTCTTGAGTTCTCATTGCTAAAGGCATTGTGATCCAATAGTTGAGTGTACAGTGATTGTGAACATGCTCCAACTCTGTTGTCCCACAAATTAAATTAATGTTAGTGTGATGGATCGATCAATCAATAATCCAATAATACATACCCATCACTGAATGAAAGTGGCAATGTGTATATACATTGCTCGATTAGCTTGTTCTCCTCTCGCTCTTGTATCTCTGCCTTGGATCCAGATTGTGGTTGTGGACTAGTCTGTTGCTGCTGCAGAGGTGCCTGCTGTTGTTGTTGAAGTTGCTGCTCCAGTTGCCTGACTCTCTCCTTCAAATCCTGATTGTCCTTCTCAAACTTCCTCACTCTCTCACGCTCCTTGCTCAGCTCGCTCTTGGTGTCAGAGAGCTGTCTCTCGAGTTGCTCGCGCTCCTTGTTGTCCTTGTCCTTGTTCTTGTCCTTGTTCTTGTCCTTGCCACCGGCGCCAAGACTCAGGCTGGCCGCCGACATTGTCTGGTTTTCCAATCTGTTCTGCAGCTGCTCCTTCTCCTCCTCCAACTCCCTGATCGTGCGCTTCAACTCCTCCGTGTCTTGGACGTCCTCCATCATCCTGTCCAGCTCATCCTTTTGCTTCTGTAGTGCCTTCAAATCGCTGTTGGCATTGGACAGCTTGTCCTTTAGCTCGATGTTCGCGCTCTTGAGCTCATTGAGTTCGGCTGTGTTGTCGACTGTTGGTGTCGATGGTTTCTTGGTGGTAGCTGCGGCGGCAGCAGCGGCTGTGGCAGTAGCGGCGGCGGCAGTGGCAGCAGCAGCGGCAGCGGTCAACCTCTCAATCTCCTGCTTCTGTGATATGATTGTCTTGTTGTGCTCGGCGATCTGCTTCTCCAGTGGTGCCATTGCTGCGGCAATGGCTGACTGACTGGTGGAAGCGGGAGATGATGTGGAGACAGTGGGTGTGATCGCAGCTGGAGGTGGACTGGCGCCGCTCTTCATCTTGGCGATGATCTCATCCTTGTCCTTGACATCCCTGGTCAACTCCTGGATCTTTCTCTTGAGTTCCAATGTTCCTCCACCAATCATCGCGCCGCCAGACTGTGCCAATGTCACATCGAGCTTCAATTTCTCGATCTCCTTCTTGAGTTTCTCGACTTCCTCATCATTGTTGTTGGTTGGCGCGGGCTGTGCTGGAGGTGGTGATGCGACCACAACTGATGATGTTGCTGCTGCTGCTGCTGCGGCTGCTGTTGCTGTGGCGGCAGCGGCAATGGCTGCAGCCTTGTCCTTCTCAAGCTGACTGTTCTTGTTGATCAACTCTTGGTGCGCAGCATCCTTCTGTTTGAGCAAGTCGTCCTTTTGCTTGATGTTGTCATCGCGCTGCTTGACCAGGTCATCGCGCTGCTTCAACTGCTCATCGCGCTGTTTGATACCATCGTCTCTTTGCTTGATCTCCCCATCACGCTGCTTGACCAAGTCATCACGTTGCTTAATCTGATCATCCTTCTGCCTCAACTGGTCGTCCCTTTGCTTGATCTCGGTATCCTTCTGCTTCAGCTGATCTTGGAGTTCTGTGATCATCTTGGCATCCCTTGCACTTGTAGCGCTCACCGTTGTAGTGGTGGCTGTGGTGCTTGATGATGACGACGATGAGCCTGACTTGTTGTCCAACTGTTCCTGCATCTCCTTGACCTTGTCCTCAAACTCAATGTTCTCCTCAATCAACTCCTTCACCTTCTTCTTCTTAAAGTCCAACTCCTTGTTCAACTCCTGTACCTGTTTCTCCAACTCCTCGATCCTCTTCTTATCGCCACTGCTGCTTGAGCTGGTGTTTGAGCTAGTGCTGGTGCTGACACTTGGAGTGGCCTTGGTATCTTTGACTGATGGTGTTGGTGTAGTTGGAGTAGTAGATGAAGTTGGTGTAGTCGTAGTTGGCGTGGTGGACACTGGATGATGTGATGGTGTGGGCGTTACAGGTGTAGTAGTCTGGCTACTTGGATGTGATGATGTTGATGATGTCTCACTGTCGTCTGAGAAGTCCTCTCCATCCTCCTCCTAGATGATGATTAGTGATCGATCAAAGGATATGTTGGCGTTAGTCGAAGTTGGAGTTGAGTTGCCGCAGCATTGATGAACATACATCATCTGATCCATCGTTCGAGTTCAAGTCAGTCTCTGTTGCGGGCTCATCATCTGCACCAATCTGGAGCTCTGTACACTTGACCATCATCTATTCGATTGAGTGAATGAGCGTTAGTATGCATGTGAGTGTCATGCCTGGCAACAGCCTCTGACTCTGGACATACATGAAAGACAAAGGGCATCTTGCCCTTCTTTGGCTTGATTGATAGGATCTTCTTTTGATCATCCTTGCTGCCTGTGAAGTCGGCCAGATCGATGATGGTCTTGCCAATGGTGGTGCCCTTCTTGCCCTTCTCCTCCTTGATCGATATGCTGACGTTCTTTGCCTCAAAGGTCTTCTTGGGCGTCTTCATCATTGTAGTGATCATCTGCACGTGATGATCGAATATAGCACGCTTGCCATTTATCTGTACGACCTTTGTCTTGCCATTGTTTGATGACTTTGCGCCACGCTTCCAAGACACATACAACGATCCAGTCTCCATTGGCAAGTTGTCGACCGATTGAATCCTGATGTCGAATTGGAACTTTGACTGTTCCTTGCCTGGCTTTGATTGTTCCTTGCCAGCCTTTGGCTTGGCAACTGCATCCTCCTTCTTCTTCTTTAATATATTCATTATTATTATTCTAACTATTATTATTATTATTACAATGAATAACAAATGAAATGATTGAAATGTGTGTGTGTTTTGATGATCACATCAACACACTTTGTTCAGATCGATCCAATCAAATATTTGGAACTTCAACTGTTGAATTTGACTACCTATCAACATGAATTTCCCGCCTCCAATTAAGAAGAATACCTCTATTTGATCAACCTAACTCCCATCATTGGATATATAAACTTAGATACCAGGACACTTTCAATTCGAAATTTGAGTATTGAAACCTATCACCAATGTCAATCAAGACAAATTGGTAATATATTTTCAGAATAACATTTATGATTATTATTTTTTAATTTCTCTTCTCTTGGGTCATATTAATAGTTCATCGATGGACCTATCCTTTTTCAATCATTTCCGGTTATAATAATAACAAAATCAAATCTAAAAATCTATCAAACAATCATTTATATTGAAAAATGTTGTACAGTATGTATATTATAATAATAATAATGAAAATATCATTTGTATTAATATTATTATTACCAACCAGAATCCCTTTCAAACCTCTCTGGAATGATGACATCCAACTGTATTGTCAATAATAGCCAGGTTCAGACCAAGTCTGGAGTTGGAGTCTCTCAGTCATCCAATGCACTTAACAATGCAGTTTTTGGTAACTTAGTAGGTTTGTCAATTTCAGTTCCTATTAGAGTTTCTCTTGGGTAAATAAAGTTCACTCAAAAGACTCAGAATCTTCTTTCAATGATTGATATAATTATATCAACTCCTATTCCTTTGATACGGTATCGTCCTCTAGGGCCTGATCACTGTGCAATCCTATAATCGTCATAAAACTGATTGATCTGATCCAATAACTCCATTTTTATATCTATCCTTGGTAAATTCATATTATACATTTCCTCTCTCTCTTTTGTAAGTGTAGTCCCTGTCGTTTCCAGATGATATCTTATAATAATATAAGTAAAAGTGTTACAACAAATAGGAGATAGAAAAATGTGCCTGTGTGTGATGTGGTTCAATGCATTGCAATCAAAAAAAAAGATAAAGATGATTTTATTTTTATTATTTATTTATTTTTATGCAAGAAGATTAGATCTCGCCCGAACTCATAGTAAGGATAGTTAGGGGTTAGGGCACACCCATCAAGCATCTTGTTTTTATTTTTTTATGCTACTTTAAATTACAACCAACAAACACGAACATGATTTTATCACTATCTGTATATTTATTGAGAATAATTGTTTCTTATCTTGACTGTATTGATATGCTATGCCTCCTCTTAGTGTGCAAAAAGACATTATTTCAGCAAAGAATTATCACACCATCACCTCAGCTACACTTTTCCTTTCTCTCCGAAGCAACAATATCTAATTTAAGAGGAACATTTGAACATTTAAAGCAAACACAATATCGATATGATTTCCCCAGGGGGCATCCACTAAACAGTCAAATCCCAAGCATAACATATATAAATGATGGATCCTTTGAACAACCTTTACAAGTTGGACACGTACCACAGTCAGTGACTCAATTATCATTGACTGTTTTCAACCAGCCTCTTCAGGTTGGACACATACCACAGTCAGTGACTCAATTGTCACTCGTTATGTTCAATCAGCCTCTTCAGGTTGGACACATACCACAGTCAGTGACTCAATTGTCACTCGAAATGTTCAATCAGCCTCTTCAGGTTGGACACATACCACAGTCAGTGACTCAATTGTCACTCGGTATGTTCAATCAGCCTCTTCAGGTTGGACACATACCACAGTCAGTGACTCAATTAGTGTTCGAATGCTTCAACCAACCTCTTCAAGTCGGACACATCCCAGAGTCAGTGACCCAATTAACACTTTATGGACTCGACCAACCTCTTCAATTTGGACACATACCACAGTCAGTGACTCAATTAGTGTTCGATTGCTTCAACCAACCTCTTCAAGTCGGACACATCCCACAGTCAGTGACCCAATTAACACTTTATGGACTCGATCAACCTCTTCAGGTTGGACACATACCACAGTCAGTGACTCAATTGACACTCAATAAGTTCAATCAGCCTCTTCAGGTTGGACACATACCACAGTCAGTGACTCAATTGACACTCGAAATGTTCAATCAGCCTCTTCAGGTTGGACACATACCACATTCAGTGACTCAATTGACACTCGAAATGTTCAATCAGCCTCTTCAGGTTGGACACATACCACAGTCAGTGATGCGGTTGATCTTCGGTCCCCTCTTCAATCAGCCTATCACTACAAAGAACGTACCTTCATTCACATCACTAACTATTCTATGTGGGCTGTTCTCTCCAAAGAACTTGTGTTTGTCTGGCCACAAATTTCTTAATTCACTCTCTATTGTCTATAAGCACAAACAATCTTTTCCACTCCAAAGTGACACCTTTACTAAGATGAGAAATCTTTCACATTTAATCATCAAAGTCTTCGAATATCCTCCAAAAACAATAGGCAGTGGTATTTTTGGTGTGGCAATTTCTTTTTTAAGGCAGACCCTAAAAACAATTCCAACAATAACTCTGCAATTCAAAGGAGGACCTGAAATCATATGGAGGCTCGTCAATGAAAGAACTGCGCTGATTGTGATATCGAAAGCGGACCACGAGGGAATCATATCATTTTGGATGTTTAAATAAATATATTATAGGAGTTCATATACGTTTTATGTATGATCTATTATGGACAAAAGTAGTGTCGGTATCATCACAATCAAGTTTGGAATACCCCCATTAAGCGAAGAAAACACTTATGAAGTGGTGATAAATAAAAAGTAGACTGTCTTATTGAGGTGGACACCTTGGCAATAAATATACAGAATTACAAAGAAATAATAAAAATACGTATATATACTCAATCAATAATCTTTCATAAGACCTAAATCAGGAATATAAATGATCATTCTTTTCAGTCATTAAAATATAATCAATCAAACAATTAATTATTTTTAACAATGTTGTACAGTAAGTATAGTATTATTATTTTAATAAATTAATTAATTCATTCGAAACTATAAACTAATACATATTATAAAAAGAATCCCTTTCAAACCTCTCTGGAATGATGACTTCCAACTGTATTGTAAATAATGGCCAGGTTGAGACCAACTAAGTATGTGGAGTCATCCAATGCACTCAATACTTCTATTGGAGCTACTGGTTTATTACAGAAAGGTAACAAGGTGGGTGCGCTAGTTAAAGATGTTCATATTGCACTTGGTGCAGATATTGATATATAAATAAGTATTTATCAATAAATGAATAATAATCAGTTGATTATTATGTAAATATATTTTTCCAATTCCAAGATGTAATAAACAATTTTTATATATATTCCTCAGACATGAGCCAACTAGATCCTGAATAATATCCAGATTTACCAAGTGTCCAAAAAGGTATTCTGGGTCCCAGGGCCTATAACTTTGTACAAAAGGATGGGGTTTATTCATCCAGGTTCTTTCCAAAGTTGATCAAATAATCAATTGTCTATAGTGTTGTCGTCTTGATTGCTGGACTCGTCATTCTCGCGGAGCATTGATATGGTTCGACTCATAGCCTCGAGGTTGGACAAGGCCACCTTCATCAAGTCATTCTTCTTCTGCTCGCCAGACACTAGTGTTGGTCTGAGGCCATTCATGCTGGCACTACTGGCTGGTCCATCTAGATTGTGAGCATTGTTGATAATCTTGGGGTCGACCTTTGACGACGACTGTAGTTGATGTAGATGTTGTTTCTGTTGCATCTCCATCCGACTAAACTCGTCTTCCTGACCATCATCATTAAGTGCATGTGTCTTGGACATTGATGATGATGTGATAGTGGTGTTGTTGCCATCGCACTTCTTTGTTCGTGCCAACGACTCATTGCGAGTTTGTCCTGACCACTTGCCAGAGATGAAGGACAACACTGCCGACAACCATCCAACAACGAATATCTTGACGACATAGTCCAGATACGTTGTCTTCTTGTTTGATCGTCTTAGTATCTGTACAGAATCCTCCAAGTTCTTGGCCTTCTCGTACAAGTCATGAACATCATTCAGACTTGATTCCAACACAGGCTTGGACCTGTTTATCCTTGAATCCATGTCATACTCCTCCTAAACAACAAGTGTCAGTCGTCACTCAATCATTCAATCAATCAATCGTCTCGAGAACACATACATCAGGATCAATCATTAATGACTTGGAGACCTCGGTGGCCTGTGTGAGTTGCTTGGAGTTGTTGGCCATCTCTGTGGACAGTTGTTTGCACTTGTCTCGTTGGTCAGCAATCTGATTGGCATTCACCAGCATGCGCAGCTCTAGACTGTCCGCCCTCGCCTTGAGTTGGCTAATATATATGACCTTGCGTTGAAGTTTCAATTGATCACGATACTGCTGTGCAACTGATAAGTGTGATTCTAAACAAAGAGGGGTGTCAGTGGTGTGGCCGGTTGGGTAGTGTATCTCTGTCCAATCATTGGATACTCACTGAATGTATAAGGTGACTCATAGTCTGTGCTCTGTGGCGCATCAGACTCGAGCACTTGTAGTAGGGAATCGATGTCCTTCTTGAACTCGGTGGTGTTGGGCTCTTTCTTGCGCTTGGGCAGTAGTTGGAAGTTGGGCATGGGGATCGAAGGGAGGTTGCGCATGTTGGGCAAGATCCTTTTCAGCCTGCCACTGTCAAAGGGGAGGAACTTGTCCGTCAGTGGTCTGCTCTCATGTTGTTGTTGTTGTGCTGAGTTGATTGTTGTGCGCTGTGCTTGTGATAATGTCAATGATAGTCGATTTGGATTGAATGTCCTCTTCAAAACACCCCTCCTTTGTTTCTTCTCATTGTTGGCGCCACTATTGCTATTGCTGTTGCTATTGAGGAATGTGAGGAGATTGTGACGATTGTGACTTCCATGACCATGATGCTCCTGTTGAGACGTCTCGGACGTGTGCTGGCCATGTTGCTGTCCCGATTGGGGCATGAGCGAGTCGTAAGAAGACTTGAGATTGAATGATGGAGAATGATTGTTCGAACCACCTCCACCACTTGGCGGTGAGTGGTCGGTAGACGAGGAGCCGGTGCGTCCGGACATCTGCTGCTCGTGCAGCATGGCCAGGTTCCGCAGGTCCTGTGGCGCCGCTGTTGTTGAGAATGATCGTTTGTGGTCCTCGCCACTCGGTGACGATCCTCTTCGCATGTTCTTGAGAATGGCGTTGCGTTGAGCTTGTGCTCGTCGCTTCTCAACCAATGGATTGTAGTGCTGTCCCGAGAGTATACATTGATCGATCTTCTCGTAAAAGTCCTCCATCATCCGTTTGTACAATGCAGACTTGCCCATGGTCTCCTCGGAGAATGCCAGTGCTTCATTGAGGAATGTGCTCGTCTCGTCCTGTGGTGAGGTTGCAGTGTGCGTCGGGGGAGAAGCAGACACTGGCGACGAGGAGTTGGGCTGGGACACGACCAAGGTTGGTGGCACCACTCCATTGTGTTGCTGCTGCTGCTGTTGATGAGCCATCGCGAAGCTATCAGAGAGCGATGATGAGTGCTCGACCAATGTTGGTGGATTTGTGGTCGAGTCATCGTCTTCAGAGTATGTAAAGTCGTTGTCTGTTGAAGTGCTCTTGTTGGACACGTTTCCTCTGGGTGACTTCTGAATGAATGCGCCTCTGTGTTGCCCAAGCGTGCCTGTGCCAGATATGCCGCTGCCTGTGTTACCACTGCCCTCGCCGCCACCAGGTATCTTGTTCAACAGTGATGGTATGGCGACTGTTGAGTGCTTCTTTGGGTTGGCTATCATATGTACATTGGATGATGATGATGTTGAGTTGCTTGTCTCTGTTGCTGAGGGCTGCTTCTCTGGCGATGTGACATGCGCTGAAGACGAGGTATGACTGCGCGGTGATGTGTTGTCCTCTGAGAGTGATGCATCTGAGGCCATATCCCATGATGGACTGGCAGTTCCACTCTCATGTGTAAGTTGTAATGTGTTGTCCCTGTCCTTGTCCTTATCTTTATCTTTATCCAACTCCTTCTTCTTCTTCTTCAAATCCTTCTCCTTCTGTTTGATCTTCTCCTTTAGCATGGCGTACTCCTCCTTTGCCCTCTCCTTCTCCCTCAACAGCTTTGCCTTTTCCTCCTCCTTCTCCTTCTCAATCAACTCCTTTGCACGCTTCTTCTCCTCCTTTTGTAACTTCTCTCTTTCACGTTCCCTCTCCTTCTCCTCACGCTCTCTATCCTTCTTCTCTTTCTTATGATCATCCTTTTGTTGTTTCTTATCTTCAATCTCTTTCTCTTTCTCCTTCTCTCTTTCTTTCTCTCTTTCTTTCTCTTTCTCTCTATCTCTCTCCTTCTCTTTCTCTTTTTCTTTCTCTTTCTCCTTCTCTTTCTCCTTCTCTTTGAATATACTCAATATACTACTCCTCCTCTTTTCCTTCTCTCTTAGACTACCAGTCTGTGATGAGAATGATGATGAAGAGGATGTTCTAGATAGTTCAGCCTTTGTTTCTGTATCCATTTCTCCCTCTATCTATCTATCTCTATCTCTTTCTCTCTATCTTTATATATACATATAATACAACAACATAATAATAACTGATTGAATGATTGAATGAATGAAACCATGCCACTCAACCACACTTTGATCAATCTTGTTGTTGATGACATTGATGTTTTGCAGAGTTGTTGGTTTGACCTCATTGAGCCATCCTTCACCCCCCTAAGGTTGTGGCAGTCGACTGAGCTCTGACTCTAGTGTAATCATCTTCAGTCGCGACATTGCATTAATAGAGTATTTGTGTAGGTAGGTACCTGGCTAGATACATTATGATATATTGTCCTATTCGATTGACGTTTTATTTCTATATTTTATAATGCTGATTTGATAATCGCTTAGTAGTAGGTAGCCTTCTCACCACCACCGTTTCTCTTGCAATCCAAGAAAGCATCGTAGACGAACTGGCACGATGTAAGATCGTTAGAGTTCTTCTCCAAACAGTTCATGAATGCTGTTGTTAATTGATTGTCGGGTAGAGAATAAGATATGAGATTAAAATGAAGAATGAATGAATGTGAATGGAAAGGTTGATTAGTGAATGAGTCGATCAAGTGATCATCACATGTGATGCAAGTTATAACATACACTTGTAGATTGGGTTGCAAACGTTGGTCTCGGTGGCAACGGTCTGCATGTTGGTGTCTTGTGGAACTTGAGTTTGTGGCTCGTTGTTGCCGCCCATCATTGAGCTGACACCACCGACCAGAGCGTGACCAATGACGTTACCGGCGACAGCACCGGCCATTGAGGAGGCCATGGTTGAGAGCAAACCTGGTCCCTGCATGACGACTGGTGTTGGCTGTGGAGTAGCATTCTGGGTTGGTGCAGATGCTGGCTTTGAAGCAGTGGTTGGCTTTGGTGCCGATGAAGTGGTGGCTGGTGCCTTTGAGATTCTAGCTGATGATGCTCCGCGTCTTGCCATTGTTATTATTATTATTATGGTATAAATATATTAATTATATAATGGTATATAGATAGTATATGTAATAGTATGTAATGTTGTTGTAAACAGAATGAATGTGGGTGGAGTGATGTACGAACTAACTCTTTTTCAACTATTCAATTAAAATAATTAAATAAAATTCAACTACAAACACAGATCCCAACTCAAGTTGAACAATAATGATTGTGTGGCAATATTCCACTTCATTCTCTGTTGACAAGTCATCATCCTATTATTACATGTAATATAATAATAATTCCATCACTTACATGTATTAATACATGTATAACACGAACGAATGAGTCATCATAACAAGATTGAACAAATGAACAATATCAAATGAACAAACAAACGACGAATGAATGAATGGATGTTAACGAATGAGTTGATGAGGATCAAAGGAAAGGACACTTGATTATGCCTTCCTCTTTTTAATTAGACCCTGCTTGAGTAGCATGTCGTAGGTCTTCTTGTTCATGACTTCACCTTGTTCATCTTCGTATTCTTCGTCGCGATCTGAACGGAAGGTGGTGGTGACGTTCATCTCCTTGATCTTCTTGTTGAGATCCAGTGCGTCTTTGATCTTGGTGATGTGATGGAAGTGTATTGTGTTGGGTATGCCAATGCATGACATGCCATAAGAGTGTCGGGACTCTTGGAAATGCTTCTCAAAAGCTCGTCTGCCCCAATACGATTGATTGCCACAGATCTCGCACTTGTACTCCACGCCCAACTCATGGAACTTGTATACCCAGTATGGTATTGGCTTGCCACTCCAGTCCACCGGATAGTTGGCAATGCGCAGTTTAGTCGGTTCGTCATCCACCATCACATCGGCAATCTCTTCATCCTCTGCATTCATGTCGTCCTAACAAAGTGTGGATGGTCAGTACTTGTTTGATTGATTGGCGTGATGTACATACCTCAATCTCCTTTATACTTCTGGATTGCTTCTTGATGACACTGTCGATTGTCTCTTGGATCTGATCGTGCAGACGCTCACAGAGCTGGATGATGTGGAACTCGAGGAGATAGACTGGCTTGTGTTGCTCTTGCTGACCGGCACCCTCACTCTCCAGTTGCTTCATGATCTCAAACAGCTTGATATGCTTCTTTCCTTTCAGATGTCCATTATACACGTTCTGCGAGGCAAACAACTTCTTGCAAGCCTTACAGTATAGTGACGAGGAGGGGTCGTCCTTCTTCTCCTCCGTATTGTTGGTGGCTGGTTGTGTTGCGCTATCATGTTGTTCATCTCCATTACCATTGCCATTGCCACTATCATTGCCATTGCCATTGCTATCACCCTCTTGTTGTGGTTTCTCCTTCTTATTGTCGACTTGATCATGTTGTGATGTGTCATTGGTGGCAGCCACAGCACTCCTTGAGAACTCTTGATTGGACCACTTCTCATCAAACTCGCGTATATTATCTTGTAGGATTGACTTTAGATCGAGCATTGGTTGTGAACGCTCCATGAATGATTGAAGGTATGCAATGAGCTTATCGAGATACTTTCTGTACATCTTATTCTTGAATCTTTGATGGTCGTCATAGTTGAACTTATTGAACAGCGACAGATATCCAACATAGTCCAATGTCTTATCCACAAAAGGTAGATTGAGGTATACTTCAAACAACTCATTCAAGTCCAAGAATCGACCATGTGACTCATTGCCAGAGAATGTTACGTTGGCTAAATGTTGACGAGTATGTGGATATGTTAGTACTCTGGCCATCATTCATTCATTCAATGTACTTACGTGTGTAATACAGCGAGGTGCCTACTCTGTCCACCTCGAGTGCGGGGAACTTGCGATGATATTCCTTCACCTCTCTAAGTCTATCATAGAATGCACTGAATGTAGCCAGTCCTTGACCTGCAATTGATGACAACTCATTCTGTCTTGTCCTAATTAATGATGAGGTTGCGTGAATGATGATGATGTTAGTGATAGGCCTGTCATTTGAATGAATGAATGAATTGGTGCTACATACTGATCTTCATCTTGATATATCTTTGCCAAGTCGTTGGCACAGTTGACTGATTGTTCGAGATAGTGATTGACGCGATGACTGAGCATTACATTGTCTCGCATAGTCTTTGGCTCTTCAGACTGCTCAGCCACAATCATCAACTCATATCTTTCAATAGCTTCATGTAATGCTCTTGTTCGTTCTAACAGTGTAGATGACATTCTTATATCTATGTATATATGTATGTTATTGGATTGATTGATTGATGAAGTGTAATGAGTGAATGAAATGTACTGCACCAATGTTCCCTTTTTTTTTTCAATGTTGTGGTTTTGCAAAGTCGTTCGTCATTCATTAATTGAATCCTTCATTCATTCTCTTAGTTGTTTGTATCATTAAACATACATATACATATACGATGCAACAAGTGTCATCATCACTTCAAGAGCCTGTTAAAAGTACGACATGCCCATTCATTCAAGCATTTGCCATTCATTACCATTGATCACGTGACACAGGTGTTATGTTGTGAATGAATGATCGAGCGATCGATCGATGGTTGAGATGATGATGGATTCATCACACACATATTCATTGTCCGATCACATAAGGCTCAACAACAACATCATCAACATCGTCAACATCAACAACATCAACTTTATCAGACATGGGCGATGATGGAACATGAAGACAGAATAGTACTAACATTGGAATGATGACAATCAATAACAAACAGGGATCACAGCATTGTTCCACCCAATCAATGTATTCATTGGATTGCGCTTACCATCCAGTTTGGCCAAGAATCCAAGAAAAGCGACATGGGACAGCGAACGCGCAGATATACACAACCTCTTGTTCTCGATGCGCTACCCAATGAGCGACATCCGCAAGGAGTTTGACAAGAAGTACAACCTGGCCCCCACTGACATTGAGAGTTTGGTCGAGGAGCTAAAGCCACTGCGCATCGAGCGTCGTGTCTACGCTGAGGGCTCACACAACCGTCGCGACTATTGGACATTCGCATTGAAGCGCATCTATCCCGGCAAGCCATATCAACCGTCGACGGTCAACAGCAGCGAGAGCGAGGTCAAAGTCGACTTGTTAAAAAAGAAGGTCGATACCTGGCTGAAGAACAAGTCGATCAACACCATCCTCCCCATCGCGCGTCCCTACTACTGGACGTACGAGGTGGAGCACGAGTCCAAAGAGATCGAGATTGGTGGCAACCATAACAACAAATCAGCCTTCAACCCGCGCAACAATGTCTCTGGCGACAACAGTGAACTGGTCGATTGATCAATCGACCAACGATCTCTCAAAAGTAATATAGTAATAATTAAAAGGAAGTGAGGGCGCTTCAAGGACTCGAGTCCCAAGTGCAATGAACGTACAAGCAAGCAGAATCACCTTTACTTCTGGATCTTCAGACTGAGGTCGATGTGAGGAACACCTTGGCAGAGAGTGGACATTGAGACAATGTCAACAGTGTCGAGGGCGTATGAGGCGAGGGTCTCTGGCACGACGCCACCACTGGCCTCGATGATGATGTGTGGATAGCGCTTTTTCAGACTGGCCGATGTGATGGCCAGTTGTGGAGGCTTCATGTTGTCCAGCATGATGACGTCAGCGCCGGCGTCCATGGCCTCGATGGCCTCTTGCTCGGTACGGCACTCGACCTCCACCTTGAGAGAGAAGCCGCCCACCGACTTGGCCTTGCTGATCGCTGCGCCAATGTTGCCGGCGATCCACACGTGGTTGTCCTTGAGCATGATCATCGACGACAGGTCCATGCGGTGTGCATCGCAGCCACCCACCAGCATGGCATACTTCTCGACCAGACGGAAGCCTGGTGTGGTCTTGCGTGTACCAGCGACCTTTCCCTTCCAGTTGACGGCGTCGACAATCTTACGCATCTGGGCCGAACGAGTTGTAATGCCACATGATCTACACAAGATGTTCAAGGCCAATCTCTCGCCCATCAATATATTCCTAGCTGATCCCTTGACAACTGCCAACACTATTGGCTTTCCATCGACCGGTGCGAACTCTTGTCCATCCTTTATACGCCATTCAACTCTGATGTAGGTAGTGAGTGAGTGAGTGAGCAGGCGAGTGATCATCTTGATCATCACGATACATACTGACAGTCTAGCATTGTGAAGATCTCATTGAGGAATGGTGTACCTGAGAATACACCTTGTTGTTTACCCAACAGATGAGCAACCTCTGGCTTATCACCAACTACAGCACCACCATAATCAAACGATGGGATGTCCTCCTCAAGCCATTCCGCAATCAACTTTTGAAGTTTAGTCTTTGTGAATAAATGTGAATAATCCATTGTATGTATGTATGTTGGTATCTAGATATCTTTAGTATATGTGTTGTATGTGTATGTGTATGTTGTATAAGTAAGTAATGTTATGACTTCGAATCGGAGATAGTTCAGCTGAATAAATTAATAAAAATCATATGTTCTTCTTTGAAGTAATTTCACAATATGAACTTGTAATTCCCATGTCACAGCTCATTGTTTAGTCAGCACCCAACCACCAATCAAAGATAGAGATAGAGCATAGAGAATGGATGTTCCTATTACAACAACAACAACAATGATTACACCTTGTTGTGACATCCAACATGAGGATGGAATTCATTTGCTTCCAATGTGGAAAGATTGTTTGTCCTTTGTGTTTGGCAACCAATCATAATGGTCATAAGATGGATCATATTGAGAACATTAGAAAAGCATTGTCAACAAAGGATATGGAATCGTTATGGTGTAATACAAGGTTGGACCATCTTTGGAAGACACTACAGCTGTGTGCAACATCATATCAATCGTTGAAAAAGACACATGATAATGTGACGGGTCACTTTGAACAGTTGATCAAGGTGATTATTGCACAAGAACATCGAGTCAAGAAACCGATCAAAGATAACATGACTCTCGTTCAATCAACAATCAACAGCATCATCAAAGAGATACGTGATGGCAATCACATCATCAATCAAGTGCATCCAACTGATGTCGATGTCAACAACAACAACAATAATGATGATGATGATGTCGATGTTGATGACATATCACAAATGATTGAATCAATTACTTTGTGTTCATCAGTGAATCAGTTCATCAAGGACAACATTACTCAAGCATCATCATCGGATGGTGACAAAGCCGAGCTTTCAGACAGTGAGTTGTTGTCAATGATTGCCAATCATACTCAACACATCAATGATGTACCTTATGATGAGAAATCATTGAATCTCCAAACATACACAGTCAAAATTGATGTTGCCAAGTTGGATATCATTAAGAAGCAGATTCAACATTCTTTATTGTAAAGGCACCTGTGCCACCGAAGCCCAAGATTCACGAGATTGATTGGAAGGTCATCAAAAGGAAAGATGAATATGAGTTGTTCGATGCTGAGATTGAATAGCCTCCGCTGACTCCAACTATTTCGCCAACTTGGCACTGGCCATCAGCCAGCGAGTATCGCGAGTATGATGTCTGGGCATCCCTTCCTCCGAACACATAGACATTGCCACGTGCCAAGACTACACACATCTTTGGATGATCTATTGAATGCATCTTTGATTGTTGGTCTCTCGGTGATGGATCTCACTGCGACTTGCTCGCCTTCAATGTTCAGACAAAGGCCACAAGTGTATTCATTGCGAATATCAATGCTCCCATCTCCGACATTGTCTGTTTCGATGGTGTTGACAAGTTGTATGTTTCCACAAGTTATCATGTGCTTTATTGCTATGATTTCTCCAACAACAATCAGATAAGTGAGAAATCATCCAAAAAACGATGATCACCCTGGAAAAATGGTGATTGATAGTGGAAGGCTCCTTTGTTTTAATTCCAAAGGACAATATATGTTCAATCCTGAATATAATCATTGGGGAATTCCTCCCAAACCTTATTATCACTTTAACGGATACCTATCAATAATCAAACAATGAATAAATCTCATCCCTGATTCGTACATACCATCTAACGACCATTCATTCATTCACTGTCTTCAAAGAGTGGGAAACAGAACATTGGTGGTTGGAATGATTTGTGATGCTGGGGGTTGGAGTTGGTGGGATTGTGAATGAGATAAAGTGAATGAATGAAACACCGATTTGATCTATCCTTGTTATCTCTAGAATCTGTGTACAAATACATACAACACACACAAGTTGTGATAATACGTATCACTTGCATTGTATCTCCTTGTATCATTACATCTTATCTATCTTTATCTATCTTTATCTATCTTTCAATCAATCAAGCAGTCTATTAATTAATTAATCAATCAATCACCAACCAATCAATCAATCAATCAATCAATCAATCAATCAAACATATAATATAATATACGATATATATTGTTGTTATTATTTATTAATATATAATATGGATTTACCAAGGATAGATATAATAAAGGAGTTATTGGATCAGATCAATCAGTTATATGACGATCATAGGATTGCACAGGCTGCAAAGAAGTTGCGTGATCTCGACTTGGTTGTAAAGTCAGAGCTCGATAACACCGATGACAACTCACCACAGATCAAACAATTGCTGGACGACCAGTACACCACCTGTAAACGATTCGATCGTCTACGTCAAGAGTCTGAAGAGTGTAACAACCTTCTAAGAATGCTTGAGAACACTGGTATGTTTGTTATTGTTGTCGAGATTGAGTGATTGAGCGAGGATGAACACAATCATACTTACACACACATTCTCCAACAACATGTTAGACAACTGGACAGACATAAGTAACTCTGATGGCATACAAACATTCTATAAGGATAATGGTGGTGGCATGCATAGTATAAGGATGGAGGGCATTGTGGACTCGTCACTCTTTGATATTTGTAGCACAGTGTTGGAGGTGGACTTGTATCATAGTTGGATACCACGACTGAAGGATGCAACACAGTTGGCAGACGACTCACGATTCCGCAAGGCAATCTACTGTAGGGTGTCCTGTCCGTGGCCGGTGGACGACCGCGACATTGTGGTCTACGGCTACGGCATCGACCTGCTGGAGGAGAGTAACAAGGTGGTGGTGTTTGCACGATCGTTTGAGGACGGTGACTTTGAGGGCGTGGACCTGCCCGACGTGCCCACCAAGACGGTTCGCGTCGACACCAAGATCAGTGGATTCGTCATGCAGCCCATCTCGCCAACACAGACCTTTGTGCAGGTGGTCTCGCTCACCGATCCAAAGATGGCATTCATACCATACTGGCTACTCAACTTTATCACCAACCAATTTGCTCACTACCTGTTTGTCAGTCTTCGTCGACAGACCAAGTCAGTGGCATCGAGTCCCGTCTACCAAGAACGAATCAAGACCAACCCATTATACAATGAGCTCAAAGACAAGTGGCTATCATCACAACACAAGCTGAAAGAATAGAGAGATAGAACATTGTAGTATTACCATTTAGTGACCATCATCAGTAGTGTTCATTCATTGTCATTGTCATTGTTGGCTGGGACCGGTCCAACTCAATCAATCCCAAAAGTGGCATTGATGGGTTCGCAGTTGTGGGGGACTTGTGTTTTTGATCAGATGTGTTTTGCGTGACGCGATCGATCTGATCGACAAACATTGGGCTACGCATCTGGACTTGCAGAGTGATATTCAACGAGAACAAGGTCCATCATCAGTTAGTTATAACATCTTAAATCAAAGATATATAATAATATTTCAAAAACATAGTGAAAGAGATACAGACATGACATCAAGTAGTGATTATCACTTTGCACTCAATCTACCATTACCTCCACCACCTATATTTGATGGTTTCCAATCATATCAATATCAACAACAACAATGGCCTAATAATAATAATAATAATCCACCTAATATTCCAATATGGGATACTGATTCATCACAGTTAATTCCTTTGTCGCCACATTTAACATGTGATTTGGAATCTGGTGATGAGGACTATCAAGATGCAGCAATTGTTATACAAAAGTATTGGAGAGGATGGTTGGCAAGAAGATACTATCTGGCCACCAGGCGTTCAATCATCATAATACAAAAGTACTACAAAGGATACCGAGCAAGGAAGGAGTACAAGAGATTGCTGGAGGAAACAAGGTGGATGAGGGAGATCGCTCCACCATCAACTCCAAAGTTAAATATTGTAAGTACAATCTTAGGATTGATCTATGTCCATAACTGATCAATCAATCAATCAATCAATCATAGATCACAAGGACTAGAGGTGTGGCAGGAAGAAAGAGACCTACAAGGGGTGTGAAAGTGGAGTCTAAGGAAGTCGTGAACTCGAAAACAAGTGAGGACTCGACAACAGGTGATGATACACCATCGGTACCAACAAACAAACCAAACTTGGTTTGTGGTCCTGGTGGTATGGCGATACCAAAGTTCAATCCAGCAGCCGTGTCATTAAGATCGATGCCAAAGATGCCATTGAGGGATCATCCCGTGAGTACCTCAAATCCAGAGCTGGCATATCAGTTGAAGAAAGTGCATTTGGAGGATAGACCATCCAACAATACATCATCATTGCCTTCATCACCAGTTATACCTAGACGACCTGTTGCAACAATCCAGCCTCTACCAGGTCTAGACCTCCCACTTCCACCACCTCCTCCAAATGTCCCACCTGTAACCCAACTTCCACCATTTGTAAATATTTCCTCAATACCTCCACCTCCTATGCTCAACTTTCCACTTCCTCCTCCACCCATATCATTACCACTTCCACATCCACCATCAATTGTACATTCCATTCAATCAACATCAGTATCCCAGATGAATCTTCCATTGCCACCTCCTCCTTCCCAGCTTGCAATGTCATCTCCATCATTTCCACCTCCACCATCAATGACCTCCACTTCATTATCGTTGCTCTCAAGGTCTTTTGAGTTGCCTCTGCCTCCAGTAGTTGTAGCATCTGGAGCTACATCAGGTACTCAATCATCAGGACAAGGTAGTCATGCACATGAATCATACCAACAACAGAGTACAGCCTACCGACAAGGACCAAGTGGTGGTAGTGTTGGAAATGAGTCAACAACACTAAAGGAGACTATATGGATAGAGCATCTTACCAATGATGGTAGGAGATACTATCATGAACGTATATCAAATGTAACATCATGGACCAAGCCCAACGCACCATTTCAAACACTTGAGCAGTACAAAGCCCTTAACAAACATCAACAGCAGCCTCCACAAAAACAACTACAACATCACCAACAGCAACAACCACCACAACAAGTTTGGATTGAACATATTACAGCAGAGGGCAAGAGGTATTATCATGAGAAGATATCAAACATTACATCATGGACTAGGCCAAATGCACCTTACCAAACAATCGATGAATACACACCAGTACAAGTTGGTTCGGCAACCGCTGGAAGTGGTAACAAGTCATCATCAGGTAGTCTACACAGTGGTGACACTGAGAAGAAGAGAGTTGGTGGAATACTTAGCTTCTTCCTCCGTTCACGACCATCCAAGCAAGAGTTGGAGAAACGCAACATCTTACACAAGTGAAGTATAATAATAAAAAGTTAACAGGTCTCAATAACATTGCTTGTTGCCAAGCAATGCTAGGGATCGAACCTAGGAAAACCAATAATGTTATTGCTGTAATGAGACCTTGTCTACATTCTATCTCTTTCAAACAAATAAATCATTATTGATCAATTTGTTTGATTGATTATGGGATCTCATCACTGTTTTTGGTCCAAAAAGTATCAAGATTTTGGAAAACACTTGGATTGATCATTCTTCATTGTTGGATTGAGATATAATGTAAAGATATATATATATAATTTTTATTATTATTAAAGTATATAATACACAATTGACAAAAGAATTGTCAATGGAATGAAGGTTGTTGGCGAGAGGAATGTGCCAGCATTGATATGTGGCTCAACTGGAGCATCTCTGAAGGAAACGCTGTTATCATTCACATTGGACTCTGGTATTCTTGATGTATCTGGTTCAATTCCAAGTAGATTTGTCTCAACCATTGCAATGTTTTGTCCACGCTCGATTAAGAAGTATCCATTCATACCCCAGTCCGTGCCCCAACTATTGGCCAACAACCAAAATGGTTTGGTATCGAGTGTTCCCCATCCAACCACTCTTGCTGCGTGACCTTCTTTGTACTCTCCAGTGGCAGCGTATAGGCCTGACTTGTAGGTGTATAGGTCGGAGTGTATATCCAGAGTGGCGATGATTGATCCATGATTCATGATCTCTAGTTGGGCATCCTCGATAGTTGTGAACTTCTTGCAAGACTTTCCATAATAGAATGAAAGATTATCTTGATTGTTACACTTGGTTGGACATGTTGTTGACTCTGACTCCTTATATGGATAACATTGATCTGATACAAGACCATTGCTAATAGTATACTCAATGGCCAGGTCCAAATATCCCAACTTACAACCTAGATTGCAATAAATATTGCCTGGTTTACAGTTATGAGAACAATCTACCATATACTGAGGTGACAATAATTTCTTTACAGTCTTATTTGAAGCGATACACATAGTATCCGACAATACACTTGAGGCAGTCATTGCCCAACAACTAGTGATTATTATTTTTGGAATATTAATATTTAGTAAATGATTTTTAGATTGATTGATGAATATGGTTTGACTTACCTTGAACATATTCCTTGGTTCCTGACTCCGGATATACATGATGGCCACTTTAATCTAGCATCGAATGATAGTGGTATTTGAGCCTTCTCATGGTCTGAATATTTAATAATATTTGAACTACATGATGTTGGATCACTAAGTATACTCGATGATATTGGAGATATTAAAATTAAAAATACAATTAAAAGATAATTAATATATGATTGATTTATCATTGTTTGTAGGTAGGTATATTATATATTATATATATTATAGTTAGTTATTATATATTACAAAGATGAATAAGAATATTGGATATATAGGTTACTGTGAACCTGAAAGGGAAAGTCGAGATTAATAAATAAATAATTAAATAAATGAAGATGGTAACAAAACTGTTGATAATGATGTTAAGGAGGCCTTCATGATTATAAAGAGGTCTTCCAGATTGTCTTTACAGCTTAAAGTGGATAGATGGAGGCTCAACCAACCCTAGTTTGGCAAGCTCAACCGAAACTTCACACGGGTTAACAAACATCATGATGGGGTGTGTGTGTTGGTAGATGTCCAACGAACATTGTTGTTGTCAAGTGACTTTTGCACGAAACGTGGGATATGTGTGTGAGGTTGAGTTGATTGGACACGCATCCCTTGAAGTCGACCACTCACTCAAGTGAGAGCAGTTGAGTTCACACATCGGTGTCGACCAGGCAGTCATCAAAGCCCGAAGTATATGTCGCATGATCACCTGGTGATCCATTGATTGACATTGATTGACACCAGAGCTCACCAAGACATCGGGGAGATATATATATTATATACAACTGATTTGATGATCTATCTTGTGTTATCGATTGAGTATGATTGATTGACTGATTGTTTGAGTGAGTCCAGGTAAACGGCAATGATGAAGATGGTGTAAATAGGAATACAAAGTTGGTGCATATTTATGTGAGTGAAGCTGTTGTCGCTCGTCATGCTGGCTTGGGCCTCATCCATCAAATCAACCTCAACTGCAATGTTGGATGGATTGATGGATGGGTAGAGGGGAAGATCAATCGGTCGATCTAGTGAGGCTTGATTGTTGTTACGTGGATAAATGTTGATGATACTTGATATAGAGATGTGCTATGTTTAGACTATTATCGCGATCGGTTATTAAACGTCTACGATTACTATCTATCTCTGCTCTACTCTACTCCTACTTGTTGTTGTTGTTGGTACTGCTACTGCTATGGTGTGCGTGTGTTGCTAATTATACACTGCTCTTCCTCATGTTCTTGAGTGTAAGTTGACGATCGACTGCAAGCAAGAGTGGTGAAGGATCGTTTGAAGAGCCCGGTGATGAAGATGTCGATGACACCGACTCCCTCTCATCCAAGAAGGAGTCATCCTTATTCCAAGAGAAGCCCTTGAAATGTGCATCAATGCCAGACGTCGACGACTTCCTCTTCTGCTTCTTGAATGTAATTGCTGGATTTAAGTCTGGATCATCCTTGGATGCAACGATTTCCTTGATTGATTGACGAGTGTAAGTATGAATGTTGATGGATTCCTTGATGGTTATGTGAAGTTGTCTTACAGAGATGGTTGGCTTGAATGGTGGCGTGATCATCTTGGACTCTAGTAGACGCCATGGGATAAGGTCAAAGAAGGCGTGGTTCTGGATGTCGGCGACACCACCGGTACCAAGTCTGTTCTTGGGGTCGGGTACGAGTAACTTCTCAAGTAGGTCTTGTGCCTCACTTGACAAGAACATAGGTAGACGCAGGTTACCCTGTATCATTGCCTTGTACATATCATTACGATTCGATGCCAAGAATGGAGAGCGTCCAGTGAGCATCTCAAACAAAAGTATACCAACTGACCACCAATCCTATGTTGATTGATCGATTGAATGAGTTAGTGAGTGAATGAGTGAATATGTGAGTTGGAGGCAACTTACAGCAGCCTTGCCATGTCCAGCGCCTGTGATGATCTCTGGTGCCAAGTACTCTGGTGTGCCACAGAATGTGGTGGCGAATTGGCCATCAGCGTTCTTACCGCCAACGACACTGGTGATGCCACTCTTGGACAGACCAAAGTCTGTTAACTTGATGTGTCCATCAGCACCCAGTAGAATGTTCTCTGGCTTGATGTCTCTATAGATGATATTATTTGAATGTAGGTAGTTGAGTGATGTAATCACCTCTGCAATGTAGAACTTGGCCAATTCCTCTGGGAATCTACCGGCCCTATATTGATTGAATGATTGATTGGATGTTAGTGTCTGGCCGCGCTTGGATGCCAAGTCCAACAACAACATACTTTTGCAAATGTTGGAAGAGCTCTCCTCCTGGGATGTAGTCCATGCACATGAAGAGGTACTCATCGTTCTGGAAGGCAAAGTGTAGTCGTACAATGAATGGATGGTCCATGGTACTGAGCACCATCTTCTCTGTGTTGGTGTGTGCCAGCTGCTTCTTCTTGAGAATGTCTCTCTTGTTGAGCACCTTCATGGCGTACAGTTGACCAGTGTCCTTCTTCTTGACGAGGAACACGCGACCAAAGCTGCCCACGCCCAGCACCTTCATCAGGTCAAAGTCCTCAATGGTCAGCTTCTTCTTCTTGGACTTCTTCTTGTCGCCTGACACCTCCTCCTCGCCAAACTCACACTGAAGGTCGCCGCTGTTGACAGCCGATGTGTGTGTCTTGTTGGCGGCTTGTGATGTTGGCGATGTCTTGCCCTTGTCGGCGATGGCGTTGCTTGGACTGGCACCATTGTCTATGCTGTCCACAGGTGCTTGCAGCTGTATAGTCTTTTGTTGAATGGTGACGATTGGTGCTTGATTTATCTGTTGGTGCGCACGGTCCACCGTTTGCTGTGTTTGTGCCACCAATGGCTTGTTCTTGTCCGAGAGTGGTGCAGTGGCGGGCAAGAACGCGGGCATCTTGGACAACTCGACGATGGGAGAGTAGTCATCCTTCTTCTTCTGCACGAGCTGTCGCTTGAGCTCTTCGGCACGTATCTTCCACACCTTGGCGCCCTCGATACCTGTTGACGTTTGGTGTGTTGGGGATGCACACAGTGCGCCTTGGTGGGCGTCAATGGACTGAGACCAATAGTCTCATCAAAGTCCCTGCGTTCATTAATGGCCATGTTCTGAGACTTTGGCATGTTGGACGGGTGCCAGCTGCTATGTACTGCATGCAAGTTGCTCATCTTGTTGTTGGGGAGTGAGGCCGGTGCCATCTTGGGCGAGATGTGTGGTGACGATGATGGGGACGTCGTGCTGACCGGTGCCGAGACATCGATGGTCGGCTTGACATGTGCTCCACTGACCGCCGTTGAAGCAGGGTCCACTGCCAACGTCTTGTTTCCAACGCCCAATCGTTTGAAATCGGCCACTATCTGTTTCGCCTGTTCAGCGCTATCAGCTTCAAAGTGATACTTGTGCAAGAATGTCAGAGTGAACTTCTGTGTATCACTCTCCTGATGTATACTATACACATCAGAGTTCTGAACGAACCATTGACATGTCTGTCCATTCAAATTCGATACGCCCTGTGAGCTAACTGCTATTGTCCTGTGATTGATTGATTGATGTCAGTATGTTTACTCGTCCAATCGATGAATCAAACATACCTCTGTTGTCTCTTTCCATAACTGTTGACTTTGATGACGTCGAAGGAGACGGTGTGATGATCTTTGTGATGTGAGAGATCTCTCTCCTTCTTGAGTGCACTGAACCATGGCTTATTATTACTCTTTTGTTTATAAGACATTGTTGTTGTATTGTGTTGTTGCGTTGTGGTGTGTTTGGTAATACCTCTCGAGAGGTAGTCGAGAGTTGATTCAAATGAATGATCTTTGGTTGTTTGATTATATCTGTCTATCTATCTTCTTCTTCTTGGGTTAAGTTTATATTACTATTACTATTATTCCAATTATTCCAATTATTATTATAACAATCTCATTGATGGAATGGATGGGTATGTAATACTATCTATCTATGTTTGAGGAGTGAGAGTAAAGCAAATACCCACACATACACTTCCCCCGACCACCACTCCACTCCCATCAAATCACACCAACACAGTGTAATAACAATCATACAAAACACTTCTGTTTTGCATTTACCCATCATTTGTTTACGATTTTCCAAATGGCAATGGTGTTGGCTTTTTTTTTTCACCTGGTGTTTCCCATTTGCATCAGGGCTGAACACTTTTTGCGATTATCAAACAATTTGATCTCCGATGGATGTGATCTTCGCAAAGATCTGTGCAAACATATCTGGTATCTATTCCATAATCTGAACTTCTTCTTCTTAATTAACGACAGACTTCTCAACTAACAAACCAACAAACAAACAAACAAACAAACAAACAAACAAACAAACAAACAAACAAACAAACAAACAAACAAACATTATTCATTGTTAACATAAACTTGACTTATATATAACCTCACATAGATAGACAGATATGACATCGACAACAGAACATCAACAACAACTATCACAATATGAATGTACTTATCATGATGGTGGACGATGTCAATGAATGAATGATGACGATGATAATGATGATGATTGGATAGGTGATTAACATTCTTATATGACCCATCGATGTTTACAGACCTTGATCATACAGCTGATATAATGTTTGTATGTTGTTCATGTCAAGTTACTACTATCTGATCATACATTAACATATCATCAATACAATCAACCAATCAATACAATCAATCGATCAATGATATAGCATACATGTATGTATGAATGAATGATGAGATCTACACATTGATTGATCACTAACATGTCATGTCTTTGACAACAACAACAACCTGTTACAGGGGGCTCAACACTGAATCAATCATATGAACAGATGGCATTGGCAATGATGAACTATATGGTAGAGTTGGATAGCGTACATTTAGATCAACATAGTGAAGATGAGATCAAGGAGCACACATTCAATGTCGAAGGACATGACATGGATAGTCTATTGTTTGCCTACCTCGATGAGATACTCTTTATCTTTAGCACAGAGTTCATCGTCTTCAAAGAGATATCAATCGTATCATTCGACAGAGAGTCATTCAAGATTGAGGCCAAAGGGTATGTATAGTAGATGGCGACCATTGATCACTTACTCATTCATTCGATCATTCCATCAACATTACATAGACGAGGAGTAGAATTGGACAAGGAGAAACATACAACTGGTACAGAGATCAAGGCCATCACATACTCTTGTATGAAGATTGAGGAGAAGCCAGAGAGAACAGATGTCTTTGTCATCGTGGACATATAATAATATTAGTTCATAAATGGATATCGTGCGATTACATTTATTCTTGATCTTCGTCGTCGTCATCGTCGGCGATGGGTACTTGGTCATTATCATCATCATCCTCGTCATCATCCAGAATCTCATCTTCGTCATCAACTTGATCATCATCATCATCATCAGAATGATTGGCGCCATTCATTGTTGTGGTGACTGGCTGTTCATCTTGCTTCTGCTCTTGATCCTTGTCCAGATTGATAATGGCCACTCCATTCTTAACGTTGGACACCTTGTGCCAGCGACCGAATCTATGTTCCTGTCCGATTCCAGCATAGAGCGTTGTTCCCTCCTTTGTAAACACCATGTCGTTGATGAATCCATTCTAAGTGAGTGGAGGTGGATATTGTTAATGAATGTACATTGTTGAGCATGATGGAGATGAAAGCCAACTTACAACATCGATGGTATTGATCTGCTTGAGCTTCTCGCCAAACACTCCCCACAGCCTGATGTGGCCATCGCAGGAGCCTGAAGCTACGACGTCGGCAAACTTGACACAGGCTACAGAGGTGATCCAGGGAAGACCAGAGTGAGGATGTGCGTTGTTTTGGATATGGATTGGGTTCTTCTTGTTGACGTTCCACAGCTGCACTGAGCCATCCTGTGAGGCCGACACGAACTTGTCGTCGGCAAGCAACGCCACCTTGTCGATCGATTGAGAGTGTCCTCTAAAGATCAACTGCGACTCCTCGGGGATCTTCCAGATGCGACATGTGCGGTCGTTGCCTGATGTAATGCATCGCTCTCTGGTGAGCGCGTCAATCGATGTGATAGGGCTCTGATGGCCAAAACGTGTGTCGACAAAGGCCATCTGGTGCAGGTCCCAGATCTTGACCGTGCGGTCGTACGAACCACTGTACAGGGTATAGGTGCCCTTTCTAAAGGCCAGCGCGCTGACAATGTCCTTGTGTCCGCGGAATGTCTCGACGATCTTGAAGTCATTCTCTGTGTCCCACACCTTGATGACCTTCTCCTCGCCACCAGTCACCAAGTATTTTCCATCATGGGACAATGCCATCGCCAATATACGGCCAACGAACGAGTCCTTCTTCTTTGGTGCAACGCTATCTCCATCCTTTTCCTTCTCCTTCTGCTTCAGTTTCAACAGTCTCTGTTTCTCCAAGTTGCCTCTAGAGTTTATCGTTCCCTTTATCTTGTGAACCTTCTCTTTCGTACTCAGGTCCCCTGTTTGATTGAGTGATTGAACGAGTGAGTGAGTGAGTTTGTACTTTGAGTTTGTGTTGACAAACTAAGGGTTACCCTTAGACATGTTACAAATTTCAAAGGGTACCCCCTTTGAGATGAATGGATGACTTACACTTAATGATGGCATCCTTTGAAGATGTATATAAATAACGTTCATCGTCACTTAAGACGATGCAGGTAACTGGCTGGTCGTGTCCTCTTAGCAGGGTGATGTTCTTGTCGGTGATGTTGAGTGTGGATATTGGTGTCTTGAGTTGTCGTTGGTAACGGCTAGATGATCGATCCTGTTGTTATTATTATTGTTACATTGTACTTGGTGTCAGTATACATAATCAATCAATCATTCAATCATGGGAGAGATACAAACAATGTCTTGTTGCAGGGCGTCTGACATATTCATCTCGCCTCTGGCTGCCGCGATCTTCTTGAGGTATTCCTTGGCCAAACGAACTCTCTTCTCATCGGCAGTCTCCTCCTCCTCGTCCACAGGCATTTCAATACGCTTCCTCTTGTATCTATTTTGGTTGTTGTCCTCGTCTTCTTCGTCATCGTCTCCATCCTGGTCGTCGTCGTCTTGATTATCTTCTTGGTCATTGTCTTGTGATTGATACATTGAGGTCTCCTCATCGCTTGATGATCCATCATCTCCATTCATCATTAGGTGATCATCATTGTTGTCCATATCGTCATTGTTGTCATCTCCACTCTCGTTGTCATTGTCATTATCATTATCATTGTCGTCATCCTTGTAATAGTCATCCTCCTCTTCATCTCTATTCTTTCTTTTAAAGTCTTGTCTGCCTCCTCTGTTGCCACCTCTTGCACCACCTGCACCAGCTCCACCTCTGGCACCACCTCTGCCGCCACCACGAGGGACAAATCCACCTCGACCACCACGTGATGGTGCGCCTCCACGACCACCTCTTCCACGCATGGCGCCATTGGCTGATCCGCCTCTTCCTCTACCACCGCCACGTGATGACGATGAAGAGTCTGAACGATGTTGATATGATTTGACAGCGCCTCCTCCAGAGCCATTCTTTCCTCTATTTCCTGTGCCAGGTGCACTACCTGGTTTGACAAAGAAGCTATCCATTCTTGTCTTCTTCTTCTTTAATCTCTTTTAATATAATATATGTATGTTATTGAAAGAAATAGAATGAATGATCATTCAGTTCAAAGTCGTTGTTGTGTTTTGTTATTCACACAAGACGAGTGATTAGTAAAACAAAATTAAAAAAAATCATTGTTTTGTGAATGCAGACGACTCGACTCGTCTTTCAAAACAATGAGAGTGATGTGGTGAAATTTTTTTGAAACACTATTATTATGTACAACTATCAAGTGATAACTTGTCAATGAGTTTTATAATATATTTATATATATAGACTCCTCGTCCTCTATATCTCTTTTCGATAACAAAGTATGGATGTGGAATATGACGTAGTCTTAGAGATTGAATCACTAGGTTTCAAATTTGTATTTTGAACTATGTATATATTGAAAGATGTGTAGCTTGATGGAATCATTCCATATATCCTCGAGACCCAATAACAAAATGTTGTCGAATTGTTAATTAAATGATCATTGTGGTGATGGCTGTGAAAAGGTTTGAAAAAAAAATAAATGAACCACGATAAAATTCTTCAGAGAGTTTCAGTCATGGCTTCAGATGCATGTTTGGAGCGCGAACTTGCACTTCTCTTGATTCTTCCATTCATTCATTCATAATTTATTAATATATTATTATTATTAATATATATATATTAAATCAACTTCAACACACACATAAACCTTCTTTATATTTATAAATAATGGATTCAGTAAAGAAGAGAGAGTATGCAGAGGATGAAGTTGACTACTACAGCAACATCCCAGCTGGCAACTATGACATGTCAATGAACAGTAGTGACACATATCACAAGAGAATCAAAGTGGACAACTCTACATCATCAGACTAGTATGTAGTGTAGTTAGTAGTACTATGAATGCATGTCTTGACGTATATACTCACTCACTCATTCATTCATTCAATCATTCATTCATGTAGCGGTGAACAAATATCAGGACCAAGTGCCGTTGTACATTGTAGAGGATTACCATTGACTGCCACTGAAGTGGATTTGAGATCACTTCTTTCGTCCTATGGACGTGTTGAGAACGGTAAGCATTTAATGAACAGCACTTGTTGTTGATCACACAACCATATCAACAAATCCTACCCTCCCTCCTTGGGTATACCCAACCTTACAATGATCACTCATCCTAATCACACACTACTACTTTCCTTTCCTTTCCTTCAATCCAATACCTCCCTCGATCAATCAACCAATCTGATCACATGCATGTTGCCCTTCACTCCCTCGCTCGATCGCTTGCTCGCACTCTCTCCATCGCTTCGCTTCCCTTCGCTTCATGCCACATCCCACCAACTCGTCGTCATCGTCGTATCCCATCAATCAATCAATCGATCAATCAATGCATCAAAGTTTGCATATTGCGTAAAGGACAAGCATTGATTGAGATGGATTCGATACAATCCTCAACAGCCATCATCGACTCCACGACGCCCATCAGCTTATACGGACAAAAAGTTTGATATCACCAATAGCATCAAGCAACAAGCATTAGCCCGCCGGCCACAACATCAACGCTCAAGCGTGCGCGTGACTACTAACTCAAACTCCGTCAATCAATCAAACAAATAATTAGATACAATTCTCTTACTCTAAGAGCCAACATTTGAATCAACCATCAAAGAAGAGCAATGCCCCTATGGGCGCGGCACCACAACAGAGTGCAGGCAACATCTTGCTCTGCTCCATCATGACGCCACTCTACCCAATCACAACCAATGTGCTCCACACCATCATGTCACCATATGGTCGCGTCCTCAAGATAGTCATCTTCCAAAAGAAAGGCATCCAAGCATTTGTTGAGTAAGTCTCGCTCGTATGCAGAGGCCAACTGGGGTCACATGCTTACCATCACCTCCCTCACCAACCAGGTTCGAATTGTCATACTCGGCATGGGCTGCCAAGGAGGCACTCAATGGACAGGACATCTACACAGGCAGCTGCACTTTACAGATCGACTTTGCTCGTGTGAGCACCTTGAACGTTAGACAGAACGATGATAAGACGTTTGATTACACATTGGATCCATACCAGACTGGAATGATCCCACCACAAGCATCACCATACGGTGCATTCCCTCAGGCTGCTGCCGCCTCTTCGTACGGCAAGCCAATGGCCTCGCCCTACGGCAATGTGATGGCGCCACCCGCTGCCTATCCCACCCAGCCACAGGTGCACCCCGGCTTCATGGGCTACCCAATGGAGCAGGCAGGCATGCCATCCAGCGTCATCATGGTGCACAAGCTGCCCGAGAACGTCACATCTGATCACCTGTTCAACCTGTTCTGTCTGTACGGCACAGTGGTCAAGGTCAAGATGCTCCACGCCACCAAGGCTGGTGCCATGATACAGATGGCCGACTCTGTAATGGCCGACTCTGCCATCCACTGTTTAAATCAAGTGTTGGTCTTTGGCCAGAAGTTACAAGTGTTCCACTCAAGGCATCAATCAATCGCAGACTCTGACAAGACAAAAGGTAAGATTGGCTAGATACTTCTTGTTCATGGCATCGCACTAATGTCCCTCCCTCCTTCCCTCCTTCACTTCCAATGTCAAGACTACACCGACTCACCTTACAATCGATTCAAGGCAGGTGGCAACACATACAAGAATATATACAAACCATCGGCAACTCTCCACTTTTTAAATGTACCCAACACATTCTCAGAGCAAGATTTGATCAATGTAAGTCTACTAGTACCATCGATAGAGTGTGAGACTACTCAATGATGATGTTCTAACCAACTGCCTCCATGCCCTCTGCCACAGCACTTTGTAAATCTTGGAGCTAGCGCACCAACTCAACTCAAGTTCTTCCCACCCCAACCGTATGTATCCCAGGCATGCGACATGACATCAAGCCTTCTCAACACTCTACTTACACTCCTCTTCGTCCTCACTCATATAGTGCCAGTTTGAAACAAATGGGATTGATTGAATTTAGCGATGTCAAGACTGCAACAGAGGCATTAGCAGTATGTTAGGATGAACCGCTCGGCCATGTACAACTCACTCACATCATCACCATCCTCCATCATCAATTATAGATTGCCAACAATTCAAAGATAGAAGGAAATAACTCATTGAAGCTCTCCTTCACAATCAACTCAATCCACAAGGATTCCGAAAAGAAGGCTCCAGGTTCGTAATAGGCCTTTACCCGCATCCCATCCATCTCCACCCACCTACCGACCTACCCTACCTACCTGCTCTACCTTCCAATGGTTGTTATGTAACATAATACGCCACACTACACCACCTCCATCTCCATCTCTCCACCTCCGCCTCCATCTCCGCCTCATTGCTGGAGACCCCCTTGGTCATCACTAGCATTCAATCCATGCTGCGCTTGTACAAGTGTGTATAGAGTCCACCAATCAATCAATCAAACCCAATGCAAACCAATCATTCAACAAACAATACCATGTTCATCAACAATAAATGTCACCTCCTCTCAACCATACATAACATTCCTCTCATTCACTCAATCCAATGACCATTCCATATCCATTCCAACTTCACACACCTCACTCAAAAGAATCAATCACAATCGTCAAATCCAATTCGATGAACCACAAGATTTGAAGGTGGAAGTCCACACACAATGTTAATTTTAGATCACAAAAGGGCGTGTCCATTGATACTAAAAGACAGAAGTAAGTTAGTAAATGATCATCCAGGACACATCCAAGTCCATTCATTCATTCATTCATTCATAGTTGTATAAGCATCATATATATATATAATATAATATAATATAATAATGTTAATATTGGTAAAGACACCAACAATCACATTCAGTTTGGATGTGCAGCCAGAGGACTCTACAGAGGTGCTCTACAATAAAGTTGGAGAGAGAACAGAGTACAAACGATTCCAATTCGAGTTGTTGTTTGCTGGTGACAAGTTGTCAAAGGGTACCATTGGAGGATGTGGTGTAAAGAAGGAGAGTACCATTCACATGATCGTCATCAAGGAGTTAAAGTTCACTGTTAGATACAAAGAGAATGAGTATCCACTGGCCATGCCAAACAATGCCGGTCTTCAAATCAGTCATATGATTAGGTAAGTGAGTTGGATCACTCACTCAATCAATCAATCAATCTTACTAATACACATCCACCATCCATCATACCATCACAGCCAAATCAAGAACACATTGAGGGAGTCAATTCCACAACTGTCCAACTCAACGATCGCTGTTCATGTTCCAGGCAATCCAGCACCATTATACAATTATACATTGATCCAGGATCACTTTAAGAACTTTGAGGTGGTCGAGTTGTCATTGGTCGAGAAGCCAGTCTACAAAACAGTAGAGCCTTACATTCCTACTTATGGGTCAATGAAGATGAAGGATGCTCCAAGTCCTGTAACATACAAGTCATCATCAGTTGAGTCAGCCCCAATCATTCAACAAGAGGAGGAGCAGTTTGATGCCGATGGTCTCCTTAGTAGCTTTGTGGAATCCTCCATCTCATCTGATGTTGAGGTCGTATTCTGTTTCGATACAACTGGATCAATGTCATCAATCATTAAGAAGTAAGTGCCATTAAGGGCCAGCCCAAGTAACCTAACTAACTTTGGATCCACTATAGTGTACGTACACAAGTGAAGAACACTGTTACAAGATTGATGAGGGACATTCCAAACATTCGTATTGGTATTATGGGTCTTGGAGACTATTGCGACAAGAAGGATGTGTTGACAACATTGGACTTGACTCAGAATGTTGAGGACTTGGTGTCCTTTATCAACAAGGTGCCAGACACTAATGGTGGAGACTCACCGGAGGCCTACGAGTATGCATTATATCGTGCCAAGGAGTTGTCTTGGTCAACTCACACATCCAAAGCATTCGTTATGATTGGAGACGCCAATCCACATCCACCATCATACACTGACTTGAAGATCAACTGGTTCAAGGAGTGTGATGATCTCCACAACATGGGCATCAAGGTCTATGGTGTCAAGGCACTTGGACGTTGTGTCTTTTACGATGAGATTGCAGAGCGAACTGGAGGCATCTGCATTACATTCAACAAGTTCAACCTCATCACCGAGATGTTCTTGGCCATTTGTTACCGTGAGGCGTCATCCAAGAAGTTCAAAGAGTACGAGAAGGAGATTGCCAAGGAAGGCGATTCAGACCTCAAGCAGATCCTGAATGACCTCAATCAAGAGAACTTTACGGTCGAGAGCACTGTCCCAGCTCCATCACCAGACACCGTTTGCCAAACCAATCAGCGAAGAGTCCAAGGACGCTCCAACTACATCCACCACCACAACGACAACAACATCAACTACCACCTCTCCCACCTCCAAGGTTATCTCAAAGGTATATGGAGTTCCAACCAAGCCAAGGGTAGATGAGAACTGGTACGACTTCTCAATCGACTACTCAACCACAGGATACTTCTTCATTCCAGAGATTGGATACTTCAAGCACAAGAGAGAATTGGAGAAGGAGGCCCAGACCAACACTTCCTCGAGCACATACAGTTCAAGATCCTCAACTGCAACATCTAGTAGCTCAATCGCCAGCTCACCAACTCCATTACCAACTCCTACTCCATCCACCTCAACACCTCCACCAGCTCCAGTAGTTGTTTATACTCCACCACCACCTCCCGAGCCATTGGTCCCAGTCACCATTTTCAACTTCAACTACCAGATCAGTTCGATGCCAGTGACTTCACCATACCTCTCTGCAATGGTCATTGGCGCTGATAAAGTTGGAAAGACCACGTTCACAAGATCCATCTCATTCGTTGCCAAGAACTATAAGGGTAGCATTCAATTCAGAGAGAAGACACATATTACCGTGGACGAGTTCAGAGATGCATCATGCTTTGTCATCTGTCTGGATATGACCGATGCCAAATGCATGGAGCAACTACCATTGTTGTTGTCAATGGTTAGACAGAGAGAGTTGACCAAACCAATCTTTGTGGCTGGCCTTAAGAGCGATGGAGTGGTCCCAAACTCGGTCCAAGTCAGCATGCAATCACTGGCAGCAGTATACTCAGTGTTGGACAGCTTCACCTATTCCCAATACATGAGCCACGAACAGATCAAGGACATTGAGTTGACAATGCGTAAGAAGTTGCAACCAAGTGGAAAGGCTTCCAAGAAAGAAGGCGCAAGCTGCTCCATAATGTAATATATTAAAAGATACTAGATGTATTTACAATTATCCATGTTCTGTGTATTACTACGTTTGCTTTTGTGGTGTTGGTGGAAGTACATTTGGTCGTAGTGACTTGGGTTTGGGTGGAGGGTTTGCCCTCAGTGGAGGTGAGTTGGTAGATGATGGATTGATCGGTTCTTTTGTCAATGGTTGGTGATGAGTCGGAGGAGTTGCTGTTGGTGTGGCGGCGGTGACAGGTGTTGGGTCAAGAGTGGGTTGTTGAGGTTGAGTATGGACTGATGTAGTCTTTGGAGGGGTTGGTAAAGCTCTGCCGCTTGTTGTGTGATTGGTTACGCTGCCCATCAACGGGAAGCCAGTTGGCTTGGGTAGTGGGCGTGGCTCAGTAGTGCGAGGTACTGGTTGATGGACGCTGGACGAAGGTATGGGAGTAGCGATTGGATTGGCTTGAGTTGTTGCCGTTGGAACGACCATAGGCTTCAAAGGTGGGTTTGATCGTCTTTGGAGTGTAGCTGGCTGTGGTTGGATCTCCTTTGGAGGTGTCTGCACCTCTTCCACTGTTGCTAGTCCAAGATTGGTGCTTGTAGGTCTCAGAGGTGGGTTTGATCGCCTTGGGAATGGTGCTGGCTGTGTCTCATCGAGCGGTGCCATCTGGTTGCTCTTGCGTCTACTCTCTTGGACACTGGATTGCAGGGTGGGAGATGTTGTTGGTGTAGTGGCCAGTTTGTTGAAGTTCTGAATGATACTCGAGACTGATCCAGTGCTTGAGCGCACAATCTCGCTTGATCCAACACGCTTGCTAGGGCTCTCATGGTTGTGGGAGGGCGATGCCATTGGCTTCCTTGGAGAAATAGGCTTCCTTGGGGATACTGGCGCCAGGCTATCCCTTGGAGGTATACTCCTACGTTGTTGGGGCTCTGTTGTTGTTGTTGTGTGTGGCACAGGTGTAGGAACTGGAGCAAGCTTGTACGATGTGCTGGCCACTCTTGGGACGTTGCTAGGTGGAGTTGTGACTTGTGAGTGTGTAGTTGGTGTAGTCGTATGTGTTCTGGTGTTGGAGTTGGTGGGGATTGGTCTTGGAACAACTGGTGCCAAGCCAGGTGAAGTAGGTTTCGATGGCAGAGGTGGGGATGAATGCTGCTGTTGCTGTTGCTGTTGATATTGTTGATGCTGTTGTTGGAATAGTTGATGTTGTTGTTGGAATGCATGTGGGTGATGGATCTGTTGTACATTGTTTGTTGGAGGTGGAGGCGACTGGGTGACAGCTGGTGCCTTTCGCAGTCCTCGGTTGGGGACAGGTGGAGCCACCATTGGATTGAATGCCGATGGCTGTACATTGTTGTTGACTGGGGGATGAGCCGTGACAACAGGTGGGGCCGTTGTTGTTGTTGGGGCCGGTGGTGTAGTTGTCGAGATGATTCGACTGTTGCGGTCTGGTCGTGAGGGGACTGGTGCGGCCACAGGAAGAATGGGCACAGAGCCTGTCATTGGTGTACCAACAGGCTTGGTCCTGGTGATCAAGTGAGGATCAGAGTTGGTACGATCCAAGGTGCTGTGGCTTGGCCTGTCGTCCGATCCATCCTTCTTGATCACGTGTTTCAGTCGACGGAACTTGCCAGTGATGGTGTCACGCTTGCCTCCACCCGATGAGGTCAGGTTGGGTGAGCTGGCCGAGGGGTCCTGTGACTGGCCATTGCTGTTGGGATACATTGTCGAGCGTCTCTTTGAGTTCTTATCTCCGAGGAGTGAGTTGAGCTTGAACATCGCACTGGAGCGCACGCCACTTCCTGTCATCGCGGGGTTGGGTGGTGTCATTGAGCGAGGAGCACCAGCGCCACCAACAGTGCTGAGATCATGGCCATGTCCACTACCAGACATTGTGATAAAGTCGTAGCAATACAGACACACTCTCACGGGCTTGTCCTTCTTGACGTGAGGCAGTAGCTTCTTGGCGGGACTGCACGAGCCACATACGACCTTGCCACAGTTCCTGCAGTGATGTCTACGATTGATGATGGTGAATGAGTCATTGCAGAACATGCACTTGGACGCGTCCTTGTCGGGCACCCACACTGGCACCTCGACACCGTCCTCTCCTTGTTTGGTACCGCCTCCGCCTCCCAGCTGTCTGAGGTCATCGAGCCAGTTGGTCTTCTCCTTTGGCGTCTCGGTGTAGACGGTGAATGACTTCTCTGTCGTGCTGATGATTTGGAAGGCATTCTTTTGCGTGTCCTTGTCAGGCAGGTCCTTGATCTTGATGTCCTTCAACTTCATCAATCGATGGAACACAAAATGAGTGTTGGCTTGTTGAGCCATGTTTGTAGATGATCCAGACTGCATGATTGGCGTTGACTTTGTAGCGTAGATGAGTATATCTGAGAACAAGAAGAAGAAGCGTGGCTTTGGTACCTTGCGGCACACCTTCATCAAAGTTCCCTCTCTAACAAATACTCTTCCTTCACTTATGATCTGAGATAATGGATGTTAGCTTGGTCACCAATGGATTGTGGCGCGGACAATGTGTACAACATACCCTTGGGCCTCCAGCCAGCTCGTTCTGGATCTTCTCGACCTTGAGCTTGTTCTCCTGTTTCCTAATCTCCTCATTCATGTCCTTTGTAGCCTTTGAGATGAACTCTAGGAAGTTCTTGATATCATGATAATCAATGTGTTCAGGCTCAGTCTGGTCCAATATCTCATTGAACAACAACTTGATCCTTGGCATTCTCTGTACTGGCATGATCTAAACAAAGTATTGGTATCCAGTGTTAGAACATGTCCATGTCCATCATCATGCACTCGATCAATAACTTACAAGGTATGCCTGAAGGTCCAATCTAGACTGCTGTGCTTGGGTATCCCTAACACCGTGAATGAATGTGACAAAGGATGGCTTCTTCTCCATTAGCTTGGCTATCAGCTCGATGGCAATACCATGATTCTTGCCATATTGAAGGTAGTCCTTGTATCTGGCCATCCTTGACAAGAATGGCTTGGCAACATTCTCATTGCCAGACTTGATCGCTTCGTCCAACTCCACGAGAACCTCATCACTCATCTGTTTGATCGTCTCAATACAGGAGAATATCGATTCAAAGTGCTCCTTCTCCAAAATGGCTGGCCTGTTGTTCCTCAGTGGCTCCAAGTAAAGCTGTTTGTTTGTTCAAATTGAGTGAATTTGTTAGTCGGTGAGGGTCGGTCGAGAGGACATGCCATGGCATGGACACAAACTAACATACAGTGATGACAGAGTTGAGATGATTGGAGAATGATCGTTCGGAGCTGACAACCTCGCGGATCAGTCTGCTCCTGTGGCTGAGGGTGCTGTCGAATGTTTCGTCAAAGTGCTCGGGCGTGCTACCCACGCTACTGACATCGATGCTCTCGGATAGCGCCACGTTTGAATCGGTCTCTTGGTGGACGGACAGTGGGGAGTAGCAGCTGGCCACCTCTCCATCTGTTTCGGCCTGTCCCTCACTCTCTGCATACACAGACATCGAGTCCTGTGTCTGTGACGTGTGGCTCAATAACGAAGGTGAGGTATATCCTTCGCTAGACTGGTCATAGTATGGTTGTTCTTCTCCTTGTTCTTCTCCCTGTTCTTGTGCTTGTTCCGGCTCTTGTTGTGGTTGTTGTTCGGTTTCGTATGATGCATATTGGTCTTGATGATCCTGGTGTTGCGCCAGTTGTTCGTCGTGTTGTACATGGTTGTCCGTTGTGTCATGTTGAGGTTGTTCCTCACTTGTCTGTGTGTATTCATCATAAGATGTACTATTGTCCACGGCCTGTTGTTGTTGCTCATAGTCAGCATCATAATGTTGTTGATGTTCCTGCACCTCCTCTTGTTGAGGCGTATGTTCCTCAACATTATAATGTTGTTGTTCATATTGCTGTTCATATTGCTGCTCCTCCTGATTATCATAAGTATATTGTTGTTGATAATCTGTGTGTTGTACCTCTTCCTGTTGCTGTTGATCTTCATTATGAACATGTCCATGTTCATGTTCATACTCCTGTTGCTCTGCATTATCATAATGTTGTTGTTGATGTTCCTCCTGATTCTCATAAGTATATTCTACTTGATGTTGTTGTTCTTCTTGTTGTACACCAACATCGACATTATCATGTTGATGATACTGTCCATCGTCAGTCTCCATGATCAATATATATATCTAATTGGATATATTTAAACTGTTTTGATGTCTAAAGATGAATGAATGTATATTAATAACTTAAAGTATAACCTTATGTGATACTGTATGAGTATGTTGTTGTTGAGTATATGTGTATACGTATGTGTGTATGTATTTATGTATGTGTATGAGTGAAGGATGCAATGAATAAACAAATAACAACTACAACAGAACAGAGTCTGTCTTTGCATGAAGACAACCACTACATTCGGAATCCCCCACATTGTTGTTGTTATTTGCATGCTTCTTCATCTACCCCCACAAATATCCATTGTATTAGTAAGACTATTTTCAAATTCAAACAAGTTGTTGTCGTGATTGGTAACGGGTCAATCCAATCATCAACAAAGTTGATACTAATATTAATTATTATTATTATTATTATTAATATTAATATTTATATTTATTTATTATCCAGAGGGGATGTTGTTGACCCATCAACCAATCATAATGAGTGAGCCAGCCGATAACTTTAGTTATTTCTTCTCATAGCATATATGATTCCATAGTGATTGATGTTGTGGCGCAGTGACAGTACCATCGAGATTCATAAACTCGTGAACAAAGTACACGGTGAAGCTGTGTAGCATCTTATCGCCAAAGTTCACGCTGTTGAACTGCCTGCAGATGTACCGACCCGTCTCCAAACGGAGACCCTCCGAGCCAAACTGGTTGTAGCCATTCTCCCAGAACTTGAACCAACGATGGTTGCCGTACGTCGTGTCGAAGGGCACGGGCTTCTCAAAGTCCACCTTGTAGTTGATGTTGGTGAGCAGGTCGTGGAAGGCGTTGTCCTTGAACAGCTCGACTCGCGTCCCGTCATCCAACACGCCGTGTATCGCGTGCCACCAGTGCACCTTGGGTGGTGCGGGACTGAACATGTTCCAGCCCTGGTCGAAGCGCAGGAGGAATGCCAACTGCGTCCATTTGAAGCCCCAGCCGGGGATCGTGTGGTGGAAGATGTTCAGGTTGAAGCCCAGCACAAGGTAGCACATGATCAGGCAGACCGTGTTGTTGTAGACGGAGAAGATGCGGTGCGAGGGGCGACGGTGATGTCTGCGGCGGATGTAGACTGATGGGCGACGGGTGCATGCCTGCGACTCTTGTGTCTTGATGTGGATGAGGTTGACGATCTTGCCAGCGACCGAGCAGACGACCTCGGGCACCTTGCTAAACAGCCAGGCGAAGGCGAACAGCAGTGGCGACTTGCTGGCCAGGTGGTTGAGTGCGGCCAGGTTCTTGCGACGGATTCCATTTCCATCGATCGTGACGAACCAGTCGTCACCAATCCTTCTGCGCTTGCTCTGCTCGTCGTCGCTGCCGAATGGTGTGGTGTTGATGGTCGACATGGACATGGCCATGGCGGGCTCCTCCTGAATCTTGTCCATTGGTGCGTAGATGGCGCATGTGGGCAGGATGAAGAAGGTCTTCATGATGAGTGTGGTATACTGGCTGAGTGGTGATGAGGTGTTGTAGAACACACGCAGTGGGCGTGCGCCCTTCATCAGACGGCGTTCAAAGAAGCCAAAGGTATACTCCCAGAACACTGGTGACAAGTTGATAGTCTGTGCGCAGAAACACACCCAGAAGAAAAGGCCGAGACGGAGGCAAGACACGAATCCAGCATGCAACGCCATAAATCCAACTGCTCCCAATATCCTCAAGTAATCAGTGTAGAATGGCATGTACCAGCAGAATGCTCCAATGAACTCCCACTTGGCAACTGCGAGTGTCATCAACCTGGTGTGTTATGGGGGAGTGTGTAAGTGTGTGATCAATCAGGTGATCATGGAATAGTTCCAAACATACTTGAGGGTGGTCCTCCATGGAAGGAGCATGCGAGCGAATGGGGTTTGGAAGTAGTCGAGACTGATGGCGTAGAAGGTGGCTTCTCCGTTCTTCCATTCCTCACCGTACTTGTGGAAGTAGGATGCGACGTACATGCAGGACATCTGGAGCAGGACTAGGATGGTGGCAAAGGAGATGAAACGATGCTTGTTGAGTGACTCGGCATAGCTCTCGCGCACTTTGGGTGCACCATTGGCACGGGCATCACTCTCGGACTTGGCTTCATCGACGGTGGTCACCTCGACGAGTGGGGATTGCTCCTCGTCTCGTGCCATTGTCGACGAGTTGTTGGCAAACGTCCATTTGTCCACGGAGAAACACTCGGCGGTCGGCAAGAAGATGGTGAAGAATAGCAAGATGCGGAAGTAGACATCGCCACCGTGGCCGACCAGGCCGACGTAGGCCTGCAGCGACACGGTCATGGCCCAGGTGAGGAACGAGTAAAGCTTGGTGCGGTTGCCAATTGCCATGTTGAAAGCAAAGAAGAAGTGGATCAAGAAGAAGCAGAGCTGGGCCCACCAGCTGGTGTTGGCCAAATGGATCGGCACAAAGTAGTTGGACGAGTACTTGGTGACGATGAGGTGACGCGGGAACAGACCGTTCTCGGTGTAAATAGTGTAGAGGTCACCCATGCGTTCAACAATGTCGCCCATCACACAACAGCCCATCGTGAAACGGTAGGCGGCCAGTGATCTATAGTCCATACCAAACATCATTACAAAGCGCTGCCATACTGCACGCATCGTGTCCTTAGACATCAGGTTGGCGAGAACCTGTTTCTTGGATTTGACTTTGCCCATTCCTCTATATATATCCAGGTCAGTCAATGAACTTATATCTATCTCTTTCTTGTGTTGTATATGTATGTCAATCAGGTGACTACCTTGATTGATGGATGGATATTATGTGTATATATGAATAATAAATATTATAGGATTGAATGATTGATTGATAGATGGAAAGTTGTTAGTGATTACTGAATGAATGACTGACTTTGCTGATGATGATGATCCCAATCAATAAATATTATAACATGCCTTCTACTTTGTGTACTACATCAATCAATCCAATCCATTACACTCCACTCACACCATCCATTCATTCATCCACGTTGACAGTAGAGGGCTCTCTCTCTATCACTTTTGATTGCCATCCATCCATCTATCCATCTGCAGAGCACATGTATAAAATATTTATGTGTACTGCAGAGAGTGAGCTGCTGGTCCATCATGCCATGCCACACTTAAATCCACTGCAACTGGTAGTATGCTGGCTGGCTACGCCTGGATGTTGTGTTGTGTGCCTCCATTGTGTTTGATTATGTTGAACTGATTGATCACCTGACATCCAAACGTGTGTGTGCTCCATGTGACAAAGGTGATAAATGTGATTGATGGATGGTGTGTGATCGTGTTGTGTGTGTGTGTAAATGAGTGTATGTGTTTGATTGATCAAGTTATATGTGATTGATTGATGTGAACCACACACATATCATCACATGGGCCTTGTGGGTGGGGAGTCTGCAGTACTGTTGCCAAAGCAATCAGTTGGATGTCATTTGTGTTGTTGAGTGAATGCTACAGTAGCAGTGAGAGTGCGCGAAAGAATGAGAATGTTATGTGTGGAAGAGAGAGAGAATATATATGTGTTGGTGCACGCCAGAGGCTCACACCCAAGGGAGGAAGGACCACAAACAAGGTTAGGTCCCCTACCTGGCAATTATTGAATTATACATGTTTGGTCCGCTTGTTCCTTATTCATCTTCATCTGTTTCTTTTGTTGCTGTTGATGCTGACGCCGCTTCTGTTGTTGCTGTTGCTGTTGTTGCTTTTGTGACAATGGCCCCTCGTGGAGCCATGGCATTGCTGGTTGTTGATCGCACTCTATTATTGATGCTTGTGGCTGCTGCTGGACCACCTTCACCTCTGGCTTCTTATGAGGCGGCCCATTGCTCTCGTTGTTGATTGTGAATACAAATGCGCTCAGGGGCTTTGAGTCCCACGAGGCACTATTCTCCTCGCCCTGTATCTCTTTGTAGGGCCTCTTAAATATCTTCCACATTGAGTTTCCAGACAGAGATCGCTGCGTTGGACGCGGCCACAGACTGCGCGTTGTGATGATCTTGGTGCGATGTCTGGCCTCCTGCTTCAGTCGCTGCATCAGTTGGATGTCCATCTCGGGCGTGAACTTGACGTTGTTCATAAAGATTATCGTGCAGTCTGAGATGGGAAGTGGCGAGGTCACCGCGTCGCCATGGTGTATCTCGATGCGCTGTGATGATTCATGCAGGCCCTTTTCGGCCGCTATCTCCTTGTATCGCACCAACATGTCACTGGACAGCTCGTAAAGGTCGCGTCTAATCTCGATTCCAATTGCGCGACAGCCGACCATCGACGCCACCTGGAACAGAACATTGCCCAGCGCGCAGCCAACGTCCAGCAGCACGTCGTCCTCGTGGAGTAGTCCCTCCGCGAGCAGATGCAGGATGAACTTTGGATTGACCTCGCCATATGTCTCCTTGCTGTGTGCCTTGTATTTCTTGAGAACCTTGTTGTCAATGCCTTCGCGCAGGCGATCATACACGCCCAACCATTCAAAGTATGTGAGGCGTCGACGATTCGGGTCCCAGTTCATTGCCGCGTGTTCCAGCTTTGATGGGTCTGACTTGATGACCTTGACAAACTCTGCACGCTCATCATCATTGTCCTCATCGGTATGCGAGTCTGCTGTGATGTTCTTGTTGCTCTTGTTGTCCATTGTCTTTGTCTTCTTCTCATCGACAGGACTTCTGGTCGGTGACTGTTTTGTTGATATGCCTGAGGCAGCAGCCGCCGCTGTCCCCACCAAATGCCTGAAGTGATTGGTCTTGCTACCCAGTGGACGCCCAGGACCACGCCTTGGCGGAGGCGTAGGGGGCATTTCAATGACAGATGTACTTGTTCGTCGCGGTCTCTTTGTTTGTGTCGTCGGTGTGTAATTATAATACTCGTCCACTGATTCTGAACGTTGCTTCCTTGTTCGCTTCTCCTTGCTCTCCAATGTCAGTGCCGCTTTCTTCTCATTGTCCTTGGCCAACTGCCATGATCTTGTTATTTTTGTGTCACATGATACCTCCTGTTCCTTCTTTGTTATATTCTTTACTGACACACTATTGTCGCTCCAGTCATTGTCATCGTCATCATTGGCACTGCCATGGCCATCTCTATAATCGTAGGCAGGTGACCCCAGTTGAGTAGTTGGCGAATCAATGGCAATGGTAACATTGTCCTCTGGTGGCGGAGAGGGTGGTGGTTGTTGTTTCGTCTTCAGTCTTGTAGTGGATGCGGCCGTCTTTGTATTCAATGTGTTTGTCTTTATCGGTGTCTGTGTCTGTGTCTTTGTCGTCTTTGTAGTCGTAGACGTTGTCTTTGTTTTTGTCGGTGTCGTTGATGGTGATGGAGTACTCAACAGTTTGCTACTTCGCCTTGTCCTCATTGTTGTTTGTTGTTGTGTTTCACAGTCATTCTCATCTATTATTATATATCCACCTCCTACATGACTACCATTCAGTACCATTTGTTCCACCTACTTCCTCTCTCTCTATATAATTACAACAAACAATATATATATCTATTATCTCTATCTTTTAAAGATGCATGTGAATAATAAGATTAAACAGACGAATGTTGCATTCATTCTTGGAGGTTTTGAGCCCAAAACACCCCTTTTTGAAGTTTGGCGCGAGACTCAGGTCGCGGTGATGGACCAGGTGTCTTTATTCCTGATGGTTGGATGATCTTGGATGACTGTGTTGATTGATTCCATGACATCATTGGCCGGCTCATATCCATCGAGGAAGCTGATGTATAGTTGTTCCAACATTAGATTGGAATCTATACCTTCAATCAAATCTTGATCGGAGCTGTTACCTGAGCGTTCAACATTCAAACATGTAAGCTCACGTATACCAATAGCCTCTTTCAACAACCTTGACAATCTCCTCATTGAGATACCTTTGATTGTGAAGCATGTGACATTGGCCAAGTCTGCGAGGTGGCCACCAGGTGTGCCAGGGTAATTGGGAGTGTAAGTCAGCTTGTCCAACGACCTCTTGACAGGGACCAATACATCGACATCAAGACTAAGATCTTGGATATTGGCAATTGATGGATGATCGGATTGGAGTAACAGTACGAGGAGCTCAGGGTCATCCACATCACACTTGAGACTGGTCAACGATTGTTGTTTGGTAAGATAGTTGCACAGATCGCGAGTAAAGCCTGTTGACAATGGAGATGAATCGCGCCACGATGTAATGATCAATGTCAATTGTTGGAGATTCTTCATCCGAAGCAGACCATCAAAGAATATTGGACGCATCTCATCCCTGCTGATGTAGTCGGTGAAGCCCACCTCGGCATCATAGAGGCGCAGACACGTCAGATAAATAAAGTGATTGAAGAGCAGGTCGCACATGGTCTGGCACAGGGTATCATGGTCTCTGGACTTGATTGCCAAGGCCAGGTCAAGATGTGTGACTGTTGGCGCCATTGCTTCGATTGACTTGATGGTGTTGTCGTTCAACTCCTGATCGTACGGCCACACAATGTCGATGGTGAGCGACAGTCTTGTCGGCATCAGACCGCTCTCCACCAGATCCCCATAATAGTCAATGTTGAATACGATGTCGGTGAGTTGTGGCGCCAGCTTACAAAGATGCTCAAATGCTTGGTCTGGATGGTGGTCATTGAGCTGCCAGCTGGGCAGTCTGACACCAGTGAGATTGACCGATCGCCACAATGAGTACTTGTTATCGAGGTGGTGTTTGGTTATCAATTGGTCTAGTTGCTCTGGTGTACCTTTGAATGTTCGTACAAAACTACTAATGAAATGACCAACAAACAGTAGACAACTCCAAGAACCATCTCTTCTCTCTCTTTCTACAATGTATCCATAAGTAATCCAATATCTTCTTATATATTATTTGACAAAGTATCATTATTTATTACTCTTATTACTTGTATGTATATTGTATTAATATTCAATCAATCATTCATTCATTCATTCATTTGATATTGGTGTTGCTGTGGTTGATGCTGTTGACTACACACTGAGATTGCTGCTGGCTATTACATGTTGCTATTGCTATGACATTGCGTTGTTGTGAGATTTCAAAGTCAACCAACAATGATTGACCAAACAAAGGGCGAGTGCACATTGAGTTCACAGTTGATTTTTTCTCCTCTCACATAATTAAGTGTGAGACAAGATCTCAACTGTGCACTCCCTCTTTGGGTCTAGTTAAACGAAGTTCATTAATTTTCAACATCATTGATTCCTCGCCAGTGGTCATCGTTAACGATAACTTAACAACAATGATGTGATTTAAACAATCATCACAAATATGTATAATGTACCTCCAATTTGATATCAATGATATGAATGAAGGGTCCAACACTGTCACACCCAGTTAACCTCTCATTCATCTATCGAACAGACCCTCCCTCTAAACCAATGAGCCCAAGTTGAGGGGTCGATCAGACCAGCAATCGGACCATCACAACCCAGGTTATGTGTGAGCTTACTCAAGCATGGACAAAGACACAAAGATATATAGATACTGGCTTATTGATCAAGATAGATGGTTTGGAATGAGATGTTCATACTTTAGATAACCAACAATCAATCAATCGATCAGATCAATCAAACAAACTAAATTGAGCTCTAAAGTAGTACATTTGGCAACAATAACAACAACAGTGTTGTGTAAGTGTCAGGCACCAACTAACGTAATGTATGTACATACATATACACTTGTAGACATGTCATTGATCAGTGACCAATCCTAGCATACACATAGAGTCTCTTGTTTGTGTGCTTGTTGACAAGTGGTGATCCAGGTTCAAAGTCTTTGAAACCCGACACAAGTGCACACCAAAAACCAAAAACAGGCCCAAGTTCCTTTTTTGACACACTCATTTTGAATTTTTATGTGGGTGGCGGGACCAAAGCCCAACATGGTGTCCATCAAATCGGTTCGGTGTCAAACACAGACACTACGAACAAACACATTCACACATCTGTCAATAAGGTCAACAAGTCAATCAATCACATACACTAGGTAGATCACATCTGTTAACATCATTGTATATCACATGCCTTTGGAAGTGGAGTGAGTTCATTGGAACACGACGAATGTCGCTGACGTGCCTGCCTCCTCACACCTAATAATAGGTTTGTCCACATGTGGACACTTAGACCAAGTCATCATTGGGGTTGGCTTGGCTTCTAACCTAATAATAGGCTGGATCATTAGATTGATTGTCCTTCCATCTGTCCGTTTGTCTCTTGACTTATCCTGGACCAAGTATAAATATGTTGTGACATACCAATCACAATCATTCATTCATACATACAATCAAAGTATAACAACAATACATAATCATACATACCATCATCCAGCATCATGATACAATTGGATCATCAAGTACCAATCAACCACAACATCAACAACATCAACAATAATAACTTATTCGATCAACATAGCAGAATAGTAATGTCCAATCACAACATCAATAATCTCATCAATCCAGTCCCTACCACCACTACCAACCCAAGAATGATTACCAACACAACAACTACAACTAGTAATACAACTACTACTACCACTGGTAGGAGGTCACCAAAGACAACTACATCATCACCATCACAATCATCATCCAACTTATTCCATCCATATCAATTCAAACATTTGGACTCGTTGCCAGTCAACAACAAGTCAAACACTACCAACACCACTACAAACACAACAACCAATACCAACAATTATAATATCAATAACAATATCTATTTGAACTATATTACCCAACAACAATATGATAGACAATTGAATAATGTCTCACCAATTCAGTTGAGTACAACTACTTCAGCGACTGCCCATGCCCCTTCCCAGCCACATCAAGGCGGCCAACAACACCACCACCACTCAATCAACTTTACAAAAGTTGGAAGTCCAGGCACATCCCCGATCCAAACTCCCGGACTCTACCTCTGTTCTTCCCAATTCCAATATCCACAATTCATTCAAATGCCTCAACATCATCAACAGCATCAACAATCCCAGCCTCAACATCTTTCAGTTCCAACACAATATCAACCTGGCCCATTGACCCCACCTTCGCCAGCATCACTCAGTCCACGCTCGCCAGACCTTGGTAGTGACTTGATGGAAGGATCAACCAACAGCAAGAAGGGCTTCTATGGTTTGACTTCCAACTTGTTGGAGTTGTGCCAAAAGATCGATCAGGAACATGGTGTCACAAGGGACAGGTCGGTAATGCTCAATGAGTTGCACTCTGAGCTGGATGGCATCATCAAGAAGATCAACAGGGTCAAGAAGAACAAGCTGCCCTACCCACCAGTCATCCCAGCCGACGTCGAGAAGAAGGACTTTATCGACCTGCGTCCACGTCGCAACAGGAAGAGCAAGGGCGGTCCCAAGAAGGACCAGGAGGACGACTTGGTGTGTCTGCGCTGTGGCACCAAGGAGTCGCCAGAGTGGCGCAAGGGTCCCGATGGATGCAAGTCGCTGTGTAACGCCTGTGGAATCTATTTCTCCAAGACCAAGAAGCGCGAGCTTGAGTCCTCCACCAAGAACATTGTCCTGTTGCCCAGTATCATCACTCCCACCATATCAAAGTCCAGCGACAGCATCGACAACACCTCAACTACTGGACCATCATTGGCAGCGATCAGTATAAACAGTCTAATCTCAAACAACACTGATGATAGTGACTCGCCATCAATGTCTTGAGTGACTCCTCCAATCAATCAATCACATCAATCAATCAATCAATTTTACCAGACTGCGACTGCGCGGTCTATGGACCAATGTGATGTATGCTCCTGACCGGAGCAACCATGTGTCCATCATTGAAACCTTAACCAGCTGTTGGCTGGGGTCGGTCGTAGCCTACTGCTTCGTGCCCAGACCTGTACATTAGCTGTCCTCCAATAAACAAACATGTTAACTAATATATATTATGTAGTACTAATTGATTAATCAAACATTGAATGATAACAGTTTCCAACGAGGTGCGACAACATATTGTATGTGTGTGTGTGTGTGATTGATCAATCAATCAATCAAAGTGGTAACTGGAAATGGGTGGAAGTTATTTTTATCTGTCCAAAGAGTGAATGGATATATCAATGAGTAAAGGTACTACTTGATTGATCTAGTTTGAATGGTCCCAAGCATTGAATTGATGGAGGATACAATATCTGGTGATGATTGATGGATGAGGTTAATGAGGAGGATGAAGTTGAGGATGAGGATGATGTATTGATTGACAGTTTACCAAGTATGGTATTGTACATGAATTCATAACAGTCGATCAATTGATCATTCATTATCCAATATATTACCAACTACATTATTTATTATTAATTATTTATTATTAATATGTCTAAATTATTATTACATTTATTATTAATATGTATATTTTTAAAAATAGTTCTCAGCCAAGAAATAGAGATTGATTCAATCAAATATGGATATTTTAATGCTACCCTAGTTGGAAAGAATATAATTAATATTTATAATATTAGTATTACTACATCGGACTCCAACTATACAATTACAACTTTTAAAATACATAGTAATAATGAATCAATAATAGATATAGAATATGGATTTGATGTACCTACCGAAGGTACATTGAGTCTATGTACCAAATCCAATAATTGTACTTATATCGAATGGAATCCATTCTTTATACTGGACATCAAAGGTGCACCTACACAAGGTGGTCTGCTCACCATACATGGTGCATGTTTGATAATGTCCAACAACACTACAGTAGGTCCAACACTATACTTTGACAAGTTGGATCTGAGGATTGAGAGTTTGTCAATATCCAATGGATCACAAGTCTACTTCAACATCACATCAGATCTGATACATCCAGGTTTAGATAACAATGCCTACTATGATGATGGTTATCGAACTGCCAAGTTAATACAAATACCAATTGCTCGTAAGTACTTACATGTACCAAGGACGTTGTCAGGTGATCAGTCCAAAGTCTAACAATGTCATAGCCCCATACATTGATAACATCACATTGATATCGCCTGATAGACTATTGATTGATGGAGGTAGCTTTGGAACAGCGGCCAGCAATAACAATAGTTCGAAAAATGATCTTGTGGTCACTGTGGATGGACATTCATTGCAAGCCAATGTGGAGATTGATCATATGGTGTTGAACGCCACATCGCGTAATGTTAAAGGAGTGAGTCCACTTCTTTGGAAGAATGCTGGTGTCAAGTCTGTTGTAGTAACAGTGTCCAATGTTACTGGTGAACCATTTGGAGTTATTGTACAACCAGATGTATACAAAGTTACATCAGCGGCAAGTGACCTAGGTGGATTGGTTACAATAAGCGGTTCTAGATTGACTTTCATGAGATGGAATCAGACATACTCGAATATATCAATTCGCATTGGTAATGCTCAGTGTGAGCCTAGGACACCAACTACATGGAGCGAGACAACATTGGAGTGTTTGATGCCAGCATGGTCCAACAAAGTATACATCAACAGGACTAATCTACCTGTGATTGTAACTATCGATGGCGCCAACTCCAATACCAACGTGACCTTCTCGTATGATGTCCCTGAGATACTTGTGACCAAGGCCATACAGCATTTCAACAAGATTGGTATACTTGGACAGAGATTGGGCGACTCAGCAATGTGCAACTTGACCAGGGTATACTTGTGGAACCAGACAGCCATCCCATCATCCATCAGATTCCAAGGGACTGACAAACTATATCGATCAGGATTGGACAGACGAGTGCAATTGGTCGAGTTTGATATTTCCGATCAGACTCCTGTTGGTGTAGAGATGAGCTTGTCATTGCAGTACCGTGGTGTCTATGCGACCAACTACATGGCCTTGGTGATCAAACCGATCATCACCAACATATCATCGCCGCCAGTGACAGGAGGAGAGCTATCCATCCAAGGAATGTTGTTCAACTTCAATGTCCAGGAGGTCATCATCAGTCCACTTTGCCACAATGTCACCAGAGTGAGTGCGTCGTTGGTAACATGCTTGATGGGACCAGGTGCTGGAGGTAATAATACACTCAACATGACGGTCCAAGGAGGTGTGACAGTGTCTGCTCAAGGTACATTCAACTACCAGTCACCAACTATACATGGATGTAAATGTGAGAGCATTGATCATCAGACAGGTGTGCGATCGGTCAACATTGAAGGTGATAACTTCCACAGTGACAACATAACAGTGATGATTGGTGGACAAGTGAACTGTTTGAATATCACTGTAATCGATGCTACACACCTTACATGCATGATACCATTGGACAGTATACCTCAGCCAACACCAAGAACATCGCAATCTGTGATTGTAACAGTCAGTAATCAATCATCAAACGTTATAGATATATTCAAGTACATCGACGATGAAGATGTTGTGATCAATCCAATCATTGACAATGATAATTCGACATTGAAATGGGTGATACCCATTGGAGTTGTTGCAGTTCTACTTATCACAGGTACATTTGGTTATCTAAGTTACAAACTGATACATCGCAACAAGAGGATCAATGCTGTGAAGAAGTTCATGCAGTCATAATTAAACATTAACAAATAATTACTTGTAACAGATTCTAAGAAGTGACACTTCTTTAGATCTTGAAATGAATAAGGTTGGGCCAACCTTCATTCTTTCATTCATTCAACTATGATGTTGTAGTTGTAATTCAATGTCAGATACACAACCATTATTCACTGACCTATGCTTCTATGTTCATCTACCTTGGTATTATGTAGAACAGGTCAATCTTATTATTGGACACTTTAAAGGTCATCTTTGTGATCTTAACCATATAGATAAAATCACTCATGTAGTAGCAAACACATTGGATGATCTACCAAGAGACATTCTAAAGCTAAACGCAATACATAAGCTCGTTATAGTAAGGGTATGTATTCATTGACCTCAATCGATCAATCAACCAACCAATCAATCTAACTCGTTAACGCACCAATCAGAAACAATGGATACACGAGTGTCTGAAACATGGAAGACTGATACCGTATGTACCAATCATCGATCAATCATTGTTGTTTATTCAAACATGCTAACAACTCTCTTATACAGAGTTAGCTTCTACCTCTTGGATTCACCATACTCAATGATGCATGGTTGCAAGATTATCACATTCAATGTATCAAGCGAAGACCAACGATTGGTTAGAGCATGGATTGAGCTTTTTGGTGGAAAGTACTTGTCATCATTTGATCAAAGTCATTGCACACATATGATTGCCAATGGATTGGAATCATTCCACAAGGGAGAGTTCAATCTACCCAAACATTTAAAGATCGTCTCACCTGAGTGGTTTAATCAATGTGCTCTCAACTGTCAATGGGTGTCTGAGACACCCTACCTCCTTCCACTGCCCGCCACATCCAAGTCATTATTCAAAGGAGTCACATTCTATGTACCCGAATCACTCTTTCCCGACGATGTTCACAAAGCCATCTGCGACAAAATCAAACGCTATGGTGGCCTCTTCTCTCGATCTCTTCAACAAGATTGCATCCTCATTGCTCAATATCAATCAAGTCCAGAATGTCAACAAGTAAGTTAGTTATATTGTTTGATTGAATGATTGATTGATCATATGGCTAACAATCCTCAAGGCAGCACAATCAAAGATAAAGATGGCAACAACTGATTGGATATCAGACTGCATTGATAAGAATAAGTTGATCAATATTTATGAGTTTATACTTTACCGACCGATAAGATCAAGCGATTATATACTTGGTGATGATTGTAGTTATAGGATATCCATATCAAAGTATCGTGGAAGGGATCGCGATCACATCAAAGGAATGATCAGAGTCATTGGCGCAACATACACATTATCTTTGGATGATCGCAACACTCATCTTGTCTGCCCATTCAAGCGTGGCGCCAAGTATCATCTTGCCGAGGCACTTGGAATCAAAGTTGTGACTCGAGAGTGGCTGGAATCAATCATAGCCAATGGCAAGGAGCAATTACAAATCAATCAATGAAGGAATATACATTCGATATTGCGTGGATCACAACTACGACGCGACTATGCCGTGCTGTTATCTCCACTTTCTTTGTTTAATAATGCTATACTACTATATATATGTGTCCCAATAACCTTAGGCAATGTCTGACTTCTGCGCCTTTCGAGGCTCTCGGCGCAGTGATTCGCGATGTAGATGCTGCTGGTAGTGATCCAGACTCTCGCCCTTGTAGTCGTTAATGCTCAACAGGAACTCTTGGATCTGGTGCACTGGCTGCAGGTTGTACGATTGCTGCTGATACTGCTGCACCAATGAGATGACCTTGAAGACGAGCATGCGCTTGGTGAAGTTGATCAGGTCGACGTGGTGGTTGGGCGCCACTTCGATGTTGACAATGTCCGGGTTCTCCTCCATGAATGTCAGATCGGTCAAGTGCACACCGAGGTAAGGCAGCAGGGGCGGACGAGACGCCGCCAGTCGCGTACGGTAGTTCTTAAACGAGCTCTCAGAGTTCATGATCTTCTCCAGGTCGTCGTACATACGTTGCGTCTGCGCAGAGAGCTCGGCGCGAGTGAACTTGAGTCTGTAGACTGAGGAGAAGTTGAGGCCGGCAATGATGGCCATCAGTGAGTTGAAGTTGTTCATCAGACGGAGGTGGTCGGCAATCTTGATGAAGCGTGTCATCATCCTGGCTCGAGCCTTGACCTTGGGCGTCTCGATGATCATTGTGGCCACCCACATCGACACGTTGTTGAAGCGATCGATCATCTTGAGCACGTTGGGTGCACGATGCTTCAACTTGACCTTGTTCCATGACTGATTGAGCAACTCGGGTGGCTTGATGCGCTTGTATATCTCAAACTCGATCAGCGTCATCTGGCGTGCGATCTCCTCCTCGTCAATGTCGTAGATGGAGAGGTTCTGCGAGAAGATGTTGCGCGGTACGATTGGCTCGGGAGTCTTGTCGTTGAACTTGAGCTTGCTGGCAGGCTGCTTCTCCACCTTTGTCAGAGACTTCATGAGCGCTGCAGCCGGGCCTGGATGCTTGAGTGTGATCACCTCGATAAAGTTGCGCAGAGACTGGATCAGCTTGTCGTCAAAGTCCGAGAAGTACTCGTCCAGCCACTTCTTGAGCACGTTGATCACTTTGAGCTGGATGGCCTTAATGGCGCCCTCCTCGCTGGTGCCAGCGTCGGCACCGCCGCTGGACTTTATAAACTTTGGCACATTGTAGCGTTGCTCCAGCTTGCCTAGCAACTTCTCCGGTGAGCAGAACGACTGGTAGGTCATCATGAAGGTCTTGAGGAATTGTTGGTCCACCTTGGAGCCATGTGTCAGTGTCTCCACCAGTTTGTTGAGTGTGCCCCACTTGACCACCTCCTCGTCCTGGTCATCCTCAGCATTGCGTGTAGTCTCCACGACAATGTTCTCGGGTGGCTCATCCCATATGTTGACGCCGTCATCCTCATACTCATCCTCGAGCAAGTCCATCGAGTAGAGTAGGTCATCGCGTTCATTGCTCTTGACCTGGCGCTCCTCGGCCGAGTACTCGGCGTGGTCGATCGAGAAGTCATAGATCCTGTCAGTGTCACGCAATGCATTGCGCACAAATGTCACCAGCCTGCTCTCGTTGAGCTGGTCGGTAGTGGGCGTGGTGACCTTGGATTCCTTCTCGAGTGTCTGTCGGGTCTGCTTCAGACCCTTTGTTGAGAGATGGTGGAGGATCAGCTCGATTACTGCCTTGCGGTCCAGGGTCTGCTTGACGTCATTCTTGCCTGGAGCAAACTGCTTTCCAAACACGACGCCTCTGTCCAAAGGGTATATCCTCTCGCACAAGTTATTTATCTGTGCATTCTTCTCCAGGACATTCCTTCTCCAGTCCGATCTGTCTGCTGATATATCCGAGTAGAGAGCTATGTTTTGGAAGTGGAGCGTGGGCGTTAGGTTGTGTTGCTATCGCGCGTGGACATGTGTGGCAGGTGGTGTTTCCGCGGAAACAATCCAGTCCAGTCTAATAACTTACATTGTATATTATTGTTCTCAATGTGTAATGATATCATCTTGATTATGTATGTATGTATATATGACCAGGTTGCTATATGACTGGTTTAATTTGAATGATTTCTGTTGTTATATGTTGTATGAATGAATAAGGTATATAATCGACAAGTACTTGTATATATGTATATGTATATAGTGTATAACTAACTAACTAACTACCAAGGTAATAACAAGTTATATGGCAACAGCAGGATTGTTGTATCATTTGTACACAGGCCTGGCACTACGAGTTAAACTATAGAGTATTGGCTGCTGCTGTTGTTGATGTTTGATTTGTTGTTATTATTGTTACTATTATATGATTTTGTTGTTGACTCTTTGTTGTAAGTAAGAGAGTAGCGAGCAAGCAAGCAAACAAACAAACAACACCACAGACACAGATACACTAGCTAGCTCCCGCTAGTCAGGTCAGGTTGGACAGTCAGGTCAGGCAGGAACAACCACCCGGGTTGTTGATGGACACCTCCTTTTAATCAGGTGCTGTGATCAGCCTCCTCCTGCTATTCTATATCGATGTTGGATTGAATTGACAGACAGTGTCTGATGACAATCAGGCGCAGATAAGCTTATGGTAATGCAACAGGATTGAATGAAATCAGACCTGTTGCTGCTGCAGTCGATCAGTCAGTCAGCCAGTCAGACAGACACACAGTGGTTGATGTTGATTGTTGATTGTTGTTGTTGTGTCCGTCTGTCTGTATCGACGTGAATGTGAATGCAAGGGAGGTGCTTGAGCTTGAACTTGGTTGGTGTGTGATTTGTGGTAGGGTTGATGCGTGTCCTGGAGATTGAATTGATTGGGGTGCGGGGGTGTTGGTTGGGGAATGATAGTCAACACACTCTATTGTTGTTGTTCATTCAATCAATCGATCAATCAGTCTGTCATTCAACGGGTCTAATAAGGTTATATTATTTATATGTTTACTAAACTTAATTAATTATTTATATATATATATATATATGTTTGTTATTGTGTGTATATGTATGTATGATGAGTTAGGGAGTTAATGAGTTAGTTAGAGTGTCATCAGTCATAGGAATATATCCAGCGAAATGATTGGTTGTTCGTTCTACCCACACTACACACAAAGAAAGACAACTACAAACAACAACAATGGGCAATGGGCAAATCAATCAAGATCTTAATTTAGAATTAGATTGTTGTTTTGACTTGGTTGGACGAACGGTCCAAAAAGCTTCAGTAAAGTCCTTAACCCTCCACACTAATTTTGGAACAGACTTCGCGACTTCCCTGGTATCGAAAGTGAATGATCATGATTAGGTGAACTGATCATCATCATTCACTTCGGTAAAATCTGTATCACTAAATAATGTTTCAAGTAATAACATGTCTGACAAGTCAGACAAGTCTTGCTAACAATCAATCATGTGATCATATTCAGAATGGTAATTGACTCATTCATTGACATCCCCGCGATCATCGACTTGATTGATTTTAAAGTTAGTGTAGTTTATTGGAAGTTGGATTGGATAGTTATAGAATACATAAATGGATAGATTGTAGATGCCATGAAGTGGCGGTCAAGTCAAAGTTAATGATGATTTTGTATTAATGATTAACTGGAAGAGGCATATAATTTCCAACATCGTCACTATCAATGTCTTGGTCGTAGTTGTTATCATCATCATCATCATTGCCAGAGTAGGTGGGAGTATATAATGGGCTGAGGGGTTCATCATCATTATCGTTGTTGACAGAGTAGGTATCAGTGGGAGTACATCCTGGATTGAAGGGCGTATTATCTTCATTGCGATTGTCATTGTACCCTCCCGCTTGAGTAGCTTCTTCTCCAAAGAAGACCCATCCTCTCACTCTCTGTTGATTGATTGGTATAATATTGGTCGTGATGATTGTGTCTCTTGAAGGTGGAGTGAATCTCTCATTGAACCTCGCCAACGAGTCGTAGTTGGCATTGCCTGATCTGCTGTGTAGCGAGACAAAGCATTTATCTTGCAAGTGGCCTCTTGGACGTAGTGTCAAGTTGAAAGAATTGTATCGATCTTCTGTTCTAATATGGAACAGAGGCACTCTGGGGAAGTTGAGTGTCAACCATCCAGCAAGCATCTCCAATGCGTTGAGATCAATCCCCTGGTTCTCAAAGTCCAGATAAAGAGATGACAGAGGTAATCTGTCAGGATTAAAGTCTGGCTTGTAATACTTTGTGGCGCCCTTCCAATGTTTCTCATTGGTCAATCCTTTTTGAATGTGAACAGAAATGGGTGTCGTGGAGAATTGATTGAGCAATGCTGGTTGGAGCTTGAAAAGCTGCTCATGAGTGCTTAGTGAGAGTCTCCTAAGAGCTGGTGGGAATGTGGCAGTAAGGCAGCGGCTAATGAAGCACCAATTGATAGATTTGTGAGTGAGTTGGGGAAGACTCGTATGTCCAACTCTTGATCGTATCCTGGAAGCATCAAAGTGATTAGAGAAGGTGGAAGTATTCCATCTTCAATTAGTAGATTGAAGTGTTGTCCAAATGAAAGGGATGTCAAAGAATTAGGAAGGAGTCCAGCTCTAAATGGTTGGTTGAACATTCCACCCATGTCCAAATGGACAAGGGCACTCGGAATCGATTGGTCTTGAAAGGTATGTTCTCCAATCAGAAGTGGAATCTCGTTTTCTACGATTGGTTGGTCGGGACCACCTATCTGACACACTTGCAACGACTCTGGAAGGACCACTCATGAATCGATTGCCATGGCAGTAGTCATTCTGGATGGTTAATACAATCAATGACTGAGGCAAAGATCCGATAGTTAACTGATATTCAAAATGACTTTCCAAGTGTAAGTGATTGAAGAGAGGATGGAAGAATTCCTTTGCCAATTGGCAAGGAGTAGCTCCCTCCAAAGATAAGTGTGATTAGGGACTTGGGTATATGTCTGCCGATGTTATGGGTTGATTGTAATGGTAACCAAACTCTAGACTAGTCAACGTTACAGGGAGGCTCCCTGGCTTTAGCTCCTTGTTGTAGAACCCGCCAAAGACAAGTGTGGTCAACTGAGATGGCAATGTTGTGGGCTCGATCACTTGGTTCATATGAAATGACAATGCCAAGAATGTGAGAGATGGCGGATATGTTGTCGGAAGTGATGTTGTTTTGTTGAACCCTTCCTTAAACATATCTAGAGCAAAATCTATTGGTGGAACAAGAGACAGTAGCTTCAAACTCTTGGGAAGAGACGGGTACAGAGCTGGATCACAATAATGGATTGTCAGATTAGTCAATGTGGCTGGAAAGGTTGTTTCATCAAACTTCTGAGAGAAACAGTAGACCATCGACAACCTGGTGAGTGATGGATGTCTGCCAAGGAACAGAATTCCATCAAATGATGCGTCCAAGGTAATTTCTGTCAAAGACGGTGGTAGGTACGATGTTTTGATTGGACCAACATAGCCGTGGCCCAAGGTCAGCTTTGTCAATGACTGGGGCAGAGGTAGTTGAATATTGAAGTTTTGAGCAAGCTCTGGGCTCCAGTTTGGGTTGCCTGTTTTGGACCTCTTCATAATTGATGTGACCCACCTGTCATGGAAGACTTTAATAGTTTGTTCTATAGCGTTAACTGTGTCATAACCTTTGTTTCTCATCTCCATACAATGAAGATCCATATTGTTATTGTCATATTCTCTTTCTTTCGCTTCATCTAGAGGATTAAATTTATCTCTCGATCCATCACGATTGCCAAAGGTTAACTCCTTCAGACCTGGTGGCAGAGCTCCACATTCAATGACATTGTCAAACATTCGTGGCAAAGCTGCCTTGAAGGGTGATCTGCTTGATTGATGGACGTTGAGAATTGATCGATTGGTTGTGTGTTGGATAGGCGCTGGTATCCTGGAAGTGTGCCCATTTTGGCATGTCAGATTCACTCAGGCCATGCGAGACGACTCTGATCAATCTGTAACTGGAGAGGAAGGGATGTATCTGTTTATATAATATCTTGTTGACAACTACTAGAGCCCTCACATCAATGTCCTCCAACACATTATTATTATTAGTGATAATCCACAGTATATGATCTGGTAGGTTATCCAACATTGTTTAAACTCTCTCTCTCTCCCTCTTTCTTCTCTCTTTATGTCTGGGTCTCGCCAAGAGATACTAGTATTACAAAAGAATGAATGAATGAAGATGTGAAGTTGAAGTTGGGACCCAAAGTTTGGAGTGCTTACCCAACTTTGATCTTCAAGTTTGAAATGAATCACCCAAGTGAAGGTCTTGTGTGTTTGTTAGGTGATCAACATATAATATAATCATAATAATAGAATGAACGATACAACATACTTGTTACAACTTAGTGATTACCAGAATCGTATATGTAAAGCAAAGAGCTTTGATTGGAAGTTAGTAGCAGACTCTCTTCGATTCCTGCGACAGTCCAAGCTCAGAGTGCCAATGCTTGTTGCAAGGAATGGCTATCGACTTGTGACCAATCACTTCAACAATATAAGACAGCATGAAGGTATATATCATGATTGTATATGTGATTGATCAAGCGTACTCATTCAATCAATCAATCAATCAATCAAACATTCAATGTAGTTTATGATGTTGTTGAACAGGTCATATTGGCATTATTGGAATGTGGATTGAATGATCAGGCAGCAGAGCTTATAGAGAAGGTGGCAATCAAGTTTGGAAAGACTAGTGTTAGAGTACGTCGTTTGCAAGCGATGCTCGATGAGAGTCGATCGATATACTACAATGCCAACGATACATATTTGGATATATTGGAGAAGTACCCTGCTGATATGATGTCGATGAAGAGACAGGTATCGATATTGAAGGCCAAGGGCATGTATGTGCAGGCGGCCAACCTACTCAACACCTTCCTACAAGTGTACATGGGTGACTTTGAGGCCTGGCTTGAGCTCGCCTCCCTTCACATCCGCATGTTGAATTACCGCAACGCTGCATTCTGTTACGAAGAGCTCATACTCATTCAACCACTGCACCATTCAATCTACGTCAAGTATGCAGAGGTATGTACATACCTCTCAGAGGTCACAATACATGAGTTGAGTAGCATACTTACTCGTGTCTGTCATCATCATCACCTCCCAGATCATGTACAGCATTGGAGGTGCGGATAACTACATCATTGCACTCAAGTACTATGCACATTCATTGGAGTTGAATCCATCCAACCTTGAATCAGAGAACACAACCTACCCTCCAACCAACCTATCAGCGATATATGGCATCATAATGGTATGTTTGGTTGATTGATTGTTTGATTGATTGATTGGATTGACTCAGCCATCTAACCGACTGCCTTGCCCTTCAATCCAAACAGAGTATCTTTGCCTTTTGTAATTGCCATGGAGGATCGACTAGCAAACTGCGACCGGTACAACTTGAGCTGTATGAGTGGGCACAGGGCGAGCTGAAGCGCATCACTACCAAGCACTCTCCACTCAAGTTGCCTCTTGTATCAGCCTTTATCAATGCAACCAATGTAAAGCAGGAGTCATAAGACTAGACATCCATGGTGATTGAGCCGAGTACCAGGCCTAATCCTGGGGTGTTCGACGGTCTGAGACGACTGATCATGATCAGAAATATCTTTTTCAAATGATCATTCAGATATATCTTGTTGGATCAAAGATACATATACATATACATATAAACAGATAGAGAGAGATAAGGATGTTACTTAACCAATATGTGTACGAACTGTTGGCATCATGCTGTGTTAGATGGATTGACTTTGTGAGACTGGGCGCAACATGCCAACATTATCATCGTCTGATGGTGCGCTCATCACGTTGGAAACAACTCAATCTGGGAGGTTGTCATTGGTTAACAGACAAGTTGCTGTTCCATCTTACAAAGGTGCTAGATGGATACATTAGACAAGGCTTTCAAACACCGTTCGTTGAATCACTCACATTGGATGGCTGCTACCAGCTCTCCAACCGAGTGATGGACTACATCAGCCGATGCTACGTCCTCTCCAACATTGCTCATCTCTCATTGGACAATTGTCAGATCACATCGATCAAGGACTTCTTTGGCAGACATGTCTCGACCTTGGCACCTCCCACCAATCAGGCCTCCGAAGGTCCAGAGGACCCGCCCCAGCCCATGCCCAGAGGTCCACTCCTCTCACTGCGCATACCAACGTTGCAGGCGAACCAAACAACGCCAATCCTATCACATCTATCATCGTTGACTTCACTCACTCTGCCTGGCTCGGTCGATCATTATATGATGTTGCGATTCATTGAGTCGTCGCCACGTCTCGAGCGACTGAGGATCGAGTCGCGCAACAAAGACAACCTGTTCAACACATTGATAATCGAGAAGTTGTGCCAACTGCGTAGTCTACAGGATATACATCTGATGGCAATGACCGCAATGACTGGAGAGAATGTTGGCATGCTCGCAATGAACCTCGTGAACATCAAGCGCATATCGATCACCAACAACTCACAACTCACTGGCGACTTTGTCAACGTGGTGCTAGACAGCTGCAAGAGTCTTGTCGAGCTCAACATTAGATACTGTCGCAATGTTGGTGATGTGAGCATGCGCAACACATCACTCCAGGTCTTGGATGCCTCTCACACGATTACATCCGCCAACTTGGATCTGCCCAATCTCCGTACACTCTTGCTCAACTCCTGGGGTCTTGGCGACAATGACCACTGTCACCAGCTATTCAGCAGACATCCATTGTTAAGACATCTTGACTTGACCAACTGTAACGTCAACGATGATCAACTATCAATCATACTATCATATTGTCAGAACATTCAAACATTGAACTTAGATGTAAGTTGATCGATTGATCAGATGATTGGTACCATACTAACATTGCACATCCGCTCATCCATCATAACAACAGAGATGTCCAATCACTCGGACATCGATCAATCATATATTCGACAACTGTAAAGACTTGTTCAAGATCGTACTAAGTGTAAGTGTTTGATTGATTGGATGATTGATCAGGATCCATGGATAGTATACTGACTGACCAACTGCCATCCAACAACAAACAGAACACCGTGATTGCCAAGCATCCAGAACAAGCCAACAAACTGTTGGAACTCAAGTACACTCCATCTGTTGTCTACAAGTAAAGGAGATGATATTAATGATTGATTATGGTGTTATTTATTCATGATGGATGCTGTCCGGCCTTGTATCGATGTATCCAGATCTGCCTGCCCAATGAGCTTATTGTTTGATTGATTGATTGATTGATCGGATACCACATCATGTTCTTAATGATGACAATGATGTAATGAATGTATTAACGGTATAGGTAGTCAGCTGCAATGTTTGCTGCAATCTCAGTCTCCCATCTATCACCTGATGTATATGTTAATGCCAAGGTTGGGTGTCAGTACTTGGTCTCTCACCTGATCGATTCCGATGTTGAGTGATTGAGCCTACTTACCGTTAGCCAACAGCTTCTCCTTATTGTACAATAACTCTATTCTTGACTCAGTTATATACTCAAAGTTTGGACCCTCGACGATGGCATCGACGGGACATGCCTCCTGACAGTAGCCGCAGTAGATACACTTGGTCATGTCAATGTCGTAACGGGTGGTACGACGTGAGCCGTCCTTACGGGGCTCGGCCTCAATGGTGATGGCCTGTGCGGGACAGATGGCCTCGCAGAGCTTGCAGGCAATGCAACGCTCCTCACCAGTTGGGTAACGTCGCAGTGCGTGCTCACCACGGAAACGTGGCGAGAGGGGACCTTTCTCGAATGGGTAGTTGATCGTTGCCTTCTTTCTGAAGAAGTATCCCATAGTGATGTATAGACCTACCATGATCTCTGTAAGGAAGAATGTGTTTGCTGTCTCATCAATGATGTTCTTGAGTGATGGTTGTTGCTTTGGCTATATATATGTTTGATTGATTGAGTGTATGTGTTAGCCTAACATGATCATTGTCCATTGATTGATTGATCGAATGATTGATTCACTTACCTTGTCATCCCATCTTGCACCAGCTGATCATTCGTTCATTCGTTCATTCGTACATTCATAGTGTTGTTGATGATGATATGTGAGTACGCCTGTCGACCTGTATCATGTGTCTCTCTTTCGAGACCTTGAGTCCTATCTTACCATTTGGAAGAGTGCTGTGGAATGATCTAACTGTGTATCCCAAACCAATGTTGTTTGATCTGAGTAAGGTGGACACTGTCGAGCCCTAATATATGTGATAATGCATTACAATCAATGATGTTGATATGTCAGTCTAATGTTCACATGTGATGCTGTTGCTGTATGTCATTCATTCGATAATTCATTCATTCATTCGATCATTCATTGATTAATACCTTTGCCAACTTTGTAATATGAGACATTTGTATTATCTCTATTCAATATCTGTTTGTATCTACACTATCATGAATGTATGAACGACTCAGTTTGATCACTGTGTTAGGGGTTGGCTGACTTGCGGAGTGAACCTGATTGTCCTTTTTTTGATCAAAACACGTACTTCTGAAATCTGATCATTGTGTACATGACCCAACAACACCAGACAAAGACATAAGAGATAATAATGATCAGATTGTTATTGATCACATTGTTGACACTGATGAGCTTGGCCTCAGAGTGCCAGGGTCAGGGCGTGTTTGTCAACTTGACACCTTATGGCCAGGACATCAACTGCACTAGTGTCAATGCTGGTGAAGGTGGCCCTGGTTACTCATTCATGGCCAACACTTGTATCGATTGGAATGGTGGCATGGGCCTCAAGGTTAGTGTGTTTGGTCTGATCGCCACATTCCAATATTATGAAGATGGCAACGTCCATTGCACTGGAGAGCCCACCACCAGCGTGGCCTACAAGCATGGTCAGTGCAGTCTGTTCAACGACTCGTCACTCATTCAACTGCCTGGACAGCAACAACAACAAATGGGCTATGTTGTGATGGCCCTGGACGACACGACCAACCCCAAGCCTCCCTTCAATCAGAACGGACTGCTCATCACACAGTACCAGCCGACCGACACATTGTGCGCTCAGCCATACCTCAGCTACATATACTTGGCCAACAACACGGTATTGTCCAGTGCGCCATATACCTACACCTTTTACTGCAGCGGCGAGGACTCGCAGCCCTATGAAACCCATTGCGATCAGACCACGGGTGACTGCACCACAAAGAGTCTAGCACAGTCCTGTCAAGCAACTTCATCGTCCACGGGCTACGCCACTCAGACATGTTGATCGAATGATTGAATGAATAAATGAATGAACCAAGTGATGTACATATATACGCTCGTGTCGTTTAGTTGATCTCCATCTTATCCTCCACAATTGATGATGATGACGATATTGATGTAGCTTGTGCTTGTGACGACGATGACAATGTCTGTATAGGTGTCAGCGGTTTGTTATCATCAGTGTCCAGACTCTGTTCCAGTTCTTGTACAGTATGAAGCAGTAATTGAAACTGCTTCGTTCGCATCTCTAACTTCTCATTCGTTCTTGTTCCCTGCTCCATGATGGCCTCCAACTCTTTCTTAACCTTTGCAATCTCTCTGTTTGATGTGAATGATTGATTGATTGAGTGAGTGATCGAGAATGAATGAATGATTGAATGATCTAGTTGACCCGCGGGTACGTACCTCTCTGTATCTGGTATTGATGGCTTGTCATTGATCAACTTGTACAATGCCAAGTATTGCTCTTTGTATTGTCTTTGTATCTTTTCGTGTGCCAGACGCTCTTTGAGTTCGACCAGCTCAGCCTTGACCCGCTCAATGTCTTGACCACGTGTAGAGTACAGAGTGCTATAATAGTCCATCTCCTTCTTGTTGACATCACACAACACTGTAGCCTTCTGTACCTGGAACTCAAACAACGACAACTCACTTAGCAGTGCTTGGTGTGCTGCCTGGCACTGCTCTGGCGTCGATGCACTATTCTCCAAAGTGGCTACAAATGCCAAGTACTTCTTGAAAGCCTTCTTCATCGGTGTCTCCTTGGCGATCAGTCGTCTCTTTAATGGTGCGTCATCGTCCATTCTTATGTATATGTAGTATATGATTATTATCTGTACAACTTTGAGAAAATGAACAATGAACTTCAAAAGTTGTAACTTTCATACTTTGGGTGCTTCTCCAACTTCCTTCCATTTTCCAAGAGTGACCTAGTCTAGTGTATCACTTGACAAGTGTTGGCAATCATGTGATTAATCATTCACAGTCCATCACCTCATTAACGTCAACATCAATATCAAAGTCAATCAATCAATGATACAAAGAATATGGACTCGATGTACACTTCAAGATTGAGTCATCTTTGGAAGTCATTGCAATTGTGTGCAACATCACATCAATCATTGAAACAGACTCATAATGATGTTACAGATCACTTTGAACAATTGATAAAGGTGATCATGGTACAAGAGCATAAGATCAAGACACCGATCAATGACCAGATGTCACACATTCAATCTACAATCAACAACATACTCAAAGAGATCAAAGACATCAATCACATAATCAACAAGGAGCATCCCATAATACACCATTTGTATGATGTTGATGGTGATCATCGTGATGAAGTCGATATGTCCAAGGTAATAGAGTCAATCATATCATGCTCATCAGTTGATCAATACATCAAGGACAATATGGAGAAGACGGATAATAGATCGCCAGATATGGTTAAGCTTAATGACGATGAGTTGTTGAAGATGATCAATCGTCATATTATTGAATACATTGATCAGATGCCTTATGATGTTGTTGCCACAACTAGTTTACAAGCATATCAAGTCAACATTAATGCTGACAAGTTCATTGATATCAGAAAGCAGATTGAGTCATGCTTCAAACTCATTGAACCTCTGCCTCATCTTCCAAGACAACAACTCATTCCTCACAAGTATGACAACCACATCATGACATTGAAGGCCAACAAATGTTCGTTCTTCTCATTGGCCACATCGGAATGGACATCGATCGATCGGGCCTTCAATAGGTCAATAGAATGGGTGTCGACATCTGTCGTCTACACACGCGGCAATGTCTTTGTATTTGGTGGCAAGGACCCCATGAAGGAATACACACGCTACTCGCTGGCCGACGGACAGAGCCATGATTCCGCCATGTATGGAATCGATGGTGGCGATTGTATCTCAGCATGCTACGATGGCGATCATCATATATATATCATTGGTGGCTATGACAATGGTGTGTACTTGGATCGAGTGGATTGCATGGACATTGACACACAGCTGTTCAAACAAGTCGGACGCCTACCCTATCCCCTGGCATTCCCATTCACATTCATCCACGATGGATCGATCATCATTGTGGGTGGCACCATGGTAGGGGAGGATCGTAATCATATGGATGTGCTCTCTTTCAACATCCAAGCACAGACCACTGATGTCCTCTTTGAAAGTGTGAACATTGATATTAATAGCATGTGTTGCTATGATGGTGTTGACAACTTCTATGTATTGGCAAGGAAGTCGTTCATCCGGTACACATTGTCCAACAAACGATCAACAAGGTTGTCAAGGTGTCCAGCCTACCAAATCAATTGCCAGATTGTTTATGATGGACCGACTGGAACAATTGTTTACCTTAGTGGTGTAGGCAAGAACTACCGATACTCAATCCAATACGACACATGGACACTAGTCAATGACAACGATGTCGTTGAGGACCGTGGCTTGGAAGGTGTATGCTTGATTCGCGATAGTCGTTCAAATCTCATCTTCACCAATTTTCAAGAAATAAGCGAAATCAATAAATCATTCCGAAACACACAACTCCTTATTATCTCCTTATTATCTCTTCACTATCTAATTATCTGTATTGTTGTAGTGGTTGTTCATTATCTATCTAGAGAGATAATTACTACATTCAACTTATGTCCAAGCAGCATAAATTCAATGTCTATCACGGAGAGAGATACGATGAAGTATTGGTGGATGACAATTGTCGCACTTTTGACCTTCGAAATATTATAAGAAACAGGGTTGATCTTATAATACCCAATGGCTCAATTGACATGTTCTATGACAAAGATTGTACTGTACAAGTGCCAGTCACCTTTGACTCACTTATAGATACAAGCAAGTCCTCAGTGTATGTCCGCGCCACCAACATAGGTAAGTACATCGCGCATTATCTTGATTCATTCAATACTAACATACACATACTCAAGCCCCTTCTGCCCCCATAGTATCACAAGTTGGCCAAACTCGTAAGTAACGAATATATAAAGCACTCCAACATTCATTCATTCGTTCATTCATTCATCCTAACATTACATCACCTCTCATCTCTAACAACAAAAGTTGACTATCAATTTGATCAACTGTTTGCTAAAGATGAGCCTGGTTCCAACACAATATTCAATCCCCCTCTTGGATGGTCCAAGGTATTTCTCCCTGATCTCAAGGTTGAAACATCTATCTTCATCAGAGACAGCTACATCAAAATGAAGAATCTGATTCTCTCATCGCCAGACTTCACTATCCTCATCACTGGCAATCCTGGCATTGGCAAAAGCTTCATGCTCATCTACTTGTTGTTCATCTTGGCCAAATCAACGACGCGTACACTGGTGCTCCACTCCTCACACATCAACGGAGTGTTACTCTTTACGTACAACCCAGCTACTAAAAAGCGTGATGTCACCAAGTATGCAGAAGCAATTCAAATAGAATCGATTCTCATGGATCCAGCAACAATCTATCTCATCGATTCTGTTCATTATGACCAACAGATCAAGTGCAAATCCAGTGGATTGATGGTATCATCACCAAACCCAGAGAAATATAAGGAGTATCTAAAGGTAATTATTACAGCACAAAATTGTCATTTATGGCTCAACCTGACCTCTTCCCCGCCCAACAGAGAGATCTCAACAAGCAGAAGTATTGGATGAACCCATGGTCAATAGATGAGGTCAATATTGTCAAGATCCTCTTTGACCAATCCCAACACAATGCAATCGACACCAACTTTCTGCGTTGGGGAGGAATACCACGATATGTTTTCTCCAAGTCCACTGATACCAAGGAGCTTGATGATGCCATTTGTCAGTGTGACTTTAAATTGGTGTCTCAATTTGTTGGAGAATCCGCGAGCTCAATGACAATCTCCCACAATATCCTCCACACAAGAGTCAAAGGAGATGACTATGTTCACACCAAAATCAAGTTTGGTTCTAAGTACATCAAAGATAGTGTTGCGACAGGATTGATCAAGACCAACAGAAGCGCAATCATCAACTTCATTAGACAAGCTTCCTCGATACAATCCAGTCTTGGAGGTGCCTTTTTCGAGATACTCTCACACTTGGAACTTGTCAATCCTGACAAATCGTTCACAAATCGTCCTCTCTGTACATTCCCAGTTACATTGGAGCTTTTGGACAATGCCGACAACACAGTGGTGGCAACTACAGAGACTGATACTATTGGAATGTTCACTTTCAAAGATCTCAAGCAAGCAGGGCCATTCAAGATCAGATATCCATCACGCAACATCACTTTCTTTGGCACCCATTATGCTACCAAGCCCAAGGAGACAAGTCGCTACTATCTTTTTTCGATGGGTTTTCATCAACTCAAATGTGATCCAATCAAGTTTATCACCGTGGAGGAGAGAGACTTTGACAAAGTGGAAATGATAACCCCCGACACCTATTCAAAGCCTTCAATTGACAACTTCCCCTGTGTTGACTCAATCATCAAGAGGACAGCACCCGCTCGTTCAATTTTCTTCCAGATGACACTCTCCAAGGATCACCCAACCAATCTGGCCACCTTCTCTGACTTGGTCAAGGGCTTCACACCGGTAGATCTTTACTTTGTGGTTCCATCCTCCAAATATCACATCTTCAAGTACCAAGACACCTACCATCACAAGGACGTCAATCAATATATCTTGGAAATGTCGCTTGAAGATATGGGCTTTTCACCAGACCCCCATCATAAGAAGGCAAAGTCTAACAAGGACGGATAATAGTCGACCCAACATAAACTAACTTGTGTGCCACAAATAATCATTACTATATTATATTATATTATATTATTATTAATAAAGTTAGCTGGATGATACATTTACAGACATTGATGATTGATTAGGCCTCTTTTTGAGACCTGTTTGCTGTCCCATCTTGATGGCATTGGCCAAGGCTGCAAGTGGATCGGCACCACCCGCAATCTTCTTGCCCTCACCTGCGTTCAAGTTGGCAGCGCCACCACCATTCTGCTTGATCTCTCTCTCAATCTTCTGGAATGTCTTGGAGAACTGTGTGGCGAATGAGAAAATGGAGCCAAAGAACTGCTGGCATGACACGGTCTGGATGGCCGTCTTGGGGTATCCATAGAACTCGAGCAGTTGGTGGAACGACTCGACCACCGTCTTCACCTGGTCCTTGGCCGCGCTTATCTCGCTCGCAGTCTTGTCCATGAATGATTGCATCTGTGACTGGAACTTGTCCGCGTCGCCTGAGCTCAGGGACTCTGCGCACTTGCTGCTGTGTGTCTTGGCCAGGTTGTAGCTGCCGTCGAGATCGCCCACATCGGCCTGGATGTCCTGAATGGTGAACTGCACGCTTCGAAGTGCGTCCATCTCCTCGGCCAGTGCCACAGACTTGGGATACTTGTCAATAGCCAGTTTACAAATGTACTCGAGAAGTGTTGCCTTGTTGTCGACGTCCTTTGTTGACACCAGAGTGTCGAGGATCTCAATGTTGAAGCCGTCAGCTTGTCCTCTGTTGGATCCACCGTTCATATAGTTGCCCAGTGCCAACACGATGCCCAGCACCTTCTTCAGGTTCTCATTGGTCTTTGTACGCGAGATGGCTGCCGCCAAACTCTCCAAAGATGTCTTGACGTTGGCCACCATGTCTGCGCACTCCAGCTTGAACAGCCAGCACTTCAGACGCTCTTTCAGGACGGGCACATCGCTCATCTCCATGATCCATCGCTCGGGTCTATCCAACTTGGCCAGTGGCACCTCACTGGACTTTATCGTCTGGAGGTCCTCCTCAGTGGGCACGTTGTTGATCAATGATTTGATCAGCTCCTTGTTGAGTCGCGAGCTGTCAAAGTCTGCAATGTTGCGCTTGAGCTGGTCGCTTGGCGGCAGCTTGGCCAGCATGAATGCAATCGAGTTGGACTTCTTGATATCAATGACCGAGACCAACTTAACCTTCTCAGGGGCAACAGGTGCGCCAGAGCCATATCCATCATCCATGCCTGCAGCGGGCTTCTGGCTCACCTCTCTCTTCTTCTGACAGAACATATCCTCAAAGTCTTTGGTGTTGAACGTTGGCTCGAGGATCTGATCCCATAGCGATTCAGAGCGACCTGATGGTGGCAGCACCAGACGCTTCCAGTAGAGTGGCTTCATCTTGGTCGATGGGTTGATCGTTGGCTTGGTGGGCTGGATGGCCGATGGGGCTGCTGCACCCTTCTTGCCACCAGGAGGGGGAGGTGGGGGAGGTGGAGGTGGAGGAGGTGGTCCACCCATTGGAGGAGGTGGTGGAGGAGGTCCGCCACCCTCAATGCTTGCGCCATCTGGTATCTCGCTATCTCCATTAGTCGAGTCAATGTTTGGTGATATTGGAGGAGTTGTCGTGCTGCCGCCCAGTGATATCTTGTCTGGCTGTGTGTGTAAGCCTGATGGTTGCTCGCCTACATCTGCGTGGCTTGGTAGCTGAGCCTCGTCGATTCTCAGTCTCAGTCGCTCTATCTCCAATTGAGCCTCCTTGAGTGCAGCCGCCAACTCTTCGTCCGAGGCGGCGACAGATGGTGGAGGTGCAGCTGCGGCAGCCGCGCGGGCAGCCCTGAGCTGCTCCAACTCCAAACGCATCCTAATCTCCAGACTGTTCAATCTCTGATTTTCCTCCTTCAGTTCAGTCACTGTGGATTCATATGATGACTTGTTTGCAATCACCTGATTCTTATACTCTTCGCCTTGCTTTGATTCCAGTCTCAACTGTTCGCTCAATGCATTAATCTTCTTCTCCACCTCGGCTATCTTCTCTCTCTCAATCACTGTCGTTCGCAAGAATGACAAGTCTACAGGGTATGACTGGTTCATTGGACCCAGGAACCTCTGGACAGGATGTGCTGTGTGAGTGATTGATGGAATGAATGTTAGTGATCAATGATTGAATTATTGATTGGTCATCAATCACATACAGTTGAAGAATACTCTGTCACTGGATGCTTCTTTGAAGAGCTGTTGGTTGAGACGAAGCTCCTCCTTGAGGACGGAGATCATTGGCTGTTGGGTCTCATAGTCGGTGAGCTTGGCACGCAGTCGCTTGCTGATCTCTTCTAGTCGCGACGCCTTGGAGCGTAGCTTGGCGCCAGAGATGTCCTCATACAGCTCCAGCTGGATCTGGAACTCCTTGTGCTGTATCTCTGTCAGGTTCTTCAGTTTCTCATGCAGGCCCAATCCACTCCATTCCTGGACCAGACGCTCGACCTTCTCCTCCTCAGGACATGTGTCCAGGATTACGTTCAATAAGGTGAACGCATTGATCTTGGTCTCGAGATCACCGCTATCAAGCAGGCGTACGATGTTGGCGTATGGCTTGGAGTTGCTGTTCTGTGCGCTGGCCTTGGCGGCCAAATGAACCGAGTTGAATCCCTCCTCCTTGCGGAAGTTGCAAAGGACAAAGAGTAGCTCGAGTGCGCCACGACATACTCCGACGACTGGCGAGTCAACCAGGGCGTACAACTGCTTGATGAGTGCGGGTGTTTTGGTGATGACGTCCATGCCGCTGACGTACTCCAGACAGGCGCGTAGGGTGCCAAGTGCGTATGTCTGGGTGTTGCCCTTGGTCTGTGTGACGACGCGCAGGATGCTGTCCATACCGCCCTGCTCGATGAACGACTCGGCAAACTCTGGCTCGGCCAACTTGTACTTGAGATGGAATATAACATCCTTTGCCTTGTTGTCGGCGGCGTTTAGCGCCTGTACCCATTGCTGTGAGCGGTATGTGGGCTTGAGCTTGAGTAGCAGACTGGCCTCGCCCACCTCCACCAAGTACTTTACAATGTGGCGTGTCTTTGACTCGTCGGCTTCATGTGGCCAGTTAAGATAACGTTTGGACGACTCTAGTTGCAGTGTGTAATTGGCAGCATTCTGTGAGTTGATTCCAAACAGTTGACAGATTGATTGGAACACTGTTGTGTAGCTCGAGTTTGGGTCCATGTTGTACGTCTTTATGTCGCCAACCGCAGACGAGGCTCCACTATGTCTACTAATTGTCTGATTGGCATAAGGTGCTTCCGAGTTATTACCACCCAACGTTCCATTATTGATCGTATCGATCTGTTGAGTGATTGTCAACTGCATTCTTGATGTTGTTGTTGTTGTAGTTCCTATGTTCCTGGTTCAACTTGAGTTAAGTTGAGTTGAATGATGGAATGATTGATTGGATATTCAATCAAATGACTATGACTATCTATCTCACTAACTCTCTCTATCTCTATCTCTATCTGATGTCAGAGATGGGCAATGGGGAATAAAGAGTAGTAGTGTGTTGTTGTCGTCTTGCAAAGATGTAGTGCGTGTGTGTGGGTGTAGTTCAACTTGTGATTGCAAGTATGTGTATGACGTGATTGATAGTGTATCTATGTGTGTATTTGTTTGTTTGATTGATTGATTGATGAATGGAGACATTATGTGAGACAATCAAAGGAGTAAGTATGATTATATAATAGTGTATGGGGATACTCTCGATCTGAAATCAGTGGGGGTCAGATATTGAGTTGTGTTGAGTGGGGTGTATGTGGATTGATGGTCCACTGATCAGGACCCACACTTACCATTCAGACGAATGTGATCATTTTTCCCACCCCCCTTTATGCTAATAAATCTTGCGATTAGTTGAAAACAGAAACTTGAAGTTCTGATCATTATTCTTTCGCAGATAAAGTTGTCATGATGACAAAAAGACGAACGAAACAATCAAATAAAACATCATCAATCATTTAGTAATATATACTTATATATACATATATATATAATGGCCAAAGCATATGCAGAGTTATCTGGAGACTTCATAAACACATCACCATCACTATATGTACACTTTGATCAATGTCGTTATCTGTTTGAGTGTGGCGAGGGATTGCCAAGATACCAATCGCAGCGCTTCCCCATCTCACCGCCACACTTTACATCGATCTTTCTATCATCACTGGACAATGACAGTATCGGTGGTGTAATACCAGTGATTCAACGATTTGAAGACAACAAGACTTTGAACATAGTACATATCTTTGCTCCCGTGGGCATCATGCGATACTTTGAACTATACAAGACTTTTGTCAATCCATCAAAAACAGAGATAGTCGTTCACGAACTGCCCACTGATTGCGAGACCAATGGTATCGAGCAAGGTGATCTCAATCTGATCGCTGTGCCTTTGGTGTCGTCATCGTCTTCACCCTCATCAAGTAGTGAACCATACATTTGTTACATTGGCAGTACAAAAGAGTTTGTTAGACAGTTTCAAGCAGAGAAGGCGCGTCAACTTGGTGTACCTGATGGTGTCCTACACAGACAACTCATTCAAGGCAAGCCAGTCACCCTATCAAATGGCACCATCATTGATCCCAGCCAAGTGATGATTGCACCATCACCTCCAACTGTATGATCACAACAATGATTGATTGAATGATCCAATGCTGACCCCTCCCCTACCTTCCTACACACAGAACTTCGCCTTCATCAGATGTCCGAGCGTGGACTACATTGGCTCACTTTTGAAATCACCGACATTCCAACGATTCAATGTGGATCATAAGGGAGATGAGATGAAGTTGGAGATGTGTACAATATTCCATGTTGTGCCACATGATGTAATGAACTCGCCAGAGTATCAACGATTCATTGCGAGCTTTGGACCAAACACCAAACACATCATCAAGAATTGGGAGAGTTGTGAATATTTCTCAAACTCACCAATCTTTGATGGATATCTAAATAAGTTGGCAAAGACTCTACCTGCATTGTTTCCCTCAACAGGCTCCAGTGCTGTCATTGCACATACTCCCAAGCCAATCACAAACAATGGAAATGGCAACATCATCCCTGCCAAACAACTTACACGTGTGGCATTGGCTCCAGCACAAGACGCTGGCAAGATTGAATACCACACACTTCCAGAAGAGAAGAAGGGCATCGATGTCAATGTCAAAGCATCCCGCGATATTGGCAGTGTGACCAAAGCAATCGAGCGTATGTACATGTGATTAATTGATTGATTGAACGAATAAGTATGACTGACACATCGATCAATCAGTATTGGAGGCATCAAAGATCAAACAGGAATACCCAAAGTTGTTGATGACCGGCACTGGAAGCTCGAGTGCATCGATTTATCGCAGTGTTGCTGGATACCATTTGTTAATGAAGAGTGGCCATAGTATATTGATGGACTGTGGAGGTGGTACATTGGGCCAAATGACAAGGTTTTATGGCCGCGATAAAATAGATGACATCCTGGCAAAGTTACAAATAGTCTGGATATCACATATACACTCTGATCATCATCTTGGTCTCCTTGGTCTACTTGAGCGACGTGCACAGATATTGAAACAACGAAGTGGAGGTGTTGGAAGTACGCCACTCGTAGTCATTGGACCAAAGACATATGTACAATTTCTACAAAAGATGAAGAATATTAGACGAACAATGATGGTCGAACCGGTCGAGTTTGAGAAGATACACGAGAGCAAGCTTGCTCAAGGTGCCATGAAGATGCTGGACATGGCCTCATTCGAGAGTGTACCCGTAGATCATTGTACAGACGCCTGTGGCATCGTCCTTGAACTGCTCAATGGCTTCAAGTTCACGTATGTATCCACCTTCGCACCATCATGGAATAATTCCACCCACTCACTCTATTAATCAATCACTCATTCAATCAATCAAACATAGGTACTCTGGCGATACCAGACCTTGCCAAAGTTTAATAGACGCTGGAATTAACTCTGATTTGTTGGTTCATGAAGCCACGTTTAGTGATGACTTGGAACTTGAGGCAAAGAAGAGGAAACATTCCACGGCTAGTGAGGCAATTCAGGTGGCAAAGAAGATGCAAGCCAAATTCACTATTTTGACACATTTCAGCAAGAGAGATCTTGAGTTACCAGATGTTAGGGGCAACTTTGGTGTAGCATTTGATATGCTACAAGTGTCGCCATACCAACTGCCACTGTTGCCCTACCTTGTGCCACATGCCAAATCAATCAAATCTTCACAATCCCAAGAGCCAAAGCGAGGTGTCATATATGAGATACCCAAGAAGAGAGTATCACTTGGATTCAAACCAAAGACATATCAGCAGCAGCAGCAACCATTGGATGCCGAGTCCAACAACAAGCCGCGTAACTTTAGCACATCGACTGCGAGCATGTGTAGGGTACAGATTGGTAGTCTAAGTGCCGCGTCCCTAAGATTACTACGACTTCTCAAGCATTAAAGTATCCTCTAACCGTTTGGTCTGTCTTCACAATGTACATTCCCTCGCGGATATACCATTCGCGGACATACCCTTGGGGACTTTAAAGAAAGAATTAATTCCAAAAAACACTTATTGATCATTCATTGTTTCACTCATTTGATATATCAATCATACAAATAATAATATATATATATAAGTAGATATGGATACACTCTCACCAATAGTGATCAGAAATATATTTAATCATTTAGACAATGATAATGTTGATGATGCTATTGACATGGTCTGTCTTGGAATCTCGCTCAATGTTTCTAGAGATGCGTAAAAGGAGAGATATAAGGATATATTGCGAGACTGATGATGATGATTCATTATCATACAATGACAACTCAAACAATATATACGTGATGCAAGAAGAAGAAGAACTTGAAATGATATCACGAACTATAACACATCTTGTAATTGATAGCACATTCAATCGTGGCATCACGCCAGGAGAGCTACCTGAATCACTCACCTTTTTAAAGTTTGACAATGCTTTTAATCAGTTCGTCACTACCTCCATCGATCACACATCTAGAGTTTGGCAATTTTTTCAATCAAGTGATTGCTGCCGAGTCACTGGTCACACTTTCATTCGCAGTACATTCATTGTATCATCGAGAGTTCATGCCTGGAGTGCTGCCACACTCACTCAAGAACCTCTCACTTGGCGAGAATTATCAACAACCATTCAGAGTGGGTGTACTACCTCCATCTTTGACCTCACTGTCATGCAGAGCCCGGTCAAGCTCCCAACCATTGTTGAGTGCTAATGTGTTGCCATCATCGCTCCTCCTTTACAATTATCCCTTACCAAGTGGTACACTACCCAGTTCATTGACCAAACTGGTCTTGGGACAGTATACTGGTTGTGAACTACCTTGCTCACTTGTGGAGTTATCAATTATAGGCGTCCCTAATGATGAACTGAGAACTGGAACAATCCCATCATCATTGAAGATATTTAGGATTGTCAACCTCAGTCAAGGGATCTCAAAAGGTCTGCTGCCATCGTCAATCACCAATCTTGTGTTTGGAGACTACTTCACCGGTCCATTGACACAAGATGAGTTGCCAGCATCATTACATTCATTGACAGTTGGTAGTCAATTTTGTAGTTCAATTGTATTTGGATCAACTCTCCAAAGTCTCACACTATTCTCATTCAAACAATTCAAAAAGGTGAGATGTAGTATTATCCAATCATTGATTATAAGAGATGTCTATGAGATTGTAGGAAGTGAATCACTACAATGTGTGGAGCAGCACTTTGGATCATTGACCGTTCATTGGTCATTGCTATACCCATCGAAAGATAAGAATGTTCCATTCCATTCATCCAATCTCAACACAATAGTTCTAGCATTTCCAAATGTGGATACCCATCACATCAAACAAGATAGGCATGATGGTAATTATCGACCATGGAGTGTACATCTCCGTCGAATATCAAGGAACAGCGCAATTGTATTCTATAGATATTATGAAGTGGGTAGCATTGAAGAATCTCGAGTGGACACTCTACAATTTATAGAATTTTATACACATCAAAGTCCTGTTCAACAACTTGAACATGAGATCAGAGCTTTGAAGCAACAGAATTCAAGTCTTCAGTCTGAAATACGTCAAATAACATCAAGCATTTGTAATGATTGTAAAACAAGAAATAATATTGATACTGATGATGATTAATCCATCCTCCATTCACTCAATCAATAACCATCACTACATGTCCCGGACACAAGATATCTTAACCATCAAATAATCGATCAACTCAATAAAAACTTCAATGAAAATGACATATCCCCCAAGTTGAAGATGAAGATCACAAAGACAACGGGTCTTTCATTATTACTTACTTAAATACATATATATATAAATATATATATATATATATCTATCAACAATGATATTATACTTAATACATAAGACATTGGTGTTTGTTGTGCCTATTGTTGCACTACTAGTAGCATCAGTATTTGATTATTATATAGCAGCCAGACTCTCAATACTACTTGTTACACATCGTATACTATTGTTGGGTGCAACTGCACTATTCCCTACACTTTGGGTATGTACTAATGATTATCCCATCACTTCAAGTTAACTAACTAATACTAATACTTCATATGAATGAATGATGGAATCTAGGATACATTCTGGTTCGTCGTTGAACTACCTCTACTCATTGCATTACTATCATGCTATTACTTGTTGCCTAGATACTTGATCGACAGCTATCTTGTATTGTTGGATTGGACTGGACCAGCATTGATCATCGTCGAGGCCATTCAATCAATCAACTTCATTGTGTTTGTCAACCGAGCTCTGATGAACAAGACCATGGACCCTTCGTATGATCTACCAATCAAGGTAAGTTATACATCAATCAATCAATCAATGTTACACTAGACTGACACATCGATCGACTTAGGTACTCTCTGTGATTGCATCACTGGTATCATACTTGGTTGGCATCTTTATATTCTATCAACTGTTCACCAATGAATCAACACTCACCTTTGTCAATGTTGGCTTCTTGTCATCGACAATAACATTACTGGTCATATTAATACCATTCATGGTCGTGGTCGAGGACTCTATGTTGCTGGACATTGCACTGATCACATTGTTTGTGGCACTTCAATGCTTCTCCAATCTATTTGGAAGTGTTGCCACATCATCAGGCTATCAATACATTCTAAAGATCATGTCCATTTGTTCATCTACCATCATACTAGTGTCCCTTCCAATGATCTATGGACGTTCCTCATCATTCTCACAGAGCACTGCATTTGGTGACTTGGATGAATCAGTATGTTAAACGATGGATCGTTTGGTCATGACCATTACCCTAACCCTGACCCTAACCCTAACCCTAACCCTTACCCTACCCTTAGGACTACAAGGAGAGCATATACCAATTGGTACAGATGGTGATCATCATTGCTCTGACCTACTTGCCATTGACATACTTTGGACATATTTCAACCGTTTCCAAACTGTTACAGTATAGTCAGATTGTGATACAGATATCACTTTATGTAATCACATGCATAAATAACACAAAGGAGCATATCAACTAATAATAGTTGATATATTGTTAAGTTAATTTACAAACAGAAACTGTCAAAGTTAAATCGAGTACATAGTGTATCCAGCATGCCGATTGACTTGGTAACCATCTCGTGCTCACGTGGATTGAGTTGGGCTCTCAACAGATCAGTCATCAACAAATGATATCTATTGATTCGTGCAACTGGCAACACCATATAGCCTTCCAAGTTGATTCCCTGCACCTCTGGACATGCCGACAACCTTTCAATCTCCTTCCTAACCTTTGGCTGTTCCTGGTATATTCTTTTTTTGGATTGATTGGTCAGTATTATCCGCTCAATTGTCCAATCAATCAATCAATCATTCAAACATACTTTTGTAATGCAGCGACGGCATGTTTGTGATTGTCAACGTAGGGTATGTAACAACGGAAGTAGTTGGCCATTGTGTGCATGACCTCGGCCAGTCCCATGACTTGTGATGATTCACTCTCTTGTAGACGTACAGTTAGGTCACTTAGGAATGTATTGTTGGTAGCATATATCACTTCAATATATGAGAACAATCGTATTATTCTATCTTGAGGCAATAGACCACTCTCTCTTAATGGTCTATAGAATGAATCAATGAGTATACGTAACTTGCTAATATAAACTCGTTCAGATTCCAACAACTCATTGATTATATCTGTCCTTAAATCCGATGCTTCATCCTGATTCAAACTACTATATTCTCCTCCTTCTTCTTCCTCATTCTGTGCATTTCTAAATAATCCCATTATTATTATTATTGTATAATTATATATATTATCTGTATCTATTAATGGATTAACTATGATGATGTGGCTTGGCTCTATCTTTTTTTTTGATCAAACACTTGATCGTTTCCTTGATCAGATGATCAAAAAATCAGATCTAAGATCTTTATTTTTGTAATTATATTATATTTATATTTATATTGTAAGGGTGTATAAAATAACTAGTTAATAATATTATATGTTTAATCAGAAATGGAAGTATTCCAAATTAAGAAGTTCGAACCTTTGAAACACACACCTGGGTCTCGCAACAAATCAAACAAACCTCTTTAGAATCTTCATTGGAGTGGGGGATTGTTTTGCAAACATTGTCAATCCTTGGAGTCCGCGAAACACAAAGACACATTACAATCCATCATCCTCTTTGTATATAGATTCATATACATAACATACATATATTATCTATATATAAATATATATTATAAAGGCATGCCTATTATCTACGCATTGGTGGCCAGAGGCCCTTTAGTACTTGCCGAGTTCACAAACACAACAGGCAACTTCCAGACGATCACCAGAAGGATTCTCGATCTTATCCCTCCCAATGATACAAAGATGTCATATGTATATGAGAAGTATGTTGTTGTTGTTGTTGTCGGTTGGTGAGTCTATGATGAATGATTCTAATGCAGCTGTCCTTGATTGATGAATGTAGATATATCTTCCATTACCTGGTACAGGACTCTCTGACGTACTTGTGTATGGCTGATCAGGAGTTTGGACGAAGGATACCATTCCTCTTCTTGGACGATGTCAAGAACAGATTCAGATCAATCTATGGAGACAAGGGAAAGACTGCCATCGCGTACGGCATGAACTCTGAGTTCTCAAGAACCCTTTCAAACCTCATGGTAAGGACCTGTTGTTGATGGACAATCACACACATGGAACACATACTCATACTTCACTTCATGATAGGATCACTATTCAAACAATCCCAAGTCAGATGCATTTAGCAAGGCCATGGCAGAGGTCGATGAAGTAAAGAATATATTGGTAACTGATGTTGGTAAGTAGGAGGCTGCAGTGTGACTGTCCACGCACATACGTAGCCCGCAGGACACTAACACCTGTTGAACAATGTAGCACCACAACTGTTGAAGCGTGGAGAGAAGATTGAGATACTGGTCGATCGTACAGAGAACCTCAACACACAGTCCTTTAAGTTCAAGAAGCAGAGCAAGCAACTAAAGTGCGCAATGTGGTGGAAGAACATGAAGCTCATGCTTATCATTGCCGCTGTTGTTGCTGTATGTGTCATGTATACTACACCTGATGATTCACTGTCTTGGATACTAACCTCATCTCATCGCATCACTCACATCATTCACAGATCATCATATTCATCATTGTTCTGTCGGCATGTGGTGGCTTCAGCTTTAGCAAATGCCGCAAGCATTAAGCAGTTCATCAACAACAACAACATAGTGTGTTCATTGGTTTGGAGTTGGCAACAAACAAGTTCATTCATTTCATGCACGACATGAAGACCATTGGAGGCACATCACATCATATGATCACTTCCAATCAATCTACAATTCCCAAATCAATCTACATACTATACAATGTTATAAATCCACTCCATCACTCCACTCCTCTCCACTCCACTTCACTCCACTCTCTATGGCTTCCTTTGATTTGATTGAAGGAATAAAACTGATTCAATGTCATGATCTAGATCACAGTTTCACTCAATCAACTAGATTGGACAATAACAACAACAACGATAACAACAGAATCTTGGCTTGGCACCACATACGCACCACATACAGATAAGAGATAGAGTAATGGGTTAGCTGACTGACATGTGTGTTCATTTAGAATGGTCTACAAAATGAATGGAGTGATGTCAACTACCATCACCACCATCGTCATCATCCAGCCAGCCAGATAGACGGTCAGCCAGTCAACCAGTCTACTCACTCATGTCATAGGTCTGATCTTATCAGATTGACAGGAATGAGTTGTTGGTAATTTGGACACGGTGTTTGAACTTTCAACTTTAAAGACGAAGTTGATGTTGTTGATGTTATGATGATGATGTTGTTGTTGTTTGAATGTTGGATTAATTACATCATCTTTTCTTACAACAATCAATCAACAACATCAATTCTCTATTCAATAGTATCCATCCCATCCATATCCTATCCTATCCTACTACTTACTAGCTACCTCCCTACCAACTTGATACCATCCAATCGTCGATAATTATCGGACTATTATTGGATCATAACTTACTATCACATCACAGGGTTTGAGTGTAAGTAGTAGTGATAGACAGACACAAGTATCCTGTCTCTTCCAGTCAACCTGGAATTGATATAATGGGCTTCCACTTCCCTCCTTTCACTCTCTCACCCACACAATCCAACACTCACTCTCAATCAATCAATCAATAACTCATTGTTAGTCTCGTCGACAAACAAATATTAATATTTGTTTGTGTGTCTGTGTGTGTATCATCGCGATGATATGATCGTATCTATTTATAAGTGTGTGATCACTCTCAATGTATTTGTGTGTTGGCGATGATGTTCATTCAAGCATACATACAATCAATCACACAGATTATGTGAACAATGTTTAAAACTACCCACATATTCACCCGATCACACTGATCTTTGATGTGTGTGTGCTAATGGTCAATATCTCTGTCTTTGTTTTGTTGAATCGTCGCCACCCGTTGTTTGGTCTACCCAACCAAACATACAGGGGGGTATCCTGCAAACATACCCATTCTCATCAATGTTTTTGATTTAAATCATCTTCTGAGCACTCACTCTGCATTACTTTTCCGATCTCACTCATACACACAAACCATATCGCTCGTGGTCTATCAATCAATCAGTCATCACTTAGAATCAATCAGTCAATCAACATACTCACTCTGTATTTGTATTTATATATATTATATTTATGTTGTGTATTTGTATGTAACTATATTTATCGATCGATCAATCAAACAGACACACATTCAATCAATCACTATCACCAATATCCCTGTCACCTGTCACTGCCAGTCACAGTAAGTAGTAGTACTATTCACTCTATCTGTGTGCGACACAACACATGTCATGTGTCAAGGTCTATCTTTATCTTCATGCATGTGCCAAGAGACACGCGAGATGATCACAACGTCAACTCCAACGCCTTAGTAAATTTAATTAACTCCAACTAACTATCCATCTTCAATCAATCAATCAATCAATAACCAGTACTAGCAACAGGATTGTAACAACAGTAGTAGCACTCACATCAATCAAACTTGTAACAACAATAACAACAACATCAGGTCCACAAACCCTCTCGAGTATTCGATACACACCTATTATTATCTATCTATCTTTACACAGTACAACAACAGCAACACAAAGGGGAGGTCGATATCCCCTTCTTCATCTTCATCTTCACAAGATCCACAAAGTCTGATCAATCCACTATTCACTCATTCATTCATTCAATCCATCCATTCAATCATTCAATCATTCAATCAATGCTTTATGATCATTGAACTCTCGAATAACAGCAACAGATAATCAGTAATCAGAAATAGTAATCAATCAATCAATCAAAATCAAACAGTCAAACAGTCAATCAGAGGATCGATCGATCGCGCGAGGCGAATACAAAGTTAATTTGATAGACAAGCCATGAGCGGCAAACAATGCTCCTCTTGTGGAAATATAAACCATTCGGCGATGGCAAGATTCTGCACTGCATGTGGAAATAGTTTAGTGACAGCCAGTACAGAGACATCGCCAGTGTTGACTTCGACGAATGGCAGCGGTGCCAACAGCACAGTCACATCGCCACTTTCTCCATTGTCACCAAAGGCGCACCAACAATCATCATCATTATCACCATCACTTAAATCGCCAACGCCTAAATCACCAACACCTAAATCACCATCACCATCGCCATCTCCATCACCAAGCACAACGCCAAAGCCAACAGTCACCATAACCAATCTAACAAAGTCAAAGAGTGTTGGCGCTACTGTTTCCACAGCCAACACATCGGCAACATCATTGAAACCATTACCAACTATACCACGGCCAAGCAGCGCAGTCACTTCACCACTGGCATCACCCTCATCACACAAGACTCCGCCACTTCCACCCAAGCCATCGACGTCGACACGCGGCAACACATCACCAGCACCACCAGCACCAGCACCAGCACCATCACACTCCACAGGCTCAACGTCGACGACGACTACTACGCCATCTCCATCGCCAACTCCCAAACCACTGCCATTCGCACCAAAGATCCATGATCATGCCAACTCAAGGAAGTCCACGCCTCTTCCGTTAAAGGCAGCATCAACATCGACTCCAACTTTGGAGACACAGACATCGACAGGCGAGAGCTTCATGAGTGTGAAGCTGAAACGTACTTCCAACTCGATGAACTTGCGGGCCAAGACAGCTTCGGGACCCCTGACACTGACCACCGCAGAAGATAAACCAAGCATCGCGTCTGGCTCGTTCGTCAAGCTGGCCGTGAAGAGTCGTGATGAGTTGGATAACAATGCACAGCGCGAAACTGTCGCGCTCAAGGCACAAGAAGCAGACATCTCGAGCGAGAAGGAGATGAACGAGTCACCACCTCTATCTCCATCGCCGCCACAACTTCCAAAGAAGCCACATCACATGGAGAGACCACTGCCGGCACCTCCTCCCGCCCCAGCCCAACCGCTTACACCTGACACCAAACGAATGAGCATCCCCCTTCCGCCACCAGTCGATCGCGAGAAGGAGTTGGAGCGTCAGAAGATCAGAGAGGCCGAGCAGGAGAAAGAAATGGAGCGCGAGAGACTGCGACAGATCGAGCGTGATGAGCGCAACAAGCTGCGACTGGAGGAGCGTGAGAAGCAGCGCCTGCAGGAGAAAGAGGAGCGCGACCGACTCAGAAAGGAAGAGATGGACAAGGAACGTCTAAAGAAGGAGGAGCGTGATGAGAAGGAGAGGCAGCGACTGGTGGAGAAGGAGCGTGAGCGAGAGCGCAAGCAAGAAGAGAAGAAGCAGCGTCAGTCGGACCGCGAGAAGAAGAAGAGCATCAGATTGGTTGACTCACCAATAAGCGGCGCCGTTGCTACCAGCGATGGTACTGGCGACAGCAGCGATGAGGACCTCAAGAACAACTCTCCAAAGATGACACTAAGCGACATGGCCGAGCAGATAAAGCAGCACAAGGAGAAGGAGCGACGTAATCGTGAGCGTGAGAGGTTCAACTCCAGCCCAGCCAAGGGTCGTACCTTCCTGTCTTTCCTGCTGGGCAGTGGATCGAGCCCCAGCCCAACAGCTGGCCTCGACGAGGACATGGTTATATCATCGCCACAACCTTCAACAGGTGTCAGCGAGAATGGCGCGCCACAGGCTACCCCCACGGCCGAGGACGACTCGGCGACCGAGCATCCACAGCTAAGGAAATGGGTCATCAGACGCAGCGAGTTGTCGACAAGCAAGGGCGACCTTTCACCGCATCTTAGTAGCTCGCCAACTGGTGGCAGCTCACCATCATTGTTGAACGGACTGAGTGGTGGCAGTGCGATCTCACCCATCAGCCAGTCACAGCGAAACAGTGTTGCCATCGAGGGCAGTGCCTCACCATTCGAACAACAACAGGCACAGCAGCAACAAAGAGGCACCATTGACGCCAAGAAGGAGTCCGCGCCACAGCCAGCACCTACACTGCCCGCCCTGCCACAGGCTGTCGACATTCGAAGCAAGGTGATCGAGGAGATCATTGTCACCGAGGCCGACTACATTCGCGACATGGAGATCATGGTGTGGATGCGCAAGGAGATGGCTGCGCAGGAGGAAGCCAAAGGCAGTATGCTGGACGAGATCAATGTTATGTTTAGCAACGTGGAGCAGCTGCTACTCGTCAACAAGGAGCTCTTTAACAAGTTTGTCACACTGCCTTCGTCGGGCGACTTTGGCGAGTCGATCGCCAGCGGCTTCATCTCGATGGCCGACTTCCTCAAGTCCTACTACGTCTACTGCAGCAACCAACAAAAGGCCCTCTCCACCTTTAATGGCCTGCGAGGCAAGAACTGTTCATTCCTTGGCTATCTGTTGACGCGACGCGAGTGTCGCTCACTCCCCTTTGACAGCTTTCTCATCAAACCTGTTCAAAGAGTGTGCAAGTATCCATTGCTGATCAGAGTATGTAACAACATTCGTTTGGATGATTGATTGATTGAATGAATGAGTGACTGACCTTCCTCCACAACAACAACAGGAATTGATCAAATCAACACCGCAGACAATGCCTGCCTACCAACTACTGATGCATGCACAGACAAAGATTGAATCGATCGTGGCTACAGTCAACGAGAAGAAGCGCGAGTTTGATGGTCAGATGAGAATGTACGATATCCAGACACGCCTGGTCGAGGGCGGCTGCGAGACAAAGATACTGGCGCCATCAAGGAAGCTGATAAAGGAGGGCGAGCTCGAGAGCATTGGTATGATCGTGCCAGGCAGCTCGTCGTCTCAGTACAGCAAGAAGCCCAAGCCTGGCTTCTACTACCTGTGCAACGACCTGTTCTTGTTTGCGCAGCCCGTTGGCACCGACCAGTTGACACCAACCTCACCGCTGAAGCTCAAGGCTTACATCCCACTGGACGCCACTGTCATCCGCTGTGTGCCGAACGACCCCAACTCGTTCGAGCTGCTCTACTCGTGTCTGCAGGTGTGGCACTTCACCGCCAGCTCGCCAGAGGAGAAGCAGACGCTGTTCAATGAGTTGGAGACACATATCGAGCTCAACATGAAGAATGAGTACAAGAAGTTTGTCGAGGAGCACGAGAAGCAGCAGAAGGCAACATCAGTGGAGACGTACGATGAGTGGCGCTTGGCAGTCAGGAACAAGCCACTGCCCGAACCACCAAAGTCCCCAGAGAACAACACCAGACTGTCCAAAGCGTTGCCATCGCTACCAGCCAACAGCATCAACCCCGAGAATGTCAAGGTGATCAAGGTTACGTGCCACCAGTTGGACGCACGACAGGTTGAGATTGACAAGGAGTCGCCTACGCTCAAGTCACTCAAAGAGAAGATCCAGCACAAGTTCAGCTTGGACAACCTTGAATTTAGCATCCAGCACACCTCGCCCAGTATGGCATCATCTCCGCACAACAGCATCATCTCCACCGATCAGGATCTACAGGCTATCGTTCAGCAGAACGATGTGAGCACCTTGGAAATGAAGATATTCGCTGTAAAGATATAGATTAAATAGTATTGTACATATTTATAACCATTCATTCCTCTCATTTTTATATCATGATTGGGTGGGATTGTCCCAGTCTGTGCGTACATCCATGATGGTCATTATCTAAGTTATGGTTGTTGGTGACAATAATGGAGAAGATGAGGGATCATTTTAAGACAAGTTGAGAAAGCCATTTGCAAGTCCATAGTAGGCCCAACTCAACTATTAGGTATCTTTCACTCTTGTTTGAATATATCAAAGAAGATGCAGATGCCAATACTCGCTGGGAACAATGGAAGAAAGATCATCATTGGACATTTAGACTGAGGACTACAATCTACAATCTGAAGAGATACCGATCCGATTATGATAAACCATTGGGTATTGGAATTTCCAAAACCTATGTTATGTCATTAGCAGACCGTCATATACCAGACATACTTGAACAGGAGGACCTGGAAAGAATTCTAATTATTATTGGATGAATTAAATGGACCTAATCTATTAGTAATCTAAGAAGTTTCAATAAACTCTATTCACAATCCTATTTGCGTGCAAGATGATCAAGTAAAGGTAGTGAAGAAACTATTAAGGAGAATTGAAGACTTCTTCAAATGGTTTATTTGTTTGAAATGTTAAAATAAGAAATTCAATTGCCAATTTCACTCACAAATATAGGTAGGACAACAGCCTGGATAAGCCATTCTGCTATCACCAGGGATTTCTACACATTCGGTATAGGTATCACATCCAATATAAGTTGTAGAGCCGTCATTTGAAATTATTATCTCTAAACATTCTTCAATAATTGTTGAACTAGGTAATCCAATTATTGATATGACCAAAAATAGTAATAATATATATTTATAATTTCTAGAATAATATTTCATTTATTATTATTACTACTATCAAAAATATATTATGGTATAAAACTAATCACAAGTTTGTGTTATTATTTATATATATATATTATTTTTTTGATCGATCGCACTACACTTTTTGTAAATTGTTTTTATACCCGTGATAAATTTATTATCCTGTCTACATTTTAGATGCCTTACAATAACGTTAATTTTACAATATTAAAATATTTGTAAGATGTAATAAATTTTTTATTTTTTTTTTGTAGTTTGAATAAGAAATATCTGGATCATCTGGTTACGGCTATAATATTTTTGTTCATCTCCTAGTTTTGGTAGAACATACTCTGGCAATCACCAAAGTATATAGAATATATCTAGATGTCCTGTTGATATTATTTGAGATGAACTTATATAAGTCATGGTCAACTATTTCAATATTGTGATTAATAAGATGTCTTACAAATTTTCAAACATCAAAAGATTAGACTTTGACAAACACAAAGATTCAAGTTCATTTGAGGTTACTCACTTCTCACAAGATACAAAAATATATATAATATAATGCTAGCTAGTGACCTATAATAAATAACTAAGAGATAAGATAGAAGAAACATATAGACACATACACAGACTCGGAGAGACAAACATTTGCTACTTCTTCATTCAATCATCATCTCGCGAGAGTAGAGGCACACGATAGCAGATGGTTATGAAGAAAGGACCGTATGTGCTATGGGTACACGATCAACAGTTTAGTAAAGAGGAGTTGGTAGTGAACCCAGAACACTTCCCTAGACTAAGGGTCAATGATATAGTGGAGATAGCATCACCGAATAACCCTACAAAGCGACTATGTCTACGCGTGAAGCAGTTGGCACCGGTGAAGGGCGCACTGCAGATCAGTGTGGCCAAGTACATCGCCTCGGTGTTTGACTTTGCCAGCAGTGCAGGTAGACGCGAGGTCATCGTCAACATCATCCCCGAGAAGGCAGCCATCATCGACTACGTGCAGGTCTCATTCAAGGACCAGTACATTGGTCGCTCAGACATGTGGCGTCTGAAGCTATCGCTGCAGAACGAGTGCGTCTACGTTTTCAAGAAGCTGGCGTTTGCCCAGGTTCGCGCGCAAGTCGAGGAGATGGTGGCGGGCGGCCAGAAGGTCAGCAGCGGGCTGATCGTCGAGTCGACCAAGTTCGTGTTCCGATCACGCTCAGCCAAGTTCATTCTTCTCATTCAGATGTCCAAGGAGATGTGGGACTTTGCCGACGACGGCGACCTCTACTTTGAGAAGGCAGTCAATGGCTTCCTCAAGTCACTGTTTGCAAGGTGGCGTGCACTCGCCGTCAATCACACGATCACCATTATACTGTTCTCTCGCACATACTTTGACAGCCCAGAGATCCTCGACGAGATCCCCGACATACCGCGCAATGCCCGCGGTCAGCTGTTTCAAGACTTCTACAAAGTGGTGGTGAGCGATGAGACGCGTCAAGACTGGTCATCAATCATTGTCAACCTGAAGCGAGAGTTTGGCAACTATCACGCCATGGTCAACTGGGACATCTATGGGCGCAACAGCGCACTTGGCAAGAACTCCACAGCATCTCAAGGCAACTTCCTCGAGGCAATCAATCTTGGAATGTCATACTTTGATAAGGTATGTTTGGTTCGTCACGTGACTATGACTTGTCTTGCTATAACTAACATGAATGAATGTAGCATTACATCGATCGAGACTTCACGAGAACTGGACAGATGATCGTTGTAGTATCCCCTGGCACAGGCATCTTTGAGGTTGAGCCAGACATCAACCTGCTCACCAAACAGCGAATGATTGACAATGGATATGGTTGCGATCTTGTTTGTCTAAATAGACATCCACTGCACCTGGTCCCATTGTTTAAGTACTCCAACATCGATCCCAAGAAGCAGTCGGCATCAGCAGACCCAAAGTCAACGGTAACTACTCCCCCGAAGTCAATCACCAAATCATTCATTCACTCACTCATTGGCACCATATAGACACTCTTTAACATACCCTATTGGGTTGCAGTCAGCTTCTACAACGATAACAAACCGACGAATGGAGAGGAGAACAATACTGGTGAACGATTCACACCACAGTTCCGCATCCCCGATCCACCTCCAAGTTATGATCAACAGGAGGCCAAGCCTGTGTACGACTTTTATGTGCCAAAGGACCCGAGGAAGCTGCCAGCCTTTGCATCACAGCAGCCGCCCAACAAATACACATCACATACACTTGGCGTCAACTCTTACGAGGACACTATATTCAACATTCCCGAGAAGGTGATGAGTGGCGATATGAACCAGCCCAGCGCAGAGATACTAGATGACTACATGCAAACCGACACTGATGCTTCAGAGTTGAGCGACGATGAGAATCATTCAATGGTATGTCGTCGTCTTGGACATGGACACTCGATCAATCAAGCAATCTCACTGACTCATTAATTCATTCAAATTTACAGAGGAAGAGAAACAGCGTATCATTTGGTAGACCATCTACATCACATGGAGACAAGATAGCATTCATCGCAGGCAAGAAGAATCAGTCATACTCGACATCTTTCGAACAGAAGAAGTTGACTGGACCTCAATTGCTGGTGGGCAGTCGCGGACGATCATCGACCATGCATCACTCGATGTCGCCACTTCAGCAGGTGCAGCAACAGAACCTTCAAAAGACAATCAATCCATTCAAGCTGGACTCGACATCATTCCATCTCACATCCAATCGTCGACGTTGGTCACATCTCTGGTACTCACCCAACACATTCATCTTTGGCAAGACAAATGCCAACCTGTTCCTACCCAACTGGAAGTCGCTTTGTGAGCCGGCTTCCCTGCCAATCACGACAGATTACTTCCCCACACCCAAGGATCTGCTCACCAAGTACATCGAGTACGTTCACACGTTGACTCTCAGTCCCGACGAGAATGAGTATCACAACAACACCGAAGAGTTGCTAAAGGAGCTGATCTCGCAACGTCTGGCACAGGGATACCAGCTGATCATGACTGAGAACCACAATCCAAACCAACCGACGCCCCCTCCACCAACCAACAGGCCTAGCCGCAAGGCCTATCAGCTCAGCTTGGGCCATGACTTCCACGTCATCACGTACGACCCGGGCAACCTCAGTATCCAAGTGAAGCGATACCAGCGTCACTCAGGGCGTGACCTCCCCAACTCGATCCAATACACTTACTTCCTGTGCACGGCCTATCATCAGGAGTTCATCACACAGAACACGATACTCACGCATCAGGCATCTGGCAGCTACCCATGGAACTCACTGGACAACCTTATCTGTGGTGCGATATCAGAGATCAAGACGACATTAAGGTACTGGCGTGTGCAGTTTGCCATCATACCCCTGCCCAAGTCCAACAACGACTCAAATAGTGCCGCCAATGCCCTTACTAATGATGCGAGCAACAACGGTGGCAACAACAACAACACCAGCAACAGCAGTGGCAGCAAGCAACACAGCAATGAAGGATCGTCGACGACCACCAGCGCTGTCTCACCCAACCTGCAGTCGCCATCACTTTCACCGCCAAACAGCTCAGTGTTGGCCAACATCATAAACACTACCGCAACAGTCACTACCTCGCAGCAACATACACTTCAGAGCATATCGGCACCGACATCGCCCGTATCCGTCAAGAATAACATGATGACCAACACCAGCAAGCTTCCCCTCAGTCAGCTTACGCCACTGTACAATGTGAAGCCATCGGCATCATCCTCATCGACCACCTCACCCACGACATCACAGGAGATGGCACAAGTCCCTATTGGTGGCGGTGGTGGTGCCAATAACTACAGCGAGAACTTCAACGCGCCCGAGCACACTGAGGAGGAGCGCATCGCCTCCTTCACCAAGTTCAAGGAGTTCATCAACTCAATGATCGCCAAGAATCAATCGACCACCCTTGCTGCGGCCAACGCCCCAGGCGGTAACAGTGCACATAACAAGATGGAGGTGTACGTCATCAACAACCAGCAGCTCTCCACCTTGGAAGGCGTGCTGGAGATCCCCTCGCAGCCATTGCTCTCCGACCTAAGTATATCACAGCAAGAGTACAGCGTCAAGGAGAAGTTGGCACCAATCGACATCAATGGCATATTCAATCGACTGAACATGCCGCCACCAATCGGCCTCAAGATGGTGGTCAAGAAGCATCGTCTGCGCACGTATCGCAAGTGCTTTGTGGGCTCCGAGCTCATTGACTGGCTCATGCAGAACGTAGATGTGATCTCTCGCGAGGAGTCCACCAACCTGGCGCTGGTCATGGTCGATCAGAAGTACGTGAAGGCAGTCGAGAAGAATCAGTTTGTCGACGGATTCCATTATTATCGTTTGAAAGACGATACGACTACGCCACTCACCAACAACAATAACAACAACACGTCCGCCGCCACCGCCAACAAGAAGGAGGCTCCAACACCGCCAACACTCTCACAGACCAAGTTGCCAACACATGGATCATCATCCAATCTACAATCGATCGAACACAACTTTGATGCCGCCAACAACAATGGTGGCAGCAGTAATAACTTTGCCAACATCAACAACAACACCAACAACAACAACAATGTATATATCTTGAATTCATCACAACAAGCAATCTCACCAATCCCAACGCCATCGACGCAACAAACAAACAAGAATAACAACAACAACAGCTCAGCACTCTCACCAAGTGACTCGCCAAACTATTCGCCAAAGATGTCCCGCGACCGATATGCATTGTCCTCCTCCTACATGGAGCCGGTCGCCTCGCCGTCGACACTCACAGAGAGCATGCGTGGCTCCAACGGCGGCGTGCAAGTCGGCCAGCTCAGCTCGACGTTTGGAGGTCAGTACATGTTCTCCAACCAGGCCCTGCTCACACAGACTGCACCCTCGGCCAACAACATCCAGGACGTCTACGAGAACCCAAATCACACAGAGGAGCAGAAGATCGACATGGACCCAACAAAGACAGACAGATACGAGTGGATCATGATGAAGTACGACAAGTCATTCACGCCGTCACGCTACTACCACATCGAATTCAAGTGGATGGTGTGCACGGGCTGCGTCGTAGACGAGTTTGTCAGCAACTGCATCCGCAAGGCCAAGACCTACGGACTCACCCTGATACAGGTGCCACTCGAGAAGAACTACAGTCCCTTCTACGCGCCAACACACATCAAGCTGTCGCCTAAGCTCCGTCAGCCCGAGATTGTAAAGGTGATCCTCTCGCAGTTCAACTTTGTGCCCGACCTGTTGAGGAAGCGCGCCACCAGCCTGGTGACCCGCAACGACCTCTATCTGTTCTCCGACTCGGATGTCTTTTACACCGAGTACATTCACCGCACTGGCATGCTGTTTGTGCGTGTTGTCGAGGACGGATTCACATGTATCATCAACAATGGCCCATCGAATCGACAGTTCCTGCCCGCTGCGCTGATATGCATGAAGGGATTCCAGGACCTCGTCGCCCAGCTCAACTCATCGATGCCCTCTATCATCTATCAGACATCAGACTGGCCGGCCATTAGCCTTGAGGAGCAGGATACATCGCCTCAATCCAGCTTGCTCCGGTCATTGCCACCACAAGAGGCCAACTTCCTATCACTCTTTGCTCAGGGCTACACAGCAGATATCTCATCAGACAATGAACAACAACAGCAACAAGCAAATGGAACAACAGTCAACAGTGCCGGCAACAACAACAATGTCGTTGGCAGTGGCAGTGGAAACAACAATGAGAAGTTGGACAACAGTAGTAGCAGCGATACACATCACGACGACAGTGACAACGAGCACACATTCCAAGATCCACAGGCTGAGGCCATGTGGGAGTCCAACGAGATACTCTATTATAGTCTAATGTCCAAATCGCCAACAATATGACACATCAGTGGGCATCGATCGATTGATCACAATAAATCAAACTTGTGTAATTCATTCATTCACTCATTCATTCATTCTTTCAAGATGATAACAACATTATTATTACCTTATTTATTGGAACATAAGATTGTAGTTGCAGCATGGAAGGGCAATGAGGGTATCAATAAGGGTCTACAATCAAGAAGATGGAGACTATCTATGAGTCTTGTCTGTAGACGATGGCACTCATACATTGCCAACCTCAACGACTATATTTACATCAAGCTACCAAAATTATTATCAGGACCAATACTCACTCTTACCCAGATTGAACAACACAACAACATCATCAACTATGACAACTACAACATATCACTCAATCGATTACCATGCCATAGGTTACATATTGCAACACATGATGCAGTGGGCATCTATGATTACTATGTGGCAGTGAATGATCTACGACTGGTGTCACCTGAACTGAACACGTTCAAAGGTCCCCTCGATGTATTAGCTGCATACTCCAAACAAGGAGTACAGCCACATACTCTTTGCCTCACGATATACTTGGACATTGATGGAGAATGGCAAAAAGAGTTCAATATAGTCAAGCCAATGTTTGCAAAGGTTGGTAGACTGACTCTTAGTATCCTTCCCGACCCTGCCCCTCCAGATCAAATGGTCAACTTAATCATCTTTAATGGCTGTTTCAACAACATCACCAAGCTTAAACTGATTGATGGGGCATACTATGAGCTAATAAGCACAGACTTTGTTGAAGAAATCGTTAGACAACATGGCGCGTTGTTCAAAGGACTCACAGGACTACACCATCTTAGATGGCTCGGTATCTTCTTACGACCTATCACATTTCGTGATATACAAACATTGGACCATGGTATCGACTTCTTTAATAACCTTCATCAATACCTTGTCAATGTTGGTTACAGGTTGGACACATTCAAATTCCCTAAACACTATCTCAATGGTCAGACCTTGGACTTTTTACTTCAATCAACTGATCACTCAATCAGGAACCTATCCATTGCCATACGCGATGATCACGTGCCAGTTATATCGCGACCATTCAATCGCTTGACTATAGCTGTTTCCAAACTTGAGCGTGAATCATCATACCAACGACTGTTTGGATCGATGTCCAATCTCAAAGAAGTACAAGAACAAGTACAAGTACAACACCTAAGAGTGATTGACTATGTTCAGACAGGCAGACATTTCATACCATTAATTGGAACATTGACACCAACATCCATCTCATTCAACTTTTTGGTATTCTTGATTCCTGGTAATGATGATCTACTTGAGTTGTTCATTCAACAATTGAACATCAATAGGAACATAAGAAACATATATCACGTTGAAAGTAATCCTGGAAACTTCCAAATGTTAAGGTGCTTGAAGGCGATCAATCAATGTATCAATGATCATCCAACAATCCAAAACAAGTTATCATGGTTCTGGGACAGACGACACTCAGAGTAACATGCTGGAATCACATGATCAGGTTTCATAAAGCTCAAATCAACTATCTAATAATTGAATCGATCGAACATCTCACGTCTTGATTTGGGGGGTTAGGAGGAATCAAGTTTGTGCTTGTTACAAATATCAGATATTATGAACAGTCAAGTTAAATTGTATGGTGGAAGATAACCATAACAACATCATCATCAACTCAATCAATTAATCAATCAATCAATCAATCAGTGGAGTCTCTCACTGTTCCAACTCACTTTATAGTTCGATTGATAATCCAGAGATCAATTGGCATGTTTCTATTCCAATAGTTCTTAATATTCTGGGATAAAAGTTTGTAACTTAATTGTGATCGTTGATATTGGTGTCTATGTCTACCAAGCTCTGGAATTTGAACACAGCCTAAAAACACATTGTATAGTATTAAATACAAATAAAGAATGTCAGCAACAACAATGTTGTCATTGTCTCATCTCTTGGAGAGAAAGATAGTATCATTGGCATGGAAAGGTAACGAAGGCATCAATAAAGGTGTGCTTTCAAGGAGATGGAGACTCTCATTGAGTCTGGTGTGCAAACGATAGCATTCATACATACTTGAACTCAACGATTATGTTCTCATCAAACCATATTCATCTTTATCAACGTCAAGAAAACAACGGTTGGAGGATCACATATCAACCGCCTTGTATGGACTTCAATGCAAGAGACTACAAATCACCTTCAAATTCTGTATCGATCATATATCGACCGAGATACTTAGATCAATGATATCATCGTCAGATCCCATCACTTATAATGGTCCGCTCGAACTGCTCTTGGACAACACTCATCAGACATGTCTTGGCCTTCGCCCTCACACACACACTTGGCCTCTCAATCGATCTGGATGAACCCAACCAATGGCAACATGATCTTGATCGTATCAAACCAGTGTTCACAAACACTCAAATCTTGACTCTACGTCTCACAGTGGAATATATCGACCAACAATTTGTCGACACACTACTCTTCAAAGACAACTTCCTGGACAACATTACAAAGCTCAAGCTCATCGATGAGTACTATCATGATTTTGGTTGCAGTGATTTCGCATGTGCGCTGGTACTCCAACATAGAGCCCTGTTCAACGGTCTGCCCAGTTTATCCAATCTACGCTCGCTTAGTATATACTTGCCTGGGATGTCAGAAGGCCTTCGTAGTCTTGATGAAGGAATGAACTTCTTTGAGTCACTTCATCAATACCTAGTCAACAATGGTCATCTGTTGAAAACATTCAAGTTTCCTAAACATAGTCTAAATCCTGGAACATTGGACTACCTCTGCAAGTCACCCAATCACTCAATCATGAAGCTTTCAATCTTCTTTGAAGACCACATACCTATGGTAATACGCCCATTCAAACATATGGCCATCGCAATATCCAACAGCTTCACTTCACACTCACTTGATGATCTCATTCGCTCTAAGAACAACTTTGTCCAACACATCAAGTTTGTTGACTTCCTTCCCTCATACTTCTCAATCTCTCCATTGATTGGATCACTCACATCAACTTCATTATCACTCAACTTTGAAGTACTGATTCGTGATGATCGTGATGACATTGTTCCAATGTTCATCGAACAGCTGTCTATCAACAAGGACATTATATATATCTACCATATCATTCCAGATAACTATGCCTTTTGTGATATCCAAAGTTATCCAAAGTTCCAGTTGTTGGATAAATGTATCCAATCACATCCGACCATCCAGAACAAGTCATCATGGTATTGGGACAGACGACATTCTGAATGAGTGAATGATTGATTAATTGATCATTGGCCGGAATCATTCCAATCACTAACTCGCTCACTGGACCAAAATCTCTTCAATAAAAATCAGAAACGACCATTCGTTCATTCATCGATCAGATAGAATGTCAGCAACAACAATGTTGTCATTGCCTAATCTCTTGGAGAATAAGATAGTATCATATGCATGGAAGGGCAATGAAGGAATTAATAAAGGTGAGCTCTCAAGGAGATGGCGACTCTCATTGAGTCTGGTTTGTAAACGATGGCATTCATACATATTGGTACTCAACGACTATGTTCTCATCAAACCACCTTCAACATCAAACCGATTAAGAATACGAAGGTCTCCTCTGGAATTGCTAGAGTATCACATTAAATCAAACGCCAAGTATGGACTTAGATGCAATAGGCTACACATCTCATCAGATTTCATCAAACATCGTAATATTGAAAGAGCAATATCCAAGATATTACGATCATTGATATCATCATCAGACTTGAATACATATATTGGTCCGCTCGAACTACTCTTGGACAACACTCATCAATCATGTCTGGACATTCGACCACACACACTGGGCCTCTCATTCGAACTGGATAAACATAACCGATGGCAAAAAAGCCTTGATCTTGTCAAGCCAGTCCTGACAAACACTCGAAGCTTGGCTCTTTATGTCGACGCAGACAATGGCAACATTCAGTTCGTGGACTCACTCTTGTTCAAAGACAACTTCCTGGTCAACATCACCAAACTTAAACTACTTGATCTGTTCTTTGATGATTATTATGACAGTGAGTTTGCAAGTGCGCTGGTGCTCCAACATCGAGCTCTCTTCCAAGGATTGGCCGGTCTATCCAATCTAAGCTCGCTCAGTATAGTCTTGCCCGAAATGAATGGTGGACTTCGTTATTTTAATGATGGCATCAACTTCTTTGAGTCACTTCATCAATACCTTGTCAACAATGGCCATCGATTGAACACATTTAAGTTTCCTAATCACTATCTCAATGCTGGAACATTGGACTACCTCTTCAAGTCACCTAATCACTCAATCATGAAGCTTTCAATCTTCATTCAAGCACACATATCTCTGATATCACGACCATTCAAACAACTGACCATCTCATTCGCAAGTAATGTCTCTACAGAATCATTTGATGATATCATTCGCTCCACGATCAACTGGGTCGAACACATCAAACTGATTGACTACCTTCCTACATTCTGTACGATTGCTCCTTTGATTGGATCACTCACATCAACAGCCTTATCACTCAACTTTGAAGTGTTTATTCGTGAGGATCGTGATAACCACCTACCAGTGTTCATCGAGCAGTTGGCCATCAACAAGAACATTATGTACATATATGATGCACAACCATCCATTTGGTTTGACATCAAAAGGTATCCAAAGTTCCAGTTGTTGGACCAATGTATCCATTCACACCCGACCATCCAGAACAAGTCATCATGGTATTGGGACAGACGAGTCGATGGTTAGATTGATTGATAGTAATAAAGTCTGGAAAAAGGTTTGCGTCGTTTGTTTAATAATAATACATTGTTGTTTGAACATAAGAGAAGAGGAGTTTGGCGATGGATATCCATCTGTTTGCGTATTCGGTACGCCATGCCATCCTCATTGACATCGATAGTTTGTTTGAGTGAATGAGTGAAGGTGAGTGATTGAGTGATTGAGTGACTGAGTGGATGAGTGGGTCGCTGCGTAATTGCTTCCCACTTGTTGTTATGGTCGCTGCTGCATAGCAGATGCCTGCTTGCATGCATTGCTCGAGTTTTGGAAATATGATATATGTATATAAGGCTGATGGACATGTAGGTGGACCACCCCTTGTGTTCCATTCTTTGTTTGAGAGGTGAAATCCATGTCCATGACGTCCATGTCCTGTCCATGTCATTGTCTATCAGCCTGGCCTGGCCTGGTATGGCCTGTGACACTGGATGTTACAGAGAGGTTGAGTGTATGTACATATACAAAGTATTCGCTTTCAGTAGTTGGTAGGACCTCTTGTGTCGTTCGTCCATTCGGTTGTATCTATATCTATTTGAGTGAAGGACTGGATGGTGATCGCGCCAACACACCAGCCTTCTCAATCTCATTGACCCAGAAATCGACCTCCTATTGATTGATTGTTTGTAAGTATGATTGATCGATTGAATGTGATTGAATGTTTGAATGAATGGCGACTCATACCCTTGCACTCTTGGCTTGAAGCAGGAATATCTTTCGCATGGACACTGCCATTAGTTCGAAACAGTTGGGCTTGTGATGGAAGGGCTTCTTGGACACTCGACTGCCACGCAGTGGCACCTTGTCAATTGGTGATGAGGAGTTCTTTGACTTGAAATATAACAGGTATCCATCCTCCAATCTGAACCATCTGGTCTTCCAATTCTTAAAGACGTGGCCTTCCTTTACCAACTCGCCCTCTATCACCTGATTCCTTGGTGCGGCCACAACAACCTCATCATCATCGGCCAACAACATTGAGTGAGGTATCGCCGTGACATTATTCATTGACGATGTTTGTTTGAGTGTGAGTGATGACATGTTTGCTGTGTGTTTGATTTGTGATTGATGGTTGTTGGACAAGTCCAGTCAATGTCTTATTATCCTGTCGGGGGAATGTGTTCCACTTGTATGTATATGTATATATATATGTATATATGTGTAATAATTATGTATGTATGATTGATTGGAGTCAGAATCGATTCAAGTTGTTGCTTGTAAGTTGATGATGGTGTTGTAACTTGATGATGAAGTTGAACCTTTGAGGATGAGGGAGTAGTTGTAGAAGGTGTAACTTTCCTTGAGATAAGTGGGCAACAGTGAGTGATGTGAGTTGTTAGTGAAGTGACGTTGATTAGATATAATGGGTAAGGGTAATAAAGCTAAAGCAAAGGAGAACAAGGCTTATTGATAGTGATACTTGTTGTGTTTTGGGCAGCAGGGTGATAGATAGATAGACAATCAATTAGTAAATCAGTGTCAGCCTATACTTTGCTTCACACAAACATACCATCACCACATCAAACGATCAACTGTTGACACCCCCACCCGAGGCCCAACACCCCAAAAGAAACGTCAAACGAAAGGTATTCGTCCAAGGTCCTCAACGTTTTGCTTTTTTTATTGTTTTCAAGGGGCAACCCCCTTTCACGTCTTTCCATCATCCACAAACAAACCAGCTAACTTTAGTTTACCAATAATCAATCATGATATTTACTTACTTACTTTGTTAAGGTGATGATGTACTTTTAAATTGTGTACATTCATATCCACAAGAGGTGTACTAATGGAGTACTCGAAACCCATTCAATTCAATGATCTTAATTAGTTTAAAACCTTTCGGGGTCAACAATAAATGAAACTAAGGGATGTTTGTTAGTTCGTTAATATGTTGTTGGTGATGGAAAGCCATCGATGGCTTTATATAAATAATCAATTATCGTGGTATATAGTATGGCCCATGATTCGGAATTGTGAGTTGGAAATGGAAATGATGAGGAATACACATCACTTTGATACACGTTATACTGTCTTGTTGTTGGCAGTTTCTAAAGTTGTTTCAAGTTGGCAAATGAATAGACAATGAAGTTGAAGAATCCTATGTATGACGTGATGTGTCAGTGCAATCACTCTTCCATCGACCACACTCGATCGACCAATCAATCAATCAATCAAATTATACACTTACCTTGTAAAGGAGAGAATAGGTCTTGGAGTACCCACATCCAGAATGGTGGACATTGCTTCACGGCATAAAAGACGGTGTGATTGATGATGTCCCAGATCCAGCTTAGAATGAATGCCGCCATGTAGAGAGATAGTTTCTTGGCAATGTGTCGTTGTAGTTGATGTGATTGCTGTCCAAACTTATTGAACGAGAGCACCTTTCTAAACTTGACATAGATGAGTACATAGCAGAGCATGTTCCAGAGTAGTGAGCCGGCCAATGGCAACACCCAGAAATAGAACTGATAAGTATCATTGATTGAACACCATCCTGTGACCTCATTCCTAGTGATAAAGTGTCCAAACAGGAACACTGCCACACTACCAAGGGATACGCCCCATCCAATCAAATGGAACACAATCAATGGTACTCTATATGGTCTGTCTCCTCCATAAGTCTCTCGAAGCAAGTGGTAGGCGATACCTAAGGTGAGAGATAGATGTTAGTTGGGTGCCGTTTCCGGGGCAATGAGTAAGGGGCCGTACAGTTTGTCCAGAGGAATGATGATAGGAATCCAAAGTGTATGATGCAGCGGATGTAGACACAGAAGTTGAACTGATGGACAAATTCTACTTTGAGCAGCATACATAATTGGGAGAATACAATGGCAGAGCATGCAATAAAGTCTGCAATGGATAAGCAGAATACTAAATGATTGATCATAGGTTTGGTCACTTCATCATTGTCCATCTTGTGATGATGATGATATCCTTGTTGTGGCGTTACACCAGATAGACGTTGTGGCGACAATGACATTGTACATTTTGGAGAGGATTTGGGCGAGAGGGGCAAGGACTCGGTGTCCCTATCCTGGAACAACTCAGACATTGATGAGTTGTTTATCGAGTATTCCTTTGACACTATATCCTCCTCATCTTGGTGCTCCTCACTCCCAACACGAAGTCTGTTGAGCAATGGTTTGGTGTCAATGGCACCATTGGTAGCTGGTAGTTGTTGGTGGTATCTTCTTCGCTTGCGTACTACTTGTCTATAACGTGCCAACAAGTAACAGACAATATTGAATAGTGTTGCCAGCATTGACAATAAGGCACCAACCAAATTGGAAATGTATAAAGTTGTCACATTCCCATTTGATATAACCATTGAGCATAGTTGGAAGTCTCCTCCCATTCCTTTATATTGTATTATATATGTGGTAGTAGTAGTAACAACAGATTGTTAAATAATAAATATATATATAATGTTGGAGATGATGATGTGTAATGGTGGAAGTTGAATGAATGAATGAATGAATCCACTACTTTATACATGTAATGTCATCTCTTGAATGACTGATTGAACATTGACCAACCCATACTCAACTCTACACTCAAGCTCCTCCTCTCTCTCTCTCCCACTGCTTGCCTCCTCCCTTCATTCTAATGATGTTAACACACTTAGTAGTACTCATTCACACCGAGTGACTGCGAAGTGTGAGTGTGTGTATGTTGACAGACTGATGAGAGGTTCAAAGTACAATGCTGCAGATGGTGGGGGAAGTGGGCCATCGTGCTTGACATGTAGACTAGTGATTCATTGATTGATTGATTGGATAGTTATGATTGATTGAATGATTGGTAAGTTCAATCATTGATTGTTGACATGCTCTCACCTAAACATGTTTTAAAGGGTAACGTTGCTTTAAAGTTGTAACACTGGTTGTAGGACATGGTGCCACTCTCTCTTTGATCATTAATGCTCAGTTTGAATTAATTTTTTTGCTCATCAGTGTTGTTTGAAGTGGCACTTAGGGGCAGACGGCTCTTTCATCACCTCGCACGCATTATCTTCATTTTCCAACTTTTTGGCACACCAACACGCACTCTGTCAGTCATTCATCCTTTTCATTCACTCGCATTAGTGTTGTAGATCATCATCAATCAATCATACAAGAAGAGTAGTTGTTGTCATTGTAGTTGTGAAGTAGTGTTGTTGTTGTTCCTCAGGTCAAACACAACATCATCAATCATATTATCGGCATAATCGATCGATCGGACAATAAGTTCAAACTTGTATATTAGACTAGAACAACTTGTCAGAGCGCACGTACACACCCTTTACACAGCAAACATCATATATATATATATCTACATATACAGAGAGAATGATCAGACTTGGAACACGTATATTGGGAGGAGTCGCTCAGAGACAATGTGGATCAGTGATGGCTGCAAGATACTTCTCATCGTCGACTCAGCATCAACCACAGCATGGAGAGCACGGCAGCGAGCCAACAACAGCAGAATCACACAGCAGAGTGACGATCGAGGATTTGCGCGCACAGGATCAGCTGTTGGCAAAGGAGGAGGCTCTCGCTCACGAGAACGACTTGTTCTTTGAGCAGACTTCCGGCCCCGCGCAGAACGGCCGCAACCTCTACGAGGTTGTTCGCAACCGCATCACTGGCACAGACATCACTTCGACGCCAGGCTATCACATCGACCACACCGAATACCCGGTCAACTTGGAGCCCTCCCCCACCCACCTCTACGAGACCGAGGAGGAGATGCTGCGCGCCACCGACAAGTACGGTCTGTTTGACAGCGGTCACCACGACGACCACGGCCATCACGATGAGCACCACGATGACCACGGCCATCATGATGCCGCCCACCACGACGACGCCCATCACAAGGGCGCCGCTGCTGGTCACAAGGGAGCCGCTGATCACCACGACCACGGTCATCACAAGGAGCATCACCACGAGGAGCATCACGGTGAGGAGCACCACGACGAGCATCATCACGAGGAGTGGAAGGAGGAGACTGAGTCCAGAGGTTACTTCTTGAACAGAACGGTATGCATTGATTGATTGATTGACCGATTGGACTTGATGCAGGATATGACGAATCTAACACATCTTCACACGAACTCGACTGATCACCTGATCGATCTCACAGAATGATGATGGCGTTGACTTCTCGAAACCATTCTTCTTGATGTTTGGCGCAGTGCCACTCTACTTTATGTACTCATTGAACAAGCAGAGTCAGAAGGTGCCAGACTACTCCAAGTCCAAAGAGATATATCTAAATCAAGTGAACCCCAAGCTAAGGGATCACTACAACGAACTTAAAAAGAAGTCTTCTTCAGCCTCTGACTCTCATTAACCGTGTCAGTCAAGTGGCGAGCTGCTAGCAGCAAGCAAGTGTGCAAGCCAATTTCAAGCAAGCAGACAGGCAAGCAGGCATCAGCAACAGCAGAATTATAAATATTAGTAATATCAAACAACAACAACACAACCATCCCTTAGCTATCAGTCTTCCTTCCCTCCAGCCATCCATCCATCCATTCATCTCATTTTAACTCATTCTCTCTCGCACATGGACACGATCGATCCGCCAGTCCATCTATTCAAACACTCCAACTCATTCAATCTCATTCACCTACCTCACTCAACAACAACACTTCCATGCCGCCACCGAGAATATATTATGGTCAATCTTTGGTCCAAACAGCAACAAACCAACGAATGTAACAAACACAATCAATCAATCAACCAATCAAACATACATCTATCTAATAAATTAAAATCATTTAATACATACTACAATATTAATTGAATGGATGGATGAATGAATGAATGATCACGTGCTCTTCCTTAATACACACTACTACAACTAACACTGAGTGGTTACAAAGGTCTATAAGTTGCCCTGGAAGTACTAAAAAAGGAAATATTTATATATATCTAAAAAACTAGAAAGCTCTAAAACTAAGGAAAATAAGATTTAAGTTATTTATCTTCGAAGATAAGTAATGAACATATAACACACACACACATCTGGTTGTCAGTGAGAGTGGGAGGGTTGTGTTTGTAGGACTCTCTACCCCCCATACTTAGTACTGTTGTCAACATTACAATGAATGACACTTAAGTGTGTGTTTGTGTGGATCGGAAAAGGATAAAGTACTTATGTACACACTTCAACATATTCATACAGATACAGATAAAGAAACAAAGTGTATAATAAGTAATTATAATAATAATAATAATAATAATAGAATAATTAATTAATTTAATAATCCATCAAATTTTGATGATGGAGGGGATAAAGAGAATAACATCAAATGTTGACTTGGTAGAATTAAGAAGGAATTATGAAGAGTCCTTAGTAGAACATGTTGAAGAGGAGGATGAACACCAACAATATGAATTCATATACCAAAGTGACCTGATAGGACAGCCAACCAACAAGAAGCCAAAACATAAATTGTTGAGAGATGCAGGAGCAGGCGTGTCACTCCTATCCAGTTCATTAAAATCTCTATCTTTGTCAACTAGAACAAAGAGTAATAACAACAAATCCCGAGACGATTCCAATACATCGCCATCTCATGGTTCCAATACATCGCCACCATCCTTTGATGATGAAGGCAGCACAAGCTCAAGTACATCCACAACAACATTCAAACCAAGGACAACGGACCATGCATCAGTCAAGGATTTGTTATCAAACAGTATCGATACGAGAGAGAAGGAGATTGAGCGACTGACTAGAATGGCCGAGAAGGACAAGATGGATTCAATCAAGTTGCTCAATGGCATCAAGGAGTACAAGGAGCAGATAGCAGCCTACATCAAGGACTTTTATGAAGATGATCAGTTCATTCACTCGCATGGCGAGCCCAAGGACAAGATTGAACGATACAAAGTGTTGACCGCCATCGAGAGCACAAGTTTGCAATCGCCTCAGCTGTCTGGCTCGCCAAAGATATCTTCAATGCCGAGTCTGAGTAGCTATCTTCATGGACACGTTCACACTGCGCATCAAGGCATGCCGTCGATCAACCTGTCATTCTGGGGCTCATCATCACAGCAACATGAAAAGACAAAGAACAAAGAGGAGTCGGTCTCTGATCTAATGTCCTCGTTTCAGAATAAGGATGTGGAGCTGGATCGTGTCAAGTGCAGGAGTACACTTGAATCGATGAAGGTGCAGAACCTACAAGAGAAGTTCACCGAGCTGTCCCATTTGGTGCGATCGGAGAAGGACAAGTGGGGGCTCGAGGTCCAGTGCATCAGGAGTGAGATCAACAACAAAGAGAAGGAGATAGGTCATCTCCTTCGCGTGGCAGAGAACCACAAGAAGACCTCAATGGATAACATTGATCACATCACAAGTAAGTCGTCGTCTATTTGTACACCAAGGAATCATTCCACTCACAGAGCCTCACTCAATCAATCAGAACTTAAAAGGAGCCTGGCATCAATATGTAATCTACGTGGAGGCAGTAGCAGGTTGGACATTAATAGATTGAATGAGAGCTTCTCATTTGAGAATCTATGTCCAGGTGGCCAATCACAATGTACATCAGTTCACAATCATCTTGGATCATCCTCGTCGTCGTCATCATTATCATCGTCATCATCATCATCTGGATCCGATCATGGTATCACTCACTCAAACGATCGGTTCTGGACCGAGGAGAAGAGAGACATTGCACACTTGAACAAACAGTTGCTCAAGAAGGATGAGGAGATCAAGCGAGTCAAGGATATTATATACGTGGAGATGAGACGGTCCAACTATCTCGGCAACAAGTTGATAGAGTTGAAGTCATTGTTGGAGGAGGAGAGCAGGCAGGTGGACTACCTCGAGCTCAAGGCTTTCAGAGAGGTGAAGGAGAAGGAGGACGCGGTCGTTCGTGTGGCGTACAGGGCTCAGAAGGACAGACTACGCTCAGCCATCCTCAGAGGTGAGGTGCAGAAGTTGTCTGCCATTCTTCAACATGAAGAACCGGTATCAAGGAGGAGGTATGCACTGCAGGATGGCGACACATTCTCAGAGATGGGTGATCTGTCGCAGTTTAGCAACATCTCCTTGGCGCAGTTCTGTAGCGAGGGCTATAGGGTGACGCCTCAACGACCCAAGCCATCAAACAATCATAGTCTCCTGCCTTGGCATGTGCACCACATCAACACCTTGGTCAACGAGAACAAGTTCCCCAGCTCACCAACACATGGCGAGGGCAAGTTGCCACTGGCCAACCTATCGTTCGAGGTGGAGTCATTCCTTCGCAGGTCACACCAGGGTTCAATACCCACCGCATCATCACCACTCTCTCCTAGCATGGGTCGAATGGGCAGACGCAACTCTGAGGTCATATCTCCAGTCCATAACCATCACGCCAGGACCTCATCAAGTTATACACACGATCAATCAACTGGTCATTCACATGGACATGGTCACGGTCATCATGCTCAGAGTCATAGTCATGCACATGGACATGGACATCCATCTCCATCAGAGGTGATTCAACGCAAGCTCCTAGAGATAGAGGAGATATATAGTTTGGCCTCGTTGAAGGATATGGAGTTGGTCAAGATAAAGAAGATTGCCGAGGCCGAACGTTCCAAGTACCTCATCCTACGTGAGAAGTACAGACAACTGATGGAAGAGTATAACAACATGATCAGTCAATCAATGATCCACCTACACAGCAGCAACAGCAGCACCAGTAGCACTAGCAGTAGTGGCAGCAGCCACAGGAATACCAATGGCCTTGGCAACACAGACTATCGATACTATAACAGTAATGTAAATATATTTTAATTGGAGGCGTGGAGTATCTGCTCCATCCATCCTTGTAGTATTACTAGTTGTTGGGTCCAGTGTTCAACATGTGGACTGTCGGTTTGATTGATTGATTGATTGATTGATTGATTGATTGATTGATTGAGTGGAGGATTGGAGTCATTGATTGATCTATTTACATCCTGATCATATTTGAGCTCATCTTTTGCTCTCGACGAAGTGCAATGTATCTGGTAATTTTTGGTTTGAAGAATAGTAGTGTTCCAACTGCAGCAATCACTACCACTATTGGTATAACTACTGCTATAATAAGCGTCTTGGATACTTGTGTGGAACTGCCACCACCACTTTCTCCTGGTGTCCTGCAGTCTTGTGAGTCTGGCTCAACAAGTAGTGCTAAGGAGGTGGTTGTCCTGGATATAGAGGCCTTGCAAGCTGGTACATCTTCTTGTTTACCTGATTGAGGATTGAATACCTTGATGGCGAGGCCATTGAACTCGCCCTTTGTCCTGTTCTCTGGGAATGTAATCACATGCAATGTTATTGTTGAATTTGCATCATTTGGTGACTTTAACATCTCTGTTGTGACCATCACCGTGAAGATTCCATTCAGACTAGCTGTTCCATTGATGTCCACTGTTTGATTTTTTGATAGGATAGTTTGTTAGTGATCTGCGGAATGATTCAGGACCCTTGTGAACTTACAAGTTGAGTATGAAGTAGCATTGTTGACAAGAAGTGTGACATTTGAAAGGGAGTCTTGGATGTTGAGGTCACCGTTAAACTTAACATTGTTTAGTGTTGAAGAGCTACCGATGGCCGCTGAGGTCACGGTGGTGGTAGACAGTGAGCCTTGACCTAACAATGCACCTCCATTGATTATAATATCATTCTTGGATTGCAATGAGCCACCACTTTGAAGTAGAGTCAATCCTGAGCTTTGAATGAATGATTGGACTTGTGCATTGGCCGCAACATTCATTGTTTGATGATTAGCAATGTTCATCTCGATGTTGATTGTTACTCCGATGCCAGGGATAAATGCCTCCTCCTTGTTGAGGAAACTTGGGAAGAGAGTGTCCTGTATACTCCTGCCAAGGAGACCTTTGGGTGCGGTGGTCACTCCTCTTGTGACAGACTTGGTGAAGAAGAACTTGCCTTCATTGGTGATCGAGCTTGTTGGATCGACCAGCAATGATCCACCATGATTGAAAGTTCCTTGGTTGTTGAATGTTGTGTTCATTAGAGCAATGGATCCTGATGACTGCGTCGTCTCACACTTGGCACCAGATGTGAATGACATCTGAGTGTTGGTCATCATGACTGAACCCGAGCCACCGATCTCAAACTGTCCTCCGAATGACACTGATGATTTGTCAGCATTGAGTGCACCGTTGACTGTTGTGGTACCGCCTACTGATAGTGTGCTTGACTTGAAGTCACTCAATGCACTGGTCATAAATGATCCAGTCGAGACCGACGATGAAGTAGTCGTTTTGTTAGAAGCAACTGACAATGTACCGCTTAATGACACCTTGCTCTTGTCCATCTTGAGGAAAGTCGATCCAGCACCAAGTGTTAGATCCTTCATATATGATGTCGAGTTGAACAATGTCATGTTGGAGTTCTAATGGCAGGGACAGGTTAGACAATGCGTGAGGGCGTGATAGCTCCGTGAACTTACATTGTTGATGTTGAATGAACCACTTGTGATATTGACAGTGCTGAAGTTACACTTGGATGATTGCATGCTCATTACTCCACTCATACCAAATGTTGCATTGTTAACAACATTGAATGATGACAAATTGAGGTCAACACTTCCATTCACAATCAAGAATCCAGTGTCCACATTACTTGTTGTCAATGTATGAATCATTGATGACTAGAGCGATCAAAGGTAGTTGGTTTGTTAGGTACAATGTGCGATGTTACAAGCCATAAGTATTACACATACTGTTGTCATGTGATAAACATTAATGATGAGTTGGGAGTTGTTAAAGTTGACAATGCCATTGAGTGACTTGATGTAGCCATGCTCTTCGTTGGGATCTTGGACGTTGATCAATGGGTCCATCGAGGCATTGACTGTTGCGCCAAGGAATCGGACGTCATTGTTGGATTGTACAGTGCCCGGGATGACGAATCTCATCGTGCCCTTGATCTCGGCCAGTGTGTTGGCACTCACGTAGTTCTGGTAATAGTCACCAACGTCATTGACTTTGAGCTTGTTGGGTCTTGGTAGCACATGGCTACCAATACCACCATGGGCAAAGTCAAAGATGAACTCTCCATGTGATGCCACCCATAAGTTGGTTGAAATGTTGAGCTGTGTGCTGAGGAAGAATCTGACTGTTCCGGCTAATGGCGAAGATGATGGGATGGCCAACTGCAAGGAGTACAACTCCATCTCTTTGGCCAAATAAGTTCCTACGTCTGAACTCTGCACAGTAACCTTGGCCTGTGTACTTGCATTTGGTCTGATGCCAGACACCCAATTTGTTGCAAGACCAAAGTCAACCCATGATCCACCATTGAGTGAGTCCGGGTACTGAGCTTTGAACAAATTACCATTTATTATTAGAAATATAAATAAATAATATAGTATTGTACTATATCTGTGAATCATGATTATAATTATTATTATTATATCTGTTTATCTATTTATAAATATTAGTAAGAGTAATTGATGAACGAATGAATGAATTGTCAAGAGTCTGAATTCTTGAGTTATTGAAATGATTGTGTGTGATTGAAGGATTGGTTGGCTGTGATGTACGAAAGTTGGTATCAATCGGTTGAGGTGATCATGTGTGTGATTGATAGATTTTATTTATCCTTCGGACAACTATTAGATCTGGAGGGCCTCCATCATGGGCACAATGCCCAATAGCCCCCCCCACGTACATCGAAATGATCAAAAAACAACCAAAAAAAGGAAAAAACAAACAAGTGACTGAAAAAAACTAATCGTTTTTCGATGGATGTTCAAAAATCTTTGAAAAAGATTGGAAGCTGTGCAGGGCTAGCAAAGGCATACTTTGAACATTTTTTTGATCATGATCATTCATTTTACTGAATGACATAGAGATAATCAATCAAACAATCAAATAATGAATGATGATGAACCTTAACCCAATTTATGAAGTACTTCGAAGTCGATATTATTGGAGATTGATCATTCCAAAGAACTTTGAGTCGTTGTTGCCAAGGGTTGAAGCTCACCTTGGTCCAGCGACGGGTTCAGTGATATGGCGCTACAGAGACTGGTGTAGTGTGGAGAGGTTGTTGGACAATGGTTACTATGCATTGATCGAAGACAAGATTGTCAATGGACATGAACTCGTCGACCTGGACGACGCCAGCAACATAAGCCGTCTACTGCAACACATAAGCACCAGATTGTTCAAATACCTCATTGAACACAGACCATCGTTGTTTGAACACCCTGGCATCTTGAGCAATGCCATCTGCTCGGGCAACGAGTATGTCGTCGAGCAGTTGATCGAGCACCAACGCCAAAGTCAAGGTGCACTTGGCCAAGTTATGCACGGTCCTGGAGACCTAAGCCCCATCCAGCAGGCGTTGCATCATGGACATGTTCACATTGCCAAGATACTCATTCAACATGGTATACATAATATAGACGAACCAATTAATGATCTAAACTATTGTGTGGACGGCAGCTTCGAGTCACCTCGATTCCTCCTCGATCATCTCAACGTCACAATTGAGCAACTCAGATCTCAAATCATCACATTTGACGATAAGGCTGATGATGATGATGATGATGATTATAGTAATTGTGATGATGGTAATCTAGATGGCCCGTATGTCAACGACTCATTCATACGCATGCTCAAGAAGTTCAATGTTGGACAGGTGGACATGATGAACCTACTTGTGTTGGAGCATTACAAACATAATATTGAATTACAGACTCATTGTATTATAATGGCATTGGAGTCAATGATTGATCAATCACAATCTACACCTGGCTATGTACTCAACAATCTCAATCACATCCAATCATCATTATCAATCATATCCAACATTGATGACCATGACGACAACGACGATGAGCTCACCGCAGATTATCTTCGCACTCGTGTCGACTGTGTCGCACAACAATTGTCTAGCGGTCTTGATCAAGAAGTTCCGCAGACACTCCTCGACCGTATATTATTGGTCGAACTCGTAAGCGCAGTGAACAAGAGGATCAAAGACCCCAAACAAAGATTGACCTTTGCTTCATACTTTGCTGATCAACAACAATGTCCTTTGGAAGACACTTTATCATTCCTGATCATGCGACGAATCAATCGGTTGGATGAGTATTTGATGCAGGAGCTCAAGATCCTCGATGAATCATTCATTCTGCTACTTTATTGTCAACACGGATCACTGGATCAGGTTCGCTACATCCACTCAAACGTTAACATAGACCTTAATGATTACAATCGAATGACCTCTGCAGCCTCGTCCCGATCAGATGATCCAACATTCTTTCAATTTGTTGTCTCAACTCAATCCCAAAGCGATTACATAAGGTGCAATTGGGATTCAAGCCAGATTAGGTACATTGATCAACGAAACCTACAACCCATTCAAGACCTGGAACAATTCCATATGGCACTAGTCAATAATACATTCAAAGAGTATATGATCGCGGAAATGTGTCTGCGATTGATAAAATGTGGCTTGTTAGAGCATCTAAAGGTGGCGCTATCGCATATCACACCGGCCGCTGATTTGCTGGACTACGCACTATACTTTGGTCGGCGTGAGATCATGGAGTATCTGGTTCAGTCACACTCATCACTTTTCTCCAATGATGCACTTAGGATTGCCACACACTGTGGCGACCTGGCATTAATAGATTATATCCTAGAGCATAGTCCTCCAAGACAATCAGATATATCACCATGTATGTCTGAAGCCAATACATATTGATTGAATGATATGATCAATTATCTCATCAGTTTGGAGCTGAAACATCGTCAATAAGTTCATTGGATACCAATCCCATAAATTACGAATTTTATGAACTTTAAATTGGAGCTCCTTAACTTAACTTCATTTGGTCCTCATTCAATACATTGAGATATATATATATTGTAGTAATAATAGTAAAGAATAGGAATGACTGGAGAAGGGAGGAATAAAGATGCTATATATCAAGTACTTAGAAATCGATATTACTGGAGATTGATGTTTCCAAAGAGTTTGGATATGTTGCAAAGGGTTGCCAATGTGAAGCCAAAGTCCAAGTTACAGATCTACAGACATATGAATCCCTATCAATTATCAAATAGTGTTGATGCATGGCGATACAGGGACTGGTCCAACATGAATAGAATGTTGGACAATGGACACTTTGCATTGATCGAGGACAAGATTCTCAATGGACATGAACTAGCCGATATTGACATCAATCGTCTTATGCAACATATCAGCTCATCATTGTTCGATTACCTCTTTGAACACGGGCGATCATTTTTCGACGATCCTGACATCCTACTCGATGCTATATGCTCAGGCAACGAGTATGTCGTCGAGAAGTTACTTAAACATCGAAAAGGCCGTGCTCTCGTGAGAGTGAAAGGTCGCCGACAACACATCGAAGAGGCATTACATCATGGACATGTTCACATTGCCAAACTACTGTTTGAACATAACCTTTACAACATACACACGATGTCATGGGACAAAACAATTGATTGGTCAAGCTACAGTGTGGATGGCAGCTTTGACTCGCCTCTCTTCCTCATCAACTTCCTCGACATATCCATTGAGCAACTCAGACCCAAAGCCAACAAGTTCCAAATTGAATATTTCGAAGGTGATTACGATGAATATGATGATTATGTAGATGTTTATAATGTCAGCGATGATGATGGTGATGATGATGATGGAGCGCAAAATCATAGTCTTGACAGTCACTATGTTCCAAATCAAGGACCTTATATCACAGATACATTCGTACGAATGTTAAAGAAGTTCAAGATTGAGCATGTGGAAATGATGAACATACTTGTATTGGAGCATTACAAACAGAATATTGCATTACAGACACATTGTATTATAATGGCATTGGAGGCATTGATTGATCAGGGACAGGGACATGGACATGGACATGCTCTCAACAACATTGATCACCTCGAATCATCAATCTATATGATTGTCTCAGACGAGGAGTTAATAGACCAACTTCACACTCGGATGGACTCAATCAAACAACAGATCTTTGGTGATGTAGTAGCCCCAGATGCGCCTCAGCATGACTCGCGAGCAATACTCGACCGTGTACTATTGATCGAACTCTCAAACACTGTGCTCAGTCGTATCATTGACATCAATCAACGATTAGGGTTTGACAAATACTTCTCTGATCATCCTTTGTCAGATGCCATCACATACTTGATCAGACAGAGAATCAATCAGTTGGATGAATACATAATTCAAACACTCAGCCATTCAATGAAACAATCAACACTATGTATGCGACTCATTTGCTTGCATGGCTCGCTCGACCAAGTCCATCATGTCCACTCAATCATTGGCAACGATGATATGGTCATCCCGGACATTTATGAAGCATCATTGACTCGGCGTGATGACCCAACATATACAATATACCAATATATCTCTACACAATATCCAGAAGATACGCCAGCCCATTGGCCTGATACTCATGTTGAATACATCGATCCACGGACAATACTATCCATTCAAGATCTGGATGAGTTCCGAGCTGCACTCAATGGTCAAATTTTCATGGATGGCGATGCCCTTGAGAAACTGTGCAAGAGATTGATACAGTTTGGACTGATGGAGCATCTTGATGCGGCTCTTTCCCACAAGCATACACCATCCAATCATCTCCTGGACTGTGCGCTTTACTTTGGTCAGCTTGATATCATGAGGTATCTGGTCACATCATATCCATCACTTGGCTTCACTCTTGAGGGCCTAACAATAGCCACTCATTATGGCGATTTTGAATTGATTGATTATGTGATGGCACATTATACACAGTCAGAGGCAGAGGCCAGATTAAGATGTTTGGAAGCATCATGTAAATATGGAATGATTGATGTGATAAAACATCTTTCCACGAGTGTTGATATCAAACAGATCATACACTATTCTGGATTACATTTCAAACTGGTGACAATTGCAATGGACAACTGTCACATCAACATCTTGCACTGGCTCACTCAATTGATCATTCCTTCAAATGAACATGTCCAACTACATATCCAACATCTTCATTATCACATGTGTACAAACCATCACTGCCAAGTTATAGATCATCTTCGATCATTATTATGATAGTGATCACAAGGGACGTCATATTTTATGTTCATAAAATTCTCAATTTATGATTTCGCTTTCGTTTGGTTCTCAGTCAATACTTTGAGACAAACATAAGGTAGTAATAATAATAATAATAGTAAGGAATAGGTATGACTGGAGAAGGGAGGAATAAAGATGCTATATATCAAGTACTTAGAAATCGATATTACTTGAGATTGATGTTCCCAAAGAGTTTGGATATGTTGCAAAGGGTTGCCAACGTTCAGTCAAAGGCCAAACCCATCTTCAAACATTGGAGTCCCGATCATTTATCAAAGAGGGTTGATGCATGGCGATACAGGGACTGGTCCAGCATGAATAGAATGTTGGACAATGGACACATTGCATTGATCGAGGACAAGATTGTCAATGGACATGAACTCGCCGACTTTGACATCAAACGTCTAATTCAACATATCAGCTCATCATTGTTTGACTACCTCTTTGAACACAGACGATCATTTTTCGACGATCCTGAAATACTACTCAATGCTATAAGCTCGGGCAACGAGTATGTCGTCGAGCAGCTACTCCAACACCGAGATGGCCATTCAATCGTGAAAGTTCAAGGTCGTAGACAACACATCGAAGAGGCATTACATCATGGACATATACACATTGCCGAACTACTGTTTGAACACGGTTTAACAACTAGATACATACACAAGATGTCATTGGACAAGCCAATTGATTGGACACTCTACAGTGAGCAACTCAGACAAGAAGAAAGAAAGATACAAATTGCATCATATGATGATTATGATGATGATGAAGTCGAATATCACATTCAACATCATGAAGAGGATAATGACTACAGTGATGATGATTTCGAATATCATAATATTCAACCTCATGAAGAGGATGATGACTACAGCGATGTTGATTATGGGCAAGATATTTATCAAGACATCGATTTTGATGAATACCAACCCAACAATGTTCCAGATATCATCGATCAGCAAACAATGCTGCCCAACCAAGATCTGGATGAGTTCCGAGCTGCACTCAAAGGTCTTACATTCAAAGATGGCGATGCTCTTGAGAAACTTTGTAAGAGATTGATACAGCTTGGCCTGTTGGAGCATCTAGTTGCGGTCCTTTCCCACAAGCATACACCATCCAATCATCTCCTGGACTGCGCGCTATACTATGGTCAGCCTGAGATCATGAGGTATCTGGTCACATCATATCCATCACTTGGCTTCACTCTTGAGGGCCTAACAATAGCCACTCACTATGGCGATTGTCAATTGATTGATTATGTGATGGGACACTACTCATTGTCAGAGGCAGAGGCCAGATTAAGATGTTTGGAAGCATCATGTAAATATGGAATGATTGATGTGATCAAACATCTTTCCACAAGTGTTGATATCAAACATATCATACACTATTCTGGATTACACTACAAACTGATGACAATTGCACTTGACAACTGTCACACCAACATCTTGCACTGGCTCACTCAAATGATCAACCCTTCAAATGAACATGTCCAACAACTTATCAAACATCTTCAAAATCACCAGTGTACAAACGATCCCTGCCAAGTTATTGATTATCTTCAATCATTATGATCACAAGACACCTCCTGGAATCAATCAATCAATCATATAAATTCAAATCAACTATGTTTATTACAATGGGTAACCAGAGAGGTTAAGAATGAATTCCCTTCGATGAGGTGGTGGGGTTGTATGATACACTTGGTCCCCTAATTATTGATTGATTATTAGTAAGTGACCTACCTTAAACTTAATAATTCAACTAAACTCGTGTACTTACATTTCAATTCTAACTTGATCACCAACTTCGTCAATCAAGTCGAATCTATACCTGGCACTTGAGCTCAATGGTGTATCCAATTTATTAATGTGAGCCCATTTGACTAATTCACATGTGACTATACCTTCTTGTTGAGAAGGGATATCAGCAGACATCCTAATGATGATGACAGTTGTAACCTTGTTATGTTTGGTTGAAGTGGTCACTATTGACTCTATAGATAGGTCTTGATTATGACTGAGTAGTTCTTTCAAAGTATGATTATGTAATAATGATGATATATTGATTCTAGAATCAATGGGTAATTTAATATGTTTGTTATCTTTCCATTTAAAACTAAGGCCAGAATTGGATTGTTTGAGTACTTCAAATGTATCCATTGTTATACTCCAAGGGAGATATATGGCCCATGATTCTAATTTGATCACTTCTTCCATTATGTTTTTTTTGTTTGTTAGAATAAATGAATGAATGAATGAAAGATGGTGAAACATTCAACAAGATATTGGTTAGAGATTTATATTTAATTATCACTGAATTAAGTCATTGGATTCAATAGAACCACCATCTGGAACCTATCCATTTAAAGAGGAGTCCCATAAATTTAACTTATTACCAAACCCACACCACACACCGAATAACTAAGATATCAACTTCATCATTCTTTCAATTTACTCATTCTTCAAATTTGAAAGTTGTAATTGTATAGATATATTATTAACATACATATAATATATATACTTATTTATATATACTTATGGATGGATATAAATGTTAGGAGGAAGCTTGCTGATCTTATCAATGAAGCAACAAAGACAGGTGCACTTGAACTCTCAAAGGAACATGCTACATCACTAAAGTCAATAGTCAAGCAATCCAACCTTTATGTAAAATGTGCTCATGATATGTGTATTGAGAAGCTGACCTCTAAGCACTGTCAAGTATGTCATATAGCCCATTCTACTCTCTTGCATACACGCACTAACATTGATTACAGGTTAGGTTGTCAGCACTCAATATAATCAATGAACTATTCATGAGATCAAAGTACTTTAGAGAGTTGTTATGTGAACATTTGACACTGGTGTTTGAGAATGCTGTTGGCACCGATGCTGCCAAACCATTGCCACAACCTGCACAGACCGCGTTGTACATGCGACCCAAGGCACTGGAGTACGTCGAGCGTTGGTGCGAAGCATATGGCGATCACTACATCCACCTTCGAGTTGGCTATCACTACCTAAAAGACAGTCTCAAGATACAATTCCCCGATGCTCGCACTGCCCAGACACAACGCAATGTTGAAGAAGAGGAAAGAAGAGTGAGTATGGCGGGAGTGAATGAGCGAATGAGACAGGGTCAATCACTAACCTTGAACAACAGAACAAGACACAGAACTTGTTGAGACACAAGTATAATCAGTTGCGACTGGAGTTTGGAGGCATCGTTGCCAACATTGAGACAAACCTCGATGATATGGACAAGTTGTTTGGACAACTGGTACCAAGTGAGAAGAACTTTGATGACCTGTTCAAGGAAGCCTTTGATGATGAAGGTGGCGACGGTGTTGATGGCGGTGGAAGTCAACAAGACGATGCTGGTACAAGATCACAAGAAGAACCTGAACAGGATATTGTCAGACGTGGTGGATTCGGTAACCTTGGCTATGAGATTGAGGTTACAATTGATAAGGACGCAGCTGAGAACATACTCACTGACAACAAAGGTATGCCTGGTATTGACAACCTTTGATCAGCCAATCTAATGCGCAAACACAGATAATGTAGATAAAGTAGTTGCCAAGAAGATATCTGTTGGATTGGCAGAGCTGGAGAGAGTACAGCTGTTGGTGATCAATGACTGGTATACTACATTGGTCAAGATTGATATAAGTGCTCATTCAGACACAGAGTACAGTAACTACATGAGGAAGGTCATAGAGATACAGACACGACTCAACAATATCAAGGGTAGATGTGAGCAAGCCAATATCCAGGCATCAAACGACACTGTTGTTGCCAACGATGACAATAACAACAACAATAACAGCAACAACAACAATGATCCAACTTCATACTTGGATGATGATGGCAATGAATTGGAAATGGTCGAAGTTAATGGAGAGGAATATGAAGATGAATCCCTCGATCACCTGGACCCTGACGACCCCTCATCGACAACCACTACGACCACTACGACCACAACATCAACATCATCGCCAACCAAGTTCCACAAGCTATACTTTGGAAGGTATGTTGTACATGCCCCGTCCATCCAATGCCTAGTGAGCTGGGAACTGACATACATACATATCTCTCTAGCGACGTCAAACCACAATCAACTGACGATCTACCTGAGGAGGAGTCGATAGAGGATATGTTGAAGAGAGCACCGGTAGTGGCTGCACACGCTTCATTGATGCATTGGGGAAAGACTGAAGTCAGTCTTCACAAGGGTATAGAGGTCGAACACAGATTCATGGGCGCATCAAACGTGGATCCAGTCGTACCCATCTCAACATTTGTTGCACTCAATCAAATGACAACAGTGTACGAAGCGCCGCCATTGGTCGTCAGGGAGTGTCGCCACCCTCTGAAGAAGGGCGGACTGTGTCCTCGCAAGCATGTCAAGGACTGTCCCTATCATGGAAAGATTGTTGATCGCGATGACAATGGATACCCAATCGACGAGCTTGATCAAGATGAGCAGCTACAGCTTGCAGTCCAGAACTCACTCAAGACGGCTCCAAAGCCCGAGAAGAAGCGCAAGACATCAGGACTGGAGCCTTTGAACCATGATCCCGTGCAAGACAGGCTGGATCAGCTGATACTAATAAAAAAGAAACGGTAGCCAGGCTGGCTAATCTTTGTCTATCTACAATATCATCATCCTCGATTGAATGATGTTGGGGTTTACTATGATGTGCTGATCAGTAGGTCACGTCGTCTTCGTAGACAACGACAGGCAGGTCTTCGTTATCCTCGCCCATGTAGTGGTCCTGATTGTTGTCGTCCATACCAATCTCAAACAATGTTAGGTTCCATTTGAACTTGTTCTCAACCATGCGTCTAATGGCCAGCACCTGTTCAAACAACTGTCTCTTGTCATTATCCTTGTCGTTGACCTTGCCACTGCCGCCTATCTCATCAAAGTTGGACTCAATGAATCCCTTGAGCAATGGCTTCAAGAACATATTGCTTGAGATGTCTGAATCGAACATGTCGGCGGGTCCCACCTCCATCTGATGCTGGAGTACTCGAAGGAACGTTGTGAACAGTCGTGGATTGCTGTCGACCATCGCGTCACATTGAAGCATGAGTGTCACCAAGTTCTTCCACTGCAAGAATGATCCATAGGCCAGTCCATAGATGAACAGTACGTAGCAGAACTGTATCTCGCCAATCAGTCCATACTCGTCGGCGGCATAGTACCTCTTGATCACCGTCCGCAGTGAGTGTGACTTGTCCATGTTCCACATTGAAATCTCTGTTGGCGTGCTCCCCTTTGACGGGGCACGTGACAGCACTGAGTAATAAGGCACGCCCCATCTCTCCTTTGTCGTCTTGGCTTCGTCCTCCTCCAATTGCTCACTTTGTTCGTGCTGATGTTGAGGGTTCCTCAACTTCCTGAACTCATTTAGATCGCGGTCCAGCTTGGCCAGTATCTCTGCCTCTTTGGCGTCGGGCATTCGAGGTCTCCTGTTATCTTGTGCATTCTCGTAGTCATCGGCATCACCATTGATAACGCCAGAGATGGGCATGATGCGATCGAGCAATGATTGAGTAATGTGTGACGTCAGTGCCAGCCATTGAAAGTGACAGTTGTCATCGATTGGGTAAGGCGCGAGGTTCCGATCAAACTCCAACTTCTTCACGGCCATCGTATAAGATTCAATCTCTTGTTGAGTGAGTATAGCTGATTGCTGTGACAATGTTGGTGATGATCCATCAAGTCCACCATGCTGCTGTTGTTGTTGTTGTTGTTGAAGTTGTGATGATGAATGCTCATCAACAAAGTCCTCCAACTCTGTGGACCACTTTAGAATGATGACGCGACCAGGTTGTTTACGTTCGTCAACGTAGAAGAATCTACTTTGTACTGATGGCGGAGATACATTATTGGTTTGATCAGCAGCGCTATAACAGAATATATGTGCACCATGAGGTATCATTTTGAAACCTTTAAACGATGGTCCACTGACCATCTGTTTGTTATCCAATGCCACCTGTGTACCCTCAGGTACATTCAAACACAACAATGTAGTTCCAATATCATTAAGTCTATGTGCTCTTTCATTATCCATATCTATCTATCTATATAATCTATCAATCAATCAATAAATGACTCTAAATTGGGAGGACTTGTTGAATACTCGTCTGAAGGAGAGTTTGAAGTTCGTTGATTTTGATAATTTCATTTTTATTTAATTTTTAGGTGATTTGTTTTGCACGAACCATGGATACAGGATAACAAAAGCATGTTGCACAGCATCATGATCGGCCTTTTCGAAGTGGGGAACTACCATCAAACATGAAGGTATGTGTATCTCTATATATTACCATCACCAAATCAATAGGCGATACATCAGATTAGTCAATCGCGATCAATCAATCCAACAGAACATCAATCGCGATGATTTAGACATCAGATGTACATGTTACTCACACTCAATCATCACTCGTTGTTATAGCTCAACATTGCCAACCCATCCACAGGTGCACAGAAGTGTGTCAACATTGAGGACAAGCTCAAGACGTATGTAGCGCGTTGGATAGTTATAGATGGATACACAGATAGACAGGGAACACGCGATATCTAACATTCAATCAATCAAACTCAATCAACTATGAACAAAACAGCCGTTGTTTCATCGACAAGCGTATGGGACAGGAGGTTCCAGGTGACTCATTGGGCGATGAATATAAGGGATACGTCTTCAGAATCACTGGAGGCAACGACACTGAGGGTTTCCCCATGATGCAGGGTGTTGCCGTCCCACACAGAGTTCGTCTCTTGCTTACCAAGACCTCTGGCTGCTACAACCCAGCCAGATCTGGTGAGAGAAAGAGAAAGTCTGTCCGTGGCTGCATCGTCGCCGACGACATTGCCTCGCTGCAGTTGATCATCGTCAAGAAGGGTGACGCTGAGCTGCCAGGTCTCACTGACGTCAGCTTCCCATCCAGAAAGGGACCAAAGAGAGCCAGCAACATCAGAAAGCTCTTCAAGCTCTCCAAGGAGGACGACGTCCGCAAGTACGTCATCCGTCGTGAGATCCCCGCCAAGAAGGAGGGCAGAAAGGCAAAGAGCATTGCCCCCAAGATTCAGCGTTTGGTCACCCCAGTCACCATTGCTCGCAGAAAGGCTCTTCGCCTGCAGAAGGTCAACTCACACAAGAAGGCCGCTGAGGAGGCCGCCGCCTACGCCAAGCTCATTGCTCAGCGTCGTGAGGCTGAGAGAGCCTCGAGAAGATCCTCGAAGCGTTCCTCCAAGGCTTCCGTCAAGGCTGCCGATGCTACCCCAGCTCCAGCTGCCAAGGCCCCAGTCAAGGCTGCCGCTGTCCCAGCCAAGGTTGCCGCTGTCCCAGCCAAGGCTGCCGCTGTCCCAGCCAAGGCTGCCGCTGTCCCAACCAAGACTGTTGCCCCCGCCAAGACTGCCGCCAAGCAATCAGGCAAGAAATAAACATGATCATCAACGAGATGAGTGGTAATATAAATCAATTAATTAATCAATCTATCAAACTGATCATCCACCTTTATATCTAGTTGATTCATTGAAATATTTGTCCAAGTAATCGCTAAGTAGTGACTGGAATACTCTGGTAATTGATCATTGATATATTTTGTTTATTAAATTAATTAATATAATGTTGTTAGTCAAAGGGAATATTTGATGGATCGGATTGATTGATGGACTTGGAAAACTACTGGAACTTGTTTACATTTGCTCAGTGGCAAGGATCTTGTTCTTTAAGGCCTCACATGTCTGCTTGGCATCACCAAAGAGCATTCCAGTGTTGGGCTTGAAGAAGATTGGATTCTGGACATCGGCATATCCTGTGGCCATCGATCTCTTCAAGACGATGCATTGCTTGGCCTTCCATACCTCAATCACAGGCATACCGGCAATAATCGAGTTTGGATCCTCGATGGCTGCCGAGTTGACAGTGTCATTAGCGCCAATCACGATGGCCAGGTCGGTCTCTGGCAACTCGTGGTTGATCTCCTCCATCTCGAACACAATATCGTAGGGAACACCTGCCTCAGAGAGGACGAGGTTCAGTTGACCAGGGAGACGTCCGGCAACTGGGTGAATGGCGAAACGCACCTTGATTCCGCGCTCAATGAGAGCCTTGGTCATCTCGGCGACTGGGTATTGGGCCTTGGCCACGGCGAGTCCGTAACCTGGGACAATGATAACGGATTTGACGTTGGTGCACATCTCGGCAACCTGGTCAACGTTGACCTCGGTGTGAGTGCCAGTGATCTTCATGGCTTCACCAGTGCCGGTGGATGATGTTCCATATCCTCCAAAGATAACGTTTGGCAATGATCGGTTCATAGCCACACACATGATATACGAGAGAATGGCACCAGATGATCCAACCAACGCACCAACAATGTTGAGCAGATCATTGTTGAGCATGAATCCCTCAGCGCAAAGTGCCCATCCTGAATAACTCTGTGTTGTCGTATGTGTGTGTTAGAATGGCTTGCAGACATACGTTCATAGGTTGGTGGTACTTACGTTGAGCACAGTGATAACAACTGGCATGTCACCACCTCCAATGGCGGCGGTCAAGAGATGACCTTGTAGGAAGGAGAGACCTGCGTTGGCGACCAGACAGGCAACACCCAAGGATGGGCTGTTGGTGTTGAGGAAGATGGCAAAGGTACCAGCATTGGCGGTGGCAATTGCGAGGTTGATCAGGTTGCGGTTGGGCAAGAGCAATGGCTTCGAGGGGAACTTCCAGTTTCCAATCTGTCCTTGGAGCTTGGCAAAGGCCACGAGTGAGCCGGTGAATGTAACACCTCCAATAACCGAACCAAGGTAGATGGCACCACGGTGAATCATATCAAGTTGAGTGAGGTGGTCCATCGAGCCGAGGTATGTTGAGACGGAGGTCAGTACGGCAGCCAAACCGACAAAGCTGTGGAAGGCGGCAGTAAGTTGTGGGAGCTCGGTCACTCCCACCTTCTTGGAGATTGCAAGTCCAATGGCTCCACCTCCTCCAATCATTGCTCCGACTTGCATTAATAGGGCAGCGGGCATGTTCAACGAGGCAATGGTGGCAGCAACACCAATACCAACACCAGACATACCGAGGATGTTACCAAGTCGCGAGGTACTTTGCGAGGAGAGTCCAGCAATCGACATGATACATAGTGTCGAGGAGGCAACGTAGGACATTTGGACGATGGCTTCGTTGGAGGGTCCGGCAACTGCCGCGGCTGCGGCGAGGAAGCTGGCTGCGCCCAGGCCATAAAGGTACTCATAGGTGGGTGGATCAGTTGGACGCTTGAACATATCGAGCATACGCTTGGTGATAGAGAAACCACCAAAGATGTTGATGCTTGCGATAAAGACTGAGGTGGCGGCGAGGAAGTTGCCAAAGGTACCTGGCAGCATGCCTCCACCCATCATGTGGATACCGGCTGCAGCGACAATACCAGAGACGGCATTAGTCACAGACATCAGTGGCGAGTGGAGCGCGGGTGTGACACCCCACACAACCTTGTATCCGATGATACATGACAGGGCAAAGGTGGTCAGGTTTAGCATGAATGGAAGAGGCATGTTCATGGTGACGAGGGCTGAACCAGCAAGTCCTGCAGCTGATATCAAGGCCTTCTTGAGGGTTGAGTTGTATAGACTCTCGGGCTTGACAACGGCGGCGGGCTTGGTCTCCTTGGGTGCTGCAGGGGGAGCCTGTGGCACCTCCTTTCTGGGCGCGGGCCACACCATGATGCCCTTCTGCAGGATAGTCGAACCACGGGTCACCTCATCCTTGAGATCGATCTTGAACTCGGCGTTCGCGGAATTGCCAAGCGACAAGAGGAACTTGACAATGTTGTTCGAGTAGAGCTGCGATGATTGAGTGGCCATTCTCGAAGGTAAGTCAGTGTATCCAATGATGGACACTCCGCGGTGATTGACAATCTCGCCTGGGTTGGTCAGCTCACAGTTGCCACCAGTCTCGGCGGCAAGATCGACGACCACTGAGCCTGGCTTCATCGACTCGACCATCTCTCTGGTAATAAGTTTGGGCGCAGGCTTGCCTGGGATCAGAGCAGTTGTGACGACGATGTCCACTTCCTTGCACTGCTTGGCAAACAGGGCCATCTCGGCCTCGATGAACTCCTTTGACATTGTCTTGGCATATCCACCGCCACCCTCACCCTCCTCCTTGAGGTGGACTTCGAGGAAGTCAGCTCCCATTGACTTGACTTGCTCCTTTGCGGCGGCACGAGTGTCAAAGGCACGCACGACGGCACCCAGACCCCTGGCAGCACCGATAGCACTCAGACCTGCGACACCAGCACCAATGACAAGAACCTTGGCTGGGTGAATCTTTCCGGCGGCTGTGATCTGGCCACTGAAGAAACGTCCAAAGTTGTTGGAGGCCTCAATGATTGCCTTGTATCCTGCAATGTTGGCCATTGATGAGAGGGCATCAAACACTTGAGCACGGGAGATACGAGGGATACAGTCCATGGCGAGGGATGTGATCTTTCTCTCGGACAACAACTTGATGGTCTCCTGTTGTTGAGCGGGCCACAAGAAACTGATCAAGGTCGAGCCTTCCTTGTACATCTCGGCCTCATGCTTGCCGAGCGAGGTGTTGTGCTGGGGTGGGCGGACCTTTAGAATGATGTCGGCGGCGGACATGACCTCGGAGTTGGTTCCAATCTTGGCACCGGCTTGGATGTAGGCGGCATCTGAGAACTTGGCACCCTTGCCAGCGTCCTCTTCAATGATGATCTCTTTGAATCCTTTCTTGAGCAGGAGTGCAACGTTTTCTGGAGTGAGGGCGACTCTCTTCTCGCCCTTGTATGTCTCCTTTGGTACACCAATCACCATATCCTGGTAAGCTCTTGGTGCCTTGTCACTGAGACCCTCAGCAGGGTCAACAGGAGCAGTTGAACCAGTGCTATTGAATGACAACAAACTGTTCTTGAATGAGTTCCACTTTGAACTTGAATGGAACTGTCTTGTCGATGCATCATCTGAATACAAAGAGTTAGTATGAGTATGAGTATGAGTTGTTTGAATGAATGATTGAGTGATGTACATACTGAATGATCTGAGAGGAACTGGTGATACAGGGGTAGGGCTTGTGAATGATCCAATGCGACCGATGCATCCTGTTGTATACAAAGGGTTCTGGTAGCATTGCAACGATGAAGGTCTCAATGATGACAGAGTCCTTCTGCCAACACTTGTGAATATCGATGTCATGTCAGATAGATATTAATTACACTATAATACAAATATACAGATAATAATAATAAAGATACAGATATAATGAATGAATGAATGATGATAATGAATGTAGATATGAGGGTCTTTGACTTGGGCCTTGTTATTGGACAACACACTGACAGATTGAATGAATGACTTCACTAACACACTCACACTAAGAGGGGAGATAGAGATAGAGAGTGATGGATGGGAATATATTGAGTAAAGGGTGAGTAGGGTGATGTGTTGGTAATGGTTGGATGGATAGATTGATGTGTGGTTGGCTTGGGCTTGGCCTCCAGTATCCTAAATGCCCATTACAGGATACTCATTCATTCAATCACACACACACAATGGATGGATTCATCACCTGATGATCAATTTAAATTAAAAATTTAATTTTGAATGGATTGGATGGAGCAAGTGAAGAGCAAAGGTGAGGGGTTGATCATGATCAGTCGTGGAAAGACAAAACATTGATTGATTAGTTGTTGGACGTGCTGCTGTTTTCATCCTCGAATACCAACTCCACGCAACACTCCATTAGACTCTCAATGTCTTTGACTTCTTTGGGAGCATTCTTGGTGAGAACTAGTGGTCCATTGTCAGTGAGTGCGACATCGTCTTCAACACGAATGGCTATGCCGCGATACTTTGGATCGACGTCCATGTCCGTGTCGGAGATGTAGATGCCTGGCTCAATGGTGATGATCATGCCATTGGCCAGTGTCTCGCCGTATGATACGTCGGGACAGTCATGCGTGTCCATGCCGAGGAAGTGTCCAATGTTGTGAGGGTAGTACTTGTGATAGCTGCCGTCCTTGATCAGCTCATCGACGCTCTTCTCGCTCGATAGAATGCCCAGTCGCTGCAAAGACTCCACAATGAATCGAACGGATTGTAAGTGTATCTTGTTGATTGACGATCCTGCAACACAGAGTGGGATGCATCGCTTGTTCACATCGAGTACAGCTTCATACACCTCGCGTTGAGCCTGAGTGAATCGTCCATTGACAGGGAATGTCCTTGTGATATCACTTGTGAATCCCCAATACTCGGCACCAGCATCCATTAGACAAAGGTCTCCATTTCTTGATTAGTTGATTGATTGATTGAGTCAGTGAGTCATGTTGTTGTCAGCGCCGCACGGCGTCAAGGTCTACTTACTTCAATATCATGTTGTTGGCAACGTAGTGTATGATGTTGGCGCGGTTGCCACCTGCGACCACGGGTGGATAGGACATGCGCTGGGCACCTCGACGTTTGATTGCGTACTCAAAGTATGCGCTGACCTCGTGCTCATTCATGCCAGGCTGAATGTAACGCATTAGTTCGGCGAATGAGTCACCTGCAATGCCACCCGACTGCTCCATCATGGCAATCTCGGCATCAGACTTGATCAATCGCACGTACTGAAGCAGCTTCTCGATGTTAAAGTTGCTGATCTTCTGCTTGGATAGTGCTGTCACGATCGCTGGCCACTCACCACCATTAATGTTGACAAAGATGTCGCTCGAATCCTTGATGACCTCGATCAACTTGTTGGTGTTCTTGACGTCGTAGGCTTGGTCGACGCCAAAGATCGAAGTTGCCAGCTTGGTGCCACAGCGAGGGCCGTCCCATATCTCTCTGGCCGCATCCTTCTCGCGAAGGAACATCGTCGTTCTGTAGTCGTTGCCTTTGAGTCGCTCGACGACCAGGATGGCTTCGGGCTCATTCAGACCGGTGAAGTAATAGAAGTTGGACTGCTGTCTAAAGTGATAGGGGATATCGTACGACATCATTGGTTCGGGCGGTGTCATTATCACACAACAAGTGCCCTCTGGCAACAGTTGAGACAACTTGAAGCGTCTAAGTTTGAACTCCTCCAGCGTGATGCCCTTTATCAGCTCTCCCTTGTTCAGCAGATGTGGATGCGTAAAGTGTGTAGGCTGTCCAATAGTCTCATGTCCAATACTATCACTTTTGTTGTTGTTTATGTTTATGTTGGTGTAACGTCTATGTTGTTGTTGTTGTCGTACTAGTTGTTGTTGATGTTGTGGAGATGTATGTAGAAAGGATGATGTGGAGATTGTGGCACTTGAAATTGATAGACTTGTTCTTGTTAACTTTGAACTAGTGCCAACAATGAGAGGAGACACTGAACCTAGTCTACGAGACAAATATGTCAGTCTATTCATTGTTGTAGAGGAATTGATGTGTGGAGGATAATAAAGTGATTGCTACACCTTGGAAACACAAGTTTTATAAAGGGTTGAGGGTTGGCAAGGGTAGGGTTTGAGTGTAATTGTATCCACCTTTATTGATTGATTGATTGTTTGTTTAATTAATGAAGAGTATTTGATTGATTATGTATGTAGGTGGAGTAAGAGAGGAGGTTGATTCTACTTTGGTACCATGCCAATTGGAACTGAGATTTTCTTGGATGAGTCGGTAGTGGTGTCATTGACGTCGAAGCAGTACTTCGAGGTGGCCGGATCGAACTTGTTTGTTGTTCCAATTGGACCAACGATATAGTTGCCACCTGGATAGCTGACGGTGATACAGTAGTTTCCTTCCACAAGGTTGTCAACAGTGTATCCATTGTATTTCAATGCGGCATCAGTTGTAAACTGTTTGACTGGATTGCCCTTACTATCAGCCACTTGACCAACTACGCCGCCCAACCAATCCTCAGCTGCATTAGCATATCCATCCTAATAGTTTGATTGATTGATTGAATAAGAGTAAGTATTTTGATTGATTGATTGAATGATTGAATATGGGGATGACCTGAACATACCTTGTTTGCGTCAATCCATGAGTATCCATAGACTGTGTACTTGGTGATGGGAACGAAACCACCAAGGATTTGTAGGATGCTGCTGGAGTCGGCGGTTGTGTTGTCCAACTTGAAACAGTACTTGCCATTCGCGTCGAACATGTTGTCGTTGGCCGTAGGTGAGCGAGTGTATGAATTGGTTGGATCAATCATCGTGAGACAATAATCTCCAGCGCGCAAGTTGTCGAATCTGTAGCCGTCGTACTTCTTGGCCAAATCAGTGGTGAATGTTCCGACCACCTGGTTCTTGCTATCAGTTAGCGAGCCAGTCATTCCTGAAATCCATGGCTCAGCACCGTTGGCGACACCATCCTTGTTGGTGTCTGACCATGAACCTCCGCGGACGGTGAACACGGGTACCTTGACGAATCCGGCCAGGATGTTGACGATCTTGGATGAATCGGCAGTGGTTGCGTTGACATCGAAGCAGCGGGTACCGGTAGTTGGGTCAAACTTGTTGTCAGTGCCCATGGGACCATTGTCGTAGACCTTGGTGGGGTCGGTGATCTTGATGCAGTAGGAACCTTCTTGGACGTTGTCGAAGCGGAAGCCATCATACTTCTTGGCGGCATCAGTGGTGAATGTGCCAATCTCCTTGCCATCGGCCTTTTGGGTCAAGGTACCTGTCATACCTCCCAACCAATCCTCGACAACGTTGGAAACACCATCCTTGTTGGCATCAATCCACGAGTAACCACGGATTGTGTACTTGGGAGGAGGTGGTGGAGCTGGAATGAATCCGGCGGCAATGTTGAACTGTTTGGATGAGTCAACGGTGGTAGCATCGACGGAGAAGCAGTACTTCTTGGTGTTTGGATCGATCTTGTTGTCGTCTCCCATCGGTCCATTGACATTAACATTGGTTGGATCACTGATCGTGACACAATAGCCACCTTGCTTCATGTTGTCGAAGCGGAAGCCATCATACTTCTTGGCGGCGTCAGTGGTGAAGGTGCCAATCTCCTTGCCATCAATGTCGGTCAATGTGCCAGTCATTCCGCCCAACCATGGCTCTCCAGCCTCAGACTTGCCATTCTTGTTGGAGTCGATCCATGAGTATCCACGGATGGTGTATACTGGCTCTGGTCCAATTGGTTCGAAACCAGCGGCAACATTCAGAATATTGCTCGAGTCGACGGTGGTGGCATCCAAGGTAAAACAGTTGATGGATGAGGAGTTGAACTTGTTGTCGGTGCCAATTGGTCCAGTCTTGTATGCTCCGTTGGGGTCAGTGATCTTGAGACAGTACTTGCCTGGTGCGAGGTTATCAAATCTGAAGCCATCGTATCTCTTGGCGGCATCGGTGGTGAAAGTCTGGAGTGGAGTTCCAGCACCATCCATGAGCACACCCTTCATACCACCTAGCCAGGCCTCGCCAGTGTTGGAAACTCCATCCTTGTTGGCATCAACCCACGAGTATCCACGGATGGTGTACTTGGGGCCGACAACAGCTGGAGTGAATCCGGCGGGAATGTTGAATATCTTGGACGAGTCAACAGTGGTGGAGTCGACAGAGAAGCAGTACTTTCCAGTTGATGGGTTTAGCTTGTTGTCATCTCCCATGGGTCCATTGTCGTAGGCCTTCTTTGGATCAGTGATTTGGACACAGTAGCCACCTTGCTTGAGGTTGTCGAAGCGGAAGCCATCATACTTCTTGGAGGTTTCGGTGGTGAATGTGCCAATCTCCTTGCCATCAATGTCTGTGAGTTTGCCAGCCATTTCGCCCAACCATGGCTCACCAGCCTCTGACTTGCCATTCTTGTTGGAGTCGATCCATGAGTATCCACGGATGGTGTACACTGGCTCAGTTCCAACTGGTACGAATCCTGCGGCGATGTTCAGTTCATTCTTTGAGTCGACGGTTGTGGCGTCCAATGTGAAGCAGTAGATTGATGAGGAGTTGAACTTGTTGTCGGTGCCAATTGGTCCAGTCTTGTATCCACCATTGGGGTCGGAGATCTTGAGGCAGTACTTGCCTGGGTTGAGGTTCTCATATCTGAAGCCATCGTATCTCTTGGCAGCGTCGGTGGTGAAAGTCTGGAGGGTATTTCCATTCTCGTCCATGAGGACACCACTCATGCCTCCCAACCATGCCTCGCCAGTGTTGGAAACTCCATCCTTGTTGGCATCAACCCACGAGTATCCACGGATGGTGTACTTGGGACCGACAACAGCTGGAGTGAATCCGGCTGGAATGTTGAACTGCTTTGACGAGTCTACGGTGGTGGCATCGACGGAGAAACAGTACTTCTGAGTTGATGGGTTGATCTTGTTATCAATACCCATTGGTCCATGTCGTAGGCCTTCTTTGGATCACTGATCTTGACACAGTAGCCACCTTGCTTCATGTTGTCGAAGCGGAAGCCATCATACTTCTTGGCGGCGTCAGTGGTGAATGTGCCAATCTCCTTGCCATCAATGTCGGTCAATGTGCCAGTCATGTCACCCAGCCATGGCTCACCAGCCTCTGACTTGCCATTCTTGTTGGAGTCGATCCATGAGTATCCACGGATGGTGTACACTGGCTCAGTTCCAACTGGTACGAATCCAGCTGAGATATCCAACTCATTCTTGGAGTTGACGGTTGTTGCGTCCAATGTGAAGCAGTAGATTGATGAGGAGTTGAACTTGTTGTCGGTGCCAATTGGTCCAGTCTTGTATCCACCATTGGGGTCGGAGATCTTGAGGCAGTACTTGCCTGGGTTGAGGTTCTCAAACCTGAAGCCATCGTATCTCTTGGAGGCATCGGTGGTGAATGTTTTGAGGGTATTTCCATCACCATCCATTAGCACTCCACTCATGCCTCCCAACCATGCCTCGCCAGTGTTGGAGACTCCATCCTTGTTGGCATCAATCCATGAGTATCCACGGATGGTGTACTTGGGGCCTACGACAGCTGGAACGAATCCGGCGGGAATATTGAACTGTTTGGATGAGTCGACTGTGGTGGCATCGACGGAGAAACAGTACTTCTGAGTTGATGGGTTGATCTTGTTGTCATCGCCCATTGGTCCATTATCATAGGTCTTCTTTGGATCACTGATCTTGACACAGTAGCCACCTTGCTTCATGTTGTCGAAGCGGAAGCCATCATACTTCTTGGAGGTGTCGGTGGTGAATGTGCCAATCTCCTTGCCATCAATGTCGGTCAATGTGCCAGTCATGTCACCCAGCCATGGCTCACCAGCCTCTGACTTGCCATTCTTGTTGGAGTCGATCCATGAGTATCCACGGATGGTGTACACTGGCTCAGTTCCAACTGGTACGAATCCTGCGGCGACATCAAGGATGCCAGCTGAATTGACAGTGGTGGCATCCAAAATGAAACAGTTGATGGATGAGGAGTTGAACTTGTTGTCGGTGCCAATTGGTCCAGTCTTGTATCCACCATTGGGGTCGGAGATCTTGAGGCAGTACTTGCCTGGGTTGAGGTTCTCATATCTGAAGCCATCGTATCTCTTGGAAGCGTCGGTGGTGAATGTTCGGAGAGTATTTCCATTCTCGTCCATGAGCACACCACTCATGCCTCCCAACCATGGTTCACCAGTGTTGGAGACTCCATCCTTGTTAGAGTCAACCCATGAGTATCCACGGATGGTGTACTTGGGGCCTGGAACAGTTGGGATGAATCCAGCTGGAATGTTGAATATCATGGACGAGTCAACAGTGGTAGCATCGACGGAGAAACAGTACTTCTGAGTTGATGGGTTGATCTTGTTGTCATCTCCCATGGGTCCATTGTCGTAGGCCTTCTTTGGATCACTGATCTTGATACAATATCCACCTTGCTTCATGTTGTCAAAGCGGAAGCCATCGTACTTCTTGGCGGCGTCAGTGGTGAAGGTGCCAATCTCCTTGCCATCAATGTCGGTCAATGTGCCAGTCATGTCACCCAGCCATGGCTCACCAGCCTCTGACTTGCCATTCTTGTTGGAGTCGATCCATGAGTATCCACGGATGGTGTACACTGGCTCAGTTCCAGCTGGTACGAAACCAGCTGCGATATCCAACTCGCCCTTGGAGTTGACGGTGGTGGCGTCCAATGTGAAGCAGTTGATTGAAGATTCGTTGAACTTGTTGTCGGTACCCATTGGTCCAGTCTTGTATCCACCGGTGGGATCGGTGATCTTGAGACAGTACTTGCCTGGATTGAGCTTCTCGATACGGAAGCCATCATACCTCTTGGAGGCGTCGGTTGTGAATGTGTTGATCACCTTGCCAGTCGAGTCCGTAAGCTCTCCCTTCATGCCGCCCAACCATGGCTCACCAGCATTGGAAACACCGTCCTTGCTAGTGTCGATCCATGAGTAACCACGGAGGGTGTATTGAGGTGTGGTTGGAGTTGGAACGAATCCCATTGGGACATTGAAAATGTTTGATGAGTCGACAGTAGATGAGTCAACAGAGAAGCAGTACTTCTGGGCTGATGGGTCAACCTTGTTGTCGGTGCCCATCGGACCGTTCTGGTAGGCCTTGGTTGGATCGCTGATCTTGATGCAGTAGCCACCTTGCTTGAGGTTGTCGAAGCGGAAGCCATCATACTTCTTGGCGGCGTCAGTGGTGAATGTGCCAATCTCCTTGTCATCAATGTCGGTGAGTGTGCCGGTCATGCCTCCCAACCATGGCTCACCAGTCTCTGACTTGCCATTCTTGTTGGAATCATTCCATGAGTATCCACGGATGGTGTACTTGGGCTCGGGGCCAATTGGTTCGAACCCGGCGGCGATGTTCAGTTCATTCTTGGAGTTGACGGTGGTGGCATCCAATGTGAAGCAGTTAATAGAGCTGGAGTTGAACTTGTTATCGGTGCCAATTGGTCCAGTCTTGTACTGGCCCTTGGGGTCGGAGATCTTGAGGCAGTACTTGCCTGGCTCGAGGTTCTCAATGCGGAAACCATCGTATCTCTTGGCGGCGTCAGTTGTGAAGGTGGTCAACTCATTACCCTTGTCGTCCATGAGCACTCCACTCATGCCTCCCAACCATGGCTCGCCAGCGCTGGAAACACCATCCTTGCTGGTGTCAATCCATGAGTAACCACGGATGGTGTACTTGGGGCCTGGAACAGTTGGAATGAATCCGGCGGGAACGTTGAAGATCTTGTTGGAGTCGGCGGTGGAGGAATCAAGGGAGAAGCAGTACTTTTGAGTGAGTGGGTTGACCTTGTTGTCGGTGCCCATTGGTCCATTTTGGTAGGCCTTGGTTGGATCACTGATCTTGACACAGTAGCCACCTTGCTTGAGGTTGTCGAAGCGGAAGCCATCGTACTTCTTGGCGGCATCAGTGGTGATTGGGCCAATCAAAGTGCCATCGCTGGTGGTCAATGTTCCGGTCATGCCGCCCAACCATGGCTCACCAACCTCGGAAACGCCATTCTTGTTGGAATCATTCCATGAGTAGCCACGGATGGTGTATAAGGGCTCTGGTCCAACTGGCTCAAATCCGGCTGGGAGTGAAAGCTCCTTCTTGGAGTCGACGGTGGTGTCATCCAAAGTGAAGCAGTGCTGGGAGGTAGTGTTGAACTTGCTGTCAATGCCAGATGGAGTATTCTTGTACTCGCCCTTGGGGTCGAAGATCTTGAGGCAGTACTTGCCTGCGGCCAAGCCCTCAATTCTGTAGCCATCATACCTCTTGGAAGCGTCGGTGGTGAAGGTGCTGATCTCATTGCCCTTGTCGTCTGTCAAAATACCACTCATGCCGCCCAACCATGGCTCGCCAACGTTTGAGATACCATCCTTGCTGGTGTCAATCCAGGAGTAACCGTGGAGGGTGTATCTTGGGACTGGTGGAAGTGGGACGAATCCCATTGGGACATTGAAGATGTTTGATGAGTCGACGGTGGACGAGTCGACAGAGAAGCAGTACTTCTGGGTGGCTGGGTCGACCTTGTTGTCGGTGCCCATTGGTCCATTCTCGTAGGCCTTCTTTGGGTCCTTGATAGTGACACAGTAGCCACCTTGCTTGAGGTTGTCGAAACGGAAGCCATCGTATCTCTTGGATGCGTCGGTGGTAAAGTTGCCAATGACCTTGCCATCGACGGTGGTCAGTTGTCCAACCATGTCGCCCAACCATGGCTCACCAGTGTTGGACACACCGTCCTTGTTGGAGTCAATCCATGAGTAACCACGGATGGTGTACACTGGCTCTGGACCAATTGGCTTGTATCCGGCTGGCACAGAGATGGTCTTGTTAGAGTTGGTAGTCAATGCATCGAGTTTGAAGCAGCTCCAGCCAGTTGAGTTGTAGGTGTTGTCTGGGCCCATTTTAGAGTGGGCGTAGGTGCCCTTGGGGTCGTTCATCTCGATGCAGTACTGACCCTCGTCAAGGTCCTCAAAGTTGAAGCCACTGTATCTCTTGGAGGCATCGGTAGTGAAATCGCCAAGCTTGGTGCAGGTGACCTTTCTCCTCAGAGGACGGACGTTCTTGGATGGGGTACACTTGTGCAGGGCGCCCTTCATTCCTCCCAACCATGGCTCTCCAGCGTTGGACACACCATCATCATTGGAATCAATCCAGGAGTAACCAATGATGCGGTACTTCTGAACTGGGGCAGAAGTGGTCGATGATGTTGTTGTTACTGGTGAGGTAGTCGACGCAGTAGTTGTTGCAGTTGTGGTCGTGGTTGGGATGGAGGTAGTCGACACTGTTGTTGATGCAGTGGTAGTTGGAGGGGCGGTGGTCGACGCAGTTGTTGTTGCTGTTGTTGTGGTAGTTGGGATGGAGGTGGTTGACACAGTAGTTGATGCAGTGGTAGATGGGGCGGTGGTTGACACTGTCGTCGATGCTGTTGTTGATGCTGTCGACACTGTTGTTGAAGCTGTGGTAGTCACTGGCTCCGACGTAGTTGGCGAGGAGGTGGTGGAAACAATAGTTGATGCTGTCGTAGAAGCTGTTGTGGTCACTGTTGTTGTCACTGGCACCGAGGTAGTTGGCGAGGTAGTCGACACGGTGGTTGATGCAATGGTGGTCATTGTTGTGGCACCTGTGGACACGGTAGTGGTCACCGGCTCGGAGGTGGTTGGGGAGGAGGTGGTCGACACAGTCGTAGATGCTGTCGACACTGTTGTTGATGCAGTGGTGGTTGGTGCAGAAGTGGTCGACACTGTCGTTGTTGCTGTTGTCGAGGAAGTTGGGGTGGCGGTAGTTGTCACTGTTGTTGAGGCAGTGGTGGTAACTGGCGACACAGTGGTGGTAGCAACAGTGGATGCAGTTGACGCTGTCGTCGAAACGGTGGTGGTTACTGTGGTGGTCACTGGCGAGGTAGTTTGCGAGGCGGTAGTCGTCACAGTAGTTGATGCTGTGGTAGTAACGGTCGTAGACACAGTTGTGGTCACTGGGATGGAGGTGGTCGAAACGGTGGTGGTAGCCACAGTGGATGCAGTAGACACTGTTGTTGAGGCAGTGGTGGTAATTGGTCCAGAAGCGACAGTTGACACCGTGGTGGTAGCAACTGTAGACTGGGTCGAGGCCGATGTCGAGGCACCTGTTGTAATGGGTGGGACTAGGGTAGTAGAAGCCGATGTTGACGCAATCGTTGATTGAGTTGATACCGTCGTCGAGACAGTTGTGGTCACTGGCGCGGATGACGTTGGTGACGTTGTCGACGCGGAAGTGGATGCAACAGTCGATGCAGTGGACACAGTGGTGGTAGCAGTTGTAGTAACGGCGCCAGACGATGTTGTCGACACTGTGGTGGTGGCAACAGTGGACTGAGTCGAGGCTGATGTTGAGGCAGATGTTGATACAACCGGGATCTCTCCAGATGTGACAATAGTCGATGCGGTTGTCGACTGAGTTGACACTGTTGTCGTGGCGACAGTGGATGAGATTGGCAAAGTGCTGGTCACCTGAGCCACTGTTGAAGCGATAGTCGACGCAGTTGTCGATTGAGTAGAAACTGTGGTAGTGGCCACTGTCGACACTGATGTGGACGACGACGATGCTGAAGTGGATGCAGTGGTGGTAGCAACGGTCGACGCAGTCAATGATGCTGTAGACACTGTTGTAGTGGCCACTGTCGAGACGGTCGTGGACGACGATCCAGTGGATGCAATGGTGGAGGCAACAGTCGATGCGACAGTTGATTGAGTTGACACTGTTGTAGTGGCAAATGTCGATGACAATGATGACGAGGTTGGGTTTACATTAACGCAACATGCCTCACCAGTCTCAGGGTGCACATTGCACACTGTGTCCTTTGGACAAGTCTTGAAGTAACACTTTGGAATACACTTTGGTAACAAGCTGGCCGAAGGTTGGCAACAAACATGGTCGAATGGGCATTGTAGCTGGCATTCTCCAATGAAGGCATCTTATGATTGAATGAGTGAAAGGAATTAGTATTTGTTTCGAAACTGAAATTTTGTGGTTGAGTGGATGTCGGAAGTTGGAAGTTGGAAGATGGAAGTTGGATGTGATTGGAAACATACCAGTTCTTGCTACCAAAAAGAACAACAAAGTGAATACCAAGAGGTATCCTATTTTGTTAAGTCCCATTTTATGAGAATAAAAGAGACTTCAATTTAGTGGTGTTGTAGTTGTTGTTGGAGTAGTTTGGAATTATCCAGTATCCTTATTCAATATTATTATTATTTTTATTATTGATTTATCCGGGGCTTATTTATTATATATATATAAATATATATCAATATTTATATATAAATAATATGTTAGCTTGGAGAGAGTAATATATATTGAAGCTTCAATATAAAGGCTCATCCTGCGAATTGTCAAACCTGTTTCATTAATCGTATGAACAAGCCCTGAGTAATTCACGATTCGTGTAGGTGCCTCAATGTAGGAGAAGTGTCGACCACTAAATTACCCACTCTTGCATTCATTCATCCATCATTAACTCATATATTCATTCATTCATTCATTCATTCACTCATCTGATCATAATCACCACATGAACTCATGAAGGAGTAAGATGTGTAAGATGAGTAAGTGATTGCATGAATGAATGAATTAGTGACCAATTACATGTACAACTCAAATGTGTTATATAACAAGCCTACACTACCAAGTGCTTGCAACACATAAACACACTTGACCTCAATTACAATGATTTGTATGGATGAATATTTGATGAGTGTGCCTCAGGGCAATTATGTGCCCTCAATCAATCAATCAATCAATCAATCAATCAATCACTCACAATATGTTGTTGTTGCTGGTGGTTGGTGGTGGTTATGAATCAATGATATATCACTCATCCATACTTCCAGGTGCTACACACTCCACAGTTCCAGGGGCTACAATTAACTACAACAACAACCAACCAGCGTGTGGCTTAATCTTTCATCTTAACTTTTGTTACTCCTGTTTGCATACACTTTTTGCGTGTTTTATTAATTATTATTGATTACTTGGTCTTCTTTGCTGATCTCTTGTTGCTGATGGCATTGTTGTTACCACTTGACTTGCCACCTGTGAACTCAGTGAAGTAACTAAAGTGATGATGAGTTGAGTTGTTAATATGGTATGGGTGTGCGAGGGAATGTTAGTGATCATGGATTGATTTGGCGTTGATTGATTGATTGAAATTGAATACATACTAGAACAATGAAATAGCGAGACCGACGACCAAGAGACCGAGGATGAGCATGTAGTTGTAACTCAGTCCAGAGGCAGCGAGGGTTGCCATTGAGATGGTGAGGATACCAAAGAGACAGAGGATGATGATCTTGTACACGGATGATGGGATGCCTGGTGTCACGATGGACTCCATAAGGGTGACCACCCAGCTTTGGTCATTGGAGCTGGCGCTCTTGGTGTTGACCTTTTGTTGCTTCTTCTCAGCAGCGACAGCGACTGGCTGCTGCTTTGGCTTGGCGGCGGCGACTGGGGCTGGGGCAGCGGGCTTCTTTTGCTCGGCCTTGGCGGCGGCGGCGGCGAGCAGCTTCTCCTCCTCGCGCTGCTTGGCCAGCTTAATCTCGGCAGCCTGTTGCAGCTGCTTCTTCTTTTGTTGTTGTTGTTGTTGTTGTTGCTGCTTTGTCAGCGTCTGCTTCTTCTGCTTGTCCTCCTTCTTGACAGGGGCAGCCTCAACGGGGCCATCCTCCTCAAGTCCGAGCACAGAGATGAAGGTGTTTACTCGCAGGCTCTTGACGGGGGCAGCCTTGGTCTGCTGTGGTAGTTGTATTTGTTTCTTCTTCTTGCTTCCCTCATTGTTATTGTTGTTATTGTTGTTGTTGTTGTCTTCGACGACTGGTGTGGCTACTGGCTTGGTTGGTGCGACAACTGGTGCAACAACAACTGGTGCCACTGCTTGGACTGGTGCAGCAGCAGTGTTCTTCTTGGCACCCTTGGCGGGAGGTGGTGCTTGTGCAGCAACCAACTCAACTGAATCGGTCACCTCGAAAGTGACTGGCTTGACATTGTTTGACTTCTTCTTTCCGGCCATTATTATATATATATGAGGTATTGTATAAGTTATAAATGTAAATAAAGTATATGTATTTAATTGATTACAGTAGTTGTTGTTGTATAAGTATCAAATGATTGATGTTTGGAGAGTCAGCACATTCATTCATTCATTTCCTCCTGCTGAGAGCCAGGAGGTGCAGCATTATTCTGCAGAGTGTGGTATGAGTTGTGGGGGAGTTGGACCACTCTTCAGTAACACATCACCTCACACAATTGGATTTCAAAATTCATTCAAATTAAAAGTCAAACTTTGTTGACTTCCAACTTCTCATTGACTCCACCAATCAATCAATCTTTGTTATACTACATTACATAACCAACTCCTACTACTACTACTGCTACTGCTTCAACTACAGTTAGTTTGTAAAATTCCAATGATATATCTTATTGATGTCATTATATCTTATCCACTCAATTCAACTTTATACTACCTCGTTCACGACAGACTCAATCAATCAATCAATCATACTGAATTCCATCAACCAACATTAATATTTATATATAAATGATCAGATTCCAATACAACAACATGTCTGAATGAAGAGATAAATCAATCAACATCACACCAGGGTCTGATAGAGAGTGGAGGAGTGTAATGAAGACTACCTGTGTAGACACAAGCCCAGTTTATATCATTGCACAACTTAGTCCAAGTCCTGGTCTATTTTTACACAGGGATGATTTTGTTGATATTTCAATATCCAATTCGTGATTTTCGATCTGGTGTGATGTGTTTGACAAAAAAAAACAAAAAGGCCATTTGGCCTGTTCTGATGGAGACAGAGAGACAGACAGCATGCAGGGTACCACCAAACACATTGAGTACCCACCAGCACTCTCCTGAAAGAGTCACAAAAGGGTCACATTTAGTTCAAGTTTATACTTCCTTACAGATATATATTTATATTTATACATACATACATATACATAAACATGGGTATGTTCTCATTTGGAGCCAGAACACATGGTGGCATGTTCACATTCAACAAGGATGATGGTTATCTTGAGGCCTTGCTCAGAGGTTTCCGAAAGGGAATACTTGTCGCCAGTGACTACTCCAATCTCCGTCAATGCGACAACCTTGAGGGTAGGTATCAGAGTGGTAGTCCCCAGTGACCAAATTTGGAATGGAATGGAACTATCCCATACTGACCATCACACTCCAGATATGAAGTTACATCTTACCCAGACAGACTATGGCGACTTCTTGGCTGGCGAACCAAGCCCACTACACACAACAAACATTGCAGAGAAGGCCACACTGAAGTTGGTGGACGAGTTCAATCACATTCGTAACCAGGCTGTCGAGCCACTGTCGACCTTTTTGGACTATATATGCTATGGATACATGATTGACAACGTCGTCCTGCTGATCACGGGCACTCTGCACGAGCGCGACGTCACTGAGCTGGTGGAGAAGTGCCACCCACTCGGCCTGTTCAAGTCGATGGCCACTCTGTCGGTGGTGCACAGCGTCGCCGACCTCTACAACTTGGTGCTGATCGACACGCCGCTCGCACCCTACATCCAGAACTGCTTGAGCGAGGAGGATCTCGACGAGATGAACATCGAGATCATCAGAAACACACTGTTCAAGGCCTATCTGGAGGACTTCCATCACTACTGCAACATCGTCGGTGGACAGACCGCCTTGATCATGAACGACATCCTCAACTTTGAGGCCGATCGCAGATCAATCAACATCACCATCAACTCGTTCGGTGCCACCGAGCTCACCAAGGACGACCGTGAGAAGCTGTACCCAGCCATCGGTGTCCTCTACCCCGAGGGCACTGCTCGTCTCGCCAAAGCAGAGGACGTCGACTCTGTTCGTTCAGTTCTCGATGTCTACACAGTATGTTGGAATCATTCCATTGCTCGTCAATCAATCATTCACTCACTCACTCACTCATTCCAATCAAACAAACAATAAGGCATATAGACCATTCTTCTCGGAAGGAGTCAACTCAGAGATCACACTTGAGGACGCATTCTTCAAGCATGAGGTCCAGTTGAATCGCATGGCTTTTATGGATCAGTTTGGATATGGCGTGTTCTACGCCTACGTTCGTCTGAGGGAGCAGGAGATCAGGAACATCGTCTGGATTGCTGAGTGCATCAGTCAGAACATGAAGCAGAAGATCGATCAATTCATTCCAATCTTTGATTGATCAAACATCCCATCCAGGCAAACTGGCAGTCAGGAAACAGACAATCACACTTTCATTCATTCAATCATTCAATCATTCAATCAATCATTCGTTCATTCATTGATATTAAACTTCCCTTTATGGGGATGGAGAGGTCCTCCATCCCTGATCAATCAATCAATCAACTTTGCTCGATCAATCAAACATCCAAGTGGACACGGTGCTTGCCATTTTGAATGAGATAGTCTTTCATCTGCTTGTTCTCTATTGTTGGATGGGCCTGTATGACTAAGTTCAGTTGGCTGAGATCGATATGGTCACTAACCGACTCGTTCTTCAAGTAGAATCGTCGCAATGTATAGTTCCAATTCAATGCATTCAAGAATCTTAGGGGTAATGAGCTGGCCGTCATCGTTATTGTCAGTTGTTGAATGGACGGACAGCTGGCAATGATATCACACACTAAGTTCCATCGATCGGGACTTCGCTCCTTCTTGGGCACAGGAACGGTCAACTCTAGGTGATCAACATTTTCATAGCCATTAAAATCGCTGAGGCAATAATGGCTGAGCTTTGAAAGTCGTTTGGTTATCCTCGTATGGTCCAAATGAGGGGTGTCCAGGTGCGAGATTGTACATTGAGGGCTCTGAAGCAGTAGCTCAAACAGCCTCTCACTATGAGTGAATGCCACATGGTTGAGTCGTAGTGATGTCAATGTTTGTTGTTGTTCAAGGTAGTCGACAAAGAGTGCCGTGAAGTCATAGTTGCCCCGTTGAATTTTGATCTCTCCAATCGAGAGGTGCTGTAGCAATGGAAGTTGTAGCAGTAATGGGAAGATTCCTTGATAAAACTGAGGTTGGGAATTACAGACGCTGATGTGTCCATGGAGAAGTTCGATATGTGTGAGGTTGGAGAGCCTGGGCAGGAGGATGGTAAGTGCCTGGACTGCCTCGCCCAGGTCACCTTTTGGTATCCAAATAGATAAGTAGCAGAGAGTGTCTTTGACTAGTAGCAACTGTTGGACTGCCAGTCTCACTTTGTCCCCAGTTTGGAGTTCGAGCTTGCCAACACTTTTGAGTGGTGCATTTCTGGCCGCCAACAGAATGAGGTCCTCCATGTTATTACATCCAATTATATCAATGTTGAGTATGTTCATTAACAAATCAATCCTTCTTTCATTGTATCTGAAATGGGGACACCATTTTGAGTCTATGTCAATCTGTTGAAGTGAGCGCCACAGGGACCATTTGTTATCTTCGTTAAAGTAGTGAGACCTTAGAATGTTGCGGATTTGACGATGATCACATGTTTTAAAGATGACATGTTTCTTTGATACAATTCCATGGAACATCTTGCTTACAAGTGCCAGTGATATCATTATATTATTGTTGTAATTGGTCAACGATTTGCTCATTCTCTCTTCAAACTCCAACTCAATGTCCAACAAATAATGGACAATATACCTTGCCGGTATATATGGAAGTTGATCCATTACTTATTATTTATATATTTGTTGAGTAATAATAACATTAACAAGTCCATCATGATGGAGTATAATGAGGGTCATTTGGACAGTTGAATGAAAGTGAGGAGTCCTCACTTCAACCTTTCATTTCATTTTCTTTGAAGTTGTCAACAGATAACAACTTTGCTTCAATATATACACACAAGTGTCTAGACAGGAATGAATGACATCATTAAGGACTTGAAAGATGATATTGATCGTCTGAATGTTTCATCAACAGTAGCCTCAACAAACATGAACAACACCAACATTGATACAACAACAATGGACACAACAAGATTGTTGAATGACTTTGATCAACAGATGAAAAGAATGAATGATGATATAGCAACGGGTGTCAATGCCTGGTTGTTAGAGTTTGGTAACAATACATTGGCTGTCAAAGAACAGATCAACGCTAAACTGCAACTGGGGCCGAATGGCAGCAGCAGCATCAACAGCAACTCAAGCCAACACATAGACACAGCAACAATTACAACAACAATGCCTATTACAATTACAAGTGTACAGGCTCCCGATGAGGACAGCGATATCAAGTCGTCTGCAACGATTGACATGACGTGGAGGACTGCAATCGATGATGAGATCGCCGAGCTGTCCACGCTCATTGGCAAGCTAAAGACATTCGCGCCACATCACACCAACAACAAAGACTCTGCGGCCGAGCAGTTCAAGAATGCAGAGGAGCATATGAAGAGTTCGACATTTGCAACTATACTACGTCTAAAGACTGTATGTTCGATTGATCAAAGGTCTGGACGAGTTCACTTCACTTACTGACATCATCAACTTTAGGAGCTCATTGGAATGATCCGTGATTTCGAGGCAGCAGCCTCAGACACACATGCACAATCATCAGCAACCGCGACACAACACGCTGTTGCCAGCAACATTGGAAAGGCAACATCTCAACCAGTTGTCAGCACATTGGTGGCAGCACATCAGCTGAAAGTGGACTCACACAATCAATCGATATCGTCATCTTCAAAGTCTGCGCCAAGTTCACCACGACGACCCAAGTCCACGACATCATCCTCATCGTCATCCACTGGTTACTCTCCCTCTGCTTCCACCACATCACCATCCAACTCACCATCATTATCAAGGCGTCCAGCTCCTGCTGCAGCTGCAGCCTCTGCGGCGTCAACAACATCAACATCAACATCGACCACGACGACTACAGCGACCCAGCCATCGACACCTATCAAGGCATCGTCATCTTCATCATCATCATCACTTACAAACTCTGCGACTAAGGGCATCAGCAGTCGACCAAGGACAAACTCATCGTCGGCAGCTGGCTCATCAATTTCATACTCGTCGTCCAGCACACCAACCAAGCCAAAGTCAACTCTCGGCACGCCTGGCAGGAGCATGACACCAACTAAGCAGGTCAGGAAAGAGGAGGGTGAGGATGTGTTCAAGGTGTGGATACAGGAGGTGCTCAAAGCTGAACTGAAGGACATTGGCTCGTGTCTGCCATTCGAGTCGTCATTGGGCCTCCACCTGCAGTCTGGTGTCATCCTCTGTCGCCTGGTCAATGCACTCGCTGGCAAAGATGTCATCAAGAAGATCAACGAGGACAAGGGGTTCCGCAAGCATGAGAACATCAACAACTTCCTAACGGGTGCGCAACAGCTTGGCGTTCCCAAACGCGACATCTTCTTCTCGACCGATCTGGTCAATCTCACAAACATGAAGACTGTCATATCCATGCTCTATCAACTCGCCCGAGTCACCAACAACAATGACACACTCAAGAGGATTGAGCAACAACTGCTCAACAAGAAGTTGGGCATTGCCGACCCTCAAGAGACAGTGTTGCCATCACCAGACCAACATCCAAAGTAATGTTGGACAACAAGACAACAGCTTATATGTAATATTAAATAATTGATACAATACAAGGGATAAACGTTTATATATCTATCTGTCTATCTATCTGAGCAATGCTATCAGTTGGTTGTCGGCAAGTGAGCCACCGACAGAGGCAAAGTGATCGAGCTCACGCACTAGTTGAGGTGACTCGCCACGCATCTTCTTGAGCGAGTCAATGACAAAGGACAGCTGGGTATTGATTGAAAGGATCTCGGTGATGGTCTCCAAACAGAAACGCTTCAGACGTTTGGCCAGGAATTGATCGCCCACTTGCAACAGCAGACAGATGTTCTCGAAAGAGACCAAGGCGTCCTCAGCCTGCGACGCCAAGCTCTCAATGGCCGGGCTGTCTGGCTGCTCGGCGGCAGGCACATGACGGTTCTTGACATATGACATCACCAATGGGATGTTCTGGCGAACCATGCTCTCCAAATAATCCTCGGCGACGAGCTTCAAGTCGTCGACCATGAATCGATCGGCCAGACACAGTAGATCGATTGCATTATCCTGATTGACTATGCCCTCATTGTTTCCATAGATGAACTGTAGCATCAACTTGAATGATTCCTTATGTATCTCATTGCCAACGTTAAAGTTCAATTGATCCCTCTCTCTGAATCCACATTCAAACATCCTATTTTTGTTGTAGTTGGTGTGAATTGTTAGTATGTGGATGTAGGTAACTGATGGCCATGCTTGCTCGCAACACTTACGTCTTGAAGTACTTGTTCCTGGATGACAGGATGAGCTTGTGAGATGGTAGTTGTTCTTGATTGGAAAGCTCAAAGTTGATGTCGGAGAAGTCGCAAGAGTCGATGTTGTCAATCATGTCGAGACTGAAGGATGATGGAGGGATCTTCTCGGCAAGACGCAGCTTGAAGTTGAAACGATGGCATAGACTGGCAAGTCTGTGAACGCCCCACGATGTGGCCAGGTCGGACAGCTCCTTCCTGAGATGTGGTGCGATGACCAAGTGGTCGGTGTAGAGATAGTTCATAAAGGCCACCCATATCTGATGCTTGGTCTTGCCAATCACGACAACGGACTTCTTGACGGGCTGCTCATCGTATCCGTTCTGCTCTTCGTCCACGTACAGCTGTCTGGCGAAACGCTCGCTAAACAGCACAGAGCCGTACAGCTTTGGGCAACGTGAGCGGATAAACAACTTGTGGGCAAAGAAGTACTTGTTCTGCACGAGGAAAGCAATGTCCGCAGTCTTCTTGTCATTGATCAGAGGTTTGTAATCGAATGCAAACGTTGACATATCGCCAGAACGCACGACCAAAGTATGTTTCTCACCACCACTCAATGAGGATATCTCCTCACCAGAGAGTGATGGCACGCGTTGTGGAACCAGTTGGAACTTGCGATCGCCCAGACCAAGACAGCCGCTGGAGCCCCAGCCCCATGTGTATACATCGTTGTCTGTGGTGACGGCAATTGTATGTAGATGGCCGCAGGCCACTTGTCTGATCTTCTGTCCTTCCATGGCCTTGACAATGTTGGGCTGAGAGTACTTGAAGTGTTCCTCACGCTCTGCGCCATCGCCATTGCTGTGCCAGTCCATGTACTGTGTCTCCTCGGTGGCTCCCAGTTGGCCGTACTCGCCGTGACCGAATGAGTACAATGTGCCAGTGGTCGTAACGACCATTGTGAAGTTGGCGCCACAGGCGACCTGCTTGACGGGGATTGGTGTTGGTTCGGTGAAGGCCATGACCTTCTTGGGCAACAGCAAGCTCTTAAGCTTTCCATGTCCAAGCTGACCAAACACACCCAGTCCCCAAGTGTAGAGCTCTCCATTCTTGGCCACGGCAGCAATATGTTGTCTGCCACATGATACCTGAGCGATTGAGTCGCGCGGCAGTCCTCTGACGAGCTGGGGGCTGCCATAGAACCATCTGTCGCCGAGGCCCAGTTGACCTTTCTCGTTGAATCCCCATGTGAATACATTTCCATTTGCAGAGACCGCTGCATTATATGCCCATCCAGCACTAATATCCACGATCCTAATATTCTTTCCAAAGTCCACAAGTTGTGGTGTCAATTGATTCTTATCAATAATCCTTCCAATATGTCCAGTTGACTTATTATTTGATAGAATGTTAGTGATTGGATTTGAGTGGAGTGAGTTGGCATGGACTTACATGTTGCTCGCTCATTGTGTTTATAACTTGTTCCTCGGCATTGTTAAAGTTTGGATTGTTGGTGGCCATTGGATTGTCCTGGGCAGTGTTCTCCTCATCGGCATCATAAGCCTTCTTATCACCATTCAAATATAATGATAGTGAGCATTCTGCTACTTGATTGGCAAATCCAATTCCAGTCACTATTATTATGTTTGATTGATTGATTGATTAGTATTGGATTGTTCCCCTCCCCATTCAATCAATCAATCATATACCACTTACTTTGTACAAGTCCATTGTGAGTCTCGAAACCACCCCTTGAGTTATCAATGACGTGAAGTTGTCCCCATTGATAGACTCGACCAGTGTCAGTCAATGCCAGTGAGTGATAGCTAAATTCAATCAAATGGATATCCAGTTGTTAGTATGTGCGTGCGATGGAATGGTGGACAGACAAACACTTACTTTCCACAGGCCACCTTGATCACTCTTTCATGCTCCAGTGCCTTGACTAGGGCGGGTGGTGCAGTTTGGGCACGTTGGGGATGTCCTAATTCACCTTCCTTTCCTCTGCCCCAACTATATACATCACCAAACTCTGTAACAGCCAATGAATGAGCCTCTCCACATGCAGTCTGCTTAATCCTCTTTCCCTTTAGGAACTGTATAACAGCTGGATCCAATTGATCCTTCAATCCATCTTGACCCAACTGGCCCTGCTTTCCGACTCCAAAACTGATGACTAAGTAAGTGTGTGTGTGTGTGTGTCAGTCAATGATCATTCAATCAATCAATCGATTACATACCAGACATGTTGTATATGTGTAATTATATATATAATAAGTTAAGATATAATATTATATTAATGTTTGCAATCGTTGCAATAAGTATATATGAATGTATGATATTAGAATGAATAAAGTGATTGACAATCTCCTTCTCCTTCTATCTTATCATATGCTTTGAGCATGTTCCATTGTTCCCTCTTTCACTCAACCCCCACACACTTCCAACACTGTTCATCGAATCAAACAATAACAGGAGCTATCATTTGCAAATCAACCCCCACACTCAAACATCGATGTAAACATATCTCTCTTTCTCTGTGTTTTGTCATAAGCTTCAGGATCAATTCTAAGTATTGATTGAATCAAGCCAATGAACAGAGACAACACTTGTCTTTTGTTACCTGGACTTCATTGTTGAGTTGACAAGTTGTGTGTGGATAACTTTAGTAATTATCTAGAGTTAATGACAGCTCGTTGTTGTAATGGTGATATTATCTGAAGATATCGTTTTGTGGACCTCACACCATTCAAACTTTGATGATCAATTAATAATGAATGAAAGGTTCAGTACATTGGTACAGACAAGATAGATAAATAGAAAGATAGATAGAGAGAGAGATGGATAGCCTACCAAATATAATTGTAAACAAGTTGTTTGACTTGATAGAGGATAATGTATTGGATGTGTTGTGCTTTGGTCTAGCATGTAGGAGACTAAGAGTAATCTCTTTGAATAGACTACATAAACATATGGACAGGAATGTGTTGGGTTTATCAGAGTTGGAGTCAACTATTCACTGGTGGGACTATCCCAAAAAGAAACTATTGGTGACCCGCGGTCTAGACGTCCCCACTTCAACAACAGTATCGACCAAAGTTTACAATAATCAATCAGGAACACCATTATTGACCGGTGACCTACCCGACACACTGACGACGCTCGTCTTTGACTTTGGCTTCGATCAGGCTGTGTCGCCATACGTCCTGCCCGCATCACTCCAATCGATTGTATTCAATAATCCTTTCAATCAACCGATACTGGAGGATGTCCTACCAAGCTCCCTCACAACATTGGTATTTGGATATTCATTCAATCAACCGATCGCACCACGTACATTGCCCGCATCCCTCCGGACATTGGTGTTTGGCATACAGTTCAATCAGCCTTTGATGGCAAAGGACGTGCTCCCGCCTAGCCTATCATCATTGTCACTTGAGCGCAACTACCTCCACCCCTTCAATCCCATGTCTAGACCATCAATCCGCTCACTAACATTGATTAACCTGATCCACATTGATCATCCCGGTCTGGCCATGTCGTCTGTTACATCACTGACACTTGGCGACGACGCGTTCAATGTCGCGATTGCACCAGGTTCTCTTCCCCCCTCGCTCAAGACTCTGGTTTTGGGACATTTCTTTGACCATGAGATTGAGCCACTCACCTTGCCGGCAGGCCTCACGTCAATTGATTTCTCAACCCGGTTCAACAAATCACTGGATAACATCCCTAACAGTGTACGCACGTTGGGCTTGGACTCGTTGTACTTGGACGTCCTGCCAGCATCCATCACGCATCTTAAACTCATGCGACCTCTTGGCCTTGAATTACTTCAAACCTTTAATACTACACTCACACAAAGATTGAGTGCCAATACTGGATTGATCAGACTTGATGTCACAACCAAAATGTCAAAGACTAGGGACGAAGAACTGTCAACAGCAATGTGGAGATTTGTGGAGCATGCTCGAACAACATGTTCACATATAACCAATATCACCATTCGTTCAGACACTACTTATTGTATATATTACTATACTTATACGGAGCAGTATAGAGTTCGAACTGATAGTACAATGGACAGTGGAGCATGGTGTCTAAAGGAGAAGTACTTCAGAGTTGATGATAAACTGCCTCTATTCACCTATCAAACCAGAATGGAATATAATAACATGATATTGGAATGAATAGGATATTATGATGGTGGATGACAGTCCAGTCTTCCACTTGGATGAGACAGGCAACTCATATGAAATTAAACATCCGTCCACGTTAGTGTGTTTCCAAAGTGTGATGTTCACCAAACGTCAATCACGTGATCATATATTTAACAGATAATTATAAAGACAGAGAATAGAATAGCAAGATGAGTGTACGTTATTATATATGTTGTTAGTTGATTGACTGATCGTCCACTGAATGAATGAATGACTTACAAATGACTCCATCTACAATCAATTGAGACAGACAAGAAGAGTTAAGCCACAACCAGTTGAGTTCAAGGCTGGCAAGGCAAAGTTGGAGGATAAGTTGATGGTATCAGACCCAAGAAAGGGTAAACTAAAGTTTAGCATCGTATGTTACATTGTACTTCATCTTGATTGATTGATTGATTAACATTGATATATTATCAACTTTAGAATGATGAGTTAATCGTTGTACAATGGTTCGTTAGAGATCAAGCTGAGCCTGAAGATGTATGTATCTAGATCAATATCATCCATAGACTCCTACTCATACTAACAATGACAACAACAACAACAACAACAACAACAGGAGTTCTTCTTGGTGCCTGGTGAGTTAGAGTTCAAGAAGATCAAGCAATGTGTCGATGGCAGAATGTATTATCTCAATTTCAGTACATCAGATAAGAAGGAGTTCTATTGGTTGCAAGAGGAGAATCCAGATGACGATGCAAAGATTGAAGATGCAATTAGAGCCATTGGTCTATACAATCCAAATGTCTAAACTCCTCGCTCACTCACTCCTCAATCAATCATTCAATCTTTCACCTTGTATATATCATGTCACGTGTCCGTCTTGTCAATGAACGATCAAACACATACAAGGATCGATCACCTTGTTTGGCGCCTACTCCTTCATGATTGGATTGTAAGCAATATTAAAGCGCAACAAGATCAAGCCAACATGTTACCTGTGTTGGATAATGGAAACAGAATAAACCCCTTCGTTCTCGAAGTCTTTCCTCGCTTCTTCACAAACTGTCTCGGAGAATCACTTCTTGGAAATGTGTCATTGTTGTCTCATGGACACGACACTTTTGCAAAGAGGACCACAAGATCACTGGGCTCTGTACATCACTCAATCAAATCACAACATCTTATTAATGTTATCATTATTAACTACTACCAAAAGGATATCTTGGACTTCAATAACAACAATGGTCAGAAAAACAACACAACAAAAGAAGAGCATGAGCACTAGCACTAGCAACACTACTACTGCAGACTCATCATCAACGTCAACTATAACCAAACCATACGGCTACAAGACTTTAAAGTCTAACCCAGCCGAGCATTATGATCACTTTGACTCACCAATAGGCCCAATGGAGTTCTTTGCCAATGACAAGGGTCTGGTACTGATCACCTTCTTCCCATTGCACAAGCCCAATGTCGACTCGATGAAACCGAATCTGATCACAAACCAGTTCAAACAGCAACTGACCGACTACTTCTCTGGTGACCTTCTGGACTTTACTGTGCCAGTGGACTGGGACGCCGGCACAGAGTTCCAACAAAAGGCATGGAAGGCGCTGTGTGACGTCAAGTTTGGAGAGACAGCGTCATACTCTGATGTGGCCAAGGCCATTGGCAAGGCCAATGCACCACGCGCTGTCGCAACCGCTTGTAGGCTTAATAAGTTCCCATTGATTGTGCCCTGTCATCGCATAGTCTCGTCAAAGGGAGAGGTGGTAGGATACATGGGCAAGGGTGGCATACCCAAGCAACACTTCCTCTACGATCATGAGCAAGCTGTACTAAAAGAAGCAAAGTCGAACAACATCAAGTGCAGTCGCATCAGCCGCAGATGCAAGTGATGAAGATGATGATGAACTCTCTGCAAGTGCGTGATCAAGTGTTGTCAATCAATAAACCTGTTGTACATAGTCCTCTGTATCCATCCACTGTCTGTCCTGTATCGCGTACATTGAACGAGTGATGATCCAGATGAATGAATGAATGAATGACCAATTGAGAGTCCAAGGTCGACAATTGAGAATGATAGTATATAAGTATATGTATTAGTTGTGTTATAGGKTCTTTGCCAGACTTGAGAGCATCTTCCAGACAACTCTTAGCACCGACGACCTTGTTCTGCAGGAACTGTGATCCTCCTTGCAAAGGATCATTGATATCTATCAGTTGGTCGTGTTTCTGTTATGTTTGATTAGTCGCGTCTCTCATATACTGTCGCTGCTACCTGTATCAATCATACCTTCTGTATATCATCCATTGTGATCTTTTGTGCATTATCCAAACCTAATATCTTCTTTGCCTCCATCGGTGACATTGTTCCAGTGAACGAAGCACCTGACTTTAAGAAATCGTCTGCTGTCTTTGCTCCACCTGCTTCAGCTCCTGTGTATCATCATAAGTTGTCAGTCGTAGGTGAGCACATCATGATGTAAGTTGATGTACATACGTGCAATCGCTTGTTTATAGGCCATTGACAATGATCTAACGAACACTGTACCAGTGGTGAACACCATCTTTGCAAGTATCTTTACAACCTATAGTCCAGTCCATTCATGAGGGATATTCTTGGTCAGTCATTCATTCAATGATGTCCAAATTAATCTAATCATACCATTCTCGTGTTTGTACTTGTATATGTATGTATATATATATAAATAAATGTGATTATCTGTACTTATGTAAGTATATTGATTGAAGAGCTCAAGTCGATGACAACAAACACACAATTTGGCATTGCCGAATGATGATGTGCCTCCATTCGTTTGACGTTTTTCATTGACGCAACTTGTACATGTACAACTTGAAACAGACACTCCAAGTCCAGAGTGATGAAGGAAACTACATTTAGAAGAATCTGGATATATTATCTAGATATGAGTTAAGAGTTTACTTGATTGATGTCAATCACTCACGCACTCACTTAATCACTCAACACTCGATCACTCAACACTCAATCATAATACATGTAACAATGTCATGCTTTGAACAAATACCTTGTCATATACTTAGACAGATTGTTGTGGATGTCAATGATACATTCTCATGTTTGTCAATCTCGATGATATGTAAATACATGTTCAACACAAGAGATAAATACTTAAGATTGAATCTACCTCATCTTAGTAACTACTTAATCAATGATGTATCAGCCGATCCTCTTACTGGTCTACGCACCTACATGCACCAAATGTTCGACAGTCATCTCAATCAATTCATGAGTATGTATGCATTCTCTGGAACTATTCCAATCACTCACTCACTCACTCTTTCAATATCAAAGACAATGGATACATTACACCTGGCTCTTACTTTGTAGTGGCACCTGACATGTTCTCGGCCCCGTCCAAGCCTACCCCCAGGTCCAAGACCAAGTCCAAGGCTAAGCCCAAGACCAAAGTAATTCCACCTGGTACCATATATCTATTCTTCTCTGATGAATTCAATCAGATATTGAGGACTGGTGACATTCCATCATCTGTGGAATACGTATCATTTGGCAAGAATTTCAATCAACCATTGACACCTGGTATCATTCCAAACTCTGTAAAGACATTGATGGTCGATGAAGACTTTAATCAACAATTAGTCATAGGATCTATTCCCTCATCAGTGACCTCACTTCACCTTCTTAATGGCTCGGGTCCCAATCACCAGGTTGGATCAATTCCAAACTCGGTTACAGAGCTATTCCTAACGACCAGATGGCTGCCGGTTGGCCTGATCCCTATCTCAGTTACCCATCTTGACTTGCAATATGATGGATCATGTGGACCTTGTGCACCAGGTGCCATTCCAGAATCGGTCACAAATTTATCATTTAGATATTATGCTGATCCATCAATCACATTTGGATCGATCCCTACATCAGTCGAGGAGTTGACTCTGGTTGGGACTATCCCATCACACCACGGACTCATTCCAGACTCTGTCAAGAGATTGATAACATTCAACGAGTTCCCAAATAACTTTGTACTTCCGAGAAACCTTGAGATGCTGAGTGTTGGACATATGATCAATCCATCACTACAACTTCCAAAATCAATAACCAAGTTGGTAGTTCTTGGTGAGCACGAGATAGAGTTGCCTAAGCCCTGTCCAGACTCATTCAAACAATTTATCACTTCTGGTGATCAATCATTCAATCAACCAATCACTGGAATCATTTCAAATGGATTAACTTCATTGGTATTTCCTGCTTCATTCAATCAAATCATTCAACCAGGTGATATCTCATCGAGTGTGATCAGGATCAAGTTTTCACCAAACTCTTATTTCAATCAACTATTGATACCTGGATCACTGCCGTCATCACTTACATCACTCAAGTTTGGCACAATGTTTGATCAATACTTGGATCCCGGTATCATTCCATCAACAGTATCCACACTCTACTTTGACAGTGGATTCACACAATCACTGCCAGTCGAGTCCTTCCCAGCATCATTGCGTCGTCTAAAGATTCCATACCAAGTGAATATCCCGAGAGGACTGCATCCACTGTCCGTCCTCCATCTGGTGCTCAGCGACAACGACGATGACCCATCACACTTCTTCGAATACTTTGACTCTGGAGTAACCAATATGTACACAATTACTCTGGGCAAGTTCTATTTCGAACATAAAGTAGTGATCATTCCTCAATTCGATCAACAATGGTCACTGGTACTCAAACCCAATCTAACATGCTCAGGATTCATTCCACGTAACAAGTTGGAATCGTACCTCGACGAGTTGATGTCCGCTGTCAGCGCCCTGGAGATCATCACAGAGGAGTTCACCGAGTTGCCCGTCCTTGAAGAGGGAACGGAGATTGGTCCATGGAGTTGGATTGTGCCAGACACATTGTCCCCCATGGATGATGATGATTCGATTGAATGATTGAATGAATGAGCTTGGCGCTCGCCCACGCCATTGTATCCTATATACAAACAATAAATATATTGATAATCGCGATCGATCAATCACTCTCTTCCTTGATCTTTGGAAGCTTCGTGGTGTTGGAAGCAGACAGTGGTGGATCAATACCTGTTGTCGATGATGATGTTGTTGTCGTGGCCGATGGCGCTGCTGTTGATGTTGTCGCTCCAGCACTGGCAGCGGGTGTGGTTGCTGCCCCGGTAGCGCCCGGTGCACTCTCCTCGCCCTCCTTCTTGCCCTCAAGCTTCTGCAACTCAATCTGCCACTTCTGTCGATTGGTCGTCATGAGCTCCAGTAGCGACTGTGTGTCTGAGAGGAAGCGCGTCAAGCCTTGGAACAGAGGCGAGGCGACATAATCGATAAAGTCCGCTGCGATCCTTGGTCTTGTAGTCTTTGTCTTGTCCATGAATGGTGTCACAGGGTATCCACATATCTTCTCATAATGCGACTGTTGGAAGAACTCATCGGACACTCTATTCGACCATTCCACATTCAATTGCCATGGTCTGGCTACATTTGATATATCACCGCACTATAGTATGTGATTGATTGGCTGAGTGAGTGATGAACCGGATGAGCGTGTGAGTGTGTGTCCCTTACCTTGAGCAAGAAGTTCAATATCATCTGTCTGTCCTCTTTCTTGTTCCTGTCGAATGGTTGGTTGTTCAAGTGATGCTGGAACTTGTTGATGTACTCAAAGTGGAAGGCCATGTCTGTGGCCAGGATCAACTGGATGACTGATCGCCTCAGCTCCTTGTACTGATCCTCATTCAAACTCTCAAGGATGTTACAATCACTATTCTTCAATATCTTAAATGTTAGATTGGCATGATGATTCTATGTTTGATTGATTGGTAAGTTAGTACGAGTACATTGGCATTATCATGTTGTGTCCATCCATGTGTACAACATACCTCAAGGACAGAGTTGTCATTGTATAATAATGTAAGGTCTGTTTGAGCATTGACTTGGAAGGTGTTGTTGAAGCCTGGATGATTGAGGTCGTGACACATGGCTGCAATGAGGAGTGATAGGATGTCCAGGTGCGTGAGGTACTGAGCCGCCTTGAACGTCGTGAGGAATGTGTAGCAGGTCTGAGTGACATCGAATGCATGCAGGAAGTTGTGGTATCTGTTGGTCTTCCTGTAGAGCGAGTGCACGGCCATGATGAAGCGCTGCAGCTTCTCGATGGGTATCTTGAAGGTCTCGAGCAGTTGGTAGTTCTCAAACATGTCGACCAGCAGTGGCATCAACTCCTCCTCCTTGTACTGGAACACGTCAAAGTGCCAGCTCTTGATGCCCTCCTTCGTGTCCTTGCGCGCCGATATCTGGGGGAACGTTGGAATCGAGTTCCTCCTCGAGCCAGTCACGCTGGAGAACTCAGTCACCAGGAAGCTCTTGGTGACCGGGTCGACCGAGTCGTTCTTGATCAGCTTCTCAAACGATGGGCGGTATATATTCGATGATCCGAGCTCCCTGAGGATGAAGTTGAGCTTGACCTTGATGTCCTTCTCCTGGCCCGTCCAATTGCTCTGCTGCAACAACTCCTCGATGTTCCTGGTGACCGAGACCAAGGGCGACTCCATGGCCTCCCTTGTTATCAGCTGCATCTCCGACACCTTCTTGGTCAGCTCCTCTATCTCGTGCTCCTTGGCCTCCATCTGCTTGGCCAGCAACGACCTGTTCTCACGCTCCTGTGCCAGTGTGGTCCTGTACTCCTGCTCCTTCTTCTTCTGCCAGATGCTCTGCAGCACAGTGTAGATCTTCTTCTTGAGCAGCTCCTTGGCGATGGGCTTGGTCAAGAAGTCCTGCCCACCAATCTTGATCGTATCATTCGCATACTTATAGTCCACAGCTGTACCAGACATCACTATATACATCGTCAAATAGTTGTTAGTTGTTAGTTAGCTGGATGGCGATGATGTTGGCTCGGCGTGCTGAATGGACATACATATGACTGGAATATCCTTGATCTCGCTATTCTCATTGATGCGCTGGAGTAGGTCGAATCCAGACACATTGGGCATCATAACATCTGTGAGGACAAGGTCATACTTGACCTTGAGTAGAGTATCCCATGCCTCCTCTGCATTCTTGACAAGTGTTACTGTGTGTGGATGCAATGGATAGGCGCATGTCAGTCCTTGTCCAATCATTCATCTCGCTCATTCGCTCATTCAATCAATCAATCAATCGATTATTACCATTATACTGTGAGCTTAATATATTGTTGATGATTCTTCGCTGGACTACATCATCGTCGACGACTAGGATGTGTGCTTTGTAGGGTGGGTCGGAGCCACTGCTGCTGGGATCGATGAAGCTGGGTGATAGTGATCGCGGCGTGGTGGTTGGTGTGCTGACCTGCAGGTTGGAGGACTCATGCTTTGATGTCTTGGGTGTGAGCAATGGGTTGATGTGATGCTCCACCGATGGCGACTGGATGGATGGTGATACCTGTTGAGTGTTGCTGCTGCTAGTATTGATGTTGCTGACGTTGTGTCTCAGTGATGTCGGAGTCAGCGCCAGTGCTGGCACGGTCTGTGTGGACTGCTGATTGTTTGTGTTGTCGCTACCATGACAACTGCACACCTTGTTTCCAAAATCGGTCTGTTTGTTCGATGTCGGGTCTATCGTCGTAGATGATGTTGTTGTTGTTGTCGATGCACTGTCTCCACTTGGCTTTTGTTGATGTTGATGTTTTTGATGTTTCTGTCCATGTCCATGATGATGTCCATGACCGTGTCCATGATGATGATTATGATTATTATTATTATGATTATTGTTATTGTGATAATAGTGATAGTTTTGTGATGTTGACACTCCTGAACCATTGATTGTTTCGCCATTACTACTGCCACCATTGACTACAACACCATTCACAATGCTACTACTGCCAGTGCCATCACTGGCAATATCATTCGTAGTTATGCTATTCATCGACCTAAACTAATAAACTAACTAATTGTTGATTGATTGATTGATTGATTGAAGAAGTTGATTTGATTTGATTTGATTGACTGGTTATTTGTTTGATTGTTGATTGTTTGTTTGTTTGTTTGTTTGATTGACTATGTTGAATGTAGTATGTATAATATGAATAAGTTGCAAATCCAATGCCAATGCCAATGCTAATAGTAGTAGCAACAGGTAGTAAGTAGGTAAGGGTATGTTGTTGTTATTGTTGTTGATGTTGATGAAGATGCCTGATACTTGATGATGATCCTCCTGTTTGAAACCATGTGTGTAGGTCAGTGTGACGATGCTCTCTTCTTCTTGTTCTCACTTGGTTGACTGAGCATAAGGATGTATGTATGTTTGTTTGTGTTGTTGATGAGTGTGTGAGTGGGGGGTATGTTTGATTGATTGACACACACAAGATGGAAGGGGGAGGATAATGAATGAATGAATGGTGGGAGGGGTGTCGTGATGTTGATTAAGGTTGGTAACACACTTGAACACACACACACACAATACATACTAACTTCTCACTCTATCTCTGTAGTTGTGTTTGTTTGTGTCTGTGACCTGGACGTGTGTGGTCAATATAATTCGTGTGTGGACAGGCATGCCTCTCTTTTTAACCATATTTGGATATAATTTTGCATTGGTTCTCACTATGTTTGAACTTCATTGCCCAATTAATTCACGTATTTTTGTTCATTCGACGCCGCATCCCATCTTTATCCTTCAGTTAGTCGCGCAACTTGTACAACATCATTGATAGGTCAAGTCATAAACGATATGGGACTAGTCCTCATGTCATGACTTACTACACTGTGTATAATTGAATGATTGAATGAATGAACGAATGAATGAATTAATTAATTATAATTAATTTAATGAGGTCAATCAACAACGTGTTTTATTGAGACAACGTCAATGTCAACGTCAATAACAACAATGGTTGAATGTTGATGATGTCATAACATTACTTTAGTTATTATTATTATTATTATTCGAGCTCAACGTACTTTGACAGGTTGGCAATTAGATCCATCCACTGGTGCAACTCGGTGTCTGGGTGTGGACTGAGAATGGGCTCATTGGACCAGTCGACCTCGGGTGCGTACGTCGAGAAGTAGAGAGACTCGCCAACGGTCACCAACTCAAAGGTGTGGCTGCGTTGGGCATGCTCCTCTCCCACGTGCTTGACTCCACGCACCTTGTCAATGTAGAATGACTTGACCGGCTTATCCGAAGGGTCCAGCGGGCTAGAGTAGAGCGCGATGGTTGGGTTGCGCAGCACCATCCAGCGAGGCGACCAGCGACTGCCAGACAGCAGCGACGACTTTTGCATGACCCAGCCAGCCTTCCACCAGGCGCCAGTCAAGTTCTGAGCCTTGTCCGGGTCGTAGGTGATGGCACCGGCAGCGGCGTACAGCGCTCCCTTGATCCAGGTCGTTCCAACGATGCTGAGAATGTTCACCACGGAGATTGTGCAGTTGCCAGCAGCATCCCACTTCTTCTTGGACACCTCAGCCGCGTAGTCGCCGTGCTTGTGGCGAGTGGCGTCGACAGATGCATCGCGAACACCTCTTGAGGATATCAGGATGCCCTCCTCAAGGCCACCAATGACGTTGGTGACGGCACTGACACCAGCGCCTCCCATCTTGGCACCAGCCTCCTTCTTCTCATTCTTGCCATTGAGCTCCTCCTCACGTTTCTTCTTCTCCTCACGCTCTTTGTACCAATCGGTCTTGCGCACGCCCTCAGACATCTTGCTGCCAGCCAGTCCAAACGCGCCAACGATTCCATTCTTGACGCTGGATGAGCCCTGCACCATCTTGTCTGTGTTCTTGACCGACTTGTTCACGTCGCTGTCTGGGTCCTCCAACTTGCGACGCTGCTCCTCGGTCATCTCGGGTCCGTCGTAGGCCTTGGTGTTGTTCTTGTAGACATCGCCCACCTTGGCTGCGCCCTTGGCAAAGTATGTGCCACCCGTCACCAGGCCCTTGGACACGGCCAAACTTCCCTTCTCCAACTTGGTGGTGGCCTTATCCATCTTCTTGGCAGTCTTGTCGTTGTGGTCCTCTTTGATGGGCACGCGGTAGTAGCTAGTGTAGTAGGTCATAATCACCTCCATCTTGTCCAAACACTCTTGTGGAGTGTCCTTATCAAACTTGATGATGAAGCAGTTGTTGTAGTTATCAGCGATCATATAATGATATGGGTATATCCTGCATGCTGTCATCTCTCTGTAGTTGGTATAAATGTACACGTGACCAATGTTCAAGATGATTGTGTCGTCCACGATGGTCTAGATCATTGATTGGTGCGTTAGTATGTGAGTCATTGAACCTGGACCCCGAGCCTCGAGAGGTATGACATACCTTGTAGATGATGAACCTGGTTTCCTTGAAGAGTGGTGGCTGCTTCTCACCCTTGACCAATGGCTTGATGGTGGCCTTCTCGACGTCGAGGATGGCCTCGGTGTATTGGAGGGTAGCAACATAGTTTGGATCCTTGAGCATCAAGATTGGATAGTCAGCCTTGATCATATCGCCTGATGTGGCGCCAATGGTGGTCAGAGCGATTCGCGAGTGTGTGTTGATGGTGTTCTTTGAGCTGGACAATGACGACGACAGTGACTTGTCCTTGTGGTTGTTGGTGTCTGGAGCCATTGGCTGAGGCACGGGCACATTGTGATGGTACTCGGTGGCGCCATCAGTATTCTTTGCCAAACTGACTGATGATTGATGTGTTTGTTGTGGTGCCAGTGGCTGTGGATACATCTGTGGATGTGATTGTGGCTGTGGTGTGTATGGCTGAACAGTTATTGGCTTGGGAGGTCGCTGGGGTGGCTCCACTGCCGAGTCAGGCACCTGGGGATAGAGTTGTGGTGCTGCTTGAGGCTGCTTCTCCAACGTCACTGGCTTTGATAATGATACAGGTTGTGATGTTTGTTGTTGTGGCAATGACGATGAAGATGATTGGAGAGGTGGTGGCTTGCCAAACAGTGGTCTGGGAGGTGGCGTTGCCGTTGTCTGATTGACTGAAGTGCCAGCCGGTGCACTTGGTGCCATTGATGGAGATGTCGTAGTTGTAGTGGCAGAGGGTGGGGGAGGGGGTGGAGTCTTCTGTGCAGGTGGCTTTGGCAATTCATAAGATGTCTGATTTGTGGCGTATCCACCATCACGAGTTGTCGTGGATGTAGTAGTACTACCACTTCCATGTGTGGTTGTAGTTGTCTTTGGCTTTTCATCCTTGCCAGCGATTGACTCTCTGGCGGACTTTGTAAAGTCCTTAAATCCTGATTTCTACATTCATTGTTTGTTTGTTTGTTTGTTCACTTGTGTTAGATTGATTGATTAAGTGATTGATCGTCCAGTTCTATGGACCATAGTTGTTGTTGACATACAAAGTTACCAAAGGACATGGTCTAAGGTTGATTGATTGATTGATCAAGGTGGTATAATACCTAGTTGTAATGTTAGTAAGGGTAAGATAATGGTAATGTAATGTTATAATGGGTATTGGTAGTCACTGTCGTCTAAACACTGTGAGGTTATTAATAAATTGAAACAAACAGGATAGGAGTGGTCCAAGTAGATCACTCCAATTTACTTGAAGACCTGATGCAAAACAGTCCAAAATGATTCAAAAAACAGATTTTCAGAGGCTAAGCACCCAATGTCATCAACATCATTCAAACACTAACCACGTTGTTATCATAACCGACACGAATACGTGTAAGTGTTGTGTTATTTGTTCCTGCAATCATAGGATGTCAAACAAAAGAGATAGAGATAATAGAGATAAATTATAGATATGTTGGGAATTATTATTATTTATAATGATTTTGATTTTTGAACATTTGATGGGATGTAGGGACTTAAGCATCAAAGTTGATACCCTGGGACAGTGGCATGCTGGTAGAGTAGTTGATGGTGCAGGTGCTGCGACGCATGTACTGCTTCCATGAGTCGGAACCAGACTCGCGACCACCTCCAGTCTCCTTCTCTCCTCCAAAGGCACCTCCAATCTCGGCACCGTTGGTGGCAACGTTCACGTTGACAATACCACAGTCAGAGCCGGTTGGTCCGAGCCACTTGAAGATGCTCATCTGGTTGTTGGTGAACAGCGAGCTGCTGAGTCCTTGTGGAACCTCGTTGTTCCAGGCCATGGCGTCATCGAGACACTTGAACTTCATGGCGTAAAGGATTGGGACGAACAGCTCAGTCTTGACGATTGGTGCGTCGTGGTTGATCTCGACGATGGTTGGCTCGACAAAGTTGCCCTCCTTCTCGATCTTCTTGCCTCCGACGATAACCTTACCGCCCTGCTTCTTGATCTCCTCCAGACCCTCAGTGTACTCCTTGACGGCGGACTGAGTGTGGAGTGGGCCGACCAGGGTACCATCGACGAGTGGGTCGCCAATCTTGACTGTGGAGTATGCCTTCTTGAGTCTCTCGATGACGGTGTCGTACAGGGACTCGTGGATGAACAGTCTTCGGAGACTGGTGCATCTCTGTCCGGTGGTTCCGACGGCGGCAAACACACAGGCGCGGACGGCGAGGTCGACGTTGGCGTCCTCAGCGACGATGATGGCGTTGTTGCCACCGAGCTCGAGGATGGTGCGGCCAAAGTAGCCGTGGACGACTGAGCTGATTCTCTTGCCAATCTCTGTGCTGCCAGTGAAGGAAATCAGACCGAAACGCTTGTCTTGGATCATTTGCTCACCGACGGTACGGCCAGAGCCGATGATGGTGGAGCAGATGGCACCGTCGAATCCGTTCTTCTCGAGGACCTCGGCGATGATCTTGGTGACGGCGACGGTGATGAGCGATGTGGTGGAGGCACCCTTCCACAGCTGAACGTTACCACAGATCATAGAGATAGCGGCGTTCCAGCCGAGCACGGCGCATGGGAAGTTGAAGGCGGTGATGATACCGACCAGACCCAATGGGTTCCAGCACTCGAGCAGCATGTGGCCTGGACGCTCTGATGGGAGTACCTGACCGTTGATGGTTCTGCTGAGACCGGTGGCAAAGTCACAGATATCAATGAACTCCTGGACCTCACCCTTTGCCTCAATAAAGATCTTGCCCATCTCCAAAGAGATCAACTTGGCCAATGGTGTAATCTTGGCTCTAAGGGCCTCTCCAATCAATCTAACGATCTCTCCTCTCTTTGGTGCTGGGGTCTAAATAGTCATCATCATTAGTATTTCTATCACTTCAAACGACGTCGTTGTATTGGTTGTGACTTACCAATTGCCACTTGGTCTTGGCAGCCAACATAGCTTGGATGGTCTCCTCATACTCTGCAGTGGTGGCCTATTAATGTATGAAGTAAGTTAGCAATCTAATCTAATTCAATCATTCAATCAATCATCCAATGATGATCAATCAATCACTATCGGAGATACATACACCCTTGACATGGGCAATAACCTTGCCATTGGATGGGTTGACACACTTGACAATGTCTCCACTTCCACCCCACTTTCCGTTGTATAGACCGAGGTTCTCCTCCTGCAGACCGAGCTCCTTAAGGAATGGATATTCATTAAACGAAGTCATTTTATATTATATATTATTTTATGTTATATAGATAACTGTATAAGTGTGATGTGTGTGTGTGTGTGTGTGTATGTTTAGTGAAGTGAGTGAGAGAGTGATTATGAATGTGGAGTGAAGTTGAAGACACCCAACTTGGTTTAAACAAACCATCCTTCGTATTATCAACTTGAATAAATTTTTATTCTATTCGATTTAATTATGTATAATGTTGCAAATATACATAAATGGGGTTTGTTACTTGTGTGTGTGTTCAACTTCGCTTCAGAAGCATGATTCCCCACCCTGTTCACATTCTTTTGAGGTGTTTTGAAACAGTTTTGACCACAAGGAACAAGATGAGGAAGAATAAAAATGAATAAAATTTTATCGTTTGGGACTCAGCAAGTCCCCAAATGGAAGTGCCCTACCACACAGTGTTGGCCTTGATTGGATCGAAGTGTGTGGCATCAATGACCCGAGAACCTATCTATCCAAGTACCTGTACATGAGCAGACAGACACACCCCTGCTTCCAGAGGTATCACTCTGACTACCTGGCAGCCAATCAGTCGTATCCATCGAAGTAAGTATCCAAACAAAAGGTGAGAAGGGCTTCAGAAGAAGTGTAGCTTTCCAAGGACATCGGCGGCAAAGATCCCCCGACTATCAAGTGATATTTAATTAATATGGGATTTTAGTTGATGACAATGTTGATGAATAAGTTTGATCATTGATTTCAGAACTAATGCGAGATAGTTATCAGCAAGTTGTATATTCCAAGTTGTCCTTGATAGTATGTCCAATATGTAGTTGATCAAACATATTCGTATAATATTAGCAACATCCTGCAACCATGGTAGGCCGTGACATAGTGCCAAATTGATCAATGAATCAAAATATATTCTATTTGTTTATCAAGTATTCCAGCCATTTATTCACAATCAATAAATCTGGAAATAATATCCCAAACATAATGTTCAGAGATGGTTGACAATGGAAGTTGGTAAACTTATGTTTATGGATATGTATCGAAAAGGATGCCATCAACAAAGTTACCATACTGAATTGAACGGATGGTCACGTCCAAGTCAGTTTCCATAATATACTCTGAGGCATCCTTGTTTCCAACACTGAAAATTTTGGGACTACCATTGTTTGGCACTCTGATTTGGAAGTAGTTCATGACGATCGAGCCATCTTTGTCTGGACGGCAACCAAAGGCTTCCAAGGTGATATGGCCATTCTCAGGGAACATTACAGAGCCAATCACTTTACCTCCGGTGCCTCCATATCTGACATTATTAATCACAACTGCATCAATATAACTACCACCGTAGAAGACGACGTTCAATCCACCAGTTGCGGTTGTATCCACTCTTTGGCCTCCTCTTCCACCAACGTAGATTTGGCTCCTGCCAACAGTAGGGGGCTCTTGTAGGGTTTCTAGATCAGGAAATTCTTCACAATTGTCTTTGGTTAGTAACTGAATTGATCCTGAATCATTTAATCATTTGTTGTCCAAAGTGGCATGTACTTACCATCAGCACAGTTGACTTGGATAATTGCTGTTGAAACAAGCAAACAGAGAATAAAGATATTTACTTTCATTATTTATAAGTTGAAGTAGTAGTATTGGAATTAAAATGAGATAAGATTTCATGGCCATGACTTATATATAAATCAATGTTTGTTGTTAATGTTCACCATTGATTGAATATCATGAAGGAGGATGAGGCAAGATAATGATCGTGTAGTGTAACCTAGTACTGCTTCACTGAAGTGAAGTGATTCACCAACGGGTGGCAGGGAACAGTCGTCCTTGCCGTCTTCGGTAGTATAAGGACATGTCTCGGATATGGGAGATATTAATCTCATCATTGATGTCGCCCCAAATGTGCTGGCAACAGGGCTTGCCTTGATCCCTCATTTCCCTTTGTCACAGGTTACTTTACACTTTTTATATTCTTGGGCAAAWTCACATTCAGGCAACAATTATCGGGGCAAAAGACATATGTCTATTTCCAATCATAGGAAACATCTAATCAGTATGTAAGTAAGTACTTACTTACTTATCATACTTATATTATATTGTCAAAGTACTCAACATCAACATATAATATTCATTTGAATAATTCTTTCATTTAATAATTCTTTAATTAATTCATTCATTACCTTGATCATACACACTTTGATATTCAAACATAACAATAATATAATATTATTTTGAATCAAAGAATACCTCCAGCCTCTACAATAGGTCTCAATAACAATATAAAATATATATAATAAACTCAATCTCACTTAATCACTATCTTCCATCTTCCACTCTGATTTTTGTAAGTAATCAATCAATCCATCAATTAAATATTTATTATTTTAATTTGATCACTGACATTATCCATTCCATTCCATTCCATTCCTTTCTATTCCAACCTTCAACCTACAGCTATAATGTCTCCTGTTGAAATTAACAAGAAACTAATTGATAGGGATCGTTTTGGGACTTTATCTACAGATGCTGCTGCTGCTGTAGCAGCAGAGGCACCCAGTCCAACTGGAGAGTCTAATGCATTTGGCTTTAGCAATTCTGTTGGATATCGCGTCGATCCGCGTACTGGTAGCCTTGAGGTGTCAATCACTCCACCTCCAATCCCTGGCATGTTTACTGATTTGATCACACCCAAGATATCCTGCAATCAACAAGCAGTAATGCAGAGACAATCAATGCTTGGTTTACCTTTGGGATGGGTGTATCCATTCAGCTATGTGTACCGCTCCCGCATGTATGTGAATGGCCAAGGTTCCTACAACATTGACACTGCCTTCCGCTCTGGATTGAGATACTACAAGTTGGACAATCTCGTGTTCAAGGGTTCGTCCAGAGGTCAACCACTACCATTTGACAAGACCAGGGTCTACTACAGCATCTTGACATTCAATACGGGCGTGGTCCAGTACTTTGATGAGGTTGGCCGATTGATGTCCATCAATGATCGTTTTGGCAATCATGTTGAATTCTATTTTGATGTCGTTGCCAATGTATTCAACAGCAGACTCACCAAGATTGTTGACTCATTTGGACAAGAGACCATCTTCACCTACGATGTTACCAAGTCCGTCTACATTGCCTACCCTCAAGGTGGAGTGTTGGGATCGATCAATGTTGAATTCCAGGTCAACCCCGACACTCAACAGTTGGACACCTATATTGACCCGATGGGTTTGAAGACCGGCTTCACAAACAAAGGTGGAAACATCAGGACCAACCTCATCTCGATCATAACTAAACCCAACCAAGTCAATGTTGTTGTCAAGTACCGTTCAATTAAGTACTATGGTGACTCATCAAAGGTCAAGCTCTCCTTCTTGGATGCCGTCGAGTCTTTGCAAGTGATTGATGCTGATGGAGGATCTCGCTCCACTTGGTATAACTTTGATCCAGAGGGAGCTGGTCACAACTTCACTGGATTCCCCTACTTCTACCTGACCGGTTCCAATGGTGACCCATTGCTCACCAGCTCCACAAGCAACACCTACTTCTACTCCACTGTAGTTGATGATGGATATCTCCTCACTGAGCATGTCTACAACAACCTACACCTTGAGATCGAGACCAACATCTCTACCAAAGATACCCTCAAGCTACTCAGCAAGACAACCTACAAGTTCAATGGACAGAAGCCAGATGGGTCGTTCCCATTGTATGACAAACTACCCTCCAACTACCAAGTCCCCACAATAGCGGTGAATGAGGTGGTCGATGCCCCCTTTGTCAGAGCGCACAAGTCTGAGACCGACACAGACGTCTATGGCAACACCATTGCTGTGCGTACATACGACACCGACCTGGATACTGGAGTGTTCATACTGGTCAGCGAGGTCAAGACAACCTACTTTAACATGACCACCATGTATGGCCAGGTGTCTCAGAAGGACTCGATTGACTACTGGGGTGGAAATGGTAATCCAGAGTTCAGGAGGACGGTGAACACTCTCACCGATGACAACAAGAACATTGCCACCAGCACTGATGGTCAAGTGAAGGAGGGGGTCTTCCTACCTTTCAAGAAGACCTCTTACGCCTATGATACCAAGGGCAGGGTCCTTCAGACCAAGACAGAGTGGGCAGATGGGAACGATCACAAACTCCAGTCAACCTTCACCAATACCAAGTACCTGCTCGAGGGCAAGGTGCTCACTGTCGTCACAATCAATGCCGAGTTGCGCGAGTCGAAGGAGTTGTTTGATACTTGTTCTGGATTGGTCACCTCAACAGTGGATGCATTGGGAAATATCACTTCAAACACCTACGACAACAATGGAAGGATCCGGTCCACCACAGACCCACTTGGCGCTGTCACTCGATGCATCTACGACGACTTTAACAACATTGTTACCAAAGTTGCCGCCAACGGGTACACTTTATACACCACCTCCAATGGTTTCGGTGAGCAAGTGAGGACTGCCGACAACCTTGGACCCAATGGAACAGAACGGGTGCTCTCAAAGAAGTCCTACAACTCACAAGGTCAGGTGATGTGGGAGGAGGGCATTATTGAAAAGGCCTCAAGGACCGAGTACACCTACAACGATCGAGGTCAAGTCTCAACAGTTAGAGATGCTTTGGACAATGTCATTGAGACCATCTACAATCCAATTGATCAGACCAAGATCCAGACTTTCAATGGAGTGGCGACAACCTCCTCAACCTCCACAGATCGAGAGGTCAAGGTGGTGGTGTATTCGTCCAACTCTGAAGATACCTTGAACTCAAGGTTCACCTTCAATGCCTCCAAGGACATTGTCTCATCTACCATTGGAACAGGTTCATCACCACTTCTGTCCACCTACTTCAAGTATGGTGTTGACTTTGCCATGATGAATGAGAATAGATCTGGACCCCATGAACATTCAGTGTCCACATCCCAGAGAGACTTGTTTGGCAATATCATTCAACAGAGTGTTTCAACTGGATCCCAACAATGTTCAGGTGACCTCTTTGAATTTAATAGACTCAATCAACTTTTGTCCGACACCAATCCACTTGGACAAAGTATCAAGTATGTACCCAATGCCAATCAACCAATCAATCAAATTTTGTGATTTTCAATCAACTAATACAATTCATCACCATCATCATCATTAACAGATACACGTACAACAGTGTTGGACAACCTCTGACTCTACAGACATATGATGGAACAGTGTTCAATTCGACATACAATGCAAACAAGATGCTGACATCATATTCATACATTGATGCCGCTCTCAATCTATTTGAGAAGAGGATGACATACTATCCTCTATCCTACAAACTTCAGAAGGTGGAGACATTCTTGAATGGCATCAGTCAGGGCGCCATTTCATATACCTACCTCCTCGATGGCTCACTTGAATCGATCACCTATCCAGATGGCAACTTCATCAGCTACACCTATGACCTGAGCCTCTCCCAACTCACTCAGTTCCGTGACGCCATGGGTCAGGTCACCATCTACACCTACGATGTCTTTGGAAGGTTGGTCTCAGCCCAAGTCCAGGGATCGACCACTCAACTGGTCACTCTGTCCTACTTCTCCAAGGATGACAGTCCTGTCCACAGTGGCAAGCTCAAGGCACTCTCTATTGGAAATGGCCAGGAACATCAATACCTCTACGATGGATTTGGTTCATTGGAGGAACACTCAATCTATGACACAACACCTGATCGCACTAGCATGGTCTCAAGTCAGAGGAATACATACGATGTTGTGACCAGGAATATTGTCTCGACAGAGTTCATTTCATTAGCCTACCCTAACGATGAGTCAATGAACTACACAGTCTCTTACGTGTATGACGATCTGAACAGGATGCTAAAGGCCACCAAGGTGTATCTTTCTGGTGTCCAGACCGTCAGTTCATATAAATATGACTCTGCCAACAATGTCATTGCTGAAACAATTGAGGGACCGACCATCACTGAGACCAACTACACCTACGATTTGGACAACAAGCTCATTCAAACAATGGACGTCCAATCTGGTGTTACCAAGAACCTGACCTACGACACCAATGGAAACCTCACTGATGATGGGCGTGGATCAACCTTCACCTACAATCTCAACAACCAACTGGTGTCTTACCAGTTCCAAGGCATGCCACCAGTCACATACACCTACTATGCCGATGGAAGTCGTGCATCAAAGTCAACCGGTGGCAGGACCATAAGATACTACTATGATGGTGCTGCCCTTCCCAACTTGGTCAACGAGGTTCTGGACTCCCAATACACAACCTACCTCATGAATGGATCATCAAGATACTCCAGGATCGTCCACAATCCAGAAGACCTTCAATCATCCGCTCAGTTCCTCATCAGCAACAACAAAGATATTGTTATTGTCCTCGATGAATCCAATCTACTCGAGGCATCCTATCAATTTGATCCATATGGAGCTGAACAACTTGACCAGCTTGCCTTCACCTTAACCCTGGCGGACAATCCATTCAGATACACTGGAGAGTACACTGACATGGAGTCGGGTCTCATCTACCTCCGCTCAAGATACTACAACCCTTCAATCAAGAGGTTCATGACCAGGGACTCAGCCACCACATTCAATCGTTATGGTTACGGCGATGGCAATCCAATCATGAACTCTGATCCATCTGGAATGGTCTCATGGCAGGCTATTCTGGGCATTGTTTATGGATCGATCGCTGTAGTTGGATCGATTGCTCTGACAGTTGTGACTGCTGGTGCATCCACACCTCTTGCCTTTGTCGCCATCACTCAACTCATGCTCGCCGCCGGCTCTTCCAGTGTGGTCTACAGCTCGACTCACATCAATGATTGGAGTTTGAAAGACTGGGCAATGGAAGTTGGAATCAATGCTGGAGCAGGTTTGCTCTCTGCTGGCGCTGGTGCATTTACAGGAAATCTAATATCAAAGGCTGTGGCATCCGCCACTGGTAGTGGTTTCAAACTTGCAATTGCTCGTGCTGCCGTAGCAGTTATTGGAGCAGCCTTGATTGATGGCGCTACAAACATGGCAATTACCGAATTCCAGGACAGGAATGCCAGCAGTGTGGATCTTGGAATCTCTGGCGCCACTGGCTTTGGAATGGCGTTGATTCCTGGTCTCATTGGAATTCGAGCTGGTATTGCTCGTGGACTCAGGGCTGCTCGCAACATAGCGTTCACTCTTGAACCGAACGCCATCAACAATTTACGCGAATTGCAAAGTGGTCCTGGACTTACTGGAGTATTGAGAATTGGGGAGAACAACAACCAGTTGTACATTCAGAATATGGCTGCTACCGTGTATCCAGAAGAACTCGGGACAATACATACCAAAGTTGCCCATGACATCATACCTAATATTGGTGAGTTGACAAGATGACAAATAGAACAAACCCATATTACCTCTATTTACTGACATTAATTGAACTACCATAGATGGAACAGATGTATTCCCGTGGGCCAGAGGCTTTGCAGTCAACAAGGTGGGCGACAATATTGAGTTCAGGTTCAGGTCCATCTCTTTGAATGCCATGGCCCAGGAACCGTACCAATTTGTGGGGACCTCTACCATAAATAATAATACTACTCCAACTCAATACCTTTCAGGTGAGGCCAGTAAGCAGATCCTCCTCTCTGTGAGATATCAAGCCAACATCAAGAACATCTCAGTCCATCTACACGACACGCAACAGAGTAACTCAATCACGCACCTTGGTCGCATGATTAGATTCTTCTCATAAGAACTTCCAATTCCATTAATTAAATAAATATTAAATCAAATCTATCCAATTCAATCCATTCAAATGATCAATCACATTAAGCTTGGAAAAAATTTTTTGGACATTTATCAAATAGACATCTTCTCAACAACAAATACATATTCAAATAATGGATATCACTAAAGACTCAATCAAGTGTGTGGCCGTAGGGTGGTTAGCAGGCCCTCTGAAGAAGCTGGAGAAGGTAGAGGAGTGCAAGATCCAGTTGACAGTGGACAACCTCCCATGTACCATCTCCTATGTTGACGCCACTGTCATCGATGAATACAACTACAAGCTCTGGGAGGAGGTCATCTACCCAGGAACCGACATCCACTTGGTCTGTTGCAATCCTCACTACCTCATTACTCTTACTCAAATATCATCGGTGAGTATCCCGTGCGATGTGCCTCACTACACATCATATTGACCGACCCACCCAATCAATTAATTAAAGAATGTCCACCATATCGGTGAGCACGGTGGATCCAAGTTGACACCAAGATTGATGGTTGGATTGACTGAAGACAGCCGAGACTACCAGCAGTTTGCGAGATCCCATACTGGTTATTTTATCGATAGGCGTCCAATCGATAAGGATGCACAGGACCTCATCAGCAAGGAGTTACAGCACATCCAAGCCATCAAGTATCTCCAAGCAGCCAACCTCTCGAGCAAGGCGATTGAGTCCGTCCTTGAAGAGGCAGTCCGTCAAGTGAGAATTAACCGCACAAAGACTTCAACATGCACACTGCTCTGAGCAACATTGTTCCCAAGCCATCCAAATGACCAACCATGTAATAATACAATCCACATGATGTTTGAGTTGATTGATTGGCATTGATTTACACCAACCCCAAGGCATGTTATTGTTATTGAAACTCCAGGCTACCAGGTGACATTTAGAGGTGAGAAGATAAGTTGATTGGATAATGCCCATTGATTGGATGACAATGTTGATGATGAATCAGTGTTGTCATTGTCAATGTCATTGTTGATCCATCCAGATGCATGAATTAATTGATAGAGTGATCGAATCCAAGTATGCTCACTTGGCGGTGAAGTAATGTAGGAAGTGTCCGTTATGAATTGGATACATTGTCCAAGTTGTACATCATCCTTTCCATCAACATAATGATCAATAATACAATATATTGATATAATTAACTTGATCCTATACTCATTGATTGATTGATTGAATGATTGATGAGTGTGTGAGTGGAATGGCTCCAATGTGGACCAACAGTCCGTGTTTGATTGATTGACTTACTTTGGATTGATTGCCAGATGACTGTGATGCTTGAGATTAATGACGGAGGATATGTTTGGACATCGCGCCAGGAGTACCATCTCACGCATGATTTCATCCAGTTGCTTGTTATTATATCTTGATAGTATAATGTTACTTTGTTCTTTGTTGTTGATGATCATCCTCATTATACTTGGCTCGATTGGACCATTATCACCATCGTCATTATTGTCCAATACATAATCAATATTGAATGATTCTGTAATGTCTTGAATGAACTTGTCTGTATCGCTGAGCAACTCGATGGTCTTGTCTTTGATTCCTCGTTCATACACGTCGACCATTACCCGATTTGAGAACTTGGCCATCTTTCTCAAGACGACAGGGTCATCAATGCTATGCGAGATAGACATCAACTTGTTGTATATCTGTTCAGTATTTGACTTTGTCCTTGACAGTCTGTCCAATATGTAGTTGATCAAACGTATTCGTATAACATTGCTTGATAAGATTGGCGATGATGATGCTTCATTGATGCCAGCAAGTCTGTTGACAAGTCCATCCAAGTATTGATAGATTACATCGTTGTTGATGTTTGTTGTGTTGTTTGAAGAAGTCTTGTTCAATACCCTCATCAATGATCTCTAGACGATCGAGTGTCTTGAGGCCAAGTCCAATGACAACATCCACCAAACATTGTATCAATAAAGAATGTTGTTCTTGTTCTTGTTGTTGTTGTTGTTGCCACAGCTCGTCATAGGATGTGATCAACTGAACTTCATCAGCATCAATAAGATGACCACTGAATGTAGATGCAAGTGTACTTCTTCTCACTGACATTGATCGAATGATTGAATGAATGAATGATGTTTTCAAGGATGGTGTAATGATAATGATTACTTGATTAAGTTATCAAACTATATTTAGGCATCATATTTAGAGCCATCCACAGATTGCTATCAGTGCATATAATGATTATTATTACATTATAACAAGTATAAATAAGATAGCTTTCAACACCTAGTAATAAATACTCAATCCCTTATCATACTCCATTGTTTGAATTAGGAATAATAAAAGATATTGTCAGATGATGATACTTATGCCTAGTCCCAAACTGGGTCAGTGTACGTATATTCCGATCCATCGCCACCAAGTGTAAAGCACCTACATCCTGAGGAATGGTCCTCAAAGTTGGTCAATGTGGTCGTTGATGTCTCTGGCCAGAGTGATGATGAATGGCTCATCGGTGTCAGATACCGCCTCCAACTGGATGACACCTGACAACCCCACCGTCGACTCTGCCGTTGCACACCTCCCGATGAACGAGTTCAATCCTATATGCATTGGTGTTGCCCAATTGGTGGAACCATACCCAAGTGAGTCCTCCAACACCGACACATATATGCTCACATGATTGGAACATTAGTTCGTCAAGTAAATGACACAATGATGAACAATCATGGCGCAGCATGGAGCCAGCTACACAACTCCAGGACCTTCGCAGAGAGTTTGGTAACCGCCCTCAATCTCGAGTTCCGCCTCTACCATGAACACGAGGTGACCAAGAACAGACAATACCCAATCAAAAAAATGTACAAGATGATCGATCTAACTAAATATATAATAATTTGCTGTAAGAATAAATAATCCAAGTAATGGACTTTATGTTCCTTTGTTTGATTGTGAGCACAGACTGATATCAGTCCATCCATACTTGAATCATTGGTTGGCGCGCACATGGGCCACGACATCCTCTGACAACAACGTGGGGAAGGGCAGAGAAGGCGATCGTTTAAGCAAAGGTCTGCTTGATGTAGGCCTGACGAGCGGTGGTGTCGGTCTTGGTGTGGACCTTCTTGGCGACGACCTTGCCGGCGTTGTGGCGTCTGGTGTGGACGGCGGCTGGGTTGAGACGGAGCATCTGCTTCAAGTTGGTCAATGGGTTTCTGCGCTTGGCAATGACGATTGGCTTGCGGATCTTGTGCTGGGACTTGCGGACGGCAGTCTGGATCTCGTCGGAGGCAACGAGACGCTGGACGTCGGCGTTGGCCATGACTGGACGTGGCAGACGGAAGTTGGACTTCTGGGTGGAGTTCTTGGAGTAGGTGCCAAAGACAGAGTCGAGCTGCTCAAAGGCGGACTGGGTCCAGATGACGAAACGACCGAGGTGACCACCTGGTGCGAGCTTCAAAAGGTTGAGACGGGAGACGTTGGCAATGTCAACGCCTGGCAAGTTGCGGAATGCCTGGGACATCTGGGTCTTGCCGGAGCAGACGATCAATGGACCGCGGCTGATGATGTAACGTCTGTTTCTGTACTTTCCAGCACCTGGACGGACGTGCTTGGAGTTGATGGAACGCTCGACGTCAGAGTAGGCGTTGAGCTTCTTGAGGAGGGAGACGGCGGCGTTGGTCTTGGTCAGGGAGTCGATGACAGAGTTGGCGACGACGAGTGGGACCTCAGCAATCTGGGAGATCTGATGACCGCGGGCCATGACGAGGGCGGGGATGGCGGTGGCAGCGAGGGCAGAGGCAACGGCGTATCTCTTGTGGTTGACGTTGACCTTGCGGTTCCACTTTCTCCAGACCTTGTTTGGTCCGTACATTCTACCACCTCTACACATGTTACCGAAAGCTCCTTGACCGGAACGGGAGGTACCAGATCCACCAACACGTGGAATACGGGCGACGGCACGACCAGTACCCCAGGACTCGGCAGAGGTCTGCTCACCAGAGTGGCTGGATGGGGCGTATGGCTGTCTGTAGTTCTTGTTCACCTGGGTGTGAACGAAGTTGACGAGGTCTGGTCTGATTGGGGTAGTCAAGACGGCTGGCAGCTTAACCTTGCTGGCAATCTTGTTGTCACCGTTGTAAACTTGGACGAATGGGCGAGTGGACTATTATATTATGATGAATGTTTCGTTTGTTTGATTAGTCGTCGGTTCATCATGTATCGTATATCCTGTCATCATCATCATCATCGTCATCGTAGTCGTTCAATCTATCATCTCAATCACAATCTCAGTGTATGCTGTATGATCGATGATCGATGTTGATTGTTGTCATGTATCCTCCATCCATCCAATTGAATGAGTCGAGCTGCTGAGATTGAGTTGATTGAGATTGATACTGATGATGACTGATATACTTGATGATGATGAAGAAGGATGATGATGGATTGATTGACACCTACCATTTTGAAGGGCGATATTATGATATCTGTCTATACACAAACAAAGGATGATAGTAATTGAGTCAAATGCTCATCATTCGTGCACACGGCATGCTAGCGATGGGCTCGAGACAACGACTCGTCGCAAAACACAGAATCATAAAATTAAAAATAATTGGGAATATTAAACATCTTTAATGTATAACGTTACACTTGGATTAGTTGGGGTTTTGAAGTTCATGGACAACATGATGACTCACACAACTCACACTTTCATGACTTTGACCCAAAGTTTGAAACTTGTGAATGATCATTCATCACTTCACTGTTCAATCAACTCTTAACTTCATACTTCAATTGTTGTTGTTGGTATTAGATATTGATTGATTGAGTGGAGCAATAATAATAATAATAATAATAATATAATGTCACAGCCACCACCAACAGGAGCCTACAATACAGGCTACCCTCCTCAGCCAATGAATCCACAACAACAACAGTATCCAGGTTATCAACAACCACCTGTTGCTCAACCATATGGACAACCAATGCCTCAGAATGTTGTTGGTGTAGTACCAACATCACCTCAACAGCAACCACAGCCACAAATGTATCAGACACAGCCACAGTCTCATCTACAGCCACAGTCACCAATGGCACCTCAGCCATATAACACACAACAGGTGGCCGGTAATGTTCCTGCACCTATTACTCAGCCTTATGTACCACAACAGCAACAGCAAGGTACTCCACAGACTCAAGTGTACCAACAGCTACCACCTCAACAACAGCAGATGTATCAACAACAGCCACCAATGGGTGTTGTTGCTCAGCCATATGGACAACCTCCAGCAGTTGTTGGTCAGCCCTACATGAACAATCAACAGCAACCTTATGGACAGCAGGTTGCCCCTCAGCCACAGATGTATCAACAGGTGCCACCCATCCAAGGTCAAGTTCAAGGTCAAGGCCTGGGTCAGCAGCAGCCACCCTTTGGACAGCCATACCAACAGCAGCCTTATCAGCAAGCACAACCTGGATACCCACCACAACAACAGATGCAGTATCAGCAACAGCAACAATACCAGACAGGACAACCTGGTCAGCCACAACAGCAGCAGCCATATGGTCAACAACAGTATCAACCACAGATGCCCAACATGCAGGGTCTGTCACTTGGTCCCAACCCTGGCCCCAACCCAGTGGTGCAGGCACCAGCGCCACAGGGCGAGAACAGGATCAATCAGGCACAGGTGCCCAACCCCGCCACCGTGCTCGAAGCCAACAAAGCTTACGTGTTCAACACCAATGCCACAGACATGCCACCACCCTCCTCCATCCAGCAGGCGGTGATCGATCAGCACAACTCGGCGCCATACTTTATGCGCTCCACTCTGTACACAATCCCCGACACGGAGGACACGCTCAACAACACCAGTCTGCCATTCGCCATTCACACGACTCCCTTGGCAGGCCACGACACTCTGCCCCTCGTCGACCACGGTCCCAGTGGACCCATTCGTTGCACACGTTGCATGGCCTACATGAACCCGCACAACACCTTCATCAATGGTGGCAAGTTCTTCATCTGCAAGCTCTGTGACTATGAGAATGATGGTAAGTTTGGAATCATTCCGGATGGTCCCATGATCACACTCAATCAATCAATCACTCACACATCTTCGATCAGTCCCTCAACACTACTTTAGTGCGACACTTCCAAGTGGCGTGCGATCTGATTATGATCAGCGCGCTGAGCTTCAACGTGGATCGTACGAGTTTGTGGCACTGACAAAGCCAACCGACCCCAAGCTGCAGCCAGCCTACGTGTTTGCCATTGAGATCTCCACCAACACGGTGACATCTGGCGTACTGGCCACCGTCGTGCAGAGCCTCAGGAAGGTGCTCAATGAGATGTACGATCACACGCCACAGCGTATCGGTATCATTACATACGACACCGACGTCCACTTCTGGAGCTTCAAGAAGAACTACAACACGCCCCAGATGAAGGTCGTCACCAAGAGCAGCGTATTCGTGCCCATCCAGGAAGGCTTCCTCGTGGACTACCGCGAGTCCAAGGCGCTGGTCGACTACTTCTTTGACAACATCACCAACTTCTTCAAGTACCCACAGCCCCCCAACAAGGAGTTTGCGTTTGGCGCCGCCGTCCAGTCGGCCTCGCTCGCATTAGAGAAGTGTGGTGGTCGCGTGTTTGCCTTCTCCACCAACCTGCCCAAGGGCAACCCGGGCGCCGTACACAAGCGCGACGCCAAGTCTGAGAAGAACCTGGTGCCCGCGCCCGCACCCTTCAGCAACTTCTACAAGCCCGTAGCACAGCACTGCGCCAAGACCAACGTGTCGGTCAACCTATTCCTGATTCCAAGCGAGGAGTGCGAGCTGGCCACGACGGCCGTGCTGGCAACGACTACTGGCGGCCACATTCACTACTATCAACATCTTAGACACGACAGCATGGAGGCACTGCACGACGACATTGTTCATGATGCCACTCAACCGTACGGACTCAACGTGGCAATCAAGATCCGTTGCAGTCGCGGTCTGACCGTGGCCTCCAACCTTGGCCACTTTGTCGAGGAGGAGGGCGAGGTGCGCATTGCGGGCCTCACCAACGACAAGTGCATCACCACATTGATCAAGTATGACGACAAGCTGAAACCCAAGTCTAAGGCCTACCTCCAGTTCGCCATGATGTACACCAACATGCGTGGCGAGAGCCGCATCCGTGTGCACAACCTGCGTCTCAATGTGGAGGCGGCGGCGCCAGCCACCATGTCCACCTTCTTCAAGGATGCCGATTTAGACTCGATCATCACACTGTTTGCCAGGTATGCAGCACGCGACATCATCACAAATATGCCCTCCCAAGGGTGCGCACCATCACCACAGAGAAGGCCGTCGACCTCCTCGCGTCCTACCGCAAGCACTGCGCAGCCGACAAGTCGCACACTCAGCTGATCCTTCCCGAGTGCTTCAAGCTGCTGCCCATATATGTGCTGGCCATGATGAAGGCGCCCGCCTTCTTGCTGAGCGGCTCGACGCCCGACCTAAGAGTGTACCTTGTCAGTCTCTTTGCCTCATTGCCACCAGCCAAGATCATACCCATGGTCTATCCACGTCTGTACCCGATTCACAACCTGCAGCCACAGCATGGAACACAGCATGCGGACCATCACTACACCATCCTGCCGCCCTTCGTACGTCTGTCTCAAGAACAAGTTGTACAAGACGGTGTGTTCATCGTTGAGAACGGTCGCAACATCTTCATCTGGGTTCAGCAATTCGCCTCACAGAACGTACTCCGTGATCTGTTCTCAATCGACTCCATCGTTGGACACAACGCTACAAAGGTAAACTATATATCTGTTCCACATGTGATTGATTGATAACTAACACATGGACACTCACTCAACTCAATCATACATTAGATCGCATCTTTGTTTGCTTCGTTGAATGGTGCCAATGACTACCATCAACGTGTGGAGAACATTGTTAGTGAGATCAGCAGGTTGCGTGGATTGGGTTCATCACAGAGATCAGTGCAGTTTGTGATCCAGAACGATCCAATGGATTCTTATCTACGGTCCCTATTCTACGAGGACAAGGGATTGGACTCTGTATCCTATATAGACTATTTATGCCAGATTCATCGACAGATACAGAACAAACTCTCGTAAGGATTGTGTTTCCAATCAATCACATTCATTCATTCAAATCAATCAATCATCACATCCACAATCAATCACATGTCAACCCAAGCGGGAAGGCTCACTCCACCTCACCTCGCAATTCGAATCAATCAATGACATCTGCCACATGCTACTATCTCTCGCCATCCATGTCCCAACATCGTTACCAACTATCGTTGGCATGAACCTCATCCAATCAATCATTCAACAAATAAATATGCCATACCATATCTCCATCCATTCCCATCCCATACTTAATATTGATCATTTGTCCTCAAACCAAACAATCTGTTTAGACTAAGAGAAGAACAAAGAGCTTCTGAAGCCTTGCTAATGGCAACAACATTCTGATCACAATGAATGAATTGAAAGACAAGAAGAGCTATCCAACAATAAAGGGATTATTATTTACATTATTACAATACAAGCAATCGATCAATCTCTGATCAAACATGCACCATAACAGTATCGCCCATTGACATTGTCTTGGTCATCGATCATTGTCCATTTGTTGTCTTGCGTTGAGTAATGGTATGTTAGACCGGTGCCACCCAGATAGACTATCCCATATTGTTGATCGTATATCATACTGCAAAGATGTCCAGTTGCTGTTGGACACAATGCCAGCCTTGCTGTCGATGGCTTGGTGGTGTCCAGTGAGTATCGCATGAATGAGTGCTTGGACAGTACGTATATATATTCTTTGCCATCGTAACAATATGTATCATATACACCATTGTCCAAAGACTTAATCAGTACCTCAGTGTCATGAGTTTGTATATTGAATGATAGTATATCTTGGTTGGCTTTTCCATCCTTAGCGCCACCAACTACAATGATTGAATTGTTATGGAAGCATATGAATGCAAAGGCCAGGGAGTATGGTAGGTGTCCAATATGACTGAACTGCCCTGTTACAATATCAAAGCAATCGACACGATTCAATCTCTGTCCATTGTGATCGCCACCAACCAGGTAGATGTGATGATTGCCATCATAACATGTAGATATCCAATTGCCTCCACTTATTCCAACGATGTCATTACGTTCACATTGATGATTAGACAGTGAGTACCTTGAGTAGATCATTGGTGAGTCGAATCCTCCAAACACATAAACAGAGCCACGACAGTAGACAACTGATGTATGAACAGCGTCCAAAGATCTCTTGAATGCGCCATTGATTGGTGTCCACTTCATTGTTGCCAATGAGAACAAAGAGCAGTCTCTGCGCCTCAATGATATGATATGACCATCTAGTTCATTTGGAGTAGCGTCTTGAGTCGCAGTAGACGGCTGAGGGGGTGGAGGCGGAAGAGGTACAATGAGCTCAAAGCATGATTCAATCTGTTTCCTGATGCCATCTAACTTAAAAGCATCAATGATGACACGATTAGCTTGCAGTTTCCATGTTGATTCATCATCATAAGGTACTTGATTAATATGTTGAGTATGAAGATTGATCATTGGCAACAACAACAACTGATCCTTGATGAACTGATCAACTGATTGACAAGTTGTGATCGATTCAATCACATGTGTCATGTCGACTTCATCGTCAACATTGTCATTGACATTGTCAGATTGATGCACTTGATGATTGATATTATGTATTTCAATGATTATGTCTTTGATCGTTGATTGAATGAGTGTCATCTGATCATTGATCGGTGTCTTTATCTTATGTTCTTGAGTGATGATCACTTTGATCAATTGTTCAAAGTGATCAGTTACATCCTTTTGTATCTGTGTCAATGATTGATAAGAAGTTGCACAAAGTTGCAACGTCTTCCACAGATGTTCCAACCTCTTATTATCCATTCATTATCTCTTTATCTCTTTGCAAACTAAACTCAAATGAAAAGTCAAAGAAGTGTTTGTGGAGTTTGATTGTTTGGATTGATTCATTTGATTGATGATACAAGTACATAAGGGCTATAAATAGAAGTTAGTTGGTGATCAGCTGAGAAGTCATCACATTGATACGTTATTTCCTCAAGAACGACCTGGACTTCTTCTCCTTCTTGTTGCCGGGCGATAGGACATACGCCTCTGGACTTCGAGGACTCTTGGGCGTGGTGATGTTGTTCACATCATTGGTCTGTGTCTTGAGTATGTCCAACACGACGTTGACCTCTGACGAGGACAATCCGTTGGACTGCGCCATGTCCACGAGGAAACTCTTGATCTCCTCGTGTGGCACTGAGAAGTGCACCATGTTGACGCCAAAGAAGCTGAGCAGGTTCGAAACGATCTCCTTGTCCACGCCGTCAAAGTTCTGATCGAAGCGCTTTCTGTGGCGCTTGGCCAACTGGTCCCAGAAGTAGTCCTCCCAGAAGCGCACTGTGCGCCACACGGGCGAGCTGCGGATAAAGTCCTTGATGTACTCCTGTTGGTTGCCATTGTTGACGCGGTACAGTGAGCTGGACGCGTGCATGATCACCTTGGCCGTGATGATGTCGTGCTCGGTGCTCAGGTCCATCTCCTGCAGCGTCGTGCTAATAAGGTAGAGCAGGAACTCGAATGAGCTCTCACTCAGGACGATGTTGGGCACCTGCTTCAGCGTGCTCTGCAGGATCTGTGAGAATCTACGACGGCCGGGCTCGGTCTTGAAGATGGCGTTGAGCGACTGCACCTCCTGGAACTCGATTGGTCGCGAGAACAGGATGCTGTGCACGCAGCGATGTGTCTCCTCGACCAGACGGTTGTCGAGCAGGTCTGGAGTGATCGTGTTGTATCTCTTCTTGCCAATGACCACGTGGTTCTGGTTCTGCAAATGTCCCTTTCTTGGACGTGACTGCAGGCTGCTGACCTTCTCCTCCAGCAGCCTTATTGTTGAGTCCTTTGACCTTGGAGCGGGCCGACTCCTCCTGTAGGCTCTTCTCGAGTCTCTCCACCATCTTTTGTAGTCGCTCGACCTCTGCTCTGTTGCTTCCCGATGGGTCATTCCTGTTCGCGCCCAGGGTCACTGGTGGCCACACGGTGGTCTCGACCTTTGATGGCACCGGCGTGCCATTACCCAACGAGTCTGCTCTGTCGCGTGTGTATGAGCCAGGTCCAATCTGGTTGGAGCGGAAGCCACTGTTCATTTGAACAGTGAACCTCTTGTCGCCGGCAGTGAGGTTGCCTGCGACAGCGGGGGGCTTGGCGCCAAATGATGAAACGTTGGGTGGCGAGGCCGAGCGAGGCGGCGTTGTCACCGACTTGAGGTGATTGATGTCCTTCTCCTTCTGCTCCAACTGGCGCTGAAGGGAGTCCAGCTGAGCACGCTGCTCCTTCACCCTCTGGTCATGCTCCTTTCGCTCGTCGGCCATCGCCTTTTGAAGTTTGTTGATTGTATCGTCCTGTTGCTTGATGCTTGCAAGCATGGACAGGATCTTGTTGGACAGCTCCTCCTTGTCCTTTACAACAGTGCGATACTGACTGATTGACTCTAGTTGTTGTTGAGTGATTGTGGCCGCTGTCCATGATGCTGGTACGGAGCCGCCATTTGTGTTGGCGGGGGTGATTGTCGGAGGAGTTGTGAGTGTTGCCGTCTTGACTGGTGCGGGCACAAATGTTTGTACCTGCTTGGCCAACTCATGTCCACACTTGGTGCAGTACTTTGATGTCTTTGACGATTGGAAATTGCATTTGGAGCATATTCCAGTGGGTGCCGATGCAGCTGAAGCGGCGGTGGCCGATGGTGCAGGTGTGGATGTGGCAACAGGTGATTTTGGGATTGTTGGCAGCGTTATCGGCGTGTTGTTGGTGGAGACTGACTTTTGTGCCTCAATCGTGAGTATCTGTCGCTGCTTCTGCTCGATCTGTATCTTCTGGTTCTCGACCAGTGCGCTGAGCTCACGCTCCTTCTGTTCATGTTGGCGTCTCTGCTGATCCATCTTGCCATTGAGTGACGACACCTTCTCCTCCTGATCCTTCAACATGTTGGACAGCTTCTCAATCCTACTGCTCAAGTCATCCTTGTCCCTCTGCAACTGTTTGTTGACTGTGATTGATCATGATGCGAATGAATGAATGAGTTGATTGATTGAGAATGAGTGATTGAGTGAATGAGTACACTTACCAACATCATCGTTCTTTGCTGCGGCCACTGGTACTGGAGCTGGAGGATGGACATGGTCACACTTGAAGCACATCTTCTTGGTGCCACATGAGATACAGAAGTTGGTCTCGCGTGGTGTGATGTTCTCTCGCTCCTCGAGATCAGTGATGAGGATTGGTGCATTGAACTTGATCTCATCCCACTTCTTGGCAGGTGGCAATGCAGATGGCTTGGCGCCAAAGCTTGGACCCTTGTACGCCGGACACGTGTGTGCCGCACGTCCGATGGACGCGAGGTTCTGCAGCACGGCCGGCACCCCCTTGCGCTGGTAGAGGTCGGACGTGACGAACAAGTCGGACGACGGCACGCCCACCTTCCAGCACGCCTTGAGGTAGAGTCCGATGTTCTCGACCTCCATCAGGGGGATGGGCTTGGTGTTGATCTTCTTGATCGTGTCGGGGATGAGCACGTTGATCAGGGTGCACAGGACGATGCCGCTGCGCAGCGACTCGATCAAGTCGTTGGGGTACTGCAGCTTCATACCAGTGGCCTGTTCGATCCATGTAGCAAGTTCACGTTCAAAGTTTGGATCACGCTTTGATTGAGCCTTCAGCTCAAGTTCAGCATCAAGTCCAAAAACACGTATTCCATCACCTCTTAACACTGCCTGTCCAGCTGTACTATTGACTACTCTAGCTGAGGCCATCGTCTAATATAAATATATATATATATATATATATAGTTGTAGTAAGTTGAGTTTGATTGAGTGATTGATTGAGTGATGGTTGTATGAGTGTTGTTAAACTCTACACCCAACAACAAATATTACAACTACAAACACATGTATAATATTAAGTTTGGGAGGAAAGAGTGGACTATTGGGTAAGCAATGTGATGCACATTAAATTAAAGTAATATCTCAGTGTTAGCATAATCTGAACACAGTTGGAAGCGAGCCCCGAACTCTCAAGTCTGACCCCTACCCCACACCACACAGCACAACACCAACTTGATCCGCTCCAATTCGTTGGTGGGAATTAGACTTTTTCGTTTTTCTTCTCTCTGGGAATGATCACACCCCTATTGATCAAAGATTCAGAGCACTCACGTTACCTAACATATCCATTCAAATATTTATTTACAATACAAAACATGTTTGATTGATGGTTGTTTGGATGTTTGGTTGAATGGATACTATGACTTCATGAATGGATGATGGACGCAGTCCCCATCACCAGAATCTCCTCTTGAAGGCATCGGCTACGTTGTGATGCTCTCTATTCCAGGCATCGTTACAAGAGGAACGGCCACAACTGTTTCCAGGACGGCTAGTCACATTATCCCTGTTGCAATATGGACAAGAGTATGGGAAGTTTGAAGTGTCAGTCATTGTTTTGTTGATGTAATATTTGTAGTTGTTTAGTTGATTGGTATTTTGTTGGTTATTGTTGTTAACTGTGGTCAAGTAACTTCTATTTATATTGATTATAGAGGTCTTGATTGGTAACTCAAATTTAGTTTGTATTACCATTTATATCCATCAATCTCCAATTGACTCACAACATAACCTTGATTTAAAGGTTACGCCATATCATACAATTGGTAATCCAAAAATGGTAATAAGTTAATTAATTCCAAAGTATAAATTCAGTTCATCCATCCGCCTATCCATCAATAAATCAATTAATGATCATTTAGTTAATTAATTATTGAACTATAATTATAATAGTAATAAATAATAAATTTAGAATAATAATTATTATGTCTAGAAGACAAGATACATACACTATTAGTAAAGGTGACTGGAGCGCAAGCAAGTCAACTGATAAACCTTATTTCCCTTATGGATGCCCTTATTGCCATCGTGAGAATGTGACAAGTCGTCCTGGAAACAGTTGTGGAAGAACTGAATGCAATGAAGCCTGGAAGAGAGACCACCACAATGTTGGTGATGCCATCAAGAGAAGAATACCATTTTGAAGTATTATCTAGATTCGTCGTCGTCGTGTACATATCTATCTTGTTTAATAAATGTTCTCGAGTCAAGCAAGTCACGTCACAGATGTCCTTTGATGGCCATTGCATTGAGAATGTCATTGTGTAGTTGTGAACAATCACCACTTGATGATGATGATGATGGGGTCGATGACGATGATGGAGTTGTCAATTTGTACACTTGTCTGGCGAATGTTTGATCGAAGCTTGTATTGGTATGATGCTTGTCTTGACTATTGCCATTGCCATTACTACTACTACTACTACTACTATCCAGTTCATCACCTTTAACCATTGTTCTAACTTGTTTGATCCTATCCTCAGTGGCATTGACCAATACAACATAGATTGAAGTATCATCAACACTGAATCCAAATGACTTAATCGACTCTCTAATCTATATATATATATGTGATTGAATGAGTGAGCCTTCGATGTATGCATGTCGACTCGACTCGACTCGCTCGATTACAAACATTTGTTGACGGTGATAGCCTGTATATAATCTCTGAATGTACGTTGTTTGTTGCAAACCTTCCTTTGGAAGCATGTTGATGTAGTGCTTGTGTCGCAGCCATCAATAGTTGACGATCATCAAACACTACACGATGATTGATTATAGCCCATTCCAGCTCACCCTTAAGTACGGTATCCATTAACTGCTTGCTATTGCTGACATTGACAAAATGAAAGATTGTAACTGATGTCACTCCTCGTCCTCCTTGTTTATCCTTCTCCTCCTTATTATCATCACTAATTACAAACAAAGGTATTTCATAACATCTCATCTCTTTCTCTCTTTCTCTCTTTCTCTCTTTTGTTTGTTTGATTGAAAGTACTTGTTGTATTAGTAGTCATCTGTTCGATCTGGAATTTTTATGTGTTTGTTGTTGCACATCATTTACCTGAACTTCAAACTTTGAAATGTCGGGTTTATCTAACAATCAATCAATTTTCAAACTACCTATATCCTACAATAATATAGATATACAAGATTGGAATTATATTGTTTATATAATGGATATATATATATACCGCTAGAAGTTAGTCATTTTAATTCATCGGACCGAAGGTAGAGGGACAAACACTACACGTTGTAAACTCTCAACTAGGGTGATATTTGAAAAGTTATTATTACAATTTCCAGATATCAAACTAACGATAATTATTATTATATAAATATATAAATAAATATAATGAATAATAGATATATTAATACTCTTTTTATTATTATGACAATATTAATTTATGCTTCTTATTCTGATGCAACTTTAAAAGATTCATACTTTAACCCTTTTGAATAATACGAAGGTGTTTTTGATTCTAATCCTCCCTTGTTTTCTCTGGATCTTGACTTCTCACCTCCAACTAAAAATAATCAACAATATAATAATTATAATAATGAAGAAAAAGATGTTGCTTATTAAAAATAATAAAGAATGGACATTTCCATATTTTACTAATAATTTATCACTCTTTCACTCCACATTCCTTTATTCAGGACGCTTGGTCCTGAGCATGTTGAATAGGTCGGTGTTGCGAAGGTTGGAGACGAGTGCCTTGAGGAACTCATTGATTACAGAATCCTTCTGTTTCTTTATCTCTCGATAGATCACTGTGATGAATAGTTGATGGTCAATGCGCACTAAGAAGTAGGTGTAGTCACTTAGGTATTCCTGTTGTAATGCAGCCAGTGATGATGATGACATATTGCCCTTTTGTGGTGTCGTCTGTCCTTGATGATGTGATGATTGATGTGTCGTGTCCGCCTTATATATCTGCTTGTCCAAATAAAAGAATATATCGCCAGGTCTCTCCATCGATGAAGAGTTCTCCAACAATATGCTTATAATGTTTGGAAGGTAGTTTGTTGGTTGTTTGTCCTGTGATTGATTGATTATGTGAGTGAGTGAGGTGATCAGTGGGATAGTTCCATGGTCAGACGAATGGACTTACGCTTGGATAAAAATAAATGGGAGGATAGGCACTTAGTCCTGATGGTATGTTGTCCTCGCTGTTGAAGCTGTAGCCGGTGCGAGTATAGGGATTGCCCTTGCACTCCAAGAAGATGCCAAAGAAGCATGCATTGCTCTTTTGGACAAAAGCCTCGATCATTGAGCAGTAGTCAGGGTTGTTGCGCACTACCACCTCTTTGAATGAGGCGAACGAGCCGCCATTCTCTTCCTCAACCGTTCGCAGTGGATGATGGAAGTACAGCGTGGCCTTGGCCAGCAATGCACTGTAGAACAGTGATAGCCATTGATGTATACTATTCGATTGCCAGCCAGTTGGCTTATCAAATGTGCGACTTAGATTATGCTGATCAAAGTCCTTCCATGATTCCAACTCAATACGAGCTTGATACAACATGAATATCGTGTCCTTAAACACGTGTCTAGCCAAGAATGAGTATACCTTCAACAAGTTGCGCAGTATTGATATCTCATAGCTATGATTGATTGAGTCAGTGAGTCAGTGGCACGACCAAGTGATCATCAAATGATTGATTGAGCGTACATACTTTGTGTTTGCCTTGATTCCAAGCAAGAGTGGATGAGTTATCTTGTCACGATAGATAGTTGGAATGAGTTCCAATGAGTTGATCATCATGTCTAGATTGACATCTTGTCTCTGACTCGCTGATAATACCAATGTTGTATATCTACATGGAGTGTATGTGTCAATCAATCAACGTGATCAATCAACTTGATCAATCAAACAATGTACATACACTCCAATCATGTCTATTCTAACCTGTACAATGATGCATGTTTGAAGTACTAATGATGATATGAATGAATACTCTGGATCATCTGGTCTATGTTGTAATGACTGTGACTGTTGTGACTGTGATTGAATTGGTTGCCCAGCAGCATTGAGTGATGTTGTTGTTGTAGTTGTAGTTGTAGTAGATGAAGGCTTCAACAAGTTCTTCAAATCATTTGATACTTGTATATATTGATCTTGTATATTGTTTGCTTTAAGTGATAGGTATGAATGCTTATAATACATGCTCTCGCAATTGCCTAGATTCTGTAACAGCACCAAGAACTTGCTCCATGGTATAGTACCATCTGGCACCTGTTTCTGTTTGATCAACTTTGGCAATGCACTAAAGTTAAGATGTTCCAAACATCCATAAATAGATGCCAACAACTCTCTATTCATCTATATATATACACTTTATCTCTCTATGACTATCACAAACCATTGATTGACTTGTGCAATTCATGAACATCGTGTTCAATGCATTTTTTGAGAATCAAAATCACAACAAAGTGATGGAAAACTCGTCTTTCGAATGCAACCTTTCGATTTTTTCACTTTCCAAACAAACTTGCACAACTCTTTCATTCATTCATTCATTCAAATATCTGATACATTAATACACAAAAATAGTCATAGATAGAGATAGAGATAGATAAATAGAGTTAGAGAGAGAGAGAAAGAAGGAGGGAGAGAAATGTCAAAGAATTCCAATTTTTATTTTAGGAGACCATCTCCAGAGGAATTAAAGAAGTCGAGGAAGGAACAGAAAGAGCAGAAGAGATTGGAGAAAGCGGCAATGAAGATGAATATATCAGAGGATCAACAACAAGATCAACAACAACAAGATATACCAGAGCAGGTTGATGAACTACCAGTGGTGGACATGAGAAGGAAGAAGGGTAGTTCACGTAGACAACAACAACAACAACAACAACAACAACTGGAGGATGAACTGCAACAGCAACAGCAACAAGATGCAGACATGAGGAGGATGAAGAAGGAGAAGCGCAGTGCACGTAAACAACAACAACAACAACAACAACAACAGACACAGCCACAACAGCAACAACAAGTTAACAATCAACAAAGAGATAATAATGTTGATGATAGTGCGATGGATAGCTTGGTCGCCAACACAATGCAGTTGAGTATTACTGTCAATAATAATCATCATAAGGGTAGTAAGGAGGCAAGTCCGCCAATTCCAGTGTTTAAGTCGATGTACAATGCGATAAAGGGATCGGTCTTCTCGGACTTTGGTACATACGATCGCTTCCTAATCGATGGTGATGCGATGATTGTCCACCTATTCTCTGTGCACTTCTCAACGGCTGGCGACATGCTACTGGATCCCGACCGTGCCCAGTCACTCCAGTTCTTCTTCTACTTTGAATGGTATCTGGACAACATGCTCAACCGCAATGGACACTTCCATATCATCTTCATGAAGAAGTCATACCTATTCTACAAGTCTCCCGTCCTTGTAAGCTATATCCTCAGGCATGCCAGCATGCTTGGCATGGCAAGTCTGTACCCTCCCCTCCCATCACTCACTCACTCATTCAATCAATCGTTTAGTTATTACTTCGTAATCAATGCATTGAGTACTACACTAATCTGTTAGATACCAATCGTAAGACCAATGCCAAGTTTGGTCGTATTCAACTATATCAGTTTGATGGAGAATGGTGGCAACCAGATGGCTTCCAAACCATCGCACAATACTATAAGGACAACTTGGTAAGGCTTCCATGGTACCATTCGGGCATGAACATCGTGGCCCACGATCATCCAGACGACTAACCATACCATGCTCATGTAGTTCTCATTCATGTTGACCATGTTCCCAACCAAAACAACCGCGACCCTCTATGATGACAACGCCTCATTCGTAAGTCAACGCGGCCCTCACTCAATCAATCCATTGTCCTCACACCTTGGAACCATTCCAATCAACCATAGTTATTCATGTTGCGCTCCAATGAGGAGTACTTTGACTTCTTTGTCGAGTTCAGTGGACTGGTGTTTGACAGCATCAACATGCGATCATTCATTTATACCAAGCGTAACATACATCGATTCAGGTCAGAGAGGAATGTAAACTATGTCATCAACTATGCCAAGAAGGCCGAACTCAAGCTGACAAAGGACTCATCCTTGTCACCCGACATCGACACTGATGTCATTGCCGGCTCAGTCGCGACCAATCGTCGCAACACACTCTTTGTACTGGCACTCATCTCGTACGTCTCGGACGACTCGAGGTCCGGGGCGTCGCCACACCAAGATCGCATGCAGTTTGCCAAGGTCTATTGTATGTACCTGGCGCTCATGGAGCATGTGCCCGTGGACCAGCGCAGCATCCACTTCCCCGCGCTCATGAAGGACGAGGATAGCAGCAAGTATCTGGTGCCAATCGCCATCAATATCGAGAGCCTCGTGGAGCATGCCAATAGACACTTGCGCGACAATGTGGTCACGAGTGAGATTGTGCGACACAAGGTCGAGCTCGACTTGCTCGACCACAAGCTGTTCCTTGTGGTGCTCACGCTGATGGCGTCGCGCGCCAACGACCCCACGCAGACATTGGACACCCTGTTTGGCAAGGAGCTTACGAACCAGGCACTGGCCATCTGGCACTGTCTGGATCCTTCGACGCGCGATGAGTTTGTCGTGCTGCCCAAGGTCACCGTGCTACTACCAAGTGAAATAGCCGTCGCCATACTCGAGGAGATCAAGACGGCCACCAACGAGAATGACAAACACTCAATCGACATGTATCGCGTAGAGAATGACTTTATCCGAGGAATTATACCGGATCTCCCTCGTCTGGGCGCCATCTTCAGCGCGGACAAGTGTGAGCAGCGGCCTCAGGTCACACAATTCATCGACAACTATCACTGGCATAATGGCAAGCCGATTGACCCCGACTCATTCTCGCTGCAGATGAAGCTGTCGGCTGCCAAGGAGAAGCAATGGCTGAAGCGCGCAGGCTTCCAGCGATATGCCGACAGTTTGAACGACCCAAAACTCAAGATCGTCATCAAGGCCAACGCGGACAACTCTACCAGCACCAGTTTCACCTCGGTGCCCAAGAACATGAACGATGTGCACATCAACCCAAAGACATTGGAAAGGTCCAGGTGGGCCTCGGACACGATCAAACTTTTGGACAACGTTGAGGTGCTCGAGATTGTCAAGGGCCACTACATTGAGCATCTGGCCTTGCTCCGTCGTCAGCTGGACCAAGAAGTCAAGGCAGCCTCTGGCGCCACTGAGAAGAAAAAGAAGAGTGGTGGATTGATCGGTTTATTCAAGGACTTAATCAGTGGCACGCTCTCCTCATCCAGCACCAAGTCAGCAGCCAAGATCGAAGCAGCGATGCTCGATTTGAGGAAGCAGATCTTCCAGCTAGTCCAGAAGTACCTACGATACTACATGGAACGTGCAGTATTGACAATGGACGACAACATGATCGGAGAGCACCTCTACCAGATTGCTATTGCACCGCCCCTCTCGATGGACGACCTGGCCAACCAAGTGTCAATCACATTCAATCTCGGCCACAAGTTGCTCGAGCACGTGTCCACCAGCGACTCAATCGAGTTCCAGATGAAGTACGCCAACGACACACTCATCAGGAACATCGACTCGCGTAAAGACGAACGTGTGAGGGACTTTGACCCAGACACCTGGCAGGTGGAGCTGCTCAACATCGTGGACAAGAATGAGTCCGCACTGATCTGTGCGCCAACATCGAGTGGCAAGACATTCATCAGTTTCTACGCTATGGAGAAGGTGCTCAAGCAGTCCAACGACGGCGTGGTCGTCTTTGTTGCGCCCACCAAAGCCCTCGTCAATCAGATGTACGGCGAGCTGCTCAACAAATACGACAAGCGCTATCCTGCCGGCAGCAACAAGGTGGTGTCGGGTATCTTCACACGTGACTGGCGCAAGGATGTCGACAACTGCCAGATCCTGATCACCGTGCCCCAATGTCTCGAGATCCTGCTGCTCTCAATCACCAACACGGTGTTTGTTCACCGCATTCGCTACATCATCTTTGACGAGGTGCACATGGTCAGCAACACCGAGAATGGCTACACATGGGAGCGTCTGCTCCTGCTGAACCCAGCGCCATTCCTTGCGCTATCGGCGACCATTGGCAACCTGGACGCCTTCCACAAGTGGATGGAGCGCATAGAGCCCACCCGCCGTGTTCATCTCATCCAGTACCACCACCGCTTCAACGACCTCAAGATGTTTGTGTACTCCAAGACTGATGGCGCGCTGCCACTCAACCCGCTCAGCACCATCAAGGCGCGCAAGTCCAAGACGTGCGCGACGCGCGCGCTCTCTGCCGAGGTCAGCTTCCTGAGTGACGAGTCGCTGGACATCTACAACGCCCTCACTCGCCACTTTGGTGCCGACCAGACACTTAGCATCAACCCGCACACACACTTCTCCAACGCGTCCAAGGACTCGATCTACAACCTAAACAAGCGACAGGTGCATTACTATCAAGAGTCGATAAAACAGTTCATCGCGGATGTGCAGCGCTCGGACGATCCGGTGCGCCACGCCAAGCTAGACCTGGTGGTGCGCGAATTCAACATCAAGCGCACGCACTACCATTACTACGACTGGGAGGAGAACATTGCCGAAGTGCTAGTCGACCTTAAGCGTCGCGACCTGCTACCAGTCATCGTGTTTGTGTTTGATCGCACGCGATGTGAGAACATCGTGCGCAGGGTGGCCGACGACATTGAGACGTTCCGAAACACAGACAGCTCGCGCATTGCCAAGGAGCTCACTGCCGTCAGGAACTCCATCCGTGCCAAGATGGTCCCGATCACAGACGAGGACGACCCTCTTATTATCAAACTGCGCGCACTCGAGAAGGAGATGGCCGACATAAACGGCCCATTCTTTGGCTCAGTGACCGAGGACGACGTCGACGAGTACGTTAAGAGCAGCTTCTTCTCCAAGCATCTCTCGCCCAGTCTGCTGCAGGGCATTGGCGTGCACCACTCTGGCTGCAACAAAATGTACCTGCGCGCCGTCGAGCAGCTGTTCCGCCAGAAGAAGATCCAGGTCTGCTTCGCCACGGGCAGTCTGGCGCTGGGCGTCAACATGCCCTGTCGCACGGTTGTGTTTGGTGGCGACTCGCCCTATCTCAATCTGATGACCTTCCGCCAGTGCTCTGGACGTGCCGGTCGTCGTGGCCTGGAGAACCGTGGCAACGTCATGTTCATGGGCGTGTCCAAGCCCAAGGTGCATCGACTGGTCAATGGCAAGCTCTCCAACCTCATTGGAAACACGGTTATCTCGCCCAGTTTGACCCTGTCCCTACTCAGCCGTCACAACTACTCCTCGATGCTGCCCGACAAGCGCAGTGCCAAGGCCGACACAGAGCTGCTGATCAACGCGGCCAACAAACTGATACAGCGATCTTTCTTCCAGGGTGAGTCCCTTCAGTCGCAGTTCCAGGTCCACTTCTCGATCGACTATCTGTACCGCGAGGGATTCATCGATCACGAGGCCAATGCACGTGACTTCTCAGGCATCGTCACTCATCTGTCCTACCTCGAGCCGTTCAACTTTGTCCTGACCACGCTGCTCAAGGACGGTGTGTTTGATCGCCTGCCCAAGGACGCCAATGACAGCGACCTGGCTATCGTCAAGATCCTGGCGCACCTCTTCCTCACCAAGGCGTCGCCGCCCGACACCAAGTCCCACTCAATGACCCAGTTTGTGAACCTGCCTGGCGATGCCAGCCAGTCTATCGCCAACCACAACAACCGTGCCATCCCTGCCTTCCTGGGCTACATCTCTGTGTACCGCGACCTCCATATCAAACCACCCGAGCTGCCCCTCTCCACAATGTACAGCCTCAACATCCACACCAATCCATCAGACTCGCGCGCATCTGCCCTGCTGGCCAAGTGGCGCGAGTCCACCAAGGACATGCATCCAGTGTTCATGTACAAGAATGGCATCCAGGCCATGTCGGGTCTGCCCAACCTCTGCTCGTGCTACGCCGAGCTCAAGTACTTCCTGCCATCGCAATCATTCTTTGCCACGTCGATCATACCAGTGTGCGATCTGTCCAAAGTCAAGATCAACTCGTATCTGGTCGACTTCTTCCAGCATGGCAATGCCATGGACCTGATCACAAACAACAAGTTGCGACAGAGTGATGTGTTCAATCTGCTGCAGGACTTTGTGCTGATACTCAAGACCATTGCCACGGCACTGGAGCGCCGCCAGCCGGACCACCCCATCACGCTGGCCTTCCAACGCGCCTCTCACAAGTACCTGGAGAAGTTTGAATCGGCCTATCCCAACGCCGAACTGGCCAAACTCTCAATCCGCGATGGCAACACCAAGCAGGTCGTCCAGTGGCCCCAACGTGCAGCTGCCGTAGGAGCAGTTCCAAGGTGGGTGGAGAAGAAGAACAAACAGGTCAAGCAAATTCAAGCAGCGGCAATGGATGAGGTGTTTGATCCAGCCAATCCAATGGCCACCAACCATCTCAAGCCCTTCACAAAGAACCTTCAACCACATGCCTTTTTCAAGGCATTATTGGTTGCCCAGGAACAGAACCAGGTGCCCGCCGAACACCTGGTCTACCACGCGACGCGCCTCTACTTCAGGGACAATTCACTCTCTCATATCACCGCCACATGGATCAAGAATGGACCCAGTATGTTTGAGTGCCTCCTTAGCATGTCAGATAAGTCCGTTCACCAAGTGATGAAAGCGCTGTGCGATATCAGAGACAAAGAAACCCCACCCTCTGCCTTACGATCTTGCGTCATTCACATGGTAGGCCTGGATGTGAGTGCGGACCACATTAAGTCTTTGAAGGAGTGGGTCAAGTCGCACCCAGAGTACCGCGAACAGCGTATCGAAGTGAACATCATGGTGCAAAAGAAGCAAGAGCGCTACCAGACCATTCTCCGCACAGTGCGCAGTGCGGCCGAAGCTGGAGACTATGAAATGACCAAGAGTCTGCGCTCGTTCAGGGACAGCCCCAACGAGTTTGTAAGGGCAGTCATATACATGCTCACACAGACCAACAACATCTTTAGCCTGGACAACATCGTGCGCATTGCCACCAAAGCCTACTGTCAATTTGATACCTACGACAACAAGGTCATGTTCAAGTTGTTCCGCGATTGGAAGGTGTATGACAAGTTGTTCTCGATCAATGAACGTGCTGGCATTCTCTTCCTGGAGACCATTACCGAGATCGCAAACAATGCCAAGTCATTCAACATGATCGTATTCATGGGCCACTTGATGCAACTCACATCATTCCCAGCGGGTAACGTGGAGGTCCGTCAATGGCTCATCCTCCACAAGTTCTCACAAGGCAAACTAAAGAAGTTGAGGCAATCTCGCGATGGTTCCAAAGCTATACAGGTTGTGGACTACCAACCCGGCATCTTTGACGACGACGAACAAGAGGAAGATGAGGACCAAGATGACCAATCCATTGAAGCACCAGCTCCTGCTCAAGTATCAGTGACATCCCCCTTGTTGACTCCCTCCAATTTGTCCCAAGCCCTCTCTGCCCCTGTACCAAAGGCATCCCCAGCTCTGGCTGAGTCAATCCAGGACACCGTCCCTGCCCCTGCTCCCATCCCACAATCAACGCCAGTCCTCGCTCCTGTACCCGCCGAGTTTCAAGTTCAAGTCCAGCCACTTCTGCAGCCCTTTCTTGCCCCCGCCTCACCCGTTCAAGCCCCATCAGCATCCATCTTAGCGACAATGATCAAAGTGTCCACCAAATTGACATTTAATGCCGATATATTGCAACGTGCTCAATCAATCTTTGGCCATGTCAAGGGCAAGAAGCAGAGAAAGAGAGTAACAAATGGATATAAGGCTGGGTTCAAGAATCGAAACACTTCACCCGAGGTCTATTGTCGTGCTGCAATCGTCGCATTTGTCCTGTCATACCCTGATGAGAATGTTCACGAGCAATTCTTCCAGAGCACCAAGAAGACGGAGAAGTTCGCCAAGAACATGGAGGCTGTGGACAACAGACACTCAATAGGATGGATGGTTGATGAGCTCTCCAGCATCTTCCCCAACCACTTGGAGGAGATACTCAAACTCTTTGGACACGTCATCTACAATCACAAACACAGACCCTCGATCAACAAATGGTTGACCACCCTTCCACTCCCCGATCAACAGCGTCTCAGCATATTCGTCAAGCAAGGCTTCTTCACCGACTCTGACTTTGATAACACACGCACCTGGTTCCCCAAGATGAAGTACCTCTTGCCACATCCACCATCAGCGCGTAAGACAAACAAGTAAAGACAAGACGACCAAACGGCGGTAAAGGGGAAAACTGATAAGAGTGTAATTTATTGATCGGGCAGCGTACTTTCTTTTGTATCCAAAACCTGTTTACTCAAGAGGTATTGGTTGTACTCGTCGCTGAATGGTGCTGGTATGTCTACGAATAGACTATACTTGTCGGCGGTTTGACAGTGCTCTGCTTCCACACGGAAGAAGATGAACTGAGCCGACCACACCAACTCGCCCATGGAATAGAAGAAAAGGAATAAAGGATGATCCAATCTATGCTGGGTGTTCTTCCTTATTAAGAATACCAATAGCCACATATACCTGAACATCAGGTCTGTAACAATGGCAATATAATATATCTATTTGTTTGATTTGGAGTTAGTTTGTGATTGATTGATGGAATGGTTGAGTGATGAAGACGTACCCATTTCCTCTTAAAATACAGTTTCTCTCTCAGAGGGAAGGCTTTGTTCTTGGAGTAGTCCAGGAAGAAGCCCCAGTCGACGGCCACATCCGCATACCATTTGTACATACTTCCAATACTGTTGACCAAGAACCATGTGATCATAAGTGGACTCCATTCTCCTTTAACTAAAAGTCAATTGATGAGTTAAAAGGTAAACCAAAGTACATTATCAATAATATATATACCTACATGTTGTGATCAACGTTAAATATGATAGGACAAGTATGATTATGGAGATGATTGAACGGATGGCACTGGTCATATGAGGGAAGAACTGTCGGGTCTCATAATAGCGACGAACACACTGCATCACTCGGAAGTAATATGGCAATCCATTGAGTAGAGGGAAAGCAAGATTGATAGTCTCATTACAGAATGATAACTCTGGAACATAGATACATTAGTATGTTGTTCATGTTTATCATCAATTAATCAATCAATAACATACCATCTTGATATAACTCGGCATGGTTGAATACACATATCATTGATTGGATATTGAAGAAGAACTCTGACAATGTCAATAATTGAACGGACATGAAGAAATCGGAGAATGTGACTTGTACCTTGATTGATGAGCGAGATGATGTTAGTAGTCTGTGGATGTAGTTTGGAGAATGTTCAAGTACATACAAATGGTGCACGGACTACCCTGGATATCCTAGTAAGTACCCAGAACCTGGTCTTATGTGCCATTATCGGGAATGGATTGATTGTTACAAGCAGTGATAGTCCAATGAATATTAATGGGAACATTATTGGAGGTAAAGATGACCTGGAATATTATTGATAGTTAGTAAATAATTAATTAGGAGGGGATCATTCCATACACATACCTAAGCATTGATCGATTTGATGAGCTCTCAATATACAAGAAGAAGCTGATTAGCCAAAACATAATGAAGAAAAGGCCATACTGGAGGTATTTGATTGTGGACCTGGAATACTCTGGCTTCAAATCGAATATGAAGACATAGTTGATGCCAGTGCGATCCCATATGAATGTCTGCATGGCGAACAGAAGTCCAAGGAGTATGGGCAACAGGGAGATTCGGAACAATAACCATGCCATTGGTGCATCGTGTGGTGGATTGGCTCGTGGATAGTATATCATATAGATGTATATGTTGATGATTGTCAAGATCAGACAGAGTCCAATCTGAATACCAACCAGGAAGAGGCTCCTCGTATTCTCTCCTGGTTGTTGTGTACGTAATGACTCCTTGGCCAACTTAAAGTCATTACCTGTGAAGTACCTTGCGTAGACCAATCTGATCTGATGCAGCTGGAATGAAGCCTCCTTCCCCTCCCAGAAGGACTTGTGTTGGGAGTATTCTCTACATTGATGAGAGACCGCCTCATTGTCTTTGTCACACTTCTTCAGGAGCTTCTCAAAGCCTCTCCTATTGATCTCTCCAAATGATTCAAGTAGTGATAGACTTCTATACAAGTCTCTGTATCCATTCTTGATGTAATATGTGTTTCTCTTGTTGATTACCTGGACATTTGACACCTGGCCAATTATTTGGTTAACCAACAACAATCAATCAATCTTATAATATATATACTTACCACAAACTGGACCATCTTCTCCAACTCATCACACTTGTTGATGAACTTGATGTATCGTGAGTGATAGAAACTATCAATCTTGTCCACCTCCTTTATATATTCGACCAGGAAACTTGTATTCGATGTAGACTTATCTCCAAAGTCTGGTGAAATGTCCAATGAAAGTTGGTCTGTGGAATTGCCAGGAGTTGGGGTTGATGACACGTCTGATGAAGTGTGTCTCAATGAGTTTGAACTTGTATCGATGCTCAACTGTTTCTCCAAGCATGCCATTGGTATTGGAATTGGTATCTCCATATGATGTCCATCCTCATTTTTGTTGTCTATTGGCTTGACTGTCATACTTTCATTTGAGACTGATCCACCAGACATCCTCAGAAGAGAGGATGATGAAGTCTGGTGTTGAGGAGGTAGTCTGGCCGGATCATTTATCAACGATTTCAAGTACTCATAGTCAATGTACTTGTCTCGCCAGTGTCCTACAATATTCTTCTTTAGACACTTTCTAAACTTCATTCTTCCATCCAATGTTTGAATGTGTTGTTACCAAGGATTATTGGATAATGGATAATGGATTATTATTACTTATAAGTGATAACAATAATATAATTATTATTATTGATGATGGATTGTGAATGATTACAGCTCAAGCTGCTAGCATTATAGCCAGCTAGCAGGACAATGGTAGTTGATGATTCAAAGATTATGTCGAATGGGAGAGAAGTGAATAATATATATGTATATGTGTGAACAATGATGATGGTTGACCCAATGACTTCAATAGCAGCGCGTCCGTTCACATGTGAGAGTAAGGGAAGAATGAGAGAGTGAATGAGTGAATGAGAGTAAGAATGAGTTAACAAAGACAACAACAAGAATCAGAATATGGTATGTACAACCTGTTTTAGTTTTAAAAAGCATTGGCTGGCTTGGTATCATCTTTACAACCTTCTCTCTCTCCCCTCCTCACACCTCACTCACTCACTGACTACCAAGCCACATCACTTCTCCCTTCCTCACACCACCTCACATCAATTATCCAATAGGCGTCCATCTTTCCCAGGATGGATCATCACTTGGATTATGGATTAATTTACCATCATCCAGGTTCCAATCAGGTAGTCCATCTGTGGGTGTGTGGGGTGATAGATTGATTGGTTGATTGGTTTGCATGTATAAAGTGTATATGATTGTGTGCTTATTTGAGGTTGTATCTGTGTCAATGTAGTTGATTGAGTGTGTGTGTGTGTGAGGTTGAAGTGATCGAGTGGGTGCCCCATCTTGTGATTGATTGATTGGACAGCGAGGGGTCGACACTTAAGGAAGGAAGGGGAAGACGATTGATTGACAACACACAAACACATACACACACACAATTGATTATATTACCGTGTTTATACTTACGCACTTACCATTACATTAGGTAATCCACAACTTACCTCTACTCCACACACACGAATCCACTGATATAATTGACGCTTCACTCTCTAATGTGATGGCATGGCATTGCATGGTATGTCATTGATACTCCGGTGACTGACAGTGAAGTACTACAGATTATGTTAATGTGGAGCATAAATTATACATAGCTATGGAACAATGTTTACCGGAATAATCTACAATAACAAGTAATCAAGGTAGTATGGTCATGAATAATTATCCTTGTTGTTGTTGTTGTTGTTGTCATTATTATTATCGCCACTTGTAGTAGTAGTAATAATATCTGTTCTGATCTGTTTGGATGTATGTATTGTAATGCAAACAGTGAGCAAGGCTGAGTTGTTGATGTTTATTTCTCGTCGTCCTCGTTGTCGTCGTCAGAGTTGTCGCCATCGACCAGCTCGTTCTCTCTCTCCAACTGCTCCATAAGGTCGTCCAACTCTTGGTCGTCGGAAGCTCCAACTGCACGTGGCTAAATAAAGTGAAGGTGAAGGTACAAGGATTGTTAGATATACTTCTGATTGATGATGATGTCCTGCCGCTCCATTGCCAACTTACTGGAATCTTAACAGTCAGCTTGCCCTTTCTCCTCTCGAGCTCCTCATTGAGCACCTCGACACAGCGGTTCAGCATCGCCAGTCCCTTGTCCTTGTCGTCGAATGTTCCAACCATGACGTAGAGGGGTGGTGCGATCAGAGTGACAGTGACGACGCCAAAGGCCTTCTCGGCTTCGCTGGCGTTCTCTGGCAGCTTTGGAATGTTCTGGACGGCAAAGTTCTGAGCGGCGTGCACAGAGTCCTTGATGGCGTCGATGCCCTCATAGTCGAAACATGTCATCTCAAAGTCGGCACGGATCTTCAATGGCTGTGGCTTTAATTTATGAGCGATAATCTCCATCAGCAACTTCATCTGATCTGGCTTAATGTCGAAGCCATCAAATACTGCTGGCTCTCTGTTGTTGTTGTTGTTGTATATGTAAATGTGAGGATTGAATGGAGGGGATCAGTATGGAGGGTGGTGGGTATTTAAAGTGTCGTCTTTGATCGTCATCAACAACACATGTGGGGTGATCAATGATGATTCTTACGTGATGGCCAGTCTGAATGCATCGTAGGCATGTCCGTACTTGGTGTACAGAGCCCATCCGAACTGATTATATAGTTGCTTTGGTGTAACAGTAACCTCATCATTCGTCAGTCTGGTCGCAAGATGTCTAATGATGCTGTGAACCTATGTTATCATATAGTGAAGATCAAGTTGTATCAGTATCCAATGATCATAAACTGTCTGTAACATCTGTCTGTCTGTGGCCATGAACTCGCTGACTCGAAACCTACATGCTTTGACTTGTTATAACGATCCTCGCACTTTGAAATCTCCTCTGGAGTGACTCTTCTCTTGGACAAATCGATGTATCCCTTCTCTTTATCGACTCTGACGACGACGACAACCTCTTGTCTGCCGACTCTAACGAGCTTTGTCAGCGAACGGATACGACGACGTGAAATCTCAGTCAACAGGATCATTCCTTCGATGTTGTTGTACTCCATCAATGACACGTAGACACCCATCTCACCAACGCTCTGCACCATAACCATGACCAACTCATTCTCCTCTGGGTACTTCTTCTCGTACATGCGACAATTGAAATCCGCCATTCTAAATTTGATTGATTGTTTGATTGATTAGCTGCTGTTCCTGCTGTTGACGTATGTCTGTTTAAAAACTAAAAGTAGACCTACTTCTAAACTTTTGTTATATTATATTAAACACAATAAAGGTTGTAATTAATATATTGTTTGGTAGAGATTAGTTTAGTTTAGTTTGAAGTCGAGTGAGAGACGCATTTATTGATGTTGGTAGTGTGAAGTGATGTTGTATTTTTAAAAATTATTTCTCAACATGTGTGTTTTGAGCGATGAGGGTCCCAAGAAGATAAAAAGCCCGGGCCTTTATTGATTGGCCAATGTCTACTGGTGACCAATCATCCAAGATTTGATACTGGCTCCCTCATTTCAATCTTAAAGAAAGAAGTAATATAGCTCGATATATATTACTAATATTCAAGAACCTATACCAATCAGGAAAAATACTATTCTAAATGAATGAACTTGGATAAATAGAAGTCATCATAATAATAATCCAACTCACTAGCTATTAATGCAAACTGTGTACCCTCCCTCTTCCCAACTTCCAATCCATTTGTGGCTCCTTTCCAAATGACCTATTTTTAACACCTTGGGTTCGCCCAACCAACATAGCTTGTTTGATGGTGAACATTGGGGTTTGAGGGAAGTTGCACTTGAGTGAATGAAAGGAAGCAAAGCAAACAACAAGATAAGGATGACATCCTTTTATATTATTATGTCGTGCAATCAATCATTTAACCAACAATTAATTAATCAAACAAATAATATAAGATATATATTATTATTTGATCAGATCCTATCAACCTTCTCTCTATCTATCTGATCTACAACCGCCTAATCGCCCATTAACAACAAACTTTCACTTCCATCCCAATTTACGTTGCAACGTTTCAGAAGTAGTGATGAACATAGAACCCTCAATTTAACAATTGTGTAATCAACAACAAGGTCTCATCCATCCTACTCACTTATGAACATCATCCATCATCTAATAATATTACCGATTGATTGAGGACGACAACACTATTCATTCTTTCATTCATTCATACACACACAACTTAAGTCAAACAAACACACACAACCCCATCCAACAACAACCTTTACTTGTGGTCCTCCCTCCAACCCTCCTGAGGTCCAACCCTTCCACTCTCACACTTATATCGATATATCTTATATCAAGGTGATTGCACCTCCAGTAACAACTCTCTCTTTTCAGTTGGCCATCCATCCATCCAACAATCAAACATTGTATACAATCCTAGGACTCGGACTCTTCTACACAATTAATCATTCATTCAATCAATCAATCAAATCAATCAATCGATTAATGATCTATAGCCATACTTGTGATCCCATTATAATGGAGGATCATCATCAACATCATAATAATGCAGGTCAACAACAACAACAACAAGACACCACTTTACTCTCTCCTCGAGGACAACAACAACTGTTACAGAGCAAGAAGAGACTTGTAATAGACCTAAATGGAATCAATCCATTACAGAGCACTTTAACAACAACAATAACAGAGCTGGGGTGTGGCGGCGATGACCTGAGTAGAGCCAACAACAACAATAATAATATGATGATGATGGACGAGAACGGGCTCAAGCGATACGAGACTGTCTGCACACAGGTCACCGACTACCTGTTTATGGGTGGCGAACGCGTCGCCGCCAACTTGGATCAGCTGCGCAGCCATGGCATCACACATGTACTCAACGCGTCATTGCAGTGCGACAACTTCTTTGAGCACCATCCAATGCAACCATTCATCTACAGGAAGTTCCCGCTGCGCGACACGGCCGAGGAGGACATTGGCGCCATCTTCCCTGGTGTTATCGAGTTCATCGAGATGGCACGACGCGCCAATGGCAAAGTGTTTGTTCACTGTCAGATGGGCGTCAGTCGCAGTCCATGTCTCTGCACCGTCTGGACAATGTACTCGAACCGCTGTTCATTGCGAGAGGCATCAGACTACATCAAATCAATCCGACCAATAAGTCTGCCCAACGTTGGCTTCCAGCTGAGTCTAAAGAGGTGGGCTGAGCGAGAAGGTCTACTACACAATCCATCAAAGCAGTCTTTGCCACCGCCAGACCAACAACATCAATCACAATAGACTATCTCTCTATGTCTCTCAATCTTTGTACTAATAAATCAAACTCGCTAGTGGACTCTGGCTCAGAGTTGAGTGTATGGGCGGCAGTTGAAAGGGCCGCTCCATTCTCCTCGGCCAAGTCCCAACATCCATCTCTTCCTGTATGTCCACTGTCCAAGTCCACGCCTGTCTGTCCACTGACTGATTGGTTAAGGTAGTTATTTAATGACATGGGTGGCGGCCGCCTTGTCTATTGATATAGACGGGTGAGGTGAATATGTTGTTGTTGTTGTTGATGTAGTTGTTGTCGTCGTCGTCGTTGTCTTGTGTTTGATGATGCTTGCAGTATTCAAACAAACAAGTAACAATCAGCAGCACGCTTAATCGGCACCAGTCATTCTCTTGACCTTGAGCATAACACTGTCTTTTGATGGGTCGTATGGATGATCCTTTGATGGGATCTCTAGAATGGTTGGGATAACTTGAGCGTATTCATCGATCATTGGTCTAATCTCATCTGCGATCTATTTATGATTGATTGATTGTTTGATTGATTGAATGGGGATGTTCGAGTCAGATCATGCCACTATGACTTCGCGAGGTATAGGTCACATGTGATCGCATTGACAACTACAACATACTTTCTGTGATATCAAGACGATAGCAATGTCGTTTCTAGTTGTGAATGTTCTGAATGCTTGCTCTATCTTGGTAATTGGTGTCTCTGAAGTTGTTGGTTCGTGCATTGTTAGTGACTGACCTCGGTGATCATGAGTGAACAAACACATACTGTTGTCGACGACGATGAAGTTCTCATTCTTCTTCTTTCCGTCCTTCTGTCCACAGCCTGCCAACAGGAAACCAGTGACGATATCCTCATCACCGATCACAGCAACCAGTGCATTCTCGCTCATAGTCTTTGCGGCCATATTGTTTCTATATGTGTATATATGTATATATATATAATAATAATAAATATAAAACTAGTTTGATTGATTGATTGATGTGATGTAATGTGTTTGAAGATGTGATAGATGATGCTGACCGACACTTTCCAAGACGCGAAGCCTACCCCAGTTGAACTTTGTTTGACAACCTCATTCATTCATTCACTCAAACACACACAGATGCAAAAGCAACAAATTATAAAAAAAGAATCAGCTTGTGAAGTATCTTTGTGCGCCCTGGGTTCGCGCCTGGCACTCATGTCATCCCAGTTCAGTTCACGCATGTGTGGAGAAGTCCAGGATTGTGTCAATCAATCAATCAATTACAATTGCAGTGAATGTCTATGATTACATCTTGATTGATTGATTGAAGTAAGTTTGAATGTGATTTGAATTGGGTTTATGGTAAGTAATGTAATATGGCAATGATTTATGATTATTTGATAGTATTATTATTGCATCCTGATGGGTTGAAGAGAGTGACTCTGTGGACCTTGAATTACTACTTCTCGTGTGGCAAATGGTAAATTGGATCAGCCTTAACATCTTTAGCATACTGGAGTGTAGCATTGTTCCATTGATCAGTTTGAGATACGTGTGGTTCTAATATTAATATGATTGATTGAAGGTTAGTAAGTATGAATGAATGAATGAACTGATGAATGAATGAATGAATGATGTGGTCATATAACATACTCTTTGTTGATCTGAATCCACTCATTAGAACTACCACGGCACCAAAGGTGACACCGATGCCAAGGAGAGTGACGTATCCCTTTGGCAAACCATAACCTTCAAGTTTGTGATAGTTGTATGGGTAGCCATGGAATCCACGTGGGAATCTCAATCTATGTTGTTGATTCTGTTCAGTCATTGCTGTATTCTAGAATTGAAATATAAATGATGGTCAGTCATTATTCACTCTTGATTGTGTTGTTGTAGTTGTTGTTGTTGAAGTTAGTAATCATGAATGATATTTACATGTTCGTATAAATAAATACACAATGTGATGATTGATGATGATGTTGAAGTTGAATCGTAATGTGTGATTGATTGATTGATAGTGTGAGTGATAAAGGAGTTTTTGAGGATTGATGGGAGTTATTAAAAATTTAATTTATTTTTGAAACTATATTGATTGAACGGCATTTGAGGATGATTTGGTTGAATTTGAGCGGATTTATTCCAAATGTTTTTTTGATTATATATTACTTCCAACTTTACATTTAATAATAAGATATAAATATTTATATCTTAATAAGAATATAAACCTAATATATATTAATCAAAACTAGTTAGGTACATTAATAGTATTGATGATAGTGTAAAAAAAAAACCATGTTTGAGTTGGGGTGTCTTTTTTTTGAACCCGAACGAAAGTCTTGATTAATGAACAAACAGATAATTCTTTAGTTATATAAATGTTGTTATCTAGTTGTAAATCTAGATTGACTACTACTGTTATTGGTGGGAGTAGTATGCATTTGACCAGTATTGGTCTAATGCCAAGATGGTCATGTAGATTATATACTTCATCATCTTCAAACAATAACAACAACAACAACAACAACGACAGTGTCAACAAAATCAGAGACCTACTCAATAACTTTAACAAACCCTATGATAAAAGTAATAGTAATAATAATAATAATAATAGTAGTAGTATTAGTAGTAGAGATAATAGTAGTAGTAGTAATAGAGGACCAAAGACCCATAAATACACTGCAGGAAGTAATGATAGTAGTAGTGGACCAAATGCCCAAAGACTCCCCCATCCTCTTTTCCAACGACTATCACATCCTCAACAACAACAACATCAACAACATCAACAACAACATTCAAACAATGATGGACAATCAATACAAGAGGTGATCAACAAGTTGAGCAAACCATCAAACATTGCAAACAAGGAGGACAAGTTGTTACATAATAGACATGGTCGTTCACCTCATCAGACCGATGTTCAAATGCTTCACGCTCGCAAGGAGACCTTCAATCGTCTGCACAAAACTGATCATCGCACATTTGTCCCAATCGACAAGAAGAAGATGAAGGATGACCTGCTCAATTTGATCAACCCAAGTATTCCCCTCCCCAGCAGCAGTCTCGACACAACTCCAGATGAGAAGGGCAAGGGCAATGTGTCAAAGCGCACAGGGTTCCTCACGACATTCGCTCCACATCATACGTCATTCACTCTGTCAATGACGGGCGAGTCCATCTCACCAGAGTTCAAAGAGTTGGACTATAGCCAACGACTAAAGGTTGTGTACAATCACAACTATGACAAGATACCCAGGTTGGCACATGGATTGGATCGCGTACTGGAAGAGCGCGGTGTCCACCCCGTCGTTGGACACGATGGCCGTCCCAACTTCACGCCCTTCCTCTCACAGATCCATGACTTTGATTCACTCATACTACACAGTGGCTACATGAAGCCATCACAAGATCAAGTATGTTCAAAGCCCTGCTATGTCTCGTCTCACTCACTCACTCAATCAATCACTCACTCAATCAACCAATCACATTAGAAACTCCTATCAATGGCACGCGACAATGGCTGCAGATACTTGTCATCAACATCGTCTATTACATCAGTGTTGGCCAAGCTCTATTTCACATTCAGCAGCAAGTTCACGATGAATGCCACTTCGATGTCAAGCGGCTTCCAGAAGGTGTCCACATTCACTCGACGTCTTGAGCGACCCATCTCCATCCTCATGCACAACAGCAATGGTGTATGGGCCATCGATAACAATCAAGGCAATGTCGATCATGCGAACCAAATATTGATGGACCTGGTAAGTTCCAGACCAAGTACAGGAATATGATCACGTCCCTCATACTTACACGCGTTCAATCCAGGGCCATTCACTCGAGAAGATGTTGACACTACCAGAGGACGAGTTCAATGACAAGTTACTCAAGTCCAGGAATGATTCACCTCATGTATTCGATGACGCGTACACCTTCTCTCAGGTATGTTTGGTCAAGCATCTGGCTCCACGTCAATGTCGCGACTAACATCGAGTCAATCATTAGTTTGGCAATATAATGTACAGATCACAGATTGATTGCTACTCGGACAAGCTAAAGAGCCAGTCCAAGGTATTTGATCTAAAGACAAGGGCTACACGCAAGATACGTATGGATGTTGGCGAACATGAATCATACCTTGGCTACCATTTGGACAACATTGTCGGACCACAGGGCTCCTTTGAGAAGGAGTTCTACGATCTGTCCAGGTCGGCTGGAATCAAGTATTCGTTGCAGGCCAGAATAGGTGACATGGCCGGTCTGTTCATCTGCTATCACAACACAAAGAGGATCTTTGGTTCGGAGTTTGTGTCTTTGGACGCGCTGGAAGACGTCGTCTTCTGGGGCAAGCACATTGCCAACGACAGCTTCAACGTGACCAACTCACTGCTGCAGATCATTCTCGACACGATGGCCAGCGAGATGGACCCCAAGTACAAGTACCGTCTGATGCTCAACGAGGTGCGCTATAACCGCGGCACTCCACGTCTGGACATCTACGTCGAGGAGATGTCTGTGTCTGAGACATTTGAGCATCGCTCCTTCTCCTATTATCAACAGACCGAGGTGGCCGCCGAGGAGGCCAAGCAGATCGTCAACCCAGTCAAGCTGTACTCGCTACGACTCAGCTCGACCATCAACGACTTCAAGATACACGGACCTCTGCACTACCTCCCAGACGACCAACTCAAGGTCTACTACAACTTTGAGCGAGTGGACACCATTCCCCGAGAGCAAATGCTCATCTCATATGCTGAGGCACTTCGCGAGAGTGAGCTCTACAACGAGTTCCTTGGATAGATCGATCAACATGAGTAAACATACATTTATTGATTGATTGAGATTGATCATGCGCATATACTTGGACTCTGTCTGTTTGTTAGTTTCCAATCACACTCGCGCGGAGTGGAATGTGTTGCCGACAACTTGCCATTTTGATCAACTTCATCAAACACATTCATTCATTCATTCATTCATTCTACGAATAGATACATATACATAGTCATAGGCATGTCTGACTGGGCAGAACATACACATGCAGATGGAAAGAAGTACTATCATAACAGACGAACTAAACAGTCTGTTTGGGATAAGCCGGAAGAGTTGAGATTGTTTGAACAACAACAACATTATCAACAACAACAACAACATGCTGCACAGGCATCGGCCACATCATCATCTTCATCTACAGTGCTGCCACCACATTGGAAGGAGTATTTACATGCAGAGACAGGCAGGAAGTACTATCACAACACTATCACCAATGAGACATCATGGGAGCTTCCTTCTACCAATGCTGCACCATCATCCTCCTCATCAGCGCCTTCATCAGCAGCTGCAGCCCCGGCAGCGACAAAGGAGACATCATCTTCCTCATCTTCATCATCAGTCTCGACATCATCACCTACACTCACCTCATCACAATCACAATTACAATCACAATCGACATCATCACAGACACAGTCCACATCTTCACCGACATCATTATCAACATCAAACAACAACAGCAATAACAACAATGAATCATCTAAACCATCTGGAGACCCAATCAAGATGTTCAAGGACATGTTACAACAGGCGGATGTAGCCTCCAATTGGTCATTTGAGAAGGCACATAAGCTCGTGGCGAACGACGAGCGATATCATTTGCTAAAGACGATGAGCGAGCGCAAACAGGCATTCCAAGAGTATCTGGGCGACAGGAAGGTGTTTGAATATGAGGAGAAGCGCAGAAAGGAGAAGAGATGCCGCGATGAGCTGGTCAGGATGCTGCGCGAGTCACCCGAGGTCTCGCCCTCAATGACTTGGCTGCGCGCTCAACTCTACTTTGATGGCGACTCCAAATGGGAGGCGGTCGATTCGGAGCGAGAGCGTGAGGACCTCTTCCGCACCTACGTCATGGACATACAGAAGCGTGAGAAGGACGACCGCGACAACCTACGTCGCGATACAATGCGCAATTTGAGAGCCAAGCTCGAAACCAACGACCTCATCAATTTGAAGACACTGTGGAGCAAGTTCAAGGAGCACTACGAGAATGATCCGCTCTATCAACAGATGGACAAATACGATGTGCTCTGTGTCTTTGAATCGTATATACGCGATCTCGAGAAGAAGGAGGAGGACACACAGCGCAAGGAGCGCGAAAGACTTAGACGCGAAGCGCGCAAGCACAGAGACCTATTCCGCGACTTTATGCTCGAGCAGTACATGGCTGGAGAGCTGCAACCTACAACACATTGGCAGCAGTTCTACAAGCGATTTGGAACACATCCAACATTCGAGAACTTGGCCTCACAGACAACGGGCTCGTCGCCACTGGAGTTGTTCATGGACTTCCGTGAGGAGATGACCATTCGCTTCGAGCGTGACTTTGATCGACTGAGGGACATGATCAAGGACCTCAACTTCCAATTCATTCCCAAACAGACCACATTGGAAGAGCTGAAGCAAGCTTTATCCAAGCATGAGCGATTCTCAATCTTATCACAATCATCCATTCCTCCATTCCTCGAATATGTAAGTTGTCATATCTTGCATGTACCATCGTATCACTTCTAACGCACTACCACATCATCATAGTTGGAGGACAGGGAAAAGAGAAGAGCAAAGGATGTGGAAAAGAGGAAGAAGGACGCCATTGGCAACTTTAAGGTGTTGCTTCAAGAGACTAGGAGTATTGGCAAGCACTCGACTTGGTCTGAGGTGCGACCTACATTGACGAGCAGGCCAGAGTTTGAGGAGTTGGAAGATGAATCTGAGCGCGAGCGTATATTCAAGGAGTTCATAGAGTTCCTGTCGAACGAGGAGAGTGACGAAGAAGGAATCATTAAGAGCGATGATGAAAGCAAGTCGAGGCGAGAGTTCTCCAAGCTGGCTAAGCGTTCATCTCTGTCAGCAGAGAACATCGATGACCAAAGATCAAAGAAAAAGCGAAGAGAATGAAGCAAATGGTAGTCGTCAACGCTGCCATCCATCCACTTGTATACCTTACATACATTATGTTGGTTTGATCAAAAGTCAATCAATCCATTATTGGGTCCTCCTTTGTATGAGGCCATAACTTTGATTGACTTTTGTTTGTCCAAACAAAGGCCTCACTGGCAAACTCATCTTGTGGGCTGTGGACACGAATATGATGAGTAGTAGTAGTAGTAGTATTATGAGTTATAACTAATAATGAAGACAAGGATAGTACTTAATCGTGATAGATTACAAGATAAATCGAATCATAGAGTTATAAAGAATAATCCGTTTCAAGTTAAGCTTATTGAGAACAAAGATAGTTATATAATACCCAAGGAGTATATCAATAAAGTGGCAGTAGGGCCCAAGAAGAGAGGAAAGAGGAAGGAGAAGACAACCGACAAAGAATAAGAATAACACCTGATCAGTCCAAAGTCCAACAACATCCATCATCCATCATCCCTACTCAATCCATTCCAACTACAACAACAAGAATAAAAAAGACAACACAACTACTGGATTGATCAATCCAGAGTCTTATGAGAGTTACATAGATAATGGTAGCAGGTAACAGCTAAGCTTGTTTAGGGCTTGTTTGTGTGATCCACTTGGTAAAAAGGTGCATGTCGTCGTTGTCAATGTAGGCCTTGAGCTCCTGGAATCTTTTCTTTAGTTGGGCGCGGTCCAAAGCCTGGCCAATCTTGTACAGTGTCTCCAAATCCTCCTCCTCCTCTTCATCTGGGTAGTGGACCATTGGTGTGGTGGTCCTTTGGGCTGGAGGCATTGGCAATGTGGTGTGGGTCTTGATGTATGAGTAAAGCACCTGCATCAACTCGTCCTTCTTGTTGTCCTTGTTGTGGCTACTTCGTCTAATATTGTTGTTATTGTTGTTGTAATTTTGTGTGTTTGATGAGATGACGGTCATTGTCCTATCATCTTCGCTGGATGTGCTGTAGTCTGATGAGATGGTAGACTCGTTTTGGTCATCTTCTGAGGACAAGTCTGTATGTCCTATTCTTTGGCCATATGCTCGCTTTGACACACAGTAAGCACAATGATCACCACAATCCTGAGCATGTTTCGTCTTGTAATGTCTGGTCCTGCTGTCCCTTCTGGCATAGGGCATACCACAGTTGGCATGTTCACATGCACACTTTAATTTGGAGCTCATCTTTGTTGTAGTTGTTGTTGTTGTTTGTCTTTGATTAGTTTGTTATAAGTATGTTATGTACAGAGATAAGATAATGAATGAATGTGAATGGTGTTATGTTAATGTTAACATAGGATACCAATAATTGAATGAATGAAAGACCATAGACTTGAAAGCAACATCTTGTTAGAACTAAGTTGGTGCAACTCACACACACTCACACACTCACTCTCACACACCAACTCACACACACACTCACACACCACACGCACACACCCCCATACACACTCGCTCACACCTGCGCACACCAATCATGTGAACGTTTAGTCCTCACTCACACTTGGCTGACAAGTAGGATAGCTGGGGCATGCCCATTTGGGTGTCAGTGACATTGATTATATGATTGTATGATCATGTATATATATACATCCACCTCCCGAGATGGAGGAGGAGGGCACAGCTGGCCAGCCACAGGGGCGAGGCAAGAGGGGCACCATCTTTATTGTCGAACTGTGGACCTTACATCCAACATATCAATCTATCAATCAATGTACCAATCACATGATATTGTTGATTACCGTGAACACTAAATCAATCAGTGATCAATCAATCAATCAATCAGTGATGTTGTTGATGAAGTGCTGCTGTTGATGTGGTTGTTGTGGTTGATGTTGTTGACGATGCGCCAGGATGATCGTTGGTATGATGTGGTTGTTGTCCAGAGCATTTGGCCTTGATATCAGCTGGCAACTCGTCCATGTTGTATGATTTGAGATTAAAGTGTTTGAGCTTCATTCGCCCCTCGGGTGCTTTGGACGTGTCGAGTATGTATTCCTGGATGCCACAGTTGTGCACATTCTCCAATGCCAGCAAACCTTGCTCGTCCAGATGATGGAATAGTCCTCTGAAGATTTTGTACGGCACCTGATGTGTGACGACCAGCACGGATCGCCCGGCATAGTCACGCGACAGCTTCTCCAGGAAGCAATGTATGCGCATCTCCACGTCCAGGTAGTTCTCGCCTCCCGGGAACCTGTACCAGTACTTGCCATCGCGCAGTCTTATAACGTACTCGTCTGGGAACTTCTCGCGGATCGACTTCTCCGTCAGACCATGCCACTTGCCAAACTCCTTCTCTCGCAGCCAATTATCCTTGTATACCTTGAGGCGGTAGGGCAGGTGTTTGATGATGTTGTCGGCCGTGTTGATGGCGCGCAGGTAGGGCGATGTGAAGCAGATGTCGAACGGCTCCATCGTCGAGAGGTAGCGTCCGGTCTGCTGGCTCTGCCACTCGCCGATCGGTGTGAGTCGGATATCGGCGTCGCGCACCGATGCCAGTGTGTCGATATCGTCCTGCAGGATGTCCAGCGCGGCGTTCTGCTCGGACTGACCGTGTCGCACGATCACCAGACGCGTGGGCCACTTTGGTTTGACTGATTCGTTAAAGACTGGAAGTGACATTGTGCGGTTCATGCCCATGCTGCGATTCAAGCCCATGGGCGAACCGCCGAGCATCGATGTGTTGAACGTGTCGATGCTGGGCCGCGACGGGGTCCTGATCAGGCCCGTCATGATCTTGGTCTTGAGTCGTTTGAGCACTGGCGTCGAATCAAAGTGATCGAGAGGACGTTTGATTGGTGTTTGATCGGCCTCAGCGCTGCCAAGGCGTGGTGTCGAGGGCACAGAGTTGGTCATGGCTTGTGGCGCAGGCGCCGTCGATGTCTGAGCCAAGGCTTCGCAGCTCTCGAGGTCCTTCAGTAGATGTATGCCAGTTATGAGTATGGGCTCGTAGGGCGAGTTGTCATGGTTCACTGGCTGCGCCTCAAAGAAGAGCAGAGTGCGCATGGTTGATGGGTGCACGCGGCCCACTATCGGGTACTTGCCGTTCAGCGCGTCACACGAGTCCAGCGTGATGATCAGCTGATTGTATGCGCCCAGTGCCACCAAGCCACGACTGTTGAACACCAGTCCATTCATCTCGTTCTGTGTCAACATGTCGGCCATCTGCGTGTTGCTTCCATTCGGCTCGGCCTCGTTGAAGTAGTGCGACAGCTTGTCATCGTTGATCTGGATGTCCGCGTCCTCATGTGCGGTCGAGGTGTTGGTATCATGCTCGCCCGAGCCATTGCTCTTGTTTGATGTGGTATGTTGTTGGTCCAACAGAGATACTGTGGGCGATGATAGTAGTCGTGTTGGTGCGGTGGTGATAGTGTTGCCGCTGTTGCGGACGGGAGTTGCAGGCGGCCCCGATTGAGATGACGGCTGTTGTTGTTGTTGTTCTCCCTTGACAGAGTATCGACCACATTGAACAAACCACTTCTTTACGATGCGATGCACCAATGTGTCGACGTAGCGCTTGGCCTGAACCTGTTCGACAAAGCGATCACATGTCAGCGCGGCACGCTCTAGTTCCAACTCGACCACCAGCCAACCAATAGTTGTAACCAACAATGCGTATCTCTTTTGTGCGTCTCCATCACCGTCAGATGATGTGTCCATGCTCATCATCGACATCATTTGTCTTTGAAGTGTATTATTAATAAATGAAGTGTGAAGTGATGCACTTTAAGTGAAGGGGCACACAATCAAGAATCTGAAGTTACAAATGGGGAGGTGGGGGTTAGGTTTAAATTATGGGATTGATTATCACTTGGAATGGTTCCGTAGATACTGGTGATCGATCGCAAATACTTATTAATATCTATTATATATTATTAGATTGATTTATTAGGATTAGGTTCCTTGAAGATCCATTTGTGTTTATCTGATTTTTGATGAGTGAATGAATGAATTAATGGATAGTTATAGGTCAAGACCGAATCAATCAATATTACCCTTTGGAACCTATTATTGATGATTGTACTAAAAGTGATAAACAAGGCCTATACTATAATGTAAAGCTTGAAAAGACACTTTGGACCGGAGAGAGGAAAATAAAGATCATCATTTTTAGGTGAATGACTAACAAATATCTCAAACGAAAGTTGAAGGTTATTTGAAAGTCACAATAAAAGGTATATTTATATGTACGTTCTATATTTTTATAGTATCATGTTATACCAATTATTATTTAAACTCCTTTCCTTTCGGATCTGTAAAACTATCACTCAATCAATCAAACAATCAATTAATCAAATATGAACAAATTATTAGTAATATTAGTGTTATGTTGTATGCTACATTCTACTTATGGATGTCTCGAGACTAGTATGTCTAGATATTCATCATTCATTAGAGTTAGAGCAATGGATAACAATAGAGTTTACGTTGATCAGACTAAACAAGTGAACTATGCCAACTGTCACACTTGGCAAACCGAGTTCTGGGGTGGAAACGATGCCATTGGTTTCCTCTGGACCAGACACAATTGTCAGAACCTTGGAGAGAATGAGTTCTATTTCTCAAGGAATGGTTTTATGTCAGGTAATTTCAAAGATATATTAATCAGGTATATATTAGTATATAATACTAATACTTATATATATATATATATATTTATTATCAATGTTTAGGATGGAGACCATTCAATCAGGGATGTCCTTTGAGAGAAGATAATGTAATCCCCATTAATATGTTATTTGCTGCCTGTAATTCTAGAGACTTTTGTTAATCTAATTGTTCCAGAGTGCCATCCCATCTAGGTTGGAATAATGTTTGTCATTTTCCTCAAACTACAATATTGAATAAATTAATTCATTTCATCTTACAAATATTGGTGATTGTTGTAACAATCATTAAAGTTATTGAATTTGTTCAATTACATGTAGACTGGAAAATAAATTTATCTCAATCATTGGGGGTCGTCTCAAACAATTTACAAATATTATATATCTCCAATACATCTACATGTATAAATATCAAGTTATTCAATCTAAATATTAATATTAATAATAATATATATAAATAGATAAATAAAATGTTATCTTTTAGAAATTATAATATTCTCTTATTAATTTTAATAATTAGTATATCAATAATAAATCTTGGATTAGTTAGTTCAAGTTTTGAAGAGTGTTCAAAGGTATCATTATGGGATGGCGGCCATGATCTCGAAGGTTGTGCTGATCCCGATTTCTATAAAGGTTGTGAGGTCATTCCTGGAGATAACAGTTTGGAATATCCAGAATGTTGTCCTTCCTACGAATGCGCCTATGTTAGTTTATAATTGAATCAATAAACCAAATCACTTTGGTAGAGATAAAATAATGGTTTTTTAAAACTGTCTACTCTACCATAGTACTAAGTAATGTCTTTTGTCATTCAGATATTATATAAATATTTACAAAATGATCAATAATTATAGAAAGAATACAATTTTTTTAATATTATTAATTATTATGTCAATAATAATAATAAATCTTGGATTGATTAGTTACAAGTTTGTATTTATTTTGTAAATATTGAATTTTGCAACAATATTGTCTTCCACCATACATTTTACTATTTAATTTTTTACTATTTAATATTTTTGGTTGTGACGATCGTCCCAAGTTCTATAAAAGTTGTGCTGTCATTCATCGTGATAACTCTTTGGAGTATCCAGCTTGTTGTCCATCTTACGATTGTGAGTCAAAAATGCAAGAAGAGGATTGATTGCCTTTTTTCTCTCTTGGTGTAGAGACAGCTTGTTGTCGGTGGAATTATAATAGAATAAAAATAAATAATAATTAATTTCAACTTAACATGTACCAGTAGACTGGAAAGTATTGAATTGTTTGTTGATTGATTTATTGATATTATTAATAGTAAATATAATGATAATGATATATTACTCTAGAAATAATAATACTACTATTTTGTTAATATTAATAATTATGAATAATAATGATTCAAAAGTTATATTTTTATAATTAAATTAGTTTGTCAGTACTCATAAATCTAGGATTAGTTAGTTCAAGAAAGGAGTGTTTGGTTAGTATAGATAATAATGATGGAGAATATTTTATTCAGGGGTGTACTGGACCCGAATACTATCCTGGATGTCGAGTCATTCCTGGAGATGACACATAAGATTTTCCTGAATGTTGTCCCACATACTGGTGTTATTAATAGACTAAAACAATATAGAGCTCTTAATAGTAGAATGATCCTGCTAAGTCTGGTTTTCAACCAATCAATCTTTGTTGTATTTTGGAAATAAAAAACAATGTTCTTGAAGAATGGACAATTATCAAACCACCTAATTAACAAGAACTCGATTTTTCAAAGAAATGTGGATTTTTTTCATTCTGCAGCTTAATCAGACTCACATTTATCAAGATCGATTATGAGGCAAACATTATTACCAAAACAGAAAGCATAAATACTTAATATATATATATACATACAATTACATTATCATCAACATACATACATACATACATTCATGGAGGACAAAACAGGATCATTCTTCTACTTTTACAAGCTCTGTGTTGCTTTGGAGCATGAGTCTACACATTCAGGCAAATCAAAGTTGATTGCCAAGTTCGTAGATCAGTTCGAGTATGTTATGTTATCTGATGAGCCTGTTGTTGGAAGGCTTAGTCGTTTGTTTGACCATCATGTGTGGATTACTGACTGATCATTACTGAATATCTATAGGGGTGACCTATATCTATTGGCCAAACTACTTTTGGTCAAAGAGGATAAGCGTGTCTTTAGGATTGGAGACAAGCAAATGATAAAGATCCTCGCAGAGGTATGGTCAGCAGACCTTGATGATATGATTGCTGATCTTGACCATGGTGATGTCACTCAAACAGGTTACAAAGTACGATCCTACACTTATTCAATCAATCATTCAATCAATCAAGTTTACTAACCTTAAGGTTTCAAACATCACATCAATCAACATAGTATTATAAAGAACAGAACAATGTACCAACCAAGTCAATATTGACTTTGGGACAGGTGGATGCATTCTTGGACAAACTGACAACGGTGTCCAAGTTTGATGATCAAGTAGCAGTTATATCAAAGTTCATCAAGCGTTGTACACCTCACGATTGGCGCACAGTGCATCGTATCATCGACTCTGACCTCAAGACAAACCTGGGCGCAAAGTTCTTCTTTGATGGCCTGCATCCACAGGCCATGGACGCCTATCGTCAGGCCAACAATCTAAAGGCAGTGATCGACACGATCAGGAACAAGGGCTTTGAGAAGAACAACAAGGCAGGTGACAAGCTAAAGACCGGATCGCTCGACATTAGTGTGTCGCTGATGACGCCAATCAAACCAATGTTGCCCAAGGCAATCAAGAGTGTTGATGGCGTAATCAAGGCCTGCAGTGAGCTGTTCTTTGCCGAGATCAAGTATGATGGCGAGCGTATCCAGCTGCACAAGGACGGCAAAGGCTACAAGTGCTACAGTCGTAACCCTCAAGCCCGTACAGTCATGGAAGGTGGAGCAAGTGTTGCCCTACATCCCAAAGTCGACCAACGCCAACAGCATCATCCTGGACGGTGAGATCCTTCTGATGGACACCACTACGTCCAAGCCATTGCCATTCGGTACTCTTGGCATCCACAAGAAGAAGGGCTTCACCGATGCCACCGTGTGTGTGTTCCTCTTTGACATCCTATACCTCAACGGCAAGTCGCTGCTGCATCTGCCACTCAAGACGCGTCGAGAGATCCTCGAGAAGAACGTCAACATCGTGCAGCACAGAATCGAGCTGTCCGAGGTCACCCACATTGCTGGCCAGAAGGACAAGAGTGTGCTGTCCGCATTGCTCAACAGGACATTCCAGGAGAAGTTGGAGGGTCTGGTGATCAAGGATGCTGACAGCGTCTACGAGCCAGGCTGCAGACATTGGATCAAGGTCAAGAAGGACTACATCAGTGGCATGGCCGATACTGCTGATCTGTTGGCGCTGGGAGGATACTACGGAACGGGCACGAGTGGTGGATTGGTCACTGTGTTCCTGATGTGTACGTATGATGAGGAATCAAAGACATACAAGACCGTGTGCAAGGTCAGTGGTGGTCTGGACGACACGGCCATCGCCAAGCTACAGCCAATCGTCAACAAGACCATGACCAAGATATCAAAGGACGCGTCCAAGGTGCCTGCTTGGCTCGACTTCAACAGGGCCTATGCGCCAGATTTCATCGTGAATGATCCAAAGCAAGCTATGGTGTTTGAGATTGAGTCGGCTGAGCTGACCGGCACCAAACATCACACGTCTGGTTTCTCCATGCGTTTCCCAAGAATCATCAAGATCAGAAAGGACAAGGACTGGGAATCACACACCAAGTTTGAGGAGCTCAAGCATCTGGCCAAGGATGCCAAGATCGTTGCCATCCCTTCAGACGACGAAGATGAGCCAGCTGTCAAGGGCAAGACATCGTCCAAGGCTGCCACAACAGGTCCAACAACAAAGAAGGCAAAGACCACAACATCAACTACATCAACAACATCAACCACATCGACTACATCAACTACATCAAGTACAAACAGTCCCAAGTTGACAGGCAAGGTGAACTACATCAAGGGCGACATCACAGACCCATTCAACAAGGATGAGAGCACTAGCACAATGATCATCAACTATACGGACGACAGTGGCAAGTGGAGGAACTCTGGCATACCAGGCGCAATCGCCGGCAAGTGGAAGATTGTCGAGGAGGAGTTTGCCAAGTCGGTGTTGCCATTGGGCGAGATACGCACGACCAAGGTGGACAATGGCGACAAGAAGATATATGTCTGCAACATGTCGTGCATCATGTCGCCAACAAAGAAGGGCGAGAGCTACATGTTCTCGCTGACTGACTTCACAGAGGCTCTAGTCGCGGCCCAATCCATTTGCAAGCACAAGAAGATCGAGTCGGTTCATGCAATCAAACCCAACTTCCCAGGCATCAAATGGACCGACCTGGAGGAGCTCTACGTCTCCAAGCTGCACGAGAAGGGTACCAAAGTGTTTGTACATTCAAACGACAACTCACCCGTTGTCAGTAGCTCAGCGCCATCGTCGTCGACCAAAGCTGGCAAGGCATCGGATGGTGCCAGCACCAAGACAAGCTCGAAGCGACCACTCGAGGACAGCAATGATAATGGCGAAGAAGCCATCCCACTCAATCCAATCTTTGCCAATGTCAACTGTGTGTTTGCGAGCAACCTGCCAGTGGACCAGGTCAAGAAGTGGAAGAACATCATCATATCATTTGGCGGCAAGGTGGCCACGAGCTGGAAGGCGTACGGCGCTGGCCAGACCACTCATTTGATATGCGATGCGCCATGCGATCTGTCGACACACGTCGATCGTCTGGGCGGCCTCATTGTCAAGTCGGACTGGATCGAGGACTGCTTCCAAGAGGACCACATCATGGACGAGGCCGAGTATCTCTTCCACGACAGCACCAATCCAGACTACAGCCAGGACCATGGCGATATCATGCATGATGATGGTGATGATACTGATGGCACCAACAGTGCCACTGGAAAGAAGGCCACAACAACCAAGGTGAACTTGTCCAACATGTTCTCAGAGTGTGTATTATACATGCATCCACAGACAGTCAATGACATGGAGACTTTGAAGAGATACATTGTGGCATTCAATGGTGATGTGACCGACACGATCACACCATCCACCACACACATCATCACATCCGAGTCCAAGAAAGAGTTCATACGTCTTCTCCAAAAAGAGAATGCCAAAGCAGTCGTAATCGATCCACTCTGGATATGGGATTCAATCAACAGCAATGGAAAGAAAGCATTGGATATCAATGAGTACCAAAAGGTATCAATCTCAGCAAAGTAATAATAAGTAATAAATATGTATATTTAAAATTAACACATTGATTGATTGATTGGAATGATTCCAACATTACCATTTTTGATCAACTTCATTCAAAGGAAGTTCAAATTTTTGAATCACCCACTTTTTTTGTTGGGTGGCCGATAGCATCCAATAAATAAATTAAAATTGACACAAACACCACACTACGAATAAACACACTGACAAACCCACAGGCGACACACTCCTTTCATCTCTATTCTCACTCACGCTCACTAACTTGCGCTCCAAACACACACCTCTTTGAACAACAAACACGAGCACGAACGCATACTGAATGATACCTGACCAGAGGTGAAGATACAAACATCTATCTCAGCAAGCAAGCAAGCAAACAAACAATAACTACAAAACTATAATAATAATATAGTTCAATTGTTCAACTTATTCATTCACTCATTCTACTCATTCATTCCACTTCAATCTACTCTTTGGAAGACATTCCTGTCATCAACAGCAGCAACAACACCAAAAACATCAGCAACAGTAGTAGCAGGGGTTGACCAAACGCAGCAGCAGCAGTAGCAATATAACAACTCTTCATTATATACAGATAATCGAATTACTCAAGCGAGAACACATATACACATACAATGTCAGAGGGAGCTTTGGAATGGAAGTTTAGTCAGATGTTTGGGAATAGGAATCCCGCTGAAGATGTATCAGATGGTATGTTATTCAATCAATCATCATGAGAGCATGCTGCACATTGTACTTACTCGAATGAACGAACGAATGAACGAATGAACGAACGAATAAATGAATGAAACAGGTGATATAGTGTCTGCGATTGAGTTTGATCATACTGGAGACTACATTGCAGCGGGTGATAGGAGTGGAAGAGTGGTGTTGTTTGAGCGTGTACATGGATCAGATAGCGATGACAACTATGATGATGAGGAGCAACAACAACAACAGCAACAACAACAGTCAAGCCGATGTGAATACAAGTTCTACTGCGAGTTTCAAAGCCATCAGCCAGAGTTTGACTACCTAAAGAGTTTAGAGATCGAGGAGAAGATCAACAAGATCAAATGGTATCCAAAGCAACTCGATGCTCACTTCCTTCTAACAACCAATGGTATGTTATGTTCATTGATTGAATGAGTATGATTGATTGACTGACGATGTACATTACACAATCAACAGACAAGACTATTAAGCTTTGGAAGGTATATGAGAAGAAAGTGAAGCAACTGTCATCGACAACATTGTCAAATGGTAGTGGCAGTGGCAACAATCATATAAGTATACAGAACAATAATGGAAGCAGTAACAGTAATAGTATAGATAGTATGACCGATGATAATAATAACAATAGTATATTTAAGGTAAGGATGACAAGTGATCAATCAATCAATAAATCAATCACATGACACTCACTCACTCAAACATACTCAATCAAACGAATGAATGAATAGATACCTCGCTTGACGACCACGCGAGAAACAACAGCCTTTCCAAAGAAGGTGTATGCCAATGCACATGCCTATCATATCAACTCGATATCACTAAACTCGGACGGAGAGACGTACATCTCATCGGACGACCTCCGCATCCACTTGTGGAACCTAAACAACAACCACGAGTGCTTCAACGTAGTGGACATCAAGCCGACCAACATGGAGGACCTGACCGAGGTGATCACCAGCGCCGAGTTCCACCCGACATCGTGTAATATATTTATGTACAGTTCAAGCAAGGGTACGATCAAGCTGGGAGACCTGCGATCGTCGGCGCTGTGCGACCAGCACAGCAAGGTGTTCGAGGAGCCCGACGACCCCTCAACCAAGTCGTTCTTCTCCGAGATCATTTCCTCCATTTCCGACATCAAGTTCAGCCGAGACGGCCGCTACATTTTGTCGCGCGACTACTTGACGCTCAAGCTGTGGGACATCAACATGGAGAGCCGTCCGCTCAAGTCCATCCAGATACACGACTATCTTCGTCCGAGACTGTGCGACCTCTACGAGAACGACTGCATCTTTGACAAGTTTGAGTGTGCCATCAACCACGACGGCTCGCAGATGTTGACAGGCTCCTATAACAACTTCTTCCACATCTATGAGCGCGACTCTAAACAAGACGTCTTCATGGAGGCATCCAGGAATGCCTACAGGCCAAGGACCAGATCAATGGCAGGTATGTAGTATTCTTCATTCATTCATTCAATCATTCAATCAAACTGACACTTTGCCTGTCACATTAGACCTATCACTGGACTTCACAAAGAAAGCATTGCATGTCTCATGGCATCCAACTGAGAACCTCATAGCATTGGGCACAAGCAATTCAATGTATCTCTTCTCAGCAACGAACTAAGTCCTCTCCTCATTCAATCACAACTATACACAACAAAACATAACAACTACAACTTATACTGTTCATTCATTCACGATCAATCAACAACACTGGCTCTCTTTGCCCTGCTCCTAATCCTATCCTATCCTATCCTCCCCTCTTTGCCAACACCAACCAATCAACAACAACAAGTTGGCAACTTCCTCCCTATCCCTCTCCCTCTCCCTCTCCTATCCCCTCCCTCTCAACCAAGATCCAAAGAAGAAGACATTTCATTCATCACAAGGTTGTCCCAATCCAATCCAATCCCAACAAACTAACAGAGACAGACATTCGAATGTATTTATCTACATTTATAAATGATATATTTCATAACTATACATGATGATGATTAGTCAATCAATCAATCGATCGATCAGAATGAATCCAGGTCACTAGAATCCATCGTATCCCAACTCCAGCTTCATCTTCTCGAATTGGACTAAATTGTTGGATAGGAAAACAACGTGTTAGACAATGAATGATTGATGGTTGGTTGAATGGAAGATGATGGACTTACTCTCTAATTGCTCTTGCAGACCTCCCATCTCGTGCGAGCACACTTTGGAATGGACAGTTAGACATCTCTTCAATATTTGAACTTGAGTGTGGAGGGCAGCACGGAGACGCTCGACGGCCTCCACCTTGTCCTTGTTGTCAGTGATGTAGGCCGCTGTGAAGAATACCTTCTTGTACATATTCACGCCACCATTGACAGCGGCATCGATCACACCCTTGAGCACCATGGTGAAAGCACTCAGATTGATATCTTTGCCATGTCCATGCTTGGTGCTCATCTCTTGCAACTCGCTGTTCTTGGCTATCACACTATTGATGGCGTTCTCGATGGGCGACACGGTCTGCTCGTGCTTCCTCTTAATCTCTGATCGCTTGTGGATTGTTGGGAACGTGTCCTGGACCTCGTAGTAATAGTTGGTGATCCACAATTCGCCAAACTCATTCGCTGCGACAGACATGCTGGACGATGACGGAGACGCCTTCTTCTTGGTTGGCTTGGAGTAGACGAACGTTTCGATATTGTTGTACAAATGATGCTTCTGGATGGTCACCGGGACGGACTTGCGCGAGGCGGGCGGTGCCTTGAGAAGCTTCTCCTCCTTAGGTGCGGGCTTCACGGAGAAGATCTGCAAGTATTGATCGGTCGAGTTGAGGACATACTCTGGCGGGGCCTCAGTGTAGGGCAGTATGTTGGCGTTTGGATGCTTGGAATGAATCCTCTTGACAAACTCTGACATTCTCTCCACTTCCAGACCCTTGTAAATGAACTCCTTGCCTCTGATCGACTCGTCGAATCCACTTCCATAATAGGCAACACGGAAGTACTCGGCAAAGAACCTATCGACACCAATGATCTTCCTGTAGAATGTGGATTCTTGCTGCAGGACATCGGCCAACTTTTGGTAATCAAACATCACTTCCTCGTATTGAATGATGAGCTGCTTCATCAGTGAGATGGCTCTCTCCCACGCCTTGCCCTTGTCAAAGTACTCAATTGCTTGTTTGAACAATCGTTCCTTGCGTTCTCTCTCTGATTGTGCTGGGTAGCCATCAATGTATGGCAACTCTTCGAGTAGGTTGTCCGACCATTGGAGCAGCTCGGCATGCAGCAGAAGGGTGTTTCCAGCCTCAACATAGTTCAAGTTGGTCAAATGTTGATTGCACAGTAGATGAGAGTACTTGATATAGGTGTCCTGGCGATCAGTTTGTTTCAGATATGTCATCAACTGAATTGCCGCCACAGTCCTATCATCCTCATACTCTGGCTTGTCAGGAAGTGTCCTCAATGCACAAAGTAGCTCCAAGAACTAAATAAATAATTGATTGATTAGTATTGGATTGTTTCCAAATGAGTTCAATAACATCCTTACCTTCTTCATGTCCCTTGTGAATATCAATCCAGGTTGTTTGATCAAGGCATCACCGTTTATCTTTGCTTCCAGACTATGATTGATTGAGTGATTTGGTTAGTATTTCCATCAAACCTGGAAATTGAACAATTTGTGTCCATTACTTACTTGGAAGTGAAGAACATCTTGAACTGCTCTTTGAATGTGTCTGATGTCTCTTGGTTGGTAATTTGATCGAGGGTGTTGATGGTCTCTGTCTCAACCTTCTTGAATGATCGGAAGTCACGGTACTCGCATCTCAGCAACTCGTAGTAGAGGTTGATACCAAGTTGTTTCAACTTGTCCTGGTTGATCATCATCAATTCAATGAATTGACCAATGACCACTGGTAGAAGTTGAATCTGATGCTTATCCAAATGCTTCCAGACCTTCTCCACAGTTGGTATCAAGTCATTCCTCATATCACCATACTTTTGTCTTGTAGTCAATTGTTTGGCCTCTGAAAAGTTCTCCAGAGCGAGTGATTGGACCTTGAGATAACTGTTGATCAAAGTGAAGAATGATGCCCATATCTCACTCTTCCTGTCATCCCATGGCACTACATTGAACTTCAGCAAATGATCACTAATCTGAATGATCACCTTCTTGATAGTTGAGTATTGGAACATGTTCAATGTGAACCAGCTGGCGGGATAGGTGAATGATGGAGCCAGGATCATGTCCAGGACAATGAGCAACTCATGTATCTTGTCCCACTTGGCGGTCTGGTCTGGCGGTGTGTTGACGTAGCGGTCGAACTGATCGGAGCGAAGGAGATGTAAGAGACTTAGTAGGTTGTGTACCATGTCCAGACGAGACACATCATATTGATGACATGATCTGATCGATTGAAGTATACATGGGATGATGTCTACCAGTTCCATGAGCAAGTTGGCATCCTTCAGTCGTGATTGAATAGTGTCGATCAGGGCCGAGATGATCTCTGCCTGCTTCTTAACATCCTCCAATGTGATGAATGTTGAAGTCATGTGTTGACGCAGTTGCTCTTTGATTGTGACCAGCAAGGGATCACGCGACTCGCGATGTAGGAACAACTCCCCTTCGACCAGACGTAGCATCACATTCATCTTCTCCATGTTGAGAAGTCGCAACGACTCGTCGAAGCGCACACTGTTAATGAAGTCAATGGCAATGCTAGCGCGCTCACTGATTGAGAACAACTGGCCGAGGTCGGTGAACAGGGATGAGAAGATGCGCAGGGCAAACGTCTGTGCGCCAATGTACTCGCGCTCAGTACGCTTCATAAGTGCTGAGAGGGCAAAGAACACGCCAGTCAGCTCAGTCTTGAATGCTGTGTTTAGTCCATCGGGATGTGTGCGGTCGTAGTTCACTTTGCTAGTGACAATGAACTTGATGATATACTCCATAGACTTGAGTGATGAGATGATGGTCTTGAGATTGTTGGAGTCGGCCAGGATGCGCTTTAGACTGACAACAAGCTGATTGTGGACAACACTCGAGGTGAAGTGTTTCTCGACATACTTGTCCAACACCTGACGGAAGTTGGTATACTTGGATGTCTTCTCATCGACAAGTAGACCAATGATAGAAGTTATAACATTGAATACTTGATCAGGGTTCTGGACTCGTCTGGCCTCAAGAATTGCAAATAATGCCTTGAATGTCTCCTCCATAAACTTGATGATCTCAAACTGATCAACAAAGGTGAATCTATTCAATACCTCTGACAAGTCTCCACTGGATTGATCCCATCTTAGAAGTGACAATAAAGATACTTTTGGGGTGGAGGTGGAATGTTTCCGGTGGGGTCAGTATGATTGATTGGTTGATTGTTTGATTGGTTGAGGGTTGAAGTAGAACTTACAGTTTTGGGTGCAGACTGTGGAGCACAGTTGCACTTTAATCTTGGTAACTTCAGCTTTCCTCATTGAGTGGCTGAGTGTGGCCTGGTCCTTGATCGATGCCATGAACTCCTCTGTAGTCTTGGCAGGCTTATAGGTGACCAAACTATGTAGCTTGTTCTCAACAACTGTTCCATCAACATTGGTTAACTTCAAGTATGATATGGCATATGGCGCTCTTTCCTTGACTTTTAAATTGTGATCAAAAGATGATGATGTTAGTGTTTGGGCAAATCTATGAATTGACAAAGTTGAGTTGACTTACGCTCAGATGTTGTACAATGACGAATGGACATAACTAGATAGACCTGGTCTAGGATTGCAAGGGGTACGTTGACTCGGATGGTCTCAGACCAATGAGGTTGGTTGGAGTGATAGTAGATCATAGACTTGTACTCACTCACTGGTTTGTCTCCTGTATATAGACAATCTTTCACGAGATCACCATTCTCTAGTCTGGCTTGGATGACCACCTCTACATTCTTGGCACTTGTCTTTCTATCTTGAGAGTACTCTCCACACTCCAAAGTGATATACATATCATTCCTCGTGTCACCGGGATACACGATCTCTGGGAATCCGAGCTTGTTGGTCTTGGGAACGTCCTTGAGAACTGGATTGTCTCGTACAACATGTTTGAGACGCCCTGGGAGAAGGGCTATTCCAACACATATACCCTTAGCCTTGGGTACTTGTGACAAACTCGATCCTCCCTTGATGATGTGCTCGTGGAGTGTTGAGAATGATGACTCTTGGCTTGCGGTGTAAATGGGCATGGTATGCTCTAGTTCCTTGGCATAGGCTACATTGTCCTCGATCTTCAACACGGCACAACCAAATGGTCTTCGGTAGCTCAGTGCACCAGCCTTCTTGTTCGAGTCGGTGAGCATGCGTCCTCGACGAATCAATCTACATACTAGATACAACTCCTGTTGCAACTCCTTTCTGCTGATGTCCACAAACAAAGTGGACAACTTGCCAATCATCTCGACATTGTGTGGCATGCCCTGGGCGGTCAGACCGACTTGGAACTCCTCGGTGATGAACTTGGACTCGGACTTGCTGTAGAGGGAGAAGTATAACTCGGTAGGCTCACCCACTGAGCACATGAATATCTTGAGATCCAAGAAAATATGATGCGGCTGCTGTTGATGAGCCAGTTGTTGTTGGAGTAGGGCACTTGTGGCTGGCTGGCTGGAAGCGTCGGAGGAACCCTCGCGTTTATGAATGAGTATAGACTTGCGTAGGACGGCAGCGGCATTCTTGAATTGTTGATTTACCACTGTCTTGCGTGGGGGCGGAGGTGAACCATGAGGACCCAAAGATGCGGGGAGTGGATCAAACTTGAGACTGGCGCCCACTGATGCAGCAGTCGATGCAGCAACCGACCTGGAGGCATCTACATTTTTGTGAAGTTGGTAAAGTTGGATAACCCCTGTGTTTGACTCTGTGGCGGGCTCGCCAGTAGGTGTGCGGACAACAATGTCCAAGCCCATCAGTCGTCTGCCCTCCTCAATCCTTGCGATTGCTTTGGTCTTTGCTTGCTCTTTCTCTTCCAATGTCGATGTTGATGATATTATAGTGGCATGTAGTTCTATTAAATTATTTAAACATTCCTTCATCAATCTATATTCTGATTGTTGTCTCTCTTGATAATATTCTAGCATAAGTGATCCCCATTCACGAATGACTTGTCCTATCTCTTTGGATAATATATCCATTTTAGTTGAATCGACACTCTCCACTACTTCCTCAACTTGTTTAAATGATATATTATTAACTGGTATTATTCCAACATCCATTTTAAAAAAAATAATTATAATAATATTACAAAATAATAAATAGAATATATATAAATATAAATATGTATAAGTACAAGTATAATGATGATAGAGATTGATTGATTGATGGTATGTATTGATATGGATAATAGTGGTTTCGTGGGCTTGAGGCTTTGGGCCTTGGTGTGTTTGGATGTGGGTGGAGATGGAAATAGGCAGGTAGAGATATAGTTTAGATTGATTGATTGATATTGATTGATGACGGTAGAGATGGATAGACGTGGGTACCGTGCACCATCTAGGGGGCATAATTGTGAAATTTAGAAACTATGTAAGTTGATTGGACATTCGGTTGGAGATCAAAAAAACTATAAAAATCATTTTGTCCAATCAATTTCGAGATTTCTTTTTGGAATGATCGCGTCCACAAGGTTTGTTCCAACGTGCCCACCATCCTTCCTTGATGGATTAGTTTAGTTCCGACGGCTGGGTAAACATTTGACATATGATATATGACATGATCATCATTGTTGACGTGACGTGTATGTGATGTGTTGTGTATCACCATGAACCTGGATGAATGCTATGCTATGGTATGGTATGCATGCTATTGACCAACCCTAACTTGTATTTACATATAATAGGAGAGCGTGGCAACCTTCCTAGATCCACCGTCACCAAACTCCTCATTCCATTTCTTGAGCTCAGACGTTGTTTGAGAGCTTTCACTCACACTTGGTCCAACAGATTTGAGTGCCTTGTCAAAGTCCGCCATCGTAATCGGTCTCAATTGTACGGTTGACGATGATGAAGATGATGTTGTTGTCGTCGTAGTCGTTATCGTTGTATCTTCCTTGTTAGCTCCATCAATTGCCAATGATGCCTGAATTGATTGAATGATTGATTGAGTGAGTAAGATTGATTGATTGATCGAGCGAGTGATTGAGTGAGCGTGTATTCTTACCTGTTCCTTCTCATTCTTTAACAACTCTCTGATTGGAATGTAGGCGGCTGCTACAGCAAGGTTCTTCAAGTCACTGCCAGAGTATCCATCAGTCTTCTTGGCAATTTCCTTCAAGTCTATATCCTTATCCATCACCTCCTTGGCCATTATCTTTTGTTTGATTGATTGGTGGATTGATGGATGTTAGTTAAATGATTATTCATTCATTGATTCGTACGATATACATACGATCTCCAATATCTTGAATCTGTTCTCCTCGTCGGGCAGATCGACCATCAGCTTTCTGGACATTCTTCTTAGGACTGCCTCGTCAATGTCGAATGGTCGGTTGGTAGCGGCCAGCACTAGTACTCGTTCGCCATCCTTGGTCTTTAGTCCATCCCACAATGCCATGAACTCATTCTTTATCTTCCTCATTGCCTCATGCTCCTGGCCTTGACTCCTCCTTCCAAGCATGGCATCCACCTCATCAATAAATATAACAGTTGGCGCTAACTTGCTAGCCAATGTGAACAATGCCTTCACATGCTTCTCGCACTCTCCAAACCATTTGCTACCAATTGTTGACATTGATATATCTATGTTTAATCAATTGATTGATTGAGTGAGTAAGGGTGAGTGAGAGAGCGAGTGATTGAGGAAGGATGGGTACTTACTGATGAAGTTTGCTCCGGACTCTGTTGCCACGGCCTTTGCAAGCATTGTCTTACCAGTGCCAGGTGGGCCAAACAATAGAATACCTTTGCACGGCTTGGCAAGGTTACCTCGTGCGAACAACTCGGGACGCTGTAGGGGCAGCATGACCAACTCCTTGAGCACCTCCTTGACTGAGGTCAACGCGCCAATGTCCTCAAACCTAATGGAGACATCAGATGGCGGGATAACCTCGCTGAGTATCTTTTTCTCGTACTCGTCGGTCTCGACATCCTTCAGACTCGGACTCTTGCCCACGTTCTCCAATGTCCTGCTCATGTTGATGCAGTGCTCGATGGACTTGAGCGAGAGGACCAGTTTGTCCGTGCCGAGGTTGATGTTGGGATTGGCCTGCAGCTGATGTGTGATAGCCCAGCCAACGATCTGCTCGAGTGCCTGCGCAGAGTACACCTGCTTCTTGAACATTGGCGAGTCCAGACTCTCGGCGACCACATCACACTTGGCCAAGAGCTTCCTGATGATGTGCGCGTTGGCATCGAACTTCAACTGGCTGGCATCCCTTTCCATCTGCTCCTTCCACTGCTCGGACAACTTCTTGTCCGTGGGCACCTGTATCGCCACCTTGTTGGGGAAGAGCATCTGGATGCTCTTCTGTCTGATCTGTGACATTGCCTCGCGTCGTCGCTCCTCTGGGTCGAGGCTCAAGTCTGCCCCACCAAACATCGAGCTGCCAAGCTGCAGATCCAGCAGCAACTTGGAGGACTTTAACGATTCGGGAAGGAATGATGAGAACTTGGCAGACTGATCCTTCTTGCTTGATGGCTGCACTGCATTGCTACAGATCAACAACACCGGTGACTCTGGCTTTATCAATTTGGCAATCTCCTTCCTTGCATAACTGTATCGCTCATGGCTGTGCAACAGTCCAGTCTCTGGACCCTTGATATGTATGATCACAGGGTTGCTCAAGCTCTGTATATATTCAAGTAACTTGGACCTAAAGTGATTGAGTATGTGAGTGAGTGAGTGAGGCGAGTGAGTTGATTGATTGATTGAGTGGCATACGTGTAAAAGGCGTCATAAGGAGAGTCTGGATCAACCTCGGGAATGGGTGTTAAAGAGTCGTGGAATTGATGTTTGATCTTGGCTCGAATCTCATCAATCCTTTGCATCTGTGATCTGTGTGCTGCACCGATTGGTCCATAGAGGCCAGCTGACCAATCAGTCATTGATCCATTGGCACTCTGATCCTTCTCCTGACCGCCAGTTGTCATTGATGTATCTTGTCCTTGACCATGTGATGTCTGTGTTGTTGTTGATGTTGATGTAGTCGATGTCGCAGTTGTAATCACTGTGTTGGATGCTGGTGCCTTGTCTTTGATCAATGCAACGACATGTTTCTTGAAGTCTGTGAATGATGATGCATCCATCACATGGATGTAAGCTTGGAAGTGTTTGGCCATTGCCTTGACCAATGTCTCTTGCATGATCTCAGTGCCAGGTGGGCCCTCCAACAGCATGCCCCTATTCAGTGTGGTCAATGTCTGTGAGAACTTGTTGAGCTCAGGTCTCCTCAAGAACAAGTGACCTGAATTGACGAGTATCTGCTTGGATTCACTCCTGTTTGTGATTGATTGGATGAGTAAGTACGCGAGTGATCGAGTGCCAGCGTCAATGAACATACGAGAGATAGTAAGGGAAGTCGTCAAGGGACTCAGACAGTGTGTCCCAGTGCACGAGTGATGCCTTGAAGAGTTGATTGACGGCATCTTTGTCCAGACTGTTCAGTGATGCAACGACATCGGTGATCTTCTGTTGCTGAAGGACATCTTGTTTTCCCAATGCTGCCGCTGGCGCATGCTTTTGAGATGCGGTGGCTGCTCCAGGCATTGGCATACCCCAGGCGCCAGTGATGCTAGTGTCGGGTGCGACTGGCACGTCTGGTGTCCTCATACTTCTCCTGGCCGCGGCCCAATCTCTATACAAATGAACGGTGGACACACGTCTTCCATGACCTTTCTCTAATGACAACTCTGGAGCACCAGGTGATGGTGGGTCGACAATCGTTAATGTAGTTGCTGTCGCTGTTGTCGATGTTGCTGCTGCTGCCGCCGCTGCCGCTGCTGCTGCTGCTGCTGCTGCTGCTGCTGCATTCTTTGTGTCTTGTATAACCTGCAGCAGGAGATTCATATCATAGCCATTGTAGAACTTCAGTTTCTGTGATGCAATGACGATGGTCAGATAGTGTTTGATTGATTGATTGAGTTAGTGTGATACACATACCATCTCCTTGATGTCGATCTCATCTCTTGAGAAGAGTGAGATGATGTCACCCTTGTTGCCATTCTTTCCATTGACCTTTATATGTCTAGACTTGAGAATGAACATTGTTCCACCTCCAATATTGCTCTGATGATGATTGATTGAGTTAGATTGATTTTGATTGACACTGATTGATTGATTGAATGAATGAATGACTTACAATCTTGGCAATATGTGGCAAGTGATCAAAGATGGCAAAGGATGTCATTGGTCCTCCGATGAGGATGTCTTGGTGTGACAGCTTGATTGGTTCGTCCTTGGGTGAGGCATCACGCATGACCAGACAACCCCAAGTGAATAGCATTGATGACAGTGCAGTCTTACCTCCACTGTTGTTGCTATTGATGTTGCTGCTATTACTTCTACTTGTACTTGTTATGCTTGAACCTATGCTTGTGCCTGTGCCGCTTCCACTTGCTAATGATGAGCCAGTGATACTGCTGTCCTCACGAGAACGACGAGGCTTCTTTAGAGGTCTCGATCCAGATACAGATCCAGACGTAGTGGATGTTGTCAGAGTTGATAGGATGGCATCGTCATCATCATCGTTGAGTACAATGCTGTTGTTGTTGTTGTCATGATCAGCAGTATCTATTGTTCGTTTCAAAGAAGACAACAACTTGTTTGATTGTTTGTGCTCGGACGTCATATCAGTGTCGGGGGTGTCGACGATGATGTTTGAAGTAGGTGTTGGACAAGCATCAGATGTATCCTGTGGAGGAGTTGGAGATGACAATGTGGATGCAGTGGACGATGCATTGGTAGTCGTTGTCGTTGTTGTAGACGTTGCTGCAGTCACATCGTCTACAACCTTTGACTGTGACTCTGATTGTGATTGAGTCTGAGTCTGAGTATGTGACTGTTCAGAATCATTATTATCCATTTCAGAATATATATTAGATTGAGTAAGTATTATTTGTTTATATGTTTAACTGAATGAATGAAATGAATGAATGTTCAAAGAGGTGCCTCAATTCAATCAACTCCCAATGGTGGTGATGGTTTGATTGTTTTGGGAAGTAAGTTCTTGAACAAACTCACTTTTATCATTATTGATTGATCAGTTCCCTCATGTCAAATGGGTTCCTGAGCCTTATCAAGGGACTGATGATATTTAACTATGTCTCCAAAGCATGGTAAGTGTGGTCATCAACAACAAACTTAGGTTTGGATAAAGGTAGACGAAGTAAGACTCTTCAATTAGATGATTAACTGGTTATAAAACAGTTTGGAAAACAAGCAGAATCTTTTCAAAAGAGGTGTGTTTCTCACTTTCATGCTCCTATTCATTTGAACATCACTTTCACTCAAACATTGACGTACAACACAACATATATATACATACTTATACAACATATATACAGATATAAACAATGGCATCCAGATCATTCGAAGAAGATAAAAGATTCATTGAGAGGATTGACAAGGTCAGATACAGGATTAAGAAGGGCTTCGTACCTAATATGAATGTATGTTGACATTGATTGATTGATTGAATGAATGAATGACATAACTTACACTTACATGATGATGATGATGATGATGATGATATGTTAGGTTGATGGTATGATCTATGTCAATGATAGTATAAAGGATCTGGTGTTTGAAGAATTGGAACAACATTGTACACATGGCTCAAGTGGATTCTTGCCTGCGGTCAAACAGATTGCGAATGTGGCAAGTTTACCAGGCATTGTAGGTCATTCATTGGGCATGCCAGATATTCACAGTGGTTACGGATTCTCAATTGGTAATGTGGCCGCATTCGATACTGAAGATCCCAAGTCTATAGTGTCACCGGGTGGCGTCGGCTTTGATATCAACTGTGGCGTGCGTCTGCTGCGCACCAACCTGATGGAGAAGGACATCAATCCCATCAAGGAGTCACTGTGTCAATCATTGTTTGATCACATCCCCGTAGGAGTAGGCTCAAAGGGTGTCATCCCAATGGGTGCAAAGGCTTTGGATGCTGCGCTCGAGCTGGGGCTCGACTGGTCGTTGCGCGAAGGCTACGCCTGGGTCGAGGACAAGGAGCACTGCGAGGAGTACGGTCGCATGCTCAATGCTGACCCATCCAAGGTGACCGAGCGTGCAAAGAAGCGTGGTCTGCCCCAGCTGGGTACGCTGGGCGCCGGCAATCATTATCTCGAGGTGCAGGTCGTCGACGAGATCTTCAACCCATCCGCCGCCAAGAAGATGGGCGTGGACCGCGTTGGTCAGATTTGTATTATGATTCACAGTGGCAGTCGTGGACTTGGTCATCAGGTGGCGACAGACGCGCTCACAGGTATGGAGAAGGCAATGGCACGCGACAAGATTCACCTCAACGACAAGCAGCTGGCTTGTGCGCATATCAACTCCGAGGAGGGCAAGGATTACCTGGCGGGCATGGCTGCCGCCGCCAACTTTGCTTGGGTCAACAGACAGAGCATGACATTCTTGGCACGCCAGACCTTTGCCAAGGCATTCAACGCATCGCCCGACGATCTGGACATGCACGTCATCTACGACGTCTCGCACAACATTGCCAAATTTGAGGAGCACATGGTCAACGGTCGTCCCAAGAAGCTGCTGGTACACAGGAAGGGTGCCACGCGTGCCTTCCCGCCTCACCACCCGCTTATCCCTGTCGACTACCAGTTCACTGGCCAGCCGGTATTGATCGGTGGCACAATGGGCACGTCGAGCTACGTGCTCACTGGCACAGATATTGGCATGAGCGAGACGTTTGGAAGCACATGTCATGGAGCCGGTCGCTCAATCTCGCGAAACAAGTCACGCAATCAACTGTCATACCAAGACGTGTTGGGCAGCCTCAAGGACAAGGGCATCAGTATCAGAATAGCATCGCCCAAGCTTGTGATGGAGGAGGCACCTGAATCATACAAGGATGTAACACAGGTTATTGAGACATGTCACACCGCTGGCATCTCACAAAAGACCTTCAAGCTACGTCCTATTGCTGTAATTAAAGGATAACTTGTTCGATATTTATATTAATGCGGCCACTGGCTGGTGTGGTAATAGCGCATCCAGACGCTCAACCATGAGAGGGCACACAACAACTTCCTTAAACACTATATATCATATTTATTTATTCAACGAAGCTCTGATATCTCCTCATCAAGGATCTTTAACACTTTGTCTAGTATCATAAGGGACTCGACCTCTTCGGTGGAGGTCTGATGACAGGCGGCGCGCATCTCATCTTGGTGCTTGGCCAGAAGACGGTGGAGACTGGCCAACTCCTTCTCCAGCACGATGGGACTGGCCAGCTCGCCTGGCGGACAGTTGTCAACTGGTACCGTGGACAGTGTGTTGATGAAGGTCTTCATCGTGCCAATGTTGTCGGCCACAAACAAGTTCATATCCTTCATAAAGTCTTCTTTGTAATCACTAAACTCCACGAGATTGGCAAGGTTCTGCAATGACTTGGCAACGAGTATGAGTGTTCGAGTGGTCTTGATGTTGGGATGATCGAGTGTCAGACCGAATAGCTTGGGCGCCATGATGGCCGGGCACATCAGACGCAGGAATATGAAGCCTCCCACCGCAGTGTACTTGGTGATCTCATCTGAGGGATAGCGCAGTCGCACTTTGCTTTGGATCGCACTGAATATCTGACGCATTGGCTTTGGACAACGATCGATCGACGCGAATATTGCCCTGGACATCTCGCGAACATACTTGAGTAGTGTCTTGCCATTCTTCTTGACGTCCTCGCCTTTGGCCATCTTGGTGGGGTCGATCTCACATGATTTGTTGGCCTTTACAATCTTCTTGACGAGCGGGCCAACCGTGCCAGCAAGATACTTGAGGCCAATGAGCTTCATGTACAGGTCCAGACTCTTGGTAGCCAATGAGTTGCCGCGGAATATAATGTCTGGGTTGTCCGTTATCTCTATCTCCTTGTCGGTCAGACTGGTGATCAATGAGACACATCGATCACTCTTCTCAAACACTCTTATCAGGATGCTGGCCAGCTGCTCTCTATTGCTACTCGTGTTGCTAAGTATGTGTACCAGTGTCAATCGCTCATTCTGAAGCAGGCGAAGCAATGGCATGTATGATTGGAGTGGGAGGACCACCTCTTCAGAGTACTTGAGCTTTAGTCGCACATCGCCCAACTTATTCTCCGTTGACAATCTTGGATACAGTGTGACCCAAAGATCATTTGGTTTGTCAATATCAAGGTATGCAGCAGATATTGTACCAACACCAATTAGTACTGGCTCCTCTATGTTGGCACCTCCACTATCATGGTCGTTAACATGGCCATGGCCGTGCTGTGGGGAGTATGACAGAGATGAGTTGGATACTGATCTTGCCTTGGCCTGTCCAGAAGGTGTGAAATGGTCCGTTATGAATGTGCCAGATCTACTACGTGTTGGAATAACTGGTGGTGGTACTGTACTACTGCTGCTACTACTACTGCTACTGCTACCACTGCTGCTTCCAACTTGTTGATCTTGCTTTGATTCCATCCTCCATAATAACACATTGATTGTGTCTATCGCCTCTTTCAGTTCCACTCGCACACCATCTTTGGCCACACTATCCCAAGGCAAGTCAATCTGCTCAATCACAATATCTCCCTTCTTTGAGCGGACATTCCAATTAATGAATAATCCACTTCCAATCTCTCCTCTAATATGATTTGTACATATTGCTATTTGATTGATTGATCGGGTGAGTGAGTGATCGAATGATGGGTATGAGGGATATGGATGGGGAGGCCACATACCTTTCCAACTTAGATATCCAGGCATCGCTGCATCATGGATTGTAACTTGTTTGAGTGTAAGGTTGAGTTGAACTTGTGGCAACTTCTTTGATCCAGTCGGAGGTTGAATAGGATACCATAATTCTCTTTCCTTCTGATCGATCAATGTATTGATAGGTATAACTATCCTACCTATCTTCTCATCATTACTATACTTCTTCTCATCCATAACTGATATCAACAATTTATCAATGTCTGGATCCATCACCTCCCTGTTGTATGATACAATTAGTCAATCAACTCCACAACATCCATCCATTACTCCAACTTGGTGAACTTACAAATGGAACTCTTCACACCAGAATGGATTGAGCTTCTTGGGTATGGTTCGAGTACGTTGTCCATCTTTGCCAATGTGGACGATGCAGTATGGATCTGTGGTGTCCGAGAAGTTCATCAGGTTGGGCGATGATAGTTCGCTCAATATGTTATGTGCTAGTTTGAATGATTTGCCACTTCTGGCACTACTGTCCTTCTTCCTAAGTCTTCCATCTGGTAGTGATCTAGCCTCAAACACCTTTACACTTAGATAACAATCTCGTTGTGTTGGCCTTTCCAACTCTACATTCAATGATGATGATGATGTTGATGTATTCATTATTATGTTATGTATCTGATTGGTTGATGGATTGAATGAGTTAGGTAGTGTTTGATTGGATCATCCACCAAGAATACACCTACGACATAATATATAGATGATCAATCGGAGACAGAGATATATTGATTGATTGATTGATTAGTTGATTAGTTGATTGATTAATTGATAGAGTGTGATGCATGTCCAGTACATCAACAACAGTCATGTCATGTGATTGCAACAATCCGCATAGTGTTATGGATGAAACACACGCATCCCATTATCCACGTTTGTAGATGTCTTGATGTGGATTGATCAGACATCATGTGGTAGTGGTAGAGTGAGAGATAGAGATATACTCGACTCAATCATGTGACTGTCTTGAATGAATAAATAATAGTTTAATTGATTGATTCACTCACTCACACACTTGATCACTTTGTGGAGTGTGGTTGATGATGTGGACATACAACCTTGACCAATAATCCAAAAGATGAATGAATGAATCTATTACGATTGTGGAGGACAATGGTTTGATAGTATCAACGCATGTCATTAGGGGGAGACATGGAAGGACATTTGTCCAACCAGGTTGGGGAGTTCCATGCATTAATAATCTGATGTAGTCAGTCTTGGTCTGTAACTAACTGTTGTTTCCATCCAGCCAGGCTGTCGTATCAAAATATATATAACCTGGCTGGATCCAGACACAAGAGGAAGGGAATACTCTTCAAGAGATATTTAGTCAAGCATGGTGATTTTATTAAAGAGGGAAGTAGGGTAGGGTAGGGTAGGTAGCATGGTAGTACAAGTGAGAAGGTGGTGGGGTGGCAGGCTGGAAGTCAGGCAGGTTGGTGATGGTTGACTTTGACCAAGATGTTTGAATTAAACTCCACTATTGTCGGCAATAAGGTTTGTCATTAAATCAGCATTGGCAAGGCATTGGATGGATGGTTGAAAGGTTGAGTGGGTGGTGATCATGTGGGCATGGTGCGCGGCAGGCCGCGAACTAACACACACACAAGTGAGTGATTGAGTGAATGAGTGAGAGAGAGTACAAAGTAATGTACATTGTGAATGACTTGCTAGCACCTCCGCCTATCACCCGTGACTACTACCATGGTAGTATATATCTATATATAATACAACGGGATGGTATGCCCAGGGTGTGGCGACGCGCTAGCGAGTAGACACTGGCTTGTTCTGAGGACTCAGAACAAGGGACGAGTACTTGTTTCCTGAAATGATCTCTGGCTCATTGTCTGAGGACTCACGTTGCTTGATCTCGGCTGCCCACAACAAACTGTCCATCTCGTCTTGGGGGAAGCGTCCGCCCTCCTTCTTGGCGCCGGCGGGTGGTGTGCTGCTGCCAGACTCGAGGTTGGCAAAGTTCTTGTTGATCAGTGGGGCAAAGGGTGGCATTCTAGTCTTTGGTTGGGATGGTCCCATCATTGGGGAGGTCTCCGGGCTGGATGACTCGCTGGGGGAGTTGAGCATCCCCAGCTGGACACCGGCTGCGCTGGAGTAGCTGTGTCTGATTTGTGGGTTCTTGCGGGTCTTGACAACGATTGGGGCAGGCTTGGAAACAGAGATGATCATTGAGTTGTTGTATGAGTTGGATGGGCGAGTGACCACGATGAAGGTCAGCGACCACTCCTTTCCCCAGGTTCCCTTGGTCATCTTGAGTCCCTGGAATACGGCCAGACCCTGTGCGTTGAATGACTCGGCAAAGTTCTCGACAGAGTCGATCTGCAACTTGCCCTTGTGGTCAGTGAGGATGCCAAGTGCGACGACGTTGGCGACCGAGAGGTTCTGGTTGGCGATCTGGCTTGCGGCCTTGATGTCCAACTTGACCTTGAATGGAGTGTCGAGACGACGATTCTTCCAGACGATCTTTGTGGATGGCTGCTGGACGATCTGGATGCAGCTGGGTGTGGTCTCGGCGGGGTTCTTTGATGTGTAGTCGATCATCTTCTCACGGATGATCATCAACTGCTTGGGTGTTGGTGCGATGCCGTTGACGACTGCGGCCACGGCCGACTTCTGGTTCATGGAGAGTAGTGATTGACCGGCGTTCTTTCCGACGAGAATGTCGTTGCACGAGGCTCTTCTGAGTCCCTTGTATGGGCTGGCGTCCTCCATTTGCTCGCCGTCGCTTGCGGGGTAGTCTGCGTCCTCTGGCGACTCGCTGTCGAAGCTGTATGGCTCCTCCTCTGAGTTCTCCTCCTCGGACTTGTTGTCTGAGAACTCCTCGCTGCACAGTAGACGCGAGACTCTCATGCGCTTGTTGTTGCTAAAGTCGAACGACTCGACGTCGCTGCCGCCAGCAACCAGGCCTCTCTTCTTTTGGGCGGTCAGGTCGTTGATCGACGAGGTCGATGCCGACAGACCGTTTTGCTTCCTAACATCGGGGTTGAGACCAACGATTTGCTTGAAGGCGTTGATCTTGTCGACGCTCTTTGTGATGTTCTCGAACCAGGACAAGAGGATGTCGAGGCCCTGCTCAACGCCCGAGATTTCCTTCTTCAGGATGGAGTTCTCCAGCAGTGGCTGAAGCTTGCTCCACGATGGTGACACGGCACCATCAGCTTGCTTAACAAGTGGTGACAGGTACATCTGTATGGGGGAGTGTTGATTCGGTGGTTAGTGGTTTGCCCGCACAACCCTGTGGTTTGACATCCTGTCACACTGGAAACTGGAATTTCCATATGTGTATGGCTGCAGAGTAAACCTAACTAACACTTACGGTTAATGTATGTATTGGTATTATTACTGGTATATAAAATTATTGGTAATGTAGTGATACAGTATATAAATAAAGGGGCTATTAATAATTAATTAATTGTGTAAAATGTCAAACAATCCTAATGTAGGCGGTTTAAAAGAGAACGTGGAAAGCAGAGAAGAGGTATTAATATCCAAAGTTTGCCAGCGGGTATTGTTCTCGTCGTTTATCGTCTTAATTGATTGATTGAAAGGATTGATTGAATGGATTGTTGAAGTGAAGATTGTGTTTGGGTTGTGAGTTTGAGTGATGAATGGAGTTGTGTGGTATGGTATGGAAATGAATGAATTGTGGATGTAAACGATGTAATTACATTCAATTATTAGTTTAGGTAGGTAGGGAGTGAACTTGGGTGATTATAAGTTGGTATTGAATTTAACAAATGGAATGTCTGTCGGGTGTTACTGTTTTGTTGGTGGCGGTGTTGCTCAGGCCACTGAGGTCTGGAAGTGGACAATATGGACAACAAGCTCAAAGTGGAAGTTAGAGGTACGAGTACGGATCCTCAACAAATTAATATCAAATAAATGTCGTTCAACTTACTCACGAGTGGTTGGTTCACTATTGTGAGAACAACATTGTGTGAAGAAGAAGACAGATGTGATGACCTTGGTATGGGTGTGAGAGTGTCTGGATATATTTGTCGTCAATGTCGGTTAGGCCTCATGGACCATGAAATTGGGCCTCTGGGGGAGGACCAGCCAACATGGGGGGTGGGGGTGGGCTACAATCGTTCGGTTTTGTATTGTTGCCTCGAGCAAAAACAACTAGGTGTGTGAACCATGAGAGTGGTGTCGCCGTCATCTGCGCTTGCCAACAGCGATGTGAATGAGTGTGAGAGTGTGAACTTGGAAATGGAACGCCCCCATAGACGCGTCCGCATTGGTTATCCTGATGGCAGACCAACCACTGTCCGCGTCCCTCCACAACAACGAAAAGATGGAAAGTGCCCATCGAGAAACAATCGAAGTGTGGGGCGGCAGATTATGATAATTGCGGATAAGTTGCCGTGACTTGAGGGCTAATCTGACAATGATGCACCATTCTGGTTGGGTGGATCGCTGGCCTCAATCACCGATATGGAAGCAATGACGTTTAGGGCAGGGTGCATGTCGTGGTGTTGTGTGATGTTGTTTGTGTTGTGTTTGTTGGCTTCGGTGTGAACACCACCAACGATCGTTGTTGACTTTGGTTGGATGATGGTGATGATGATGACGACTATGATGTTGCAAAGTAACCTCTTCTAGAGGAACAAACAAAAATGGTCCACTATTATTAGATTATGAGATCTTACCTTTAGATTACTGGTCGATTTGAAGAAGATGATGGATGATAGTTCCCGATATTCTGTGATGTAGAAGTATGATGTTGTTCGATGGATGCCTGGATATTAATAATATATTGGTGATGATGATGATGTCGTATGATGATGTTGTTGATCTTGTTTAGACATGTTGGTCCAGAACCACCAACGACCCAACCAACTTCACTGGCGTCCTGTCCTCATCCAGGCTGATATTAGAATTGATCACCACATCTCTCGTTGTTGTTTGTTATTATTAATTGAACAACAACAATACTTTGTTCAACGTACACTCAAGTTGACAGAGTGAATATATGTAGTTGATATAGGTCGGCAGTGAAGTGAATTATATGTGTGATTGAATGTTTGATTATGTGTGTGTGGTGTGATAAGATGTCGGTTGATTGATCTTTCGTGTGGGGTGAAGAGGGTTCAAGAACAAGAGAGTGTTCGTAGGTTTGTCAGGGGTTTGATTGGCTGTCATGCTTTAGTCCAAGGAATTCATTGAATGATGATCATTAGCGGCTATTGTGAGGACCTCACATGGTCTAAAGATCAATGAACTGCCCATGGTTGGTATGGGACACGACATCTTTGAAAGGCCGAACTGACATTGATTGTGTGTGACTGGGACCATTCCAAATCAGAACTCTAGTAGTAAACAGGAGTTTATTGTATTATCTGGATGGATTCGCAGTTGTTTCTTGTCTTTGGTTGTTGTTATCCACGCGCCATAGGCAACTTTAGAGAGCCAAGGTGACGTTGAAACCAAAGGTGTGCTTGCCCTCGACAGAGAGGTCCTTGGAGTTGACGCTGAGGCCGAGCTGGACCTTGGTGGTGTCGTTGACTGGGACAGTGTAGCCCAGACCGATTCTGAGGTCCTGGTCAACCTTGACCTTGAGGAATGACTTGCTGTCAACAAAGTACTGTGAGCCAATGGTCAACTTGGGGACGGCGTCCAGCTTCTTCATGTCGACGTTGATGTCGGCACCAATGGCGAGACGGGCGTTGACTCTGTCGAACAAGGTGATGGCCAAGTTCTGGCCCTTGTTCTTTGGTGACAGACCAATCAACAAACCCTCGCGTCTGTACAGGAGAGTTCCCTCGAGTCCCTCGACCTCCTGGCTCTGGGCGTTGACGTTGGCCAACAAACCGAGCGAGAACTGCTGGTATCCAAACACTGCAGAGGCAGTGAACTTCTTGTTGGAGCGGATGATGGCAGTCAAGGCGACGGCATCCTTCTTGTATTGGAGCTCGGTCTGGGCAGAGTTCGAGTCGACCTGTGATGATGATGATAATAGTGATGACGGATCAATGATCAGTTTCGAGCGCATTCGACAACAACCTCCAAAGAAGCTAGTATTGTGGTGCAATGCAAGACGCCCCTGCAACGGCCCACTACTGCCACCACCTCCGCCACTTTTTTTGTTGCCTTTGACACTTACGGTGAGGACGGCCTTGAGACCTGGGGCAAGGGTGTTGAAGGTGAGCTCTCCCTTGGCGTTCTTGGCAGTGTCAACGTTGACGCTGAGCAGACCGTTCTGGAACTGCTTGCCGAGGTTGATCTTTGGGTTGAAGTTGAAGAGGACAGAGCCGTCTTGCTTGCGGGTGAGGGTGTTGATCAAAGACTAGATGCGTTTGGAAGAATGAGAAAGTATGTAAGTGTGGGTGTTCTGGCAAACAAGCCATCACAACTCATCATTCATGGATGAGTGTGGGCGTGTGATTGATTGATTGATCGATTAACCTACGACTGGGTATCCAGAAACATTCTCGGTGACCTCGATTTGTTGGGTCTCTGGGTAATCCTTCTTGAGGAAATCTATTATTGATTGATTGATTGAATGGTTGGTTGATTGATTGGGTCAGTAACATTGATCACTCATTCTTTGTCTTGAAGGCCTGTGGATCATCCAAGTCCACATCTGTCTAATCATTGTAGTCGACTTCCTCTGCACCTCTTGCTCATTATCGATTTCTTTTGTTTGGTATGAAGTTGGGTCGCAAAGTTCAGTCCCAGGGTCGCCTCCGATTTGATTTTTTTTTTGGTGGTCATCATTGTCGTCATGATAATATGTGTGTTGATGTTGTTGAACTGCGCAAGGTTGATGATCATCATCAAGACCGCAATGTGTGACACTACTCCTCCTTCTCCTACTCCTACAACAGCTACTTCATATGAAGTTGATTACCTACCGGATGGGATCTTGACCAAATCAGCGTAAACTCCTGGGTTCGACATTATGTTATGTTATGTTGTTGTTTTTAAAAGATCTATAAAGAAGAAGATATTGATCAATGGTTCATGGTTAGTTAAAACTGATTACCATTACCTGGCTTGCCAACAACCAAACCAGTGAGTAATTATTATTATTATTATTATTATTACCTTTACAAAAAAATATATTATGTTGATGATGATGATGATAATGAATAAGAGAATGAAAGTGTTAAGTGGATGGACTTCGTGAAGCTGATCAACTTCGACCTACACACCTACCAAAAAATTAGTCATTGATGGCCCCATCAAAGGAAACAAATATTTAAATTAAATTAGTTTGGGATCTTTGAGTGTTTGTGTGAGATTGATGGTTTGTTTGATGATGTAGTTCATGAAGGAGGGTTGGACCTGCCCTGAGGTACCCCATTCACTTTGACCTCCTCCTTTTTTCTTCGTCTTTTGATCATTCACCCCACATTATCTTGATCAAACCTTTGTCCCGAAATTTCATCTCAGTGTCCCGGTCCTCAACTTAGGGCAAGCAACCAGACATGTCTGGCGAGTTGTTAGAACGAGTGCGAGTGACCCTTTGTGTGCGCAAGCATGCGAGCACACTCACACAACGGGTTTATTTAGCCGACCGGTGCTGAAGCGGATATGCGCCGCCACCGAGTTGATGCTTGGACGTGGAGAGGAACTGAATCGCAGTCCATACCATCCAGACATCCATGAGGTCGCACAGTCGACTTGATACCTGTAGCAGCCTTGCCTTGCCTTGCCATGACTTGCCAAACTCATTGATTGATTGACTACTACAACGACTTGGAAAACTGCTGCTACACTTGACTGCCACCATTGCTTAGTGGATTGGGATGTCAATCCTGTTGCTGCAACTACCGAGTGTGGTTGAGACTGAGGATGAGGTGCGCTGCTTCTTGGCTGGCTGTAGGAATGGGTTGGCGGGGTTGCCTGCAGAGTCAATGTCAACGGCGACGCTTTGCAGCTGACGCATACGGTTGTGATGTGCCAATTGCTGTTGTTGCTCATGAGCCACGGCGTAGTACTCGTAGTCACTGTCCTCCTCTTCAGAGTATACGTCGTCCTCGTCGTCGACCTCCTCGTCATCGTCATCAGTGTAGAACTCTATCTCACTGTCGTCGATCGACTCGTAGTCATTCTCGTCGTCCGTCTCACTGGTGCAGTAGTTGCGAATGTCGTTGACCAGGTCCAGAGAGCGCTTCAAAGTGTTTGGTTGTGTTGATGATGTAGCGGTGGCGTTGGCATTGTTCTGTGATTGAGTATCCAGATTGATTGTCTTCTTATCAAATGGTTGGATTGTTTGTGATGGTACGGTTGTGTTTGGTTGTTGTTGTGATTGTGATTGTGTCTGTTGTGGTTGTTGTGTCTGTTGTTGTTTTAGTCTCTTCTGGATTGCCTCAAGTACATGTATTGGTTGGTAGCCTGGCATCTTCTCTTGCTCGAATGGCAATGGCTCCATTGTAAAGAATGGCGATTGTAGTGCTTGCTCGGCAGTCAGACGCTTCTTTGGATTGAGAGTGAGCAGGCCTTCGAGTAAATCAATAAAGTCTTCAGAGAAGCTAATGATGAGTTGACAAGACAACGTGTTAGAACATATTCATCATTTGTTGGCTCATCATGATGATGATTGATAAAGTGGACTTACAATTTGAAGATTGATCTCAGCTTGCTTGGGTAGACTGGGAGGTTTGACAACCAATGGTAGTTGGGGAGGTCGGATACACCTTCCCAAATGGACTCGGTTGGAGTGCCACAAAGCTGGCATATCGCCTCGATCTGTTGCAACTCGTCGTTGGCAGGTAGGAAGTTACGTGATGTAGCCATCTCAATTAGAACACATCTGTGATCAGTGATTGAATGATTGATTGAGTGATGTTAGCGACGATGTACACATTGTGAAGCCCTTTGAAGAGTAGCAATGCATTGTCCATATGGTCCAATCGATTATCCTTTGCCAACTTGACCCATTGAAGGAGCTGCGCAGGTGATGCCCAAACGGAGAGATGCGTTGCCATCTATTGATGTCGGGGAGAGAGAGATAGAGAGATAGAGAACATGGAGAAGGAGATGCGAGAGGGGAGAGGGGAGAACATAGAGTAGAGGAGAGAGAATAAAGAAGAGGAGAACATAGAGCAGAAGGAGAGTATAGAGAGAGGGATAGAGAGTATAAAAGGACACTTACCCTATTGACCACATATCAACCTCTGGACCGTATTGAGTGGCACCCAAGAGGAGCTCGGGAGGACGGTACCAGAGTGTGACGACCTTGCTTGAGAAGACAGAGCGCGCGACATATGAGGTGGCCGTGCCCAGGTCGCCAATGTAGAGCGAACCCTTGTTGTTGACCAGGATGTTGGCCGCCTTGATGTCGCGGTGCATGACGCCGCTCTTGTGTATCTCGCTGATGCCGTTGAGCAGCTGCAAGAAGTAGCACTTGACCTGCGGGATGCACAGGCGGTGCTCGCTCAGCAGACCCGAGAGGTCGTGCTCAAAGTATGGGAACACGATGTTGTACTGGTATTCGGCGGGTGAAGTGACGATATCAATGATGGGTGTGATGTGCGGGATGTGCTTGAGCTGCATCAGCAGGTGGCACTCCTCCTTGGAGGCACGCTCGCTCTCCTTTCCTGTCTTGAAGTTCTTTAGGGCTACCATCTCATTGGTGTCCAATTTAATGGCCTTGTAGACGGAGCTGATGTATTTGTAGAGAGGGAGAGAGAACGAGAGAAGAAGGGAGAATGGGGAGAAAGGGGATATATAAAGAATGGTCCAGTCAAAGAATGATTAATCAAATGATGTCCAACCATCCAGCGTCACCACCAACACACCGCCATGTGTACGATCAACTCGGGTTTGCAACCAATCCAACCAAAGAGCGAGGAAAGCGAGAGAGAGATAGAGATAGGAAATGTGATGTGGCCAGGCCAATCCCATGTATTGCCGCGACTCTTCAAACAGACTGGTCGCCACTCACCGGTTGATCGATCGACCGGTCGATATTAATTGATTTGATTGATTTGATTATTAAATAGCTTACCCTGATATACCCTCGCCAATCTTGGCGACGATTTGATAAGAGTCGTTCACAGCCTTACTCAGGTATAGCGAACTTGAACCGATATTTGGAGGTGTTGTTGTTGGTGTTGATGATGATGACGGCATTGTTGATGATGTATGATGACATATATTTTGATTGGGTGTGTGTAGTAGTAGTAGACTTGGGTGGGTCTCTCTCTTTTGTTTTGTTTGATTATTTGTTGTTGTTGTTGAAGTAGCTTATTTGTCTTGCCGCTGTTTCTGCTGCTAGATGCTGTATGCTGCTTCTTTATTTGATGATTTACGAACGAAAGAACGTGTGTATTATGAACGAGTAATTAAGTGAGTGAGTGAGTGAGAGAGTTAAAGTAATAATAATAAATAATAAATAAATTATGTATATGTTTGTTTGTCGTGAAGGAGAGAGTAGAGCGAATGAGTGAGTGCTTTTGGATCGTTCGAGGGCAGGAAGTTTGTGCACCAACCTAAATAGTTTGGTTGGTGACACACCCAAACAAACAAATATTGCGTGAATTAATGGGTTAACCCACACACTCTTCGACTCCCCACTTCTACAAACGTCGATCTAACACCACCTTTTGAGTTTGGGGCTGAACCAACAACACCCATGAGATGGCTTGCTTGATCATGCTTCTGTTTGTTGTTTCCTTTGTTGTTGTTGGGGAACATTGTTTACAATTAGTTCTTGTTTGTTAACATCTGAACATACATTCACCGGCCGGATTAATTTATTTGATTGATTGGGTTGATTATGGTAGTAGAGTTGCTTGTTTATTGAGATGGTTGATGGATGACAATGTTACTCAAGTATTAATTTCGACCAGTATCTTCAACTTGTCTTGGAGCAGGTAGCCATCCTTTGAATTGAATAGTGTCTCCATATGAACGAATTTCTTAAAGCCCCAATTGGGTTGTTTGTTATTAAATACAATCTGTTCTGCAGCTATAGGATTGATTGAATGATTGGTTGATTAAAGTGATTAATTAATTGATTGATTGAATGAGATTGTACTTACTTCTAGCTTTATTCTGGCTTGGATCAGTTTGATGGATTAATATAAGACGAAATCGTTTGACCTCTTTCTTTAAGAAATGAGTGCTTAAAGCCCGAAGGCCCTGGGGCTGAAGGTCATAGAAATCCAGATAGATGGATACATGTTCACTGCTAGGTTTTCCTTGTGGACTGATAGAAAGACGCCAGTTTACATTGCCAATCTTGAATGGTTGAGTGTAAAATGATGTCTTGTGCTTGGAGAAGTTGGGTATCTCGATTGTCTTTGAGAGGACGTAGGAGAAGTGAAAGCAAGAATCCATCAGTTTCTTAATATCTCCAACTGTTGATCCTTTAATGTCCACAAGAATCGTCTTCAATCTTGATGAAACATCTCCATCAGCATTAATATATGGTATTTTGTTCGTATAATTGATATGGTTGGTAATCATTGTCATCAACTCATTGATACCTCTATCGTCATTAACGAGTTGTTTACTACCACCAGGTTGAGGTGTAGATTGGATGAACTGCTCAATTGATCTACATTTTGAAATCGATTCAATCATTGTTGTCAGGGGTCCATCATCGCCATCATCATTACCAAGGACATCATCATCCAAGTCAGTGGGTACTACTTTGTTGATAATGTTGATATCTCCAATCTCTTTAATGATCTCATTCATTGTCGATTGAATATGAGTCATTTGTTCTTGTATTGGTTTCTTGGTCTGGTGTTCTTGGGCCATCACTAGCTTTATCAACTGTTCAAAGTGATCGGCGATATCACTATACGTCTGTGTCAACGATTGATATGAGCTTGCACACAGTTGAAGAGTACTCCATAGATGATTCAACCTTGTTGTACACCATAATGATTGTAAATCCTTTGAATCCAATTTATGTATAATTTTGACAATATGATCAAATGAATGTCCATTATGTTTAGATGCCAGACATAAAGGACACATCAATACTCCGCAATCGAAGCACATTAACTCCATCCTCTTGTTACTCGAGGCATCACAGCAAACATTATTATTATTACTATTACTATTACTATTACTATCCATTATTTGTTCGATCATTAAGTCTTTTGGTCAACAAAGTGTGAACCATCTTCATCATTTTAGCCATCTCATTCCCCAAAGAGTTAATGAATAAATGAAAGAAATAATGAAGGAATGAATGAATGAGTATTTGAATGGACAAGATCGATAGACTTATTGGGATCAGTGTCAATGAACCAGTCAGTCAGTGAATCAATCAGATGGATTTAATGAATCACACAGCGGTCCAAATTAAGAAGTGAATGAGGAGGTCAACAAGTTAAATTTCAAATTGCCGATAATGGACCACCAATTTACAATTTCTTGACCGTTCAAGTCTCATACTAATCAATCAAACATTACATCCGACGACGACCACGACATCAATCAACAACCGATTGTCATGTCAATCCAATCCTTTATCATATTGGAAATTTCAGTTCATCAATCAACAAATATCAATTTTAAGTTAACATATGTATCCGGGAGATGAAGAACACCCACCCCTTCTCGAGTATGTTGCATATTCATCACTCTTGATATCGATTGCTCGGCTTCTTGATTCCAGTATCCAACACCCTCTAGTTCATAACCTTTCCTTCCGGATGTATATTTATAAATTGAAATGGAATTGAATTGACACACTGTCAATACTGTCAACGTGGTGCAATGTGCGCGGCGATCCGGAGACATGGTTCTTTGCATCCAACGCGAATGAAGTAATGTGAGGTGGTGCATTCAATTTCGCGTTCAATTTCGAAATCGATAATCGTGTTGAATGGCATGGGGGTGAGTGGGTCAAAGCACACTCACACAACGACAATACCCTAATCAGTCGGTTGTCGTTGTAAAGGTTCAAAATAGGAAGTAAGTAATGATATCATAATGGATAGAGATGTATGTTGTCTATGTATATTGGCAAAAGTAAATGCTGAATATAGACAACAATGATGGAGATGAGTAATTGAGTGAGTGAGTGAGATAGGTAGAGTGATTCCCCATTCACCAACATTGACTAACTTACCCTCACTGGATCAATCTACATACACTCTCACTCAGTCTCTAGAACAAAGTTCAAGAGTGCAATTATCTTGCCCCCTACTCACACTCTATCATGCGAATTTGGGAGTGTAGAGCAAGCCGACACCATTTGCGGGGTTGGGAGAGTGAAAGTGAGTGTGTTTTGGAGGGGGTGGGGGGTAATAGTGTGTGTGTCGCTCACTCATTCATCTGACATACTGATCATCATTATCCTTATTAAGACGTCAATAATAGGGATCCATATTAAATGAATATCCAAACTGGTTTAATATTCAATGTCCTTGGTCCTCAACTCCTATACTAAGATATAAATACATACATTCCATTTGGAAATTCCAACTCAATCATACAATCATCATTCAATCAAACAAATAATTAATTATATCTGTTGTCAATCATACACAAAGATATAACATAATCATCACACACTTGTAAATACATTTACTTACACTTATATATACATATAATACATAATGCAAAGCGATAACCAATGTGTAAAGGATAGAATTAAGGAGGAGGCCAAGGCAATCCAGCAGGAATGGACCACCAACCCACGTTGGAAGGGTATCACCCGTGAGTACACCGCCGAGGATGTCGTCCGCTTGAGAGGTTCCTTCCGCGAGGAGTACACCATTGCCAAGATGGGCGCTCAGAAGCTGTGGTCCATGATGAACGAGGAGTCCAACTACGTCCAAGCCCTCGGCTCTCTGACAGGTAACCAGGCCGTCCAGATGGTTCGCGCCGGTCTCCGCGCAATCTACCTGAGCGGCTGGCAAGTCGCCGCCGACAACAATACCTCTGGCCAGATGTACCCAGACCAGTCTCTCTACGCCGTCAACAGTGTTCCAGAGCTCGTCCGCCGCATCAACAATGCCCTGCGTCGCCGCGACCAGATTGAGTGGAGCGAGGGCAACCTGCAGCACCAGTATCTGCCAACCCCAATCGTTGCTGACGCCGAAGCCGGTTTCGGTGGCAGTTTGAACGCCTACGAGCTGATGAAGGCTATGATTGAGGCTGGTGCCTCTGGTGTCCATTGGGAGGACCAGCTCGCAAGTGAGAAGAAGTGTGGTCACATGGGTGGCAAGGTCTGCATCCCAACCAGCCAGCACATCCGTACTCTGACCGCTGCCCGTCTTGCCGCCGATGTCATGGGCGTCTCCACACTTATCGTTGCCCGTACCGACTCTCTTGGCGCCTCCCTGTTGACCAGCGACGTCGACCCACGCGACAAGAAGCATCTGAATGGCAAGCGTACTGTCGAGGGTTACTACGAGGTCAACAAGGGTATCGAGGTTGCCATCGACCGCGCCCTCAGCTACGCACCATACTGTGACGTAATCTGGATGGAGACCTCCACCCCCGACATTGAGTTGGCCAGAAAGTTTGCCAACGCCGTCCACGCCCAGTTCCCAGGCAAGCTGCTCGCCTACAACTGCTCGCCATCATTCCACTGGAAGAAGCACTTGACTGCTGAACAAATCGCCACCTTCCAGAAGGACCTCTCCGCCATGGGTTACAAGTTCCAGTTCATCACCCTCGCCGGTTTCCACTCGCTCAACATGTCCATGTTTGAGTTGGCACACGGCTACGTCGAGAGTGGCATGTCCGCCTACGTCACCCTGCAAGAGAAGGAGTTTGCCAGCGAGAAGATCGGCTACACTGCCACCCGTCATCAGCGTGAGGTCGGCACTGGTTACTTCGACAGCATCTCCCAGGTCATCTCTGGTGGCAAGTCATCAACACTCGCTCTTGTCGGTTCCACCGAGGAGGAGCAGTTCGAGCATTAAGTTAAGTTTAGGAACTCTCTCACAACAGCAATATCATTGTTGCTGGTTCGGGTCCATTTGTACTTCAAATAAATAATCCATTATGTCCATAATAACTATGTTTGATTGATTGATTGATTGATCGATTGAATGAATGAAGGCCACGCATGTGTCCATCAAGGAGTGAATGGATGTCTCACTGACTGGACGTCTGTTTGGAAATCGCTAACATGTTATATTTAGACCATTTATTGTACAATGGTATGGCCAAGCTTGATGTGCGAACAATCTGAGCTCGCTACATTAGTCGTCCATTGCTGCACTGCTTCGTGTCCATCTCTATCCACTCCATTCGAATGGATATTTATATACGTGAGTCCATTCAACTGGTGCGTTTGTTCGAACATCCTGCTTTGCCAGTAGTCGCCAACAAAAAACAACAACAAGTGGGTAGTAGTTGATGTTGTCCGTCCACTATCATCGATTAACAACAGCCACCACTCTTAGCGCCAGACTGAGACAGATTTACATTGTTGTTGTTCACCTCGTTTGGATACTTGCGACAATAGGTCTCTGCAATAGCCTGCAACAACTGCTGCACGCCCTGACCCGTCTTTGATGATGTCTCGAATGTCATTGCCTGGTACTTCTCTGCGATTGTCTGTACATCTCTTGGTTGCACTACTCTCCGTTCACCTTCTTGAATCAAGTCCACTGAGTCATGTGATTGATGTTAGTACCATGGTCTGTCATGTGCTTGGCCAGACACAACAACTTACACTTGGTGCCAACTATATAAATATCGATGTTTGGTTCGTTCAGCGTCAGTTCCTCCGCCCAGAATGTGACCTTATCGAGTGATACTGCATTGGTAATATCTGTTTTTGTCGTTGTCAATACTAATGTCATTCAATCAATCACATGCATCTGACAACTTGATACAAACCATAACAAATAATAGCAGCCTTTGCTCTCCTATAATAAGATCTATTAACTGATTCATAACGCTCTGTACCTGCAGTGTCCCATATACCAAGAACAACCTCTGTATTACCGACCTGCATCTTTTTGGCCGAGAATGTACCGCCAACAGTCTATTTATAACATGTGTTAGTCCATTGATTCATTCATTCATTCATTCTGTTTATGTGTACACATACCATAACAGTATGTTCGAATTGATTGGTAATACATCTATGTACAAGACATGACTTGCCGACTGAGCTCAGACCTATATCACATGTTATTAGTGTCAGATATTGGGTTATCATTCTTCATTCTTGGTGACCTCTTACCTAAGACGACAACCTTTACATCCTTCCCACTTCCAGACATTTCTACAAGGTCAATTGAGTGAATGAATATATAAATAAAGGATATATATATGTATATAAATAATGTATAACTATGTACAAGAAGTAAGTGAGTTAACTAATAAAGGGTTGTCCACGTGTGTCGAAGAAGAAAAGTCTACCGAACTAGACCACACACTCTTTGAACGACACCCACTTTGTTATCTTTGCAAAGTAATCGTGTATCTGTGTTGGAGTGTGTTGATAAAGTGATCGATGGTGCTAAGATGGTTGCTAATCATCAAGCATGATCGATAACACAACTCGTGAATGTATACATATACTTATTAACACACACGTACACCATTCAATCATTATGATTGTTTATACATTTAGTGACATAAATAAATAAATAAATAAATGAAGAATATTTTATTAATATCTTTGACAACAATATTATTATTATTAATAATAATAACTCAGATTAGTTATATTAAAGCTAATAATGATCAAGCAAATGGAATGATTGATGATATAATTCAACATGGATTCGATCAATTCATTGATGACAATCCAGGTGTACAACATCGAATGAATCCAGCTCCAATTGCAACTCATCTACCCTGATCAATCATACCATCCAGCCAATCAGTAAACCAATAAGTTAATCAATTAATATTATTAAAGACTTTAATGTCCTGTTGTTGTAATACTTGCCAAATAATTATTGTTGTGAATTGAATGGAAAGGAGAGAGATATGGATGTAATGTAGTCGGTTTGATTTAGATTTGATGACTCTGATGATAGATTTGATTGTACTGTGTCGAGTAGAGTAGTTGAACAAATGGTTGACCAATAAACACTGTGATCCACATGACAACATTTCCAAATCTTGTCTTTGTAAGTATTGGTAGTTGTGAGAATTTGATCAATCCAACTAATATGATTGAATGAGTGTTGGTTAGTCATCAATTACTGATCAATCAATCAATCAATCAACTTACTTTGTAAAAGCATTGTAACAGAGAGAATTGGACGAACGAATCTGAATGATAGGATCATGACAATCTCGTGAAGAAGGGCAGAGAGGAGGAAGGTGGAGAGGAATGCACCAAACTTGCCAACCTTGATAGTGTGCATTGAGTCGGTGTAGCAATGACGAAGCATCCACTTGTGAACTGGACGATTCCACTTTCTCCACCATTGATCAAATGTAGTAGCATTCCACCAATCCTGGTAAAACTCGCGATCAGCATACTTTGTCAACTCTGCAAATACATTCAACAGGCAATGGAACACTCCATAGAATCTAATTGTAATGTAATGGGGTGGATGTTTGTTAATGAGTGATTGAGTGATTGAATGACTGATTGATCGTGTGATGGCATACCCTAGCATCCACATGCTCATCGATGGCAATGATAGTTGTACCAAGAGCAACAAGAATGGCTTGGTACTGGCATCCTTGAAGAATGGAGTTGAGTAACATACTATATTTTGAGTAGTGATGGAGTTAGGATGTGAACAACTCAGGATGTGAACAACGAGGTTGATCAAACATACGACATAGGTAAAAGACTGTGAATGTTCCAATGAATGCAAAGGTCTCCTTGATGACATAGGTGATTCTGATCCTTGAGGTCCTTGGGAAATGTCCTTCATACACCAAAGTTGGTGCAAACAAGAAGTATGTGAAGTGTGAAATGGATGCTGTTGTGGCCATGTGATCAAGTATGATGTTAGTGATTGATTGATTGATTGGATGTGGCTGGAGGTCATGGCTTACTGTTTGGAATCAAGTCCCTTCTGCTGATTGGAGAGTTGTTCTTGGATGCCTTGACAACTCCCTTCTTGAGGAAGTAGTTTGTGTGCCAGTATGAGTGATTCTTGAGTGAGTAGACACACAACTGCATTCCAGTACCTCCGCTGAGGACTAAGGAGTGGAGTATGATTGATTAGTAAGTATGATATGATGCCAAGAGAAGAGGGGAACACTTACTTGGAGACAATTCATATTGGAACAAACAATGGATGGTAAGGGTGAATGTTACAAACTGCCAGAGACAGTAGAGTAGGATGGATGTCCAGCCTGGCAGGTTATGATCGACAAAGAATTTGGTGCAAAGGTAGTTGACGTAGCTGAATGCCAATAGACTGATCCAGACAAAGAGACCCACCTCCCACTTGTCCACCAGCCACCACATCAAGCTAAAGTCGATCGGTGTGCCCAGCTTGACATAGTTGTCGGCCATCATTGCAAAGCCAGCCATCACATAACACAATGCAATGTAGTTGAATGTGCCCCATTGTATGTTTGCATTGATCGGTACACTTCGAGAGGATGGTTAGGTCAATGGAGTGAATGGATTGGAAGGGCGAACATACGTTAAGAGTGAATCACGGGGTTTGGAGATGGCGGAGAAACGTTCGAGTGATGGGGAATGGGGAGTTTCTCCAGGGGAGGCTGGTGTTAACAAACTTGCTTTGGCCGTCGCGACCGTTGGTGATATTGGGGACTCGGTGATATTGCTGCTGCTGATACCATTATTTAACTTCTCCAAGGCTACTACTGGCAACAATGTCTTTGCATTTAGATCCAAATCATTCTTTGTACTTGACTTGTCCTTCTTATCCTGTTTCCTGTTTGTTGTAGTGTTCCTCTTGTGCAACAATTGCACATTTGGTAGATGATCATCAGACTTTATCATTCCTCAACACTTCACTTCAGTTCAAGTATGAATGTATGTATGATATTACTAAGTTGTATTTGTATTTGTATTTGTATAAATATGTATATATCTATGTATGTGTTATTTGAGATTGAATGAATGATTGAAGTAGTAGCTATTAAATATGTACAAGTTGTGGTGAATTGACTGACTGACCTTGAGTGAATGAATGAATGATTGACTGACTGACTAACCTTGAGTGAATGAGCAAGAGATGGATGGTGTGTGTGTGTTCGAACAACAAATTACAAGTCACACCTGGTCAATCTGTGTTGTTGATGTGGCGAAAACACATGTATTATTATGTGTACAATATGATGATGAGATGGTGATGATCACTCACACTCAGGTATCTCCCCATTTAGGGGTGTATTGTTTCAAATGAATGTTATCGAGGTCAAAGTCTCGCAATGGACCTGGGTGCAAGATTGGGTGGGGTGGGTGAGAGTCCTTTCGGGATGATGACGATTTCAGGGAGATTGGATCAATATTGTCCGACCCGAAAAAACATCACTTGGCTTCCAAAGAATCAGTCCTGATTCTAACATCCCTGTTAACTTTAGCTTTGGAACTTAGGAACAAAATATATAAATACTGAAGTCAGATTACAATGAATCAAACAGTATTCCAGTTTTAATTATTACTATCAAGTTGAGTCGTTAATTATTTGATTGATTTTGGATTGATTGATTGATTGATTGATTGAATGAATGAATGGATGATTGATTTATTAATTATTGTACAAGGTTCGATGACGATATAGCTGACCAATAAACGCACCTAGACACACCTAACAACAACAATCCGTCTGACCTAAAATTATGATGATAAGAAAGTGTGACGCCAATGACAAAACAGTTGGGATCGGAAAAAAATAAACGTGAGATGAAGAGAAGTTTTGATCAACAAAGTTGTAAAACATAGACTGGAGACGATGAACGAAGATTGGAGAATGCAGACCCCAATAACACTAAACAGGGGACAAACAAAAGAATCAAAATTACTTGACTTGTTCAGTCAGAGTTTATAAATAATTTGATCATTATTGGAGAGGATGGGTTGACAAAGAACATAATGGTTTCCTTCTTTTGTCGTTTGACGACGTTCTTTTCTTTACACTTCTTTACATACTTGCACCTACCATAGCCAAGCCATTAATTCGCCAACAGAGACCAGTGAGTGTGGTTTGACGAGATCAACCAGATAGCATAGGTCAGAGCCTTTGGACTGCGAAAACCCCTTCTCGCCCCGTCTTTGGGGCAAGCCTGTGCCCACCATAGTTAGAAAGAGAGAGAGAGAGAGAGAGTATTCATCAATCCATCCATTGCTCCAATCAATCAACCTGTTCTGCTTCTCGTTTTCTCGCTATCCTATGCCATAAGAACCTTCCGTACCGCCCCTTTCCTATCGTTCAATGATCGGATCATTTGTCGTGTTTAGTCATTGATATTGTATCGTCTTGCACACCTCCCAGAGCACGACCAATCATCTGTACCTGAATACTGGTCCCTCCTCCTCCACTCCCCCACCCTCCGCCAGTCTCTGTCACTCGCTGGCTGATGACATACCTTATTCTTTGTCAGTCTGTCCTTCCAAACATAATCAATCAGTTTAGTTAAGTAATTATTACTTATAAATATACATCATCAAACTATTATTATTATTAATTTTAATTAACTAAATATATATATAAATTATCAAGTTAAATAATAATGTGTATAACTACATCAAAGAGAGCAAATGATAAATTGGTAGATGTACCAAAGAAGGAGTCTGGTTTGGGTCCAATGGAGCCTTTGAGATTGTTATGGAAGTTTGCCAGACCACATACTATCATCCATTCATTCCTCACACCATGGACCATGGCTGCCGTTGCTGCCGGTGGTTACTCCGCCCTCGCCACAGCCACCACTAGCACTCCAGCCTTTGCTGGTGCCATCACACTCCTCTGGCTTGCCTACACAATGGCCAACCTCTATATTGTTGGTCTCAATCAAGTATGTTATCACCCATGTGATTGAACTATTCCCTCCCTCACCCACTCACTTACTCACTCTCAATCAATCAATCAATCTAATCTATAGATATATGATGTAGAAGTAGACAGGATCAACAAACCAAATTTACCTATTGCATCTGGTGAATTATCAGAGTCTAGTGCTTGGAAGATTGTGTTGGCTGCTTTGACTGCTTCTGTCGGTCTGTTGAGCGCTGCCACATCTGATGTGCTTATCTGTGTCCCATTCGCCACTTTGTTGGCCATTGGCACTTGGTACTCACTCAAGCTTGGAAAGACTGCTGGTGGTTCAACTGGCCTCCGTCTCAAGGACAAGGCACTGACTGCCGCCCTCTCCATCATTGTGTGCCGTGGAATGATCCTTCCATTCACCACTCTTACTCACGCTTTCACCCACGCCTCGGGCAACGTCTCAGCCGTCGTCATGGCACCAATCATGACCTTGACTGCCATGCGTGCACTTGTCATCGCCGTCATGAAGGACATCCCAGATATGGCTGGCGACAAGGCCGCTGGAGAGAACTCCACTTTGGCTATCAGCTTGGGAGCACCAAGAGTGTTCCGCTGGTGCATTAACCTCATGTGTCTCCCATCTCTGTTGGCTTTGATCGCCGTCGGACTCAACATCTCGGGCTTCACCACCACCTGGAACGCTCACATTGTGATCCTGTATCACGTGTGCGCACTCCTCTACATTCGCTGGCAAGAGTCGGCCGTCGATGCCAACCAGCCATCCCAAGTCACCCGTTTCTACACCAAGACCTTGTGGATCATGTTCTACGTCGAGATGCTCCTCTTCCCCGCTATGCTCAACTAAGTTGTTCGTTTGTTCACCTTTCCATGATGTTGGCCCAGTAGGCACAACACATTATTATCATTAATATTATAAATATACATAGAAATCCCATCAAAAGTACTTTGTCTACTGTTTCCGAATGAGTGACGAATGAGTGGCGAACGATTGGCGAATAAGGGTAAATGTACAAGTATGTAGCGCTACACTTTAATCGATCAATCAAGATCCATGGATCTTAGAATGCAAAGTCAAATACCTTGATTGTTGAATCCTCGTAGCCGGTGATTAGTTTAGAGTCGTTGAACTTGAGACAACAGACGGCGGATTGGCCTTTGATTGTGTTGACGTGTGTACCAGTCTTGAGGTCCCATAACTTGATGGTGCTGTCTGTGGAGCCACTCAACAGCTTATTGCCACGTAGTTGTAGACAGTGGATCATGTTCTCGTGGCCCTGAAGCGTCTGGATCAGCTGGCCGGTCATGTCCCACACCTTGAGCAGACTGTCGTGGCTGCCACTGACCAGCTGGCCGCTGTCGTACTGTAGACAGTTGATCTTGTGCGTGTGCGCACGGATCGTGTTGATACACCGCGAGTCCATGTCCCACATCTTGATGGTCTTGTCGTAGGAGCCCGATACGACCAGCTCCTGGCCATTATGATTGATCGCTTGTAGACAGCGCACTGGCGCCGTGTGGCCGCGCAGTGTTCGTAGACAGCTGGTGGTGTTGAGGTCAAACACGCGCATCGTGCCATCCACGCAGCCGCAGATCAGATTGCCATTGACGATCTGTAGACACCAGACACTGGAGTGTGTCTGGATGGTCTCAATGCATGCGCCGTCGAAGCGATCCCATATTTTGATTGAGCCGTCCGCACTGCCACTGACCAGACGAGTTGGCGTGCTTCCCAGGCATATGGTGCCATTCTTGTGGCCAGACAATGTTCTGATACAACGCTTCTTGCTGTCCTCGAGGTCATCATAGAACATGTGAGTGTCGCCCATCCGCGAGCAGTCCCACACCTTGACGGTCATATCCTCTGAGCCACTGATCAGTGTGTTGGTCTCGGGTTCAAATAACAGGCTCCACACAATCTCCTTGTGGCCGCGCAAAACAGTCGTGCTGTACTTGCCGCGTCTCCAGTTCGAGTCCTTTCGATATTCGCCAACGTACCAGTTCTCGCCCCATGCCGCCCGGCTTGAGCTGTAGCTGGAATGTGATTGATCGAGTTGTTGTATTTGTGGTGATTGTTGGCTGAATTGGCTTGGCCATGATGACGATGATGATGGCTTGTCTCCATGATTGTTGTGATCCATCGCAGTTATGTTGTTGTTGTTATTGTTGTTACCAATGTCCATCTCTTCATCCTCGATACTACAATTGATCGCCAACATGTGCCTGTTGTTGTTTGAATGGTGTGATGATGACGATGAGCCAATGAATGATGTGTTGTCCAGGAGATCGCGTTCAAGACAGATTGAACGCCACAATGAGATGTCAAAGGCTAGTGTGCGCCACTTGCGACAAACGCGACACACGCCACTACACAGGTCGTTTGGCGTGAGGAAGCGGAAGATGAGTAGCATGACCTCTTCGGGCAGGATCAGTGTGAGGGAGCGGGCATCCTGTGACGTAAGATTATAGCGCGTGGCAATGTTGTTGTAGCTGTTGGTGATGGTCTTGATGTGCTCAAACTTCTTGCGCTGGATGAGTTTGAGGAACCCACGCTTGAGTCTGATGTCCTTGCGGATGGCTTCCCTCGTCTCGCTCAGCGTCGAGATGGTCATCTCCACGTTCTCCAATTCAATGGCGCGTCGCTCCATGAAACTTATCGCCTCGCGCTCATCCTTGAGCACCTCGGACACGAGTGGATCACCCGAGTAACATGAGTCAATCTCCATGGAGTTAGGGTTGGTCTTGTGAGTGTGAGTGTGATTGGGATGGTGATGGATATGGAGATAGTTGTCCATGTAGTCATCGTCATCTTCATCATCGTCATAGTCATCCTCACTGTTACTGCTGCTGTATTGGTATATATTGCGCTGTGTGGATGAGACTGATGTGGAGGATGACATTGACAATGTGTTGGGATACAGGTAGAACTCGCCAGTCATCATACCAGTCGATGATGACGACGTTGTGATATTGGCACCATTAGGTTCTTGGAATGGTGACAGGTGTGGATGTATATAGTATCTGCTATTATTATTATTACTATTGTTATTGTTGATGGATGTGTCATTGGATGATGTGGTTGATGTTGAAGATGAAGATGATGAGTTCACATCTTTAAACATTGTCAACTCTATGTTGTCATTGTTATTGTTGCTGTTGGAGTGAGGCTTGTGATGTGCCAATCGCTTCCAATCAATTCCACCTCGTTTGTTCCGCTTCCTATCCTTGCTCTCCCTGTCGCTTGCATTGACATCTATCATATTATTACTTAAACAATCAATCAAACAAACTAGACAAACAAAGGTAATAAATAAGTACTAACTACTACTATATGAGACTATAAGTGTTGGAAGTTGATGTTGGTTGTTGATGTTGAGTATATGTGGTTGAAGATGTTGATGATAGTGATAGCGAGTACTGACTGATACTGATGCTTCCTCTTCTTATTCTGATTATGCTTATATTGTTGTAGTTGGTGGATAGATGGTTAGTGGATGGCATACCAGCCCGAGGTTATTGATTATAAATGCGTTATACATCATCATCATCACCTCCATTCATTCATCCATCACATGCTTGATGTTGCCGTTGTTGTTGATGTTGATGTTGTTGTTGGTTGTTATAGCTGCTGTTGTTGTTGTTGTTGCTGCATCTGTTTCTTTCGCACACATATATATATATATAACAACACTCACTACCTCAACTAACTAATTACTGTTGTGTGTGTGTGTATGTATATACTGATGGGATGCCATGGCATAGGCACACAACTAGATGTGTTGTTGCTGTTGTTGGTATTACTACACAACACACACACAATCCCAATCACTCACAATCACATGCTCAAACAATCTACTCCCATCAACAACAACACAAACAATGCTACTCTGGGTGAATGTGTGAGTTTGTTTGAATCAGAGTTGATGAGTGAGTGGTATTTATTGTTCTAGATGTTGTGATTAAATTAATTGATTGATTGTTTACGAACTCCTGAAGTCTTTGTGAACTTGATTAACATTAAAGTGTTAATGACCTTTAATTATTTCCTTCGATGACCACTGGTGCTTCACCTTTCATTTTTTCCTCTTTACCAAAAGGTAATTTATAATATTGACCATCTATTTTAATATAATAGGCAGCAATATCAGATACCAATGAAACATATATTTGATATTTATCATTATTATTCTGATCGGACTCAAGGTACAAGTTGAGAGTAGTACCATTAAGATAATAATTAGTAGTTTTATCATGTGTTTTTATGGTTACCTAGGAAGGTAGAATATAATATTCGCCATCCCACCCATAGTAGACTGTTCCAAATCCTGGATAATATGTACTAATTTTTAATAATAATAATATTACTTACCTGATTCTTGACAATCTATACAATTGATTAAGGATACAAGAATTATTATGACAAGAAGAAATTGATTGATATTCAAATTAGACATGATGTTGAGAATATTAATTTGGAATAAGTATAATTGTTCCAGGAACCAACCAACTCCATTTATAAATCTTTTGTTGTATAACTATATTACAAAAATTGTAATTACCGGTAATTATTATTCTCCAACATACCTCGATGTGTATCACAAAAAAATAGCGAGTGATGATAACCTCTTCCAATGCTTGAAGTACAAACTACATTTTCAAAATGGAAGAGAATACATTTCTTTTTAATCATGATCATTGGTCCTCAACTTACAAATATGTGATAATGTAGGTGGGTGAGTACTTCAAGCATTGGAAGAATGTGACTACAGTACTATTCCATTCACTCACTCCCTCGCTCAGTCAATAATACGCACAATGATCAGATCACCAATAGTGATGTTCATTGTTTTATTTAATTATTAATATTGTTCAAGGAGGAAAATATTTTAACAAATAAATTATACTTAATAAAAAAATATTATAATGGAAAATTCCGAAAGAAACAGTGGAGATGATGCGAACTATTGTAAATTGCATGCACCTTATGTTCGTAGAAAGATAGTTGCATTGAACTGTCGACCAGACTTTGACCCTACAAATGCAGATGCTATGTACCAAGTCTTCCTCCAAGAAGGTTGTACTGAAGAATGCAGAGAGATTCTCATTGAGAGATTTAACAGGTGTATCACATGGGGCAGGAACTGTGTTCAAATACTACAGAACATCAAACTTGGAAATCAACAACCATATCCGAGTTGGATATCATATCTAATGTTCGCCACAGACAAAATACAAGACCAAGAAGATTATGACTCAATACAGCAGTGTCTGATCGGTCCAATGAAGGTAGAGGATTTCGAGAAGAACTGGGAGGGTCCAAAATAATTGTGATCAAATCACAAATCACACCATCAAAATATAAATACTTTTCAAATACATCAACAAACACATATATGACAAACAATTAAAATGTCACAGACCATTACCAAGTCCTCAGATGACTTGTCACTAGTACTGAAGTCATTGCTTCCAAGGTGTGATTGTAGTGAAGCATGCAACAACAATAAAAATCGACATGACGGTTTCATTGTTGAGGTGTTGCGCAACAGGACAATGTTTAAAAGGATTGTGAACGTTGGCAGACCAAGATACTCGATTGGTAAACTCTACAAATATGATCATCTCAGTGATGTTGGTATATGTATGGTCAACAGGTTTGATTATGCATTCGTTGAACGATTGCTACACAACGACACAATGTATTGGTCTCAAGATTGCTTGGAGCTGCTCATCAAGGAGATGCCTTATGTAGTGTTCAAACATGTCTTTCACAACAACAGATACATGATGCTCTACAATCATTATTCATTGATGAAGCATGCTGTGCAGCATGGACAGCTCGATATGTACAAGCTGCTTGAGACTCAGGCACTAGACCATGCATTGGACATACTTCCCATTCCATACCACTCATCTCCCTCATATTATCTCATATTGGCACTCAATCATGGTCAGGCCTCAGTGTTCAACTATCTCCTCTCATTCGAGACGAAACAATCAATGGAAAACATGATACAGGGGGGCAAGCGAACATTATCCTCCTTCCTAAACTCCTTTGACAAGGTAGACATGTCATCTCTACTAAAGTCGTTGATCACATTCGTTGAGACTCACTACAATACGGCCATGTCTCTGATACTCAGGTCGGTGATCACATTCATTGATACTTATTACAAAATGGCCCCATCAAAATGCACTCCATCAAACGTAATCAGTCAATTCAATCCATTTGCAATGTTACTTATATGCCAGGACATTGGTTTGGCTCAACTAGCAATCAAGTATGTGGAATTTGATGCCAACCAACTTTACACATATTGTAATTTTATCTTTGGTCATGATATTGAGCATTACCATGCACACTTCATCCCCTCAGGAAGCGAGATCGATGTGCAGGAGCTCAAGCACACAGTCGAGTTCCTCTTTGCACTCTTGAAGCTCTATGGCCGACATGTAGAGTGCACTAAAGAGCAACTCCCAAGATGCTTGGATGTGCTTACCGAGTTTGGCGTTCTCATCACAGACATCTTTGTGATCATGTCATCACAGAACATCTTGCCACCTATCCGGTCCTACATCAGGAGGGATATCTTCACCAACATCCGCCAGGATTGCAGTGATCATTCACGTCAGATGTTCATTCAGTTCTTCATGAAACAATCATGTGAGTCGTCCTTGGAGATGGAGATTGATAATCGAATTTCATTGGCACTCAACACAATATGTACTTATGGAACGTTGGAGATGGTCATGATGGCCAGGGACTGTGATTTTATTCAACAACACCACGACTTCCATCATGTTAAACAAGCTTATCCCAAGTCTATGGAGATACTGGAGTACATGATACACGAAGGATGGTATCACTTAGGCAAATTGACAGACCTCATTAACTTTACATCAATGGCAGACCCAGACACGCTCAGGAAATTCTTGACAGTATATGATATCAGTGATATGTTCAATGATGATGATATTGTTGAGGACAATGATTCAATAGTTGACTATGATATATTCACTGAATCTGTTCGATATTATACGAACCATCTGGACATTGACAGATGTGCCACCATTCAATCAATCATCCAAACAGAGTTTGATCGCCTACATATGCCCAAGATCTTTGACATCATCAGTATTCATACAAGCCAGATGACAGTGCAACTCTATCAAACACTCTTCAAAGATGATACTATGAGGAGAATCAAGTTCAATCCTCGGAACACCTGGGATGTGGACCCAGCAGTTATCACCTATCTTCTTGATAAAGCATCGGTAGCAAACTTTAAAACCAAAACAGTGATCAATATCATGGAGTCAGCATGTGCTCTTGGCATGTTGGAGTGTGTCCATTGGCTCGATGCAAACATTCCAGTCTATGCCAAAATACGATCACGACGGGCTCCAATGTCCGAGCTGCTGCATCAAGCGTTCCAAAATGGTCATTACTCAATATGTCAGTACCTCATTGCTTGTGGTGCAAGGTTTGGTTCAATAACATACAATTGGGTAGTATCGGTAATGGACGTGGCTACATTAGATACTTTGATTTCAATGCAAGAATTGTCCTACCGGGAGAAGGATCAAGTGTTTGACTATGCTTGCTCTCATCTCAACTTGCCATTGGCAAAGATGATCCTTTCAAGATGGCCAGATGTCAAACTCAGTCACACGACCCTGGTGGGGAGTGCATTGAGATGTTTGATCAATGATCGAGTTGATGTGTTGACATTCATCACCGAGTTGTTGGTCAAGAGTCCAACAGAAGATGATATCGCCTCTACCGAGTTGATAGATATGGCTCAACTTCTAGAACGGGCGATCAACCAATCGTCGTATCACTCTGAACGATGTCTCAGATACCTCTTGATAGGACTACCGCAACATACTATCTACAAGTACTACAACAATGTTTGGATCAAGTATTTTATCAACAAAGAATAAGTAATAATAAATAATACTATATAACCTCTCACCTGTACTTTGGCAATTTACTTTGGCAATTTACCATATTGAATATACTAAATGCTTGATTGGTTTAATTAATTAATTTATTATATTATTTGTTGTTAATAGAATTATCGATAAAAACAAGTTTGGTGTTGGTCCTTAAGATGATGTTGAGTTTGTTGATTAAGTGTTGGTCCATGCTGAACTGATTCTCATCTGACCTTCTTGTTGAGTACCATAGCCTGCCAGTAGTTTTGATGTTTGATTGAGTGTGAAGCAATATGTTGCCTCGGTGCCAGAGGCACTGGATTTGGCCGGTGCTTGCACAGCAGTGAATGGATTGGCCTGCGAGTTGGATACACTCAGCTTATAAGTGGACGATGATTGCTTGATGCAATAGCTTCCAGCGGGCAATCTCTCGAACGCCCMATCCATTCTCTTGACCCTTGGACTGCGTGCTCATCAGTTGCGCGCCATCCACACTCATCAGCGCCACATTGATGCCGGCGAGGTAGGCGTCCTTGTCCATCTCGAACAATCCATTGCGGTTCTTGTCCTGGAAGGTGAATCCACCCACGCTGTACTGGCGGCTGGACACCCAGCCCGTGTTGAGCACATGTTGGTTCTTGCGCTCCAAGTATGGCAGGCCGAGCGCGTTGTTCTCGACGGCGGTCGACTCGTTCAGAGTGAAGCAGTACTTGTAGCGGTTGCCGCTGGCCGTGTCCAGGTTGGTGTTGTAGTCGGCGCTGCGCTGGATGATGCAGTAGTCGCCCGCGGACAGGCCGGCGAACAGCCATCCGTCTGGGGTGGCCTTGGACACGGTGGTCTTGAGCGTCTTGCCGTTGGCGTCGGTCAGGGTGACCTTGACGTCGGGCACGTAGAACGTGTCGTCCTTGTTACCAAAGTCGTAGAATGTGCAACCACCGATCGCGTAGGTCTTCTCGCGCCAAGCCGACTTGAGCATCAAGTTGCTGCGCGACTTGTCGAATGGCAGACCAATGGTGTTCTTCTCATTGCATGTCTCGCGGTTGATGCGGAAGCACTTGTTAACGTTCTTGAGGCCGGTGCCCTCGAATGGGTTGTCCTGGGGATGCTTGCTGCTCAGCGTGTACGTGGCCGAGACCAGGTTGACACAGTAGTCGCCAGATGGCACCTCGCTGAAGGTCCAGCCGTCGAGTGAGTCGCTGGTCGTGGTGGTCTTGACGAGCTGGCCATTGTTGTCGTACAGGTTGACGTTGATGCCCGACAACAGACTGTCGCCCTTGTTGTACTTGCCGTTGGCGTCGCCGTCCAAGAAGGCAAAACCGCCAATGTTGCACTTGACGTCTGGCAACCAGCCAGAGTTGATCGTCAGGTTGTTGGCATCGAATATAGAGGATGGCGTTGGGAAGCACTTGCTGCGATCGGGGTCCAAGTGGAAGCAGTATAGGCCGCTCTTTGAGTTGTTGAAGTGATTGTGAACCTCATCGTATCTCGTCAGGGAGTAGTCGCGCAGCTTGACCTGGACACAGTAGTCGCCTGGTATCACATTGGTGAAGCACCAGTTCTTGTCCGTGAACATTGAATTCTTGACGTTGCCGTATCGGTCGAGCAGGGATACGCGCACGTTTCCAATCAGTTCCTCTGAGTCATCCATAGCTCCATTCTCGTTCTCGTCGTAGAATGTCAGTCCCTTGATGTTGTAGGTGACATCTTTGAATGAGGGCGGGGCGGCAGGTGGCTTGGAGGTGGTGTCGCCTGAGTCGTCGGTGGGGATGTCTGGCGAGTTGCCGTTGGGTGTCTGACCGGTGGGCGTTGAGGTTGTTGAGGACTTCTTGGTAGTGCTGCCAGAGCTAGCGCCGCCTGAGCTTGCGCCACCCGAGGTGGTGGTGGTCACGCCGGATGTGGCCGTGCCTCCGCCAGTGGTAGTGGTAACCTGGGCTGTGGTGGTGGACGATGTTTGTTGGGAGGTGGCGCCACCAGTTGTCGTTGTTGAGACACCTGTCGACGAGCTGAGTGTTGTTGTAACTTGGGCTGTCGTGCTTGCTGCTGAGCTGCCTGCATTGGTTGTGGTGACCTGTACTGTGGTGGAGGATGAAGCGTGTCCTGATCCAGCACTTGAGCCAGATGCTGTTGTTGTGGCAGTAGCGGTGGTAGTGGCAGTAGCAGTAGTAGTGGCAGTTGCTGTAGTTGAGGTGGTACCTGAAGCAGTGGCTACAGTGCCCGAAACAGTACCAGCAGTGGCGGTTGATGCAGTGGCAACAGTACCTGAGACTGAGCCAGCTGTGGCAGTGGCTGTGGATGGCGCGGTGGTGCTGGTGGCGCTGGCGACAGTGCCAGAGACAGATCCGGCTGTGGCGGTGGCGGTAGCAGTACCTGAAGAAGTGGCGACAGTGCCCGAGACAGAGCCAGCA